GCCCTCCATTAACGTTTTTGTTTTGTTTCAGTAGAGGTATCGTAGCCAAATTCCAGCGCATATTCATTTTCTATGTCTCCGCCGCCTGCCGACTACCAAAGCCAGAAAAGATCAGTGAGCTTAGTCTGCCGTATCACGCGGTTTTTTTTAGAAAAAAAAAAGCACCAAAGGATGCATTTTGGCATTTTAGCTTGTGTTGTGGGTAGCTGAAGCTGCTGCCCGGATATAAACATAGATTTAACAGTTACAAAAAAAAAGTCCAGGCGATAGCTTCAAGCGCATGCGTGAGTTGAGTGCCATCCCGCATGCTTGCTGTCTATTTGCTTTCCATAAATAGTAACGAAGTCGTTGCGTCTTATTTTCGGGAAAACACCTCAAACTAGTGATGGGACCCATAGCTAACAGCAATCCCACACCTCGTTCGAGACCCCAACGGCGAGTAATAAGAGGTTTTTTTTGTCTTCCGCGTACATATTCCACGACAGCTAGCGTGCGGTTGCTCTTCGGGCATTCGAAACAAACACCTAAGCTTAAATATTATAATATGGCGGGGACAAACTTCGACCTCAAAATCCAGGGTCAACGACAGCTGTGGCGTGAGCAAGGTTCGGCTTATTTTAGCCGGCCATCCGGACCCGGTTCAAGGACTCTTGGCCATCAGTGCGTTCGTTCCGCGGGTGTGTACGGAATGTTGTTCTTCAGCCCTGCGCAGATGTGAAACCGATGTCGCCATTGCACTTTGTGTCTCATGATGATGGTGACGCGGTGGTGTGAGGGAAGCGAGTAAGCCCCCAATCCCTTTTTCTTTTTATGTTTTTGCTTATTTTACCTCGTTACCGGAGTGGCCGGTGGAAGGAAGCACGCGGCACGTCTGTGCTGATGAAGCTAAAGACGCCCCCCGGATTTGCTTACCGGGCGTCTTCCTTGAGGACACCTGTGCGCCTGTCGGTAATGGAAAGTACCGAGAAGCACGGATGCCGGATGGCGGTATGGTAAAAGAGGCTGGGAAAGAAATATCCACATGAGCATAGACAGAATTTGCTGGTGGGTTGCGTCAATTAGCATTATGGTCTGTGCCCGTTTACTTTTCTCGAGCCTGGTGGCTGGGAGTGGAGAGCTGCGCTTAAAGCTATTTTTCTTGGCGTGCATTCTTCAGCCGTGTGCGTCCGTGTGGCGAGCTGAATGGGTGGAGTACCAAAGAGGACATCATTAAAATCTCAGCGAATCACCATGAGATGTGCGCCTATACCAGTTTTCCTCGCAGCATGAGTATTTTTTGGCGCCTTTTCCGTTTCTCAGCAGGATTTCAGAACAAATGAACGATCAGTGGCAGTGCACGTTGCTGAAAGGAGTTCGAGACGAATTTCCTAAACAAACGACAGGAGGCGGCCAGATTCGGGTCCACGAGTCCGTCCGTACACTGGAAAAGTGGGTGGTGTGATAGGTTCGACGCAATTTATCATCCAACCAATCAGATACTTGATCCAATTGGTCAAAGCATAGGCTGCGCGTTTGCCATCAGTCGAAGTCCACATGACAATTAGACATGAAAGTAACTTTGGAGAGATCCAATGACATTGGGTACGTGGCAGAACGTGTCTCAACTGAATAATTGCGGCGTGTCATGGGAATCCAGACACACAGGCAAACAAGCCGGAGCGCATCCACGATGACGCGGTGGACCGCGCGGAAGGAAAGGTGAAGAGAATTCATGCTGAAGAGAGGAATATATTTAGTCGAGCAACCTTGTGCATATGTTGGGTGAAACCGTTTCGGGACAAGGTAGAGGGTGTTTCGCCGTAGATCGGCACTCGCGTCGGCTCCGAGATCCGAAGCCGGCCGGCTTACCAGGGCCCTTGCTCTACCGTGTTTGATTAAGTTTTAGCCTTACGGATATTGCGAACGTCACGATCTGTCCTCCACCCTGGTTCAACGTGACATCTTCGAGATTGGGCAGGAACAATCCGGGGATCCGGGAAGATGCTGGAAAGATAAGGGTAGAGAGAAACGCAAGCGACAGATGCAAGCGAAGTTGGAGGTAGATGAAATGGAAGATAAGAAAGGAGCAGTGCTCCATCGTGAACTACCGAGTACGAAGCAGTGGGGAGATACGAATTGAGATAGTGCAGTAGTAGCAAATCTGGAGGAAGGGGTTGCGTCATCGGCCCCGTTGTGGCAAGGATCCACACCAGGACGCGGTGAAGGTGAGCAGCGGGACAGGCACAAGCGAGAACGGACGTAGCCGTGAAGGCGTCCCCTATTGGAGGCCTGAGGTAGACAACACGCAAGCCGCAGCCGCGCTCGCTTTACGACTCGCACAACGGAGGCCCTTAAGTCTTGGCACCCGGAGCATTCGCCTTTTCGGAAATGCCTACGAAAAAGAGCGCATGGCAGAAGCGCGCGATCCCATCTCGATAGCAATGAAGAAAGATGAAGAGGTGGGGTACGGTGAGATTGTGAAACAGAGAGTGCGGGCCGGAAACACTCTGACCACCGGGGCGGAAACAGGAAGAGGGGATTCCCGGCTGCCTGGTAGATCCCGACAATTAGGCGGTGGATGGTTGATACCGGGTGACTTCAAGCCATGACGTCCGGCCAAAGGGCCACGAAGCGGCGGAAGGTTCAATATTACGCCAAGGAAGACGGGCTGGAGAGGGATCCCGGACCAGCGGAGAGTTCAGCAAGCAAACAACAAGAAAGCTTGTCTGTCATTTGGTTGAGATGAAAGGACGAAGACAAGGGAATCAAAATCAAAGTTGAAGTAAAGGAAAGTGAAGGCATGGAACACGCGTGCCTTACCTGCGATGCCAGTCTGCCGTGGGCTGCAGATGAAGATGGGCGTAGAATTTGGAAAACTGGTAGGGCAATTTCCAAGGTTGCTGGACCGTTGGAAGCCGTTCCTCAGGGTTGAATTCAAATTTAGTGAACGCGAGAAACCAAGGGAACTGCCATGGCAATATGCGCGCTCGGCCCCCCTTACAGCGTCCCAACGAGCCGGTGACGGACAGGAAAAGGGATAGTGGCAGGTAGGGTGCGGCTAAGGGTGGCTGGACGAGGCTTGTTTCTCGAAGAACAGACAGGGGACGTTCGAAAGGATTCGGCTACAGGCCCAAACAACTGGAAAGGATGGTAAGGTGTTGAGCCGGCGCGGATCTGGGCGGCCGTGGCGGGGCGCTAGAAGCTTGAGGATTCGATACAGAAGGAACTCAGGGCCAGGCTGGGGACCGGGCGAGGTTGCTAGTTGCGCCGCAACGTGGTCAGACAGCTGTTTGATGTCGCGTGCCGTGCAATAGCGTAGGAACAACGACTGACGCAATGCGAAACTGGTGAGCGGCCAAGTATTGGTGGAGATGTGTCTCAGCCCTGCCGGCAATCGATGGGAGCAAAACGTGGCTTGCTGATGGACCACAGAGCGCCCCGTCGGCGCTGCAGCGCGCGTGAGCAGTCAGTCAGCACACGCTGGCGCGCTGGCACGATAAACTGGAGATGCGGAGAGATGCGGTGCACGTCATCGTAGCCACCAGGGAAATGGAGATGTGCATGTCTCCTCTGTGTGCTTTTGTTGATCTCCCGCAGCTAAGCGCGATACGAGGCCCGTGGCGGGGCGGAGCAGCGAGGGCAGATCTTACGTAAACGGGTTGAGAGACCCCTCAGACCCTGATTTATCGCGCGGTTGTATCGCGGAGAGGACTCCATGAGCGGCCTACCCCACAGTGAGCACGCAGGCGGCGAGCGGTGTGATGGAAGCGGCAACAGTGAGGCGAGCCATCGACGATGCGGCGATCCCCTCAACCCCCACGGCACACCTGGCGGGCGGCTACCGAGACAAGTGGTTGCACAGGCGGTTCGATTCGAAGCCGGGCTGGAGGCGGCTGCAGGTACGCGGCTGACGTGCAGGAGCACCCCGATCTGGCAGCGGGAGGCTGGCGTTTCATGAACAGCAAAGGAAAGGCGCGAGTCAGGGCGAGCGCTTTTGGCAGGCGAGGGGACCTGAGGCCGGCACATGATGGCCCCAGCTCCGTAAATGAACATCAGCAGAGGCCGATCAGGGGCGCACACTGCACCGCTGATCGCGATGCTCTGCTATCTTTGTCCGAGCCGGCCGCGGGGCCCGGGCTAGTTATCGCCTAGCGCGGCCAGCCGTGGCGGCCTCTTGCCGCGACTGACTACTGCTGTCTGCGGTGCCGTCGCCGACGCAGCTTCACCGAAGGGCCAGCATTGCGCGTCGCTGCCCGCCGCCGCCGGTGCTCGGTGCCCAGGGCGCGGCCTCAGGCACAGGAGGCGGGGGCCGGTGGAGCGCGGTTTCAGTGGGTTGATGCGAGGTTGCCGCGGCGCGCTTGCGACGGACGATGCTCGAGCTCTGTGCCTGCGGCAGCCTCGCAACAACGGCCGGCCCTGGGCCAGAGCTCGCAGTCAAGGATCAGCCGCTGGCCAGCAAATGAGCGAGCTGCTGGGTTGCCTGCACCGCCAGCTGGCCAACGCGCCGGGCTGCCCGCCCAGAAGCGCCCGCGAGCTGCATGCTTCCTGTTAACTGCCAGGCGCCCGCACACCGCGTCGACGCAGCTGCCCGCCTCCAGCATAACCGCCCTCAGCGCAGGAGCCCGCGCTGCCTCTCGTTTGGAACCATCGTCCAGCTTCGCGCGCCTAATCGCCGCCGATACACGCTCTCTTACGCTCCACCGCCCGTTCTGTCTCACGCACCGCGCCAGCAGGGGTACCTCGTGTGTCATTTTACCACCCGGCCATCCACGCCCGTTCCTTCCCTGCAAGACCTCCCACCACCCTAAATACGTGCTAGCCGCTTTCGCCGCCCGCTCGATTCAGCAGGTCGCCCCAAGTATTGACCTCTGCGTCTTCTGCGCACAGAGAGAAGCGCCCCATAAGGCTGCACGCCGCCCATGCTCCCGCCTCCCAGCCCTCTCCTCCTGTCTGCGCTGCTCGCCCTCCCCAAGGCACAACACCAAACAAGGATTCCTTGAGTGCCGCAAGGATCATCCACCATGGCGGACACCGAGAGGCCCATTAGCATATTGCCGTCCATCAAATGTTCAGACTGCGGCGTCGAGATCGAGATCTCGAAGATGGCCGACCATGTCTGCGGCCCAGCCCCCGAGCCTGAGCCCGTTGCCCCAGCACCAAAGGCCACAAAGAAATTCTTCGACCGCGCCGCCAGCAGCATTCGCTCGTCGACTGCCGCCTTCAAGCCTGGTCGCTCAGCACCACCGCCTAGCATTGACTCCGGCGTCGCCAGTAAGTCCCAATTTCCTCCACTGCCATGCCAGGCTTTAACATTGTCTGAAGACAAGCCCTTCGCCGGACGCGCCCAGGCGACCGCCGATCCTTTGACCCCGAACAGCAACCCAAATTCCAGAAGTCCGTCGCCAGCTTTCTTTAAGTCGTCAATAGCCAGGAACCAGTCCGGCCTAGAACCGAAAGCTTACAGTCCCACTTCTCCAGATCAACCAAACCTCGAACCCGAGAGCTCTCTGGAACCAATCAAGAGGCAACTCACCCCAACTCACGACTACCCTGAATCCGACCCGAATTTCGCCCCTCTGAGCCCGCGGCCCAATGCCAGTGAAAGTGTCTTCTCTCGCCTGAACACGCTTGCCTCCGGTCCGTTCAACGTGAGGGAAAGAAAAACATCATTGAGGCCTGAGACGGCCGAGGAAGCAAGACCCAGCTCGTCGCACAGGAGGACTCCGACATTGAGCAGCTTGAGGAGCAGGTCCAAGTCGCGCACTTCTAGCCGTGGGAGCAATACCTTGGGCCATGAACGTCAGCCATCGACAGCCAGCACAGAAAGATCGCGCTCGTCCATGCGCTCCACTGGATTGCCGGCGCCAGCTGAAGTTGGTGGGAAGCGCGTACCGCCTCCACGACCAGCGCGTCCTGATGAGAACGTGGACAGCTTTTTGGAAGCATTGCAGGGTGAGGCTAACCAGCCTTCGCTGGCGGGCTTGGGGATGCGCTCGCAGTTGTCTCCAATCCAGAAAGACACAAATGGCGCTGCCAACAAGGCTTCCATCTCACTTCCGAGGAGGCCTTCGGACAAAGTTCCGCCTCCTCCGCCGAAGTCTCTTGCACGAAACATCTCGACCGACGACACCCCAGAATGGTGGGATTCTCCGGACAAGGCACGCCCGTCCAGTCCGGAAAAGCCACCTGCTGAGCCTGCTCAGCATGAGAGGAAAGCATCCGTTGCGGACGACAATGCGAAAAGATATCCTCGCAGGACGTCTAGCCGCAACCTTAGTCTCAAGGACCTGGATCTTGGCCCCAGACCACCTGTTCCTCAGCCCCCGCGCCTAGAGGTTCGTCCTCGTGGCACTTCCCACGCGCCTTCAGATTCTGGCTCGTCTGAGGCCTCTTCCGGCTTCGATCGCAGCAGCCGCTCTACGCCGCCAACCTCTGCAGGAGCCAGCCCTATTGCTGAGCCATTCAAGGCATACAGGCCCTTTGACCAGCCTCCCTCGGGACCGCGCCCGGGAACTTCCACTGGACCTCCTCCTGAGGCACAGAGGAGGCCGAGCATGAGCCGGCCAAACCCGCCGGAGAGTCTGCCTTTGAGCCCTCCGCAGCTTCGTGCTGTTCCAGACGCACCCGAGTCACCGATGGACCCTGCCATTCAGCGCGGTATATTCACGCCGAACCGGCCGTCGGATTCTTCGGCACTTCCGGAGATCCAATCCGTTGTCCGGGAGGATGAGAAGCCTCCTATGCCTCCTGTCCCTGCCGAGGAGGAGCCGCCAATGAAGCCTCTTACACACACGAGGACAGCATCATTAGGAAAGCGGCCCGGCACAGCGGGTAAGGGGAACTGCAGAGGATGTGGTGAAGTCATTGTAGGGAAGAGCGTCAAAGCGGCAGACGGGAGGCTGACAGGGCGGTGGCATAAGCAATGTAAGTTCTATACTCGCTCCGTCGCGGAGTCTTCATCTCGCTAACCCGTGTCTGCACAGGCTTCACCTGCAGGACTTGCCACTCCCCCTTCCAAACGGCCGACTTCTACGTCATTGACAACCACCCGTACTGCGCACACCATTACCACCAGATGAATGGTTCTCTTTGCAGACACTGCAACTACGGAATCGAGGGTCAGTACCTGGAGACTGAGCGGCGGCAAAAGTTCCACCCGCAATGTTTCGCATGCGACACGTGCAGAATGCCCCTGCGGGACGACTACTTTGAAGTTATGGGGGTCGTGTACTGTGAACGCCATGCGTGGCACGCAGCAAGACAGACAGGCGGCGGTCCGCGCGGCATGCTGGCTCCAGGAGACCCTAGGCGCAACCCTGAAAGGAGGAGGACTAGGCTGATGATGATGTGAGCGACCCCGTATGGAGAGGGCTCGCATTGATCACAGCTATTTTTACGCCGTCTTGGAAAGTATTGCTTCGACGCAAAGCTTGGGCACCGAAGCGTACGGGTACGAGGCGGCTCTTGGGGTCATCTCCGTGAACGTTCCAGACCCACCCTTTTCTGGAAATCTCCCTGCTTAGGCGAAGGGGCTTCTTCGGGATCTCGCATCGCCAGACACTCGCTTATCTTTCCCTCGGACCTACAGCATTCCACGGCGCTCGCATCTTTTCTTTTATTTGTCGCTCCGACCGATTGTTCAAAGGCTCCTAGTTTCCTTGCATGTCGACCAACTGCATCTTCCGGTTTCCATTTGAGTTATATACCCTTCTCGATATACCCTTTTCATCCCGGGTGGGCTCACATTTGGATATACCCTCTTCCTATTTCTTTCCAGTTTTGACCATGGCTGCATGATGTTTTGCGACTTTTGGTCTATTATCGATCCCAGCATTTGCATGAGCGGGGGAGTTTCTTGTGCAATGAGGAAAGGGTATCGCAGCCGGTGAAAGGGCTGGCTTAATGTCTTATCTGTTTGCAGGTGATCTTCGGGTGAATGGATGTCACGGAAAAGTTTTGGGATAAGGCAAGGCGAAGGCGAATCTTCAGCGTTGTAGTAGTAGGATAATTGAACACGAACATTCCAGTAACAATGAGTCGCAGTTGTGATGTCGCAATCAATGACATTTATGCACCTTGTCGTCCCGCTCGGCGCCGCTCCGACTCCGTGGCGCAACGCCGGTTATGCTTATGCAACGTCATTCGGGAGCTTCGAGTACCGCACATGTCAATGACGGTGTGCATAGAGTTCCGGAGATCCCGCAGCCCTTCGGCCTCGCAATTTCAAAATATTTCACAGCGGTATTACTAAATGCACTACGAGCGAGTTGCGCGGACCTGGCCATGGATGGATCGGTACCTGCCAGCTCACACGCAGTCGCAACTGCAAGGTACAGGATTATGATAACCATCAGGCCATTGATCGCTTAGAACTTGCATCGAAAGCGACAAGAACTGCAGGGTTGCCAAGGGCGCCGGCGGGCTGCGGCGTTCATAGGCAACACACGGGTCGACTGGTTCCTCCAATGGACGGCCAGCAGAGGATCAACGACGATAACAGACAGAGCCCCACCATCTGCAGTGCACGTGGGAGGTTTGCATGCGCTTGCGCAACCGCGTCTTTTTCGATGGATGTGGTTGAGAGAGACTGGGCGGCCCCTGTCTTCGCAGGGCCCGAGGCAATGGAAGGGGAATGGCGCGGCTGCTCCGGGCGCCAGCGGATTCGACGAGCTGCAGCAGCTGCCGTTCGATTCACCTTCACCGCGACTTTGAACACGCGCCGCGTGCAGGCGAGTGATTAATCCTCCTCCACGCTTTTACCAACCGATTGCGCCCGGTTGAGCAGGATGCACGGCCCCTATCGTGTGCTCAGTGGTGCCCCGCGCCGAAAACCGCCTCCCGCTAACCCGCGGTGCCTGGAGGACTTCTGACCGGCGACTGGCGTGCGGGCTATAAAGCGCTGCCTACCCGCGCCCTAACTCCTCCCTCCTCAACCGCACTCTTCTCTGCTCACACCAAGCGTGCATCGAAGCTTTCCCACCAACCTTTCCTCGAAAATCACCCGGGCCATTGCCCAGTCGTCACGATTTTCTCCAATCTTCTTAACTCGTAAGTGCATCATCCCAAAAGCTCCAATGTAAGCAAATGGCTAATTCTCCTCCAGCGTCCACCACCCCTTCGCCGGCCGACGTACTTCCCCCTCCGGAGGAGCGTCGGATTGCCCATACATCCGTTAAATCACCCACTTAACGGAAAACAACGTCAAAAGTAAACATGGCACCTCACGCTGAAGTCGGCTATGCGAAGGGGGATGGAAAGTGGTCTTCAAGCGCCACGCCCAAGGAGGCGTTCGTCGTCAACTCGCCCAACGTCACGTACTCGGACGCGGAAATCAAGAGCCGCTACACTTATCGCACCACCGAGGTCACGACCAAGGATGGTAAGTTCGTTGCCACGCCCAAGGAGACGGTGTACGACTTCAAGGTGGACCGCACGGTCCCCAAGGTCGGCATGATGCTCGTGGGCTTGGGCGGCAACAACGGTACCACCGTGACTGCTGGCATCCTCGCCAACAAGCGCGGCCTCGTCTGGGATACTCGCGAGGGTCCGCGTGCTGCCAACTACTACGGCTCCATGGTCATGGCCTCCACCATCAAGCTCGGTACCGACCCCAAGACCGGCAAGGAAATCAACATCCCGTTCAACCACCTGCTCCCGATGGTCCACCCCAACGATCTTGTCGTTGGCGGCTGGGACATCAGCGGCATGAACTTGGCGGATGCTGCTGACCGCGCCTGCGTCTTGGAGCCGACTCTCAAGAACATGGTGCGCAAGGAGATGGCTTCCATCAAGCCTCTTCCTAGCATCTACTACCCGGATTTCATCGCTGCAAACCAAGAGGCTCGCGCTGACAACGTTCTGCCCGGTACCAAGGCTTGCTGGGAGCATGTTGAGCAGATTCGCAAGGACATTCGTGATTTCAAGGCTGCCAACGGTCTTGACAAAGTGATTGTTCAGTGGACTGCCAACACCGAGCGCTATGCGGAGATTCTGCCTGGCGTCAACGACACGGCCGAGAACCTGCTCAAGGCTATCAAGGAGGGCCACGAGGAGGTTTCTCCCTCGACCGTCTTTGCTGTTGCCTGCATTCTCGACCAGGTTCCCTTCATCAACGGCTCGCCCCAGAACACTTTCGTTCCTGGCGCCGTTGAGCTGGCCGAGAAGCACAATGCCTTTGTCGGTGGTGATGACTTCAAGTCTGGCCAGACCAAGATGAAGTCTGCCCTGGTTGACTTCATGATCAACGCCGGCATCAAGCTCACCAGCATTGCCTCGTACAACCATCTCGGCAACAATGACGGCATGAACCTGAGCAGCCAGAAGCAGTTCCGCAGCAAGGAAATCAGCAAGTCCAACGTTGTCGACGATATGGTGGCCGCCAACAATGTGCTGTACGAGGAGGGTGAACACCCCGACCACTGCGTCGTGATCAAATACATGCCTGCGGTTGGCGACAATAAGCGTGCGCTGGACGAGTACTACGCCGAGATCTTCATGGGCGGACACCAGACCATCAGCATCTTCAACGTGTGCGAGGACTCGCTCCTGGCCAGTCCGTTGATCATCGATCTCGTCCTCGTCGCCGAGATGATGACGCGCATCCAGTGGAAGACTGCTGATACTGAGTACGCTGGGTTCCACAGTGTTCTGAGCATCTTGAGCTTCATGCTTAAGGTAAGTTTCTTTTTCTTGATCGAGATAAGGTTGAAGTGGCTAACCCGTATTGGCAGGCCCCGGTCACTCCCCCGGGTACGCCGGTGGTCAACGCGTTGGCCAAGCAGCGTAACGCTATGATGAACATCTTCCGTGCTTGCGTCGGTCTCGAGCCCGAGAACGACATGACGCTTGAGCACAAGCTGTTCGCTCATTAAGCGTCCTGTCGCATCTCCTGCTCGAGTCTGAGCGATGCGTGGTGAGGAAATTACGCGCTGCATCCAACATCAGCGTGTGATGATGCCTGTGGGTGACCGTAAACGCGCTTCAACGCGATGTTTTATGGTGGGCTTTTCTCCTATGTTCATCTTAAGCTTCGTTGCATTCGCTCACTCATTATATCTGAATCCAAAATACAAAATTTGCGCAAGATTTCTCGTGTGTTCGTACGTGATGGTTGTGGTGTTGCCTAACCGATGAGTTTCACTAGCGCCTTTTTGTCCGAGTCTACACGCGCTCTATACCTCCACTTCACCTTGCACTCTCACTTTGTGCATCACCTCACTCACTCAGCTTCTTGTTTGTTCTCCTCCAGTCCCATCGTCCCTACCATGCCATCCCAATCCGCCTCTATAAAATCCTACTTCTCTCCACTACCTTCACCCGCCCGATCATCTCAGGCCGATAGCAACACCGACAACTCTCGCGCAGAACCAGCATCTCAGCCCAATCCGACGCAACATGATCAACAACGTGAAGCCGGTCTCAGCCTCGCCAACACCGCCACCGCCTTCATCCCGGGAGACGGATTCACATCTACTGAAATGACCACCAACGCGTCGTCTACGGGCAACGGAACACAGCTGCCACCACTCACCGGTCCTTTCACCCCACCTCACGGCGTCCCGTACAAAGAAGTGATGTCGATCAAGCACCTGACATCCACTTCGATGGGTGAAGGCGTGCGCTTTACGGGTCGGGTGCTCAACGTGTACAGTCCATCAATGGAGACGACGACGGCAACGACCGCGTTGAGAAGGGCACCAAAGGGCGCGGTTGGGTACGTGAAGTGCACAGTGGGTGATGGTGAGGGTGTCATTGTGGTGAGTGTGCACGCGCAGCCTCCCCTCCTTTCCCTCGCAGTCGTTTGAGACTGATGAGCCGGAATCGTGGGACACCGTTAGGTTCGCGTCTGGCACATGAACCATAATGCCTCTTACCCGCTACTGCGTCTGGGCAGCTTAATCACCGTCTGGACGACGCACATCACCCCTTTCGTCGCCACGGAGAATGAGAGCGCTGGCTCCTTCTCCGCGTCTTCGCCCTCGTCGATGCTGCGGCTGTATACCAGCGTTTTTCCGGAGCGAGAGCGCGGGAGCCACGTACAAATCCATGCGGATGGCGATGCTGAGAATGGGACGAGGTGTCGTAAGCCCCTCTCAACTGGCAGCAGTGGTGTTGATGGAGTGGACATGGGGAAGGAGTTGATGACGCTGGCCGCATTTGCGAGCGGTGGATACAAGGCGGCGGACGCAAAGGTGCTGGTATGCGTGAAGAGCGTAGGAGTAAAGAAGAAAGGTATGTTCTCCCGCAAGATTTCCACCCACAGGTATGTTTTCGCTGACCTCCCCGGCCATTCAGTCACCCGCAAGGACGGCACGACGGCCGAAACGGCGACCGTCCACCTTCTCGACCACACCACCGCCTCCATCTCCGCCTCTCTAAACCTCTGGGGCGCTGCCTCCGCCTCGGCCGCGACGTGGATTCCGCACAAAACCATCCTCCTCCTCACGCGTCCGGGCTACCGCGTCTCGAAATCTACGAGCAACGCCAACAGCGCCACCACCAGCAATAACAAAAACAGCGGAAACGCACCTTTGTCTCTCCTTTCACCACCTTCGGACGGCCCGAGCTACATCTGGCTCTCCCTCACCGCCAACACGCTCGTCGAGATCGACCCAGCGCCGCTGCGCGACGCAACCTGGCTACGCGGCTACGCGCAGCGCTTGCTCAAGAAGCGGCCTCTTCCCCCGTCCTCGTCATATGCATCCCCTTCTTCTCCGTCCTCCTCCACACGCTTCCAGACATCGCCCGATGGCGCCTCTCCACACCCGTTTCCTCCCCTCGCCGCCATCGAAGCCGCGGATCAGCGCATCCTATACACCCTCGCCGACATCGACGAGTTCGCGCGGAAGGCTGTTGCCGAGCGGGTGACGAAGAACGGGGGCGGTGGCGCAAGAGCGCAGCAACAGCCTCCGCCGCCGGAGCCCTTGCAGCTCGTCGGCTTCGCGAGCGTCGTCCTGACCGAGGTGAACCTGGTCAAGCTGTTCCGGCGCGGCGCACTGGCGTGCGGGCGGTGCGCGAAGTGCGGCGGCGCGGTGTACGCGAACGATGTTGTGGGGAGGTGTGGGTGGTGTTGCTCGGACGATGACGCTGCTGGTATTGCTGGTGGCAACCGTGATGGTGGTGAGGTAGAGGAGGAAACTGACGGCGCTGCTGCTGCTGATCCTGCCGCCGTGCCGCTGGAGCTCAACCCGCAGGTCCTCGGACCGGTCCTGGATGAGACTGGCATGGTGGCGACAGGTAGGCTGGCCATGAGTACGCAGGCGTGGGAGCAGCTGTTTGGCCGGGGCATGGCGGAGCTGGTTGGCGAACAGGATGTCGAGGCTCTGAGGGCGCTGGAGGCGCGGATAGCCTGGGTCAGGGTGTCTCTGGTGGTCGGGTGGATGGAGGGATGGGGAGTGGGCGGGGCGGATGAGGGTGGATGGGAGGGCGTGGGAAGACTGTTCGTCTTGGGCGTGAGGGAGTAGTGCTAACGGAGGTGCGATAGACAGTTTCTTCCTCGGAGCCCCAGACTTGCTGAAGCGTCCAACGAAAAAATAAATTCAAAGTGGCTGCTCAGCTCGAAGCCTTGCAAAAAAGGTTCCAAAAAATTACCGACTTGATTTCGAGGCCGGCCACCCTCGGATTGTTTTACGAGAGGTTTCTATCTCGGACCACGAGGAGCAAAGTAGATACTTGACAAGACGGTAGCTTCAATGCCCAACAGCCATGGCCGACTGTCAGGCCAGCTTTTTTACGAGGTCCGAACCTCGGTTGTTTTTAGGAGGTAGTGCTCCTCCACGCCTTTACCGACGAGTCCACGACGGCAGCCGACGAGTTCAGGCAAAAGCCCTACCGTTCTTCGGCAAGAACAAGACATAATACCGGATACCTGCCTCGGTTTTTTTCTGAGGTAGTGCTCCTCTACGCCAAACATCCCCTGGCGAGACCCATTTGCGACGGCGGGTCAAGTGTCGGTTTTTTTTGCGAGTGGAGGTAGTTCTCCTCCGCGCCGGGGTTCGCAAACCGCCGACGAGCTCCAATTTTACGAGACATAGGAGCTCAGCCTCGGTTTATTTCTTCGAGGTAGTACTCCCCGGAACCCCCAAGTACGAGAACAGGGGCCTTTTCTCGGTTTTTTAACGAGGTCTACTCCTCGACGCCAATCACCCCTCGGGATGGCGAGGCAGCATCCTCCATGCTGCCAAACCTTTCCGCTCTTAAGATTTTCCTTTCTGCTTGAGTCTCTCTTTTTGCTTAGCCTTCTCTTTCTGGTTGACCTTCTCCTTCTGATTTGACTTCTCTTTCTGGTTGACTTCTGGCTTCCGATTTGACTTCTCCTTCTGGTTGACTTCCTGCTTCTTGCTTGACTTCTCTTTCTGGTTGACGTCCTGCTTCTGATTTAACTTCTCTTTCTGGCTGACCGTCTCCTGATTTGCCTTCTCTTTCTGTTTGTCCCACCCACTCTCCTTCAAGACCCTTCAGGTGAAATCCAAGTTCAAGTCAGGTGAAGTCGAGATGAGGTGAAGTCGAGATGAGGTGAAGTCGAGATGAGGTGAAGTCGAGATGAGTTGAAGTCGAGCTGAGTTGAAGTCGAGCTGAGGCAAAGTCGAGCTGAGGCAAAGTCGAGGTAAGGCGTTGTCCATGTCCGCGTTATGGTGGGTCTGGCGCCGGGTTGGGGTTGGGCGTGGGTTGGTTGTGGGTTTGGCATGGGTGTTGTGGAAGGAAAGGAAGAGGAGAGGGTCTGGTCGCGCTGTCGAATATCTAGACTGACCCGGGCTGTCTTCGGTACCTATTCCAGCAGTTAATCCGCGCCGGTACACGAGCGGGATTAAAAGGCCGCTGGAGGGTGGGTGGCGCCTTCTCAAGGTGGCAGGTACCAAAGATTGCTACTTCTATTTTGGGAACCAACAGTCACCTCCGCCCAGCTGCCTGTGGCTGCATTACCTCACTTCCTTACCATCGCCGCATCGAAACCGCCGTACGGCCAATTCGGCGGGATCACTACTAAATACAACCGCTTTGTTCAGATACAGAGCTGAGCCAGCGGTAGAGGTGCCTGGACAGCAGATCCAGCTCCCCACAAACTAGACAGTCCGTGACTACTAGATCAACCAGCTCTATGCTATGTTCTTGACCTGATTCTTGCATTTTCTCGGAGAATTACGAAGGCAAAAAACACAAAGTCGTCTTCGTAGCGCCCTGTGTACAGCGCGGACCTACTTTACCAAGCAGTGTCGGCAGGCTCCACTTCCTCGTGATCTCTCTGCGCTTTCCGCTTGCGAATTGCGGGTGCACCTACGTTCTACGCCTGTATCTTCTCTTCTTGTGGCTCTCTTTTCCTCACTTTCGGTGAACGCAGCGACTGCAACAGCGGTTGCAACAGAAATCACAAGAACAACATGTCCGTCGGACCTCGTCCGCACGCCACGCGCAGCCCCAACGAGCTTGTCAACGATCCCATCGTCGATGGCAACAGCGACCACCGCGTCACCACAACCTCTGTACATCAGCCAAGCCGCAGCGACCCACAATTCACCGCCCGCGTCATAGTAGGGCCGCCACCCTGGCTGCAAGCCGCACAGAATGAGAGGCAAGCCTACGAGGCGAAGGTACAGAAGGAGCGCAGCGAGGCCGACGAGACACCCCAGCCGCCGGCTACCAGCACCCATCACGATGCCATTGACCAGAATAAGACGGAGACTGCCCTTCAGAGCCGCAGCGGCGCTCAACTTGGTCCTTTTGCAAGCGTTCCCAGTGTACAGCCTACCGCCGGATACACTGAAGCAGGTCTTACCACGCTGGATCCCGTTGCTGCTCACGGTGTCGATCGCACTTCCCCAGGCATAGCTGTGACCTCTGCATCCCCAACCGCGCAATTCGTTCAGCATTCCCTCAGCAGAGGTGATGTTTTGGACGCTGCTGACGAGCCAATCCCGGATGGATACTGGGACCAGCTCCCACCAGGCTTCTCGGAAGAGCAAGCCGCCGTGATGTGGGTTAAGAAGTCGAAGCCGTTCTGTCGGCGTTGTACGTTGAGGCATCCTCCGCCGCACAACCAAAGGGTGACTCGGGCGCAAAGCTCGGGGACGTCATGGAGTAACTACCGAAGTTCGGTGCGCAAGCGCATAAGGAGAGGTGCTCTGCGCGAACAGGAGCAGCAGCTCCGATCCCAACCTCCGCCTCCATCTCTACATCCCCAAAGCGACCCCTGACCTACCACTGTTGTCAGCAAATGACCTCGTCTTGTTATCAGTACGCCTAGTCCGGCACAAGCACAGCAGCTACAGCAGCGTCAGCGGTCATGCAGAGACCAATTCAATGAGCCGCGCGATGACGGACACTGCGTAGTCGATCCCCAGACTGGCGATGGCTAACGCCTTTTCATATTACAATCGCCAGCAATTAATTCTCCTTTAGTCTGCACGAGCTCGATCGGCTCTGAGGCGTCCAAAGAGAGCAGCAGTCCCGAATACATTCTCTGCCCCAGGGCAGATCATCGCCATCGTATACAATCAAACACAGCTTAATGGCGATAGAATGACATGAACGGCATAATTGATAGGTGGATAATTCAAGTCTGTAGCATATCGGCGTGTGGTTCAGATAGTTAATATCTTAAATGAGATGATTCCCAAGAAATAATGACATGAAGAACGACATGACATGAAGCTTTTATTTTTGGTTTAATCTAAACTATTGTGGGTTTAGTTACAAGACAGGCTCAAATGTAGCGCTCCCAATCAGCAGGAAAGACATTACAGCCCTATGAGATCGTTACGGAGCATCTTAAAACGAGATTAGGTGAGATTTCGACAGCCCCATCCCTGCTAATAAAATAACATTATTATTGCTTCATAAAAGCATAACTTACATTCAACGACCAGAGCTTCGTCAGGAAAATTGCAAGTCCAGCACGCAAGAGATGATGATACTAGGATGCTGTTTTAATTGCCAGAGGCTCAGCTGTCAGTGTGCTTCATGACAGACTGTGGCGCAGTACCTCAATAAATTTATTGGAAATCAAATTCCCATAAAAGCTACTTCCTACTTATGACATCATTAAATTCTGTTTGTGCCGTTTATCGGCTTGGCTGGAGAATTTATATGCGCTAACCGGATTGGCCTTTCTGTGGTATGCATTGCATGAAACCTCAAGTTCCATTCTTCCCGGATTCGAATCACCGTGATTATCAAACAGGAGCTGTTTCAAACTTCCGAGACATTTTTTCCGGGGTCCGGACGCAGTCTGATACAAGGATGACTCGAGAAAAATATACTGATTTTCTTCTTGAGTCTATGCCAAGTCATTGATTACAGCAAATGCCTTTTTCTCTACCTACCGCAGCGAAATGACTCGTAAGAACTGTTTCACTGGAAAACTGAAAATGAGCCACACCATGCAAGGTGGGAGTGGCTGGAACGCCAACCAGTCACGCCCCATGACTTCCCGAAACCATATGGCAAAGCTTCATGCCATGACTCGGCCAGCAAGCCGCAAAAGCACACCACAAAGTAAATTGTGAGCGCCGCCAACCACAACAATCTCCGTATTACCCCACCAATTTCTTCTCTCGGACGACGGAAACCCTTCAGTCCGATTGCAGGCTTCGCTTCCGCCGCCTCCAGCCACTTCCCACCTACTACTCCCCTCCAATCTCGTCGTCTTCCTCATTCGCCTCATCCACCACCATATTCTTGATAATCGTGCCATCTCCCTCCGACCCCGCCCCCTGCGGCCCCGTATTCTCCGAAGAAGTACCCCTGCCTGCCGCCATGAATGGAGCCAGCGCCTCAACCGCCTCGTTCAAAGCGCCGAAAAAGTAACCACTCGGAAACCCCGGCAGGGACCCGACAGACGAAGAATAAGAATCAGAAGACGCGGCCGAGGCTGTTGACACATGGCGCAGCAGCAGCTGCTCGTGCTCTGCAGATTGAGGCGGCGGCCCAACGCGTGGCAGCTGCGTGAGCGCAAAGGAGCCGCCTCCGGCGTCGATGTTGGCCGCGTACAGGTTCCTTCTGCTGCTCTTCTGCTGCTTGCTCACCGTGCTCGTTTGATGTTGCTGCTGCAGCGGCTGATGCATAATCATCCGTGACCGGATTGGGGTGCTTGGGACGGCGACGTCGGTGTTGTCGTCATCACTTTCTTGTGTTGGGAAGGAGAGCGCGTCCTTGTTGGTCATGGTTAGCGGGGAATTCGAGGGGGATGATGAGAAATCGGAGCGCGAAAGCTTCGCCCGCTTGGTCAACGGGGGCTGCGGGACGCTGCGGCGGCGACTACTACGTGGCTGCTGCAGGTGATGGCTCTGGCCCGCTTCGTCCTGTGCAAGGGTGTCGTTGTTGTCGTGACCTCCGTCTTCTTCCTCTTCTTCTTCGTCGTCGTCGTCGTCGTCGTCGCCGCCGTTCTCCGGGCCCATCCGGCGCTTACGGGACGGTAGCGACGGTGACGGGAAGGGAGATGGCTGCATCAGCTGCTGCGGCGGCGACGGAGACGGTGATAACGTTATCATCAAGCTTTCTCCACACCCCGTCCTCATCCGCTGCAGTAGCAACGATGGTGACTTCTCCTCACTATTGTTTTGCCGCTGCACTTGCTCATCACCATCACCATCCCCTCCGCGCTCGTCCGCTCCACCCAGCAGCTGCTGCTCTCTGGCTAGCGGCGTCAGCCGGACGCGCAACGGCGTAGCCGGAACTCTGTTCTTCGCGCGCCCAATCTCTCCGGTTCCGCGCTTCGTGCGACTACTGGAACTAACAGGCTCGCCGACACTGTTTCCGCCAGCGGCCCAAAGGGTGCCGTGAGTGCTAAGTGTACCGCTGCTCGGCTCGTCACTGTCGAACGAAGCAGAGGGCGCCTTCCGCGCTGACGACGGCGCCTCCACCGCCGCTCCCGCCGTCCGCAAGCGCATCAGTCCGCGCTGGCTGCTGACGCTGGGCATGCGGCGGCGGTGACGGGTGTGGTGGCGGCCATCGTCGTCGTCGTGTCTTGGAGTTGTTGGCACCGCCGGGGTGGTAGCAGTCTCGGCTCCCAGATCCACAGACGATGGCAACGGCCTGATCCCCGCACTGCCTTGTTGTTGGACGCGCGGCAGGTCAGAAGACACCGCGCCCACGGTGGCGGTAGCAGCAGCAGCAGTAGTACTTGCGGTAGTAGCAGAATCAAGAGGGGGAGCAGCAGGGCCATCCGTGGTTGTGGTAGCGTCGGCTTGCCATGTGCCAAGGGTGTGCCGCGGCAGCAGCGTCGTTGTCTCAGCCGGTAGGACGGTAGGTGCGGGCTGAGGCACAGTAGCGACGGAACCTAATGCTGCGGCATGAAGACCTGGGCTGACGCCACTTGGCGTCGGGCTTGCTTGGGCGTGATGGTGAAGTCCGGGTCGGGCGGGGAGAGGAGCGGTGGTGTTGGTAAGGACGGTGGTGGCAGCGCTGACATGGGCGATGGCGCTTGCCACAACAAGGCTTGTACCGCTGTCATCTTCCTCGGCCTCTTGGCGTTGATGACTACGATTACCGATCTTTCTCGGCTGTGCGCGTCTTCGGTGGGCTAGACGAGGCGGCGCCGACCGTGGCGCTGGCGGCGGCTGTGGCGGGGTGCCTGACGATTTCTGGTTTACTGCGGCGTGTTCTAATGTTGGTTGTGCTAGGATGCGTGTCAGATTGCATGCGATGTTTATGTTGAACCACCACCCCCGCGCGTCATCGGGCGGCGTGCAGCGGATAGCGGGAGAGGCGAGCGGGGAGGGAAAAGGCAAGTACCGGGGCCGGACATCGCGTCGCGATCAAGGCGGGCGTTTTTCTCCGATTACAAATGTAGTCGGAACGGGTAGAAGAGAAGACCGGCGGCGGTGGCGTGTATCGCGTGATGAAGAGGAAAAGGAAATAGAATCGGGCAGTTGGCATGACGTGGGTTGCACATGCAGACGGTCACCGTGCACCGAACACTGCTGCATCACGAATGTTTTGGGAATTTCTACAGTGCGTGCTTTTGTCCAATTCAAAGAGTAGTACGACATGCTGTGCAAACAGGAAATCATCAACCTCGTCCATATCAGTCGCTCTGATAAGCCACCATATGTCTTCCCATCGCCAGTGAGCGAGTGACTTAAGCCCGAAAGAACTTGACTCAGCTGTCCGCCGCAGAGGATAGAATGCAGTGAATGGCTCGTGTAGAGATCGACTTTGTCCGGGTTCTGCAAATTCAATGTGCCATGACCTGCCAACCTTCCCTCTTGTAGCTTCTTACGAAGAAAACAGCTGCCAGGATGACCGCAGCAGCCCCGAACGAGATCCCGACCAGGTACGCCATGTGCATTCCGTGAGCGACGTCTTCGATGCTGAGCAACACGCCGGGCGTCGGCGCGATACTCTTCACCTCGACAAGTGCCGCAATGCCCAGCGTGATGCTGACGCTGTAGTTGATGACCGTCGTTACTAGCGCCGCTGCCAAGCCCTGATGGGTCCCAGGCATGCTGTTGCTCAGGATGACCGTCGACGCCGGGAATGACATGTCCATGCCAATCGGCATGACCAGGATGCCGAAGAAGGTTTGCCCCCAGTACGACTGGTCGATGGGCATGGTGCCGACAAGGACGATGCCGAGGAAAAAGCCCACCATGGCACACAGCATAACAAAGCTGACAGGCGTGTGGCTGAGCATGTAACCCGTTACGCCCGAGGCGATGACTGCCGCAAAGATGACCGGAACGAACTCGGCCGATACAAGCAGTGGCGTTTGTTGCCGCACCACTTCAAGGAACCGGAACGTGTAGAAGACCCAGACGCCAAAAGCGCCCCAGCCGAGCGCCAGGCACGTGAGAATGTACATCACCGTGCTGTTCAGCGCCGACTTGGGCAGCAGCGGGTTGCTTGCGCGCATCTCGACGAAGAAGAAGGCGGCGAGGATGAGGACACCGACGATCAAGAGTACGAAGACGTGTGGCTTCTCCCAGCCGTAGAGAGGCCCGTTGTTGAAGGCGATATTCACGAGGACGAGGCCGAGAACGCCAAGGATGGAACCGGTCCAGTCGAAACTAGGGCGGTGCGGAGGAAGAGCAGACAACGGCTTCGGAATGACGATGAGAGAGACAGCTGCGAGCCCGAAGGCAGCCATGGCATATGCCCAGAAGCCCCATGGCCACCACAGCAGTTGGCCAAAGATGCTCCCAAAAATGTTGCCAATGGTCGCGCCGAATGGGGCACTGGCACCAAAGATGCTGAAGATGATGTTTTTGCGAGGACCTGGCGCATACGACCGACCAAGCAAAGCCAGTGCGTTAGGCATGAGAAGTGCAGACCCAACGCCCTGTTGAGCACGGCAGAAGTCAAAAAATATCTGCGACCGGGGGTATACGGCGAATCCTGCTAGCGTGCTCCAGAACCCTAAATAGGCGTAGCCGAAGATAAAGATACGCTTGTGGCCCATAATGTCGCCGGCTCGTCCGGCAATGAGGATGAACGTGCCAACCGTTAGAGCGTACGACGAGATGAACCAGCTCTGCTCTCCGGGATTCCTGGTCTGCAGGTCTACTGCGATGGTGTCGATTGGTGCCAATGCAATGCCGATGGCGCATTGGATCATGAAGTGTGCCATCGAGACAGTCGCAACAAAGAGGACTTCTTGACTGCGTGTCATCCTGATTCCTCCATGTCCTCCAGGAGGCCCGGGAAGATCATGAGGTTCTGGCGGTGTTTCTATGCCGTAGCTTGCTGTTTTCTCATTGTCGACGGGCATACTCTTCTCAGAGTGTCTGTCCTCGTGGTGGGGGAATTTGTATCGTGCTGGGATCTCAGGCACCAAAGGCGTGTTCGGAATCGACGAGTTCCTCGAGGCTGTTGTTGGTGTCTTCGAGTCGAAGTTTATGTGTAGGACTGCTTGCTGCGAAGGCATGATGGTGTCTGAGCCGCTGTCACTCGGGGTCGAGGAGATTGGACGATCCATTCTTTTTGGGTTAAATAGGGAACCTCGTGGATTCTGCGGAAGTATGATTGAGGAGGGGGCAGATAGAGGGAAAGGAGTCGAGACGGGGCGGGAGAGCTTCAATTAATCAATTTGCTTTCATAAAGCTATATCGGCACCTGATGCAGATGAATCGCTGACAACATCGTGCGCTTTTTTGGAACCACATCATTGCGTGCCAAGATGCAACCCTGCAGCAGGCACCCACCACAGACATGTTGCAGTTCCAACAATGCATCTTCTCAGGGGAGGACCGTTGTCCATTGGCGCATCAGGCCAAGAGATAGAGGTACTCGATATCAACTCCGACGGACTGTAGAGGGGAGCCGGTAACCAGTGAGGCCGCGGACCGTATTGATGCAAAGCCTCCACCAGAAGCCCCAATGACGGTCAGTGGAGGAAATGTATTTGAGTGCTGACTAGACGTTAGTCTCATCGGCGCAAGTTTAAAGAGAGCGGCAGCGGCACGGCTTACACTGTGGCTGTCGAGAAGCCTGGAATAGTGCTTGGCAGGCCCCAAGTTCAAAATGACACCCTAACTGCGGAAGGCAGCCTTACGGCGCATCTTCTTCAGGCAAGTGAGTTGGGTCCGGGCCAAAACCAGACCCAGGCGCCTGATAACCCTATGTGCTCCAGCCATGACGGGCAGAGGCCCATTTGCGGGCGCATTGGGCGAGACCGTGCGGCCCGTGTAACGTTTTTTCCCCCCAGACCTCGTGTTCGGCCAGACCAGGGTCCACGGCAGCTGCACAAACGTGGGTCTGAGCATGTGGGATAGGGGTACCGCTGTTGGCCGGTGAGATGATGGGCGCTGCCGCATGTCCGCAGTGGGATGATGTTGAGCTTCAGCTAAAGTACGGTACACTTGGAGGCGCCGGCCGCTGGTGCCTCGTGTAAGCGAGCCAACAGGGAGTGCCCTGCCGCATGCAGTTCTCAGCTCGCCAATCCTCTTGAGCTGCAGTAAGGCACGCCTGACCGTAGGGTTCACCCGCCCCAGGGCCCCATGACAGATCACGGTGCCTGCCTCGAACCGCAGCCGTCAAGTTATGAAAGGCTCCCGGGACGAAGGCATTGCTGACCTTGCGTGTGAGCACTGCACGCCGGAATCCAGTTTCTGGCCCCGGATTAGGATGCAACCAGGTTGGTCGAGGCCGTACCAACAGCAGTAGTGCCATCCGACGGAGCCCCATTGCGGCAGGCGATCCGCCCGGGGTCAAGCCCCAGCAAGCTTTCTTTGTGGACGGCAGCAGATCGTTCTGTTGGTCTTGCTTGAAACGGCACTCCGCTGACACGCGCCTTGCCGCATTAGGCGCAATCTGTTCCGTTAATGTCAGCACCAACCGTCGCTTGTGCCGCCGCCGTGTGTTCAGTTTGTACTGAAACTTCACTTTCGCTGTATACGATAGTGAGATTAGATGTGATGTACATGCATTTTGGCCGTTGTTATCCTAGAGTCATCCAAAGGTCCAAGGTCTTATTGATTGAAGGATGCAATAATGCAAGCAACCGGCCGATGCGCCGCCTCCCGCGCCACTGATGCGTGATAGCTGCAACGGTTGTTTCGGGCGTCACACTGCCTGGACCAGCGTGCGCTATTCTGCACAATCCGTCGGAACATTGGTTCAGGCACCGTCAAAAGCAATTGCTCGGCCGAGCTTCTTGCACTGTCGGTAACGACGATCACAACCCGGTGGCACGTCATAGGCTTGCTGTTCGTTTTCTTTTGTCCACTCCGCGGCACGCCCGTACACAAACAATTAGCCCGCTCGTATCATGGTGGAAACGGGTGCCTGCCACACCCCCCAACAGCGATCGGAGAGAAGATTTACGCCGCAGCGCCACCCTGCTGGAAACACTGAAGAAGTCCACAATCATGCAAGGTGACTGCGAGACACCGTGGCGACGCGGTAAACTCATGGGGAGTCGAAATATACATCCGGACGTGATACAGCAGGACGGAGAGTTCCACAACAACCCGAAGCATGCTGCAAGTCTCCCATGGGGGGGTGCGTGATGCACCTTTGTCTTTGTAATCAGCCGTTTCACTCTTGGGGGCCGTCCAAAGGTTTGATCTGCTGCTGTCGAAGCTTTTCGATGCTCTCGTCAACAAGGGCAAGTTCCACCTGAACCTTAAGGAGCTTGTCTCTGAGCAATTGCTCGTACTCATCTTCCGAGAGCACCTTGACAGGGCTAAAGCGGGAGTCGGCTAGCTTTCGGAACCAACTCTTGTCATCAGCGCGTTTGTCAGCGGAAGCGGCATGCTTCCGATCCGCGAGTTCGTAGAGGTGCTGCCCCGCAAACCCGAAGATGGAGAACATAACCACGCCGGGGATAACGTGTGATCGGCTTCCTGTCAATCAGTCAGCGCAGGACTCCAACCGCCGGGTAAGCCAAGCCGAAAATACTGACGTGTCACGGCAGCCACGATCCCGCCAGAAACGCCTCCAGCGATGGTGCTTGCCTGAACCTTCTCCGTCCGTGACGAAGGCTTGATTTCGCTGGCATCGGGAGAAGCACCGCGCTTGATGTCAAGCCAGGCTTGAAGGCCCCGCCGGTTCAAGATTGCACTTCGGGTGGCTGTCGCGGATTAGCAAAAGGTGTGTCGTCTCATGCGTCCAAGATAAATTTACCCCAATATGCAGAGCCTGCGGTGAACCATTGCAAGCCTGCAATTGCTGCAAACAGCACCGGAGGAGATCCGGAGACGATGCCTTGGGCGCTGCCGAGCAGAACACCACCGGCGCCTTGGGAAATATATCAGCAGTTGTCCGCTGCAGGACGGCGGTGCGACTCTGCCCGCAATGGCCCCGCGGAACAGAGGCTCGGGCAGAAGGCCAACGAGCGACAAGGAGCCCGGGGAGATGGGGCGTGGATTGATTTGACACGTGAAGGCGGGACGGGACGCCGCCCTCGCGAAAGGCGATTGTGCTTACCGGTCAATCCACCAACCTCCAACGCGGAGGCGAGCAGTGCGGAGGGGTAGGTGACGCGCGCGGCAGGCGCAGAGGTACTCGCCGGATCGCTCTGCATTCTGGCGTGGGTTGAGCAGAATCTCTCTGTCGCGGTCTGGGTCGCGGTCTGGGTCTCGGTTTTGACGCGGGCGGGCTCACGTGACGGGTCGAAACCAGACCATGTGGATGTCTTGGCAGAGCGGCGGCCCGAGTTTGGATTTTGATTTCAACTTCAGCCTATAGTTCACGACGCACACTCGCGCGCAACACCCGCACCACCGATTGACACCGCAGCAACCCCGCAGATCGATTTCTCGAAGGCGCCGCTTCCCTCAGACTCTCTCAGCCGACGCGCTCCACTCCCGCAGCGCGTTGACTGACTTTCGCAATCATGGGTTCGTCCGCCTTCTGTGCCGAGTTCGCCCGGTGAGGCCACTGGCCTCGCGCAACAGCGGCAACTTTGCGCTGCCGTCCCCGCAGCAGCAAGCGCTGACATGAAGTCCAGCTCCGAAAAAGCAAGCCCAGAAGATGTCCCTCGGGGACTTCTTGGGCGATCAGTGTACGCATCCACTGCGCCACCCGCGTTGAGGCGCTCTGTCCACCTGAATTGAGCTAACGACGGCACAGCGCTGGGCTCCTGGGCCGATGAGATGGAGGACCTCCCCGTTTCCGGTATGTAACTACTGCACCCTTGCGACTATGAAAGTGACACTGACGCGAAGCAGGTGGTTCGTCTCCCGCGCAAATTTCCTGACTTCACCCGACCCCGCAGTTGTCCCTCTGACATCATATATATAGGTCCCAGCGCTGGCTATGGTGGCAGCAGACCTTCCTTTGGTCCCTCGGGTGGTAGCTTCGGTGGCGGCTTTGGTATGGAAGTACTCTCGCGTTGTTAGAAGCACGCGCTGACTTGTCCCCAACAGAACGCGGCCCTGACCGTGGCGGCTACGCGACCCGCGAGGAACTTCCTCTTCCCACCAAGCCCCCGTATACTGCCCATCTGGGCAACCTCTCCTTCGACGCAACTGAAGGTGACATCCATGATTTCTTCATGGATTGTGACGTCACCAGCGTGCGCATTGTCGAGGATAAGCTGGACCGCAAGCCGAAGGGTTTTGGATATGTCGAGTTTGGCACTCTGGACGGTCTCAAGAAGGCCCTCGCCCTCAGTGGAACCCAGTTCCAGGGCAGGAACATCCGCGTGAGCGTTGCTGAGCCGCGTAAGTATCTTCCGTCAACACTCTTGCAGAAGGGAACAGATCATTGACTTGGTGGGAAATGTATAGCCAAGGAGCGCATGGAGACGCGTGTGTTCGACGACTGGACCCGCAAGGGCCCTCTTCCCCCTCTTGCCGGCGAGCGCTCCCGTGGTGGCGGTGGCGGCGGCTACCGCAGCTTCGATTCTGGTGCATCTGATGCGGGCAGCGAGCGTGGCGGACGCACGACGAGGGACTTCGGCTCCTGGGAGCGTAAGGGACCCTTGTCTCCGGTCAACCCTCCTCCCCGCGAGCCTCGCAAGACGTCTCCTTCCTGGGGTGAAGGCCGTTCTGAAGACTCCCGCCCGCCTCGCCGCGAGTTCTCTGAAACCCGCCCCCCGAGAGAGCCCACTGCGCCTGAGCTCGACAACTCGTGGCGTGACAGGATGCGCCCTGTCGAGACGCTCAGGTCCCCAACTGGCACCCCTGATGCCAGCTCGCCCTCTTCCCCTGTTGCTAAGCCTGCCGCTCCTGCCGGTGGCCGCCCTCGTCTGAACCTCCAGAAGCGTACCGTCTCGGAAACTCCGGCAGCACCGAGCTCGTCCGCCGCTGGTGGTGATGCCAAGTCCAGCCCGTTCGGCGCCGCGCGCCCAATTGACACGGCGGCAAAGGAGAGGGAAATTGAGGAGAAGAGACAGCTTGCCCTGCGCCAGAAGAAGGATGCCGACGACAAGGTTCGGGAGGAAAAGCGTGCCAAGGAGGCAGCTAAGGCTGAGAAGGAGGGTGAGAAGGAGAACGGCGCTGGCTCTCCTCCGCCGGGCTCGAACTTTGATGTCCTGGGACAAGTGGACGAGAGCGCTGAGGCCGCCACCGACGAGAACGCAAACGGAACGATTGTCGACGATAAGGCCGTCAAGCCGAAGGAAGTCGTTCGCGAAGCGAAGCCGGTGGAGCAGTCTTGGAGGCGCAAGGAATCTGCTCCTGCTGCAGAGACAGCATCGACCTCCCAAGATCTGGAGGATGATGGCTGGAGCACGGTGCCGTCCAAGGCCAAGAACAACCGCAGGGGTGGTTCTCGGGCCATCGCCTCGTGAGCGATGACTTGCCTTTCTTCTGCCACGCCTTGACGCCTCAATACCCCATTCTCCGACGCATCGAGGAGTCGAATTCCCACGGTGGACGAACGATGCTTTTGGTGTGCCTGGTTTTTCTTCGAGCTGTGGTGTTCATTGTCAAGGCGTATCGGGAGCATGTCTGCTATTTCGCAAAAATGCAACTGTGGCCTACCGACTGCTCGCGCATGCTGGTGACTTGGGGCATGTCTCTCAGACGTGAACTTCGACATCTGCGACCTTCAGAGAACGAGAAAAGACGGTCTGGTCCTTCCTTTTTCTTTACTCCGCTCCTCAATCCCCCCTCACGCTAGACTCTCGATGCATGCAGCCCTGACACCTTTCCTTTGCGCACATACCACAACTCTTTCCCGTTTTCTTTGTCGCTCTTCGGATCATAAAAGTTTTTTTTGCTTAGCTGAATGGGAGGTTTCTGGAATGATCTTGTCGTCCAGCATGGTGGCGTTCGAGCGCTCCTTGGTGTTGGACGCTCGGTGTTTTCAGAGGCCAGGGAGGCGTGGTGATGTAGCACGACTTTTTGATAGATGAAATGCCCAGCGCGTTTAATACAAAAACTTGCAGGCGACGAAGTGCAACGTTGGAATTAGGTAGTGGCGCATGGAGCACGATGTTGCTCCGAGCAGTCGGGGCGTCTTCTGGCCAGCGCCGGGCGGGCGCGCCGGCTCTGGCGGCAACGAGCCGCGGACGAGTGGGAGCAGGTGGCGGGTTGGCTTGGAGCATGCTACAATGTCTCCATGCGGCTCCCAGCGCGGCGGCGCAAATCCAGGGACCACGGCCGCGGCGCGCATCGCGTTTAAGCGTGGTCTTTTCGCAGGGCTGCAGAAGACGGGCCGAGTTTGGCCAAGCGGCAGGCGGGTCTGTTTGTGCTCCCCTGGTGGCGATCGCACGAGACTGACGCGCATAATCTCTCTAGCCAGCAACCTTCTTTCATGTTTTCTTACTCAACACCCTCCTCCAAGCCCGCAGCCTGCCACATGCTCCAGCCTGACGTATGATACCCGCTCTTTGCATAGCGTCCCTGTCACCCTCCGCCGGTAGCTGCCCACACTCTTTTGCCCGCCTGCACTAGCCGCCGCCATGAACATCGATTTCAAAAAGAAGCCCGTCATCCGCACCCAGACTGTGCTCGTCCGCCGCACGAACACGCCCACCCAATCGCCGTCGCCCGCCACGCCGCGCCCGCGCCCGAAACTACCCACGCCCGCCAGCAGAGCCCCCGCCAGCAGCAGCCGTCTGAATGGAGCACTCTCGTCATCCGTCGCAGCCGTCGCCGGCAGGAGGCATGCCTCTGCGCCCGCCGTGCCGACCGTCAAACGCAGCCTGACCAAACGCAAGGCCCCGACGCCCGCCACCCCGCTGTCGTCTGACTCTGAGGGCAGTGACGGCGAGGACAGCCTCGACCGCGAGCTCACCCCGCGCAAGCGCATACGCGCCAGCCACTCGCTCGAGCCCGACCTGCAACGGAAGATACGCGCTGCGCCGCTGAGGCGTGCCGACGGCGAGGAAGGACCCGTCAAGCTGCGGATCCTGCACGGCTACGACTTGGTGAAGACCGACCACTGGAAGGACGACAACGTCGTGGGCTACCATGCGACCAAGGACTTCAAGCCCGCATTCGAAGGTCTCAGCGAGGTGCCGGTCGTGGGGCTGCAGTACCCCAGCAAGTCGCAGCCTGAAAGGTGAGTCGATGTGATTTCGCTTGCTACCTCACGCGACTCAACGCTGACTTTTTTTTTTCCCCTCTGCCATGCAGGTTCTCGCTAGTGTATCCCCGTGAAAGCGACGGCTACAAACCCCTCGAAGACATCGTCCAGAGCGTCGAGACAATCTGCAAGCACTATTTTCCTGACGATGCAGACACATTGATCGATGAAGGCACAGGCTTCCCCCGCCGGCTCAAGCGCGCGGTACAACAGCAGTCCGTCTCGGCTTTCAAAGATGTCCTGCAGGAATTCAACAAGATGATCAGCGATGCCGTAGCGTCGGGGAAGATCGACCAGGCACTCGACGAAATGCAATCCATGCCGCTGCCGCTCACCGAATACATCCTCTCGCAGACGTACTCCCGCACCGTGTCGCCCCGCGTCAACTCGCTCCGCCGCTACGAAGCCGGCTCGAACAACGTCTACGGCGAGCTGCTCCCACGCTTCGTGCACCGCATATTCCAGGAGACGAAGCTCAAGAGCGACCAGATATTCGTGGACCTAGGATCGGGCGTGGGCAACGTGGTTCTGCAAGCCGCGCTTGAGGTCGGCTGCGAGAGTTGGGGCGTGGAGAGCATGCCGAACCCGTCGTTCTGTGCGAGCCTGCAGAAGAAGGAGATCATGCAGCGCGCTCGCTTGTGGGGCATCTCGCTCGGCAAGATCAACGTTATTGCTGACGACTTCTTGGAGAACCAAGAGGTTGGCCGCGTGCTCAATCGCGCCGACGTCATCGTCGTCAACAACAAAGCTTTCTCGCCGCAACTGAACGGCGCGCTGTTGGACAAGTTCCTGGATTTGAAGGAGGGCGCGAAAATTGTGAGCCTGAAGCCGTTCGTCGACCCGGACCACGAAATCAAAAGCCACAACGTCAACGATCGCGTCAACCTCTTTAGCTGCGTGGAGAAGGAGTATTTCAGCGGTTCGGTGAGCTGGACAGATGAGGGAGGCAAGTACTACATTCAGGTCAAGGACCGCAGCCGCCTGGATAGGTTTCTTGAGGGGTCGCGCAGGCGGAGATGATCTACACGGGAGGAAAAAAAAAAACGAACAATATGAGGGACTGAAGAACGGCATTGATGATTGATATGGCAGTAATTGGGATGGAGATCATCTTGGATCAGTTGGACAGGGTTTGATGTCCAGCTACTTGATGGTCATGATGATTGAAGCGTTCCTAGCGTGGAGTCATTGCAAACCAAAAAGCTAATCACGGTGCTGGCCGAGATGCAGGGGTGGTTTTCTATTCTTCCATACAAAGCACAGGTTGCATGGGTGGCTGGTATTCTTTCATTGGGAGCGGCATTATTGGTCTTGGTAGGTACTACTCTTTGAAAAGGTCGCGTCTGACACGATACCATTTCTTTTCTGCAAATTTTCACACCCCTCTCAGTTTAGCCTTACGGCTCTGCTTTCCACTGAAATTGCTTATCTATTTCGGCATTCTTACCTCTTCGTGGTTGTTGCATCATGGAGGACGGGAAGGTTGACACAGTCGAGTTTCTGCTGCATATCTTGTTTGTAGAAATGGGCATTCTCCGGTGGGGGCAGAAGGCGAGTGGCTCACGGCCTATGCTGTGCAGAAGCGTATAGGATGTTTTTTTAAAGATGGACAGGCATGCAGAGCGCAAGCTCTAAGATTACAACGCGTAGATAAAGAACTACAAATGATGATGGTTTGATGATTTATGGGGAGTCGAAGCATTCGTCCCGGTGTGAAAGTGAAGTGCCTTCTCGCCCCGGCGAATGCTTCTACTCCCCATGCAATCTTCTGCTGCATTATTGTAGCGAGGTTTTCCGGCGAAAGGGCTGAAAGAGGAAGCGATTCTTGAGCTTGCAGCGGGCGATCCGGGCTGAGAATGTTGTTCGATGCCTAAGGCAGAGATTTCCAGCGGACGACCATCTTTATCACCACAACACTTCATAACAATAGCAGTGTTTCTGGGCCAACACAGGCCAATTACTTAACACCTGACTGCGGCCTCTCGCTGCACAATCACCGGCCGTTCTTCGCTTCATATTCTTTTCCTCTCCTCTCCACCGACCTCCCTCGACATCTACACTTTCGTCTGCATTGCCGCGCGCACACGCGACGATTCACAGATCTTCCGACCTCGCCATCCCGCGATCAACTTGATCGCATTCACACTTCGGCTGTCGCATTATCCGCGCGCCTTGTTTTCCGCGACGCTGCAGCGTCCACCTCAAATCGCTTTAACCTCACGCGAAACAATGCAACCCACAGCAACAAACTGTCCCGACAACCCTTGACCCATCCACAATGCCGATTCTCCTCCTACGCACGACGCGCCTTCGCGCCGATGCCGTCTGTCCTGTCATCAGCACGCCGCACGTCATGGGCATCATGGCGAGCAACCAGCACGGCTCCATCTCCACCGCCACTACGGCACTCAGCCATGATATCCCTCCTGCCTCAGCCCCGATGGCTTCCAAGACCATCTCCTCCACAGTAGATGACAGCAACAGCACGATCAACAATGACAGCACGATCAACAATGAGAGCACCGCGAGCAATGAGAGCATCGCCAGCAATGAGAGCGTCGCCAGCAACGACAACAATGACAGCATCGCCAGCAGTGACAGTGTCACCAGCAATGAAAGCACCACCAGCAACGTCAGCACCACCAGTAGCGTCAGCAACGCGCTCATCGCGCCCATCAAGCCCCGCTGCTTCCCAATAATCACTATCCACACCCCCGCTTTCGTCGCCCCGCGCCGCGCGCTACGCTACATCGCTGCCGGCTGGCGCGTCATATTCGTCCGACCTGCGCGCGCGCTTGCGATGACGGCATCGAAGCTGTTCGGTGTGCTTGTGCCCGGACATGCCAACTACAAGGTCGCGAATGTGGACGCGAATGGAAGTCTGAGGAGCTCCGTTCACCGCTATGGAGACTTGAATGAAGCTGATTCTGCGGCTGCTTCTGAGTTTGTTCAAGAGGCCGTTGTCCGAGAGGCCGTTGTCCAAGAGGCCATTATCCATCATACTGCCACCCAAGAGACCGTCATCCAAGAGGTTGTTATCCAAGAGGCTGTTATCCACGAGGCTGTTATCCAAGAGGCTGTTATCCAAGAGGCTGTTATCCACGAGGAAGAGACTGTTTCCCAAGAGACTACTCTCCAAGAGCAAGAGATTGTCATCCAAGAAACTGCCGTCCAAGAGACTATCGTCCAAGAGCAAGAGACTGTTGTCCAAGAGGTCAGTGGCGGTAGCAGCAACAAGCTGCCGGCTGCAAAGTTTACTTTCAGCTTCCCAGCCCCAAACCACAGTCAGCCGACGGCCACAACCGATGAGTCGTATGTCTACCCCTCATTCGCATCCAACAGCCTCTTTGGGGGCAACAAGCTTGACGCTGTTGGCTTCACATTCACGACTCCCATGGTCGCTGCCACGCACTCGCCTGCCGCTGGAGCAAAGCTCCCAATCGCTATTCCCACATCCGAGTTCATGTTCACTGCGCCTCTTGCTAGGTGCAATACACAGCATAGCAACAGCTCCGACATTGATAGCTGCTGGGATGGAATCTTCTCACACACTTCCCACAGCCCCGAACCAAGCATGAGTTCTCCTATTGCCGAGGATAAGAAGAGTGAGAGGAACAACAACAAGAAGGGAGGCAAGAAGAACTGCAACAAGAAGAAGAAGGAGCCGACCAACAAGGCGGCAGTTTGGGGAGGCAAGAAGGGGAAGAAGGGAAGCAACAAGGCGAAGAAGCACTGAATGTGCGTTTGAGATGACGGCTTTCATTTCCTTTCATTCCTCTATTTTGATCGACTTTCTTCTTTTGCTCTGGGCTCAACCACAACGGCAACAAACGTAAGGGGCTAGAACCATTTGGGAGCTGTGCTACTGAGCCAGCGCTCTCGTCAGCGATTATTATCAGGGCAGCCGATCCGTGCTTCTTCTAGGGACATTCGAGCAGTAGATATGGTAGTCTCAAACAGGACGAATAATATTGACTTTTTCTATCCATAATCCAACATGTGAATGAAATTCGCGTTGACCGTAAGTGTGAGTTGGATTGAATCAATTCAATGAAACAGGAGATCGGAAGAAGGTGAAACTGATTTCAGCGCAGTCTCCGATGTCTTATCCGCTCAGGGTTCACCCAAACGCGTGCTTCGACTCACTACGCGTTTTTCGCGTAGCTGCCAAATCCAGCAGCCACGGCACCTGACAGGGTCTTCGCGTGGCAACCATCGCTATAACTACCTTCCTTTGGTCGACGCGTCGGCTCCTCACCTTCCTCCACCTCACTCCTTCTTCCTCACTCGACCACAACAGAGTGCCATGTCGTCCGCCAACGCCATGTCGTCCTCCGGCGGCGCTTCGCCTGCCTCTTCCGACTCGACCATCACGGCAGAGGCGCCCAAGGATATGACGCTTCCGGTCTGGGGCATTATCATTCCGCCCTCCACCCAGGACTGGATCAACGCCGGATTCAACGTCTCGTTCTGCATCAACCCGGCTACTGTCAAGACTTGGATGGTCACTGAACACGGACTCGTTCCCAGTAAATACTTCACCGCTGTCTGACACTTTCGAAAGATCTAAAGGCACTGACTCTTTTGCTCGTAGTCATTAAGCCCGGCGCCGAAGACATGCCTGCCGATGTCAAGGTGGCCACGATGCGTAAGTGCTACAGCTTCTCAACCCGCCTTTGTCGGTCCTAATTCTCTTCAGAACCCCCAATTACTACTCATTCGCCACAGAGGACCTCGTCGAGGCCTTCGGCCTGAAATACCAGGCTCCGTCCACTTCGGGTTTGGTGTACGGCGACTCTCACAACCACAACATCTCTTCCGCAAGTGAGGTTTCGACCGTCATTCGCGATGACCGCCGTACCGATAACTACAACAGCCCCGACTGCGGCATGCGCAACATTCAGCGCTTCACCCCGTCTCCTCGCCAGTTCAATGTCCCCACCGGCTTTGCCCAGCACGCCCAGCGCGCCTTCACTACGCATGCTCGCCCCATCCGTCCGCTCCCACCGCCGCTTCCGATCGACACTTGGCCGGCCAGGCAGCATTCGATCTCGTCGTCGGCCGCTCTGGCGCGCACTCCCACGAGCTCCATCGCTCAGCACCCGTACCTCAGCCTCACTCCCCGGACCCCTTGCACCATTCCCCTCCCGGACTCTGCTCCTTCTTCGGCTCCGCTGTCGGCTCAGCACGACTACGGCTACAACCACAACTACAACTACATGCAGCAGCAGATGACCAACACCACCGCCCCGCTCTTCCCCGGCCCCGTCGTCCACTCGAAGACGGCGGCCTGCAACACGACCAAGCGGGCGTCGCTCGAGAAGTTTCTGCTCCACGTCGCCTACAATGTCCCGTCGCAGCCGTTCTGCCCCGGCTGGACCAACAAGTACACGCTGGAGCCGATGCCTGCCATATTCCCGCGCTGGACGGCCAGTGCGGACAAGGAGTTGCGCCTCGCTCGCCCTGATGTGTGGGGCGCTTGAGACAGATCTCAGTAGAATGCGGTCGAACCGGGACGCCTCTTCCATGAACGACGCCTCTTCAATGATTGAGGATACGGTCTGCAACAGAATCAGCAAATAAGCTGAAATGGCTGGGTGGGATTGATGTTTGCTTTTGTTTCTTCTTCTTTCTTTATTTTCATTCTTTTCCTTTCTTCCTTTCGATGGGTATAATTCATTACCTTGCTCCAACGAGCAACGGGTCACTGAGGATCGGAACGGGCTGGTGGTTTAACTTTAACCTTTTTTTTCTTCTTTTCTTGTGAAAGGCACGCACAACGAAGCCGACAGAGTGCTCAGGCATGGGGTGCCATTATTTTACTAAGCACAGTTCAAACACAGTTCCACTCTTAGAAACACATTTTCTCAACAAATCGACCAAAAAAATTGAAAAATAGAAATGCTTTCTAGAAGATCCCTTACCTTCTACGCCGAGAAATGACCATCGGTGTCTTGAGGGAATGTGCATGTCCGAGTTGCGAGCGCGCGCCATCACCGCCACCACCACATCAGAAAGTCTCACCACCAGGCGCGCACTCACGCATGAAGAAAGTGAGTCACAACCTGCGCACCCGCTGCAAAGCATGCATGCACGCTACAAACTCGGAGATCCGAATTTACTTCATCATCGTCGTCGTCGTTGACGGGGTGCGCGTAACGGCGAACGACGCGACGTGACGGCACCACCACCTCTACAACCCAAGCGGTGCAGCACGCCAATAATTGAACGAACAGCCGACCGTCACATCTGGGGCGGAGGGGAGGGGGGGCGTCCGTCCGCGCATCTTATCCCGAAACAGGGGGCGCAAGCGCGCGACGCCCACTTCCCGCACGTTCTTTTCTTCTTTCTCTTTCGTCGTCGGAGAATTTCCCATTCGCGCCCACCAGCAGCGGCGGCGCCCAGCAGCGGCGGCGCCCCGCCGCCTCGTTTCCACGGCCACGAGCTGGGTGGGTGGGTAGGAAGGACCTGGCGCCGGGTCGCTGGTTCGCTGGTCGCGTGCGTGCGTGCGTGCCCACCCACACTCCAACTTCTTGGCGCGTTCCGAACAACTGTTCCTTCTAAGAACAGCGATCTGCACGTATGGAAAGGACAGACGAACAGCAGAACCCTGCGGAAACGGCGGAGAGCGAACAACAACAGGGGGACGGATCGTCATGACGTGCCTCTCCGAATCTTGTTACACATGGTTTGCAACGGTCCTTGGGGAAGAAAAAAAAAGAGGCTACGTCAACAATGCGGGGGAAATTGGGATGGGAAGCTTTTCCCCGCCAAGTTTTTCTTGCTCTGCTGCTAGAAGGGTGACGAGGGAACGAGCGAAAGCGCAAGCGTGTACGCGGCGTGTGCCCCCCGGTTAGTTACTGTGTGTAGTGAGCGCACTTACCTGACTCTTGTTAAACTCTCCTCTGGCCGCTAACCACGCCGGCGGTAGCTTCCGACGCCGTCTTGCAACCGACGTGTACACATCGTCTATTTCCTTCTTCCTTCGCACCTACCAACCCAACGCCGCAGCTACGCCGCAGCCGCGCCTCACAAGACGTAAGAGAAAAAATTCTCGTAGTAATCTCGGATAGACGATGAAACCGACGGCGGCGGCCGAAGACGAGGCATTCGGTTTCCGAGAGCAATAAATCCGAAGGCAAGAAAGAAAAAAAAGGCAGCAAAAAGGGAAACTGCCAAGCAGAGGGCGAAGAGCGAAAAGAGGAAAAAGATGGAAGGTATCACGAGAGACGCCACGTCGAGATGCTCTTGGCAGCCACGATGCTTAACCTTCCTTGTTTTTCCCGCCCCCAAGAAGAGACCGCTTCTTTGGTCGAAGAACAGCGGCGCGGTTTTCCCCAATGGTGACCTTGCTCATTTCCCTTTGTGTGCCCTTCCCCAGCGTGTGGTGGCATGATTTGTCGGTTCGTATAGCCTCTTACGTACGCGACCCCATGGGTTCTCCACGGCGGGGAAGAAATGATGGCGTAAAGAAAAAGGGGGGTGGAAGGCCAGGGAGAGGATCGTGTGCGTGCGGCGTTAAAGTGTGCAGGCGCGTGGCCTACTCCAATACGGTACGACACTTGTCCATGGAGAACGAGCGCCTCACCGTGATGAAGGGGACGTGTGCCAACATGGAATTTTTTCTTTTTCCTTCGGGTCGGCTCTTTGGGATTTCGTGTCGCGGAGATAGGTGTTCGGTCGGCGGCTCGAACGCGCGGAGGTTACGGGGATAATCGCTGCGGGAAACCTGTAGGGCTACAGTCAGGGTCAGCAGCGAAGGATCTGTTCTCAGCGTGCCGTGCTACGCGGCGAGCCAAGGAGGAGGCCAGCGAACGACGACGACGGCGGCGCGCCCATTATCTTATGCCAAGTTGGCCAAGCTGCGGCGTTGCTGGGCGGCTCCTTTCTGCAAGTCATGCGTGTTGGTCTGGAAGAGACGGGACTGCCAAATCGGTCGTGCCGCCGGTGGGTGGTCAGCACTGGGCAGCTCAACGATGATGGTGGCGGCAAGTTGCGCCGGCTAAAGCTGGTGCTGGTGGCTCACGTCTTCAGTGACCGACATCAGTTGAGCACGGCGGGGGTCAAGTGAGTCAACACGTCAATCATGGAGCCGGGGCAAAAATTGATTGATTGGCATTCTTGCCGAGTCGGACGAGGCTCTGTCGGCTGGCGCAGCGGGAACGGGCCGTGGCAATTGTGTCGCTCAGCTGCGTGTATTTTGCCGGCCAGGCACGCGACGCCCAGCAGCAAGCCACGGCTTGGGATGACGCTGGGCATGGCTTATCTCAACCTCCCAAAGTACCGTCGACTTTGTCAGTGTCTGCATGCAAGCGACCAGACGACGCGTTCACGATGGTGCTGCAAAAGGAAACCGGCAGGTGGATTAGGAATGACTGGGGCCTCATTCGATGGTGCTATCGCGGCGTCGTAAGACTTTGGAGACAAGACTGGGGCCCGTGTGGGCAAACGCATTATCTGAGAAACGCACACTGACCCGCCGACCCTGGCCTGCATCCGCTGCAGTGAGAGCGGCGCTTAGGACCACACACTTGGGCCGGCCAGAGGGAAGAAGTGGCAGACGCGTACGTGCAGCGAGGCATTTGTTCAAGCGGACTGAGACATTATTCTGGATACACGCGCCGATTGTCTGCGGTGAAGGCAGTCCCCTGGCAGCTCCTTGACGTAGGTATGCTGCAAGTCTGGTAAGCACGGCACGACTCCCACGCGGCTCAGGCGGGCACGAGGGAAAACAGTTCCAGATCAGTGAGAGCCGCAAACCGCCGCCAAAACGAAACGGCAATGGGTAGCGCAGCCCTAGGAAGGCGCTGGCGAGGCCGCTGTCGGCAGATGTGCGGACAGCCGACGACGTACGAGCCAGAAGGTGCCAAGGCGTCAGCGAAGGGTTCGCGATGCAGGGTTGTGCAGGCGGACGAGGCGGTGTCGTTGGGCCGGTGGACGCGACTGACGACATGGCGGCTGTCACCCGTGACTGCGCTGCGCTTGGAGCACGAGGGAGGGGCTCTTTCGCCCCAGAGGCAGCCTGAGTCGTGGGTCCTCGTCGGCCGACAGCCTGCGCGGCCCCGAGGCGGCTGCGTGCGACTCCGCAGGCCGTCGGCGCACTCTGGCAGCCAGAGGGCGAAGTCTGGCATGAATTCGGAGGCACTCTACTCGCTGCGTCCGTCTCTCCACGATCCCGCCCCGTTTGCGCCTCCGCTGTCTCTCCTCCACACGCTACCCCGTGGGAAAGCCTGCTCTCTCCGGATCGTTTTCGTCGCGTTTTCGTGTCGCGCCCGGATCGCATCCTCTTTCAGAGCCGCTCAGCCAGCGCCGGTGGGCCCCGCTAGTCGGAGATTCAACCCCCACGGGACATCTTCAGAGATCATGGATGCAACGCTGTCAAGGCGCCCAATGAAACGCGCCGCTGTGGAGATCACCGCCGTGTCATCGAGGTCCGACCACTGGGAAATACCGCCCTTGACGTCTTTCTTTTACTCAGGATCTCCCGCGCGGTCGGTTTGGGAAGGCTCGCCGCCCGCGGTCCAGCGCCGCACCAGGGCCGCCCTGCCTGCGAAGGAGCAGCCTTCGGGCCGCCGTCAATCCCGGAGTCATCTTCACTACACACCGTGATACCGGCAGCTCGCGAGACACGGTGGTGTGTCGGCAGTTATTAATAATTATGGCCCAGCCGTTGGCCCTGCGAGAGGCTTGTCCGCAATCGTCCTGAGCTTAACCGGCTTGTCCAAGCTTGGCGGGCTCTGCTGGGCCCGGCCCGATTTTTTCACTCCACGAGCGGATCCCATTGCTTGCAGCGCCCAGCTGATTTCCCATACATGACAGGGGTCCGTCCACCCCCCGAAAAGCCACCGCCGGTCCCGACTGCCGCACCAGATCCGGACATGGGGTCTGTGAGCTTCGTGCTCGCCGCCATGCACGCCAGAAGCCAGATAGCGTTATCGATCCGGCCATCCTCCCGTGAGGCCCGTGTTGGCCAGCAGTCATACGGCACACCTCCCCAGACTGTGGGGCCCAACAACCGGTGCTCAGAATTTTGGCAGCCCGCCACTGATGCTATAAAGACTACGGTCGTCTGCTCCGGGAGCACCCCTTCCTGCGCTTTCTCTCGTCCCTACTGCCAATTCCCTGCTCAGCCTTCACAATGGGTGCCAAAGGTCTTTTCGGCTGCACCGGCCACGCTCTCGAGCGCCTTCAGCTCGCCCTGATTGTCGCCCCCTCCTTCATCCTCTTTGGTTACAACCAAGCCGGCCTCGGTGGCCTCCTCACTGAGGCCGACTGGGTCAAGACCTTCCCGCAGATCGACACTGTCAACACTGAGGGCGCTGAGAAGAGCCACAACTCGACCATCCAGGGCTTGGTTGTTGCCACCTTCGTCCTCGGTGCTCTCATCGGTTCCCTCTCATGCTCCTACACCGGCGACAAGTACGGCCGCCGTGCCGTCGTCATGGCCGGCGCCATCTGCACTCTCATCGGTGAGATCTTGGAATGCTCCGCCTTCACCCTGGCGCACTTCATTGTCGGCCGTATCATCGTCGGACTTGGCATTGGTCAGCTCAGTGCCACCGTGCCTGTGTGGCAGAGCGAGACGTCCGGCGCCAAGAACAGAGGCCAGCACGTTGTCCTCGACGGTCTCTTCATCTGCGTCGGTTACGTTCTCGAGTCGTGGATCGATCTTGGTTTCTTCGAGCTTCCCGAGGGTCCCGTCACTTGGCGCCCGCCGATTGCCATTGCCATCGTCTTCTCGCTTGTTCTGATGGCTTCCGTCTACCTCTTCCCCGAGTCTCCCAGATGGCTCGTCCGCATGGCTCGCAACGACGAGGCTCGCAGCGCCATTGCCCTGTTCCGCGGCTACGACGAGGATACTATGGAAGTTCAGGCTGAGCTGGCAGGCATTGAGCTTTCGCTCGAGGAGACTTCCAAGAGCGGCGCCTCGCTCAAGGACATGCTCAAGATGGGCGAGGACAAGCTTCTCTACCGCTTCCTGCTCTGCATTCTGCTCCAGTTCTACCAGCAGATGTCCGGCTCCAACCTCATTTCCGTCTACACCAGCATCCTCTTCCAGCAGAACCTTGGCATGAGCGGCGAGCTGTCGCGCGTCCTGTCTGGTGGCGCCCTGACCTGGAAGTTCCTGTCTTCCTTCGTCGCCTTCTTCACCATCGACCGCTTCGGCCGCCGTGCCGTCTTCATGTTCAGCGGTGCCGGCATGTCGCTCTGCATGATCGCCCTCGCCATCACCACCTCCATGACGGACAACCGCGGCGCCCAGATCGCTGCCGGTTGCTTCATCTACCTCTTCAACTTCTTCGTCCCCATCGGCTTCCTCGGCGCCAACTTCCTGTACTGCACTGAAGTTGCTCCTCTGCGCCTCCGTGTCGCCATGTCCTCCATCTCCACCGCCAACCACTGGCTCTGGTACGTCGCACACACTTCGCTCTCCCAATCTTTTCCACAAGAATTGAAGCTAACCAATCACTTCTCTCGAACAGGAACTTCGTCGTCGTCATGGTCACGCCCGTCGCCCTCGCCAACATCGCCTGGCGCTACTACATCGTCTACGCCGCCGTCGCCTTCTGCATCCCTCTCAGCGTCTACTTCTTCTACCCCGAGACCATGGGCCGCAACTTGGAGGAGCTGGACCTCATGTTCCGCGAGAGCCCTTCGGTGGCCGCCACGGTGCGCTTCGCCAAGAACCGCCCCATCGCCATGCCGCAGGAGTTCGCCGTCGACCACAGCAAGGGCGGTGTCGAGCACGAGAGCGACCTGGAGAAGGAGAAGGTCGAGGTGGCATAATGAAACAAAAACAAAAAAGTTTTGTTGCGATGATGTTTTTCCTTTTTGGCCGTTTTATACCTCATAGATGATGCGATTGTACCGTATATGTTGGGAGTTGGGTGTCCTTCCTTACCTGCCGAAGAGGTCCGTGGTCGCTTTGTCCATTGACCAAGCGATCGGCGGCGCCTCTGCGTTTCTTACTCTTGAGTCGTTCTTTTTATTCGACTGGAACGCGTGGGTGGCGTCATGACGCCGCTCACATCAACAAGGTCGCTTGTTGATGGCAGGGTTTGAAAGGAAATGGAGTGCTGCTTACGAAGAATAATGATGGAGTAATTGAGAAGAATAAAAGTACTGTGAGCGAAAACCAGTTGTGCATATTGGATTAAAATTGTTCAGGCTTGTGAAGTCGATCGAGTGGTACTGATATTAGAAAGTTGGGCTTGTCGCATTGCAATACGAAAAAAAAAAAAGAAAAAAGACATGCGATCAGCATTAACAGAATAGAACGTAGTAGATAGTACTAAAACCAGTAAAAGGCTTCAAGTCTGAAGCTATACTATTTTTAATGCAGCCTGACAGGCTATAGATTCTTTCGCCGTGTTCCTCCATATTTGTTAAGACACTGTTGTCGCCGTGGTGGGTTTCGCTAGACACGAGATACTTGGCATGGTGTTGAGGAGCCCCGCTCTCAACGACAATTGGACCACCTTTCGGACAGAGTGTCACTTGGTGGCATGATGTGTATTATTCCCGGTACCCGCACTCCATTGCCGTGAAAAATGCGCGCTTGCCGCCCCGAGCTTGCGATGAGGGGTCCGCAGATGAAACAAAAGTTGACGTAGACTGGCAGGAGACCTCCGATCAGGCTGCCAGGCAAACAATATCGGTGTGCGTCACAAAAGAGGGGTGCAACGAGCAAGTAGGACGACTGCTCTTTATCACCTATCATTAAATCACGTGGCGAGCCCTCGGCTTGCTTGGCTAAATCGGTCCAGACCATACCAAGACACCATCGCTTAGCTGTAAACGAGCGTCTGTAAGCCAAAAACTTAGTTTTAGGCGAAGATCACCAATCGTACCTGCCGTTAATAGCACCCCCCGGTGGGCCCGGAAGCTGCCAGCTAAGCGACTGCGGCACAGCGAAGACGGCGAGACGTTCGATAAAAACGCCAGACTGCGTACTTTCACACCCCCTTGACATCCTGCGTCTTCTTTTCTTTTTCCCACGCTATCAATTGGTCCCTGCGCAAGCGTCGGCTTCTAGACATCATGTGCCCGCCCACTGAGGAGCCTCAACCTCCGCAGATTGAGGCGGAAGAGGTACGACAGCACATAAAAGTGCTTCTAAACATCACTCAAAAAAAATGTGGCCACATTCTTAGACTTGTGAACATTAATAGTATAACGACGATACGGAATCCTCTTACGAAAGCGATCTGTGCGTTTTTTTTTTTTTTTTTGCGTCCACGAAGCACTACCCCTTCCGCATACCGCTAGTGCACACACGCCAATACTGTTGTGTATAAAAGCCAATGAATCCTGACAATGATTACAAAGCCCGAGCACGTCCTCGTTGAGCTCGTCAATCACAGATTACGAGTACGAAAATGGTCGCCGATACCACAGTTACAAGAAAGGGCGTATGTCGGCCAATATTTGAGAACGAGACTGAATCGTGTTGCTGATCCGAATACTCCAGTTTACCTTGCCCCAAATGACGAGGTTTGTAGATGCTTTTACATGCAACACGCGTAGGCCATCCTGACGAATAGGCGTAGGATGAGAAGGACCGCTTAGACCTTTGCCATCACACCATCACCCTCCGCATCGGCGGAAAGCTGCACCTGGCCCCCATTTCTCCCAACGTCCAGGAGGTCTTGGATCTGGGTACGGGCACCGGCATCTGGGCGATTCACATGGGTAAGGGGGCTCAAGCAATAAGTCATTACCGCAAAGAAGGCTAAACAAAAGCCGATTTGTAGGCGATGAGTACGAGTCCGCACGCATCCTCGGAAATGACCTCAGCCCGATCCAGCCCAGCTTCGTGCCGCCCAATGTTCGCTTCGAGGTTGACGACATGGAGGATGTGTGGACGTATACGCAGAAGTTCGACTTCATCCACGCTCGCTACCTCGTGGGCTCCATCCGCGACTGGCCTAAGCTGATCTCTAACTGTTACAAGTAAGCCGTTTTTGTCTATTCACATTCCGCCGAGCCATTATGATATTTTATGGTTTCCCCTGGCGAGGGTCTAAAAATAAATCAATAGGTTCCTCAAGCCCGGCGGCTGGCTCGAGGTGAAGGAGTTCAACATGCACGCCTACTCGACCGACGGCTCGCTGGACGAGGAAAATTCATATCTCAACCGCTACCTGCGCGAGTCAGCCGAGGGCATGCGCTCGCTCGGCATCGAGCCGGAGCCCGCGACGAAGCTGGCGGGTTGGCTGAAAGAAGCCGGCTTCGCCGACATTCGGGACGAGCTCTTCCCGTGCCCGATTGGCTCGTGGCCCAAAGATAAGATGCTGGTGAGTTGTGCCTCCTTTTTTATTTTCCCTCTCTTTCCCCTTTTCCAGGGCCAAAATTTTGTCTGTGCTTGAAAAAGAGGCCGGGGAGGAAAGAGTGGGGTTGAAAATTTGGGTTGCGGGCTGTTTTGACTGACGTGGCCATTGTCGGCCTCTTTGTAGAAGGAAGTCGGCTTGTTCAATCTGGCCAACTTTGTGGATGGCCTGGAGGGCTTCTCGATGAGGCTCTTGACTAGCACTAGGGGGTGGAAGAAAGAAGAGGTCGAGGTGCACGTCGCGCATGTCAAAAAGGAGCTGAAGAACCGCTCCATCCATTCTCAGCATGATATGTGAGTTGAATTCTCGAAGAATATGGTGTTGCTCTGTTGCTTACGAGAGTATAGGCATGTTGTCTATGGACAGAAGCCGCTTGATGCGGAATAGTTGGAAGCAGAATGAGGGACGATAGCGACCACCACAATGATACGAGCCACGCAAGAGCCGCTGCTATTTATTCGAAGTTGTTACAAATGTTTGTTGCTTTTATGTTACATTGATTTTCAATTGCATGGTGATAGTGGGAGGTCTAGGTGCAGATTCGCTGCTGGTAAGGAAATTGGAGAAGCAATGAGATTGTTCCCGGTGTGACGTAGTATCGCTTGGATAAAGCTTCAATGACCCAACAATTGGTTCACTCTAAGATGTGACCGGTTGATATACCGCGAAACGATAGTATTTCGAAATCATGTTCATTAGAACGGTCTCAGTGATGACGATGCCACCCACACACCTCACATCATTTCCATTCTCTCCACTCTTCGAGCTCTCGTAAAAACAGCCCCGAAAGCAAATACTAGAAGATAACCACCCCGAGAGCCACACGAAGGAAGCAATTCCATACGCCCACCACTCCATCGCTCCCATGAACCACCAACCTCGCTCTCACCACTACTCTTGACCGAAAATACGACTCGAAGCCGGGGGCGAGGGAGAAAAATAATCAACTAAGAGAAGCGACACGGCAAACGTGTCCCATGCAGTTTCCAGCCACTTCAGTCGCCAATCACACTCTCCTCCTCCGCCTCCTGCGCTGTGTTGCCATCACCTTCCTTCTCACCCTCATCCTCCATCTCCTGGTCCGGATCCTCAACCAGGCCCTCCCTCCTCAATTCCTCTTCCTCGTCATGGTGCTCCTCCTCATCTTCCTCATCCGTGTCGTCTCCCACAAACTCGTTGCTCTTCTCGCTCTTCTTACCGCCACCACTCTTCTGCTGGTTCGGGGGCGCGCTGACGCTCCTATTCTTCGCCCTCGCACCCCTCCCCTTCTTCGGTCCCTTCTCCGCCCCGGCGTCCAGGTACGCCAGCACCTCCTTGAAGTTCGGCCCAAGCTTGTTCTTGTTGCGCTCGAGGCGCCTACGCACGGGGCCGGGGCCGCTGTCGTCTCTATCCGCCTCTTCCTCGTCTTCGTCGTCGCCAGGTCCGTCGACTACGCCGCCGAGAATGGCGAGCACGAGTTTGGACGCCAGCTCGCAGAGGCGCTGCTCCGCGAACAAAACCTCCTGAGTGTTCGTCGCTCCGTTAGCGCCTTCCTCGTCTTCCGCGTCCTCCTCCTCGTCTGAGCTCTCCGGATCGTCGTCAACGTCGATGGGATCGTCATCGTCGGCGACGTCGATATTACGGTGCGATTTCTTGGCAAAGTGCTTCTCCGCGGCGGCGAGGAGCTGGAGCAGTGCCTTTTGAGTGTCCGTGCTGAGTTCGAGAAGCAGCGCCATGAAGTCGTCCTGGGATTCATCTTCGTCGACTTCCATATCTGCAGCAGCGTTGCCGTTGGTGGCTGCGGCGGCTTTATCGCGATTGCGCTTCGCGTCGCGCTTGGCTTGTGCATCGCGGAGCGTGGTGAAGAGTGTGCTGAGGTCCAGCAGCACGCCTGCCGCTGCCAGACGCAACTCATCGGCGCCCTGGCGCTTGCGGATGACCTCTTCGAGCGCGGCGACGCAGCCGTCGCGGCGCTCTGCAATTGCCTCAACGTCCTCCGGTGGCACAGTGCCAGTGGTGATGATCGACTGCTCCCACGAGCGGACCTTCCACATGAAGTAAAACAGCAGGGAACGAGCAGAATTTGCAACCACAGCGTCTTCCAATGCGGAAAGCGAGGTGTCTGTTGAAGAGTTGGGGACACCACGATGAAGAAGCTCGGTAAGGATGGCAATGGCGTTTTCAGCCGGGTTTGCATCTTGGCTCTTCCTGCTTCTCTGTTTCTTCGCCGTGACTGCTGGAGGAGGTGCTTCCAAAGGCTCAGTACAATCGGATATGCTGGCCAGTTTCGATATACGAAGCACGGTGTTGGAGATAGCAGACAGCACATTTGCGCTGAGGTTTCCGCGCATCATCAGACCCTTACCCTTCTTTAAAGCGTGTAATGCCGTAACTGTGTCTTCCCAAAGAGCTTGCAACTTGCCCTCTGTAATCTCGCTCAGCTCCTCATAACTCTTAGCATGCAGCAGCGCGCGGCTTGCTTCTACGAGTACAGCTTCGCTGCCATGGCTCAAGAATTGCTTGTTGATGTCGTCCAGCAATTTTGAGTAGGTAGTTGAATCCTGACGGAGCTCCTGGAACACATCCAGGTTCAGAACATGCTCCAGGCGCAGTACTGCGGAGGCAGCATCAGGCACAGCGCCGAACTTGTTTAGAAGACGAGGGATGAGAGTAGCAAGATGACGTGCGGCAACATCTTGTTCTTCTTCCAATTCTTGCTTTTCGCGCTTGTTCTTCTTCTTATCCTTTCCGGCTTCCACGGCGCGCGTGAGCTTGAGCTTTACGGATGCATTGAGAATGTCCAAGAGGATAATCTCTTCCTTCTCGTTCAGCTTGCATTCCTCTTTCAGCAGAGTCTCAGGGTCGTCTGCCGCGCCGTTCTGCTGGGCGCCTGCCGTAGATTGCGAGTGGTCGAAGAGAAGATAGCCAGCTATCACCTCCCATTCCTGGATCTCAGGGATTTCATCGTACAGCGCCTCCGCAGCCACGCAAATTCGTGATTCCATGCCGCCTGCGACCAGCATGTAGCTATTCGACATGGGCACCCGCTCAATCTGGCTAGGCAGGGATTGACCCTCATCATCGTACGCGGACAACGATTCCACCAAGGACTTCAGCTTGAGCCACTCCAGCCTGGGGTTTTCGTAATCTTCATCTCCTTCCAATGCTTCATCCAGTGCTTCCTTACCACCGAGTTCATCGATCCTCTGTTCAGTGATCTCGGCGATGTTTTCGGAAAAGAATTCGACAACAGCTTTTCGCACACGGGGATCAGCATCGAATATGAGCCTTCCCACAGAATCCACGTCGTCCGGTTCAATCAAGCCAGCTTGGCGAAGAAGGTCGAGAAGGTCCACACTGGCGGCACGGACATGGGCGTCCGCATCCTGTGTTGCCATCTCCACGATTCGTGAGCGGAATCTCTCCGTAAATGTCCTCAGCCCACCAAGCTTGTCAGTATCTTCAAATAGCCTCTGCAGCTGCTTCACAACCTCCAACCTGGTAGGTGCGTGGGCGTCGGAGAGAACCCATCCAAGATACCTGAGGTGTTGGCCATCGAAGAAATTGTCGGGATAGGTTATGATCCAGTTGCCGAGTCCAGTGACACATTCGGCTCGTATCCTTGGATCGACATCGCGGTATCTGTGAATGAACACCTCGTCGAAGGAGTTCTTGATCATACTGTTTAGCAACTCCAACCTTTCATTGTCTGCCTCAATCTTTTTATCCATCTCGGCTAATCTCGCCTTGTTCTTGCCAGACTTTTTAGCCTCTGTCTCTTTCAGCCTCATCGCCTTCGCATTGGCCTCAATGAGCTTTCCTCCAACTGCACATAGTGCGCTTATAACGGTTACGGACACAACAGTTGCAGTGTGGCGGAATGGACGGCTATTGGCTGAAGACATGGTGTTAACCCAGAGGTCAATGTTTTCAATGATGGTGGGATCCGTCCAGAGGAGTTCGGACTCGGCGAGGGTCTCGATAAGAGCTGTGAAGAAGTCGATCAGGTTATGACGAAAGTTCGCCGACCCTTTGCCCTTTTGAATCAAAGGATATTCAACGATGTCTTGCTGCATGGTTGTCAGCCATTGGCCATTGAACACTAGCTCATTTGGCGGAACCTACTGCTTGATACTCCTCTTGTATATCCCCAAGCTTGCTGGGCACGCTATCCGGGTCCTGAACATCGTGCACCTCAATCTTCAGGTCACAGCCTGACGACTTCAAGACGAAGTTGACAAGCTCGGCCATTTCTTCCGCATTTTTCTCGCTGAATCTCTGGACCCACTTCGCTGCGACATCATTCAGGCTCTGGTTGCCAGCAAACACCTCACCTAATACCACGATTACGTCAGCACACGGCAGTGCAGCAGCAATAAGACCAGAAGCGCGTACCGTAAAGACCGCCGACCTCCTCGGCCGCCGCGACCTTGCTCGGGCGAGGCTTGCGCGGCTTCTTCGTCTTCGCCGCCGGGCGGATGGCCAAGCTCAACGTGTCGCCATTGGGCTTGCTCTTCTTCGCGGCCGGCTTCCGTTGAGGCGTCGCCTTCGCCTTGGCGGCGGACTGGCGTTTCTTCTTGCGCCGTTTGTCGCGCAGCTCCTCGTCATCGGCGTCGCTCTCGCTGCTCTCATCCTCGTCATCCTCGTCGTCGTCTTCCGGGTCGTCATCGTCGCTTGCATCGGCCTGGCGGTCGGCGCCACGTTTGCGCTTCGTCGCGGGCGTGGCCGCGGACGAGTAGATGGTCTCGGGCTTCCTGGTCACGCGTCCGGATTTGCGGCGCGTGGTCGCGGTGGTCTCGGTGTTGTCGGCGGGGGAGGAGCGCGTTTGCTGCGCGTCGGCATCGGGCGACGCAGGTTCCATGCTGGACAGGCGCGCGGGCATGGGAGGGAGCGAGGAGCGAAGGAGTGGTGTCGCGCAGAAGGTCGGACGAGATAATTAAGAGGAGGGGAGGCGAGCACGGCGCAGCCAAGCTTGGGACGGGTGGAACCAGCAAGAGATAAATAGGGCCGAACGCGTCGCGATGCGCGGCCTTGGGGAGCAGCTGTACGGACGCGATGAGCAAGGGGCGTCGGGCGGGTTGGTGGAGGGGTGGCTGCTTTGACGCGGGCGGATGCTGGGATGGTCAGCGTCGCAGCATCGGACGCGCGCAGATTCGGCGGTGTTGATGGGAGACGCGTTGCGGTCGACGGCGGAGGCAAGGCCTTGGCTGGCTCGTGCCAGGCCGCAGCGAGCAGCCCACCAGAGCTCATTGGCCATTGGCCAATAGCTTCGAATTGCTTGCCCCTCCACCTCCGCTTTCCATCACCACCATGCTTGCGATCCAAGCAACCAGAAGCTCCCCGCACGCCGCAACTGGGGTCATCGACTTGGTCCGACCCCGAAGCCTCCGTCCATCGTCCATCATGATATGATTACTCCATAATCTGTCCAAAATGAACAACCCTTTCGCGCCCTCGACCTCGCGGCCCGGCCACGGTTCGATCGTGCTGTCCCTCCTCCCACCTTCGACTCCAGTGCTCCGCACTGTGACCTACCAATACCCGCTCAAGCTGATCGCGCCAGAGCCGGCGGCCATCGCGCCCAACTCGCCGCTGGCGGACGAGCCGCGCACACAGCATGTCGTGCACACCGTCTTCGTGCTGACGTATGGCGGCGGTCTTGTCGCAGGCGACGCCGTTACGCTGCGCGTCGCGCTCGCCCCCACCACCCGCCTCTGTCTGCTCACGCAAGGTAGCACCAAGATCTTCAAGGCGCCGAGCCCCGAGCGCCGCTTCCGCTGCGGCCAGACGACCGACGTGCGCGTTGCGCCCGGCGCCGCGCTGTGCTTCCTGCCCGACCCCGTCCAACCGTTCGCCGAGAGCGGCTTCGTGCAGAAGCAGCGGTACGTCGTGCTGCAATCGCCGCCTTCTGGCGAGGCTTCGGAGGGTGGGGAGAGGCCGGGGCCTGGCAGCTTGTGCGTGCTGGACTGGGTGAGCGAGGGCCGGTCCGCGCGCGGCGAGCACTGGGATTGCTACGAGTACACGAGTCGGAATGAGGTGTGGCTGGCTCCGCATGGGACGGAACTTGAGCCCAAAGACTGGGACGGTGCCGAGACGGGACGGCTGTTGTTGAGGGATAATGTGATTCTGAATAATGAAAGTGGAGATGGGGCAGCTGCGGCGGGGACAATTGTTGGACGTATGGATGAGCTTGCCGCATTTGGGACGCTGATATTGTATGGCGGCCTGTTTGAGTTGCTTGGAAAGTTCTTCCTGGATGAGTTCCAGGCCATGCCGAGGATTGGTGCGAAGAAGTGGCATAGCGCAACTGCGGATGAACACCAACAGCTAACGCCACAAGAGGCGTGGAGGTCTCAGAGATTGCGGCAAGAGGCGGATGATGGAGTGTTGTGGACAGCGGCAGCCGTGCGCGGAGCTGTACTCGTCAAGTTTGGAGCAAAAAGTGTCGAAGGGGCGCGCAGGTGGCTGGGTAGCATGATCAAAAGTGAGGGAACTGTGGAAAAACATTTCGGAGAAAGGGCTGTGTTGTGTTTGAAGTGAGCGTAAGTAATGCTTGGAACACCTCCCTTTAATGCATTCTGCATTATACCCTGCATAGCGCAGTGTTCATAGCCCTACATCTATCAAAGTCAGCGATGAAGCTGGGACAAGTTACGTCTTACTGCATGGTAGTCATTTGAGATGCCAGGTTTTCGGATTGTTCTATGTAATAATGTAGGGAATCGTTGCATGAAGTTGGTATCAAGGATGAGAGTAGGAAATAGAAGGGTCGTCAAATCATCGCCAGAACCACGTCCTGTGCCGTCTAGTTTCCCAATCCCAGGTCGTCGCGGCCTGCAAGTCGTCGACGTTCAAAAAACTAACCCCCTCCTCCACCAACACCTCCCACATCTTGTTACGTATTGCTATCGGCCAATTTGGTGTACCCCAGTATCGTGGCTTGAGGCCTCTCCTTTTCGCGCCTCGGATCTGACCACGCACCAAATGCAGCTGATGCGCAGTAGGCTCACCGTTGAGCCAGTGGGCTCGGCCTACAGACTTTGGGTACGACACAGATGCATAGTATGAGTTGCTGCTGTTGAAGCTATCCGCATTTGGGCCGGAGGGAAGCTGCGTGCTTTCTTTGCTGGATGAAGTGGTTATCAAATAAGAGAGCTCGTGCTGCGACGGGCTGATCCCAGGGATAGGTTCAGGCTCTTCAAAGAGCATGTCCAGCGGTGCGTCGTAGAAAATATCCCGGTACGTCGAGTTGGAGTTTAGAAGATCGAAGGGAGCGTTCCCAGTAGCCACAACAGTGACTGGGCCCTCTACAGTGCTCTTACCATCCCAATAAGTAAGATAGCCTCGGGAGCGGAGGGGCTCGAGATGGTCTTGTACAACGGGCCAAATGCTCTCGCCGTCGTTCTTGAAATCTACAAGGAGGACGAGAGTCTGTGAAGGGTCCACGTCCCAAATACCATTCGGTCGTACAGGCGCGGATTCATGAGAGATAGATCGAGAGGCGGGAGAGTTGGTGCGGTCCAGGAGTTCGGTGATTGGATCGACGTAGAGACTGCGAAAGGTACGTTCTGGAGTGAGTGCGGCGGTATTGTGGCCGACGTAAAGCTCTGGCTCGCTCGATGAATCCGGAAATAGCCAGACGTCGGCTTCAACGCCTACACACCCATAGCTAATGGCTTCGAAGAGTGGAAGACGGCGCCAGTAATCATTGTGGCTATGGCATGGCAGGGGCTGGATGTCGCGCGTGACATCAGAGGGGCTGTCATAACCAGAGTTACTCAAGCGTGATGGAATATCGTATGTTTCGTCCTGGTAGAAAATCGGTCCCAGATTGATGAGTATGTTGACTATATGAACGATGCCACTGGTAAGGTTAGCATAAGCCGTGGAATCCGAGCTACGATATGGCAAAGACTTACAAGAAGCATAGGATGGAAGCAAGCATGGCGAGGAAAACAAGGCCGATTTTGCGAGCGATCCTCCAGACTGACAACGATGGACTGTACTTCTGGCGGAAGCGGACACCGCCCAGCCTCTCATGATTTGACGGGTCCTCATAGTCAGCCGCAGTATTTGTAGCGGCGATCCTATTCCGCCGTTCCCGCAGCGCCATGAGTGCTTTTCGCCAAAAGGGCTGCTGCTGCCGCTTCTCATAGCCCTCGCCGAAGCTCGGAGCAAAGACGGAGTCGCGAGTTGCGCCCTTAAAATCCCACGTATGCGGGTCGTGCGGGTGATCTGCTGCTACCTCTTCGCGGATGATGTGATCGAAGCGCTCATTGCCGCGGCGGGTGGATCTCGGTGTCGAAGGTGAAGGGAGCATTGTGCCCGGCCAAAGCTCCACTGGTGACGTTGTCCGGCTCCCCGGCTGTTTCCCGACCGTCCGAGCGCGCTGTTCGGGATGCCGAGTCGGGACTGTGCAAGGTCAGTGATCCCTCGAGGAAAAAGCTTCATTCAGATGTGGAGAATTGGGATGGTGTCCATACCGACTGCTTAAATGTCCTGAATACGGATTCAGCGCAGCCCACAATGGTGCTTTAACCGCAACTTGAGGACTTGCTCCGACAGGGCGTAGGGTCCGGCGCTGTGGCTGACCGAGAGCGCTCTGGCGTACCCAAGAAACCGCACGATTTGCTCAGCCTCGAAAATAATAGCGACCTGTGCCGCTAGCGGAAGTGGGTGCCCTAGCGGTTGCTATAACAGGATAAAAGCACGCAATAAGAGCTGAGGAATGGTTGGCATGTGAGTGGAAGGTCCGCAGCAGCTCGACGCGGTGGTTTCCCTCGCTATAAATATTGTTGCGTTGCCTTCGGTGAAACCGCCGGTGAGATGATCCAAGAAAAGCGGACTATAGAGACCGGAGAGCACAGCTAGAGGCAAGAGATCAGCTGGCCGGGCAAGCACGCATGGTTGCGGCGGGAGCAGGGCGGCAACGTGCGCGGTCCATAATTCATGTCTGGCCGGCGCGAAGCCGATAGTGGGAGCGGGCAGCCATGTGCGAGGCAAGTGTTTGTCCAGCCCACGCGCACGTTTGCAGTGCGCCGTCCAACGAGAGGACGTGAGATCAAGGCGTGGGCGTGGGTGTGGTGCCCGCCAGAGATCGCTCGGGACGCCCCCGCCTGCTTAGGTGGTCCTTGCGCGGCCTTTGGGTCTGCTGGTACTATCTCAGCAGTGGTGAAACGGAGAGCTCATGTGGATGCAAAAGAGCGGTAAATGCTCCATAAGCTGCAGGGTGTCATTTGGAAATAGTCGTTGCACTGTCGGTCAGAAGCGTGCCTGACTGCGCCGGGGGAGGGCAGCTGTGTGACGTAGAATCGGCGGCGGAGATGCAGCCGAGCGAAAAGTGCGCGCCGCTTTGGCCGCCGCCGAACGTTTCGCAGAGCCGATCCTCTCGACAAGAAAATATCGCAACGCCTGCGATTCGCCGTAATCATGCCTCACAAACACAAGCGCAAGGCCAGAGAAGATGACGAGTATGGTTCATTGTCGCATTTACCACCCAGCTTCACATGCTGACTTTCTCTCTGCAGTTTCGACCTCCCCCCGACCGCGCGTGCAAAGCCGCTATCCGTTCGAGAATCCGGGACCTTGAGCGACAGCTTCGCTTCCAAGACAAAGCAACGCAAGGACAAGAAGAAGGCTAAGCGGATAGAGGGATATGGCGCAGACGACACACCCAAGGCCTTCGCGCGCCTTATGCAGTTTTCACAAACCCGTAAGGGCGTCAAGGGGCTCGATGACGGCAACGAGCCTCGCGGCAAGAAGCGCAAGGCCAACGGTGACAGCAAGGGTAGCCAAAAACCGGAACCCGCAAAACCCACACCGGAGGTGCCCAAGATCCAACCGGGCGAGCGCATGTCCGATTTTGCAGCGCGTGTGGACCAGTCACTACCCGTCGCGGGCCTAGCCCGCAAGGGCAAAAAGATCGAAGGGTTCAAGGAACGGCAGACAAAGACGGAGAAGAGAATCCAAAAGATGATTAGCCAATGGCACGAAGAAGAGGAGAAGATCAAGGAGCGGGAGCAAGAGGAGCGAGACCTGGCTGAGATCGAGGAGGACGAGCAGGAAGCCATGTGGGAAGACAAGTTGGCCCCGATACCAACGGAAGGAGGCGGGAAGAAGAAGGGCAAGCGAAAGGGCGGTGTTGAGGATGACCCGTGGGCTGTGCTCAAGCAGAAGAGAGAGGAGCCGAAGGGCTTGAACGATGTCGCACAGGCTCCGCCGACTTTCAAAGCAATACCGAAGGAAAAGTTCAAGGTCAAGAACGGCGCGAGGGTCCAGGTTGCGGATATCCCGAACGCGGCGGGCAGTTTGAAGAGGAGAGAGGAGTTGGGCGAGGAACGCAAGAATATCATCGAGAGATACAGGGCTATGATGGCGGAGAAGAAGGGCGCTTGAGAGTCTGCACAATTGCTTTTGCGCATAAGACGGGAAATACCATCATGTACGCACGGCGTTCGGAGTGTAGTTCGCTGCTCGCTGCTGAGTAGTGCCCATGTAGTGGCTTCCAAAGATACCAAAAAAGTATTCACAGAGTTCCCAATCTACCTACCGTCTCACGTGCGCGTGACATAGGCTGAACGTACCTTCCTGTCTCCGTCGCTTCCATGATTGCCACGGCCCGCTACCTGCCGCAACTGACCACCCGACCTCCACCTCGCTACACAAACACCGACGACGCCGCTGCACACCAAAACTTTGAAACACTCACCCTCCCGGTCGGCAAGTCGCATGCACCTTAAAGATTACCGCGACCCGCAGCTGCCATCTCCGGAAATTTCGCGGACCCTGACGTACCCCGCCGCACGGGCCATATCGCTTCTTGAGGTTTTGCCCGCTCCCTTGGCGAGGCTGCATCCGTTATCACCGCCCGCCACAGTCACAAGTTCGAACCGCACCCTCACCTACATGACCTAGCCTGCGCCCCCAGCTTCGCAACCAGAGGAGACGGCGGAGGGTGGCGGAAGATGGCGAAAGGTTTCGACGATCTCATCGAGTTTTTGCTCGAGGAAATCGCCCTGCGCGGCGAGCAAGGTATGTGCGGACTGTCCGGCCGTCGCAGAGCGCAGTGCGAAGATTTCTGCAAGGTCTTGCCCTGCGACGAATCACGGCCTCACTCTCTGTCGGACTACCCCTTTGAGGAAATTTCCTGCCTTTGACCTTCATGCACTGCATTGCATTTTGTTGCGGCTCGCGTCTGGTCGCACGTTCGACTCCCGTGGCTTCCATGCGGCGCTTCTGCGTTTCCGCCGCTCCACTTTGCTGTTCATCGGCTAACTGGCCCCCGTGTACGCAGGCGCAAGCACTTCCGACTTCAAGGACCTTATTCGCAAATTTTATGCCGAACAGGACAGTGATGTTCGTCCTGGTGGACGTTCGGGCCGTGACGCGGCATCGACGCAGCATGCTGACCGCCGTCTGCAAGAGAAGGTCTGGATATGGCTGACGGCGCATCCGGACATTTGCTTGAACGGAGACCAGAGTGCGCAGATCCCATCTCTCGCAGAATTCGAGGCCCTCGAGAGCCAGGCAAAGTCCAATCCGGTGACTGAGCCTCCGGCCGCTGGTGAAGACGGGGCAGCTGCCTCCGCTGAAGATGCTACCCCCAAACTTTTTGTGAGCGAGGAGCGTATGTGGATGGCCATGACCGGACATGGCGTCGATCCGAAACGGATACCCCGCCACGAGTTTATTATCTTGTCCATCATCGCAGCCCATGGCGAGAAGGGTGTCGTACAGCCAGAGATCACTCGCATCAGCGGCCAGGATAAGCGCTCTGTACCGAAGCGGACGGATAATCTGGCCAAGCATGGCTACATCACCAAAGTCCACGTCCTCGCCAAGGGCACGCGTACTAGTCTTTGTACCCTCAAGAGATACGCAAAGACGCAAAGGCAGAAGAAAGCTGCTCTGCCTCCTATTCACGCTCGCTCTACTCCGGATGAAATCAAGGCTGTCATCTTCCAGGACGGCTTACTTCTGTATGACAAGTTCTTCGACATCCTCATGAACATTCTTCAGGATTGCAAGATTGTAACCATCGAGGACTGCAAGAGGAAACTTGGTATAACCACCAAGACGTGGGAGATGAAGTCACTATGGAGATCCATGAGGCGCTTGGAAGGTTTGGGACTTGTCAAGAAGGTGAAGGCTCAGATCAAAGGGTACGCTGCAAGCCAAAAATGGTACCGCTGCATCAAGATGGTTCGAGAACCTACGCAGCGCGATAGGATGATCTTCGTTACCATGAGTATGAAAGAGGCAAAGAAACACAAAAGAGAGACGGAGGCTGGGGCGGATGAGGATGCCGAGGGCGACCTTGATCCTGATGAGGAGGTAGAGGAAGCCGGTGCAAGCCAAGCGTTGGTTCAACAAGAAAGCGACGTCCAAGAGATCAAAAGGCTTCCGCCGCAGTGGGATCCTGACCGGCCTGTTATCAATCTGCTCTGGGACATCATCAGGGCCACTGGTCATTCGGGTGCTACAACTGCCGTCATCCGTGATCATGGTCTGGGAACCTTCTACCGTCGCCCCATCGATGCTATTCTCGGCCGTATCTCCGATATCTGGCACATCTCTCAACCGCCTCACCTTCGTCACTTTGCTATCATCCGAGATACGGGTCAAAGTGACAAATACCTGCATTACGTCTACCGCACATATGGCAATTTCCAGCTTGCCGTTGACGTTGGAGAGGCTGCCTGGGAAGTTGTTATCACGCAGCCTGTGAACATGAATCCTGGCAAGAAGCCTCGAGCCAAAAACCAGAAGAACGTTCGAGAGACAGTCCACCGTGAGTATGGGGAGCTCGATGAATGGGGATTTCCGAAGATCCACGAATCCTGCTTCGAAGGTCGTAATGGCATGGGTACTCTGAAGGACGCGAACAAGTCTGTCATGGCAAACCTTAAGCCCCTCCCGAGCCGTGGTTACATGCCAGCCTTCATCACTGGAGGCTACACCCGTTCGCAACGTGAGGTTTCGGTTGACTCGGACGATGATTTCCCGCCAGCTTCTTCTCGAAAGAAATCAGCAGCGGGCGTTGACAAGCCAAAGAGAAAATATGCACGGCGATCGACCAATGGACCGGGTCCCAGCCGAAAGAGGAAGTCCTTGCTCAATCAAGAGATTCCGCTTACACCGGAGCAGACTCAGAACACCAACAACAATAACATAACTACTGAGGATGCAACGGAGGCTTTCGGTGACATGTTCGACGGCAACACGGATAACCATGGTGCGGGCGCAGCCTCCGAGACCCCGCCAGCCAAGAGAACCTACAAACGCAGGAAGTTGAATAAACCTACCGAAGAGCCTGACGCCGAAGTTGAGAAACGGCAACCCGGAGTTTATGTTAACCCTGACTGGGGTAAGAAACCACGGGATCCGACTGCCAAGGGTCGACCGAAGAAAGCCAAGGTGGTTGTCATTGTGATGAATACGCTGAAGGGCCTTGACATCGGCACACCCGACTTCACCGCGAAGGTTGCGGATGCTAAAGCAAGATCTGATGCTCATCTCCAGGAGGCAAGGAGTCAAGCGGCGGCTCGTCAGAAGCAGCTTCTGTCGGAATCGTTGTCTGGCGCTAACAATTCTATTGAAGCTCTAGCTAATTCTCAGTCAACAAGCATCCCTGGAGTAGACCAGCCCATCAGTAACAGTGCTTCAGAGCAGACTCCAAGTGCTGATACGCAGGCGGTATCTGCACAAGCAATAACCCAAGGCCACGAGCCCCGCATCTCAGGACCAACGGAGCGAATGCCCGCGTTGCCACTGGCTCCTCAGGACCTGCCTCGCCCGAGTAATTCAGCGGAGCCTCCAATCTTCCACATGCTTGATGAAATGCCTTCTACGCTATCTTCTACCCCAGTGAATCGCCCGAACGCCGATCTGCAGACACAGCAGCTATCGCCTGCCACCTCGATTGCGACACCCGGACCCTTAACCCAAACACCATCAGCTCAGACACCTGCTACTGCCCCTAAAAAGCGTGGAAGAGCACGAAAGGATCCTAACGCACCCCCAAAGCCTCGCAAGTCGGCTAAGAAGAACACTGGAGATACGGCCACCGCCTCAGCTGCCAACGGTGGACCTACCCAACAGCTCTTGTCTGCCTACCTCAAATCACCTGCTCCTACTCTTGGTGAAGATTCTGCTGCTTCGGCCTCCGCCGCGGCGATTGGGGCCTTGCAAACCCCGAAACATGATGTGGCTCCGGAAAACCAGACACTGAGTGGTCAGTTCGCGACACCAGGTGGGAATTCGAATGAAGTAGTTGGATTGAACGGAAGTCAATCTGAAGACACAGGAGGCTCCGCTAAAGCACCTGCTCAATTCAACCCTTTTGTTGCGATGGCGGCAGAGTACCAGCAGAGTTATCCATCTCTATACACACCAGCTCCTCAACCTTTCAACCCTTTCATTGCGGCTGCACAAGAGCACAGCAGAAGTGTTACATCGACTCCCGTGCCTCCGACCCGAACCCCGATGGGGGACTTCATGGCCGGAGTCGTACCCAACGGATCCAACTTAGCAACTACTCAACATCCAGGCCTGAAATCACCTACATCAGGCCAGATGGATCAAGTCCGCCCAAGTAGTGTAAGCTCAGACAGTTCCTTTATGACCATGCGGTCAAACCCGTTTGGTCATATGCCAACTCCTAACGGTCACGGCCCAATGCAGCCTTTTTCGACACCAGCTGCTACATCGCCAATTATGGCATCGACTCACCTTGGTGGCTCAACTTCAGTGAGCGGTGCTAACGGAAACGGTACTGGTACCAATTCACTGCCTTTTTTAACCCCCTCGACAACAAGGACCACTGGACAACATGTGGAGAGTCGGCACAGCGGGCTTTATGATCAGCTTCGTTCCGCTGCTCCGACCGGCACGTCTTTCTATCAAAGCCCTTACCAGCAGGCATTCCAGCACTTGCCGTCTAGAGCACCCGGCTCAGACAAAAAGCTAGATAATGGGCGAGGTCCAATGTGGGGTAGCTTTACTCCTTCAAAGAGGCGGCCTTCAAATACAGCTACGGATACCGCGTCAGCATTGGCTGTACAGCCTGCTGCCGAACCTGTAAGGCAAGATTCATTCCAGCCCTCGCCACCCATCCAGTCTACGCACTCGATGAGCGCAGTCGTGAGCTCGCAGGGGTCTGTCAGGAAGGCCGATCGACCTCAATCCGAGATTCCAGTTGATACAGGGAGTGAAACTGAGGAGGAAGATCCGAGGTTGCTCAGACGCGCCTCGTTGGCTTCAAATGGGCGGAGCATATTTTCCCAGCTGGGGAAGGCGGCGCAAATTGGGGAAATCCATGCAGGAGTGAACCTTGCAGAGGATGACAAGCAGTCGCCCGTTGCCAATCGGCCAGCGGAAGAAGCAGATGCTGGAATGCCGGCACCCTCAGAAGACGACACGCTTCAAGACGCCCCGTCAAACCAGGGTCAAGATAATGATGCTCTACACCCACCGTTGGAAACCTCTACACCGAAAGAGGCGCCAGAAAATCGTGAACTGTTGACAGAATCTCAATCCGCCACCGATCCACCAGCACCGCCACCTGAACCAAGCGCAGTTCAGGATGAACAAATGCCTGCCCTCGAGGAGGAAGCACCCTCTTCCGTGCCCTTCAAACGGCAGAAAGGCAAGTGGGCAGGAGGAAAGAAGCAAGGCGTTAAGTTGAGTGGTGGAGGGATTCTGAACTTCAATCGTACAAAACTGCTTGTCAGTATCATCGAGAAGTGCGGTGGAGTTTTCCCTGGCGATTTCGAGATCCACAGGCCTTTCGTTGGGACGTGGAACAAAGAGTATGGTGCAGAGAGACAAGTCGACCGCGACACCATCAAAAGAACCATCAAGAACGCCATTGAATCTTGCAAAGTGCGTCGGTTCGCGTACACTTTCAAGAACAAAAACGGAGTCATGACAACCAGGCACATCCTCACTCTGCCAAGTATTGCACAATCGGATCCGCTGGTGTTGGATACTCAAAAGAAGGTCATTGCGGCTTGGCCTCGTGTTTATACTCCCCCTCAGATGAAGGAGTACGAGGAGGAGATTGGAAACTCCTGGTACGGCGATAAGTATGAGAAGGACACTTCAGTCCGTGTGGAACGCTCAAATCTACCTCCGTGGATGCGAGACATGGAGTTGCGTACGGCCGAGAATCAAAGAAAGCGAGACGAGGAGAGGGCACGCAAGCTTGAGCGTGAGGCTAAGGGAATTCCGCGTCTTCCAAGGCCTGGCCGTGGACGCGGTGGTCGTGGTAGAGGAGGAACTCCTCGGCCTATTCTCACCGGACGCACCGGACGCAAGCGTCTTGCAGGTCTCCCACGACCGGCAGCCGATCCAGATGACGACCCCTGGAATCCATTCCAGGCAAGATATCTCAGACCTTACGACTCTGAAGACGACGAGAACGTTTCCGAGCCGACCACTCCGACCAGGACCCGTTCATTCAGCGAGATGAGTAGTACTTTCCAAGTTGATAACTTCATCTTCCACCGCCCAACCCATGACAGCGCTCTTGCGTCCGATTCCGATGACTCTAGCATGTTTGGTACACCCTTCAGCTCGCGGTCAGGGACACCAGTCCCAGAACCATCCAAGAAGAGGAGAAGAAGGCGTTCAACGGTCAGTTCAGTCGGCTCCACTGACGGTGCTGAAACCCCTGGCCGACTGCCTACGTTCCAAGTCAACCTCAGTCCTTCCCAAAGCCGCAGAGGCTCGGTCGCGTCTGTTGATTCATCTGCCTCTATTTCTTCTTTCCGCATTGAAAAACCACGTCCGACGGAATGGAGCTTCAAAAATGCCGGCCCTGACACCTACGATGCTACGTGGAATATTCAAGACATCACTACCCTCACGGATCCTGACATTCTCTTCTATCCACATACTGGAACCTTCTCGACCGAGTACTACGTTGTCCGCGATGCGCGCCTGTCACTGTGGGTCCAGCCTCAGGCTCAGCACCAGCAGGAATTCGAAGATTCCATGCCCCGATCGCTCGAGGAGATGAAAGACTCGATCAAGATGAAGGGCAAGGAGCGTGATCATAATCGACGTGGCAACGCTAATCTTAGCAAATTCGAGCGTGAGCTCATCGTTGTCAGCCATTGGGAAGACCAGTACTTGAGGAAGAATGAGGATCTTGGGTTGGTTGTAAGGCAGCCACACTTCATCAACCACAACTACTACGGCGACCAAGAGGAGCCTGAGAACGAGTGGACGTGGTCAGGCTTGAAGTGGGGTGACTTGTATAGCCAAGCCTTCACTCCTTTCGAACCACCTTCGTTTGACGAGACGGATGAGAGTGATGCTCCTGATGGATTCATAATGGAAAGTGGCAAACGTCGCAGGGGGACTGGTAGAACTGGTGGACGCGCCACGAAACGCCGCAGACGAACCACAGCCTTGGATATACTGGAAGGTGGTGCTTCCGAACCACGTCGTCGCCAGAAGGGACCTCGACCATCGAAAACTCACCTGGCTCGCGCCCCCACGCAGGATCCGTTGTGCGTCATCTCAACTGCAGACACCAAAAGGCTTCTCTACGCCATGGTTGTCGTCCAATCTCTTCTCGGTGGTATTGAAGGCTACACCAGCTGGGATCAAATCAGGAAGATTTTCAGGACACACGAACGTTGGGATCTCACATCATTCCGCAATCGTTGGGTTTGGCTCAAGACTCGTTGCGCAGAAGTGGTTGAGAATCTCTTTGATGAGTTCCAGCAAGCATACCTGTTGGCGTATGAGTGTGGAGATATCCCACCTATCAATTACGACAATGTTGAAGAGTATGACTGGGATGGCATTGTCAAGTGGACGATGCAGAACATCAGCATCAGGCCACCCAGAGAGGTAGAGGGCCATGCCGACCTTCCGACAACCCGTAAGGAGTTGGAGGACGCTTTCGTCATTCATGAGGTCAACGAGTGGAGTGGTCCGCCTAAAGAGTCATTGTACAATGAAGGTTGTCTTTCCACGAGGCGCAAAGAGCTTACGCAGCAATACTCGTTCTATCTCCCACTCACGTCTCGGCCAAAGCCAAAGGAAAAGTCTGCTTCAAGCCGAATTGAACAAAAGGTGCTTGAACGGGCTAAGACTTGGGTTCGTGCAGCCATCATGGCGCCTGAGGAGCAGTTCGACACGGAGTCTTTCGGCGAGAAACTCAAGACCATCGACGAAAAGACTCTTAACAAGGTGACGTCGGAGCTCGTCTCGACCAAGTACTTCCGCGACGAGCAGAAGGGTCGCACCAGGCCCGGCCGTAACTACGGCGTCGACCGGACCTTCCCCAAGGCTTTCGAGCGCCAGCTTCTTCCCGTCCAGCTCATGGACGCCATGCAGTTCAAGAAGGACCTCGACGACGCCTTTGCCAGCGGCGCACCGGCTTACACGATATCCAACGCGGCCAAGGACGGCCACATCCTCGCAATCATCAACCTCGCGCAAAGCGGCCTCGTCCGGATCAACACGGTCTTCCCGCCGACGGACCACACCATCGGCAACCCGTTTCCTCGCATGACCAAGTGGGGCTTCACCGAGGGCCACTACAAGACTGTGCAGATGGACCGCAGGCGCGTCACGTGGCCCCTGGAGATTGTGCCGACGGACAAGTACGTCCACGGCAATCTACTACTGAAGGCGCAGGGCCTCGAGGCGCTTCCCCCGCCCCCGCTTCCGGTGAAGGATGGCGAGCACGACGGCTTCGTGCCGCTGTGGGCGGACCTATTCAGCAACACCATCTGGGAGTGGTGGCACCGGGTCGTGACGGCGGTGCTGCACGTCGTCTTCGGCCGGCCGGGCATCGGCGTCGAAGGCATAGGCAAGGCGCTGAAGGATGCGATGGGCGAGTGGGAGATTGAGCTGTGTCTCGCTTGGTTGATGCAGGTTGGAGCGGTCGAGGAGATGAGGGTGGGGCTCAGGGATGGGGAGAAGCCGAGGGGTTGGAGGTTGGGGGAGTGGTGGTGGTGCGTGCTGGTGGAGTGATGAGTAGTAGTAGTAGTAGAGCGTATTATTGGTAAAAAGACTCATGAGAGAAGAAGCTAGGGTAGTATGGTTTTTGGGGCGGTATTTTTGGTTATTCTTTTCTATCACATTCCTTTTCTTCTGAAAACACACAAAAAGCGATCTTGGGAGGATAGACTTGTTTTCTTTTCTTTTTTTGCTGGCTGGATCTTTTTTCGAGTTTCTGCTTTTCTTTTCCTTTGACCAAAAAAATTCTCGGACGTACACATGAGTACTTCTTCTTCTTCTTCTTCTTCTTCTTCTTCTTCTTCTTTACTCTCATATTCTAGCGCGGAAAGCGTTTCGTTGTCCGTATTTCGTACTTGGTAGTAGCCAAATTAGCGGGTTTGTAGCATAAGCAGCGTGACTTGATTAACTTCTGAACATTCCAAAGTGACTCAGTGATGATTTTGTTCGGCTTCAAACAAGAACTAATAGACTACTGTGCAGAGCACGTGTGAGCTCTGCCGGCGTTGAAGTGTGTTCGTCACACAGCACCTTCTCCTGGGGGGCAAACTCTCCGCAATAGGAATTGTCTTGGGAGAGAAGTAGTGGAAGAGAGATGTGAGGATACGCAGGAAAATGAGTAATCTTAGTTTTGCCGGATCCGAAAATGCTTATGGACGTAGTACTAATTGTGTTGCTAATAGATATAATGAAGTTCAGTCTCTTGCGTGTGCGTGTATGCCATCGCTTCAAGGTTGAGCAAAAAAAAAAAAGAGTAAACAAAACGCCGTCGTCCTATGCAAATATTACGCTTTCCTTTTTCGTTTCCTTCGTCGTCTATATGCTTTCATGTATGCAAAATTTTATCACGCGTACCTCCTCCCCCTCACCATCTCCTTCACCTCGAAACTCGTAAACGAGCAATGCCCCACATCCTCAGGCCTCCATCCGGGCTCGACGACGACGCCCCACTGCACCGGCAAGACGGCAGCATCGACATCGCCCTCGGGCGGGTGGCAGGCAGCGCTGATGACGGCGCTACAACTACTCGCGAGCGGCATGCCGGCGGGATACCTGCGCATGGCGAGGCCCAACCCGCCAAGCACGATCAGGCTGCCGAGAGCGGTGGTGAGGATGATGGCGACGGGCGAGTAGCCGCACGTCGAGATCTGGCGGGCGCGTGCAGGGTCGCGGTCGTGCTCGGCGGTGACGGTGACCTGGACGAGGAAGAGGGACTGGCTGGCGAGCCAGTGGAGGAGGCCGCTGGCGACGAGGAGAGGGACGGAGTAGCGGTAGGGCAGGTGCAGCCAGTAGGTGCTGCGCTGGCGGCCGACGGGGGCGGTGACGCGCAGCGGTTTGCGGGAATGGAGGTACTGCGTCCATTCGCGGGTGAGGAGCATGCATGTGTAGAGGGCGTTGAAGCAGAGGTAGAGGTAGGAGAGGAGGGCTTGCGGGAGGTTGGCGAGGAGGACGCTGGCGAGCACGCTGTTGCCGCCCGAGCCTGAGATCAGGTTGTTGCCTAGGAGGTCGCCGAAGCCGGTGCGCCACAGGGCAGCGACGTCGGTGGGCATGCCGGCCAGCGTCTTTTTGATGCTGACGGCGCCGATTATGAGGGCGATCGAGTACATGAAGTAGGTGGCGAACCAGCGCATCTTGCTGACGGCGCCGCCCCAGAAGGGCCGCCGCGAGGAGTGGCGCTCGGGTTCGACGGCAACGGCCTTGGGGTCGCGCATGTCGTTGTGGCGCATCCACTCCCACTCCTTCTTGAACGTGTCGCGCGAGTACAGGCAGCGGCCCTTGGTCTCCGGGTCCGGGTCGTCGAGGAACGAGGCGAGGGCGTCGCCGATGGTGGCCAGGAAGGCCTGCCGGTACTTCCACACGATGTAGCCCATGCACACGGCTTTGATGACGTTGCACGCGATGACGGCGCCCGCGATGGCGAAGCTGAACTGCAGCCGGCAGTGCTCCTCGACCACCTCGGCCAGGCAGTACTTGACTGGTGACCCGTACGGCGCCCACTCGGGCTGGCTGGTCAGCACGTCGTAGTCGACCTTGGTGCAGTTGTCCTGCCATGGCGGCGGGCACTGCCAGTCCCACGCTGGGAAAACCTCCGGCACTGAGTGGAAGGGGATGCTGGTCAGGCAGTCGGCTTCGTTCGCTGAGTTGGGGATTCCATCGACGACACAGCCGAAGTTGGCGTAGTACTTCGTGTCGTTGGCGCCGCGAACGAAGCCGTCGAACTGGATTTCGTCCTGGACGACGAGCACGTTGCCGTAGTGGGCGATGAACTGCTGCGTGTAGTTGGTGCTACACGCATCGGCCGTCATGTTTTCGTAGCGCATCTTGCCCTGTTGGATGCTGTCTCTGAGTGTTGTCGCGTTCGCAACGAGAGCTAGCGTGTAATTCTTAACGTCAGCTGGAACGATGTGGCCTGTCGAGTTTTTGGTCCAGACGTAGTCCGGCACGAGCCCGGCCGTCGAGTAGTTTCCGCCATCCAGGAAGTCGGGCGTCGCGGGTATTACTTGATATTCGTTGGCTTGAATGTTGGCAAACACAACAGAGTTGAACAAAAGATGCAGCGGGACCGAGCTGACGGCCAGGAGAAGGAACAGGTTCCTGCGATCCTTCCCAATGTGAAAGAGGTTGCGAAGATTGGGCACGCCGATGTGCAGCCAGAAGCGGCGATTGTGCGCTTTGACCAGCTCTTCTCTCGTGGGAGATGCCAGCACTTGCATGCAGTAATTGCTGCAGCTGAGCAGGACGGTGCTGAGGATGTTGATGACCAAGTGGATCCATCGGCTAGCCTCCTTGACGTGGTCGCACTTGCCCTCGACGAGCGTGCCAATGCCGTCTTGTTTCTCGAAGGGGCTGAACGTCACCCACAACGTTACGCATACATTGAGGATGAGCACGACCATGACCGAGATGACAGCGATGATGGCGCCCGCCCTCCAGCCCGAAACATGCTGTTGCCGGAAGGTGCGCTGCCGATGCACCGTCCGCTTCGGCTTCTTCAGCAGCTGCTCCTCGTCGTCGCTTCCATCCTTGGCGCTTCGCTCCAAGATGGCCTCGAAGTTGTCGCTCAGCGTCCTCGAGTGCGCCCGCGGTCTGGAACGTAGGTCAGCTTTCGTGTTCCTTGCAGATCCTTTCCCCACCCACAGTTCGTTCAGCTCCACGCCATCTCCATCCTGCCTTCCTGACCCGAAGTCCTGCGACCCGAGACGGCTGTACCGCGTCGGCTTTCGATCCAAAGGCATATCAAAACAACGATGTAAGCTGTGTGCGAGGTGCCTGAATTTCTCCGCTAGCCCAGTCTCATCGCACTAGTTACTAATTATAGCATCACTCCGAATCCTTTGGGGGCCAAACCTCATGTGACTTCAAGGATGACGTATCGTCTATACTGCCTTATTGGTACCGGTGAAGAGCAAGCACACAAAAGTTTCGAGATATTCAAGACCCAGATACCCATAATGATAGCTTTGCCGCTCATTATGTACCATTTGAGAGCTTACTAGAGAATAGATTCAAACTGGCCGCCATGTCTTGGACATTGAGGAGACGTGGGCACACTTTTGAGAAACTCCTCCCATTATTCGGAATATTGTTTCCAGAAGGTGCCTGACGAGGTTGTATAGCCTTTTCATGATTGTAGGTGTTGTACCTATTGTTTTCTATGTGGTTTCCATACACATCACCAATTACAAATGGGGATCTGAGTCAAGTGACTCCATTTCGTTCACGTCCGAGTCACTCGATGCTTCTGGAATTCTAATTAATTCTTTCGTGGCAGCTCCCCAAGTCCTACTTTCCCCCTCAATCGGCTGTCTACATCCGTAAATTTTGAAAAAGAGTGGCATGGTTATGCCTCATGCAAGAAGGCGCTCAGAGTCACCAATCCACAAGATGAGCAAAGGAGCACGCATTTCTTGCAGCTCCCCTGCAGGTGGGCTATTCCGTTGACTATATCTGCTGGCGTTCTTCACTAGCCGCTCTCACAAGCGATTTTTCTCAGTTAAGTCGAGTTGCGGAGTTCGGATGGCTCACTTTCCGAGACAAAATCACAGTGCAAGACAGGGTGTTCTCTCCTTAGTCTCTTGATCTTTACTGCCTGTTTTGTCTGCTTCTGCATTGTTTTTATCTTGATCTTTTTTCGTGCGACGGTCATGTTCTTGCCGGAAGCTGGCCATTATAGCTTGGTAATTTCTGCAGCTTGCCATCCGGGTCTAGGCGATGCATCCTATCATTTGAGTAAAGCACAGTGGGGAGTCATTGGGACATCACAAGACGGAAACCTGGAGCACTGTTCCTTCAGCAGTGAGGAGGTGACGATGCCAGAGGCCGGAGAAAGGTATCGGTAGATTGCATCTACCTGCACACTACCGAATCCCTGCAATACCTGATAGAAGCCTGCAACTGGGTTAAAGCCTTTTTTTTTTTTGCTAAAGCAAAGACCAATATTATATGAGTCAAGATGCGGCTGAGGATCGGGAAGAAGCTTGAAGCGTGATGCTGAACTGCAGCTAAAGATTGCCAGTTATCCAAGGTGGGGTTCGAGCGGGGACCGGCCCTGTAGAATCACATTTAAACAACAACCCCGGACAGCGTCGGAAGCGCCGCTGATGTAATACAAGCTCTCGCGCTTACATCAAGTTAGTCACTGCATTATTTTAGGACCTGCTCCATCAACATTACTAAATTCCCGCATCAACCCCTCTTCTGAGCCACCTGTCAACCTCTACGATTCGTCGGGTTGGTCACTTGCGCTACGTAGTACCGCGAACGGACGAGGCTATCGCGCATTTGGCATCCGAGGCTTATCTGCAGGACGAGCGCAAAGCTACTCTATAGCCTAAATTTGTTAGTGCTTCCCCCTGGGTAATCGGTTTGTTCCGCCTCCCCTGCAGCTGAGTGCACTAGATATAAGCTTCTCCTAGCCCATCATAACGCTATTTTCAAAGCGCCTCAATCTTCAATTTCCGATTTACTTCACCACCCTCTAATGGCATTCTACACGCTAACGTGGATCGCTATCCTTCTTCAATCAGCGATATGCACGGCATCCCAGGCGATAGGGAATTGCAATTATGACGATACGCAATTTTCTGCCATTGTAGCCTTCGGTGATTCTTTTACGGACAATGGTGCACATGAAATGCTTTTTTGAATACCTTGAGAGCCAGTCGCTGAGCAGTTTCGACAGGGAATGGGTCTTGGATTTTGTCAAACAAAACCTGGCCTCAGAATCCCCATTAGTAAGTCCAAAACATTTAAAATGGACCTTCTAGGTTGGTGTGGAGGCTTAGGGTAACCGAATGAGCTTGCAGCTACAAGGGGCGTTTTTCAAATGGCCCCGTTTGGATTGATTACGTTGCTGCCAACCTCTCCATCCCTCTGATTAACTACGCGGTAGGAGGAGGCAAGTATATCGATACCCTTATTGAAAAAGAGCTAGCTCTGATATTATCCAGCAACGACGTCTTCGAGCCTTGTGCAGGGCTACACAGGACCTAACTCAAGCATTCCTGTCCCTTCTATCGACCAGCAAGTTGCCACCTTTTTGCGGAACCCCCCGAGTGAAGTTTCAACCGACAACCTCCTCTTTGTTCTTTACGGTGGTGCCAATGACATTCTGTTCAATCCGAACATAACGGCCACACAAAGCTTCCGAGAAATAATGGCCAGTCAATCCGTGCTCTCCTCAAGGTTTCCGAACGCTACATTCTTGATACTGGATTATCCAGACTTGAGTCGTATTCCGTATGCTTTCTACATTAAGTGGATTGATAAGCGAGAGCTTCATGCATTCAGTCAGGGACTCAGCGCTTTGTACCGACAAAGTGTATATGAAGACACATTCAATGGCCCATCTCAGCTTGTCTTCGTTGAGCTACCGGAACTATTCGACCGCTGGGACTACTACGCAGAACCCCGAGATTACGGCTTCGAGCCCTTGGGATCATATGGGAGCTGCTTGGTAGGCGTCTACCAAGAAACGAGTAACGTATCCTTATGTTCGAATCCAGACGTCAAGGTTTTCTGGGACGAATATCAGTAAGACCATAACAATCCAAGAAGAGTACTCATTCTGACTAAAAGCCAGCCCTACCAGTCATGCGCATTCTTTTGTCGCGAAGAAAGTGCTTGATACTTTACAGACGTACAGCATGCGTATGAAGAGGAGATAAACTTGACAAGCTAAAACTGGCTGCTTATGAAAGCGGGAAGGATTGGATGTTTCGATAAGAGATATCTTGAGAGTTTTGCTGGAATAATGGTACATTGTTTTTGGTCAAGTTTCCAATCGTCCTCATCACTTGCAAGCTACACCCTTCTCCGGTGCCTCCACCGCATCCTCATACCATATCTGCAATCTCTTTCCTCAAAAACATCTTCCACATCCTGCACTGTCCCGAACGCCGTCTCTGTCTCCGCCACCACCGAGTCCGCCCGCCTGTCAACCACCGAAAAAGATATCTCCCGGCCTACCCCTCCGACTCTTGACACCTCTGCCTCCATCGCCGCCACCCTCCCTCACAGCACCATGTCTCACCCTCGTCCCTCCCACTCCTTTCACCACCGACCAAATTTTCTCCTTGCTACCCACCCTTTTTCCCTCCTTTGTCGTCCCCGACGACGATGTCAGCAGCGGCTCCCCGAACGCATGCGCCACCTCGACCGAAGCGCCACTAGCCGACAAACAGCGGTGCGACAGCAATCACGTCAGCAAGTATGACAGCGAGCGCGCCGGCGAGGTAGCTGAGGTGCGAGACGTAGACGGAGCAACGGAAGTTGCATGCTGAAGGACTGGAGCAGCTATGCAAGCAACTGCAGTGACGATAGAAGCCAAAGATACGAGATTTTAATGTCTCACTCCACGCGTGGCTGCGATTAAACTCGTGTCATGGGTCCAGGTGTCATGGAGCTGCCTCAAAGTGGTTACTTGCAATTCTCTATTCCACCAAGCGCATTTCATTCCTTCTGCAAGTGTGAAACACATCGCAACGAGATTGGCAGTTGTAAAAACTGCGAGGATAATTTTCCGAAGGCCATTGGTTGACATCGACATGATTACAGGATGCGAGCACTACTGCTGAGCCAAGTGCGCAAAGGATTGCAATAGACAGAGATAATAGCCTGAGGACAGGCAGCCACCCCCAGAATCCGGGCTGCCACGTTTCTTCACCCTGTTGTGGTGGCTGGTTACAGGATTCATTGGGATGCATAGTAAATTAGAGGAAATTCAAACATGTAAGCTTGAAGATAAGCGTCGCTCTCTCTTCAGGATACGGGCCGCTTTTCTCTACGCATTCTGTTTCAGGGTCGGGAGTTCAGGTCATTATCTTGGCTCTACTTCACAATTACACGGCTGCATACTGCGATCATGTTGCTGCCTGACTGGGAACGGAGCCCGAAATCATGGGCCAATGGGCACGAAGAGCATTACGTAGATGCATGTGCTTCGATATCTCCAGAACCCGGTCTGGTGGAACGGGGTACCACAGGAGGAAGGAGGTACGCAAAAATAGATAAGTGCACAACGCTGAACCCCGCTAGTTGCGTCGAAGGCTTCTATCTATGGTAAAAGGGCACGTATCTCCATTCTGTGCGATGCTTAAAATTGGAACCACAGCTGAAAGCATGGATCTGTAGAACACAAAATTGCAAAATCCCGCAACACAAAAGAACGATGCATCAATTCACTGCCTCAAAGATCCAAAGATGCTTGAATGCTGTCAGAATCCGGGGTTTGTTTTCGTTGGATCATCTATTTTTGGTCTATACTCGGTCTTGTCTCCTAAAACTTTGATTGGAGCCGTACTAGAGAGTTCGAGTTTCAGAAATAAAAGAGACTTGCCTGGAACCGCAAGAATGCCGGACACCCGAGCGGTAGGAATGCGGGCCGTCAGCCAGACTCCACTGTCGGCCCCCACACACAATTCACCTTCAACCCCGCCTTTCCTGATAGCGTCTTAAACATCCACCTGACTATGCCGTGCATGCATTTGCTACTTCGATGAAACATCATGCGGCACGCCGCATACCATCCTTCTGCCTCGTTCCCCCATTGATACGATATGAGGGCTCAATAAACCTTTTATGTGTTATCTTAAAATATCGACGTGCATGTACAATCCAGCCCAATTATTATATAGGGTCCAAAAAAAAAAAGAAAAACAAGGACTGTTATTAGAGACAGTGGAAACTGCTTCGTAGCGCTGAAACGACTCGGGATAAACTGTATCACTGCATGATTCAACGACGAATGGCACGCAACACCAAAAGAAAATAGATCCAAGGCCTGTGGTAATGACGTCAATGTCCAGTCAAGGTGTTGTGGTCAAGTCTAGGGCATTATTCTCGAGTACATATTCTCGAATTTTACTAAGATCTAAGACATTGGAGAAACCCCGCACATGTAACATCAGAGATAAATCCGATTGAGCGGATGAGTATATGGCCGCTAGACTCTCAAGAGACTTTTTTTTTTTAAAAAAAAAGGAAAACATTGAAGCCCTCAATGGTTCTCATACTATGAGATACTACCCGTGCTATTGTAAAAAACGGCCTGTAAATGGCCATATACTGTGAAACATTCAGTCGAAGTTCAGCGAGGATGTCTAAGAGACCAAAAACACAAAAATTGCGGCCATTTGGCAGTGGTGTTGAGAGGTCATGGCTTAAGGTTGTGGTACCCATCGGGTTCAGCACATGTGTGACCGGGGGTAACGTTGGCTGAATAGCTAGAAAAAGGCAAAAGGATGTGGGGTGCGTAGTCGATGCAATTGCTTCCAATGAAACTTTCATTGAAGGGCGCCGATCGTTAAGTGGCAATCGCAAGGACGAAAACTAAAAGTTGAGTGATGACAAGCTCCTTTTGCCTCCTCGCGTACTACCTGTGGTGATCTTCTCAACTCAATGGAATAACGAATTATGAAAGACCTTGATGTTCACGGCACCTTTGTATTATACATTTCTATTCTAGATAACGTGAATAGTCAAGCATATGTCGGGATATGTAAATGCCTATATCTGCATTAATTTGTTCAATTCGACTGCGCGTGGAAGTGTGGCGTCTTCCACGAGGAGCCTAAGGGTGGGATACTCCGCAACTGGCTCCGAATTCATGTATGGAGAGGCCTATCGGGACGTACCAGATGGTTACCTGAGGAAAAATGTGTGGCTCACTAGTCACCTTTACAGTATCGTGCCACGCATGACGACATAGAGTTCTCCGACGCATCTAGTACATAGACACTCTGATCAGTGCAGAGTAGGAATACTGTTAGGGTCCACTATCAAAGGTTGTTCATATGCTCTTATGCTCGCGCACTTATTGTGTAGAAAGCCCCAAATTCCATGTCACATCAACTTCCGTGAAAGCTTTTGAGAGATACTCGCCTCCTTTATCTTGACTTGCAAGAATACTCGCTTGAAGAGAAAGAGCAGCAAAAACGTGACCAAAATGCTGCCAGAGAAGGACTCCCTCGAGGCCTCGCTCCCTAGTGCTGACTCCAGACGTGGCAGTACGAAAGAGGCCCACAGTGTTGTGAGGGATGCTGATGTTGCTGCTCGGTTCCTCGCATCCCTCGACGACTCAGTCAAACACAGGCCAATCACTCCGAAAGAAGCCCGCAAGGTCCTTTGGAAAATCGATCTTACCATCCTACCTCTGCTAGGGATATCAGTCATCATCGCATGTGTCGACAAGTTAGTCATTTCGAATGCGGCAATCTACGGCATGGCGACAGACACGAAGCTCGTAGGGGACAAATTTGCATGGGTTGGAAGGTCTGCCAAACACCAAACACCAACAAGCCATATGCTGATTCCTGTAATGCAGCGTCTTCTACTTCGGATTTCTCCTTTTCGAGTACCCCTCTTCTTTCCTCATTCAGCGCTTACCCGTAGCCAAATTCTTCTCGGCCACCGCCCTGGTGTGGGCTACCATGATGTGCTGTACCGCAGCAACCAACAACTTTGCCGGCCTTGCCACAGTCCGCTTCATCATGGGCATGTCAGAGGCATGCCTTTTCCCCGTGTGCAACGTCTTTACAGTCATGTGGTGGAAGAATCAAGAACAGCCTTTCCGTATTGCCTGGTATGTTCTGCTGCAACAGCCAGCGATCGCTCATTTGCATTAACGCCAGTTGCAATCAGTTGGATGTCCCCATTCTCGTCCATTTTCATCGGCATAGTCGGTTACGGGGTTGGGAATGCGCACACATCCCTCGCCAGCTGGAGGCTGCTCTACCTCGTCCTCGGCGGCTTCTCCCTCCTCTGGGCCGCAGTCCTCTTCTTGCTCCTCCCCGACTCGCCCACGCAATGCCGGTACATGTGCGACCGCGAGAAGTTCGTCTGCCTCGAGCGCATCAAAAGCAACAACACGGGCGTAGAAGACAAGAAGATCAAATGGTACCAGGTCCGCGAGTGCTTCTGCGACCCTAAAACTTGGCTGCTTATCGTCTTCGGAATCGCCCAGAATATCCCCAACGGCGCAGTGAGTGCAAGCAGCAGAAGATTCCCACTCGACAGGCACTTAACAAAAGCCTCACAGATCACGACCTTCGCCGCCATCATCGTCTCGGGCATGGGCTACACCCCGCTCGCCACCGCCCTCCTCGGCATCCCGACCGGCATCGTCGCCGCGCTCTGGGCCTGGCTGTTGTCCTGGCCGGCAGGGCGGCTGGCGCACGCGCGCTGCCTCCTCGTCGCGCTCAGCAACCTCGTTACCATCGCCAGCGCGCTGCTGATGTGGCATCTGCCGCGCAGCAACAAAGTCGGCTTACTGGCGTCCTACTACGCCTTCTACACGTACTGGGCGGCGTACGTGCTGGGCGCGACGCTGCCGCTGGCCAACACGTCGGGCCACTCGAAGAAGGTGGCGACCAACGCCCTCGTCTTCGTCGCCTACTGCGTCGGCAACATCGTCGGCCCGCAGCTCTTCCGTGACGTGCACGCGGACACCGCGTCCGACGATGATGATGATGATGGTGATCATGGGCGGCGGTACGCAGCACGCGGGTACGCTGGGTTGCTGGTCTGCCTGGTCGTGGCCATGGCGGCCATCCTGGCCTACGGCGCGTTGTGCGCGGTCGAGAATAGGAGAAGGGATCGCCACGGCGGTGTCGTCGTCGTCAGCGCTGCTCATCACGGCGAGGGGAGTGATGACGATGGGCAGCGGCGTGACGATGATGAGCCGCAGCTCGCGGAAGGGGGGGAAGGAGCATTCTCAGACAAGACGGACAGGGAAAAGAAGGACTTCCGGTACACGTATTGAGCGTCCACGGTGCCCCTCGTACGGAATGAACGACCCCGCACCCGTGTTCTTGAATGTGTTGAGGTCGTGGAACCTCTGCGTAAGGGCCACGCGCACGGACCACCCGTCCCTCCCGCCGGCCCTTCTCGGCCCACAAACGCGCACACCGTTATATTAGCAGCGCTCCAACGCCTTTTCCATCATCAAAGCACCAGGTCTTGTGGTCTAGTGGTATGATTCTCGCTTAGGGCGAACCCTGAGTAGCTTGCGAGAGGCCCCGCGTTCGGTAAGTCGTCCGTTCGAGTTCGGTTCGAGGAACAGCATCAACTAACAGTAATTCAGATCCGCGGCAAGACCCAATCAGCTTTCTTTTTTTGCTTTCTTTTTGGGACCAGCGGACGCTAGCAGATCTGAGGCAAAAGCATTGGTTTTGTAACCCTGCCGGCTGCTTGTGGTCGCCGTTTGGCGTCTGCAATTTTGCCCATCCGACACCTCACGCCGAGGAGCAAAAATAGTTCGTAGAAATTTTTTGTTCAAACTGAAGCGTTAAAGATGAGCCGTGCTCAAAGCCCAGGTGTGTACGAAGGGAAAAATGTAAGGTCGAATGAAGAATAAAAATGAGCGTGAGGGTGTCTATCACTCCGGAGCCTGCTGTCCCTCACATGGCATCCAGACTTTCCAGTCCTCAAAATCTACAGTGTGAAAAGGTGCGGCCCGGGAGAAGGAAACGCGAGAAGAAAAAAGAAAAGAAAAGAAAAGAAAGATAAAAGAGAGGCAACCCAAGGGAGAGGATTTGACGAGGCTAACGAAACGCATCCCCTCACCGTTTGTACTGCACATTGAATGGCGGCGGCTCGACCTTGACTTCGGGCGGCCAGTACTGTGCCACCAGCCGGGACACATCGCATGCGAACCCAGCCCGATCCAGCGCCTGCTGCACCGCCCAGCCGTCGCGATCGCTGCACAGCAGGCCCAGCTTCCATCTCCGTCCGTCCCCGTCCTCTCCAACCTCCCTCTCCGCGCCACGCCCTGAAGCCTGGACCAGCTCTCCGCCGCCGCCCCGGTTCCCGCCACTGCCGCTACCGACACCTGTACCAGCACCACCGCTGCCGCCGACCGCCTCCAGCCGGACGTCTCGCAACGGGCTGAGGAACAGAGCCATCTGGCCCGGTGCAGCGACGAGGCCAGTGCGCAGGCAGATGCGCAGATCGCGCAGCCCGCGCATCTGTGCCATGGCTGCACACGCGTCGCGCCAGTGCTCCCATTCCCAGTGCGCCCGGTCGATCTCCATACTGGGAATCGACTCGAGCAGCGGGTGCTGCCAGTACAGCATCGAGTCGAGCGTGGGGTCGTACCGAGGCTGCTGCTGCTGCGGTCCGGCATGCGCTGCGGTTCCCTCTTCCTCCTCTACGACGGCGTCGTCGTCGTCGTCAAAGTCGACATCCAAGCCGAGAATCGAGTCATTGCGCTCGTCGTCGTAGTACACCACCGTGGCTGCTTGCTCTTCCGGCAAAGCCGGCGCGCCGGCCGAGGCGCTTGCGGAACTGCGAATCTGCCGGATGAGTGCGTCGTAGTGAGCGAAGAGCGGGGCGCGGAAACTCCAGTGAAGATGCAGCGTGCGGATGGAATTCCAGCGCGGGGTGCGGAGATAGTCGTACAGGCTGACTATCGTGCGGGGCGAGGTGAACTGGAACGTGTTCGTCTTGTAGAGAAATGGGACGGCCTCGTTGTACCTGCGTGCAATCTCGTATTAACTGCCGTATGCCTACCTGTAGATATGATGGCCGTGTTCATGTGATCCTCCGTAGTGGCGAGGGAGAACAAAAGGTATCACTCTTCTTCCCTACAGTGCGAACTTGAGAGAGAAGAGGAAGCAAAGGGGCATCAGAAGTCGTAACTCACACTAGTTTGCAGAGCAACAGTACCGCAACCACGCCCCTTACGTCTGCATTCGCCCGTCTCCTCGCGGCCAGTTTGACGTCAAAGTCGGCAAACTCGGTTGCAGCCAGCAGCGTGCAGTGGAAGCACGAGGGCTTGCATTCCATGCAGCGCTGGCCGAAATACCCGCGATAGCCCTGTCCATGTTGCTGTTGCGCCAGAAGAGCGGTCGCAGACGAGGATGCGTGCTCGCTGTAGGACTGCGCAAGGTGCAGGTAGCGCTTGCCGACGGCCTCCTCCCAGATGAGCAGGCGGATGTCGTGGGGCAGACGCAGCAAGGCTGAGCGCTGCTGCTGGTCAGCGGGCTGATCCGTCCCAAGGGCGCTGGTGGCAATGGTGCGTTTCGGCAGCGAGAGGGCAGCGGGCGCGGGATCGGCTCTGGATGCGGCCGTTCGACGGGCAGAGTCCAGGTGGAGTTCGGCGAGCTGGCGATCCAGAGGTGTCGTGCCGCTATGGTCCGACATCGTTTCTGTCTAGCTTCGGCGGACTGTGGGTGCTCGAGGTGTCAGCTTCACGCGGGATCGCGAATGAGCGGTTTCTCCCGAAGCGGTGCGCGACAGACTGGAGGCCCCTCTCGCAGCGCACATTTGCAGGTCGAACGTCATCAGGCCGGCTTGGGCGCGTGGGAGCAAGAAGAGCGCGCGTGAAGTCGAGCGCTTGATCCCTGTCAAGTTACACAGATCCACCCGCTATCTGCTTCCGGCTTAGCGCGGCCAAGAGCATCGCCTCTTTGGGACATCTCAATGAACTTCCATCTTCCGGTGAAGCCGTTTTTCATTTCACGTTTTTCTTCCTACATAGCCACAAAAGCCGCTGCTCTCGCTCTCGAGCCTGGCGAGAGCCCTTCTCCTCTAATCTCCATGCGCGCGCTGCACCCCTCCCCGTCCGTCGTGGCCCCGGCGCCGCCGAAGAGAAAAACATCTCTCGAACCCTGGCTTTTGACCTCGAATCACTCGGAAAACACGTACAAAGGAAACCGCTGGAAGCCACTCGTGATGCTCTGCCCCGGAAAGGAAGAATCAACACCAACATGTCGAAAGGGAGCAAAGCAGCTAACAAAACGTCGACAATCGAAGTGAACTGGGAGAACGCCCGAACAATGTCTGCCGTCGCACGTAAGGAGAAACGAAATGAAGACGGGGCTGTTGACGGTCCGAAATCCCACCGACGCAAGAAGGTAATAAAAGGCCTGACTAAGTAGCCGTAGGCTGGAAGATGGCAAAAGAGAAAAGGAAATAATGCGGAAATGACTCTGGTCGAGGCCCCAGTATAAGGGAGAGGGAAAAAGAAAAGACTCCGAGCTTCTGCCGGTCCAGCCCAACGCACCAAGAAAACAAACGAGACTTTTGGTTACCCAACCACCGATGGTACTCCGCCGCCACAAGAGCTCATAGTACACCTCCAGGAACCAGCGTCTGCCCGCTTTGGCCCGGATACGTGCCCCCGCCCCCGGGGTTGATTGTACTGCTGTGTCCTTCTACCGGGGCCGCGTGTTTTCTCAGCATGAACATGGGCTTCCGGCCTTCCCGGTCCAACTGCTTGAATAAAATAAGCGGTTTCTCGTTTAGACCCAAACAACGTTCTTGATCGCCATGCACAATATACAACGCATATTGCCGCCAATCCGCGGTAATACCGTATTTCTTGAGTGCAACAGGGAGCACTTTGTGGCACGGATCGTCGATGCTGACTCGGAAGGATTTGAAAATTTCCACTTGCGGGTTTGAAGAATCGCCTCCTCTTGTAGTTCCAGCTGTTGAAGGGGCAATGGACGCTGTTTCGGCATTGCGGCCGGCGGACAACGGAGGGTCCCGATCCCGATCTCTGTCGCGGTCCCGATGCGAAGGCGCAGGCGTAGCGCCACGCGCAGCGTCGCGGTCGTAGTATGCCGAGTTGCGGTCGTCGTTGGTGTGAGAGCGAGAGCGGGTTCCGATTTGATGTGTGCTATATGCGGGAGACGTGGGAGAAGGCTGGGGATGCTGGTGGGGCGATGACGCGGATTGAGGACCGGAATGCGGTCCACCGCTTATAGTCGCCGTCAGGTGGTTCGACGCAGCCATTGCCGCAGCCGAAGGATCGAGATTCGACGTGTCGGTCAACGTTCGGCCTTCGTGGATTGTTGGAGATGGGTTCTTCGGTGCCGACCCCAGAAATAGCTTCTTCGTCGAGAACTTGCGCGAGAGACTGCTGCCTGCGCGTTCTTGCGTCGGTGGAGACGTGATATGCTCCCGTTCTTGACCATCCGGTGTCGGCAGCGGTTGTGATCGGTTCTTAGCTTCCCGCACCACTGGAAGCACGTCCTCGCGCAGCTTCCTGTTCTCCTCGGCCATGCGGTTAAGATCCTCCTTCAATGCCCGAAGTTCGGCTTCGGCGATGTGCATTCGCTCGTCACGGTCCCTGATAATTTGTATAATGCGCGCAAAGTCGTCCTGTGTAGGTGCGGTCTCCTGGGCAGTGGTCTCGGCAGCTGTCGTCGGCGGTTAGAGTGTTTATGGTTTCTCCACGCAACAGAAAGACCTACAGAGAGGGACGTAATGGTCAGGTTCTATGGGCACATTTTGCTTGGCCTTGACGTCGTAAACGCTCTTCAAAACAGTGAGACGGTGGCCAACGCTGTTGATGCCCATCTCCTTCAATTCCGCATGCTGCAACGCAATGAGCGCTTCGCCGTCCACATTTTCCTCTGCATTTCGTCAGCATCCAGCCATTTGTTCCTTGTCGAATGTGTACGCACCCAAAAACGTCCTCGCATACTGTCCCAGCCCCAGGTTCAATATCCAATCCGCAACCTGCTCCGGGGTCCAGGTGTTTATGATGCCCTTGGGGCTCGCATAGCTGTCCGCCGAGCGAGTAAAAGTGGTCGGGGTGTGTTCTGCGGACGGCGGCTCGGAGTCGGTTGGGCTAAGCTCGTGGTCGGGCGGCAGGGTGGGCGAGGTTATGACGCTGCGTTCGTACTCATCGTCGGCGTCAGAGTCCTCCTGGTATGCAGATCTGTATGCGGTGGCCATGGCTGCTCAGACGGGAGGGGCATCGACTGCGGAGCCAGGCAGCGTGCGTGCGGCAGCTTGGGCTGTTATGGGAGGAGGCGTTGTCCCGGGAGTGGTATGGGAGGTATTTCCGGGCCGCAGCTCTGTTATCGCAGGGCAGTGCCACAGCGATAGAGCCGGAGCCGTGAGCTTGGCCTTGTTCGGTGGCTGCTGTGGAGGAGCTGCCAGTGAGTTGCCAGGCGCAGCCAACCCTGCTGAGACGGAAGCGAGATTGAGCTGGCACCCTGCTCTGTGTAGTCCAGGCCTCAGTGTGCGCGTGTCAGGTAGAGTAGCGGCGCGATCGCCCGGCGCGTCCGCGTGCACGTGGGGTAGGGCGGAGCGGTGCGAGACAGGGCGTGCTGGAGGAAAGGCCTGGTGGGTTGAGCGCGCGGAGGAGTTGGCGCTTGCGGGAGTCGGCAGGCGGCGGTGCTGGCAGGCTGGCGACAGCGGCGTCAGGGGAGCGGCGGACTGCGGGCGCCGCGCGAGCAGCGTGACGTAGGCTGGCGGACGAGGCGTGCGCTGAGAGGAGGCAGGCCGGCGGGCAGGGCTGCGAGTATCGCGTTGGAGACACAGAGGGCTGTGGTGGTAGAGGCGGCAGCCAGGCCAGGCCAGAGCGTAGCGTTTCCAAATGCGGAGCGCCAGTCAAGGACGCGCATCAAGCACCAACTATAGAACGCCGGACTCTAGTATAGCCGCCAGTGCGACGCCCGCGAATGCCCTGCGACGCTGCTGCTGTCTGAGATGCAGGCCCGCCACGAGGGACACCCGGCCGCGAGCAATGCAATGCATGGCGCTGACCCTGTTTCCTGTCATCCTGTCCACCCATTGTTCGACTGCTGGGCCTGAACCAGTGCCTCGTCCGCGTCATTATTCCCAACCGGCTGCCCAACGCCAGCCAACCTCTGCCGGCTTCTCGAACGCAAGGCGCGCTATCCAATCCACCACTGCCGCACCCGTCAGTGAGAGTGAGAGCGAGCCAGTCATCTACGGCACGGCCCATCCATCCCGACCAGCCTTGCCTGTCTCCCGAGCTTTCAGCCGCACCTGGCCCACTCGTCCACGACCAGGACCCTCGACTGCCACCGCTCAGACGTCATCCAACCTCCCGAAACACGCGCAATTCCTCCGCCGCATTCTAGACTAAAGCTTGTCCTCTTCCAACGTAGCTGCCGTCTGGCAGATATTACGTACGCCCGCCGAACGCCTTTCACTTTCGCCCGGCACAAGCCGTACCACGGCGGGAAGACCCTTCTTTTCCATTCAGCACCAGTGTTTAGCCCCAATCCTGCGACAATAGCCCGCTGGCCTCATTGATCGTATTCCCCCACAATAACACCCTCCGACACACTCCGCCGACGACCCTACGGAAGCAACCCAACGAGCTTCCTCACGACCCGTCGGGCTTCCTTACCCGTCTATCATCTAGTCCGAAGCCAAGAGGTCCCCAACCTCCGCCAGTCCATTCACGAAGACCGCCTCTCCGCCGAACCCCGCCGAACAGCCCACTATTTCAGCAACGAACCAATAGCCAAAGTCCTCCCGCTAAAGCCGAAATCACCACCTGACCACGAGAGAGGGAAAAAATTTACAATAATGCCCTCTGCCGACAACAACCCGGACGCCGGCGCCGTTTCCTTCGCGCACACGACCTCGGCGCTGACGTCGTCGCAGACGGCCCAGCTGACCGCCGCCCTTTTCTCCGCCAACTCGATTCCGCGCATCCAGGCCGCGCTGCAGCACTCGCTCCAGGAGACAGGCTGGACGCACGCCCTGCGCGCCCACGTGCTCAACCTCCTACGCAGCGGCGAGTGCGGCACCTACGACGAGCTGATGGCTCGCGTGCTGGAGGACACGCGGCAAGCCGCCGACGGCGACAACAACGGCGACGCTGCGAAGGAAACCAACGGCCACGCCAACGGTGATGACAACAAGAAGAACGGAAATGCCAGCGGAGGAGGCGCGGAGACGGGCGCGGCCCGGACCGCTGAGAGCATCAGGATCCCGGACAAGGCCGTCCGCGAGGGCATCAAGGCGGTGCGGAAGGAAGTCGAGACTGTGTGCGAGATCACGTTCGACTGAGCGAGGCGATGAGGAAAAGCTGCCGGACCTCCTCGAACACGTGCGATTTGGGGTTACTCTCCCTCTTTCCCTCTCCCTCACTTTCGGCGGTTTAGCTTCGTTTGGCAGCGAGGACGAAGATCGATTCCTCGCTCGACGGCCGTTTTCCTGCATACGACCTTTCGATACCGCGCGCTACGAGACTCTCGGCAACGAAAACGAAGGCTGACGTGTACGACTGAACGCCGCTACCACCAGTACGAGGCATCGGCAATGATGGCCACGCAAATACAAAACCACTGCGACGCGATATACCCAAGGCCCCATGTATGATACTTTAGCATGTGGAAAAAGGAACAGGATTGTAACACTTGTGGGCAAATTTGGCATGCTGCAGCCCAGGGGAAAGAATGGCCAGGGAAGCACGTCGTTCTCGAGCGGAAGGGGGGAGTGAACGGACTCGCTTTGCACCAATCCCCAACTCGGATGGTGGTACTTTCGAGCCGACGGCATGGTCAATTCCTGAGCTTAACGAGAACGGCATTAAAACGAGAAGCGCATCAAACCAGATTCGGTATTTCGGTCTTTTATGTCTGAAGGATGTTTTACTGGTTTCAGTATGAAGATTAAAAAGAGGCACGGGCACGAGAAGTGGGGAAGATTTGTTAGTGGTAGACCCCCATGAAACTCAACAAAGGGTGGGTCGTGATAGAATCATTCCACTAGAGAAACTAGCAATGCACGTTGGTTCAAACTCTCAGACCTTCATAACTTTGTCGTGCTAGTTATTTCCTAAGCTACCATACTTTAGAATAGTTAGGCTTTTGCCATGCACTTCCTTCATCTTTTCCAACCACCGAAGTATCTTCGTGTAAAGAGCTACTCCAGCAATTACCACATCTTCTCTTCTCGCGTATGATGGCTGCTCGTGAACTACTAAAAGCACTTTCTGTATGAAAGTGGAAAGGGAAATCGTCTATGGACTTTACCCCAGCACCAGCGACCACCGTGAAGACACCTAAGGAAACCCGATCATGCAAATCCCATTATCTAACCGCCTCTCAAACAATGAGCCGTTTAGTCGTAAAGACCCTCGTCGTCGCCACCAGCACCGAAGTTGTTGTTGCCGGCGTTACCCTCGGCGCCAGCCTCGGGGAAGCGGAAGAAGCTGCTACCGCCCGAGTTCTTCATCTGCTGGGCGAAAGCCTCGTAGCGGCGGATCTCAACATCGGTGACCGAGCGGCGGGCAGAAGCCATGGCCTCCTCGAAATGGCGCTTGGTCAGCTCGGGCACGGGATCCTCGGCGTTGTCATCGTCATCATCCATGGTGGTGTCCTCGCCAGCGGCCTCACGAGCCTTGGTGCGCTCAATGTCAGCCGAGATGGCCTCCTTGATGGCGAGCTTGACGGCACGCTGGGTAATGAAGCCAAGATCGGCACCGGAGAAGCCGTGGGTGTTGGCGGCGATGAAGTCGAGATCGACATCGGGGGCGACCGGAGTCTTGCGGAGCTGGGCCTTGAGGATTCCGGCACGGGAAGCCTGGTCGGGCAGGGGAACGTAGACCAGGGTGTCCAGACGACCAGGACGGCACAAGGCGTTGTCGAGCTGCTCGGGACGGTTGGTGGCACCAATGACGAAGACGTTCTTCTTCGAAGTCATGCCGTCCATTTCTATCGAATTGTCAGCAACTACTCATTCGGCCCTGGGAATCATGCAAACTTACCAGTTAGGAGCTGGTTAACGACACGGTCAGAAGCACCGCCAGCATCGCCAACGGAACCACCACGAGCCTTGGCAATGGAGTCAAGCTCGTCAAGGAAGACAACGCAAGGTGCCGCAGCACGGGCCTTGTCGAAGATATCGCGAATGTTGCTCTCAGACTCACCGAACCACATGGAAAGCAGTTCGGGACCCTTGACGGAGATGAAGTTCGCCGCGCACTCGTTGGCGACGGCCTTGGCAAGCAGAGTCTTACCGGTACCAGGGGGACCGTAGAACAAAACACCGCGAGAAGGCGAAAGGCCGAACTTGAGGAACTTTTCGGGGTGGTCGACAGGGTACTGGACGCTCTCGATGAGCTCGCGCTTGACGTCTTCCAGACCACCGATATCCTCCCACCGCACGTTGGGCACCTCGACGACGGCAACTTCGCGGAGCGCGGAGGGGTTCGAAACGCCAAGGGCGAAGCGGAAGTTCTCCATGGTAACACCAAGCGAATCAAGAACCTCAGCGTCGATGGTATCCTCGTCCAGATCAATAAGGTCCATCTTCTCACGAATCTGCTGCATGGCGGCCTCAGAGCAGAGCGAAGCCAAGTCAGAACCGACGTAACCGTGAGTCTCAGCAGCAATGGTCTGCAGATCCACGTCCTCTGCAAGCTTCATGTTCTTGGTGTGAATGGAGAGAATCTCCAGACGGCCGGTGGGGTCGGGGATACCAATGTCAACCTCACGGTCGAAACGGCCGAAACGGCGGAGGGCGGGATCGATCGAGTTCGGGCGGTTGGTTGCGGCCATGACGACGATGTTCGAACGGGCCTTCATGCCGTCCATGAGAGTGAGGAGCTGGGAAACGACACGCCTCTCGACTTCACCGTTGGTCTTCTCACGCTTGGGCGCGATAGAGTCGATTTCATCAATGAAGATGATAGCGGGAGAGTTCTTCTCGGCTTCTTCGAATGCCTTGCGGAGGTTGGACTCCGACTCACCAGCCATCTTCGACATGATCTCGGGACCGTTGATCAGGAAGAAGAAAGCGCCAGTCTCGTTGGCGACCGCGCGAGCCATGAGCGTCTTACCGGTACCCGGAGGACCGTACATGAGAATACCACGCGGCGGCTTGATACCGATCGACTTGAAGAGCTGAGGATGCCTGAGAGGCAGCTCAACCAGCTCGCGGATCTGAGCCATCTGCTTCCTGCAACCACCAATGTCGTCGTAGCCGACTTCGTTGAGGTTGCCCTCCTCATCCTCGCGCTGGATGGGCTCGCCTTCGCAGTGAATCACGGTGTCCTGCGCAACAATACCAAACTCCGGAGGGTCGACTTCTACGACCTTGAACTCCACTTGTCTCATACCACCGCGAGCTGTGAAGAGGTCGCCCTGGCGCACGGGCCGGTAGGCTTCGCGGAAGTATGGTGCAAGGAAGACATCAAACAGGGAGCCGGTCAGGCCCTCGACGGTATCGGCAATGGGGAGGACCGCGATGCGTTTCGCCTGTCTATGAGTCAGAGGGGTGTGGGACGTGTAAAATTTGCGTGCTACTTACGTATTTGATGTCCGGGCACGGGTGGACGGTGATGACATCGCCGTGCTTCACGCGGAGGTTGTGGCGAACAACACGGTTGAGGCGGGCGCTTCCGTCGTCGAGATCGTCGTCAGCCAGGACGATGAGTACGGTGTCCTTTCTCTTCTTGCCCTTCACCAAGACAGTGTCGCCACGGAAGAGCTGGAGCGTCTCCATGGTGTTGTTCGAGAGGGCGATAATCGAGTTGTCATCATTGGTGGCATCGGTGACGCTGCGCATCTATTAGCAAGCTGCAAGGAGCAGCTTTCTTCCAGAACCGCAGAGGGCGAGCTGGTGAGCTACTCACATCAACGAGTTAGGCTTCTTCTTCTTCTTCAGGATGGCCGTGGCGACCTCATCCTACGTGTTGTTAGCTAGGCTGTTGCGTGGCCGTTTGCCCAGAGGGGACCTACTTCACGCTTCTCTGCACCGGAAGGGTCGCTTTGGAGAGGTTAGTATCAAACTCGAGATGATGCGCGTTCGACGGAGTGACGTACTGCTCCAGCTTGACCTTGTGCTTGTTCTGCGAGTGATCTGGCTCTCCGGACATGATTGCGGGCGCAGCGGGTAATCCGCAAGTGTCGGATCGGAAAAGAGAGGAGGGGTGTGTTGTTGAAGCTGCAGAGCGAGCGGGGGAGCGGGCTCGGGGGGTGCAGGGGGGGTTTGATGAAGTGTTGTGGATGGGGTTGGGTGTCGGAGCTTATGTAGAGAGGCAGACGCTGGCGATGATGTTAGCCGGTGGTTCTGACGCCCCAGCACCGAGCTTGGGCGCTTTGGCGCTATGCCGTTTACGGAACCTAGTTCGCCGCCACGACCGCGAGCAAGGGCAGAAGCCCGTCGAAGCAGCTGGACCACCTCTGCCTGGCGCTGATTTGAAACCCATCCGCCCGCCCGCCGTGTGCCAGGCGCGCGCCAGCTGGCCTTTTCCAAGTGGCGCCGCGCCTGCATCTCCTGAATGCGTGCCTGCATCCGCGCGGGGCGAGCGAGTCGGAGCCGCCCTGCCGCTCAGGGTCTGGTACTCGTAATGCTGTTCTGCCTAGCCGCGGAGATAAGCTCGCCTCACCTTCTCAACACCATGCAGTCTGTCCCGGCCGTGCCGCCTTTGCCTCATACCGCCACATCAAGTCTTCGGATGGCATTGCTGACGCGCGCTCTCCCAGCTAATACCCAAACCAATGAATTCATACAAGCAAGCCAGCACTTTGCGACTCCGCCGCGATGAATCATGGATATGCCCAGTCCAATTTGTTGAGACCTTTGGGTTTATTTTACGTGCAAACAATTGCTCCAATTCGCAACATGCTTGGTTCAAGACTTAGTGGACCAGAGAGATAGATGATACCGCACGTCAAAAAATCTGTCTACCTCCACTAACGCTGCTCAGCCGGAGCACTCAGTATATGGCCGCTCGTTCAAGAATTGGTACTTTCTAATTCATTGGTGGAAGAGCTCAAGATGGTGTTCTTTGACTTCGACAAGACAAAAGAAAAAGAAAAGAAATACAAACGCATATCTGTATCAGATTGTTCCGAAAGGCTTCCAGCAAAGCGCAGTTTTGTTTCCTTCGAAGACCGCTCACCTTCTTTCCAGTTCAATTGTTTTTGGAAACCGCAACAGACCGCTCTTTTTTAAATCAGAGGGAAAGGTAAAGGCCTCAATAGTCAAGTAACGAGGAAGATATGAGACCTCTGGCCAGTGGCCAAGGTGAGGTTGACGGCACTTTCGAACTCCTGCCGTCTGACGAAGCCATGGCGAAGAAGGGCATCTGCCGACGCACTTCAATCGCCGCGCAGCATTACAATAGGAGGGCCGCTTCACCGGACCTCCTCTCACTCACTACTTTACAACGTCGGACCTCCACCCAGCACCTCAAACCACGCAACCCATCCCTCGCCATCAGCGTAGACAACGGGAAAAATCCAGCCTACCACGATGCCAGACTTGCCCCCATCGCCTCTCTCCACAGAGCCACCAAGTCTCACTTCAGACAAAACTATATCCACCTCACCCACCGCGCAGCCGCGCACGCCGACCGACGGCACACCGAAAGCAGCGCAGCAGCGTCGCCACCAGCGTTCCACCGCCAACAGCCCTTCCTCGCCCATTACTACTTTCAACCCCGCCTCGTCCGCCGACCGACAGCTCGCCCGCGCAGCAGGCATGCGCATCGACACGCCGACGTCGTACCCGCGCCTGCTGCTCGAGCCGCACATCACCCTCGAGCTCGACCGCGCCCGGTTCGCCAACGACGCCGCAGAGGTCGACCGCGCCGCCAGCGCACTGCTCGCTCATCACGGCAACAAGCTACTCTTACGCACCACCGATTCGAACGCCGGCGACGAGAAGGAATTGGAATGGGCCGCACGCCGTCGGCAAGCCCGCGCCCACCGCGCCACCAACCCCATCAGCGTCGCCAGCACGAGCGGCGCCTTCACCGCATCCATCTCTCCCCAGGACCACAACACCGCCGTCGTCCAGCTACCTGCCAGCTTCCTCGACACGGCCAACCGCGTTCTATCCGCCGAGTTGGCGGAAGCTTGGCTATGGAACGAGCAAAGCGCCGACTACAACCAGCGCCAGCCGCTGCCGCTCTTCGTCTACGGCCACTGGATGTTCCCCGTGCAGATGGCGGCCGCCGTACTGTTCGGCGGCGGCGATGGGGGTGCAAGTGCAGAGCAGCCCACCGCCGCGGATATCAAGGAGTGGACGGAGCGCATGGTGCCGGCTGTGCTGGGAAACGAAGGGGCGGAAGGCGGAGCCTGGCACCGGTACTGCGTGCGCGGCCGTGCGCCGACGGCGGCGCTGCTGGAGAAGGGTAACCCGCGGCTGAAGTACTACATCCGCGACGTGGGCGAGCAGGGCCCCATCGAGGGTCGTTTGGTGCTGGGCGTCTCGGCGGAGCAGTGGGACGTTTTGGATGCGTTCCTTGAGGTGGGAGCGAACACGAGCGGAGGAGAGAGGATCTGGGGCAAGAAAGTGGTGCAAGTGGGCGTGAGGATCAAGCACGAGCGGAATCTGGTGCCGCTGAGAGCCGTGACTTATGTGTGGGAGGGCGACCCGATGGACTTGCACATCTTCAAAGTAGATAAGGTCTGGACCCCTGAGCTGTACGTCGAGTGGCATTGCAGGACGAGGAGAGAAATGGCAGCGGCAGCGAAGGCAGCGAAAATTGGTGGTTAGGGGGGCTCGGGGGTATCAGCTGTGCGTATTTGGATGGATTGGCATAATGCAGGGTTATTGGGTAGAGTTAAAGAATAGTGAATTAAAGTTTGTATCTATACGAATGTGCGATCGGTTTAACGTTGCAATGGCTGAGCAACATGCTCTTGCAGTGCCAATGTTTAGGCGGAAAACCAGCCTTTGGTGCAGGGCATTACCCCTTCCGGAAGCTAGACACACAGAGCAAACACTAAACAGGAGCATGATTTAGCAGTCTAAATTGCGGATGAAGACTCAGTGCAAGCTGTGACAACCTGCTTCCACCCTACAAAGCTGCAATACCCAGATTCTGTATTACACACTTGTCGCCGTTAACCAAAGAGCAAAGAATCGAACGCAATCTGCAATGGGCAAGCAGGTCTTATCTATTGATTCAATTCGGTGTCTAGTGCGTCTGTGCCCATTGGCGGTAGAAGTCCAAGCACTCAGCATTCGCAACTGATGCTGAAGTCTTGACATTCAAACCACAGAGAATCTGCTTAACAGCACCCTCAACCCTGTTAGAAAATAAGTTAGCAATCAGTTGTAGCGTGGACGAATTGAGAACACGTCAACTCACTTCTTGCCGTTTGTCGTGACCGGAATCTCAGGGCATTCGTCCACAGCGCCAGGCACATGACGCGCGCTCAGCTCCTTTCTCACCACCTTCCTGATGTTGTCCACCAGCTCCTCGCTGAACTTCTTCCCTTCAGCCATCTTCACGAACAGCACGACCGTCTCATCCGTATCCTCCTCCCTTCTCCGCCCGATGCACAGCGCGTCCGCGACATCCTCGGGGAAGTGCGCGAGCAAGACGTTGTAAATCTCGGCGCTGCCGAAGCGCACGCCGGCGGGCTTGAGGATGCCGTCGCTGCGTCCCAGCATCACCAAGCCGCCCGTCTTCGGATTGAACCGCACGAAGTCGCCGTGGTGCCATATCGGGCCGGCGCCATCCTTCGGCTCGAACTTCTCGAAGTACGATCCGCGGTACTTGCGCTCGCCCTCTTCGCCGCTCCAGAACATGACGGGCTGGCAGGGGAAGGGCCGCACGCAAACGAGGTCGCCGGGCTCGCCGCTCGCCGTCACGTCGGTGCCCAGGTAGTCCCAAGCGCGGATGGCCATGCCCAGCCCCGCGACCTGGATCTCGCCGGCGTGCACCGGTGCGAGCGGGCATGGCGCGCCGAAGAGCGAGATGATGTCGGTGCCGCCTGTGATGCTGCCGAGGTTGATGGTCGGCGGGAAGGCCTTATACACGTACTCAAAAGTGCTGGGCGAGAGCGGCGAGCCCGTGCTGTAGATGGCCTCGAGTGTGGCGAGCGAGAGCGTCTTGAGCGGCATGACGTCCTTCTGTTCGAGCACGGAGAGATATTTGGCTGAAGTGCCGAAGTGCGTGATGCCCAGCTCATCGACAAGACGCGCCATGGCCAAGTCGTCGGCGACGGATGTGCCCGGTTCGCTGGTGGAGGTGTAGCGAAAGGGCGAGCCGTCGTAGAGAACGAGTGTGGCTCCGCTGGCGAGCCCTGAGACAAGCCAGTGCCACATCATCCAGGTGCATGTCGTAAAGTAGAAGAGCCGCGACCCGGGCTTGATGGAACATTGCAGCACATGCTCCTTCTTGTGCTGGATGAGAGTGCCGATTGCGCCATGAACAATACACTTTGGTGCTCCTGTGGTCCCGCTGCTGTACAAAATGTACACCGGGTGGTCTGAAGGCAACTGTTTGAAGATGAGCTCTGCAGATTTTGCCGATGCGAAAGTGGAATACGCGTAAGCTTTCCTCGACGGTCCTTCAAGGGAGGCCAAGTCGACGTCCACTGAAGATACGGTAGGCAGAACCACGACTCCGCGCACAGAAGGAAGTGATGCAACGATTTCCTGAACTTTGGGGAGGACGGGATGACTGCGGCCGTTGTAAAACGAGGCGTTATCAGCAAAAATTAGCACTGGCTCAATCTGGCGCAACCGCTCCAAAACGGCGTGGACACCAGTATCCGGCGAAACAGCTGTCCAAAGGGCCCCGAGAGAAGTCGCGGCAAGCATAGCCACCAGAGCGTCGGTATGATTGGCAACATAGCCAGCAACTCTGTCTCCTGCCTGCAGCCCGAACTCGATCATGCCAGCCTGACATTGCTTCACCCGCTCCCGGAGCTCTTTCCACGTGACCACCTGGCGCGAAGTCTCAGTGGCAGCAATCACGGCCGGGCTGTTTTCATCAACGTTGACACTCGGGAACAGCAAGTTTTCGGCAAAGTTAAGTTTGGCGCCGCGGAAGAAGGCCGGACGCGGAAACATGGGCGCGGCCTCGTTGACGACCTGCAGGGCCGATTAGCCTGAAGAAAGCGGTGGGACGTGAGCGGCATCGGGACCTCTTCGTAGGGCTGGGAAGCCTTGATCCCAACATAATCCCAGACCTCGCCCCAGAAGGCGGCGATGTTCTCAATACTCCAGGCATAAAGATCGTCGTAAGATTTGAGTTGGAGATGGTACTTTTTGTTAATGTGTTGTAGGAAAGCGTGCATAGGAGTGTTTTGCGGCGAGTGGTGCGTCCACAGCCTTTTGGCCGCTGGCTCGGCGCCATTGGTGCCGTTGGTGTAGCTGACGGCCATGGTTGTCGTCTTTGAGTTGAAATGTTGGGGATTATTTTTTTTTTGTGTTGCTGACGCGGGCCGGAGGCAGGGCAGGGGCGAGGTGTAGAAGCCTAAGAGCCTCGGGAAGGCCTTCGGTCTCGGATCCCCGCAGTCGATCAAGCGGCCGCTTTCCGCTCCGCTCCGTGCTTTCCCGCCTATTCTTTCTTTCCGATCCCCTACCCGTCCTTGCCTCTCCCGACTCTCTCCATCAAAGATATCCTTCCGGATGCTTTATCTGCCAACATCATTGGGTGAAACTCCACTCTCTATGCTCCCCGAGTCCACGTCCCGCTCATCGATCCTTGCTGCAGCCCATGAGGAACATTTGTAAGCATGTCCCGAAAGAAGAGGGTTGGACGGGATGAAATAAATATGTGACACAAGGCTGCTTAGCTTTGCTGTTGAACATCCGAAACGAATCATCGCTCTAAGAAAACAAAGAACGGATTAGCTTCCAACTTGGTTCCAACTCATTCTTTTTTTTGTTTCCCTTCACTTCAGTTTGTGAAAGAGAAGGAGACGCAGATACGCAGATTCATCTCATTTTCTTGATCAGCTCAAGGCCCAGAGCCTCTTTATTGGTACTGTTTTTCCGTTACGACAAATGGTATAAGGCTAATCTTATACACGTCTCAGGCGCTTGCTCTTTACTTCTGGCAGCAGAAAGACGTGGCCGCTGCGCAAAAGTTCAAAATGTGGATCACGAACTTTATCTCGCTTTGGAACGCTCGCGCATTTCGCACATTCTCTTCCTGCATTCTTGCATATCATTTGCGTAGTTGCGCTACTTGGTGAAGAAGGCTCAAAGGGTACATGTGCTTGAAGAAAGTACAGAAGCACTACAGATAACTAATCGCTCTTTGTCACCTCCACCTGCCCATCCACTCTGTTATCTTATCATGGCATCCACGTGTCCAGAAAAGCAGCTGGAACGCAGCCCTGCCTTCGTGTCCCTTGGCATGGTCGTTCTTGATGAGTTGCAATTCCCATCCAGAGAGACACTCTACGATGTACCCGGTGGCTCGGGCGCTTACAGTAGGTCTCGGAAACCGAACTCAGTCTTACGGTGACTTTTCTGACTCATCATGGACAATCAGGTACCCTCGGGGCTCGGGTAACTACGTCAGCGGCTCAATCGAGGGCGGTCGCATGCATCATTTTGGCCGGCGATGACTTTCCAGCATCAGTCTTGAGCCAATTGCTGGACTGGGACATCGAATTGGAGATCCGCCGAGTACCGGGAAGGAAGTCCACAAGGGGTCTTCTCAAGTACGAAGATCTGCAATTTGGGCGTAGGTCGCTTTTTGTTTATCCGACCTGGAAGTTGGCTGACACAGACGAACAATCTAATCAGGCAAAACTTTCCGATATCTCACGCCGCCCCTGCAGCCTTCGCCGAATGATCTTCAAGGGTCGGTCCTGCTGAATGCCGCAGCCTTTCATGTCTTGGCCCGTCCGGAGGATCTCGAGTCTCAGGTTTCCGACTTGCTCACTCTGCGCGCAAAGTGCGGGGCCGACAAACGCCCTCTCATCATCTGGGAACCAGCCCCACTCTTCTGCAAGAGAGCCCATTTGGAAGCCCATATACGTGCCTGCAAGCGAGTGGACGTATTTTCTCCTAATCATCTGGAACTGCTAGCCTTCTTCGAAGAAGACACTTCTGAAAAGCCTTTCGATCGCAGCGTAGTGGAGTCTTACGCGCGGCGCTTCCTCACCGCAAGCATGCAGGGGGAAGCCCAAGGTGCCATTATCGTTGTCCGTGCAGGTGAACACGGATGCCTCACAGTGTCTAGACTCGTCGATTGTCGCTGGCTTCCTCCATACTACGGCCCTACTTCGTCGAAAATCATTGACACGACTGGGTCCGGTAATACTTTTCTGGGTGCTTTTGGAATAACCCTGCAGGCTTCGAATGACGTCGTAGAGTCCGCTATCCGGGGCACTGTAGCAGCAAGCTTTGCATTAGAGCAAGTTGGTCTTCCTAAGAAAGCCTCAGCCAGTGGGCGCGATACGTGGAATGGTGAAGAGTTTGCATCCAGGCTTCAGGAATATAGATCGAGGGTTCAAATTCAAGGCTAACAAAATACCGTAAACATGTTACGAGGTACCTGTTGCTTGATTGCACATCTCGGAGGATCAGTACCATAATATGTACATCACCAACATAATACTTGCAAACGACCGTGCTCGACGCTCGGTGAGAGGCTAACATGATGTTTTCTTGGAGTGCTTTACCACAAGCACTATTGAAACAGAAAATACTTGCGGTAGAAGATGATAAATATCATAATGCGTATGGATTGAGGTGTTTAGTTCAACGAGAAGAAACGCACACATATATGGATGTCAAGCAGCCGTATCATTGTATGTTGAAGCCAGAGCAGTCGGGTTGGACAAATACGAGCACTTCAAGACGTGAAGCGTAGTGGCTGTGAGTATGCTTATTTAGGAATTCACAGAACAGATGATGTGTGAGGCTTACTTATCTGCTGATTGGTACGGCTTCGAAGTCCCAATCTACATGGAACAGCTGCAGATGTTTGTAGAGAGGTGGGCATTACATCAATGACTTCAGCCAAAATAGAGTCAGAATCATTCTCGATTGGAGTGAAGTTACCTAAATCCCACTTAGAAAGTGATCTTCCCAAGGAACTTCGTCTCCTCGCTCAAGCCCATCTCCGCCACATACGCAGTGAACGTCTCAACCAACACCTTGACGTCCCTGACCCGCAACAAGCCCAGAACCCTCTTCTCCCTCAGCGGGGCCACCAACTCCTCCAGAAACACCTCCGCAGCATCAACCGCCGGGACCATCGACCTTGTAATGAGGCCGCGGACCATCGGCCACTTTCCCGTCTTGTCCTTAACCAGGTCGACGTCGAACTCCAAGAGGCCAAACTCATTCCAGTGAGCGCCGCCGACAATGCGGAGGTCCGAGCGGCACAGTGCGTGCGCGTATGCGCGTATACGGACCTTACTAACACCATTCTCCGCCTCCCGGCCCATCCTCTTGACCCTGGCGCACCAGCGCGCCCACGTGCGGAGCTCCAGGTCGTCCGGGAGGAACGTCTCTCTGCGGACCCAGTCGTACGGCGGGCCGCCGGGCGGCAGCAGCAGCAGGATGTCCGGGACGCCGATGGATCTGGGCGGGCCAGAGCCGAGGCCGGCGCCCATGCCGCGCACGTTGAGGCCGTTGAGCGTGCTCTCCTCGCCGATGGGCGTGGGCACGCCGCCGGTCACGGCCCAGCGCGTGTGTGCGAAGAAGACGGGAAGCGCCTCGGCGCGGGTGGAGCGGTTGACGCGGCAGATGGCCGGCGTCTTGATTGAGGGTAGGATGGAGGTGATGTCGGGGGTGCGAAGGTTGGGGAACGGGATGTCGAAGTGGCTGTCGACGCAGAGCTTGTATATCTCGGTGCGAACTTCGCCGGGGAGGTTGGAGAAGGCGAAGGCGTTGGTTGCGGGAGGCTTTAACAGCTGGAGCGACGTCTGTGAAGGCAATAAGGTAGCCTCATGTGTCCAGCACGGGGTGGATCGTTACCGAACCAGGAGCTGCCGGTTTAGCTGGCTTCCAGGGAAGAAACGCGCGCAAAATGTCGAAGCATAGGCACATGGTGGGCGTTCGGAGTGTGGAAGAAAAGTTGGAGATGTATACGAAAGGTCGGTGGTGTCGGAGGTCGAAGCTTGGAAGAGAAGTAGAGGTGCAAAGAGAGAAGACTATATATAAAAACCGCCAGGAGAGCAAACCCAGGACTGCACGTGGCCATGTGGAATCAATATCAAGCGATCAAACAGGAAGGAACGGCCAAATTAGGAAGGGGCAACCTATCCGAATTTAAAGAAACAAGGCAAAGCAGATACAGGCGAGCTTCAAGGTGGGCGCGGCAGTGGAAGAGCAAGCTACACACATCGCATGCCTTCCGAATCGATGGGCAAACAAGATCTTGGTAGCAGTATAGAATGCGGGAGGCATCGCATTTGGAAAGAAAGAGAAAGGCTAGTTTATCTGGCCAAGGGTATATACCGCGCAGTGAAAATCAAAGAATCATGTCTGCCCATAAGATGTTGGTGACAGCCGTCTCAACTCCAGGTCCAACCAAACTGTTGTCTTTTCGCAAGCGCCATAACGCCCTTATGTTTGTGTCTCTGCCGCCTCCTGTGCCCTAATCTGCTCCGCCAACCTCCGTTTCTCTTCCTGCTTCGCCTTCAACCGCGCCAACGTATCCTGCTCGAACTTGTTTCCTCCACCAGTCCCGGGCTTCGGGCTGAAGGAAAATGCTGGCTTCTTTCCTGCAGGCGTGCTAGGCGCACTCTTCGTCGTTCCGTCAAACACCCTTTTCTTCACCGGTGTCCCGCCATTCTCTGGCGCCGCAGCCGACGCCGAAGCGCCCGGCTGGAAATGCACACCAACTGACTGTCTCCTCTTTTCCCTCTCCTTCTCGCGCCTCAGTTCTTCCTCTCTCCTAGCCTCCTCTTCCCTCTCCTTGGCCCTGGCCTCCTCCCTTTCTCTCCGCCTCCTCTCCCCATCGCGCGCTAGCCTCTTCAGCTCACTCTGCAGCCTGTCCTGCTCACCAGCCTCATCTTCCCTCTTCCTTTTGGCACCCCTCTCGGCGCGCTCCAGCTCCTCCATCATCTTCCGCCTCTTCCCCTCCAGCTTCTCCCGCTGCGCCTCACTACGCGCCTTCGCCTCGCGGTGTGCATCATACTTTGCGCGTGCTTCGGGGTTTTGTAAGAGCTCAGCGGCGTTCTTGGCGACGTAGAACTTCTCAACCACCTCCGGGTTATCGCGGTTCTTGTCCGGGTGGTATTTCAGCGAGGTTTTGCGCCAGGCGGACTTGATGGCTTTCTCGTCGCAGTTGGTGTCGAGTCCGAGGAGTTCGTAGAGGTTGAGGTCGCTTTTGATAAGCGCGGCCGCTTCGTCGCTGAGATCCGAGTCTTTCGACATGGTTGAGGGTGTGCGTGAAGATGTGTTTGCGCGCGCGCGTGTGAGATGTGACGGCGGCTAGGAGGATTCTGCCACGTGAGGATTCCGAAGACCGTTGCTGCGAAAACGCGAGCGAAAAAGCAGTGTGTGGCGTGTTGGCACGAGGAAGACGGTTGATTTGCGTTGCGGCGGCGAAGAAAAGTCGCGACGGCCGACGGGAGAGCGCGCGCAACTTGACGTGCACTTTGCGCTTAATCTACCGATGTTTATCCGCATATCAGGCAGGGACTCTGCCAACCTACCAGCTACACAGGAGCATGATGGGCCATGATTGCATAAGCATCAGGATTACATAGCTCATGATTTGTACCTAATTAAAGGATAAAATCCAACACGGCAAGCCGAAAACTACATTGAGACCCTGCTGGCCGAGGCGGTCACGATTCGAGACTACCAACGGCAAGCCGTGTGAATAGCATGTACTTCTCTTGAGCTTGATATCTCCTCACGGTGACTTTACTAGTTCTGGAAATGCGGTCTTTGGGAGTGCTCTATTTGGAAAACAAAAAGGAAATAGAGCTAGTTAGGGAGCGGGATGGCATGGAAAGATGATGCAGGTAAATTAAGTCGATGTGGAGCATATGAATTGGTCTACAGGCGCCGGCGCGGTGAAGCGGGGGTTAAGAGGCTTGAAAAGGAAAAATTAAGGAGTGCTCGCTCCGATATAGGGAAGTCGGAAGGCCAATATTGTTCGTGGAAAGGCCTTAAGCGTGCAGACTAAGGCTGTAGCCAGCTAGATGTTCGGCGCTTCAAAGGGCTTGCGATGTCTGTTCGGATTGCTGAGCGACTCTCAGCGCTGATGGACAGATTGACAAACGCGTTCGCTCTGGCGGCAGAAGAATTCGCAGAGTTTGGCGCAGACCAGGAAGCCTATGGAAGTGTAGTTCTCTGCGTAGCAATGGGGACGGAGAGCAGAGCGTTTTCGGAAAACTGTACGGTAGCATGATGAATTTCAGAGTGATGCAGGTTCGAATGTTCGAATCCTGTAGAAGCGCATTAGCCCATAGCATCACTGCGCAGATAATTGGGGGGGTCCCGATAGTCCTTCTCTTCAAACCTCCACCAAAGCTGTCCACTTCCTGCACCATCACCATCCCTCCCACCTTTCCACACAAACTTGCGCTCCCGCACCAGAGTCTAGATACGCGCCTCCGAGCCGCGCAATTTGCAAACCCGCAACAGCGCCGCCATCAACCGCCTTCACAATGTACACCTCATGTGCAGCCGCCGCCGCCGCGGCTCCCGAGCTTCCAGCTGCCCCCAGCTCTTCCTTGCGCCCTCTGCCCTGTCGCGCGAACATCACGCTCCCCGTCCGCGGCGTCGTCGTCGACCGCGCCGAACTCTCGCGCTGGAATGCCGCCGGCTACTCTGTGACGTGGGCAATGCCGACTGGCACTCCCATGGTCGACGGTACGTCTTGCCCTCCCTCCGAATGACCTTTGCGACCCTCTCCAACCGGTTTCTGTTCTTTGCATTACTACTGAGGCCGAAAAAAAAGGAAACGATAAAGTGAGATTTGCTCACCGCTTGCAACGATAGTTCCAGAGATGAACCACCACGTCTTCGGCCACACGCTGCCGCCAATCGCCGCTCCTTATTGGCCTCTCCCTCCTCCTCCGCCTCCGCCGGCGCCGTTCTTCGTCCCAAACGCTTACGGTTTCGCTTACCCTCCCTTTCCCCAGCCGGTACCGGCTGCTCCTCCTCCGCCTGCGCCGCCGCCGGCGCCGCCTCCACATCCGGCACATTCAAGCCTGCATTCTCCACTTCCGCCGCCGCCGCCTTCTCCACCATCGGACCTCCAGGCGCAGGTGCCTGTTCTGGACTGTTCGTCGCCCTACTTCGGCATTCGTAGCGGCGCAACCCCATCTCCGACGCTCTCGGCCATCGATACCGATTGGGATGCCTGTGAGATCGAGCTGAAGAGTATCGTGTCGGGAAGCGATACCAAGTTGGAGGATATCGATATCGATGCCCACGGCACCATTGACACCCTTGCCGACGAAGCGTTCGACGAAGAACAAGTCGAATCACAAGAAAAGATAGACGGTTACGAAGAGCAGCTGAGCGTGTACGATGATGATTACTTCGTACCGCCAACGCCGCCGGAGCGGACGTGGTCGGCTGGACCACCGGCGCGTGAGGTGCCTCAGACCCGCCGCCGCTGGTCTGCACCAAGGCTTCCCGCGTTTACGATGGTTGGTATCGTTGTTGTCGACGATCATAACGATGTCGTGGAAAAAGCTGTTGATCATATTGATATGGAACTTCCGTCAAAGCTGCCGCTGACAGCTGGATCAACTTTGGAAAAAGATTTGGATAAGACTCAGGATATTGCTTACAATGGTTATTACGAGGTCCTGGCGGTTGATGGTCTGGAAAAGGCAGAAGCTGAACCAGAGGTGCAGAAGGATTCTCAGCCCGCGATGGGTGAAGATGACGACGAAGAGACAGAAGAGGAACCGCAGAAGGAAGAAACCCTTAAGCTCACGAACACCACTGAGGATAAGAAGAGTATGAGAAAGAAGAAGAAGAAGACTGGAGAGCCTGAAGAGTCCATGTTGGGGAACAAGAGCGGCTATTCTCATACATGGTCTTCCCTTCCCACAGATTCACGGACATTCGCACTAGCACGCGCGCCGGACGTCTTCAAGCAACCAGAAGAGACACATCCGCTGTCGCCTTGCGATAGTTCTGGGTGCGTAAGTGATGACGACAGTAGTTATTCAGGCCTGGAAGTTCATGTCACCGGCAACGGCTTGAGAAAGCTCAACGACAGCGGTATGCCTGAGGAGTTCAAGCTCAAGAAGTTGGATAAGCGCATTACAGCAGCCAAAGTGCATAACAAATCCTTGGAACTTCAGCTGCAGAGGAAGAAAGAAAATTCTGCGCAAATGACGCAGAAGTTGGATGAGATGATGCTGGCTCGAGCGAACGCTGCGAGGGCCAAGGAGCAAGAGAAGGCCAGCAAGCAGGAGACCAGCGATAAGCTTAGCAGAAGCCAAAAGAGGGCATTGAAGAGGCAGGAGAAGAAAGCCGAAAAGAAGGCCGAAGATGGGCGCGAGGGATTGTCGAAGGTCGCATCGAATAGCACGCTTACGCGGGAAGAACCGAAGCAGAAGAAGCACGAAGCCGCTGAATCTTCCCGGCCCTCCCAGCCTGCTCAGCCTGCTCAGCGTGTTGGTGGAATGAGGATGAGCACCAGACGTTCTCGCCCCAAGTCTAAGCCACAGAAGCATGTCGACGCGTTGGAACGTGCGGATAGCATGGAGCCACGCAACAAAACAGAGCGCGAACTCGCACATGGGCTGATTGCTGCTGGTATCAGGAACATCTCAGCTGAGGACCGTCTGCCGTCGGCAAGTTCGAGCGCTTTGGAGCGCGATTCGGATAAGAAAGAAATGGTCCGAGATACCGACGACGAAGCGGATTCAGTTGGCACATGCGATACAGAGACGGGGAGCGATGGTTGAACAACTAGTGTGTGTAACGACGACGCTGCGCGACGTCAGCTGATAGCGGCTTCGGAACAGAAGATCTGTTTCAATATGATCTTCGTTATCGCGGGTCAAACAAGTGGGCAGGCGGTGAGCCAGGGGGTCGACACTTTGGTCTTTTTTTCTTCCTCTCTTCCTTTTTGGCATTTCTCTGACAAGTCTTGTTTGATGGAACGGATGGTGCATGAGCGAAAAGCGACGGGCACCGACGAAAGCATTGACTTGGAATTGAATGGGAGATTAGTTGGGTATACGGGTGGATCGACGGCGTAAAAATAATCTTGTATGTTCGAGAACTTGATCGTGTTCTGCAAGCTGGCGCGTTCTGGAAGGCGGGTGACCAGGGTGCTAGTGGCAGCAAGCAGCCGTTGGCTGTACGAGATGCAGAAGATGAGCGATGGTGGAGAAGATGTGCAAGAATGCGGTGTGTGCAAGAGGCAAACAGCGCCCGATAGCCGACGAGTACATCTCGGGCCTCCGCACGGTCCGCTCGGCGCCTACCCAAGTGTCGCTCGCGCTCGACGACGCCGTTGAGCCGTTGAAGGAACAGAGGAGAAGGGTAGAGTGAGAGCTATCGCGTCTTCAGGTTAAGCTTTGCTGAGTTATCAGCGCCACGGCTTACAGTATGATGGGATGATCTCCCGTGCCGGGAGCCGGAGAGTTCAGCGCTTTCTTGGCCGAGTCGCTGGCGGCGCAAATGCAGGGCGCTAGTCTACGTCAGAGCCCAAAGCTAAAGCCAGCCCTCTCCGCACTTTTCATCTTCACTTCGAACCCCTTCTACCGCCTGTGACTGGCCGCGCTGCCGCGACTGTCGCAGAAAATCCTCTGCAATCTCTTTCTTTTTTCTTTCTTTTATTTCCCGCAATGCTTATATAGCCGCCAACGCCGTCCATTCCTTGTCTGCATCGCCACTACCGACGCTGCGGTTCGCTCGCTCACGTCACAATGGCCGCCGAAGAAATAGAGCCTGTCGAGGCCGTCGAGGAGGCCGAGGAGGCCGAGGAGACCGACACCCGAACCGTCCAGAGCTTCGCTAGCCCTAACGGATTTCCCCACGGCCCGCCCAGCCGCCAGGCAACCTACGAAACAATTGCAACAGTCACTTTGCCGCCGCCCACCATCCAGCAGACCAGGACCGCTGGCACTGTCGGCTCGACCATCCGCAAAAGAAATGAAGAAAAAGGTTTCGCCGCCAAAGTCAAGAGGACTTGGGCCAAATATGGCCCCGACCTCGATGTCCCTACTGTCTTGACTATGGGCAAAGGTGCTTTGCCACCTACCATTGCCATATCCATGTATCAGGGTGAGTCTTCTTGTATTAGTGCTGTCTCCTGCTAGCTGACATGCTGCTAGCTACTGATGTGGCGGATCATTTCACAACTCTCGGCTATCTGATGGCCATTGTGTCTGTCCTGGGCTTCGCCATCCTGCCGAGGGCTAAGTTCATGCAAACAATGCTGCTGAATCTGGTAGCAACGTGCGTTGCCACGGCCATGAATCTGCTTATGATGTACTGTGCCGTCAAGGCCCGCCAGCACACCACCACCGCTTCTACAGTCACCTCCGCGACTTCAGCAGCCCGCTCATACACCTACAACTCATCTGCCTCGGCCGTTTCTGCCATCTGGCTCTTCTTCCAGGTCTATTTCGTCAATCTCATGCGAGCAAGATACGCTCCAACCTTGCAGTTTCCCTCTATCATCTACACCATCTTCGTTGTCGTCGCCTCCATCTACTCCCCGCAGTTCAACACCATGACCCAGGCCATCTCTTTCGCCAAACGCCTGCTCGAGGTCTTTCTTACCGGTTTCGCCTTGTCCACAAGCGTCTCGCTCTTCATCTTGCCTCTCACCTCGCGCAAGGTCGTGTTCAAGGAGATGGAAGGCTACATTGGCGCCCTGCGCGGCTCGCTGCATGCCCACTCCAGCTACTTCCAGTCTCTCGAGATCAAGGACATGTTCTACCGCGTGTCAACTGGCCTATCGGGCGACAAGCAGCGCCAACCTGAGGCCCAGGCCGTCAAGAAGAGTGTTGCCGCCATCCAGGCCATGCAGGGCAAGCTTAGCGTTGATCTACCCTTCGCTAAGCGAGAGATCGCCTGGGGCCATCTGGGGCCTGACGATCTGCAGGAGATGGCGCGCTTGCTCAGGGCCGTGATGCTACCGCTGTCGGGGTTGAGCTCGGTCGTTGACATCTTCGAGCGCTTGTCCGAGCTGAATGGCTGGGACGAACAGGCTGAGGAGAGTTATGAGATTGGTGCGCGAGACATAGAGCGCAGGAAGATCGTCGAGGACTGGAATCTCGTCATGAGGGCGGTGCACGAGCCGTTCCAATCGCTCATTCAAGCCATGGACGAAGGCTTGGAGCACGTCATGCTGCAGCTGAGGATGAAGAAGCCGCCGAAAAAGAAGAAGAACGGCAACTCGAGCTCGTCGGAGAACGTGGATATCGAGGGTAAGCCTGACCACTCGCAGCCCGGAGAAGATGGCTTCGCAGAGTTCCTGGAAAACAAAACGGATCAATTCTATTCGTGCAAGCAGCTTGCGTTGAAGGAGTGGTGTAAGCGGAAGGGGATCGATGTGCCGGACGACTACTTCAGGAGACCTTCTGCATACGACGTGCATGACACGAGGAAAGACGAGGGCGATGACTCCTACAATCGCAGCCAGCGCTCGCTATATGCGCTGCTCTACGTGAGTCCTGCTTAATCTTAGGCTTGAGATGATGCTGACGTTTATGCCGCAGATCGAATACCTTCTTTACTCGACTAGCCGTGCCGTTCTGGAATTCGTCCATTTCGCTGACGAGCGTCGCAAGAACGGGAAGATGGACCGCAAGCACCTGATCATGCCTGGCTACAAGCGCTGGAAGAAGTGGATCCTCAACTGCCTGAAGGAGAGGAACGATGAAAACAATGCTGATAACGGTATGGGCGATCTGAATGGAGGTACCATCGAAGTGAACATGGGTGAGGCGTACAGGCGCAAGAAGGACCCTGAGCATCTGCCACCCGAGAATTTCGTCGAGAGGATGGGTGATCGTGTTAGAAGGATCCCAGCCTTCTTGCGTTCTCAGGAATCGACATTTGGGTTCCGCGTCGCCTGCGCCACGATGTCTATTGCCATCGTAAACTTCCTCCACAACACGCAGGTCTTCTTCATCCGACAACGTCTACTTTGGGCCATGATCATGGTTGCCATCAGCATGGTTCCGACGGCCGGTCAAAGCATTTTCAGTTTCGTCCTCAGAATAATCGGTACCGTAGCTGCCATGGTTGCAAGCTTCATCGTCTGGTACATCGTCGATGAGCACATTCCGGGAATCATCGTCTTCTATTGGCTGTTTGCTTCATGCGGATTCTACATTGTACTGAAGAAGCCACGCTTCGTTATTGTCGGTAAGTTGCATCATTGCTGGTTGAATATGAAGCTGTGGTTCTAACCAGTCATCTACAGGCATGATCAGCATCGTTACCTTGACTATGATCATCGGGTACGAACTGGGAGCCAAGAAAATTGGGCCAGCAGCGGCTAGCTCAAACGGGCAGCCATACTACGAGATTTACAAGCTCGGTCCCTACCGTCTCGCGACCGTCGCTGGTGGTCTCTTCGTGGCTTTCATCTGGACATTCTTCCCATACCCGATTTCTGAGCATTCGGAACTTCGCTCCAAGATGGGCGCATCACTATACCTTCTCGCAAACTACTATTCCATCGTTCACGAGACGTTCCGCACTCGAATCCGCGGCGCCGAAGGCGATCCCAGGGTCAAGACGAGTGCAGGCCGCCGCATGACAAAGGCTCGTTTGAAAGTGTTCCAGAAGCAGATCATGCTCACCACCAACTTGCGGGCTATGGCCGATTTCCAGAAATGGGAAGTTCCCATCGGCGGCAAGTTTCCGCGTGAGAAATACGAAACCATACTCACGTGCATTGAGAAGTATGCATCAATTATTCTACCTCAACCACACCAAGCTAGTCACTAACCATCCGTCGCAAACAGTACAACCCGCTACATGGCCCTCGTAGCCTTCGCCTCTCAGACCTTCGCCAACCCGGAAGACGCCTCTCAAACCGTGTGGAACAACGATTTCCGTCGTCTCATCTCCTCGGTCAACCTCACGTCGCACGAAATCACGTCTCTCCTCACCCTCCTCTCGGCCGCCGTGACCAACGGCTCCCCGCTGCCGCCGTACATGCACGCTCCGGCACCGTACCGGCTGTCACGCCGGCTGGAAGAGCTCGACCAGGACATCCTCTCGCTGCGCCACGTCGCGGAGCCGGGCTACGCGGCGTTCGCCGTCATCCAGATCGCGACGAGGTGCATCATCAAGGACCTGGAGAAGCTGCTGAAGACGGTGAAGGAGTTGGTGGGCGAGCTGGACTTCAGCTTCCACGCGGTGAGCACGGCGGAGTGCAGCAGGGCCAACAGCGTTTACCCCTTGAGCCGGAGGACGACGAGGACGGGGGCGGATACTGGGGACGATGATGAAGAGTCGGATAAGGAGGATTGATCAGGGGCAAGGGAGAAAAAAAAATTTGCTAATGCAGCGTTCTGCTGGCAGCGTTGAACTTTCACGTTTTCTATTGGATACCTATAACGAATTTAATGAGAATGAGATTGGATGGTCATATCACTGGTACATGATATCCTTATATTTCCTGCCGTTGGTATAAAAGTACGTATCAAGAACATCCACCGTTCAAGTAGCCTTACTTCGTAACGTTTTCCACAAAACCGGGTACTTCTCGAAGCGCAATATATCGTCATCCACCAGATGATCCGCAGCGCCCTCGACGCGCGCCCCGCGATCGATGAGCATCTGCGCTATACGGAGCCGATCATCATCCAGCTCCTGGCCAGAACGGGCGTAGAAATGGCCCGTATCCAGCGCGATGCGCAGCGCCGTCGGGCCGTGGCCGGAATTGTTACTGTCGACCTCGACGCCGGTGCTCGCATTGACATCGACGCCCTGTTGGGCGAGCAGCAGCTCCACGCCGGCGACGCTGCCGTGCATGGCCGCGAGGTGCAGCGGCCGGCCGGTCCACCTGTCGCCGGCGTAGAGGCCGGACGGCTTGGTGTAGCCCTCGCGCCACGTCGCCGTCGCCGCGTGCGCGTCGGCGCCGCCGGCCTCGATCAGCGTCCGGGCCACGTCGATATTGTGGCCGCCGCCGCGGTCGAAGGCGAAGTGGAGCGGCCGCCACCCGCGCTTGTCGGGGATCTCCGTGTCTGCGCCGTGGGCGAGCAGCCGCTGCACCTTGTCCAGGTCGTTGCGTTGGACGAAGTGGTGGAGTAGGGGGAGGTCGCCCTTTACTTCGTTCAAGCTGCCGTGACACTCCAGCGCGGAGCATACCCTTTCGAAGTCTTCGGACATGTCTGTAGAGGCGGGTGGACTGAGATGTGCTGTCCAGTGGCCATCTCGTTTGTGGGAATCGGCGTACTGAAGAAGACAGTGGAGCGTTTTGCTCCGTCCGTTGATGACGGCATGGAGGAATGCGTCGAGTCCAACTGTATCCGTCTTGAATGGATCGGCTCCCGCATCAAGGAATGATTGTGTGATCTGTTCAGAGTCGACACGTTGGACTATGCTAAGAAGCATTGTTCGCTTGTAATATTCATCTTCAGCGTTGATGTCCACTTTAAGCCTTGGGAGCTCGTTCAAAATGAGCGCAAGATCGTCTGGAGATTCAGAAAGCCTGTCGCTATCGAAGATATAGCCAATCGAGTATGTTTCCGGCGAGAGCCAGGCACCGCGGTCAAGGAGGAATCGTGTCACCCTCGGTTGCAGCTCAAAGACAGCCAAGAAGAGCAAGTGGTCAAGCGGGTAGGTTGTGTTAAAAGTAGCGCCTCGAGCCTCAAGCAGTGCGAAGGTCCTCCAGTCTGCGGCTTTCAAGGCTAGAGCGAGAGGCGTGAAGACGTATTCGATAGAAGTGTAGGTGGTCTCATTTGGCCTGGTCCTCATTTGTTGACCCGGTGGCGCAGTCCAATCTGCGCTCATGGCACCCGGACCATACTTTTCTGTCAGCAAATCAATCATCGCTTCGATTTCTTCTGTCTTGAGCTCATTGCGGTCCCTGTCAGCAAAGTGGTGGAACGCATTTGCCCCTTGTTTGTCGATAGTAGCGTCCCCACCGGCATCCACCACCATCTTGACCACCTCGAGATTGCTATATCTGACAGCGTAGTGTAACGCATTTCTTCCGCGTCTGTCTTTCGCTTGCATCTGCGCACCAGCATCAATCATTTGTTTGACAATTTCTGGGCGACGACTCCTGATGGCATAGAACAAGCACGTTTTACCACCGTGATCCTTCAAATTGACATCGGCATGGCTTGCCAGTAGTAGCTCAACCATACGAGAAGCAGGCGATTGGTCTTTAGCATCCTCTTCCGAGAATTTGAGGCCACACGCCAGCATCAGCGGGGTTCTTTGGACGCCTTTCTCTTCAGGGAGCTCCTCGTCGTCGGACCAGTCGTCCCACCTATCTGACGGTTTCGACTTTGTCTTTGCATCTGGATCAGCATTCCACTCCAATAGCATAGCCGCCGTGTCATAGAACCCGTTAATCACAGCTGAATGGAGTGCCGTGTGACCAAGATGGTTTCGTAGCGACGTGTCAGCTCCGTGTTGCAAAAGGATCTCGGCGAACTGAGGGTCTTTCCTGAATGCTGCTGTATGCAAAGGAGTCCTACAGCCCACCGGAAAGTTTACGTCTGCCCCAAGCTCTATCAAAAGTTTCAATACCAGTGGTTGCGCCGCCTTGATGGCAACGTGCAGAAGTCGAGATTTCCAGTTGTCTGCAGACGGTGATGGCTGCCACGAGTAATGTTTGAGATAAGAAGCTGCGCCATTGACTCTCTCTGCCTTATCCGCTAGTCTCCAGATATTGTTCAGGGTTCGGTCGAAGTGGCCAAGAGACCAAAGCTTGTCGTAGTCCTCGAGGGCCATGTCAGGTTTGGAGAGGAGGCTCGGAACACCAGCACGCTTCACGTCCGCGGCTATTTCAATTGAGGCTTGAACATACTCACGTTCTTGTTCGAAACTCAATTCGTTGTTGAGGTTTTCCGAATCCTGCTTCGCTTGCGCAAGACAGCTCTTGTAATGCTCTATCAGGGGTTGGACTATGTTGAAATGCCGCCTCGAAATGGCATACTTTAGCGTCGTCCACCCGCTGATATCGCGCACAAGATGGTTTGCTCCGCTCTCCAACAGTTGCCGTAGAACTCCAGCATCACCGTTGAATGCCGTCCAGAAAAGCGGGGTCCAACCTTGAGAGTCTCTTGCGTTAAGGTCTGCTCCACCATCAATCAAGACTTTGGTAACAGCCATGTTGCTGTTGGAGGAAGCCCAATGGAGTGGAGTCCACTTCTGGGAATCAGCAGCAGATGGATCGTCTCCGCGTGCAAGCAAGGCGAGTGCTGTTTTCTCCAGATCCCAGTAAGCTGCAATGTGCAAAGGTTGCTGGTTTCGAGGCGTCAACTGGAACGAAGCCTCGGCGACGCTCCGGCTTTTCAATTCGTGGCGGTACTGCAGGATCTGGAAAGAGCTGCTGCGCAAGGCCTCGTCATCTACGAGGGACATGATTAAGCTGCTCAGTTGCTCTTCAAAATTTGCAGTCTCGATATGCCTGCCCCAGTGTCGGGCAGCGTATGGGAGGAAAGGTAGTTTCCTCAGTCGATTATCAAGCTCTTCCAGGCTCTCGCATGGCCCGGCCATCATCTCTCGGCTGCTGAGGTAAAGCAATGACGTCTTTGCAATGTCCATCTGGATGGATGTGTATTCGGTGCTGTAGTGGCTGCGGAAGAACTCGTACGCTGAGGTGTGAACCATGCCGATGGTCCCGTCTTTAGGATTTTCGGCAACCAATCCGACACACACCTTCAGGAGCATCGTCAAAGGCGGGCAATTTTCTTCGTCGATATCATCACCCATTTCGTCCTCCTCAACTGCGAAGGCATGCATAATTTCGTTCGCCTTCAATCGTCGGTGGGAGTGTGTGATCCAGCGAATGAGCCGGTGGGCCAATCCCCTCCTGTCTTTTGGCTGGGCGTCGATTCTTTCGAGACTAGTCTGGAAGGCCTCTTTTACGGATTCAGGAAGTGACTTTACTGTCTTTCGAATCTTCCTCAAGGTGCTTAACTCGAGCAGTTGATCCAGAAACAGTTTTGCGAGCAGAAATATCCCGTCGGCCTTGAGGATGACTGCATCAACAATGTCATCGATGGCAGCCAAAGCATCGCAAAAGTCACTCTCGGCAAATCGAGCTTTGATATACGTCGCCAAATCCTCCCGGCTCGCGCTTTTGATGTTGACCTGCTTGTCCGTTGAAAGCGGTCCACGAATTTCTGGGATGTCTCTGCTTGTCACACAGACCTTGCAGCCGGCTTTGACAAAAGACTGAAGAAGAGAGACAACCTCTTTGGGGGATTCGAGTTCATCGGGAGCGTCCAAGACCAGAAAGATGTCTTTCTGGGTTAAAGCTGCCGAGAGGAAGGCTTGTGCGAGATTTTCCACGGCGAAGTTCCGGCCTACGCTTTGGCGTTTCTCATTCAACGCAGCCAGCATAGAGGAGTCAGCCTGCTCCGCTGCTTGGAGCAAGATATTTCTGAGTATGGCGGTGGTGCTTTGCTGCTTTTGAGAGGAAAAATCGCAAAAGAAGTAGGTGATGCAGGCAGAGTGATCCTCAGAAAGATCTCGAATGACGTGCGACCTGTATCTCTAGAATCAGCAACAATTCAACGTGTGGATGCAAATTTTCGTACGCAAGTAGTGACTTTCCAACACCGGCTAGGCTCAGTCAGTGTGGGTATCTTTGACTAATACTCTCATACACTTACGAGGCCCATAACACCACAATATCGAAGGTGCACCGTCACGCCAATCCCGATAAGCATCACAATCAAGGAACCATTTACCGGTTCCAGGGTGTGGGAATGGAATGGACTGAGAAGCAGTCGTTTGGCTTTGCAGCCATGTTCTCAGCGTTTCTCGATCTTTCTCTGTCCCGATGTTAGCCACCGTGAAAGAAGATTGCAGGTTGGAAGCTACCTTGATTCAAATCCTCAACTTTACGGTGCGTAGCAGTAGTCGTAGTCCTGCGTTGTTCAGCCACAACAAACGTTGGCTGCTCGCCAGTAGCACTTACAGCACGTTGGAGGTCAGGAAGGCCGTGAAGATGGCGCTAATTCTCTGCAGAGCATCGACATGTTTCCGCATTTCCTTTTCTCTGAAAGGCCAAATCAGCTTGGATGAGTGTTTTTGCAGCTCGGAGCGGAGCTCGAGCAGCTGCACGTGGGACTCGGACACGACATTGGCAGAGAGGGCGGCCGGCCGATGTGCCACCAAACCGAGAGACTCGGCATCCTGAGACACCTCCTCAGCTTGCAGCAGGATGCTCGTCAACGCCAGAAGCTCCTGTTCAAAGCGTCTGCGTGATCGATCGGCAGACTTGACATCAGATATGTAGCTGTGGCTCAGGTTGACAATCTGCCAGGCCAGCGTAACGAGGCCCGCAATGCCGGAAGCGATGCCGATCGGATCGGCCATGGCGTACCCGAGGGGAAAAGAAGCTCAATGAAAAAGGTACGTTTGTGGCGTCTCTTTTCGTTTTCATCTCTCCGCGCTCTAGGCAGCAGTGAGGCTGTGCGGGGTAAGCAGCCCAACTCATGGCTGATCCTCCTGCCGTTGCCATTCGTTCTTCATGTTGGAAGCAAAACTGTATTTCTCACACCTGGTCAATCCTGCTTTTCAATCCGCATTCCTTATTCTCTCTTCATTTCAGTTTGTTCTGCGATCCTTTACTACTCAGCCAGAGCCTTCACAACAAATACGCTGGGTAGTTAATGAGTGGAAACGGTAAAGTTGCAAAGCGTTGGTTTCGGGCCGAGCCGACACGGCCCGAAACCGGCACCGGGAACAAAATTGTTGACCTTCGCGTTGAGCAAAACAAAACACAAAACGTACAACAGCCGGGATTCCCCAATGGTCACCCACTTGAGTACTAATCGGCCGGTTCGCAGCTTAAGTACGGCTGAGCGGACGGGAAGCCCTGCATTCTGCGACCTATGGTCGTACGTAACAGATGGTGTTGCTGAGAGAAATTATAAAGAGAGAAACTTCCCGGCGCGCACCAACGATGCGGAAGGAGGTACTTCTTCTCGATGCTGAGAAAGATATGAGACTGCAAATTGGTAACTGCGTTTCATCACTGAAGGAATCACTGGTGCTACGAAATTTCCCTACTCTCCGAAATCGAGCTTCGAAAGGCGCCGTGGCCTTAAGAGTTGTTTTATGTAAAATCTGGTCGGCTTTCAATGCAAACTCGTTGCTATGAAGTATACAATTCAAATCAATCGTGAGATTTATTCTCTGATTTGGGAATGAATCTATTCCCGCAAACGGTACAAGATCTGCAATGCATTGTGACTTTATCTAAGAAAGACTTGAGTCTCGCGTCCAGAAGAGACAGCCTCGCCTTGCATGATTCCTTGCACATAACAATCGCCGACGACGATGTGGCGATTGGGGTCTCGCACTTTGACTCTTGCGTCTCTATTAACGAACCCCTGCGGTGTAGACATTCTTGAGTTGTGGCCCAGCGGTCGTAAGATGAACGGAACTTTGCTTCCAAAGAGCACCCAAACTTCGTCTCCCGGAAGCATAGTAGCTGGACCAAACCCAAGTAGTCCATCGCTGGTAGTGAAGAGCCTTCTTCCAAGTACATGGTACTCGATGTTGTCTTTGAGCCATTTCTGCGTGCTGAATGGTGTGTGACGAAGATTGAATATCCACTCCTTCAGCGTGTCGAGCTCCTGCTTGCTTGGTTCCCGCGGCGTATTGGAGCCCATTGTGTGGTACCGATCTCCAAGGGCTGCGCGCAAGAATGCGTATTTCAAGCTCCCTCCTCTTGGATACGCAGAGTTCTTGCGATTAGCAAAGTCTATGGGGACCGAACAGTCGGAAAGGTGGCTTCTGATAGCTTCGCAGTCTCGGACATAGTCGATTCCTGGACCCACTTGGGCAACCTCACTGACTTTGAGTCCTACGAGAGATATTGTTCGAATGCTGAGCACCTGAACAGAGGCCTTTCTGGAATCACAGGCGTTGTAGGTTTTCCGAGAAGTATCCCTGAGGCCCTCCATATGCTGCTCGAATGAATTCATTCTTCGATTGAACCTCGTTGCCCATGAGGGGAAAGTCTCTACGTCATCCTCATTTCGGCCACCATACATGACGGCGAGCGGATTCTCCTCCCATGGCGAAGTTAAAAGGTGGACACTAAGATTTCGGTACAAATCCTCGGTGTGAAGGTTGTAGTCGGCTGAAAGAGGTCTTCTCTGTGTGTCGAATAGCCCGAGGAATGCGTAGACCTTATCCCTTTCGTCCCCGGCCTCTCTTTTGCTGAAACGACGTGTCAGCTGGATGAAGTCGAGGGTTTGGTTCGAGACTTTGTTTCGAGTATCATGGAGCACGAAGATATCCCGGTGAAAGCGGTAGAGTATGGCAGATGTAGGCCTTCCGTGGGTGTCGAATTGTAAGGCACTAACGATGTTCTCGTATATGGAGTGACAGCAACTGTCTCTGTGAATTGCCAAGTTATGGTGAGCGTCGATGAGAGAGTCCCAAGGAAGCCTGATTGATCCACACACAATCATCGTCTTTCTCGGCAGCACTGCCTCCTGGATCGTCCATGTGCGGGACCACCATGCCCGGCGTAGTAAGGCCCCAATAGCCTGTATGGGCTCGACAAAATTTCTCTGTTCGACGTTGGAGGGCGAAGTCAGGTTAAGGAAGCCCGGGATCTCGTACAGGTGCTTCCCTGTTGCCAGTATACCGAGGAGAGTAAAGGCCTCTGAAATCCTCGGGCGTCGTCCATGCCATTTGCACAGGCGTGATGAGCCTTCGCCACTTGGTCCGTAGTATTGAGACGGTCTCGGAGAAGTGATGTGGCCGTCCTCACAGGCCCCAAAGATTTCCGCTTCACACCACCTGTCACTGTCTTCCGACTTTCCGCCGATCCAGAGCAGGCAAGTTGAGCAAGCTGTATATATGTCTCCCATCATGCTGACTTGCCATGACTTTTCGTCCTTGTCTTCTTGATCAATGCACAAAGCATCTACCCAAAGGACACGCTTCTCGATCTGGCTTCGCAAATGCTTGAGAGCTGAAAAGAGATTGACAGTGACTTCAACGACATGGCCGTTGAGTTGAATAGGCTCTTTCGCCCGTGCATCTCCCCAAGCGTATGACAGCGTTTCATACCTGGGCAAGTCGTCTAGTGAAACTACCCGGATGGTACATGATATAGGCTCATCCCAGAAACCAGGCTCTAAAGTGATTAGACGAATGTCCTTACTGCTTTCAGCGACCGGATATTGTCGGTACACGACTGATCCCATCGTCGTGTATGAACCACAGTTGCCGGATCGTAGCTGTCGCAGTTGTTGTGGAACTGGTTACGGTGGAGGGATCGTCGATGGACAATGGTCGGAGGTGTTGCGGGGTTACGCGAGCTTTTCAGCTTCGAGAGATAGGCGTCCGCCTCCTCTTTCAGCCTTGTACAGCCATAGTGACTTAACCAATCAAAGGTGATTCGGCTGGTGGGGGCCAAAAATAGTCAAGCCACGGCGAGGGCATATTTATTACGGCTTTGAGTTTTGGTCCATAGCTTTCTACGAGACATTTTCCGCCTCAATAACACCCGGCGAGAGTTGCTGGCTGACATACTACGTCATCGCTTACCTGCTACGGCATTCCAATGCCAGCCAATACTGCATTCTGATGCTCTGGTTGACAACTAGTCCCCGCACCAGCTGAAAGGAGGGGTAAGCATATAAAGTATAGGCAAGCACGACTTCCCCGCCCGCAATTTATAACCGCATCACAAGAACACTTGTGGAATCAGTTTCAGTGATCCAGCACCACATCTCGCCATGACTCCGACCCTTTCTAGTCCCGGAACCGTGGTCACGCGGCCCGCGTACCTCGCCCACATCGTGCTGCAAACCCAACCGGCCAACTTCCAGGCGATGGTCTCATTCTACAAGACCTTCCTGAACGCCACAGCCAGCCACGAGAACGAATTCATCTCCTTCCTGACGTACGATTCGGAACACCACCGGATCGCCATCATCAGCACCCCAGGGGTCGGTCCCAAGGCAGCCGGAAGCTCGGGCCTGCGGCACTTTGCCTTTACCTTCCGCACGCTCGAGGAACTGGCGCTGGCGTACTTGCAACGCAAATCCAACGGTATCGTGCCGCACTGGTGCGTCAACCACGGGCCCACCACCAGCATGTATTACCACGATCCGGACGGCAACGAGGTCGAGACGCAGGTTGACAACTTCGATTCGGCCGACGAGGCGAACGAGTACATGCGCACCGAAGCCTTCAAGACCAATCCGATCGGAGCCGAGTTCGAGCCCGAGGAGCTGGTGAGGCGGCTGCAAGCTGGTGAGGATGAGAGAGAGATCAAGAAGCGGGCCGACGTTGGGCCAAGGGGCATGGAAGCCATCAGACCCATCTGAGCGAGTGTCACCTTGTCATGTCTTCGGAGATAATGAACAATTCATTGTGCGAAGTCATAGCCTTCCAGTTCGCCCTGGTCAAGCGGCGAAAATTCCCATACGTCTCCTGATTCGCACCCAAGCGTCTGGCATATCTCGCTCAATTGGATTTCCAGTGTTCGGCCCCCGTCGTTGGGGAGGCCGTTGGCCAGCCGGTCGATGACGCCTAGTGGGCTTTTGATGTATTGGTCTAGCGTGTACTTGTCCTTGCTCTGACCGGGGCTATCTCAAGGCGTCAGCCGCTGAAAAGATTGTTGGTGTTACTAGGGCCGAAAAGGCTTACATGGTTATCATTCCATCACCCTGGAGGATACCAGGATGGATTGTGGGCTCTTCCAACGATCCTGCAGGTTGCTGCGACTGCCTAGTAGGTTGTTTGGGTGGATTTGCCGGCTGCCTTGCACCATGTTGAGCGGCAGGCTCCGCAATTCGCTGGCCTTGTAGCTTTGTACCGCCAGCCTTGTCTTCGATGAAGTCTATTTCGCAGTCGGAGCCGAGTTTGTGTTGACACACGATGCAGGCAAAGTAAAGGCCACACATCATGGGACCCCAGCCACAGTTACCACAATACCAGACACGAACCCCAGGCTGCTCGCCTTGCGGTTTTCCGTTCTGGTGACCGGTGTTGGTCTCACGGGTGAGAAAAGGGGTGACGAGTGCGGGATTCTGGAATGACATCTCGATAGAATGGCCTCAGAGGCTTACTTTGTCGGCATATTCCAGTGCCCGACCGGATTTATAGAATCATTAAGCGCCCACGCCTCCTTCGACGCTATTTCTCTCCTGCGATAATGCGCACTCGCGCAGACTCGTACGTTCGCAAGCTGCCTGAAGGGCAATTTGTCGCCTCATTTCCAGAAGTGGTTGCCCGCTTCTCAGCCAATCGAGACAGCATCAGAGGCAACTTACTGATCCTTCAGGGCAACTGAAGGACGCCCTTCTCCGCCATCAGCTGCTGGACACATCTGCGCAGTCCTTCGTTTATAACGCTTGTGTGCAAGTGCGCAGCCTCGTCCACTGCCACCCTCTTACTGGCGAATTCCACTGCGAATATTTACGCACTTGCGCATTACCATTGAACCAATCAATATCCTGGTCACCCTGCATTAGTTCCTGCTAGCTCTGACATGGAAAGATCATCAGATCAGGAGCGCAGCTTAAATAGTGCGGCCTCTCTGCCAACGCCTGTGGGGGCCGAGAGTAAACTGGAACTCTCCAACGCGCCACGCACTGCGACGCACACATTGGGGACGGATTTGGGCAAAAGCGGTTCCAATCTGTAGCATGTCGGACTGTCGGCGCTAATCCATGCAAAACATGACGCGGAAATGATCCATGATGCAGGTCATGGCTTGCACGTTGGCGCACCTTAGTTTTGCGCGGCTGCGCAAAACTCCCAACCCCACTTGGATGAGGCTCTCGCAATCGCCAGCAGTCTGCGGCTCAAGCATGACCAACCTATTTCATGCTCGGTGTACACTTATTCTGCTGCGGACAACTCACAGTTCGCCACAATTCTGCCTGACAAGGCTGATCATTCCTGCCAGTTGCTTCAGCCTTACGCTTTGAATTCCTTCCCAGCCTTACCCCTCTTTCTCTTCCATAGCCTTTGGTGGCCCCAAGAGGACTTCACAGGGTTCCAAACCTAATGGATAACCATTACTCCTTGCCGCGGCGCTCTCTTGGAGCTTCAGGAGCGGACCCCCACCTACTCCTTGGTATAGGCGCTGCCGTGACATTGGATTATGCACCTGTCCAGGAGCACCGGCTCAAGGTTTCTCAGGACTCCGGGAGGGCACCTGATATGGAAAGGGCTCGTTGCGTCCACGAAGACCATGATGCGCCTCCAAATGCTACCTTGGCTATTCCACGGGACCCACGACGAATTGGTCACCGGATAGATTGTAAAGGTGCAGCGGTACGCCAGATTCCCTCCCCTGCAACCACTATTGACACGGAGCTGGACCGTAGTCCTCTCAGTCCAATTGGTCCCGAGGAAAGATACGTTTTCGATCGGATTCCGCTTACCAGGAGTCCGGAAATGATGGAGGTAACCCCGGATTCCGTTGCGACCGTGAGGGCTGCCATTCCCCTAATCACCATTGGGTTGCCGAGTCCATCTACAAGCGATTCCAGCCTCCGGAACAACCGTTGCTGTCCGTCTCATCTGTCAGACAACGGCTCATCTCCACGTTTGCAAGGTGCTTATCCGAGGTTACAAACTGGCGTCGGACTGAAGCAGCTTTGCGACGTGTCACCACAAGATCGTGGACACGCCGTACCCATTTACAGCGATTCCGGCCCCTGTAAATGTTGCAGTGGAAGTCGGTACGAGACGCCCATCTCACCAGCTGAGTCCGTGGGCGCGTCGAGCGCACACTTCGAGCCAGTCAGCTTCTGGCCTGCGGTGCGCGGTCCATTGCTAGAAAACGACGCAGTCGGGCACTGTCAAACCTCCTCTTCTTGCTCCGTAGACTCGGCGTATGGCTCTGCAACAAGCACTACGCTTCGACAGTCGTCCAATCCACGTTCTCGGTTTTTGAGAGTCCCAAGCCCACTTCGCGACAACCAATTCAATCAACTGCCAACAACTCCGCCTTCATCACTCTCCACGAGATCTACCTCAGGAGATTCCAGGGAAGCTCCCCAGCCCCGAACTTCCGGTCCATCGAATGTATTTGTGTGCCGCCTCGAAGGCTGCTTTGACCGGACCCGTTGTTTCTTCTTGAATATGGAGAGCCGCAACGAGCACGAACGCGACAAGCATAGCCTTGATTACCCAAAAGCCATACAGAAGGCCGCGCAGATGCCACGTATTGAAGAAGCTAGTCAGCAAACCGAATCCTCCAGCCAAGATAGCACTGCGAGCAACCATCCGCCGCAGACTGGTAACGGGACTGATGCGAAAAGCAACCCAGGGGTGTTTGTGACCTGTTGCTCCCAGGAATCAAACCTGGATGCAGCTCCCGACAACACACAGGACTCTCCCAGGGTTTCAAAAACATATCCACGAGAGAGGCCTGAAGTTGGTAAGGATACCACTATGAGTCCCGCTTCATCAGTGACCAGCCAAGCCACGCCTTCCACCTCTTCAACTCTGTCATCTGAAATGGAATTACTGAAACCCATGCCGAAGAGTAAGATCGACGAGATGATCGACAACGTCATGGAGGAGTGCGAGGGCATGTTTGACTACGTACTTGGCTTCGATGTTCACGACGACATGTCAGACGCTGCAGACTCCGAGTATGAAGAGTCTGATGCCGACGACATCGACGACGTAGTCTCGCCCGCTTCTCCCATGTTTCAGAGACCAGGCGAGTCATCATCTCCCACTTCGTCTTCCTCCTCTCCCCAATCAGCCGTCCTCGGTTCTCCAGCGAAGTGCCACACAGTCGCCGGAGAATCCAACAGAGCTGGCGGAACACCAAGAGCCGCTACAAACGCACGAGCGGGAAGGTCGTCCAATTCTTCGAATGCGCAGCGTAAGCGCAAGGCACAAGGTTCAGACCAGCAAGAGGAGAACGACGATGACGGCGACGGCAACAGTGAGCGGAAGAAGCAAAAGAAGGACTCGGAAGAAGAGAACAAAGGATTGAGGTTTGCTTGCCCATATTGGCAAAAGCACGGACGGACAGGCCAAGGACGGACGAAAATGCATGCCTCTTGCGTGTTTCCCGGGTTCTCAACTGTAGCAAGACTGAAGTGAGTGTTCGCATGTGGGAGCATCTGCGTTTTTGCAAGTACTGAAAGTCTTACCAGGGAACATTTATATCGGTGCCACTTGCAACCGGCATACTGCGTCCGCTGCTGCCAGCTGTTCCCCAGTCAGCAGGAACTCAACACCCATCATCTTGCTGCTGAAAGATGCCCAGATGTTCTCAACAAACCAGTCATTGACGGCATCACCGACGACCAGGCAAAGCAACTTCGATCCAGAAGGGTCAAAGAAGGCGTGAAAACGGAGGAGGCTAAGTGGACCAACGTGTATTTCATCCTCTTTCCCGACGACAGGGAAGCTCCGTCCCCATGTAAGTCCCAAACGCAACTCTGCCTCCGGCTTTTCCTAGAAAAATAGCATATGTGAGTGGTTGAAGCTATCGTCCGGAGGAGATTGTGGAACCAAAATCCTCTGCCTCAAACAAACACTGACTTAACTTTGTAGACTGCGTCAGCAATCAGGACACAGCCAGCCTCTCGCCCGAGTCCATCATGTTCCAAGACTTCGAGGACTACAGCCGGCGCGAGTTCCCGGCGCTCTTCCGTGCCGAACTCAAGAGGGATGCTGAGGAGGAGGAAGCGCTCATGCAGGAGCGCTTCCGACGCAAAATGGTCGACGCCGCCCGGCGCGCGACCGAGAGGCTCTATACCGAATACCGCCGCAACCGCCTGCAGGCCGACACTAACAGCTCCGGCGGCGCCGGTCCATCACAACGGATGCAAGCCTCTGTCTCGGGGCAAATGGAGTTTCTCGCCCCGCCTCCTCCCCAGTCCGACGCCATCCAGGACGTGCGAGCTACGGTACCTCGAGGAGGCGGTAGTCGTGGTGGCCCCTCTGCCCAGGCGGATGCCTCCTCGGACTCGGCGTACGAGACCTTGCTCTCGGAATCCAATCATGCGTACCTGACGGCGCGGCTTCCTTCAACAGCAGCGCCGGGCGATCTAACTCAAGATCAGTCGAGATTCGGTGATCCTGGCCTCCACCTGAATGCCATGATTGGAGGACAGCCTTTGTCTGAGGGCTCTAACAACCCGATTGACGACCCCAGAATCATGCAGATACAGCAGCAACCTGAGTGGTACTTCGATTTCTTGAAAGATCAGAACATGTATACCGACGCCTATTCTGAGGACCCTTCTCTGCAAGCTCCTTTTTCTGGTAATTCTCCCATGGGCGGAGATCCCACAAATAGGAACGGCTGAACTATGTCAAAGTGTTGAGCTTGATGAAATACGTATGGGGAAAAATATACCAATTTGCAAAGGAAGAGCAATAACGTTTGTGGTGGTCTCATTGTTTCAAGGTTCTGATGTAGAGGTGTTTTGCGTTCGAAGGCTAGCGCTAACTTGTTTTGCGCTCATGTAATGGGCAGTTGACTCTATCTAGAGAGAATGTCGGATTACAAGCTAGCGCTAGCCTTCGAATGCAATAACCCTCTGTAGTCGATTCAATACCATTTATCTAGTCCATCACGCGTCAGTTTAGGTCTCACATACTAGTATGATAATTCGTTTCATTGCTGACACAATCATGAGCAGCCGTCTTCTGATGCTTCGGTGTAATAGACCCACAATCATCGTAAAGAACCCATCGTTCTAAGTAGCCCATTTATTCCCTCTTAAGGAAAGAAGGAAATCAGAAGTACAAATAACCACATATCGACTCTTGTGGTACAAACCTTATGCGCCGTGCCATGCCGCTTTTTCTTTCCCTATCCTATCCCAAGACCCCTCGGGGCGTCTGTCCCTCAGACGCTCGTGCTGATCCGGTGCACAACAGGAACCGAGCTTGGCGGCAAACTTCCCATCTCGGTGACAACCATCTTCACATACTCGGCCGGCGTGACGTCGTACAGCACGTTCAACAGCTGCAGATGAGGTGTCTCCTTCCACCTCTTCAAGGCACCCTCGCGTCCCTTCTTCTCCGCTCCCTCCTCGTCATCTCCGTTCGTAAGGCCTTCGCCAATCCATTCTCCGTGACCGAGAATCTCATCCGCCGGAGCGATTTCGTTGTTGACGATCGAGTCGAGCGCAACGCGTTCGGTGAACTTGACAGACTCGCAGCACACGATGACGGGAATATCACGCTCATGCGCAAACATGGCGATGATTGCAGTGCCGACGCGCGAATAAAGCCGGCCGTTACTCATCATGGCAGACGCACCAAGGAAGACCTTGGAGCCTTCTTTGACTGCGTGCGACGCGGCACCAACGAGGCAGTAGCTGACCTGGATTCCAGCAGCCGCGAGGCTACGCGCCATCTGCTTTCCTTCAAAGAGCGGCTTCGAGTCGACCACGTTGACACGGAACTTGCGGCCGTCTGCATGGGCACGGAGAAGGGTCTTGAGCACAATGCTACTCTTCGCAAATGTAACGATTACGTCGCCGTCCACAATCTTAGCGCTTGCGGATTCCGAAATGACCTCATCGGCAGCGGTGAACTTCTCGCGAATGAAAGTATCAATGTGGGAGAGGAGGTGGGCCTTTGCAGTCGTCTCAGGAACCGAGGGGTCGACCTTAATGATGAGGTCCTTCAGCCAACGAATGGCATTTCCTTGGGACACGGAAAGCGGTCTGCAGCTGGAGAGGTAAGAGATCTGAGGCGAAAGATGGTGGGAGGTAAGATGGCGAGCGAGCGAGGTGCCGGGAGGAGTGGTGTACGACTCAATAACCTAGATCACATCATATCAGCAACCAATCACAGAGGTGGCTCTCCACGGTGCGATTTACTAACCGACTTGAAGGCTAGCAGCATAGCGACAGTCCGGGCGTTGCTGCCGCAGACAACATAGCTGCTCATCTGCAGACCCAGCGCCAGGATGGCGGGGTGGACTTCCTTAGCCGCGCCCTCAATCTCATGCCTCCGCGGCTGGCCGTAGAGGTGCCCGAACAAGCCGACCTGCTTCTCAGCGTGCTTCTTCTTCTCGCTCTTGGCCTCTTTTAGGGGCCCGCCAGCAGGCCCGCTCTGCGACGGCCTCCTCCGCGTGGGAAGCGGACGGTCCTGTTGCTGGCCGCCCCGCGAACCTCCAGCCTGCTGGTTCTGCTGGCCTCCCTTCTGCTCCTTCTGCTTGCTTTCTTGCTTCTTGTTTCCCGCAGGCGGCGGCGGAGCACCTCCGCCTGTTGCATCTTTAGCTGCCTTCTCGGCAGCACGCTTTGCGGCCTTTTCGGCTTTGGCGCGCTTCTTGAGCTCGGCGCCCGACAGCTTCTCTTCCTTGGGCGCAGCCGGCGCGGCTCCAGCGGCGGCGGGAGTCTGCTCCTTCGACATGTCTGCAGGCTTTGTCTCGGCAGGAGCTGTGGCCGGCTGGGTGGTCTGGCCGTTGGCGGGCGTAGGCGTGGGGGTGGGGTCAGCCATTGCGGCCACCGAAGTCGCGCGTTTTGATTTTTCTGGCGGGCTCGAAGTGGGTCCGGGAGCACGACGCAATGCAGTCAGCAGTGGGGCTCGTCGTGGCTTGTGTTTGGGCGGTGGGCTCTCGGACGCGCGAGGTCGTGGTAGTTTGGGTTTAAGAGTCACATTCGAGCTCGGCATCTCACAAAAAATGTGGGTTGCCGTAGTGCGTCATTCCGGCGCGCCACGCGACCCATGCGCGCAACCTTCCTCTCATGCGCATGCAGCAACCAAAGAATCAGTTCTATATTCTACTGCTTAACCATATGTAATCTCAGAATCGAACAAAGTGGCTTGGTGTGCTGGGCGTGCATAGCTCAATCCTTTCAATGCCAAGTCTCCCATTTCCCCAACCAGCTCTGTAAACGCCTGGAAATGCCCGAACCTCTTTGCATCCTGTTCTATAGCCTCTTTCTTGGGCCTTTTACGGCTCGGCGGGGGCAGCCTCGTCGCCTCCCTTAAGGATGAACTCGCTGTCACCGATCTGCTTTCCTCTCGCTTCCCATCTGGCTTTCCTTTCGGCGCGAAGCTTGTCGCACATCTGGTTGAGAGTAGGCCAGTACACGGAATGGTCGTACTCGAACTCGACCTCGCCGCCGTAAGACTTCATCAACTGGACCGGAGGAATGAACTGGCCGAAGGGCTCGTTGAACTTCATCTTTTCCTTTGTGACGGGGTCGATGAGGGGAGAGATGAGCTTGAAGAACGTCGAAACGTACCACGGAACTTTGATCACATTAGCACCGAGTCTAGATTCACGTTTGATGGTACTCACGCTCTGAGATCAACGACTTGCCATTCCTCTCCGGGTACTGTCCCTGAAGGATGCTGAGCACCTGCTTGCCCTGGCCGAGCGACGGGTTCTTCGCCGAAGTGCTGTTCTTGAAGTTGATCAGGAGCGCAATGCTCTCCACACCCGCGGGCATCAGGTCGATTGCCCTCTCCAACATGAACACCAAGTTATGCACCTGGCGATCGCTCTTCTCCGTGTTCTGCTTGGAGGGGTCCATGTACAGGCAGGGGCGGCCGTCATTGTCGTAGCCCAGGATGATGAGCTTGCCCGTCTCGTTCTCGGGCGAGATGTAGTCGGCGGTGAAGCCGTTGGTGCCGTACTCGCGGCGCCAGATGACCGTGTCCAGCAGACGCTTCTCGGCGGCGGCGGCCGAAGCCCACTTGACGGCGCGCAAATACCGCAGCAGGCATTCCTTGGTGAGCCACATGCGCTCGTCATCTGACAGCGGCTCTTCCTCGCTCTTCTTCGCCGCCGTCTTGGGGACATTCTCCCATTTCTTCACGCTCTCAAGGAGCTCCTGGTATTTCTTCTCTTGGTCGGTGGTGAGGATGGCAGGCGCGGGCGGCTTGCATTGCGGCAGCGGGTGGGGAAAGGGGGCCTTGGCGACGCCGGCGGCGGGAGTGTCTGCCATGGTGGAGGAGGGTGCGGAGTCCTTGGTCTGGTTTGACGTGTCCTTCTCGGTGGGAGAAGCGGCGGCGGGCGGATTGATCTGCCCGGTCTCGGCAGCAGACATGATGTTCAGGAGATTGGCGCGCGTCAGATGAGGCTAAGTCGATATTGCGTTGATTGCTCGAGCGGAGGAGGCTATTTACAAGATGTAGGCGCGCAGCACTACTTATAAGCTGTCGAGGAAAGAAAGGGGACCAGAGACACGGGGCAAGAAAAGTGACATCAACTAAAACAAAACAGATGTGCAGCTAGGATTCCAGCACACCGGGAGGCGGCACCCAAAGGACGAATGGCCCGATTTAGGCTCTGCGCGGAACTCGCGCTCCCGGCCGCGAATCCTTATACCTAGCGACCGCATGGATCGCTTTATGCGCGGTCCTCTGAAATCGCCGGGTAGCCATCGGGAGTCTCTACTTGGCGCGTCGCGTCGCGTCACCGGGCGAACGCGTCTCTCGCGTACCAGCCTAAGAATCGTCGCATTGCCAATCAACCTCAACACCCGCAACGCTCCCATCCGCCATGGACGACACCGCCGTCGAGCTCAATGAGTTGTTTGGCTCGCCAAATGCCGCACTACCGCAAGATGTTCTCCTCGAACTACAGTCGCTCCTCCGTCTGCACTCCATCTCTGCCCAGGAACTCTTCTACAAATGGGAGTCGTACAGCATTAAGATGGGCCCTGACACCATCCTAACTCTCAAAACCGCGCGCGACTTCAAGAAGGATATTCAAGATACTCTGGAAAGGGAGAACCGGGCGAAGGCCGCCCATGGAAGATCGGACAAAAGGACTGCTGCTTCGACCCGCGCCGCCGCAGGTAATGCCGATGTCTTCGGAGTGTGAGCCTTGCCCCGTTGTGCAGAAGGGCCCTAGATACTAACAATCTACAGGCTTGATGGTATTTTCCCTAGCACGCCTCATGGCGCTTCGCGTACCCAGGTGAATGGCAGCGCAGCGAAGAGAAAATCGACCTTCGAGTCCCCGGCTGCAAAGGCCACCAAAAGCAATATCCAGAGCTCCCCTCAGACTCCGCTCGCGGCAAATGGAGCTGGTGCAGCAGCGTGAGCCGTCCATTCGCGCACTTTCACAGGCCTCAGGGCGCTAAGTAGTTGTAGGACCTCCTTCGCGGACCGCCCGAATGCCGGCCAGATCATGGAGACGCTGAATGGCCAGATTCCTTTGCCCGAGCCTCCTACCGAGTCCCCCGCAGAGCCTCGCATCAAGCTCAAAGCGAATACAGAGCTTGCCAAGTTTGCATACAAGACAATGGCTATGAAACTTTCAGAGGCCTCGGAGATTCTAGATGACCGCATCGACGAGTTCCTGCAAATCGTTCAAGAACATCACGAACTTGAGGATGGTGCCTTCGGCAATCCGGCGAGTCAGAGCACGAGTGAGATTGTTGCTGTTGGGCGGATTGCTTCCGACAGTAGTGAGGGCAAACTAAACGCTGCCTCGCTCGTATTGGAAACGTCAAGACGGACCGGAGCAGGCCTTAGAGTACCGCTGCGAGTCGACAATCTGCCAAGCTACAGCTTCTTTCCTGGCCAGATTGTAGCAGTGCGAGGCAGTAACCCAGCGGGCTCGTTCTTCATGGCGAAAGAACTCCTCGAAATCCCGCTGCTAGGACCTGCTGCCTCTACCCCTTCGGAACTCGATCTAGCTAACGCCCGTCTCGCTTCCACAGGAGACATGGACGTCGATGACTCTGAGACTCCGACGAGGCCACTGGGTATTATGGTTGCCTCTGGACCCTACACACCAGGCCATGTTCTCGACTTTGCTGCCTTCCATGCCCTCATCGAGACAGTACTCGAGTCCCGCCCAGACGTCCTCGTCCTTAATGGCCCCTTCCTTGACATCGAACACCCTTCTATCATCAACGGTGACTTCGACATCCCCGACAATGCCATCCCCAACCCGGACAAGGCCACGCTCAAAGACGTCTTCCGCTACCACATCTCGAACCCCCTCAACCACCTCGCCTCGCAGCACCCCAGTATCACCATCATTATCCAGCTCTCTGTTCGTGACGCCATAGCGAAGCATGTTTCTTTCCCACAAGACCGTGCCAAGCGCCAGGAGTTCGGCCTACCGCGGCAAGCCAGCATCGTAACCAATCCCGTCACCATCACCATCAACGAGATTGTCGTTGGCATCACCAGTCTAGATATCCTCGACATGCTGCGCCGCGAGGAGTGTGTCAGCGAGAAGGCGAAGATGACAAACGCCATGGCCCGTTGGAGCGCCAACATCATCTCCCAACGCTCTTTCTGCCCTGTTTTCCCGCCCACTGCGCGAGAGGCTTACCCCAAGATCGATGCGGATAGGGATGGTGCCGCGGCAGGCCAGGAGGATGAGGAGGTGGATCTACTGCCCGTTGGTGCGGTGCTAGACACGAGTTATTTGAAGCTGGCGGAGTGGTTGAACGTACGGCCGGATGTGCTGATTACACCTTCGGCCTTGACCCCATTCGCGAAGGTAAATATCTCCTCTGAGAGTCGAATATACAATTAAAACTAACGGGTTTTACAGGTTATCAATTCAGTTGTTATACTCAACCCTGGCACATTGAGCAAGAAGCGTGGCCCAGGCACTTTTGCGCGGATGACCATTCTACCGGCTACCGTCACTGATGAGGAAAGAGAGGAGAATGATGTCGTTGCGCATAAATTATTCGAACGGTCGAGAGTGGATATAGTGCACGTTTAGGGTGTCGAAGAGAAACCGTGCATGAAGTTGGCAGACTTCCGGGTGTGGCGCGTGTAAAATGAACTTTGGTACCGGTGGATGGGTTGGATATCATGGTCTGGTACGGTGTTGAGGCGTTCATATAGTAGTTACTTGTTTTGATAGAAACGCAAGATGATCATGTCGGTATACCTTGACATAGTCATCATAACTTAGGCGGTGAAATGAATCTTGTAAGATGCTATCCCTACTACATTTATATATCTTCCATTAAAATCAATATATAAAGTCTCACGAAAGTCCAATGGTTAACATTAATGAGGTGAGCATGTAGGCCCGAGGATAACTTTTCTACTATTTCTTATGGTCTCCGAGTATAGAGCATCTGATCAGTAAAGCATAAAACCTTTTTATTGCATAGAATGAGGAACGAGACAACCGGCATTTTTAATTTCCCTTTACAAAATTCATATACCAGCCAATTTGATGGACTCAAAGTGAGCGCATTCCCAAACCTTGACTTTTGTATAAATAGAAGTTGTGTGATCACTGGTCCGGCCCCGTATCCGCATTCTTCTCCCCTACATCCAACGCCACCAAAAATCTGCTCACGCAATTATATGCGCCCACCGTAGCCGTTATCTCGACGATCTCTCTTTCGCTGAACAAAGCCCTCAACCTCTCAAATACTTCGTCCGGCACGGTCACGTCCATCGTCATCCCATCTGTATAGTCCAAGACTGCCAGATGCTTCTCCGTCAACCTTGATGATGGCTCGAGATTTTCTTCCGTAGCGGTACCGCCTGGTCGTTGCGTCTGCGACTTCGAGCGCCGGCGCACGATGTACTCCATATCGCGCTCGTCGAGCTCACCGGTTGCGCGCAGGAGTGGCGCATGCTGCATCCATTCGTACCATGCGCAGTTCAGGACAGCGACACGGCAGATGGCGGTCTCGCGGAGGGACGCTGAGAGGGAAGTGCGCGAACGGATGGCGCCGAGGAAAGAGTTCCTTGAGGGGTGCTGTTTTAGTACAGGTATTTAACAAGAATTATATGCCCGTGGATTGTTCGGTACTTAACACCCGCCTACAGTATGAAGGGGCTTAGAAGCTTTCTTAAGACATCTCAAGAGGAATTATCTTTTTTTTTTTTTGCCAACACCAATGCTTCACTTCCCGCTGCAGTTGTTCCGATACTTCCAGTACCAAAAGATCTCTAGAGAAAAAAAAACAAAAGAACTTACCAACCATCCGCGACCGGAGGCGAGTGAAGCAAAGCTAGATCCAATTCTTGAAGGCCTTGCTCGGCTCGTCTTTCCTGGACGCGCCTGACGATTGCTTGGTCCGCTTCGCTTTGGAATTGCGGGGGGTTTGGCACATATGGAAGGCGCATGGTGGGGGCCAATGGGTTGGATTGAGGCTTCGATGATCCCTGAATATCGTGTCCGGTGCGCTGCAGCCCGCTCAAATGTAGAAGTTGATTCGCACAGGCAGGAGTGAGTGCAGTTGCGTCAAACGTGGGGTAGTGGGGCATGAGGCGCACGGCGCACAACCGAAGTCGTGGCCGGTGAAGTCCCTGCGTCCGTCTTCCGCTCCTCTCACTGTCTTCTCCACCGAACATTCCAAAATGGCTCCAAAGGGTGCGTCGGCAAAGTCGGCAAAAGGCAGCAAAAGCAAGAAGACAACAAATACGCCCAAGAGAAATGATACACCCCCGCGCTCGGGAAGACAAGAGGTGACAGATGTCTCCGCCAAAATTCCGCTGGAACTACAGCAGCTCCTGCTGAACATCTTTCGGAGCGCTTTCCCGAGCCGATTTGGCTCCGATCTGAAGCCTCTGCTCCAAGAGGTAAAACAGCATTTGTATAACCGCGACTTCCTCACTGCTTTCGGAAAAGATGAGTATCTTGAAGCCTACGTCGTCCGCTGGAGCCCAAGCCGCGCCCTGGGCTACCTGCAAATTTTCAATGATCTGGAGGACCATTTTCGGCCAATTCACAAGTCCAGCCCCTGGACAGTCGTTTGTCTGGGTGGCGGAGCTGGCGCAGAGATTGTCGGTCTCGCCGGTTTTCTAAAGCAGTTGGTCCAGGAAGATACACCATCTGGGGAAGAGGAATCGCCAGAGTCGTCAGATGCTGCCGTGTCAGCACCGAAGTTCGAGATCTCGGCCATCGATATAGCCAACTGGACGCCCATCGTGACAAGTCTCCAGACCGCAATCACCACCGCCCCGCCGCTTTCTAAGTACGCGTCCGCTGCGGCTAAGGAAAGCAACGTAGAGCTACTGCCTCCGCATCTCTTCAAAACTGCATCTCTCCAACAAGATGTCCTTACAATGTCTGCAGAAGATCTCTCTGCTCAATTGCAGAATGCCGATCTTGTCACAATCATGTTCACCCTGAATGAGTTGTACAGCACCTCGTTGGCCAAAACGCAAGCCTTTCTCATGAGGCTCACTGGAAGTCTGCAGCAGGGCTCTTTGCTCCTTGTCGTGGACAGTCCGGGAAGTTACTCCACCGTGACGCTCAACGGCGCTGAAAAGCAATATCCTATGCACTGGCTGCTCGATCACACCCTCTTGTCAGTTCCGAAGGATGCGAAATCGACGGCGGACGGGCCAGAGTGGGAGAAGGTGCTTTCGGACGAGTCCAGGTGGTTTAGGCTTCCGGAAGGACTGAAGTATCCGATCGATCTGGAGAATATGCGATACCAGATCCACCTCTATAGGCGATTACCATGAGATCCTATCAGAAATCAAAACATTCAACCTTCACACATCGCCAAGGTATGCTGTTGGGCTCTTGCTGGATTATGTGCTGTCAATTTTCCAGGGTTGTACGACGTAAACACATCATTTTCTCCCCCGAACGTGAGATTCCGCCGCATAATGCTATCATTTCACTTAGTCGTCAAGCGGAGTTCGTATGTTCACCGTTTCTTGAGAAAAAGATGACAGCACACAACAAACGGGCTGCGTCTGCGGAGTACAATAGCTCAATGCAAACCATTATCATTCACACTTACGATCACTCGCATTCTCCGTATGTCCCGTTTGGCTGCTCGCCATGTCCAAAAAGGTGTCTTCAGGATTGCCTACAAAGGACCAGGATGAACTCCACGATCGAGCAGGCAAGGAGCTCAATAAATACTTGACCCGCAACATCGGTCGTCACCCCGACTATCCAGCTGATCCGCTGCCCTCAACATTCTACGAATTTGCGCGCATGCGCGCGCGCGAAGAACAGATGTCGAACAAATCGAATCCTGCAGACTCTAAAATGTCCACTTCGACTCTGAAACAGCATTCAAGTCGAGAGCATGCCCAGAACGCGCTCGACTTTCCCTTCCACAACCGACACAGACCCGAGCTCACGACGTTCCCACCTATAGAACCGCAGAGCGCAATCCAGGAAAGCTCGAAGCAGCAACGCAAGAAAGGGACGGGGGAGGAAAGGATAAACCAACCTGGAATGCAAGATGCTGCGAGGGACCAATGCACTCGCTCGAAGCGTATAGAGGACGAAGCCTTTACGCAACGCGTGGGAGTACCTAATCCAGGATCGTCTGAGAGGCTTGAACCACGGACACCTTGCGCTTGTTGCCAGCAACTGATTTGCACATGTGGCCGCGTTCTGCGCTGCTTGAGCCCGCGCAACTGGAGAGAGTGCAGAAGCGGAAGAGAAGAAGGGAGCGAGCCATCACCAGAGACCGGCTCATTGCGAGGCGGTGGACAGTTGCCGGGAAAGATCAGGAGAAAGCTAGCGGAGAAGAGGGCAAAAGGACGCACCAAGAGGCAAAATCCTAAATTAGTGCTTTCTCCAGGGTTTCACCCATTTCGACCGCTGTCGACAGAGTCAATCGAAGTTTTGCCCATCGATTCCCACTGGCCTGTACCCTCCTCCGCCACCAATAGCGTATCGCAGGCCAAAACAAAGCCATTCGATCCCTTTGAAAATAGAAGACTCTCCAGTGGATCTTCCCGGCCGGATAGCAAGTATACACCATCCTTCTCATCTTCCATAATCGTAGAACAGCACGACACCCCGCCTCCCGTTCAAGAAAATGATAGCCCTTGGGACTACCGAAAGAAGCACAAATACAGGGATCTCCACCCGATTCAACCACCTCCCGAGCTCTACTTACCCACGGACCATGGGTACACCCGCCCGGCCGCCCTGCCTATGCCGGGGTCGTATCCACCATCTAGACCGGATTCGCCATCCTCAGTGTCAGCGCATACGCGCGACCACGACGATGCTCATCTCGGGTCATTGACTAATGCGGCGAAGGAACCGCAGGAAGCCGAGTCATCGGAACCTAAATTTGCAACGCCGAAGCTGCGAGGTGGGGGCGACGATGAAATGCACGCACGGGTCCCGGCAAACCTGTGGTACCTTGCAGGTGGTTCAGGCGCGCCACCAACCTACAAGAATTACAGGGGTAAGCGGAAGAGTGCCCGTAAGAAGGGTCAAGACAGAGCGAAGGAGGGGTACTGGAAAGATGTGATCCATTGGGGTTTGCCACGTGAGAAGAAGCGCAGGCCAGAGGGTGGGGATGGTAATGGAGAAGTACAGCCAGCTCCTATGGATCGGCCACCATCGCAAAATCCGGATCCAAAGCCAGCACAACCACCGCAGCAACCCCAAGAGGAGCCTCCACTTGAGCAACCACCGCATCAAGAGCCTCTTCCTCAAGAGCCTCCTCCCCAGGAACCACCGCCTCAGGAACAACCGCCTCAAGAACAACCGCCTCAGGACGATCCGCCTCATGACCCCCCGGCCGACCCCTTTGCAGACCCCCCTGCAGACCCCGACCCTCCAAGGGACCCTCCAGACGACGATGTCGCCCCACGCCGAGGAATCCCGAGAGACCAAATCATGGAACTATACGGTGAAATGCTAACCGACTTCTTCAACAACGTCGACCGGGTAGCACGGCAAATACTCGACGACTTGGACGCCCGGCGCATGATAGATGGGGACGACCGTGAGGAAAGGAGGCGGAGGCGAACATGGTGAGGAGGCACGGTAGGTCGCGAAAGATTTTACCGTACATAATTAAGCCTGTCTCGTCAAGTGGCGTTGTGGTCTACTTACCTTCGTAGTTAGAGCTTACGTATGAATGTTCTTGTAGAATTCCATTAGCATGCATATTTAGAAATACTATCACCCATTGGACACGGAGGGGTGGCTTCTGTAGCCCATTGTGGAGAAGTGGTGGAAAAGGATAGCACAGGAGACGAAGCTGCCCGAGAATCAACCAAAACCACAAATGATCGTCAGGTTAGGCAGAAATGGGATGAGAGTCACAGGGTCAAGATAACGGAGACAAGGTACAGAAAAAATGGCACTAAGACAGATGTTGGCACCGCACCGGAGTTGCAAAAGTGGGTACACCGACCGGCAGGAATCATCTTTTCCTCGAATAAGTCCGGCGGAAGAAAAAATGAATACGCTTTTTGCTGCCTGTAGGTGTTCTTCATGAGGCTCTGCGCGAACCGTCCGATGCGTTCGACACCGCCCCTTCATAGTGGATCTGGGGGCTGTTGCCTAAGGCTTCGGATACTTTCCAATTACGAAAACCACAAACGCGGCTCAACAAATAAGCAAAATGCCATGTGGATTCCTGGCGGACGCTTTTAGAACGTATGCCGAACACACTCCCATTACGAGTCAGATGCCAAGGTGGGGGCTAGTTGCCTGTACATGAGTGGCAGTCTTAACATTAATGGTTGGAACTTTTGGACAAGGTATCTCGGAACATGAAACTTTTTTGGTTTGGATTTGGCTTGGTATTGCGCCATATCTAAACACTGATGGTCTTGAACACTCTGTGGCCAAATGTCAGCAAGTTGTATAACACGAAAATAGAAGCAGACATACCCAAATCCACTGCCACCAGTAGCCATGACGCATCCTGGGATTTGCGGATGCCAGTGGCCTTCCTTGACCTGGTCCATGTAGTGGACGAAGAGCAGTTGCGGTGGCACGTCCTGCACGCCGGCCGTATCCTTGCTCTCCTCGTCGTCCAACTCGACAGCCAAATCCCACAGCGTAAGCGTGTTGTCACCGGAAGCAACCATAACGATACTGTCGTCGGTAGGGTGCCACTCGACACAGGTGATCTGCTCCTTGTGGAAATCAAACGAGGCAACGGGGCTTGGCTTGATAGCCGCACCGTTGGCGCTAGGCTTCCACTGCCTCAGGTCCCACACAGCCCACTGACCATCGTCCGCGCCAGACGCCAGAAGGTGGGCAGTCTGGTGCGACCACGAGAGAACGTTGACATCAGTCTTGCTGGCCTGGACGGTGATAACGGGCTTCCGAGACTTGGAGCGAATATCCCAGATACGCACGGTGCCGTCATTGCCGGCAGATGCGAAGACATTCTTCTCCGTTGGTGACCACTGCAGCTCCTCGACCGTCTCCTTGTGACCAGTGTAAGGGGTGGTGTCGGTGACAAAGCCACCGCCCTGTGTCCTGGTGGTGGCGAAGATGCGGCCAGTAACGTCGCCGGTCAAGAGCTTGCCTTCAGGCACCAGCGGCGACCAGTCCACAGCATAGCCTTCGTTCTTGCCGTGGGCACGGACGGTGCACACGGGTTTCGACTGTTGCGGCGTCAATGTGGAGCCGGGAGTGTCGAAGGCTGTGAGATGCGGCGTGATGTCGTGGATCAGCACCTGGCCAGACTCGGTCATGGTGGCGGTCAGGGTGGTCGGTGCTTGAGCAGAGGTGACCTGTGGAGACTGGTGGGCGCGTATCCGGTTGGTCGTCGAAGTAAGCGGGATTGATTTGGTTTCGAGGATGGGGTCGGCGTTCTCGTCGTCGTCGCTATCGTCATCCGACTCGTCCTGCTCGCGGTCCATGCGGCTCAAGCTGCTCATCTTCATAACCAGAAGCTGGTTCTCCTTGTCGCGGCCTGAGGCGGCCTGGGTGCCGGCGACGGCGTAGACGGTGGCGGGATAGGACCTGCGGTCGTCGCCCAGCTGGTCACGAATAATGTCCATTGACAAGCACGGCCACGGGGCCTCTAGGGAGTGGAGCATCTCGTAGGTGGAAAGATCTGGCGCGAGCGTCTCGCCGGCGGAGAGCTTGTGGCGGCCAGGAATGAAGGTGCCCTGGTCGACTTCCATGGCATCTGGGCGAGCAGTCAGCACAATGCGGGCGGATCCGAGCAGAGAGAGGCTCACTAACCCTCGCGCTCCTCTGCCTCCCGCTCCTCGTCGGGGCGGCCGTCTACGCCAGCCTCAATGATCTCGTCCTCGCTCTCATACTCGTCCTCGTACTCGTCCTCGAACTCGCCGGCCTCGTCGGGCAGAGCGGCGGGCACGGGGCGCTCGCCGGACTTGAGGGCGTCGCGCTCGTCGTCTTGCGGGTCGGCCGGGCGCTTGCTCATGGCGGGAGATTTTGTGGTATATGTGCGGGGAGCTGGCGATGGTGTCGCAACTTTTTTTGGGCGTCACGGCGGTTCTACCGAACTTTGGCCGGCGGGAGCTGCCCGGGCTACAGGCTCTCGTCGTGTGGCTTGCCCTCCACTCTCGTCGCGTCGGTGGCTCGCATTGCTTTCTTCCAAGCGCGCATCCCTACCGATCCGTCGGCCGCGCTCAGCTGCCTGTCCACGGCCCACAGCCAGTCACTCTGCAGCCTCACGCGCGACGCAGCACCTCCGCGCGACTCCACTGCCCGCTGCCCATATAGCTCCCGCTCCGCCAGCCTGTGCGCTCCGGCGTCGCTTCGTAGCCCAAGTCCAGTTTACTCTGCTGCTCGCTCAGCTCCCGCGCGCGCTATCCCCAACGGCGGCACTCGTCAACACTGCACCCCTCGCATCATATCCTCCCCTCCGCCAAGCACACCCTGCGCTGAGCGCGCCTCGTTTTACGCGACTGCTCCGCATTGCGCACCAGACGGCCGAATTATCCAGGTGGCATCGCCAGCATGGACTCCCCAGCAGACAACGCGCCGCCCGAGCCCGCTCTCGAGCCTCAAGACCCGCCCGTCAATCTGCCGCTGCAGGACCAGCAGCCCGCCGACCCGGCCGATGAGAGCGTAGATACCACCGTCACCGCCGCACAACACCCTCTGCCCGACCTGTCCGCTGGGCTCAACGGCGCCGCCTACGCACCGCCCTCGCCCGAGCACCCACGCCCCTCAACTTCTTACTCTGACACGGGCTTCAATCGCCCGTACTCTTCCGACCACAACAGCGCACCCCACGGCTACCACAACTTTTCCACGCCCTCAGACGCCGACACCCCGCCCCGCTACCACAACGGCGGCTCGCGACCCATGTCGCGACCGGGCTCCGGCATGGCTTACCATCACTCCGACGGCGGCAGCCGCACCTACCAGGAGCAGAACCAGCGAGGCTCGCAGCAGGGCATGGGTGACAAGCAAAACACGAGCGTGGTCATCAAGGTCGGCATGGTGGGCGATGCGCAGATTGGCAAGACGAGCTTGATGGTCAAGTACGTTGAGGGCAGCTGGGACGAGGACTACATTCAGACCTTGGGTATGCAGTCCTGGCCCTTGTCCTCGGTTCAAGAGTGGAGGAAAATCGAGGCGCCGGATGAAGGCTGAAGTACTGACGAGCCGCGCAGGCGTGAACTTCATGGAGAAGACCATCAGCATCCGCAACACCGAGATCACCTTTTCCATATGGGACTTGGGCGGCCAGCGCGAGTTTGTCAACATGCTGCCGCTCGTCTGCAACGACGCCGTGGCCATTCTGTTCATGTTCGACTTGACGCGGAAGAGCACACTCAACTCGATCAAGGAGTGGTACAGGCAAGGCCGTGGTTTCAACAAGACGGCCATCCCCTTCCTGGTGGGCACCAAGTACGACCACTTTGTCAATTTCCCGCGCGAGGAGCAGGAGGAGATCTCCAATCAGGTGCGTTGCGAGCCGCCCCCAAGCGCTGGCGGAGACGCCGGTGCACCCTCTGCAGGAGCTGACGGGCTAATGAAAACGCACAACCAGGCGAAGCGCTTCGCAAAAGCAATGAAGGCCAGCTTGATTTTCAGCAGTACCAGTCACAGCATCAACGTTCAGAAGGTAACTGCGACTCGCTTATCGTGTGGCAACTGTGGCTAATCGTCGACCAGATCTTCAAGATCGTCTTATCAAAAGCCTTCGACCTGCGGTGCACAATCCCCGAAATCGAGAACGTCGGCGAGCCGCTTCTCCTGTACCAGTCGGTCGGCTAAGCCTGGTGACTCTCGCACCATCCTATCCACCACTCCCGTTGTCAGTTCGGCCATCAGTCTCGAAATTTCTTTAATTGCATGCAGCCCGGTGTGTTTGGTATCCATTTTAGTTTCCTTCCTCGTCTCATCGGGGCACGGTCGGTACACGGAGTGCCCCTTTTCTTCATCGAAGCTGGAGTAAAACAGAAGAGATGTCTGGCGCAGGAGGGCGTTCATTGGCCCCGGCCTTCTTCTTTGTTTTGGGCGAGCAGCAAGCGCAGAAATTTGACCACAAGCACCTGGGCATACAGTCGACTTCTTCTCCGCAGGCCCCACCTTCGTTGGTATTCCTTACATTGGACTGGTTGGGCGGGCAGGGCAGGGGATTTCACGGCGTTTTGAGCAAGAAGACGCGAATCAACAGACGGACAAATCCTCGAATCACAGTCGAGTGTTTGCTATGTACTTTGTACGAGGGCCGCATGTAATGGTAAACCGTAAACAGCAACGAACGCCAAGGCAAACAAACATTAAGACAGACAACACAGCATTGGCTCCACACGGAATGCGTACAGTTCCTTTAATTTCCAACTGCAGGCCGCTCGATTGGACGATGACTCACGCCCGGGAGACGTGCGAACAAGCTCAGCGGACAGCTGTAGGACCAGTCAGACGACGCAGTGTGGCAGGCGGGACCTGCAGTAGCCTTTTCGACCCATTGGCTGGTGCTGCAATACAACGTGTACCTACACGGGATTTTGCGCATGTCGTTTTGGCCATGCACCCCTGGGCTTCCGGGCGTCTGTCTGGTTACCCACGGTCGAACCACCGGCCGGAGTTCGATGCAAGACTCACGGACCGCGCGAACGCCTTGACGCTTCGATTCCCCAACTAACTTTGGCTGGCCTACGTCACACCTACCGCACCGAGTATCTTGATCCGCCGGCGATCTGCCATGCCAACCACCCTTTTCGTGCGGCTTCTCCACCGCTGTGGTCGTTTCCCCACATTCCCGTTTCCCATCGTCAACCGATGACGCCCAACAACGGATCATCCAGCGGACAAAACACGTAACCCCCATCGTCTGGCCGTTCGATTAAACTCAGCGTCATCGTCGTCGTCGCTTCACCGGTGAAAGCCGTTGGGCAGCAATTGCGAGCGACTGTGCGCGACGGGTGGAGTGATGATCAAGAACGAGAAGCACGCAGCGCGCGTGCGACATCGCGATCGCTTTTTCCCGTTCCGTCCCGTTGCGCGTGCGTTCCTCTGTTGTTCTTCGTCTGCTCCCTGCCTCTCCCCAGCCGCGTTCTAGATTTTTTCCTCGTGCACACTTTCGCTCGCCCCGCGAAATCCGCAGTGACGATCTTCGCCGCGAACAGGTCACTTACTACCAAGGCGCCCGAATTGGCGTCCTATCGCGTCGAGCCATTTTTCCCTCTTTTTTCCCGCGGCCCCCCTCTCACTCGTCCGATTGGAAGCCTCGTCGAATGGACTTTTTGCCTTTTCGACCAAGAGGGAAAGGCTGCCATTGCTCGCCTCGCTCCGGCAGCCGGCTTCTAGAACACATGATCCCCCCTTTTCCCTTGCCCGGTCGGCAAAGACACATACATATATGTATGTACAACAGGGCAGCGAACGGTGAGAGAAACAAGCGCCGCTTCATGCATGTATGACTCGGGCCGATCCCGACCCTGACCCAGATCCTGATCCTGATCCTGGACTCCTCCCCCCGATCCTGACCCTGACCCCGATTTTGACCCTGAACCTGACTTTTTCCGTCGTAGCGAGCTATTAGCAAAGAAGAACGTCCCAGGGGGGGTTTGACTAAATGCCGAAAGTTAAGGGTGCCGCTGTGACGTCTTGCTAAGGACAGGCTGGCCTTAATTCCCTACCGGACTGGCCCGAGACTAGACCTTGAGACTGTTCACGAGACCCCCGATGTGCTTATACTCCCACGGTGACAACGCATCGGTGTGCAGACGCATTCATCCTGCAGTCATCACGCGTAAGGGAAAGCGACGACGGGACTGACGGCGCCGAAAGGCGGAGGCTGTTCTCTGAACTTAGCCCATGGCTCGTGTCGGGGGCCTGAGTCCTTTTTTTGCCATGGACCTTGATCGTGCGCACAGCGGCGCGCAATGGTGAGCAAAACTTTCTGGTCCTGGTAGGCCGCTATTTTTCCAAAGCACAGCACTAGGTTCGGGAGGGCTTGGAATCACCACTGTTTCGTCGGGAAGACTACTGGCTAATCTTAGCAGAATGATGAGTATCCCCGGACATGTTATTTCCGTAGAAATTGATATGCCTCTTTTGGTGGAAGAATTTCTTAGCGAAAGGAGAAGGGTAGATCTTCTAAATGATTTACTGCAGGAATCCTCGGGTAATCTAGTCAATGTATTTATAAAGATAAGATAGCAGATTGATATACTGTTACACTATGCCTAAATACTACTTGAATATATCTGTAAGAAAACAAGAAAACTTAGCAACGCGGCAAATGCTCGTTCACCATGTGAGTGAAGCTCAAACATTGTAACACGGTGCTAGCAACGAACACCACCAGTCCAATGCTGGATACATGCTCGGCCCACACGCTTTTGATCATTCATGCATTTCCAGCCGCGCCATAGTACCCGACAAGAGGCAAGAAGGATAGCCTTACCATGTAGACATCGAGCATGGATAACCACCAGCTATCCATGGCTGAGCACTGAGCCAAAAAGATGACAAGATTCCGAGACTCCGCGCACACGAAAAGACTTAAGATAACTTCCCCCACGGAGAAATGTGTTGTGCATTTTTTGCGTTCGGCATAGTTATTCCTCATTTACTTTTTCCTTCGCTCTGGCGCATAAGCCAGAAATAAAAAGGAGGAAGAAAACAAAAGGTTAAAAGTTAAGAAATAGGAAAGGTTGTGTGTCCGTACGGATGTGACGACTAGTAGATGTATCGGTGTAATCCCAGCTTTGTCGCCCGCGCAAAAGGGAATATAAGGCGATAAGAGTAAGGAAATCGACCAGCAAACGATCAGCCAAAGAGATCCAGTCAGGTCGCTAGAACGCAAGAAGGGAAGAACTAAACCACTGCCAAACTGGAACAACGACATGACAGAAGGGGATAGGGTTTCGAATAAGGAGCGCAAAAGTCCGGCTGCGGGCCAAAGAATCGGAAATGAACCAAGAAACCGCATAATGCATTCTGCTTCTTTCCTACGTCTTTTTCCGTCGCCCGGACAGCGGAAACCGTTGCCGAGATTACCAGCCTGCAGATCTAGTCTTGCAAACGAGAAGGGGGATATAACAACTGCAAACGGGTAAGGAAAGGAGGGCAAAGAAGAAGGAAAGGGGCCGAAAACGCAAGAAATCCTTCCTGTTTCCAGAGAAGCCTGCCTACAGGTACGCCGCCGCCCTACCACCAAAAAGTAAACTCTGATCGCCAGACTTTGATAGAATGAGCCTCGCTTTTTCTCAAGATTGCTCCTATAAAAAAGACAAGCCACCAGCCGAGCAAAAGTGTGACGAAAAGAGGAATAATGGGAAGAAGGCAGAAAGAAACCCTTGAAAAGACTCCCAAATCTGATGCTCCAACAACCACTGACAAAGGGGAATATGCAAGGAATTGCTGACTGATGATGATCGTGCGGTCATGCGGCGAAAAGCTGTTGCTGCGAGCAGCACCTAGCAAAGAGAAATTTTTGCGCGGGTGACGGGTATTTCGTGTCAAAGGGGGAATATTCGGAAACTGCGAAAAGTCGAGGTGAAGGTTATACCGATGATGTTTGTGCCCGACTCGAGAGCGCGGAGGAGTTTGTCAAGATCAGAGAAAACAGAGACCGTTTAACGAGACCAGGACTTGTGAGCCTCCCTCAGAAGGCTCAGCACGCGCGTCTGTCCGGGAGCGCTCTCGCAAGCACACTGCAGCGTACGACCATCGTGAAAGTCAAGCATAACGCTGTTGGGCATCTCCTCCCGTTCTTGGTCAGGAGCAAAGGGGGCTGAGAATTCGCTAAGGTGGTAGCGCTTGGTGATACCTTTGGATTGCTAGACGTTTTGGTCAGTATGGTTTGGTTGTGACTTTCGGATTTTTAAAAGATAACATACTTCGTTGGCCTTGGAGAGGGTAAGGACGATATTGCCTTGAACGTCGATCTCGACCCATCGTCTCTTCCAGAGCTGCTCATAAGTTAATAACGTCAAGTCCACGAAAAGAAAAGAACTGGACCTACAAGGGTGTCAGGAAACTGGACATTCAGATCGCCGATCTCAATGCCGGGTTGGGATTCCTTTGCCTCTTCAATAGGCTGAGGGGCTTCTTCCTGCACTGCATAACTCATCATTTGGTTCAAGCTCTTTTTGCTTGAGGTAAGGCTGTTGCTCATACGCTTCAGTAACCGGCTCGCCCGATTTCCCTTTTTCTTCTCCTCTCCCTCTTCGGTTGCCACGCTGTCAAGGCTAATGACAGACTGGCTGCGCGACATGGGTGGCGGCGAGGTGGCTTCGCTACGCCTACGACCAAATGAACGCCAACTGCTCTCCGACGACGAACGGGGCAGGGCTTGCGCGGGGGATTCGAGGTGCGCATTCGACTGTTGCGCGGGAGAAACATCGCCGGAGGTAGGTGATAAAGTAGCTTCTTCGACGGCGGGAGGGATGACAATGGACGGCGGAGCGGCAGCCTCATCGGCCTTCTGGTGGTCGACAGAAATGGGGCTCGGCTGCAGGTCCAAGGGCGAGTCTTCAAGCTCCTGACCAGGAGTTTGCGGCGAGCGAACAATGCGAGCGGTCACGGTGACCGATTCGGTCTTGTTGTTCGCATCCTTGTTGTAAACAGCCTGGATGCTGTCGCTTGAGTTCTCGCCCTTGGACGCAGGGCGCTCCAGCGGCGGGACTGAAATGAACGAGGATTTACTGAGGCGCCTCAACTGCTTTTCTGCGTTGGAGGCATGCGATACCCTGAAAGAGTTCGAGCGTTGAGCGATGCTAATGGCACCTCGTTCCGGGGTGTAGCCAACTTTGGGGAGCGTCACCGGGGTGCCCTCCTTGGCAGACTTCTCTGCCAGGGCCTTGATGCGTTGCGAGATGCCTGATGAGACATTACTCTTTTTGACTAGCGGCGCTTCGTGCTGCGCCTCACTCGCGTACGATGCGGAAAAAGAGCGCTGGCCGACGCCGAGCTGGCTTTCGGGCGAAGGAGAAAGCCGGGTCGGGGTGACCGTCCTGCACATGGAAAGAGGGTTGGAGTTAACGCGATGCTCAGTCGATGTTGTTGATTGTGTTGAAGTCTGGGATCTCCGACGGGGGAAAATAGACATGATGGGCGATTTGGATACGGACATTGGCTTGGCCTCTTCGACCGTCGCACTCTGGAGTTCCTCCATCAGGGAGTCGTCGGACAGGTAGTCACAGTCGTCGTCGGAACTTTCCGCGCCGGGCTCGACACGGATGGGGTCGACGGGAACTCGACGCTTGCTCTTCGTGGTGGAGCGGCGTTCTGGAAGGGAAGAGGAAGACGGCAGTGCCGTGGTAAAATCCTCTGACGATTCCGGGCCCTTGGCGGCCGCTGTTTGATGTTCTCCCGTCGCCCCCCTGTCAGGAGATGATGAAACATCCCGATTGGGATGCTCGGCACCGGAGGCCCGCGCTGGCGCTGGCTCCGCCGCCGATGGAAGACCGAGCGAAGTTTCCGCAGCCCCGTCGTGTGGCAAGGCAACCTCTGCCTGCTCGTCCGCGTCCAGCTCTTCCTTGTGTTCGCCACCATCTGAGATGGACGAGGGGCGCGTGGACGACGGATTGGACGACTCCTGAACGGATATTGGGGAGGACGCGACAGGAGTGGGAGGCCGAGCGTCTTCTTCATCTCCGGCTCCACTGATCATCAATTGCACGCCGGAGTCAGCCTTAGTGTGGTCGGGCGTTCCTAGAGCCTCATCAGGCTTTAAAGTCGACCCCGAATCCGTGCTGGACGTCGTTTCGCGATGCGATGCAATATCGTCCCCCTCCGCCTCTGGCGCCTTCTCCCCCGCTGAATCCTCCTTATCCTCGGCACCTGCCGTGGCATCGGGGTCATGCTTTTCGCTTGACTTCTGTCTCGCTAGCTGCGCGGCCTTCTGTTTCTTCCGAAGCTCAACTGCGCGCTTCAAGCGCTGCTTTTCCGGGGTTATGCCTGGAGACTTAACGGAATTTGAACTCGACTTGGCGCCGGTACTGGATGTGGGGCGCGCAGGGGTCGTGGCGGGCATCTCTAGAATCGTGGGAACGGGCGGCGGGGGCGGGAAGCCTGAGCTGGGCACCGTACTCGAATCCCTGGACTTGGGCCTGGAAGAGCTCCCCTTGCTGCGTACGGCCGCCTTCAGGCTCGCAGGGAGCTTTGCGCTCTTGGACTCGGCCGCGTGCGAATGCGGCTCCTGAGTAGGGCGGGGACCGAGCTTAACCTTCGGTTTGTAGAGGTAGGAGAAGTCGAGGTCGGCGCGGGCAGTCTGCGAGGAGGAGCGGCGGTTCGGGTCGTCGTAGTGCTGGTGGTCGAAGTGATTGAGAGATTTAAAGGATCTGACCGACTGTGCGTAACCCCTCGGACTGGCGATCACAGAGCTGGCGTCGCCCCCAGACGTTCCTGGCGTCTCGGGCCGCCTCTCTTCGTATCCGGTAGGCGAGAATGGACGGGACCTTATTGATGCCGTATCGGGCGCTGCTTCCACCTTTGCTGCTGATGCCACTGTCTCCGTCCGTTCCAATGCAGCACCCTCGCCCTTCCCACTCGTTCCCTGGCCCTCCTCCGCGTCCTCATCTATTCCATCCAACTTTTTCTTGGAGCTCGTGGATGACGCGCTTGTAGACGGGGCTGCCGTGTGCAGCGAGTTCGCTGCTGAAAGGGCATGGTCGGAAAGCTCCTGCGGGGTTGTGAAGCTGAAGACGGAGTCGTGCGGCGTGAACTTCTCTTCGATTTCGGTAAAATGGACGGTGACGCGAGCTATAAACAGATGCTACAGTGTCAGTTTCGGCACGGCTCAAATGGTCTATCGGCGCGGGAAAATTCGGCGCACCTTGTAGCAATCGCGAGGTGCCCTGGGGCACGTATTTGAGTAGGACCTTGCGGCGCCTGAATAGCAGGAAGCCGTACAGCGGGGATTTCTCGTCGTAGTCGAGCAGGGCTGCGCGTGCTTCGCTCAGGCCACCGGAGCCAAAGTTGAATATCTCGACGGCGTCTCTGGACGCATACTTCAGCAAGAACCTGTAGGATGTCAGATATATCGTCACCACCCCTGCGCATATGCGGGACAGGCGCGGAAGGCTTACCAGCCGCCCGCCTCGGTCAGAGCGGATTGATATGCTTCGGTGACGGGAGCATCGTCAAGGCCATTCAACGACATGGCGGCGCGGGCGCGCTGCTTGCGTTGCTGTGCGACAGCACGGGAGGGAGTCGGCGGAAGCTAAGCTTGAGGTCGAGTGTGGCACGTCAGGCAAGGGCGCGCTATCTTCGGGCCCTCAGGGGTTCAGACGGGATAGGGCTGATCATTGAAGCTTGGCCTGGTGCTGGGACACGCATCCGTCGGTGGGCGCGCGGCGACCGCCGGTCATGGGGAGGTATTTGAGGGAAGCGGAGGTGAATTGGATTGATTTGTGGGAGGGGACGCGAAGGTTGGGCGGCGCAGACGTTGCGAGGACCTGCAGCATCTACCCTGACTCCAGCACCCAGCGCGCGACCGACGCGGCGGGCTGGCAGCGCGGGTCCGGCGTCACGCTTGCCGATCACTGGAAACCCGCTTCTTTCTCTTTCCCATTCCCCCCCGGTTGACGTGCGCCGATGATAGGGCACGCGTGCCTGTGGAAATTTCCCGAACAGCCACAAGCGCAGTCCAGGCGATAGTCTCCCAGACTTTGTCGCCCGCGTGGCTGCGGAAGTCGGCCGGGCCAGGAGGGGCGCAGGACAGAGATGCTCGGAGCTGTGTCGCACACCCATGTCGGCGCTCCCCAACACGACCGTCCCTTGCACATGGTCGGCGACGACGGCAGCCCGGCCAATGGCCGGCCACTGCGCGAATCGACAGTCCCCGCGCCACGCAGCGCGCGTCTCCACCTGTGTGTGCCGCTTCCGATCTGAGCCATGCGAGCTGAGTTCTGATTTTCAGGAACGGCCGCCGATGCGTCCAATGGCTCCGGGATCCCCGTTGCGCCAGAGTGGGTACGGACGAGCGACAAAAATGGGCCCAGCGCGCAGCGCCGTGCAACATCGGGCCTGGCGGGGAGCCTAGGCCGATCGCCTACCCGAGGGACCTGGCCTATCACTGCCCACGTCTGACGTACTCGTACATCGCAACAAGCAATTCCCACGACGCCCCGCAGTGCTCAAAATACTCCGCTGTGGTCAGGATCCCCTTGGTACTCCGTATTGCTGCTTGTGTGCACCCCCAAACGCAACCCCGCCATGGATCTCAAGACCGTCCAGACGCCAGAGTGGCCGCAGCGCACCACGCCGACGCCGCCGACGCTCAATCTGCCCTCCGTCGCCTCGCTTACCACCGCGGCTACCGGCGACCGCACCTATGTGCTAGACCTGCTGTTCGAGCCGTCGCAGCCGCTGCACAACCTCGCGCTGCCTCTGCTCAGCGGCACGCAGTTTGCTTCCTATGACGATTTGATTGCTGCTGTTGGCGTCCAGTTGACTGAGCTCGCCGAGAGCCCCAGCACCAGCGACACGGCGTGGTTGGAGCAGATCCTGGGCGCTCATCCGCGCCTTGGCGAGAAGAAGGTCGAGAGCGCACAGAGCAGGGCCGAGCAGGCCAATCTGAACAAGGCTGGCCCTGGAGCCGAGGCTGAGGCAGCTGAATTAAAGAGGCTGAACGAGGAATATGAGAAGAAATTCCCCGGTCTCAGATATGTGTAAGTGCGGGGCAAGAGTGGGGTGAAGACACCTGTTGCTAATTTACAGACAGTGTTTTTGTCAATGGTCGTAGCAGACCCGAGATCTTCAAAAACATGACGGAGAGGATCGAGAGAGGGGATGTGAAAGCAGAGAGGCTCGAAGCCATCAAGGTACAAGCCCGCACAGCGCAACAATCGGGCTTGGGTGGCTAACCTGATTTCAGGCAATGTGTCAGATCGCGTCCGACAGGGCTCGCAAGCTACAGAACCAGCAGTAGGCCCTACTCGCTTTTCATTCCCGCATTTAGAACCTCTTGCACGGCTTCGTAACGCTGAGTTGAGTATTCACCATGGAACGACTGAATCAATTTCCAGGGAAAATACAGACGTGTAAATATAAATTAGACATTTATGGGGATTTGAAGCTGCTATCCGGACGTGAATGTAGAATTAATAAATGTACATCTACGTCCGGACGATAGCGTCTACTCCGTATAAAAGTCGAGGACTGTTAAGCAATCGTCCGGACGTTTAAAAATCATCCGGACATTTAAGAATCATCCTGACTTTAAAGAACAATCCTGACATTTAAGAATCATCCTGACGTGAAAGCAATCATCCGGACGTTAAAGAATCATCCGGACGTTTGAAAATCATCCGGACGTGAAAGCAATCGTCCGGACAACAGCTTTCACTAACCCACGACAGGAGAAACAAATCCGTGTTAATTTGTATGTTAAATTTGGTTGAATTTGCCAGCTAATTGTACTACTTGACGAAGGCTGGTCCGTTAACATTCGAGCTTGTAAATCCATAAAAGCCACCCATGTGCAATTTAATTTCCCATTTGGGGCTCAGAAACCAGAACCTGCATCTGGTCTTTAACGGATGGTAGTGTACTGAACAATATTCATGTCCATGTTGTGCATCTCGATGGGGAACTTGCAGTCGTCTAGGAAGATGCAGTTCTTGCCTGTTTTCTTGTTGCTGAATGGCGGAAACGGGCAACGATGACCATAGATACATTTTGGGTCATCACAACCGGTACCATGAATGCAAGGCGCCATGCGAGCAACTAGCTTGAGGGTGTCCAGTTCAGATTTGGTGGGCTTGTAGTCGTGTACGTGAGTGCAGTTGTTGCCGAAAGGACACTCATGGCGTAGAAAATGGACGTTGCACATCTTGATACGCTTGACGCGGTTCGTCTCCTCCTTATCATAGTTTTTCGTGGGAGGATCGATACGCTGGCCCTTGCGGTTACGAGGTATGTTGTTTGGATCGCGAGCATTCTGCTTCGGACCAGCAACAGGCAGAGCAGCCGCTTTTGCAGCGACGTTCGCCCAACCAGCAGATGCACCAGCGGTCGTAGCAGGAGCAACACTGGGGCTGGGACTTGAGACCTTGACTGGAGTCACCTTGTTTGTCAGAACGCCGAATCCCGGCGGCGGAAAAGGACTAGGGAGGCCATCCATGCCGCCGAACGTGTTGATTTTCTGGGGGCGAAACAGGCCTTCAAATTTTTGTATCTTGAATGGAAGGCTTGCAAACTCCCTGCCAAACGGCACGCCTTCCAGCAGCGTTATCTTATCAACCAGGTAGTCGTAATTAGAGATTTCTCCCAAAATGCGGGCATAACGATTGTCGTGGGAGCAGCCGAGCATAATGTGGCGGCAGGTCGGGCTGTAAAGGTTCAATTTCAGGTGCTCTGGAGGTACGTATATGGTTAGCAAATATCCAATGACAATAATGAAACCCTCCTGAGCAAATTCACTCACCGACAATCTTTTCATCAGCCCTGTCTTTTCCAGATCCAACGTCGACGAAGTCCATGAGAAACTTGGCGCCTGTGAATCCGACGATGAAATCTTGCACATCAACTTTGGGTGCAATGCCGGCGCGGGCGCAAGTGTCGGTTAGGCCCTTGGCATTTGCATACACGCGCGCAGTCACCTTTACGTTGGGAGGCATTCCCTTGAACTGGGTGCGTACATAGTTGTATACGCCTTCTTCCAACGCGCCAGCAGCGCGCTGGCCACCGTTTCCTCCTTCAGACAAAAGTTGGTCGTTGAACTTGGAGGGTCCTGGTTAGGAAAGCGAAACACGTTATAGACAGGGTGGAGACTTACGATAAGCCCATCGCCGTCAATAAGAACTAAGACGAAAGCGTCTCGATCCTGAAATATCTCAGCTTGTTGTGTGGGTGGAGATAAGTCGCCATTACGGACCATGTTGCCCCTCATGTTGAGAATAGTGGTTTCCATATCCTTGAGGCTTCGCTGCGCGATGCGGTTGTATTCGCGCTCGCGGTCATGATCTTCGATTTCTTTCCGGAACTGCTCGTTGAGAGCGTCGTATCGGCAGAGGAGCTCCTCTATCAAGCTGTTTGTCTTGTTGCCCACGAGCTGAATCTCGCGGTACCGGCCCCAAAGATCGGCGGTGGGACCATCGACGTAGGCATGCCCGGGTGAGGGCGAGGCGGTCTGATCTGACATGTCGAACGGCATAGGTAGCTTGGGCATGAGGACCGGACAGTGCGCAGATGCGAAGTTGTGGAGGGTTGGGTGGAATCAGAAGGAGCACCTGCTATATGCCAGGCAGCAGGCGCGCGCGTCGAACCTGGTGGAAGACGATGGCAGGTGAGGGAGAGAAGGCGGGCGGGCGGGCGCATTTGAGAAACGCTCGCACATAGGCCACTGCCTTTTTAGACGCTCAGGGTCTCGGGTTACACCAACCGCTGTACAAGCAACTATGTCCATTATTGGAAACACGGAAGGGCCGCCGCACTGGCATCATCTCAACCATGCACCCGCTCCATGTGGGTAGCTGAAGCTATCGTCCGGACGAAAATGTCGAATTAAAAATTATACATTCACGTCCGGACGATAGCTTCAGCTACCCATGGAAACCAAATCGGCGCTAGCCTTCGGATGCACCGTGCCAGCGCCAACGCTCCGGCCTGTCTAATTCACCATAGCTTTTCCGCGTCGGGGCTTCAGCTGCCTGTGGAGGAGTCATCATCATTCCGTCGCGTCGTTTTCGGGGCGCGCAGAGACGTGCAGTTCCGGCGCGCGATTGGCGGGGCGGCTCCTGCACCTGCACGCTGGCAGGCTGGACGAGGCGGGCAGCTGCAGCTTGCCGCTGCAGCTCGTCAGCGTGCGAGGGCAAATTATAGTAGAGCAGTGTGCTGGCGCGCGCCGTGGATGGACGTTTCGACCCCACAGACGCGCCTTGCCCGATCGCGACAAGCTTCGTTACGGCTCATCCTCGCTCGCGCTTCGCCGCGAACTCCAAGTGTCCTCTCGCGAGCTCGACCTTCTCTTCCCATCCCTCCTCCGCACTCCCCATCTGTCTCCCGGTATTTGCTCGCAACCATGTGGTATCCCAAGCTCGCGGCCTCGCTCCTCCTGTCACTTCTGGCGACCAATGCCTTCGCCGCGTCCGATGTAAGTTTTTCCGAATTGCTCTCCAAATGACATCAGGCGCACCTGCCGTATCACGCTAGCTCCGTCGCTGACCACTTCCTCGTCCAGGATGCGGTCGAAGAGGAGGTCCCGAGTCCTGATGCCTCCGCCAACCTCGCTGTCTCGGTCAGCGCTTCGTTCCCCAACTCTGAGATTTTCGGCGTCAAGCTGGTCAATGGCCACCCCACCAATGCCCTTCTCGACTTCAAGAACGAGGAGAAAGAACCCGTCACGATCGAGTTCATCGGCGGCTCTCTGCTCAATCCTGCCACCGGCCAGCCCGTGCGCAACTTGACCGTCTCCAAGTACAACGTCCACATTGGAGCCTCAAGCAGCGCCAGCTTGACCTACAGCTTCCAGACCGAGATGCACCCCCAGGACCTCAAGCTCAACCTTGCCGCCGTTGTCAGGGACAGCAAGGATGCTTTCTACACCCTTCAGGCCTACAACGAGACTGTCAGCATTGTCGAGGCACCCACCAGCATCTTCGACCCCCAGATGTAAGCCCTTTCCTGCCATGCATTGATGTTTCGCCTCTGGTTTCTAACGGGATGCAGCCTTTTCCTCTACTTCGTTCTCGCTTCCGTTTTCGCCGGCACCTGCTACTTCATCTACAACACTTGGATCACGACTCTGTTCCCTCAGAAGAAGGGCCGTGGCAAGGGTGGCGAGCGCGCCAAGACTTCTTCTCAGGGCTCCAAGGCCGTCGACCCGGCTGACCAGGTTGCCGTTGTCGGCGCTGACGGTCCTGCTGTCACGTCTGGCGCCAAGACCTACGATGAGAGCTGGATCCCCGCCGGCCACCTGAACCGCCCGGAGCCTCGTCGTGTCAAGAGCGGCACTCCCAAGACCAAGGCTCGCGGTTGAATGCACACTCGGCTCATTTTGCCCCAACCTCAATTTTCCTGGTGATGCATGGGAGAATATCGAAAGCAGTAATCGGTTCCTACGTTTTGGCCAAATGCTTGGACTAGGTCTTTCGGAGAGGAAAATCAGGGGACGTGGTTCGCGAGTACGGTTTCTTTTGGGGTCATTTGATCATGTACCTGGAAATGGTGTCATGGTCATAAAAAATTAATTTGTACATTGGAAATGTATCACCATAATGAACATTCAATGGGACACGATCCAAGGTCGTTTCATCAAAAGATCCTTTCGACCGTCTACCCAAGGTCCAGGATCTCAGTGCGTCAAGTATGGTACAGTGATCTCATGAACGTTATTGCGCTAAGAACGTTTCGGACAACATCGGAGTGCAAATCCCTGAAACCGGAAAGCAGATTGGCGAGTCTGAGTCCCTATCTCTCTCCACATCAATTGCGCGATTCAAAGCTTCAAGAAGCACAGCACGGCGGCTGCGCTAACGTAAAGAATCTAATGTAGCCAATCATCAGCAAGATCGAACATAATGAAGGGTTTTTTTTTTTAGAAAAAAAAAACGAGGCTGACAAGTACTTACCGCAGATAAGAAATAGGGAAGTCCCAAGGCCGCTCCGCCTAGCCCAATCCCCTTGACCCAAGCAAAGGTCATAACCGGCGCGCCCACAAGCGAACCAACCGTTTTGACTAACATGACGACGCTGTAGTCCTGCTGTGCGCTGTTGGGCGCGCGGCTCAGGCCGTCTCGGAAGGAGTCGCGATCCGCGTCTTGAGAATCGCCGTCGGCGACGGACGAGGAAGCAGATGATGACAGCGAGGGGGAGGTGGTTGCCGCTATCGGTGCCGATTCGACTAAAGACATAGTGAAAACCGGGAGGGCGGAGCCGAGGGCGTAGACGATGAGAGCTGTTCGATCGGATGGCCAGTTAGTGGACCCCATATTTGCCAATTTCTTTGAATGAAAATTCCGAGAAGCAAGGAGAGTAAGATGGCGTGGCGCAACAGAGTATGGACTTACCGCACATCAACACTCCTACCGTCCCTGCCGCTGCAATGCTCAGAGCACCCAAGATGGATACCGCAAGGCTGATCTGCGCGCCTCTATAGTTCAGGCCCACCTCCTTCCCCGGCATGCGCTTCAGCAATATCCGCATTGTTGTGGGGATGACAAGCGCGAGCAGCGTGATGTTGACGGCAGCCTTGATGGACAGCAAATAGCCGACGTGCTCGAACTTCCAGCCGTACCGCTTAGAGGTGTACTGTGGCAAGAGATGCGTGTTGGAGGACGCAAGTGCAGGAAGGAAGAAGCCTCCGATCAGGTGGACTTGGAAGTTGCGGCGGCCGATTACCAAGCGTGCAATCGTTCTGACAGGTGCCAGCAAACGCTGCGAAAGATCCTTAGGCCTATTTGAGCGTATAGCAGGCGAAGAACCCGAACCAAGGAGGGACTCTTCTTCCGGCACGTTGCCATGACCAACGACATTGGAAGAGGTTTTGCCGTGCTGAGATGAAGTTTTAGGGAGGAAGTAAATTGTAGGAATTGCGGCTGTAAAGAAGGCGATGCTCAGATAAAATGGAAGCCAGATATCGCGAGACATAGCCAAAGATGCCAACGATGGTCCAAAGAGCGATATGACATAGTTGACTGATGAGATATAGGCAATGTAGGAAGTTCTTCCGGTGTATTAGCAATACGCATTGAAAAGACAGACATCCGGCATACCTACCGTTGAATAAGATCATCGGTCAGGTCTGTCACCATGGCGAATATTGTCGATGTCAGAACACAATCGTGGCCGCCGAGGAGGGTCAAGAAAGGGCCGGCAAGCATAGCCTCGACAGGAATGTCAAGGTGACCTGGATACTATATCAATTATCTGCTCAAGGTTCACGTACGAATGCTTGATTCTCCTGGCTGGAGAGTGATTGATCTCTGCCGAAACCCACGAAGACGGTACTCACCAACAAGCACCACCCAAACCACCAAGCAGCCAAACCCTACCGCGTTGAGCGCCAGGACCACCTTTCGCCCAAACCTGTCTCCTACCCATCCCAGCGGCATCGTCACCGCAAGATCGATACCCACGATCAGCGTCTCGATCACGCCCTGTAGCCACGCCAACCGCTGCTGCACCTCCTTGACCTTGCACATCTCCTCCGGGATCTCGGCGCCGGGCTGGTTTGGCAGCACCGACGGGTCATGCTCCTCGTAGTAGGCGCGGCAGTACCGCAGCTCGACGGCGCGGTTGAGCGGCAGGCTGAACAGGCGCGTACCCATCGTCGTGAGCGCCAGTAGGAGTAGTAACGTCCAGAGTCCGCGGCGGTTGGCGCGGCGCTGCCGGTCTGGGAAGGATTGGAAGACCCGTGCAGCTTCATCGTCCTGATGCTCATCATCACTGGCCGAAGTGTAAGGCTTCTGCTGCGCTTCGCTGTCTTGGCGCACAAAGAGGGGCTCGTCCAAGGCGGAGCGGTCCCCACCGATGGCCGACATGGTCGTGAAAACTATCTCTGCAAATTACAAAAAACCTCAACTTGAACGATAGTGTTCATGAGTCATCGGCGACAAGCAGTGTGGAAGAAGCACAAGGACGCTCGAGGTTGGCTCTGAAGCTTTTTGCGTGGTGTTGAAGGTTGAGCTGCGATAAGCCTCACGATAAGCCAGCCCTGCCCAAAGCGGCAACCGCCCAGATGACGAACGTCGACCGTCGCAATCAGAGAGGCATCGGGCTAGCGAAAAGCTTATGTTATCATAGTATTAAGCGACTAAGGTGGCAAGACGCATGTCTGCGCATCACAGCGGTACACGTTGCCCCTGGTCGGATCTGGTCTCGGGGCCCTGGCATCTGGTGCCTCGATCTCTTGAAAATTGGGCCTATCACCATCTTGCATTTTTTTACCCCGCCAAATGCCTTCTTGTCAGTGCTTCATTGGCCGAAGGTTTTTCCTATTGGCTCTGCGGTCCGAATATCGACTTGTTCACCGCATAACTGCACGTCAGGAATGGAGAGTAACGGCACGAAATGGCATCGCTATGTGATCCCAGCAGTGGCACATCAGAAGGCGGGGCATTCAAAAGCAAACGCGTCAATTTCAAAGAAGTCTATGCTGAGGTCATTACTTGAAGAGCTTTACATCCCACAACCGCAACTTAGCTCACGCAAGCACCCTTCACATCCTTGTTTCTCCGATCTCAATTACAACAGAACTGCCCCAATAAAAGAAAAGTACTGATCAGCTGAACGAAGAGAAGCCAAGCTACGCTCATTCTCCACATCCTTCTCCCTCCCATCTCAGAGACACAGTCCCAATCTCTACGTCCACAACCCCCCGCACCCCCAACTTGCAGATGCCCAAAGTCAAACAAAGCAAAACGCGATAAAAGAAACAAAAGGAGAGAGAGGATTTACTGATTCGTGCACATCAATGTGGTATAATGAAAACACGCCCTAGAGTGAGACAACAGAGGAAAAGGAAAATGACATCCTTGCTCCGCCCATGCTCGCTATGAAAATGGAAAACTGAAGAATTGAATTGCGTCCCGGTTGATTTGTCCGGAAAAAAACGCCTGCCTGCGCCGGAAGTGTGTATTTTTTTTAAATGAAGCCTTACGGAAGAGGAGAATGTGCCCACGTCACGACCCACGGGACAGCGATGGAATCAAAGAGACTTGAAATCTCATCCCTCCATCAGAGTCTTGGGCGTGTTTCCGAGCAGCTCCAGGCATCGTCGCGCCAGGCTGACGACCTCGCCCTCGCCGTCTTCATTGTCCTCATCGTCCGACTCGATGTTACGATCCGCGATGCTCTTGACCATCGTGACAATAGAGCTCGATTTGCCGATGAGGTTGAGCAGCCTGGAGTCGTCAGACTCAAGGAGTTGCAGGAGTGTCCAAATCGCAATGTGCTGGAACGTAGGGTCTCCGCTGTCCAGGAATCTGGAAAGGTAGCCGTGAATGCCACCGTTGGGCTCATTCCAGTTCTGCAAAAAGATGGTGTAATCACCCACTGAAGCGAGTCAGCCAAATATCCGCACTTTGCTCGGGAGAAAACATACCTTTAGACGAGAGGTTGCCCAGAGCAGCAGCGCTGTTACCTTGAACTTCGATACTGTCCGACTCGGTGAGGGGAATAAGCACATCAAAGACGCCAAGGTTCAGAAGATGAGGCTTCAGTTCATCGCTCAAAGCAAGCACAGCGACGGCAGCAGTCATTTCCGACTGGACAGTCAATGGCACATTCAGAACCAGCTGCTTACACTTCTGCACAGCACCAGCCTCAAGCACCAGTTGCTTGTTGCGGTCCGAGCTAGCTGCAAGGTTGCGAAGGGTAGAGATGGCATGGCATTGGATTTCCTCGTTCTCTGTAGAACCAAGAAGATCGACCAAAGGCCCAAGGAATCCGGCGTCGATGATAGGAGATTCGTTAGAGGGGTGGATCGAAATGTTGCGGATACACGCGACAGCGGAAAGGATAAGAGGGAGATATGACGACTGGAGCAGACGAAGGAGGGAGGGCAGCCCGCGAGCCCGAACGATTTCAAGCTGGTAGCGCTCGTCTGACGCGAGGTTCCGCAACGCCAGAGCCGCTTGGCACTGGACCTTGGGCGACGAAGAGTCCATAAGGTGTACCAGCGATTGTACGAGACGGCTTTCGGTCTGCGCCAACCTCTTCCGGTTCTGCGCATCGACAGCGATATTGCTAAGAGCCGTTGTGCAGTAGTATTGGACGTCCACGTCGGGGGAAGAGAGTAGCTGAACGAGGACTGGTATCGCTCCCGCGTTGACTAGTTGTTGACGGTTGTCATCTATTACTCTGTTAATACCATTTCGTCTAAAATTAGGCGACACCGCCAGATTCATACCGGAGTGCGTCATGTTCAGAAGGGCGCCGGTAGCGTTCCGCTGAACCCGCATATCCCTAGACTTCGCAAGTCTAGTGAGCGGAGGCAGAGCTCCGGATCGAGCAATCTTTGCCTTGTTCTCCTCATGCGTTGCCAGGTTTGTAATGCAGCCCACAGCGTTGCACTGCACCTCCACGTTCGGCGAGTTCATCTGCTTGATGAGCGGACCAAGGCCGCCGAGCTGGACGATGCGAACTTTGTTCTCCGCTGCGAGCGGTCAGCATATGAAAAGTGTGGGAGCCACGGCCACGTACTGTTGACGGCGAGGTTGCCTAATGCCGCACTTGCCGCCCGCTGCACCTCGATATCGCTATTCTGGAGGAGGAAGAGGATCGGCTCGAGCGTGTCGCGGTCGACCTCTCTGACATCTGCTTGCAGGAGGTCTGCAGTTAGCATACGTGGATGGCGTTGAGCAAACCGCAGCTACACACCTCGCTCTGTTATCTCGGCGAACGTCAAGCTCGCGCTCCGCTGCAGGTCGATGTTGTCAGAGTACACCAGCGTGCTCAAGGCGCGGAGGGGATCGCCGGAGAAGAAGTCGGTCTCGGCTCTCTGCAGAAGCTTGTCAGCAAGGTGTCGTCGGGCGGGCGGCGAGTTGAGGCGGACGCACGTTCTCGAGATAGCCAAGTAGGTCGGCAACGGCTTCCCGCTCGCTGTCGGCGAGCACAGGATCGTACAGCCCATCCTTGGAGCGGCCTGGAGAGTGGTCAGAGGCAAAGCACGGTTGCGGCGGGCAGCAGCGGGGACGCACCGCCGCAGCAGGAGCTGAACAGCTTGGAGCAGTAGCCCGATAGACCCATCTTGTCGTCGGGGCCTCTGAGGCCGATGACGCTGGCTTGGATCGTGTCTCGGTTGGCAGAGGCAGACTCGGGCGATGGGCCGCGTGCTGAGCGACGCGGGCGGGCGAAGGGTATATGCGGCGGAGGGCGGTGAGTTGGTTGGACGATGGATAGATACTGCGAGGCTTGAGCGTGTTTGCGATCGATGGCTGGCTCCGGCAAGCTCTCGACGGCCGCCAAGGGTCTGCTCTGGCGGCTGGCTAAACTCCTTTCGCGGCTGCCGCGAGCACCACGGGGCCAGCACGCGCCCACGACTGCCGCGCCGGGGCGTGCGGGTGCTGTGAAATTATCACCAGAACCGCGCTCCTCGCCCGTCGCGCCGGCCAAGCTTGACCAGAAAACACCCAGATTGTCGCAAAGCGGAGCCGTCGCGCTGGCCGCCCCATCGCCGTGACGTCGCGCGCCGCCGTCCCGTCCATGCCAACTGGCCCACGTGAGGGCGTTGGGAATGCCCGGCTGCCGCCCAACTCGCCCACCAGCATACGGCCGGCATGCTATAATAATTCTGAGACGATGCTGTGCGCTGCCGTTTGCTGCAGATCGCCCGCCTCGCCTTTGCGCAATGTTTCTGGGCTGTGCTTCACGACATCGCCAATGCTGTCAATGCTGCCAGCGCATGCGCCCCACTGCATGAAGGGTCTGAGTCTCCAGCGCGCGCGTGAAGTCAGCGCGGCGCGGATCCAGCTGCAATATCGCGTCTCTGAGGCGCCACAGTAGGTTACAGGCGACCTTGGGCCTCCTGCGCGGGCAGTTGAAGCAGGCGTCCGGGCGCACAGGTGGGATTTAACCTTACACGAGCACGTCCGGACGTTGGGATTCGACTACCCGCGTGAAGCAGGGTGCAATACCACTTCTTTGGTCGCCTGCTGTGGCGCGGCCCGCAGCGGGCTGGGTTGTTTGGGCAGCATCAAAAGTCCTTGCTTCTGATCTGCTGCAGGGCCGCGGAACCAGAGTGCGCCAGCCGGACGTGGAAGCTGACCTGACGTCGGATCTGCGCGCGGTGGCCCAGGCAGGCAGAGTGACGCTGCTCAAGTCACTGCTCCAGGCGGCGAGCCAGCCAGCGACGCCACGAGGCCATCGCCGTGTGCGGACGGCAGCGCTCCGTATGGCTGCGGCGTGCCCGCCCAGCAGTGCCACGGGCGCGTCCCGGACATCGCCGGCACTCGGAATAATAAAGAGCCTCGAGCGCCGCCGCCACGCGCAGGGCCCAGTGTTCAGCGCAACACCCTGCAGAAAAGTCTGCGACGCGCCTAGCAAGCTACTTTTTCTTTTTGGCTCTGTTTGCTCCCGACTACTGCACTGCTGCGACGTCATCCGCTTGGAGGACGCGGTGTTACGACAATAGGACAGCTCTCATCCCGCCGCACCGCCCACCGCCGCAGGACGCAGATGCAGCACTGCTGGCTTCCTATTCGCTGAGCCCCACCCTGCGCGCAGCCTGCAGCTTAGCCCCGGCTCGCCGCCGGCCACCACCCACGAGCTTCAGAGTAATCCCCCAGCTTTTTGCTGATTCACTGCGTGGGGGCGCCGCCGAACTTTTATACTGCGCTGCCTGTCGCGACGCCTCCTCCAACAAAGAAACTCACGAATCCCCCAGTACACAGCAACTCCGCGGTCGAATGGCCCCAGCGGAGGACTCTCCGACTTTCCAGAAACTCAGGCTCAACACCCGCCCCTCCCCGAAGCCTATACCCTCCGCCTTCGCCTCGATCAAGCGCAGCGATGGCGAGCACCCAGGCAGCCCGTTCCCCGAGCTGGACGAGCGCTTCTGGCCTCACGAAGACTCCGCTGTCGCCCTGACCAACTCAGAGCTCACCGACAATGCCTTCCCGAGCGAACATGAGGGCATGTACGCCCCAGACAAGCGGTCGTGGCTGGGGCGCAAGGCAAACGACGAGTACATGCTCTCTGGCAGTTCGCGGCACTCGCCGTCGCTGGAACAGGCGTTCAGCCAGCGCCATCGCGCCATCTCCTTTGCGCCGAAAGTGACCCTTGATGGTGGCGACCGTTTTCCCATGGACGCGCCCCTCCCCAGGCCTGATTCCTACGCCAGCCTGAAAGATGCGAGGCTGGGTGTGGAAAGAGGCGCTGCGATTGAAGAAGGCCACGATAGCCACGGGGCAGTCCACATCCGGAACAACAGCGAAACGGACAAGGCACGCTACGATGCGTGCACTGGAGAGCCCATGGAAATCCGCCAACGTCGTCCGGGGTTGCCGTATCGCACAGGTCAGTCTCGCCATCCTTTGCTACAGGAGACGGTGGACGATCTGGCCAAGGACGCCGAGATAGAGGAAAATGACCGAGTGGCTTCCCTTACTTCTGGCACTACCGTATCCACAAACGACGGATCGCTTACCCCGCTCGAAGCCCCAGCCGACTATCTCCAGTCTCCTCTCGCTGCTTCGTCGCCAATCGACTTCGCTTCTGCGCACAGCTCCTACTTCCCTTCGTCGCGGCGGACGAGCAGTGCGCGATCCAGGAGTTTTTACTCCGACAAAGGAAGCCTGCGGCGCAGCAGTCGACGAACCTCGACACGATCCGGTAATTCTTCCATGTCCCCTGCTAGTGCGTTCTTGTCACAGTGGGGCAGGGAAGAAGCCTCGTCAGTCATTGAGCCGGATGACGAGGGCCAAGAAATTCCTGACCAGAGCGGATACTTTATCGGCAAGCAGATTGGTTTCGGGGGCTTCAGTGTGGTGAAAGAGGTGTCGACGATCCAGGATGGAGTGAAGATCATTCGGGCCGTGAAAATTGTACGGAAGCAGGTCACGGGAAAGGATGAAGCGGAAAACGAAAAGCTGCAGACGGAGTTCGAGCATGAGGTCGAGATCTGGAGATACTTGAAACATCCCTACATTCTACCTCTGCTAACGGTTTACGATTCCCCATTTGCTACTTTCTGTATCACCAAATTGAACACCGGCGGCACGCTTTTCGATCTCATCCGCGCGAATCGCAAGGCAGGCAAGCCTGCTTTGCCCTCCAAGTTGGCTAAACGCTATTTATATCAGCTCGCCTCGGCTCTCCGTTACTTGCACGAAGACGTCCATGTCGTGCATCGCGATGTCAAGCTTGAGAATTGCCTGCTCGACATGTCTGAACCCGAGGCGAAGACTGAGGGAGGCAATGTTCTTCTCTGCGACTTCGGCATGGCCGACTTCATCACCAACGAAAACCGAAACCTACCGTCTCCCTTGGAAGAATCAGCTTACAGCCACGTCGGCCCATCGGACACCAGCACTTGCATCAACGGCAGCTTGGATTACGCCTCGCCGGAATTATTGCACGCGCGTACGCCGCTGTACTCGCCTGCGGTGGACATGTGGGCATACGGTGTTATTGCGTATACGCTGCTCACGGGGAAACGGCCCTTTACTCATAACTTCCAACCAGCCCTCGTCATGCTCATCACCAAGGGTGAGTGGGACGAAGAGGCACTACGGGAGGCCGGAGTTGATGAGGATGCCATCGACCTCGTGCGCGGGTGTCTTGAGATGGATCCCCAGCTGCGGTGCACCGTCTCCGACGTGTTAGACTGTCCATGGTTTGATGGCTGCAGTGAACTTTACGAGGAAGTTCGACGCGAGTGGGTCGACTCGAATTGAGTGAAGATTCGTTCGGCGCCATCCCCGTAAACTTCCAGCATCACGCTCCTCTCGGGTTTTCGTAAAAATTTTTGGAGTTTTGTCGTTTGCTGCTATCGGCGCGAAAGCGTTTGGATCCGGACACAAAGTATTGATACCCTACGATACCCTTTTTTCGGGTCCCGTTCTTCTTTTGCTCTGGACTTCTGCGATGTGCGTTTGGGCATCATTTCAGCGTTCAAGCACTTCTTTTTCTTCTTCTATTGCATGTATGAGAATGGCTTTTTTTTCCTGGGCGGGACTTCATCCTATGGTCCATGGCAAGGTTGCGCTTGCAAGGTCAAGGCGAAGCTGGGTTTGGGTTGATCAAGGGACGGATCCCTTCGGTTGAAGGAAGCATTGCACTGCTCTTCGAAAGCGTAAATTTCGAGAAAGTATTTCCTAAAAATTTCATTGTCTATAGTGGTACGCTAAGGATAACCGTGTCATGAGGGTTTATGTAATTACAAGGCTAGCTCGCAATCGATTCTATCAATGGAAACAAGGGAGAAAGCTCCGTTTCTGCGGGACCCTGAGCCGGTGGATTCCGGTGTCAGCAACCGTAGGAATTTGCGGGGCTTATCGAGCTCTCTCCGCAAGTTGGCGAGTCAGGCTGCCCCGCCCCAAGACCAGACGGCAGCATCCAAGAACGCGCCAACCCTGCTTGGTCTGTCTTGCCCCAAGCTTGACCAAGTCATGACACAGCAGTTGCTCACATCGCATCTCGAGGTGTGCCGGCTACTCACGACAGAAGAACGAAGGCGCACTGTTCCATCCTACTGCCCCGGTCGAGTGCTCGAGAGGGCACTGGATGACATCAGCGGCGTTCTTCCCCACCAGCGACAAGGCAGAACGGCCGCCTCCACACTCCACAGACAGGCCAACGACTGGCAAGAGGCCGGGCTGCCTGGCCGCCAAGCCCAGACATCCGGGGAGCCTGTCAGCCCACGCCTCAGCCGCTGCCGTCGTTGCAGTAAGCCTTGCAATGCCGGGTATATCTGTTGCTCGATGCCCACTTTCCACCGTCGTCTGCGAGCGTGTCCCACTGTCAGCCCTTCGTGACCCACTGTGCTGTTCGTTGCCAACGCCGCAGCATCCACAGAAATCCAACAGCAAACAGAGAACGCGAAACCACAACTGGCGCCAAGGCCAAGCGTGTAAGTGGCGTATTTCTCAAGGCGGGACGAGCACTTGGCCGACTTCTTCGCCATAAAGCTGGAGATGCTTCCGATCTTATCCACCAACCCAACCCAAGACTTTTGACCAAACTGACACCGTCATCTTTTGGATAGCCCTGACTCTTGACGGCCCGAATTAAACGTCGAAAGGGAAGAGCACGCACCAGGCATCATGGGTGAATGCACTGCCGAAGACAAGAGGGAGTGCTACGTGCCAATGCCGTCGCTCGGCCACGAATTGGGCATTCTGTTCGGCTTCCTCGGTATGTTCTAGAACGCGAGGGGAAATACACGCTTGTTGGACAGTAGACATATCCGGTGTCCCCCTGAGGAGATCCTCCCTTCTGCGACTTCCCCTATACTGTTCTGTCAACGGTCAAATCCCCACCTACTGACAATTTCTTAGCGCTCATGCTTGTCTGCATGCTTTCGTACGGCGTCATGTGGCAGGTCGGCAACAGGCGCTCCCTGCGCAAAGAAGAGGAGCGCATCGCCGCTTTGCGCGCAGCCGGGCACCTGAAAGACGAGAAGAGCTCAACCGAGAGCAACGCTGCCGCCAATCGAGCATAGAGTACTGACCTGGCCGATCGCTATGTGGGGTGGGTAGGTGATGTCGGCGGAACTCTTGTCGTTGTTTTGGCACGTTGGCTGGCCATGGCTCCTTCAACACCGCCCGGAGATACATCGTCACCCACATCTCCGCCATAATGGGAGCCCTTTCTGGGCTGTGCGCCGACCCATTCGCGCTCAATATGCGCACATGAGCCCGAATGAGCTCCCTGGCCGGCCCGTTCCGCTCACCTGTCGTTGCTGTTTTCTTTTGCAATCAGATACCTTCCATAATGATGATTCCCCCTTTTCTCCGCCATATTGGTGCTCGTTCTGTATGCCGAATAACCGGGCGTAGCGGTGAGATTGGGATTCTCCGCTCTAGGCCGATGTTGGAGAAGACTGGGCCCATTCCGGATTAAGGGTGCGGCGTGGTGGCCCAAACGAAGGACGGCGACTTGGCAGCAAACGACGAGAAGGTGGCGAGTCAAGAGGGTAGAGCCAAGCGACCGTTTGATGCGCATGGCGACCGCCCGCTGCATGAAGGGGCTCCACACGACGCCTTCCCACGTGCCGATTGCCTCCACTCATTCACATCACCTGCATGGTCGGTGCACGTCCTCCCACCATCATACACAACAAGCCATTGTATGACGATATTGCCACGCCGAGGATGCACGAGCCTGGACCCTGAGCCGTTGCGATACCCACCGCTTCGCCCTGCCTTTCCTTCTCTTCTCCACTCCAAGGCTCCACCCTTATCTCCAACTCGATAATCCCGTTAATTGACCCTCCGCTACGATCGACCAATGACTCTCTTCTCTTCGTGACACGCACGCGCGCTCATCCGCTACGGCGGAGCCCTAGTCCGGGGGGTTTGTGCTACATACGATGCGCTACAGCCTCGAGCTCGAGTCGAGGCCTCGGCGAGAGCAAGCCAAGCAGAGAGGCTAGAGAGTACGAAAATGTCGCCCAATGCCAAGATCAATGGTTCAATGTGCTTTTTACACCCCCCGATGCAGCTTCCCTAATTTCCCGCCTCTTCTCTATTCTCTCTACCTTCTCGTCCCGACCCGGACTTATCCTGCGCCCCTTTTTTTTTTCTCTTGCCTTTTTCTTTTTCTTTGAGACATCTTTCGAGACGGTGAACATGGCAGTAGCCGCCGAAGGAATGCGGCCGGAAAGGCATCCAAATAAAGACATTTACGACGAGAAGAGTCGTGCGACAAGTAGCCTCCCCCTAGTGTGGCGCCGTCGTCACGATCGCCTGGCGCCCTTTTTGACAGCAGCCGGACTCCCCCACCAGGCCCGCCGCTGTAACACCCCATGGATTCTTCTTTCCTTCTTCTATTTATTTTTGGGGCCACTGACGCGGTAGGAGTTGCGCGCGCGCTGATGCAATGCGCTGATGAGGCCCGGCCCCCGCTCCGTCGTCGCCCTGTCTCACTCCTCTTTTTATTTTCGCGCATGTTTGAGATCCTGTCTGATGGGAGGAGGGTTACGTGCATGTGGCTGTGCCCTCTTCCTTCCCGTCACCACCCCTTCGCGGAATTTGCCTTATGGACTGTGGGCTCGCCCGGGGGGGGGGGGGGGGGGGGGGGGCGTCAACCTGCAACAGGGACTTCGGCCGGGGGTGTGGAAGCCTGGAACAGCGATACGCAGCAGCAAAAGTCGTCGTAAACTCGACGTCCAAAAATAAGAACATCGCGCATGTCCGTATGTACGCATGAACCATGCCGCGACCCAGGACTGCGGGAGAAACAATGACGAAGCTCATGGAATATTCCTGCACCATGCTTTTATTGTGTCGCCTTTGACGATTGTCTTATGTGTTCGCACCCAGTGCTATGGTTCCTCATCGAGGCTGTGCAATGGAATTCTGGAAGAAGCCGTCATGGAATATAACGATGCCTGTTTCATAATATCGATAGTACAGAGAGATCTAGCTATAGCAACAACAATAAGAAAAGACATGACAAGATATCGAATCATTCCATTTACATATTCCACGATTGTGGGATCATAGACGTGAGCGATTGTCCATCGAAAGCAGATCTACAAGTGATGACAAATTTCAAAGTATGATAAACAAGCTCAACAAGTTGCGTCGATATCCCAGGTATCAGGAGAGAAAATCCATGACGTATCGCAAGCATGCGATACAAGTGCCATCCCTCCAACCCATCAGATGAACGCCGTAACGCCAGACATATGAGGTAAACCAGCAGCAAAATGCCCAAGCTGTGATGTCTGGCCCGCAGAGGAGCATGAACCACACGGCGGCTGCTCGGGAAAATCAGGGATGCGTGTCATAATCACAAATACAAGGAAAAGGTCGTAACGGGGTGTGATGGAGGGGGGACCAAGCTTTGCCATCCGCTGCACCTTGACAGCGAGAACAAGATGGAGGGCCGAGCTTCTTGCCTGCGGTGGTGTGGTGCGCCTGAAATGAGAACGGACCGTCCGAGCGAGCGATCTTCGTCCAAGGGAAGTTACTCTCTCCGTCGCGGGAAATTGCCGGATAAAATCGAACGTCCGTGATGGTGCCGGCAGTCACCAGCATTGCCTTGTCTGCAGCCATGGGGATGAAAGTAGCGGATGGCGCAGTAAGCCAGCGCTACAGTCCTCAAACCAGGTCCGCGAAGTGGGTGATTACTCGTGTGACTGCGACAGTCCCGTGCATGGCAGGCTAGTGCAGAAGCGAGAAGCGAAGCGGTAAATGCGGTCGGTTGGGCTGTCGTTTCAAAAGGGCAGGGATCAAAGCGGTCGGGTCGCGACTCTTAGAAGAGGATTTGGTGCCTGGTGACGGTTAGCGCTTGTTGAGCGAGCCAGTGTGCCTCGGAACGATGAAGATTTACCTCTGTAATGCGTACTCCAGACTGACGTCACTCAACTCCGCGTCGTCTGGAATCTCGTCCATGACCGGCACCAGGCCAGCGAACTTCTCACCGCCACGGTACGCGAGAATTGCGGGCACGCCGGCGACATGCATCTCGGCGTCCTCGTAGTGGAATTTGATGAACTTGACCATGCCGTGTCTCCGGGCTAGAGTGCGCAACGCTTCTTCGACCATGGAGCTGATCTCAGACTGGGGTCGGTCAGTGCATGTGTCAGATAAAAGAAAGACAATGGGGCAGACTGACCTGATCGTCGTAGATGAAGACCACCACAGTGGTGGCCGACTGCGTCTTCTCAATGGCCTCAAGGTAGCCGTCTGCGTCGACGGCCACGAGGCGGCCGTACGCCCTGGAGCCCGGGCTGCCAGTCCGCGACCTCGAGCGGGACAGGGCACGCTGGCCCTTAGGCTGGCTCTGAAGCTCGCGCAGCCTGTTCTCCCTCCACCTTGCCAGGAACTCGTCCTCGCTGCTGCTGGCAGCGCTCTTCTCGCTGAAGGTGGTGTCGGCGCGGTTCTTCCTCACGACGTTCCCCTTCTTCTCGTCGCTGCTGCGGAACAGCGAGAAGCGCTGGGATTTCTTGGCTTGCTCGAAGGCCTGGGCATCGGCGATGACACCCTTGGGGCCGGTGTTGGCGTCGGAACGCACTTGGGGAACGGTGTAGCGGGAACGCATTGTGTCGTAGTCGACGGTGTCGTCGTCGTGGTGGTAGTCGTCCTCGTCGTCCGAGTAGTCGCCCTTCTCAAAGAATTGCTCGAGAGGGGATTCGTGTCCGGAGTCCAGGTCAGAGTCGTCAGCGTCTTCGGGGTGCCGAGTAGAGCGGTCTTTGTCTCTGACGAGCTCGTTGAATTCTTCTTGAGCGGCGTTTGACATGGCGAAAGGGGAAAGCCTGGGCTTTCGGAGGGGCGGGCAAGCTTATAACGACAGTGACAGAAGGCTGCTGTACAGCGGGGGCCCGTTCACGGCGACAGGGTTCGTTTGCGACTGGAGGTGATGACAGCGGGCACGGCGCGTCGGAGGTCTCTGAGTGGGCAGGCAGTGCGAGGATCTGTTCTGTGCTCTAGTCGGGGTTTCAGCGGCCGTGCAAGTGCTCGAAAAAGAAGGCCAGGCCACACGCGCTAGCCGGGGTGTCCCACGTGCTGCTTAGGGTGTTGCGTCCGACGTAAGTAAGGCTGAGGGCTGTAAATGGCTCCGGCCGAGGCCTGCGACGTTGACCGGCGAAAGGGGCAGAGGGTTGAAACGCCCAAGAGCCCGGCTGCGGGGATCAGGCCCAGCCGCCAGCGCGCCAGACGCGCAACGCCGGCTCGTAAACGGTTGTCGCGCGTCGCGCTGCAGTCAACAACGTCAGGGCGCCCGCGCCCAAGCCTCACCATCTCCAGCCCAAATTACGAGCGGCTCTTCAACGGTGCCCGCTGCCAAAGACGGCACGTGTTACATCATGCCACCCGCATGTCCTCATGATCTGCCTCGCCGATTTTTCGCAAACCGCCAGAGGTCGCGCGCTGGCCCGCACCCCGTCGTGCGGCATCCAAGCCAACGCCCACGGCAAAGCCCAGAGTGTCCCTGCGCCACGCATGATAGATCGTCTCTCAATCCCGGCACTTAGCATATGGCGACTGGGGTTGCTCGCCTGTCCGCCGCGTTCCGATACGATACTCGCAGCTGGCGGCCGGGGTCCCGGCTCAGCCTGCCGCCACCTCGAGCTCGCTCACCTGCACATGCGCCAACCACGCGTCTTGTATTGTATGGCATTGAACTCAGATTAAATGCATGCTAGCCAACCGCAATGGACACCTCACCATAAGCCACCACCTGTATAGGAGCTGAGTAAAGAAAAGGGAAAAAAAAGAGTACTAAGAACATCTCTTGAGAGGAAAAAGACTGCCGAACCGTCCCGGGAATGAGCACTTCTCGACCGAAAGAGCGAGGGATATCGGTGCCCGTTGCCTTGCGCCTTGGTGAAAGAATTCCGTACGTGACGCGCTTGGAGGGTTCGGATGATGGTAGTTGAAGGTACAGGGAATCGCAGCTTTTATTCCAAAGCAGAAAAAAGTAAAGAAAAAAGCGTACCGTCGCCACTGAACAGCGTGGGCCGAAACCACCGACCCGACCCAGACGTCCCACCCGTGTCGAAGAGAAAAAGAAAAATTAGAGCCGTTTAGGAGTGTACAAGCCGAGACCAGTATGCTCGCCAGTTACTCGTTTGTAATATCGTGCGTAATAGAGAGAAGAGCCGCGTATGATACACACAAAGTATGTTAGCGAGCCTCCCTGTGTGTGAGTGCGGTGCATGAGCGCAGGTGGGTGAGCCACTGTCGGGTCTGCTAGTGCCCGGGGTATCTGGCGCCCGCAACAATCGTTGTTTTAAGGGTAAGACGGGTTTTACGCCCAGATGCGGAGCTGCGAGAGCGAAGTTAGCCATGTAGGGAGGGGGACCAAAGAGCCCGTCGACACTCACCATCGAATCCCAAGATCCCGTGCAAAGACTCATGGCGTCGTTGCTAACTCCCAAGCAAGAAACACGGTTGTCGTGGCCTTGCAGGGTTCCGACCTTCTCGCCGCGAAGAACGTCCCACACCTGATACGGAATTAGCGCATACCGAAAGTCAACGTCCCAAAGCAATTCTGTGCTCACCTTGCACTCGAAGTCGTCGTAGCCCGCGAACAGCAGCCTGCCGGAGACGGAGAAAGCAACGGACGTGATGCCGCATACGGGCTCTCCGATCTGAAACATGTGTCAGCACTTTCCGAGCAGATCTCGTGCCCGATCCGGCACGTTCAAGCGAGGCTTCATCTTACCGTGTAGCTTTGCAGCTCGCGGTCGGCACGAATATCAAACAGACGGCAGGATGCGTCGTCGGAACCGGTACCGAAGGCATTGCCGTTGGGGAAGTACTGGATGGCGTTGATGTCCGAGTCGTGTGCTGCGAAAGTCTGGACACACTTCTGCTGGCGGATATCCCAGAGCTTGGCGAAGGCGTCGCAGGCACCGGACACGAACTGGTTGTTGTCGAGCGGGTTGATGGACAAACTCATGACATCGCCGAGGTGGTCGGCAAACTCGTGGATTTTCGAGCCCGTCTCAAGATCCCACAAAACGCAAGTCATATCTCCCGAGGAGGTAAGGATGCGACGGTCGCTGATGAACCGACAGCAACTGAGGTAACCGGAGTGGCCGGAGAGCTCACGCGCGACACGAGTAGGACCTTCCCGGGCGGACAGGTTGTAGATGGAGCAGATGTTGTCGAGACCACCGCAGGCGACGAAATTACCGCTTGGCGAGTAGGCACAGGTCATCACCCATGACGAGCGCAGCGGGATGGCGTGAACCTTATTGGTGGTGTAGGCATCCCAGATGATGAGCTTGCCATCTTGCGACGCGGAGACAAGGTGCCTGCGGTCCGTCGACCAGTGCATGGCGTAGATCTTGGCCAAATGACCCTTCAAAGTGCGCTTGGTCTTCATCGTCAGCCGGGGCAGCTGCTCAACCCGCTGGCGGGCAACATCGCGGACTGCAGCAGAGGTTAGCATGCGAGGCTCGGCTGGGCCATTGGCGCGGCGCGGACGCGGGCGAGGGTGGGCACGTACGGGTGGTGTCCGCGAGCTCGTCCTTCTTCCGCTTTATCCGGTCCTTGAGAGCCTCCGCATCGCGCCGTGCGATCTGGATCTTCTGCTGAATGCTCTCAGCATTCAGGTCGGCCATTGCGACGTGTGGGTGCTGGTGTGTGGAGGGAGGTCAGGAGGGAGGCGGCGTCGGCTGCGACGAGGCAAGAAGATCCAGGGGCGGTTGCGACGGGCGGGCGGGCTTGCGATGCGGGCGGAGCGAGTGAATGAGCGACTGGAGGTATGTGGTCCGCCAACCCGTTCGAGGAGCGCGATGCAAGTGCGGGCGTGCCCTGGGGGTTGACGAGATTCGAGCTGTGGGTAAGCAAGGAAGGTTGGAGTTGAATCGAAGGGAGAGCGGCCGGCTGGAGGGTGCAGGTCGAGCGTCCGCTGCTTACCCTTCCTAGAAGACGCTAGGTCGCGCCCCCTAATTATTAACTACGCGAGAGTCGACGCTGCCGCTCTCGCGCGCTCACTTTATTCAGAACAACAGGACACCGCTGCACACAGCACCCGCGCAGCGCGGCAACGGCGTGCAACCGCTGCGGTGCTCGCGCCATGCAGCATCCGCAGGCCTTGAGGGGTGCCGGAGCGTGCAGCAGCTTCGCAGAGCTGCAGTGTCGGCCTCGAGAGCAATGGCGCTAGCGCAGCCAGAGTGGGCCCGGCCACCGCGTTCAGAAGCAGCCCACTCGCTGATTTTCTCTCACCCGGCTGTCGATCCCTTCGCGGCACCGCGTCCGCATTCCCACCTCCGTCGAACCTCGCCGCCAAAGCCAATCGCGCCCTGCTGCGAGAGCGTCCCCTCACCACCGCCCCAGATGATGGACCAGGCTACTGCCCGCCGGCTCGCCAAGGCCCTACCCAAGGTCGAGGTACGCAACGGGGCCGAGAGCCCAGCCGCAACCCGCCTAGCGGCCCAGCGGAATCGTCAACCGCCCCGGCTCCCTCGGGCTGACTGTTCGCCGCCAGCTCCATGCGCACCTAAGCGGAAGCATCGATCGTGACTGTCTGCACGAGATTTGGGCGCGGCGGAAGCAGGCAGACGACTGCTTCGACCTGCAGGACCCGCTGGACGCCATCCCGCCCGGCAAAGTCGACTACGACCTCAACACGTGAGCCGCCTTTTCCTCTTTGCTGCATCCAGCCCGTCGCGGGGTCAAATGAGCTTCTGCATATGAGTGCGCTGAGCTCCCACACCTGTCCTCGCTTGGTAAGCCCGTCACACGGCCCCAGCAGGCTCCGGCGATGAGCTTCTATGCGTGCACACCAAGAATAGTCGCTTCTGTGAGACCCTGCGCACGAAGACATGGGCACATCTGGGCTCGCTGTCGGCCTCAGAAGCGAGCGAGGCTACATCGCGCCACTCGCACGGCCGGATGAGTGCCTTCGGTCCTTTTTCACAGGCCTGATCGTTCCTCTCCTCCGGGCGAACCTCCAAGTGTCTCTATCTTGCAACACAACCTCTTCGCTGGCCCTTGCGTTTGCTTTTCTGTGTCAAGTTGGAGGTCACTGCTAGTAGAGGGGTTGCCGTGGCTGACTGGTTCGGAATGTAGCTTTTTCCCGTTGTTCTCGTCGTACATCTACAAGCTGTGCAGTGACATTGAAAGTATCAAGTACGCTGGAATACGTCCTCCCTAATGGAAGCAGATGCTCACGAGCCAGGTACTCCACACTTTCGGTGCTCGAGTCATTCCGTCGAGATAACGTCATACACCTAGAACTCAGGACGACGCCACGCGCCATCCCAAATCAAGGAATTACGAAGAAGCAATACGTAGAGACGATACTGGCCTGCATCGAAGAGCACAATGCCCGCCCCTCCAACCCGATGCGTACAGGGCTTATCCTATCCGTAGACCGCCGGAACTCCGTAGTCGAGGCTGAGGAAGTTGTCAGTCTGGCATTGTCGCTCCAGCCGAGAGGCGTCGTTGGGATTGACCTGTGCGGCGACCCCGTTAAAGGCGATGTACGCATCTTCTCCGAGTCGTTTGCCAGAGCCAAGGCCGCAGGGTTGAAAATTACCGTCCATTTCGCCGAGGCCGCTGCCTCCTCAACTGACACTGAGCTGTGGACGTTGTTAAGCTGGCAGCCCGATCGAATTGGACATGTCATCCATGTGAAAGAAGAAATCCGCAAGGCGATCATTGAACAAAAGATTGGAGTTGAACTATGCATCAGCTGCAACGTCCATGCCAAAATGATTACCGGAAGTTTTCAGGACCACCACTTTGGGTGGTGGAGAGATTCCGGCGTTGGGGTCGCACTCTCAGTAAGCAATCAGCCACAGTGCAACGCGTTCGTGGAAGATGAATTGACTCTTGTGCTGTAGACAGACGACGTCGGCGTCTTCTGTAGCCCCATATCCGAGGAATATTACCTGGCTATCACGCATTTCAACTTGAGCAGAGAAGATGTCAAAAAGCTATGTGAAGGTGTGGTGGATATCATCTTTGCAGATGACGAAGAGAAATCCCGACTAAGGAAATTGTACGCGGCTTGGGACGGGTGGAATTGAGCGTTTGGTGCAATCACTACCACGGGTCATGTAGAATTCAAGAGAATTGCCGCATTTTGAATCGAAGATGGCTCCAAAAAACCAAAACACCACAACACCTATGTCATGATCCGACATTCTCTGTAAAAGTGGATAATGAACGACCATACCTGTTCTTCTCTAGAGCACTGCAGAATGATTAGGCTTTGCCTTAAAAAAAAAAGAAGCAAAATGAGAAGAGTTAACTGCCGGCCACAGTAAGTAACCCATGCATCTGAAGTACAGTATAACCTAAATTCTTAGTCTAAGTATAATCATAAGCTTTCAGCTAACACAGAAAGATGGTTTCCATGACGTGGTTGCTCCAGGCTTTGTGCGATGCAGCATGGAGCCATTCATTACTCAAAAGTAACAGCAGAGCCAATGATTCACCCCAAATAATAAAATGTCTCTGTGAATATATTCATGTCGGTCTTAAGTACCTGCACGAAGCTGCATGTCCTAGAAGGGTTTTGCAAGATGCCTTGCAGATGAAACCGAAAACTAGTTACTTTGGCAGATTCGCGTGATCACATGCGCACGTGTGTTCAAGTTCGGCGCCACGGATGACGAACTTTCGCCCCGCCGCTCGTGCTGCCTACCTCGCAATTCCTACGTGCGCGCACAAAGTTTCAGCACAGTATCACTAGCAAGCAGCAGACCGTGGTCGCGCGTCGAGTTCCATACTCTGCTGTCAATCAGTCCGTCTCGCCACCGGGCGGATGCTTCCCAGATGGCGCGGACGAAGAAATCTGCGCGCCGCCAGCCGCGACAAACACGACTGAACTTCACCCCCGTTCCATCATCATCGCCTGCTGCCGGGCAGTTGTCGCCTCACTTGCGCGACCGCGCCGCTGCGGTCGATTACTCTGGGTCCCCGAGCCCCGCGAAGCGGCGCAAGGTAGCGCAGAACGATAGCGTTGGAGGTAGGCATGCATTCTAGTATCCTATTGAAGGCCGGAGAATAGCGGAGATCTTGTGAACGTGCCCAGTATTAAATGCTGGCTATCATACCTGGCAGGGCTGTTCAGCGGTCATTCCTCAACTTCCGCTGCGCGGCTAGGTCGCACACGCGCTCTGCCTTGCATCCACGAGGCGGCCGTGCCTGCGCTTTCGTAGTCGCCCACTGTTCTTATTCCAAGATCATTCTGCGAAAGCTTGTTTCCCGCACCCCTTTCACTCTACACATTTCAAGCTGACCGAACCTGATGCTCAATGATAGGAACCTCACAAGCCACCATGACCCCAAAAGTCAAGCAAGAGCCAGAACCTGAAAGAGACAGCAGCAGCGACAGTGACAGTGATCCCCTTCCAAGGTCACAGCGGCGCAGCAACACGTTCCTCACCAGCGGTAGAGCCAAATCGCAAAAGAAGATCAAGTTTTCCCAGCCAGACAATCCAGCACCGGCTGTGAAGGAAGAAGACAACGGCTCTCAGGATAATGTTCCAGAGAGTGATAGCTCGTCTGAAGATATTCCTGTCCGCAAGCGCACTCAGCCTACCATCCCAAAGGCCATAACTCCGAAAAGGTCCAAAAAGAAGAGAAAAGCTTCACCAGACAGTGATCAAGGTTCTCCGCCGGCAAGTAAACGTCAAACGAGAGCAAGCAAGCGGCGCCGAAAGACCCGACAGGCCGCTGCAAGCACATCCGAGGACTCTGAGGATCTGGAGATTGTGGGTGGGCCTGCAAAGGTCGGACCTCACGATCTTGACATTGGTGAACCCGAATCCAGTGGTGACGATGCTCTTGCATCCTCTCCAGGATCACTTCCAAGGAAAAGAAAGGCCAAACAGTCCTCCAAAGTTTTCAGTGACGATGAAGAGAGCGATGATATTCCTGTTTCAACCAGGAAGAGGAGAGCTCCCCCAGCTTCTGACAGCGAAGATGAACCAGTGACTCAAAGATCCCGCAGACGATCACCCGCTGCCGCCCAGCAGGAGCAGGAGGACCTTGCAGAAGACCTTGAGTTTCTTGGTTCGTCCCCTCGCAAGTTGGATGTCCCGCGTCGGCCGAGAAACGTACCACCGGTGATGAACGCTCGTCAAAAGGCCCTGGAAGCGCTCAAGAGACGACGTCTTGGACAAGAACCGTCCCCCGAGGTCGAGGAAGGACCCCAGCAGAGACGCCGGCGTGCTCTCTACGATACAGAATCAGAGTCAGAATCCGAACCTGATCAAGATGACGAAGATGAAACGGATGAAGATGAGGACGAGCTATCTGATAGGCCTCATGCCAGGGTCCACCAAGCGACAACAATGGACATGTTCCAGGAAGATGACGAGGACGGAGACTTTGTGGTTGAGGACGAGGACGAAACTATCGGCGTTCCTGACGAAGATGCTACTATCCCTCTCGCATTCACCAGCATTAGTCGTGCTAAGGGCAAGGACCTATTCAAATACGCAGTAGAATGGATGGTTCAGAAGAAGCTGAACCCCGGCTTTGCGAAGGATGACGAGATCTACAAGTTAACATTCAGAAAACTGGATGATGAGGTAAAGGGGTTGGCAGGGTCAAAATTCACGTCTTCGGCCTGGACACGAGACTTCACCAGGGCTCTGCACGCCAGACCACGAATGGATTCCGTCGAAATCAGCGGTGCGTCAAGGATGCTGCTCGAAAATCATTGTCAAGCATGCAACCGCCGAACCCATCCTGCCACATGGGATATCATGTTGACGGGGAAAGCTTACAAGAGCGACACCCTTTCCGATGTGGAAGACAACGACTCTTCTGAGTCGGAAGATAGCGATTCGGATGATGAGGACCGTCGTTCCGTTGATGCCAATGGACACTCGCTCCCGCCGGAGTCTACCGTCTTCCACGTTGGCGTACACTGCAAAACCAATGCTGAAACAGCCCATACGCTGACGCATTGGCGCTGGCATTTGTATGACTGGGTCAAAGACCACCTGAAGGCGCAGGGCCACCTTGATCCTGAAAAGATCGTGGAGCGCGACGGATGGAAAACGAAGAAGAAAATGAAATATGCGAACAAGGTCGTCGATGAGATGAAGGAGAATGGCGAGATTAAGAAATTGTGGCATGACTTCAAAGCCACCATCGACGCCGCCAGAGAAGCCAAGGTGAGTTCGCGAGAGTTTCCATCAATTGGAACAATTTCTAACTGTGTCTTAGCAAGCTGGCTGGAGTCGGTTTTCTAGATGAGCCAGAGGTTTGACTGCGGCTTCTGGGCCCCATGCACGTCGCCGGGTTGATCACTCCCAACTATTCATAGTTCCTCCATTTTAATGCTGTAGAATTGGATTTTTGAGGATTGGGAGACACGGAGAGCTTTAGGAGAAGGTTGCGGTCTGCACAAATAATTGGTGCTTAACGTTGAGTGGGCGACTTCTTTTCATCCTCTCTTCCTGCATGGAGTTGGCGGGAGCTTTCCTAGATTTTCTTTGAACAAAGGTGTCTACCCTGTCGTCATACCCTCGGGCTTGTGAAACCCGACTACTTGCTACTTAGCTCGCTCATATCATCAGTCACCATCATGCTTCTTCTCAGGGTGTCGAGAAAAAATAAATGAGGAATACCCCTTCTCTCTCATTTTCTATCATTAACGCCATTGTTTCCAGGCCAGCTGGTGCTTTGATAGTCAGCAACTGACATGATGCCGGTTGCCCAGTAGGTGCCCCTTTCGCCCTTTTTCTGACATTCTTCCGCACAGCATTTGAGGCACCGTCTCTATCTTGTCTTGGATGCTTTCGGTCCCAATCATCATTTCGTGAGTCGTGTTGCACCATGGTGTGGCTCGCCATCACCTTGCCGCCACTTCCCACCTTCCTCAAGTCTCGCATGGTTCCATGATGCGCTTCTTCATCGGGGCAAGCCGCTACCGGCACTTCCCCCTGCCGCTGCACCCTCGCCGGTGCCGCTGCCCCTGGTGCGGACAGCTAAGCTAACACGGACAGGCTCGGTGGGACCACGGGCCATGAGCTCCTCGAGACCGAGATCGCGCCAGGCAGGTTGGCGTTGCTTCTGGGTGGCGCGCTGGATGCCGAAGGCGGCGTGCTGGTCAGGCACCACGTCATCTTCGTCCTCCGGGTTGATGGGCTGGTGCTGCGGTGGCACGTAGATCTCCTCAGGCAGTAGCGGTGTGCGTGTGAACTCCTCGAACAGATCGGCGAAGCGTGGCTGCGGGAGGTGCAGGTAGGTGCGGGAAGAGTCTCGGGACTTGGATGGCGTTAGCGGCGAGGTTTACGGTGGAAATGCGAGTGGCTGGGAAATTGGTGCTGAGGGCCTGGAGTAGTCGTATTGGGGGCCTACCATGATTGATTGGCTTGAGGGTTGGGCACGAAAAGTAGTCCGTTGCCAGGATGTGCCGTGGTCAAAACGAGTAGGTTGGAGAGCTTGGATTTATGCTCGGAAGGGAAGGCAAGGGTTAGACGTGCCGCCTACGGAAGGCTGGACGCCAGACGGAGTTTCGCGGACGTTTGGTTCTCTCGCGGTTTTCGAGGTAGGCCCTGATGCGGATTCTGATGGCCCATGCTGGTTGTAGCTGGATTGTTAGAGCTATCCAGAGGTAGGCGCGAATCAAAGCGGTCTTGAGAGTCATGGTGGGCAAGCATGTGACTGTAGGTGAAGAGCAGACAAACACTTGAAAAGCAAGTACGGAAGGGGGCGGAAGGGGATGGCTAGTGTTCTTATTTGAGGAGATTCTCACAGCCACGTCGTTTGCAACTAGGGTTGTGGAGCAGCACCCAAAGAATGGAGGCTCAGCAGTACGCGCAATTGCGGTGCTGACTAGAGGAGGTAACGAGAGATCTTAACGTACCAAGCCGGGTTACCCACGGAAGCGGCGCGTGTCCTGGCAGCGTGCACGATGAGGTGCACGGAAAAGTCGGAATGACAGTGCCGGGATCCGATCAGCAGGCCACAGATGGTCTTGTGGTTTTAGCTTGCGGTTTCAAGCCTTTAGGAAGAGCGGTGTTTCGTTGGATGTTTACCGCACTCGAATTAGCGCTCAGCGGGGCGCAGCGCCGTGCGACGGCGCCAAACGGTCTCAGCTTCAAACTGCGCGAGCGGCCTCTTCAGTCGCCCGGACAGCGCAGGCGCGGCTCTTCGCCCACCGCAGCCGCCCACACCAGCGCTTGGGCGCCAAGCCTCGGGCCGACCTCGCTTAGGAATTCTCGCACTGTGGATAGCGCAAATCGACCCAAACGCGACACGCAGAAACGACGACCTCCGAGACGACCACGACGGTAACCCTGCCCCTCCGGACGAGCTTCATTCAACGAGTGCGTGTTGCTGCCCGTCGTGCGCTTGCGCTGCTGCACTCATTCTAACGTGGATTCCGCTGCAGACACCTCCGTCCCACGACACCAACTCGCAACCATGGCCCACGAGACCGTCTACTTCTCCCGTCCCCGTACCTACGGCAAGGGCTCCCGCGGCTGGTACGTTTGAACCTGGCATAAGAGGGCGTCAATGGAAGGGACCAAGGCTGCTTTATATGCTCAAGCCGGAGCAGGGGAAGGGGAGCACCTTGATGGAAGCGATCAAGACACCATGGTGGAGGCCCGTTGAATCATTCGCTGACGGATCCTTCTTCTAGCCGCGTCTGCACCCACAAGGCCGGTCTGATCCGCAAGTACGGCCTCAACATCTGCCGTCAGTGCTTCCGTGAGAAGTCCACCGACATTGGCTTCGTCAAGGTACGAATATTTCCCGTCCCCTGTCGAACAAGGCCCCACGCCGATCGGAAGCAATGCGACATCATGCGTTGGGGCGTACATTCTGCGAATCACGGCCAAGGAACCAGCATTTGTGAGGACGGATGGCTGACTTCTGGCACAGCACCGGTAAATTCGTTACTGGAAAGGAGAGTTGAGCTGTCTGGGGGGCTATTTTTGGGAACCAGTCATGAGCGGTCATGGGCTATAAAAGCGTACGCGAGTGACGCGAAAATGGAGTTTCCTTCATTCTATGGGCCTTGCTTCACGACCTGCGATGAAATTTCGCATTTCTCCGTGAGCTGGATTCACTGCGTTAGGAATTCAGTTCTTCGTCTCGATCCTCCTTCCACTGGCAATGAACCCAATGCAGCATCTTTGACGACCTCACCTGGGCAGAAGTTTGGCTGCGCTCTTTGAAATTCATTCCGCAATTCATGACGCATACAAAGAGATATACCATCGGGGAAAGCACGGGGACCGTATTCGCCCAAGGAATAAGCACAAACTTATCGAAGCTCATGACCATGCTAGTGCTGGAACGAGAAGACGCTTTATGAATGAATCACTCGCTTCAGAGCCCCGAGTATTTTTTTTTTTTCTTTTTTGTTGGTTGCGGGCACCACCAACAAAACTACACGCTAGACAACTAACATTTCTCAGTACTTATAAGTATTGCCGCCACAGGTTGTTGATCCACTTACCGCAAAAGCTCAATACACAGATAGCGAACTTCAGTCCACTTGAACCTGATCTGATCGAGCAGTCACGTTACATGCACGGAATTCGACAGTCAAGGGCACGGGTAGTCGCAAATCGCACAGCCATCCACAAGCGCCGCAGCCACGACTCAAGTATGAACCGGAACATGCTATCAGCGATGCGCTTCTAACTTAGTACCGTGTTTCCTGCCTTCTGCAATGCTACAGAGTCCTCTCACTGAGCCCGGTCTGCTCTGAAGCAACGGATTGCCGATTGCTTCAACTCTCTACGTTCATCACGTGTACTGAATTCTAGACTTCCCCCGTGCACGACTATGGCTCGAGTAGGTTCGAATGACCTCGTCCGCCGGGGCGCGAACGACTTAGTCTACTCAGGTTGGCCCTTTGCGAATTTCACAAGTCCATCTCTCTCAACTGCCGGGCCAACACCAGCCTGTGCAAGCTCGTCGGTCTCAATCGCAGTTACTCTAGGTGGTCATAACGGCACGGCCAGCGATGTATCATCCACTCACCCATCACTTTGCCCAGGCATATTCGTGACAAATCCACCAACTTTTTCAACACCACACACACTTTCAGCTTCAGAGCCGCCCGATGCCAGTGCTATAGGCATCACCACCGCTACTTCTACCATGCCTATACTTCCACTTTCAGGGCCGCAGACTACCAACACTTCGACCACGACGCTGTTCATAACTACTACACGAACGCGTTCACTTTCAAGGCCGCCGACTACCAGCACTATGATGTCGATCGTGACTGCTGCACCAGCACTTTCACTTTCGGAGCCGTCGATTGCCAACACTACGACGGTTTCCATCACTATTACACAAATACTCTCACTTCCAGTGCCGCCGACCACTGACACTACGACGCTGTCCGTGACTACTACACGGACGCTTTCACTCTCTAGGCTTCCAACCATTGATGCGACTACGATATTCAGGACCATCACTGATTCACGAGCCCTCCCACCTTCACAACCGCTCAACACCAACACTAGGAGACGCACAACAGTGACCATCACGGAATTCCCGTCTCCAGCCACCACATACATAACCACGACACTCTTTCCAGAACCCTCTACAATTACGATCACAAGCTTCGTAGCCCAGACTCTATCGACAATAGCGGCATCTCCTCCGGTAGTTGGGCCGAATGATGCTCCCCATGCCTACGGCAACGGTGGCGACGATAACGCTTCCAGCTTCTTGGAGATCACAAGCGGACAAGATACTAGCATGACCATCCCTAGTACGAGTCTTCCCAGATCCTTCTACATTACTGCCGGCCTCCCTTCGTCCTCGTTGCCGGGCAGCCCGACCACCCGATACACCCCATCCTTCCACTCCATCACGACTAGTACGGCTCAACCTACGGCCCCGGCTCCCGCCGACGACGAAAGCACAGCCCGCGAACGGGACAAGCGTATCATGACAATTGTGGGCCCGATAGGCGGTGTTGTTGTCTGCATCGTGATACTGGTCACTTTGAGGCTCTTTTGGAAGTACATGAAGAACGTCAAGAAGGCTAAGAAAGAGGGCTCAGTGGCAAGTCACAGAAGGTCTTCGAGGACGGCTCCGACGATGAGCGGTGGGGTCGGACGGGCAAGCGGTTCGGAAGGCAGTGAAAGGGGGAGGGCAAGGGGCGTGGAGGCGTGAATATGCTGGCGTGGCTGGTGCTGAAAAAAAAAAGGCGTTCGGGGTTTGGTACTTGATTCCGACTATGACTTGACTTCTAGATTGCTCTACTTTCGAATCTCAAACAGACAATGCTAATTTCATTCAGCTTTAGCTTGCAGATAATTAAAGCTGACACTGTACGTGAACGTAGGTTTGAACGTGCAGGCTTGGATCTTGGAAGAGGAGCGAGTGCCCTGCATGTCATTGCAGGTGTAGTGCAGAATCACAAGCATTGCATCGACATGTGTAGGGCTATGATGCCTGCAGCACATCGGGCCAGAAGCGACAAGTGGGGCGCGAGGGCGTGGAGATTTTTCGCGAAGCAAGCCCTGCGGGGTAGCCGTCTAATTATCCACCATTAACAAGCGGAATCTGAATCGCGCACTCCTTTATCTACGTCTAACTTTTTCTTCTGCCATGGGGTCCGCAGATCGAATCGACTCCCGCATACACGCACCTTTAGCTTTCAACCCCCAGTCGTCAGGTCAGCCGTGATGAGTAAGGAGACGCAGGATGATGTAACCAATGGGAACGAGGGGCAGCAGCATGCACCCCAACCTACAACAACCACCACCACCGCCCGACCTCCGCTCTCCTCAATCGCGCCCGCCCTCGTGCTGGGCGGGGCAGGCTTCAGCAACCAGCTGCACCCGAACCCAGCCTCGCTGCCGACGCGGCACATAGTGCAGCGGGCGCTGGACGTGGGCTTCCGCGCCATCGACACGTCGCCCTACTATGGCCCCTCGGAAGTCCTGCTTGGCGACGCGCTCGCGCAGCCGGAGCTGGTGGCGGCGCACCCGCGCGACAGCTTCCTGCTCATGACCAAGTGCGGGCGCATCGCCGCGGACCACTTCGACTACTCGCCCGCCTGGATCCGGCAGTCGGTGGCGCGCAGCCTGGAGCGCCTGCACACCACCTACCTCGACGTCGTCTTCACGCACGACGTCGAGTTCGTCTCCGTGGCCGAGGCCGTCGCCGCCGTCGGCGCCCTGTTTGCGCTGCGCGACGAGGGCAAGCTGCGCTACGTGGGCATCTCGGGCTACCCGCTGCCGCGCCTGGTCGAGGTCGCGCGCGCCGTGCGCGAGCGCTATGGTTGCGGTGTCGACGCCGTGCAGGTCTGGGGCCAGCTGACGCTGCAGAACACGGTGCTGCTGGACGATGGCGGCCTGGCTGCGCTTCGCGACGCCGGCGTCGACTGCGTCTTCGCGTCCAGCCCGCTCGCCATCGGCTTGCTGAGGAGGAAGGGCGTGCCTGTCGGCGAGCTGGGCGACTTCCACCCCGCGCCCCCGCCGCTGCGCGAGGCTGCCGCGCGTGCGTCCGACTATGTCGAAGAGAGGCACACCAAGCTGGCCGAGCTGGCGTTGAAGTATGCGGTCGCGCGGGGTTTGGCTGCCGGAGAGGAAACAGGCTTGAAGTTGAGCACCATTCTGGGTGGAGGCACGACACACGAGATTGAGGACAATTGGGAGGTCGGAAGCACCATCACTAAGAGGTACGAGGCAAGGAGAAAAGCAGCAGCGAAGGAAGGCAATGGCGATGGAAGACGGGAGCAATTGAGCGGCTTGCTCACTGAGGAAGAGCTTGAAATGGTAAAGGGGACGAGGGAAATATTTGGGCAGTGGCTGAACCACAGTCTCGGTGGTTGATTAGAAAAGAAAAGTAAATATGTGTCTTCAACAATGTAAGTAAACGATTAGTGCGAGGTTCTCTCTAGCTACCGGGCTTTGCGATGGATGCACTCCTTGGCTCTGCGAAGGCGTATAGGATCAGCTTTCATGGACCTCCAGCTTGAGGCCTAATGGCCGCTCATCCCGTCCAAGCAAGAATCAATGACGACAGTTGGGATTCATGAAGGCGAGGCCGATGGCGAGGCCGAAAGTGGCTTTGTATAGCGCGTTGATGCAGCATGCAAGGATTTATCACCGCTTAAGTCCGCTGCTGAACTACCACTTGTTTGGACAGGATGCTTGACATATTGCTTGTTTTGAGCGTAGCGCATCCTTCCCGGAGTTATCCTTGCATAACGGACTTAGGCGTGTTGGTACGCTAATGGTCCATATATACAGAGCACTGGCAACACCCAAGTCCGTCAAACCTCAATCCATCAGAACTCTAATACTCCGACTCTCTACAACTTCGATCATCATTCCAGTACTCTCCAAAATGGCCATCTTTCTCACTGGAGGGGTTGGCAAGACGTCAAGCCGTGTCGCCTCGCGGCTCCAGGATGCGAAGATCCCTTTCGTCCTTGGCTCTCGCAGGGGTGCCTCTGCGGCTCCGGCTGGCATGAATGCCGTCAAATTTGACTGGTTGGATGATTCGACATATAAGAATGCCTTCGAGCATAAGTTCCCCAATGGAGAGGCCATCAGAGCCATCTACCTGGTTGCGCCAGACGTCGAGGATGTTGCCCCGGTCATGAACGCATACATTGACTACTGCGTCAAGGAGCAAGGTGTCAAGAGATTTGTCTTGATGGCTGGAAGCTCAGCCGAGCCTGGTGGGTGGCATACCGGAAAAGTGTGGCAGCACTTGCTCGACATTGGCGTTGAATACGCTGTTCTGCGTCCGTCCTGGTTCATGGGTATGTGGTCCTTGTTTCTTCTTTGCATGGAAGGGCAAAAAAAAAAAAAAAACTGTCTGTAGCCCCGGCTGTTGCTGATGCATTTGAGCAGAGAACATGTCCGAGGGCTGGTCGCAGGCGTCCGTTAAAAGCGGGATGCTCGTCACTGCTTGCGGAGACGGAAAGATTCCCTTTATCAGTGCTGAGGACATCGCCGCTGTTGTCTTCCACACGCTCACGGACGAGAAACCACACAACACCTCCTATCGACTACTGGGGCCTGAGCTGCTGACACATGACGATGTATGTCCTCCTTTTCGACCTTGTCCTAAATGCTCGTGCTAACTACAGTGGCATTTGCAGATCGCGAAGAAGCTGAGCAAGTTGCTCGGACGTGAGATCGCCAATTTGAAGCTCACTGGTGAAGAGAGGAGGAAGGGGCTGAAGGAACACGGAATGGCTGAGCACTTCGCTGATTTCGTCACGGAACTTGAACTAATGACATCGAGGGGGGAAGAAGAATTTGAGGGGAACGATGTGGAGAAGGTCACTGGCCGGCCTCCTCAAAGCTTTGACGAATTTGCACGAAGGAACAGAGCAGCATGGGTGTGATCTAGCTGAAGATGCCTATCAGTAGCTTTTAACGCCTTGCATATTGTCGAATTCTTTTTGTCAGTGTATGATGTTAAAACTCACTCTCTCTGCAACGAAACGGGGCAAAGTAAACGCTCTTCTATGCCAACTATTTAAAAGGAAGAGCAATCATATTCACAGAATCGTGTCCATGTTTCTATAGCTAATCACTCAAGTTCCGCTTAGAACGGTGGTCGTGTTGTGAAAATCATCCAACCAGTTCGTTCCATTTAGAATTTATGTATAAACCTTCACAAACAGCAGATCGAATTTAGAGTTAATCTCGCACTGTGCCCACCTTCGCGTGGACGTCCATAAATATCAATATCAGTCCACGTCAACGTCTTTCCTAATCTTTTCCTATCCCTAGTATGTTGCATGCGGAGAAGGCAAGCTCTACAGACCGCAAAATCTTCCGCAAACAACAGGGGTTTGCTCGAGGAGGGCACCCCACTACCGAACGCAGATCAAAAAAGGTTCCCCGCATCTTCTTCCACCGCTCACCACCACCACCACCACCACCAAGAAAAAGGAAAGACCCAACCAACCAACACCTGAAGAGGCAAAAAGCAAAGCACCCTCACCAGGGGCAAAAGAAATTGTCCCTACGCAGAATCGAACTGCGGACCTTCGGATCGCTACCTCTTAGAGGAAGTCACACTGTTGTAGTATGAGACCGACGTCATAACCGACTAGACCACAGAGACTGGATGAAAGCCTGATGGCTTCCTCTGTGTTGTGGATGGCTGAGACACCCTAATCATGAGAATCAGTTTCGCTGTCAAAAATAATATTGCTATATCATTTTTCAACGTCGTGGCTGATGGGATGGTATTGGTAGGTAGATTGAAAATTTTCGGCGGCGGTTACGGGCCAGGGCCGAGACCGAGCCATTTCGGGCCGAGGCGCTCTTTAAGACGGCACGAGTGGAATGCGAGACCCGGAAATACGCAAAGAATGACAAGCAGGCAGGGTGTGCTATCTAAAGCATCACTACAAAAGTTGGAGAAGAGAATGGGAAAGGAGATCAGGCTGGTTATTAAGGGGGAGATGCATTTAGGGTCAAGCTGCCCCAAATGGCATAGCGTAAGAATGGTTGCATCTAGCCATGCATATTGCGTGACTCTCTCAAGGACTTCGTGGTATCATATCAAGACTTTGATTTTAGTTTCCAACCTGGGTTGATGCTCAAGAGTAGTATATATATGCTCTCAGAAACCCAACCCCCCCTCAGAAGCCGGTTTTCCGCTTATATAGCGCCAGTCAAATGCAGTCAGATCCACCAACGCCTCGCAATGCCAACCTTCTGGCCCGATGGTACGCTTCAGGCCTGTTTGCCGCCCAACTCATAAAAATAGTATGCTTTTAGCGCCACCATAAGTGGCTCCGATCATCCCACAATCTCGTCCCAGTCAGGTGTGACCACGAACTTGCCGCAGACCTGACCGACGCTCATGGCCTCACCACCATCTCTGCCGATTCTCTGTTCCTCGGGGATGATCTTCGTGATGATAATGTCCTGGAGGAATGAAGCGTCCATTCCCATACAAAGCTCCAAGCTGGTGCCACCCCAATCCAACGTTGTGCGTCCGCTTTTGTGAACGCGCAATTTGCCGACCGCACCAGGCGCGAGTTGAGCAGGGTGTTCGGGGCTCACAGTGTCGATGGCTGCAGCGTCATCCTCAGGCTTGGCGGGACCGTTCGAGCTGACCTCGGGCGTCGCAAGGTCGATCGGGTTGCTACGGGAGGTGGCTTCGGGGGACTGGGGTTCATTCTTGACCGTGTTGTCGACCATGAGGCTGGGTAGGACAGGAGGAAGTTGGAAGAGGTAGGCGCGATCCTGTTTCTTGTCGACGGTTTGGTCCTGCTTCGGAGCCTGGCCGTCTGCCATGGTAGTATCACCCTCGGCGTCGGGTGTCGTAACTGAAGGCAGAACGATTTCACCAAGTTCGTCTGCGAGGACCTTCATGCTTTGTTCGTGGCGCTCTTGCTCTTGCTTGTCTTCTTCGCTGACAAGTGCTGCGCGCACGTCCCGGAATCGTGGCTTCCTGCGCTGCTTGATCTTTGGTTTTGTCTTCCTCGAAAGTTCTGGGGAGGAAGGTGCATCCTTGGCGGCCTGCTCCGGAATATTTGACGGCACGACGGTTGGCCCTTCGTTTGGCTCGTCCTTGATTGTCACGACACCTTCTTCATCTTCATATCCCCAAGCCCCCTTCCAGCGACCTTGAGCTCCGGTGACCTCGACTTCTTTCGCCTTGCCCTTGCCCTTCCGAGGTGATGCCGCATCCGGTTCGGTCTTGATTTCGGGGTCTCCCGGCGCCTCAGCCGTGATTTTGCGCGGCGCGTTCTCGTGTTCTCTGCGGCGAATGCGGATCGGAGCGAGTCCAGGAGTATTGAACCTAGTCGTGCTGCGCCTTGATTGCGAAGGGCCCCCTGTCATCTCAACGTCGCCATCTTCGTCATCGCTGACGAGGTTGATAGTTTCAATGTTATCGACGTCCTGGCGGGGTCCTAGTATTTCAACCTCGGGATCAGATGAGATGTAGCCCTCTTCGTCCTCGTCTTCAGCCTTGACTCCATCCTGTTCGCCCTCGGACCTGATTATCGTGCGTTCGCGCTTGACTCCGCCCTGGTGAGAGGCCCCGAAAGTCTTTCCGCGATGGATCATGCGCGAGCGGTTCTCTGTCACACATGATTTAGACCAGAAGACATAGCTAAAAGCAGCTGACGGGAGTTTTACCATTGACAGTTCCAGAAGCAAAGACACCACCCATGTCTTGCTTCAAGGCTCCCTCAAAGCCCCTTTGGCCCATGTATCCTCCGCGGCCACCACGCCCACCGCGGTCTCCCCTTCCACGACCTCTGCCACGGTCTCCCCTGCCACGGTTAGCCTCGTTATTGAGCTCTTGGAGCTTTTCCCTCCTCTTTTTGTTAGCCTCGGCCTCAATCGCCTCGCGCTCTTCTTTGTTTCTACGACCTTTGAAGGTGGGCATGCGCGCGACTGCCTTTTTTCCGCCACGCGCCGCGCCGGTCGATGGGGCCGGTGAGCCGGCAGGGGTTTGTGAGCCACGGACTGAGGATATGCGGGCGTCTTCAGGGCGCGATGCGCCAGCGCTGGCATCAGCTGCGACATTGGGCTCGGTGGTGGTGGTAATGTCGGCGTCGGTCATGGAAACATCGGCGGTGCTGGAGGCTGTCGCGGCGCTCGCATTAGGCGCAGGGTCATCTTTCGGGACGAACAGAGAGTCTTCCTCGGGGGCAATAGATTCTTTCGCTGGAGGCGCAGTGTCTTGGGGCTGTTGCTGGGTGGTTGCAGCTTGCGCGCCGCCACGACCGCCGCGGCCGCGGGTGCTCGTACCCCGCGCACGCCGGGCGCCACGTCCTCTGGTGGATCCCTCGGCCTTTGGTGGCATGCTGGCGCTCGATATTGGAGTGGGCTCAAGCGGAATGGAGGATGACGAAGTTCAAGTGAGCTCCAGCTGCCTTCGGACTTTTTTCAGACCGAGTCAGGCAGAAGTCGGCGACTGCTTTTAGCGGTTTGGTGGGCTCCACGCCAGCCAGGTTAATGACTCTGATCCCCCGCTTGGGTGGGTGACCACTGAATTCACCTGCGTTACCAAGAAAGCTTGTCACCGAAATGTGAGCGTCGTTTTCGAAAGTGATATTCGACTGCGGGCTGGTCTGCACCTCGCCGGCACGGTGGTTTTGAGCACTTATGAAAGCTCATCCAACTGCGTGCAAGAATGACGAATAGATGTACTTGCACCACCAAAGCTTCCAACGGCCAAATCCAGCCATTGACCCTTCTTCTCGTGCCTCGTACCAAACCAATCGACAACCAGAGCCATCGCCGCTTCACGCGCGGCATGCCCGGTTGCAGCATGGCAGACTCGTCTTAGGCGCTCGCCTTGGTTGTCATATTCGTCTAAAATTGAATGTTCGAGCGCTTCAATCAAAGGCAAAGGTCTTGCCTCTGAGCACGACTCCACCCAACAGTTTCCCCGCAGCATATCCAGCATACGCCCCACAGACGATGGTGACGGGCCATTTCTGCCATTCTCGGTCCCTAATAGGTAGGACAGTTAGCATACAACCACCCGGCGCAAACAGTGTGATGGCACTCACCAGTCTAGCGGAATCGGCACAGCACCAGCCCAAGCACCGAAAAGAGTGCCAATTGCAGCGCCAAACACTTCGTCCACCGGAACCATCAGCGCAACCAGCTCCCTCCACTTGGCTCCATCGACTCCGAACGCGTAGATAGTGGGAACAGCAGCGAGATATGCGATGTGGGCAGCGCAGAGGACGGTGTGGCCGAGGTGCGTCGTCAAAGGTGCCCCGAAGAGGATAAGGATCACGGAAACAAGCGGCACGCCGGCGATGGTGGAAAGGATGAGAGAGAGAACGGCCGTCTACAAGAAGGTCAGCAAGGTCGAGAGAGATAGAGAGAAGGTCTGGGAGCACCCACAGAGACTTTGCTTCCAACGCCTGCTTCCGCCTTGCCGCTAGCACCCTTCCTCCGAGCACCGCCAGAAGACTTGGAGGTAGCAGAGCCAGCAGCCGGCAGGCAAAGGATGGCGTAGACAAGCTGCAGGACGCTCAATGGGATGAGGGCATTGAACAGCGAAGGAACCGGATCGGCAACGACGCCATTGAATTGCACGGCGAAGATCGAGATAACGAGAATGGGGTGGATGTGCGTGTAGATGCGGGCAATGTCCGTATTCAGGGTCTCGATGGGCTTGGACGACGAAGCGGGCGGCGAAGGGAAGGCGACCGAAGTGGCCTTGGCGGCCGAGCCGGCCGGCTCCTCGAAGCGCGTGAAGATTGTCTGGGGTTGTTGCGACATGTCGATTTACCGGCTGGGGTTGTGAGAAGCTCGGGAGGTGTTGGCCTCTACTGGAAATTAGGCCGGAGCTTTCTCGGCTGCTGTTCAGCTCGCGGCTACCGCCAGTGTCAATCAATATAGTAAACATCACGGGAGCATAATCGCAAATCCATGCCGATTCTCTGATATTACTATCGTGCCCCTTTTTTTTTTAAAAAAAAAAAGAAATTTTCAAGCTTGCAATCTCGCCACCAGCCTAATGTAGCCTCCCCTCTATCTCACTCAGCTGCTGTCCGAAGGCACCAGGTTCCTCAGAGATAGATCGTAGACAACATCCTCGACCTCCTTGACCTATTGACAACTATTTAGCACCATCGCAGTCATGTTCTCGACAGAAATCCATACCTTGTACTTGATGGCATCGCTGCGCCTTCTCAGAGAGTCGTTCTTGAGGTTGAGAATCTGGAAACCGGCGTGGACGTCCTTGATGAATTGGGAAATCTGCATCGGGCGCTTGTAGTCTCCGAGCGTGACCGAGTTGCGCGCGAGGCGGGCCTGAGCCGTGTCAGTGTGTGGAGGTTATATCACTATCATTGACGCACCAGTTCTTCAATCAAGGAGATCAGGGCCTGCAGGTACTCTTCGATGGTAATGTGGAACGCATCTTTGTCCTTGAGATTGACGGGTACTGCAAACGAATCAGTCGAGCATACTTTCGTAGCACGGAGAAGCAGTAGCAAACCGTTCATGATGCCTCCAACTTCCTCAATCGTCAACAAACGGCCAGGCTTGGCATCGCTACCCTCGGGCACAAAGCCTCCCAGGTAGCCACAGTACAGAATCGTGAAGATCTGAGCTTTGTTAGTATATCACTCGCTCTGACAGGAATATAAAGCTGGTCTGGGGGAAGCGATGCGGGAATCTTCCCCTCGGTCTGGGTCTCAAGTATTGTTGCAGTACTTACAGTGTCCTGAACCTGGCGAGACCAAATGCCATTGAACTTGTAGTACGGATGCTTGCTGGCAGCCTCGGCGAGCTTCTGGACAGCCTCGATCTCCAGGCGGATGGCGCTCTCGGCGGCGGTGACAACAGCAGGCACTTAGAATTGGTCAGTAGATGTAGTTTCGCCGGGGGGTTGTTTTTCATACGCTCAGCAGAGGATGTCGAGTGAGCGCGGGCGAGAACCGACTGCGCGGAGCGGCCTGCGAGGAATTAGCACATGCGACAAATAGGCAGGTTGAATTTGACGTGCCGTGCTTCTCCAGGGTCTGGATGATATCGCGGAGCTCCTAGTAGGCGTGGTCAGCGTGGGGTGGCACGGCGGATATGAGGTGCGTCAGGCCAGGCTCACCTCGCGCACGTTGGAGTCTTGATCGACGCGCTCCTGAAGCTGCTCGAAGATGGCCGGATCGACCATTCCCTGTCTCTCGGCCATTGTTGCAGCGGATGGTTCTCGTGGCGGAGGGTTGGTGTTGCAGTCAGAGTTTGCCTGCGGCGGATGAAGTTGGCTCCGTTTTCAAACGCGGCGTACGGCAGGAGCGTTGCATCACTCGCTGCATTTCACTGATGGGCATTTCACAGTTCACTTGAGCAATCATATTTTACAAAATGGCAGTACGCGCGACCTTTCTAATTACGCTGTTGTTGTGGTCGCGATGAAGCCGCACGGCCCAACGCCACAGCGAAACTCCAAAAACGCACACACGCAAACAAAGCGGCGCGCTCAGTCACTTCTCGCGCAAGGTGCTTTTGCAAGTCTCATCCTTTGTGAACTGTCGTGTTCCAGTCCACAACTAATCAAGCGCCCGGCAGCCAGTGCCAAAATCTGCTGGTTGGGAAGGGCACCGCAAGGCAGCTGTGAAAATTTGCGCTCACAGCCTCCAGTCCAACTCCGCACACCAATCTCCAAGCACTGGACTCCTTGATCCATCTTCCTCAAGTGCCTGCGCATGGCAAGCATCTCAACGAAAATGTAGTGTTCGCGTCAGCCCGAGACAGTGCGATACGGGCGACACTGTGGGCGGCGACATGAGCAAGCTCAGCGGCCGTCGCCCGAGTTCCAAAAACAAGATTAATCACGAATGTCTCCGTAGAGACGTTTCAGAGATTAAACTGAAAAGAACAGATACTACACTTGATCTAAGCCAAAAGGCAAAGAGAGCTAAAGAGAAAAGGAAGAGAACAGGTTGGGGACTGGGAGACGGCTGCTATTTGTACTCTCAGGAACTGGCTGCTTACTCTAGCAGCGCTAAGTCGCGCTGGATGATCTGTGCTGAAAGCGTTCCACTGGGTGTTTCCTCGGCCACTGGTTTCCGTGAATGATTGGCTCGTGAGATTATCGCAAAAACTCCGAGAATTTTCCGGTGGAAGGCAGGAACAAGTGGTGGGGCCTGTGCGATGACGGCATGCCTACGGGCCGAGTGAGGACGTCTAAACGGCAGCAGCAGTCGTCTATTTCGCTTGATATTGCAACAGCGATTGATGGGGTGTTGAAGCGTCTGCCTGGACATAGATGCACGGTTTGCCTGTGGGCAACATGTGCGTCGGTTGCTTCAGCTTGTTACAACCAAGTGAACAGCCTCTCCAGTAGCACATAATCAGGCTCTAAATAGACGCTAAGCCGCCTCATATTCGCTGAGGCTCGTCACATCAGCAAACCTGAGGCTTGCGCAGACTGCGGGTGCCTGCGCTGGTGACGTCGAGTGCCGCCGCTCACTTAATCTGACTGAATCTGACCGCTCTTCTGATATGATGAGATGATGGAGATAGTCGAAGCGGAGGAAGTCGCAGCCCAACCGGATTGGAAGCCCCGCCATTTGCGAACGCGCATCCCGCGGCACCACCTGCTAGCGCATGGTCGCGACTTCTGTTTGGCGCCCGCCTCCCAAGGTGCCACGCGACGCGATTCAAGCCGCTTGCTCTCAGCGCCTAGTCTCGTCAAATCGCATCCCAGCAGCCGAGTTGGGCAGCGGCCCCGAAGACCAGGCATCCCGAACATGCCCACTCTCCTGCCAGTCAGGCGGGGCGGAGCACATCCCCCACGGCCAACGTGAGCTTCGCCCCGTGTGCGACGCGGACAACAGTGGCTTCGATGAAGCTTTATCACACTGCTTCCGCTCGCCATCCCGCCACCTTCCGCCGCCATGAGTAGCCATCGTCCGTAGTCCAGCGTGACACTACTCCCCACGGAACGTCATGTCTTTCAAACTCCCACAACTCCAAACCGTGACTCAGTGCGCCTCCCTCGTCACTGCCACCCGAGCAATATGGGAGCTTTCGCGCATGGTCCGCCAGAAGAAGCGCGAAGTGGACCAGACGAAGGAAGTTGAGGATCTGCTGGATGAAATCGAGGAATTCGTCCACGAGGGCGTCTTGACCAAGCGAGAGTGGAAGGCCTTCTGCTTCAACGTGGAAGAGGCCCTTTCCAAGAAAGAATGCACCCCACGCGAGGCACAAGCAAAGGTCCTGGATTTTCTGGAGGCCCTGCATTCCATTGCCCAGGAGTTCAAGGAGGAGGACGACGCCTACCTGTCCCAGCCAGAAGATGGCGCCAATGTTCCGCGCCGCCGCATCGAAGAGAAGGGCCATCAACGCCGGGACTCTGCCATCAATACCAGCAGAGAATCTCACTCGCGCACTCGCACCGCCGCGTATCCGCCTTCGCCTCACTCGCCCGATTTGCGTCCGCGCAGAGCATCTGCACCGTCGGATCATCACCACTACCATGCACACTCACCCGGCGGTCAAGTGGATACAGGACCCGTCACTCCAGGAGATCCCAGCCGGAGTATCCCTCGTATGCCAGTCGCACTGCCTAGTCAATTTCAGAATAGCCAGCAGTATAGGCCTCCAAGACACGTAAGCCATCCCACCCACATCCGTCCTTGCCAGCGAAGCTTGCTCATTGTCTATTCCTAGTCCTTCGCCTCTCCATCCACTACCCCCGGTGCCAGCGGCACTTTCTCGCCGGGAGGTAGTGTAGGCGTAGTCTCCCCGGGCCATATGCTGCCTAATCAGCCGACATATTACCCTAATGCTCCGCCTTCCCTCTTCACCCCAGGCGCTACCTCTCCATTCGCAACCGGTGCTGGTGCTGCAGCGTCTCGTCCATATGCGAATCGTGGACCAGCAAGCCCAATTGGACCCGCGTCACCCACGTTCAACGTAAATGACACCGCCTCACCACCGCATCCTAACTACTCAGGCCCGCTTCCCGTTCCGCCTTCCCGATTTAGTCAACAGAGCTGGTGCTCGTCTCCGACGCAGGCCCCAGGAGGCCCGGCATCTCCAGCGTCGACCATTCCCGCCCAAAACACCTGGAACAACACTACAACTTTCCCCTTCCCGAGTTTTCCTGAGAGCCAAAGCCGAAACCAGAGCAATGACAATAGCACCCGTCCTAGCGCTGCCCCCACCCCTTCTCGCTCTCATTCCAGCTCAGCCCGTAAAGAATCAACGGCTCCAGCCAGAGATTACCCTCCTGAGAAGTCTCCCTCAAGTTCAACATCTTCGCCCGTCATGCCGCCATCGCCCAACGATTCAACGAGCGCCCACGTGAGCGGCTGGGATAGCCAGCAAGATAGCCCTCGTGGCTTCATGAGCCCGACCCAAGAAGCTCAGGCACAGCGTGCAGCGGCTGCGAAGCTGCGCGATTACGAGCGCCGGCAGCGTCAGGCTCAAGCCCTTTCAGAGGAGATAGGCGTTCCCGACTTTGAAATCCCGCCACCGCCGAATGCGCCCCGCCGTCAGCAGCGCAAGCCGCAGGTCAATTGGGCCAGCGGCATCGAGGATGACTGGAAGGTTAACGATGCTGAACCGATGACCACGCCCACGGACGCGGTCTCGGAGGCGGGAACGTACATGAATCCTACTGGTGATAAGAACAAGAGACGACGTAGGAGGCAATGAACCGGGCCAAGGTAGCGCTTGTATGTTGTGGGGGTAAATTGCAAATAAAGGAAGACAAGAAATGCCTTCGAGGAACGGACGTCCAAACCGGTCTTGATAACGGTCGATTCACTTTACTCAACCTCACGCAAGCAAAAATAAGCGAACTAAGTATTCTAAGTCATTTCCCAGCATTTGTTCATTCGTTTCATCGGCGATACCAGACATAAGTATGTCTTTTATTAGTCATGGTCTCATTTTATTCTGCGTTCACTGGTCTACCACATTAGTTAATACCCACCACATTTCTTGCAGCTTGCTTGACTCCCTTCTACTCATTGGCTTTGTCTCCCTAAGCATCCTTATACTTTCGGGACGTTACGCCGAACTTCGTCGTTAGATACCCTTTCCTCTTCACAATTTGATGACAGAATTCAGGAAGAATTGATAGAGGATGGCACAATACAATGGGAAAGGAACCTTTGGAGGAACAAAGAAATAAAAATGCAGCTATATTGATGAATTGAGGGCAGAATGAATCCGAGTAGTTTTAGGCCTTCAAAGGGCGAGTTCTGTGAAGAGGATGCCAATGTGCCTTCACATATGCTGACTTAGTGCGGAGCGATGAACTTCAAATTTCACACCTTCGTGCGTACTAATTAAATGTGCTGTCATCACACTATCGAGCTCCCAAGCGCAACGAACCTATTAAGGTACAAACGTCGACTCTCATAAATCTTACACAACGGCTTCAGTCGGTTCCAGGCAAGGTTAACCCTTCAGGCTCCGGTCTTAACGCCTCGAGCCCCTGCTCCGACTCCTGCTCCTCTCTCTCCTTCGATCCCTATCCCTCTCCCTGCTCCTGTTCCGATCATCCCTTGAGTTCCCTCCTCCTGTCCTGCCACCGCCCGGAATGTATCGGTCAATGTCACCACGGCTCCTGTAGTCTCGATCCCTGTCCCTATCCCTATCACGATCGCGGTCACGATCTCTATCTCTGAAGTCCCGGTCCCGATCCCGATCCCTATCTCTGTCCCTTCTCGAGTTTCCACTCCCCGGTACATACCTGTCTGTCTCGGGCGGGCTCCTGCTCCTCGACCTACCACCCCTGTAGCCGCTCCTCCGTGGCGCTGGACTCCGACTTCCGCCGCGGTAGCGCCCGCCGGACGGGCTCCGCGAGTGGTTGCGGTAGCTGCTACGCCGGTCGTACCGGTCGCCCCGGTCGCGGTCGCGAGCATCGTAGTAGCGGCTGGAGCGACGGCGGTCGTCATCGTAGCGGGACGAACGGGCGACGCTTGGGGAGCGCGAATGGTAACGGCTGCGGCGCGAGGTAGTGACACGGCTACGTGAGCGCGAGCGAGCGCCCCGGTGAGAATCTTTGTCTCTGGAGCGAGAGCGGCCGCCGCGGCGTGACTCGCGGTCGTGGTCACGTTCGGCACGGGAGGAGCGGATAGATCCCGCAACGGAAGGGGCGCGGGCAGATCGAGCATCTTCCTTAGTGGACTCTTCTTTCTTGAGACTAGGGGGTTCTTCCTTTTTCAAGCTCGTGTCCTCGGGCTTCGGCGTAGTTGGAGAGGAAATGGGCGCTTTTTCTTTGGAATCCAGTCTCGCCAGGCGCTGAGCTGCAGGGTCGCGTGGTACGATGGACTTAGGGACCAATGACTTGCGGCTGGGCGGCTCTAAGGAACTGGAGCGCTCCAATTCGGGGCGTTGGCGGGATTTCTCCAGCGCTTTGCTCTCTTCGAGAAGTAGGCTGAGGGCCTCTTCATCGGAGATCTTGACCTCTTCAGCAGTCTTCTCAACCTTCTCGGCATCCTCAGCCGGCTTGCTGCGCTCAGGAGAAGAATGATGTGCCTCCGGACTGGGGGATCGTCGCTTTTCCTTACTCCGTTCTCTGTGCTTGTCCCTACTCCTGCTCTTATCCTTGTATCTGTCCTTACTTCTGTCTCTACTCCGGGCCCTGTATCTGCCTCTACTCGTGTCTCTGCTTGTCGACCTGCGGCGTCTGTCTCGGTCTCGGTCCCTGTCATAGCGGCGGGAGCGTTCACGATCATATTCCTCCTCCTCGCGACGCCGTCTTTCACGCCTCTCGTCCCGTTCACGCTCCCATTGTCTTTCCCTCTCCCTGCGATCTTCGCGGGCGCGTTCATACTCGCGCTGACGCTCGGCCTCTCTTTCTTCACGCAGTCTGCGGCGAGCTTCCTCGCGCTCTTGGCGCTCCTTCTCCCTCTGCTCCTCCTCTTCACGCTTGCGGCGGCGCTCCTCCTCCGCCTTCTTCTTTTCCTCGCGCTCCCTCTGCTCCTCCATCTCCAGGCGGAGATCGCGGGCCTTCTGTCGCACTTCACGGCGCTGCTCAGCTTCCCTCAAGTAATCCTCCTCTGATTTACTGCCGCGGATAAGCTCTTCCTTTGCAGCCTCGTCCCCAATGTCGGCACGGCGGATCTCGCGCATGCGGGCCTCGGCGCCGGCTTGCTCCTCGAGGACGGAGTGGAGGATGTCGCGCACACGCGTCTCAGCGGCGCGGTAGATTTCGCTACGCTCAGCGGCGCCTTCCAGGAGGGGAGCGGCTATACGACGGTCTTTGGAAAGGAGGGTGGGGTTGCGGGTGGTCTCGCTCTCGCCGAGCTCCTCCAGCGACTGGATGAGGGTGAGCTTTGCATCCTGTCGGCGTTGATGTGGTGATTAGCAGAAGCACGGCGAAGATAAAAAGGCTCGGCGCCTCACACTCTGCTCGAATTTGTTGAATGCATCCTTGCGCAGAGAGTCGAACTCGCCCTTCTTCTTGAAGGTGTGCAGGATGGCCTCGATGGCAGCGCGTTTATTCTGGGTAAGCGGCAGGTCGGAGGTCTTGAGCTTTTTACGGGCGGTGACCGGGTCGGGCAGCGCATCGCCCTCATGCTCGAGCGAGCGCTTGCGGCGGTCGACCTGGGCCATGGTGTGGTGTTGCGACGTTTCGCGAGGGGACGTGAAGAATGTCGCGGTCGAGGCGCCGATGGCGGATGGACGAATGGCAGCGGAGCTGGACCTGCTCACGCATGCCAAGACGGTCGGCTGCGGCAGCAACGAGGGCCGGCCGCGACAACGCGAGATCCATAGCATTGCTTCCACCTGCAATACCACCACCCCCACACGCCCAATCCCTGCCGAGCAGCTAGCCCGCTGCCGTCCATCTCCTTGCACGCTCGCAGCTCGAATCGCCCGTCACACAATGGTCTCCAAGGTTCTCTTCTGGAGCGGCTTCGGTACGCCTGCCCGGCCTCCTCGTCCTCCGCACCACCGCTGGCTGTTCCCGCGTGAGCCGGCATTGGCTGACCTGTCGTCGCTTCCGCAGGTGTCGCTGTCCGGCTATGGCAGCTGGGCATGGAGATGCGCCCGTTCTTCAACAAGGGCTCGCTCTGGGCCTACCCTCTGTACGCAACCATCGGAGGCAGCTTCGGCTACTGGCTGCAGGGCGTCGAGTCCCGCCAGTATAAGCTCCTCGCCGACCGGAAAGATGCCCTGCTCGAGAAGCGGGCCCGCGTCGCCGAGCAGGAGAAGGCCGCCGCGTAAGACTGGGGCGCGCAAACGGGAAATTCGGGGAGGAATCGCGAGAAAACGAAAAATCAAAAGGGCGCAAAGGCCAAGGCGGAGGAACATTCAGACAGACACATGGAGAAACAGAGAATGGGAGCTATCATATCTGGAGGGCTCAAGCGCCTACATATTTGACGCATGCGATGCCGGGGCCGAACCACCCCACGGCGTACAAAGCTCAAAATACACATTTTACTCAATGTCAAGCGTGCACTCGTGATACATCCTACTACTCGGGACAGTGCATGGCGATGACGTTGAATTCAGACCAATGAGCCAGCGTTGCGCGCTGTGACTCCCTTTTCGGACAAAGTGCCAGCCAGCGGCCGAACTGCGCCACCACCTGCTCTGACCTTCCCTCGCGTCAGCTACCTTCAGCCATGCAAAGTGTCCTGATTCTTTCGTAAACGTGTTCTGCTCCCGGTCTCGTGAAGCTCTCGCTTATCTTCGTGCTGCTGCCACTCGGCCCAGCTCGCACGTCTTCTGCACTTTCGTTTCGGCCACCATGGCTCTTCCCATCCTTGGAGATTCGATCAAACCCAAGGGGATCGTTGTCTTTTCCGGCGGCAGCGCCGCAAACAACTTGGTTGACGTGTTCAAGACAGTCGCCGAGCGGAAACAATGCTCCTTAAGCTACGTCATTCCCATTAGCGATAACGGTGGTAGCACATCGGAGCTCATCCGCGTCTTTGGGGGCCCAGGTGAGCATTTATCATCTCTACTAACGCTATTCGCTAACAACATCTAGGTATTGGTGATTTGCGGAGTGCGTTCAAAACCCCACGACCGAAGCGTGTCCCGTTTCCCTGACCGCCTCGCAGGTCGTCTCGTCCGTCTCATTCCTGAGAACGGCGACCCAGAAAGAGCCGCGATCAAGGCTTTCTTCAACCATCGCCTGTGCTTGGATGCCGATGGAGCAAGGCATGAGTGGCTTGATATAGTCGAGGCACGCCACGACCTGTGGAAAAACATCTCTTCGGAAAAGAAGGAACTGATTCGGTCTTTCTTGAACTTGCTAAATTTAGAGATCGTGAAGAGGGTTAGGCCAACCTCCACTTTCAATTTTTCTTCTGCCAGCATTGGAAACCTCTTTCTCACTGGGTACTCAAACGTTCCACCTCTTCATTCCAACGAGCTCCTTCTGACTTCGTGCAGTGCCCGCCTCTTCTCCGGCAGCCTTGAATCAGCAATTTACCTTCTCAGCAGCATTTGTGGAGTGCCGTCCAATACCGCGGTCCTCCCGGCCATCAACACCAACTTCTCGCACCACATTAGCGCCGGCCTCGCCAACGGCACCACCATAACTGGCCAGAATGCCATCTCCCACCCCTCAGAACCCACCGCTCTTCCGGACATGAACTCCCAGAATCCAGAAGACACTGAGGACCATGATTTTGTCGAAGACGCCAACCTCCCCGGCTCTCTTCCCATGCTCCGGAAGCCAAACATCATCTTCAGCAAAGCCGAAGAAGAAGACCTCCCCGCTCGCATCGACCGCATCTGGTACATCAACCCGTACGGACAAGAGATCCGGCCGCCAGCCAACCCGAAGGTTACCTCGGCCATCGCCAACGACAGTCAGGCCGTCGTCTACAGCATCGGCTCGCTGTACACCTCCATCATCCCATCGCTAATCCTACGGGGAGTTGGCGCTGCCATAGCTGCGAATCCGGCCGTGCGGCACAAGATTTTGATCTTGAACAGCACCGTGGACCGTGAGACGGGGCCGTCGTCCCAGCCCTTCTCGGCCTTGGATTTTGTAGCTGCCATCGCGAAGGCGGGCGCCGAGAGTAGGACTCGCGGCGGGGCAGATGCCATCACACCCCTGGAGTACAGGAAATACGTGACCCATGTGATTCATCTCGAGGGTGCGGGCACACCTGCTGTCAATAGAGCCGAGTTGGCAACATTGGGCATCGAGACGGTGCGGCTGTACGGAAGAAGAAGTGGGGGCAGTGGTGGGCAAGGAGAAGGGTTCCTTAGGTACGATGAGAATGCGCTCACTCAGGCACTGGAGGTGGTGATCGGCGGTGGGAAGGACCTGAGAGGTGATAGGAGCAGGCGGAATACATTAGACAATTAGATTATGCGGGATCTACCGCCCTCACTCCCCGTAGCAGTAGATTAATGGCGTCGGATAATAGTACACGAAAGAGCTCTGATACTCATACAGTGTATCGTCCCCATGGAAATTCATACCATCCAGTCCACTGGACGCCTTCTCCACCATCTTCCAAACCAGAGCGAGACAACCAGGGCTTCTACGAGATCCAAACCCATCACGGCTGTAAAAAATCCATAAGCCATACTGTATGGTGCGCCGATATATTTGAATAGAGCGTGGAGGATGAGCAGTGCGTACTTCAAGCCGAGAGATGACACGATAACGGCGCCAGCATTCTCTCCCGACTTCGTCCACCGCCACTGCACGTGCTCCGCCGGAGGAACGCAGGCCGCACACCACAAAATCCATAAAACCGACTCGCTGGCCCAGTATATGGATATGCAGAAAGTCTGTATGACACTAACGTCTGCGGGCTGGTTCACTGTATCAGCCGGAGGACTGTCTTAATATCTCTATTTCCACTTACATTTCCCCAAGTGAGGTAGATCCCGTAAAGGCCAATCCCAGTGCCCATGGCAGAAATGCATATGGATGCATCGTGGACGTTGTCCGTTAAGCTTCGCCTAACAGTAGCCATAGGCTTCGGACTCGACGCGTTCCCGAGGAGTGGGTGATTTCGGCGGGCCAGGTCGTTAGAGAGAAGCTTTTTGAGAGCCTTTGTCGCCACCCTGTGTGTGTATTGTTGGCTGAGAAGAAAGAAGCGTTTATACAAGATAAAACGAATATCTGTTCTTCAATAAGTGGGGGGTTGCAGTTTTGACCAGTGTGAGCGGTCCCAAGGGTGATGTGGCTTCGATATTTGATTTCTGCCTGGTAATCGAAAATGAAACTTGTCTCTGTGCGTTATACCATTCAACTGGAGTGAAATACATACACACGCGGTTACTCTCGAAGTATCTTAGGAAAGCCCATCTTCATTAACGAGCAACATGCTGCTAGTATAATGTTAGCGTAGAAGGTTAAATGTGGTCACTGGAGTGCCTGTAATGATCAATCGACAAAGAAGGAGTAGGAGACATTCGTCTCCCGGCCGCTAGAAACTGTAAAGGTGCGCCGCTCAATGTTACCCGCCGGAATGCAAAAGTATGACGCCGCACTGCAGCTTAGTGCATGCACAAGGCCTTATATCCTGACATTACCTAATGCTAACGGTCGTGCTTGCCTTATCGTCCAGGACAACCTACGAGAGACTTTGGTATCGGATTGGAGAAGGAACTCTGGGTAGATCTAGTAGGGTGAATGTTGAATTGATTATACAAATGACGCAGCAGGCCTCTGCATTTCTTTCATGTCTGAAGAAAGAGCATTGCAAAAACACTGGGAAGCACCTCTATTGGATGTTGGCGCTGAGTATTTAGTCTGGGTATTTGTATACACAATCCGTCAAGACACCTTTCCCTCCGTTTTGCCGCTAACGCCTGTTGACTCCTAATCCAGTGAGCCCTAAAAATAAGCCTGACAATTTCCCCGCTCCGCCGTAGCAGATAGCTAGCAATGGACCTTTGTGGGCTTGGGTAATTGACCACGGCCATCAATCGTTGATTGTTGTGCCATGAAGATTGTAGATCCTTTGGAAACTGGGCTGTGCCCCTGATCCTACCTTTCCAAGCTCCGGCTCCGCCGTAGTGCCTGTTTCTTTGATACAGCAATCGAATGCATTGCTCGAGTGCTGCTTCGCTACGGCGTCGTCGAACGGATCCCCTCCTTCGGACTTCAATTCCTCCAGATTCCCCCATAGGATGAAAAGCTTGTTTTTAAGCTGGTTCAATGTTCTTTTATCCTTGCGTAGACTAAGACAATAAAGTCAGCGCATTACCCCTATATATCAAATCAAGGATGCTTCTGCTTACTCTGCGGCATCAAGACGAAGGAGGCATTCCGCAGCCTTGTCAAATACTAGGAGCGGTATCCTGACAGGGTTCTTGGTTCCAGGAGGTTGCTTTGCATCTTCTACCAACAGGCAGAAGTGCCATTCCCAGTGCTGAGTACCAGCTGAGAGTGCTGTGTAAGTCGTTGAGCTTTGTGTTTGACCTTCTTCACGGATGTCATTGAACTCGGGATCATCCAGGGATCTGGAGAAGTCCTCTAGCTTCTCCGGCCAGAAGTCGACGACGCGAACCCGAGCTCTGTAGATTGCGTTGATGAAGGGCAGATCACAGCTCACTCCGTTTGGTGTCTTATACAGACGTCGTTCGTTGTTTTCAATATCAGCCAGCCGAACTATTGGGTCTTGTGGCCTTTCGCATTTGACTACTCCAAGTTAGTGACAGATTGATAGAGCTCATTGAGAGAACCTACCATGAGAGTTGGGCCCAAGGTGGTCTGCCTCGTTTGCTGGGCTCTCTGATTGTGCCGCTGTTTGTTTCCCTTTTTGTTCCATTGCCTTTTTCTTCTTGTTTTTCTCTTTGCGTGATTGCTTGCCCTGGCCTTGTTGCTCTCGATTTTTCATTGCCGTGAGATAGGCCTGCTTCCGCTCCTTCAATGCACGGACCCGAGGGTCCCACGTCTTGACCATAGTGACATATACGCGTCCTGGATGGTGTCTGTCCCCATGTAACGCGCCCTCAATCTTTTTACCATGGTCATCCATCTTGATGTGGACATTTTGCAGTTGAATAAAATCCCCTTCCTTTACCTTGTGCAAGGAATCAACATGGTTGTCCCAGAACTTCACCTGCAGAGTCATCTGGCCAAATGGTCCTGCCCACTCCCTCTTATGCAATTCGTCAGTGAAACCATAAGGATCACCGTCTCTGCCTACGCTAGTACCTCGGTCTTCGTGGGGATATTTGTACCGATAAAGGAGGGTATTTTCCGTGTAGTCCGTAACGTACATCTCAAAGGTCGGTGGGTACGACTTGACCACTTCGACGACTAAATCGAAGAATTGACTTGGGCCAATGTCTTTGATAAGCCTGAACTTCGTAGACGATTGTCTAGGCGTTGCGGATACGACGGCGGTCGGCTCTGTGGCCAAGTTCGAGCATAGGGCATGTCTAAGAGAGATGGCCCATAATTGCTGTTCTGAGGTTGGCGCTTTGGCGGTTTGCGGGTAGCGCAAATAGTTGAGCATCTGCCCTGAGGCATAGGAGTCATTGAAATGGGGGTCGGGCATGACATTCGGGGGGAATATTATGCATTCGCTTTGATACGACGATAGCAAGAGGTGCTTGTTCGAGAAGATGATGACCTGGAAAGGTTAGTGGACACAAGGCTGGTAGAGTTGTGCTGGGGTGCGGACCTTGAAGCCTCGCAGAATGACCGTGTCGCCAACGTTCTCTATCTGTGGGGCCTGAGGCATATAATGTTTGATGAACCATTTTACTCGTATACTGCGGCCCTCATGAAGCTTGGTTGCGACGGACTTGTCCTGTAGCTGGATAGCGAATTGCATGTCCATGAGATGGTTAGCGGGTGCATCTACGAGGGCAAATGAACGCCTACCACTGCCGTTGGAATCCTTCATTGGCAGGATTTCGCTAACTACGCCGATAACATTGACGGTCTTTTGAGTTGGCTGTTCCAGTGCCTGCTCGATTGTGAGGAAGCTGTCCGGCTGTCTCACCGGCGCTCCCAGCGGCATTGCGGGCGCAAACTCGACGCGTCGCGCGTCGTGACGGTGAGAGCAGAGGGAATGGAAAAGCCGTTGGGTGGTGGATGCTCAGGGTCGCGACAAAATGGGGAAGGTCACGGAAAGCGAGTAGGACATTGCCCGCCCTACCACGGCTGCGGCGTCACAGGCGAGCAGTGGATGGGCAACCATTGGCCGGAGCCTGGTGATCGGCTGGCGGGGCACACGGCGCTGTTGCTGGCGCGGCGGTTGGAGCTGCAGCAGGCCGCGCAACAAGAATCTAGGCGCGTGCGCGGGAGGTAAGAACGGATGCAGGCTCCGCGCTCCCAACGCATGCACTTCGGCGGCGCGTGCAGGGCGGGCGTAGGTTGGCGCTCGCGTGTCGTCATGTCGTGAGCCAATGTGCCAAGACCGGCGCTGACTCATCTGCGCTAGTCGAAAACAGAGCCCAATCCTCGCAGGGCTGTTGCCCGCATTATTTTCCGCCCGCTCGACCTGAACCTCCAAACACCCCACGAGCTTCTTGCCTCACCTTGCACCTGCGCTGCCTGCAGCGATCCTCGTCCCCTCAACCACCCCTCTAACACTCGCGCCCGCATCGTCCGCCGCCGCGAAGCCCCGCCACCATGGCCGATCGCTACATTCCCGAGCATCGTCGCACGACGTTCAAGGCGAAGAACACCTTCAAGCCCGATGAGCTGCGCCGTCGCCGCGAGGAGCAGCAGGTCGAGATCCGCAAGCAGAAGAGGGAGGAGAACCTTGCAAAGCGCCGTGGCATCGCCCCCCGCGAAGGCGGCGGTCCCGGTGCTGCGCTGGGCGCCGCTCCGGACAGCGATGATGAGGGTGGAAACATCGAGAGCCAGGTACGCCACCCCGCGCAGTCGTTCACGCAACCCACCCACGCGAGCAACAGCCCGTTGTCGTGGTGGCGCCGCCGCTTGCATGCCTCTTCCGCCTTGCGCTCAGGCTTTTATTGCCGCTGTTTCCCCGCCTGATAGTTGCCGGGCGAACTGGCCACCCCTTATCCTTATCCACCAGCACGAGCCACAACGAGGACCATGATTGTCTCTCTGAAAGCGTCAATGCTCAAATTTTTGGACCTCTCTGCTGACATGTTGCGTAGCTCAACGAGGAGCTCCCCCAGATGGTCAAGGGCGTCTTCTCCGAACAGATAGACGAGCAGATCCAGGCCACCACCAAGTTCCGAAAGCTCTTGTCCAAGGAGCGCAACCCTCCCATTGAGCGTGTCATCGAGACTGGTGTCGTGAGCAGATTCGTCGAGTTCCTGCGCTCTCCCCACACTCTCGTTCAGTTCGAGGCCGCATGGGCCCTCACCAACATCGCCTCGGGTTCTGCCCAGCAGACCCAGGTCGTCATCGAGGCTGGCGCCGTTCCTATCTTCGTCGAACTCCTTAGCAGCCACGAGCCTGATGTCAGGGAACAGGCTGTTTGGGCCCTGGGTAACATTGCCGGTGACAGCCCCGCGTGCCGCGACTTTGTCCTGCAGGCTGGCGCTCTCAAGCCGCTTCTCAACCTGCTCGGCGACAGCCGCAAGTTGAGCATGCTCCGCAACGCTACCTGGACTCTGAGCAACTTCTGCCGTGGCAAGACCCCGCAGCCTGACTGGCAGACCGTGAGTAGACCCCGGGGATTTTATGCCTTCGGCAAACGCTGAAACTTTACCTCATAGATTGCCCCCGCCCTTCCCGTTCTCGCAAAGCTTGTTTATTCGCTGGATGACGAGGTCCTAATCGATGCTTGCTGGGCGATTTCCTACCTTTCCGACGGCTCAAACGACAAGATCCAGGCCGTCATCGAGGCCGGCATCCCGCGCCGCCTGGTTGAGCTTCTGATGCACGCTTCGACCTCGGTCCAGACCCCTGCTCTGCGCTCTGTCGGTAACATCGTCACTGGTGATGACGTTCAGACTCAGGTCATCATCAACTGCGGCGCTCTGCCCGCGCTTCTCTCTCTGTTGAGCTCCACCAAGGATGGCATTCGCAAGGAGGCTTGCTGGACCATTTCCAACATTACCGCTGGCAACTCGACCCAGATCCAGGCCGTCGTTGATGCTAACATCATCCCCCCGCTCATCCACCTTCTTTCGAACGGAGACTTCAAGACCCGTAAGGAGGCCTGCTGGGCCATCTCCAACGCAACCTCGGGTGGTCTCCAGAAGCCTGACCAGATCCGCTACCTCGTATCGCAGGGCTGCATCCGCCCTCTGTGCGACTTGCTGGCCTGCCCCGACAACAAGATCATTCAGGTGGCTCTGGACGGTCTGGAGAACATCCTCAAGGTTGGCGAGATGGACAAGGAGGCCACGGAGGGCGGCGAGCCGATCAACCGCTATGCGCTGTTCATCGAAGAGTGCGGTGGCATGGAGAAGATCCACGACTGCCAGAACAACGCGAACGAGGAGATCTACATGAAGGCCTACAACATCATTGAGAAGTACTTCTCGGATGAGGAAGACGCGGCTGGCGATATGAACGAGCTGGCTCCTCAGCAGGGCCAGGACGGCACGTTCGGCTTTGGCGCTCAGCCTCAGCAGCAGAACTTCAACTTCGCCAACGGCGGGGACTCGATGGACATGTGAGGTGGCAGCCAAGCCAAATCCGGCGCAGACCTGTTGACAGGATGCGGCGGATGATTGCAGCATTCTAGCGGTGGCTCCCATCGTCCATCCTGGTGCGTAGTCTCGTCCGATTTGTTGTTGGAGCTATACATACCGACAGAGGACGGGGCAACGCTGCTCTTGCCCCAGCGTCGGACCGGGGTATCGAGCACGTGTGCCGATTCTGGACGGACTTGAGGACTGCCTTGCTTTTCCGTAGCAACATCGACGGCCAAAATCCCTTTCAGCCCCCAACAAAACACACCAATACCACCTTTCCGCCCCCCGTCTCCGCGAGTCGTGCCCCCTTCGTCATGACCGATCACGAGCCCCCAAAGATTCACCATCATGTATTCTCCCTTTTGCAGTGGCCAGCTGCCACTGACATCATCATATCCCCGGCGTTCTCATCCGATTCTCGAGTTCTGGTTGTGTCTTCTATGCGGGAAGGGTATTCTTCGTCCTGGCGGTTGTTGATAGACACCCCGTAGGAATTGATTCCGAGGTCTGTTGAAACGGACGCGATGCTGATCAGTGTGTGACTTTATACTTGTGTGGGGCAGTAGCGCGCCATAGCGGCCGCTCCGATCCCAAAATAGGCCTGAGCGACTACTGTCGTCAGGAGTTGGCGTAACGTCGCGCAGAGGCAGCAGGGAAGATTTGCGGCGTTAGCACATGCAGTCAGGCCCGTCCGTAAAGTGAGCAGCGTCACTGCCCGACCGATGAGGCCTGAGTCATTGCAGTGATGTACTGTTATCATCCGAGCGGTCCGGTCGTCCGCGTGGTCATCAGCCCCGTAGGAGCTTGCAAGGTGTAGAGTTGAAACGGCCAAGGGCAGCTCCTTGCAGAGCTGAGCGAGTTTCCGGGGCGATGTCATGGAAGACGGGATTCGCCTGAGGTGGCGGGGCACTGTTGCGGGCAGATCGTTGCACGGATGGCTTGCAGCGGGCGAAAACCGGTTTACATTGGCTCGATCGGGTCTAAATCTCACAGCACTAACACGCAGGTGCCGGGCTGGCGCAGGCTTTGGGGAAGTGCTGCGGTCGGCAGTGGCGGTTGCTGCGGTAACGCTCCCGGCCGGCGCGCGGCTCGTAAACACTAGCTTCAACACCAGGGCGATCCCGCGTCTAAAGAAGCGCTACGTACCCACCTCCTCGCCTCTGCGCACTTTGCCTCGCCACCTCTTCGCTCTCTGAGATCACCGCCGAAGCTCGCTCGAGAGCGCTTGAGGCCTTGCGATCCCCCGCCGCACTGCCGCGCCCACGATCATTACCACTGCCGCAGGCCACCACTCAGAGCAGCTCGCCTATCTGCACGCCCGTCGCTCGGAACGCATTCCGACTGCCCTCCTGCAGTGTTGCATGACACGTAGTCGTCCAGCTGCGTTTTCGCACGCAAGCCTGCACGGCCATGGACACTAGCTACCTGTCGCAGCAGGTAACCACCATTATCGGCCAGCTTCACGGCCTCTTCGACGAGATTGGTGTTCCCAACCATGAGCGCGATGCCCGCGAAGAAGAGGTGCGCTTGCCGTTGCATAACTACTTTTTCGCGTGCTGACCTAGCCTGCAGCTTTTCTCAGCGCTGTCTGCGACGCTGAACAACCAGCTGAAGCTGGTGAACGCGTACGTTGGGCACACGAGCATCTTCAGACGTCGCAGGACTGACTTTGTGACAGGGAAAAAGATGAGAAGGTTGAGGAGGCGCACCGCCTGATTAAAACCATCAAGCAGCTGGAGGGTTCGTTGGAAGGGAGATGCGCTCGCGACAGCTACAATCCTGAGGACGAGAGCCTTCAAATCACATATCCTCTGAGTCACTGCATCCAAGCGCTGAAGGAAAAGCAAAGAGCTGTCGGCAGACAGCACCGTGAGCGCTTTGAACAGGTCAAAAGCAAGTTGCAATTCTCTAGCCGTTCGCCCGGCCCGTGTACTAACGGCGATCAGAACTTGCGCAAGCCCTCGAATCATACGCCTCGCATCTTGAGCCCTCCTTCGTCCAAGTCAAACTCCCTCCGACATCGCCGAATGCAAAGATCCCCCCAACCTTCGACGTCTCACCGTCGTATATAGATTTGCTCGATGAGGAATTTTCGCGCGTTTACGAAGAGTACACCCGCCGAGTAGCGTGGGTACAGTCAACAGCAGACGAAATCATCATGCTGTGGGCGGAGCTAGGGACTCCTCAGGCACAGACCGATCCTGCAATCCTGGAGTTTGCGAGAGAGGCGCCTGAACAATTAGGTTTGCATCAGGATGACCTGGACCGCTTGGGTGCTAGGAAGGACAGGCTCGTCGAAGAAAAGGCGCAAAGGGAAAGGCGTCTGAGGGATCTTCGCAACAACATTGAAAACCTCTGGGATCGTTTGGGGGTTGAGGAAGCCGATCGCAAAGCATTCCTGGCCGGCAATCGTGGTTGCGGCATGAGGACCATCAACGAGTACGAAGACGAGCTTGCCAGACTCAACGAGCTGAAGCGCCAGAATCTGCACCTGTTTGTAGAGGATGCCCGTGACAAATTACAGCAGCTCTGGGACAGTCTGTACTTCTCCGAAGAGGAAATGCTGGATTTCACGCCCGCCTTCTCAGGTGATTATCTCCGATCCACCCTTAATGCAAGTAGCTGACATTCTGCAGACGTTTACAGCGATGCTCTCCTATCTGCCCACGAGGCTGAGATTGATCGACTGGAGGCTCTGAAAGAGCAACGCGCCCCTATACTTGCCTTGCTGGACAAGCACAAGTCTCTCTTACATGATCGAGACGAGCTCGCCGCATCCGCACAGGATGCATCTCGTCTGATGGGACGCGGTCAGAAGGGCGAGCGGCGGGATCCTGGAAAGCTCCTGAGAGAGGAGAAAATGAGGAAGCGAATCGCAAAAGAGCTTCCCAAGATCGAAGCTGAGCTTAGGAAAGTTCTTGAGGCATACGAGGATGAATACGGAAGGCCATTCATGGTCCAAGGCGAAAGATACCTCGACGAGCTTGACGCTTCTGCCTCTGCAAGAACTCTGCCGCCTCGCTCGAAGACTCCATCCGCAGGCCCGGCTACACAAAGACCTACTCTGCACAAACAAAGCAAGTCGACATCATCGTTGGCCAGTGAAGGTACGATATCCCGCTCGAACAGCGTTCGTGGCGGATCGCAGGCTCCTCCTTCTCGGACCAAAACACCGGTCTCGACCAACTTTAACCAAAGTACTGCCAGCTTCAGGAGCAATGCCGATTACAGTATTGGCAGCATTTCCAGAGGACATAACCCGCTGTCCGCATCAGTGTCGTCCAACGGTAGTGTCAGGGGTGGGAGTCCTACCAAGATTCCAGGCCGCGCTCCGCTACGGAACTTGCGGAATAGCAACGACTCCACCGGCGACCGTCGCTATCAGCCCGGAAGGGACGATTTAACCATCCGTGGGAACTCTACAATACGCGGCAACATGGCACCACCGCGTGCCCCGCCGCCCAAGATGAAGGACCTCTTCACTCCTCCCCCGGACACCAACAGCTACGATCGCGAGACTTCCTCTGATCGTGGCAGCATTGTCCGCTCCGTTGCCCCGGAGGACCCCTATGATGACCGCTCGTTCATGTCTTTCGTCCGACCTGAATCTGGTCGCGGTAATTATCCACCAATGGCACCCCCCTCTGCTCGGTCGGAAAGCCGCCAAACGTCCAACACCTCGTCCACTGTGCACACTGCCCACTCGGGATCCGAGAATTGGGAGACATACAGCGATGTCTCCGAGCCTGAGCCTGATGCCAGCGAGGCATATTACGCCAAGCTGCGTGCCAATCACATGAAGCGCTATACCCCCGAGCTTAACAGCACGCACCGCAGATCGAGACCAGCGGGAAGCATTCGTGGGGTTGGTCCGACTCAAATGATGATCGAGCGTGAGGACGACCGCATGATGAGTGCTGAAGGCAGCGAAGCTGGCTGGACGGACGACAATGAGACCTACTGAGTTCCAGCTACTTGTGCATGAGTGGGTCTTGGCCAGGATGGATAAGCCCAGTGCCCCTTTACCTTATGCTCTCAAACAGCCAGCCCGACCCTCCAGCTAGTATTGCAACATTCTATCAGACATGCTGACCGATAGAAGCAAGCTTCAGTGGCATAGACTGATGATTTCCGGATCAACTGGCTGCTCTAGCTTCTTTTCTATTTTGTTACTCTTTTTCTTCTTTTTTTCTGCTTATATGGATACCCTGCACAGGCTACACACCGTCTACAGCAGGGAGGTCCAGCGAATTCTCGGGCACACATAGTCCCGCCAACTCGCAATCCTCCTGACGGGGTCAAGGTGCGTTCATTTATACCTGACCGAGGTATCAATCCAACCTTGCTGTGGATGGTGGGTAGTTGGTCGCCCACATGCTGTCTGGACAGCATTTTTTTTCTCTCTTCTCTACCTCGGTCTGTATACCACGAGAAACGGTTGGAAATGATTTCCCAGGTTTTTTTTTTTCCTGCTGATGCTTAATCCACTTTTTCTGTTTGTTGCTTTCATTGAGTCAACTACAGCTGAGAAAGACGGCGAGACTACCTTTAATCGGGGATCGAGACAAACGAGTAAAGGGTTTGAATGGCGGATATGGGAGTGATGTATGAATGATGACTCTTCTTCCTTTACGGCCATTCACGTCGGAGATGGGGAGGGAAAAAGTCGTGTTTTCTGGCGCTATCCTCACAGGCTTCCTTCCTCTCCCGGCCATGTCGAAATGGATTTGCTTTTTTTTTTCTATGCTTTTCTCTTATTTTTTTTCCTGCACATCTTCCTCTTGTCTTCGAGTCTGCTATTTCTTCGATTACTCTGTGCATGTGCTGTTTCCATTTGTTCTACGTGCTTTCTTGTCCTTTTATTCTGCTTGAGGCTGGAATCGATACGGCGTGAGGAGACACATCGTATCAAACCAGCAAGCAAACCACATGGACATGTATGATTTCGTTTGTCAATCAAGAAACCAGGCATGAAGCTCAAAATTACCTCCACAGCATCCAGTGGCAGGTTTGGAAATCTGTGAATGCAATGTTTCCCCCCTTCCCGCAATCATTAAATTCGCCAACGAATTCTCATCTGTCACAGCTAATCTACGCGCGGCCGGCCGTGCGTCATACATCGTAGGTCAGCTAGAGGTGTGATCCATAGTCCTTCAGCAAGTAAAGGTTTGGCAGCCTGCCTAGTGATCTGGCTAGTGAATGAGGGGGAGCTTCTCTTGCAATGCGGTACTGTTCTCTAATTCCTTGTATAAACGAGCTTTGCAATTGATTGATACTGCGGAAGCTCTGTCGTGGCCGTGCCCGTCATGCTCCTAGAGTGCTTCTCCTCGCCGTCGGCGCCAGCTCAAAAAGCGATTACACGTCTTTTCTTACCGGTCCGTGCTTAAAAATTGGGCTAGTAGTAGTTGTATCTGGTCGGCTCCACCCAGCTGGCCCACCGTATATGCAGGGTCTCTCGCTTCTTATTTTTCCCTCATGTTGAGACGAGGGGTAGAGCGATGCGGTGGAATGCACACATTAAGAGTTGCGGTGCATGTTTTGGCCTTTTTTCACCAAAGGTTGCTAGGTCATACCACTGCCCCCTGAAAATTGCAGTTGGCTTGGGGGCGGAAAACAAAGGGTGAGTGAAGGCCAGCCGTTGGCCTTGGTACGTTTTGGTAATGGGCGCTGTGGGGCTGAAAAGCTTGGGGCATCGGTGTGAGAGGATCTGCAGCTAGGTGCCGAGAAGATTTGGTTGATGAGATCCGGCGTTTGGGCGTGCTGCCTTTTTCATTGTGAGCGTGCATGCTACGGTCGCGTGTCCACCTTCTTAGCTCAGAGGCGATGTTGATGCTTCACGTGAGGCTAGCGCGTGAGGGAGGCTAAGACACGGGGAACTCTCTGCGTGAGCTGCCCTGAACGCAGATGATCAGATCGCGCGTACGGACTCTTCCATGGTCGTTATAACCATGCCAATAACAAACAAGATCAGCGTGCCTATATTGCGAACATGAGGCGGGACGAGCGCGGGAACTGCTCGGGATTTGGCGCCAGTGGTAGCGGAAAGGCTGTGCTCGGAAAGGAGGTGCCCGGTGCATTGCATTCGCTCCATGCCGAACCGACCCGTGGTTGATATGCTACCACTCCCGACTTTCCGAGCACACTACGCACCAGTACTGAAACATGCTAAGGGGGTTGTGGCTCGGTACAAGCACTTGCACGGTCTGAATGCGTTCGCGTTACGGGAGGCGCTATGCTTTGGCCCCGTAGGATTACCTGCGGCAGCAGCCGCTTATTGGAGTGTTCGGGAGCACGTACTCGTGGACGGATCGGCGCAAATAGCGTCATGAGCTGCTCAGGGCGTGGTGGTCCGGCAGCGGGTTATCACACCAAGCGAGCTAATGGAATCAAGATAAGGCCGGTGGTGTTGGGCCAAGCTGCAGGCTGCCGTCATCCCGCGATTGATTCCAAGCAGGCTGCTCAGTCACCGCCGCACGCGACGATAATTGCAAGTCAGGCAAGCAGTAGAAGCCAGCCACGCAAGCAGCAGAAGACCAAGCAGCCCCACCACTAGCAGATTCTGCCACCGTTTCATGCCGAGTTCGCAGCAGCACGTGAGGGGCTGGTGGAGGCGCGCTTATCTCCTAAGGAGAGCGGTGGGCGATGAGGCCTGTGTTGAGAGGCGGCCTGCAACCCCGGATCTGCATCCACGACTGCTGGTTGCAGCGTAGCGCGGCGTCTGTGTGCGCTGGAGCCGGCAGGTGACGCGCAGGAGAGTGGGCGCGCTCAGCGGCTTTTGCGGCGCTGGATGCTTGGCTTCCGGGGCTGGCTCGCGAAGGGGCGATATGAATGCAGCCGTCCCAAAGAGAGTGATGGGTACGAAAGCTTGATCCCATCGTGGGGAGTGTGGGGTTGCATCCGAGGTGTTGGTGGTTGGGCGCAGAGATAAGGGCAGTTGCTCTGACAGGCCGGAGCCCGGCGCATCACGAGACCGCGGAAATACGTCAGAAAGGCAACTGCGGCTTGGCAGGCACAGGCGGAAAAGAGTAATAAGGCGCGCAGCCGACTGCTGTGTCGGCCGCGGCGCTTAGGTACAGACCCTTATTAGAGCAGTCGGAATGAAAGCCGTGGCTGGAGCTTCTTTTTAGGTGGGCTCCCTGCTCGCGTGCCATCTGCGCTAGCCATGGCAGGACCATGCAACGATCGCCGGACCCTGGGCCGCGCCAGCAGCAAAGGGAAGGCGTGGGCGACGTAGTAGTGAGTAATTCCGCCGATACGGCTGGCTGCGCCGCTCTGTTCCTTGCAGCCCTGCGGTTGGCCAGCTGCCACCACCCACCGGCGCGCAGTCAGCAGTCCTTATCTCGAACTTCCCCGTAATCAAGTATCCCGCGCATGCGACCCTTCCCGCGTGCTGCGCGCTGTGTTGTCATCGCTCCAGCTGGAGGCCCGAGTGTCCTTTGTTCATCTCCCAAAACTCCCCGTCAGCCTCATGGTCGCCATCTCCCCATCCGCCCTGTTTCCATTACGAGACTGCTCGGCAAGTGGCAGTAGCTTCGGAGCCTAGCCCGGGCCAACGTCACCATCATCTTCTCCACCGCGCCGCCCGAGGCCGGGAGCCTAAGCGTATTACTACCACTGCTCGCTCGCAGCCATGATGGTTCCGCGCTCCTACCGATATACCTCCTACCACCCTCCCCCCGACCGCAGCATGGGTTCCGTCAGGATGTCGCGATCACGCTCACCCGCCCAGCCCGACCTCAGAAAAGAATCACCACGACCCTCTGGTCCCCAGCAGCTCTCCGCAAAACCCGCCGTCTCGCCGCCCGCCCACTCGAAGCCCATGGTCATTCCGGCTCGCACCCAGCCCCAACAAGCTCCGCCGAGAGCACCTCACAGCTCGCGCAAGCCCCGATCGGCATCCGAGCACCAACACAACGCAGTTCCGCCCGCTGTCGCAGCGCTGCTCTCCGTGACATCGATTCCTAGACCACGACGTACCTCTTCGCCGCGCCGTCGCCTTCAATATGCCGACCGCCGCATCTCCATCGACGAGCTGATTGAGGAATGGAGAGCCGAGGACAAGGAGATTTCGCCGGGAAGCTATGGATCACCGCTAGACATTTTGCTGGAGCGCGTCGAGGATTGTGACACTGACGATAGCTTGAGCATTGAGGATGGAAGCCAGAAGGAACGCGACTTTGTCTCTCCTCGCTCTGTCTCAAGCGAGTCCATCCCGTCCGTGCCCGATCTCGACGAAGATCGGTCAGTTCTCTCCTGGAGCAGTCCTTCTACCCCGAGGTCACCGTCGTTGGCAAGAAGAGCAGGCGAGAGGAGGGAGAGGAGGGTTGTATCTTCACCACCGAAAGAGGCTATTCTTGACCACCCGCTACTACACTACGGCTTCGTTGAAAATGAAGAGGATGTACCGCCACCCCCGGCCCCTGAGGTCAAGATTGAGCGCCAGGCCCCAGCATCAAGGTTGAAATCGGCCTTCACCTCAAACCTTACTGCCTCTATCCAGGCCCTCAAATCGGCCGCCAAGTCCTTTTCCAACTTTACAGCTCCGAGCGTTCCGCCGGATGATTTGCTAACTCGCTCTCTGCTGTCTCCCCGGTTTGCGAGCGAAATGCGGCCTAAGAACTTCCAGGGTACCCCGGATCCAGCTCTCCGTCGCTACCTCAACCCGAGCACTTCGAACAGGCCGCTTTCTGCTACTGAACTCTCACAGCAGCTTCACGAAGCCCTTCTGCACGGCCAACCTGTAGACGACCCTGGCGATGGACCCATGATTCAGATGCAAACATACGAACGCCGCTCGCGCAGCCAATCTCGCGGCAAGCGCCGTACCACGGACCCCGCGTCGGAAGCCGGTCGTGCCATGAGCCCACAGCCAGCCGTGCGCCAGAGAGAACCCCGCGAGAATAGCGACTTCCTACGTGTCATTGTGCTGGAGATGAACATGCGCCGCGAAGGCAAGCTTGATGCGCGCGCTATGGGCAAAGCCAGGATCTGGCTTCCCCCTCGCAAGATCAGCACACGTAGCGAAGAGGAGGATGCAGTGGATGGAGTTCCGGTGCGATGGGTGGGTGTGCTGGCAGGCGCGTATTGAGCGGCTTCCAGGAGCCTCCAGCAAACAGTCATACTTGCATCAGGAGGCGCAGGGGATGCGGCTGGGGAAGGGTCGACATGCGACGTTCACCAAATCCCCGTCCCAGCATTACGTTGGATCTGCAGCGCCGCAGGAGACCCAAAGACGCAGCTTCCGAAAAGCGCACTCGCTCCGAAGCCCATACCTCACCGGTTCCAAAAATCTCTGCAGCGCCAGCCCTTGCTGCAGATAGCGGCACGAAACGGATAGCCTCGAGTGCAATTCCATTTTCCAGCATCCCCGAATATCGACTATCGCCATCGAATTCTCCCGTCGCCCCTGCCGGAAATAATCACGGTTTTCGCTTCGACCCGAACGGTTCCGCCAAGGCGAAAAAGCAATAGAGGCAAGACCCTGCGTCGATATTGTTCCCAAGGACCACATCCATCCTTGTGCGCGACCCATGGCAGCCGATCACATGAGCGTTGCCCTGCAGAGCGCAACAGACAATTTTTTTCTCTGCACACCGCTTCGGCCTTCAACGTTGCGCATGCCGACGCACCCTGCGATCTTCCTCGAAGGCCGGTTCCACTACCTTCGGGCCGCCCGGCCTTACTCTTATTTCGGGAGGCAAAATCCCTTGCCGGCTAAACGTCCCCCAACAATCTACGTACGCGATCTCAGCGTGCCTGCCTCCAGTACCCTTGCCGGCAGAATGGTGCTAGCTGTATGAGGCAAGTGAGTGGAAACGACTGGAACGAGCAAAAAAGAGCACTGGCGTGGTTTGGGCGGGGCGTGGCTTGCGTGGGCGCGGGTTGCATCGGGTGCTCCAGAAAAATTCGTTGTGTTTCCGCCATGTGGGGGCTGCACGAGCAGCGTGGGATGGGAAGGAAAAATCGAAATTGGTTTTTCCTTTGCTGCCCGAAGCTCGAGCGAAGCGCCTGGCGATGGACCTTCCACTTCTCTGCTGGCTCCGTTAGCCCGCCCACTCGACCTGCCTCTTGCTTGTTGGCGTCTGCTCTGCCTCTTTTTGCAACCTAACATTGCGCACCTTGGCGGCATGACTATCGTCTTACCAAGCCGGCAAAGGGCTCGTCCACCGGGTGGAGCTCGCGAATGTCTCGCAACCTGCACGTGCCTTTACGTCGACAATCTTCCTGCTCACCTGTCTGCAGACCACGTGCTTCCCGGCTCTCGCCTGCCCTGGCTCCTCAGGACATCTCGGGACTGATTGTAACGTCATGAAAATTTCCAGGTCTGCCAACATCCTTCGCGACTTTCGTCAGGCAACCTGTCGGCTTGTCACCCTAGCTGCCGACGATGACGGGATCAAAGCCGGCTTTCATCACCAGGACCGTCATTTCTCCATCTTCGTCACTGCGTTCATTGTCATTGTCATCACCATTAGCGAGCATTGCACAGCATAAGCACTCCCGGCAGTTCACCGGACCGTCATGATTGGCATTCGCGTTTTCGACCATCATCATCGTCGTCATCATCATCATCATCATCATTCATTGTTGATATCTTTGTGTCTTTTTTGCAGGTCGTGTACAAATGGCCGGCCTACCAACCAAGCAGGCAGGACCTCGCACAGCAGAGGTTGTCTCATCTTAAGTGGTTTGCATGCATTGTTTCATTTATATCTCATTTCTAGCGCTTTGGTAAACTTGTAAGCTTTTTGGCGTTTTGTGGTATCTGGGATCATGGGCATATGGGCATATGGGTATTGGGTTTCAAGGCATTGGGGTTTGGGTTTGGGTCTGGGCATGCATATTCTTAAGCCCTTTTGCAAGATTCAGGTGGGCGGATGCGAAAGATACCTTAGATAAGTTTTGTTGGTTGTTTACGTGGACATGAAAGAGAGAATGAACTGCTTACTGCAATCCCATTAGAGAACATTTGACTCGCGACTGTCCTTGATATTCAGCGATGATACAACGAAATGCGTTTTGACATCCAGTGAGCATGACGCAAATTGAGCATCCGTTAACCACTTGATGAATCGAGAATTACTAACTTGGTCTAGACACAATTGTTTACTGGACGTCGCACTCTTTAGGTGCGATACTCGTTCACATACATCCTCGTAAGACCTTGTTTGCTCGCGACCATAGCCCTTTGATGGAGCAAAGGTTTCAATGTACGCGGACCCGCATTAAGCCAGTGATCGTCGGTGGGGGGATGTACATGATAGGCCGGCCACGACACATGCCACCTCAATGATAAGCTGGCGAGTGTCGGTAGGTATATCTGTTGTGGTGCTAGCGCGCAAAGGCGTGTGTTAGAGGCAACAGGAGGTCAGAGCAAATGCGCTGAGAAATTCACAGGCCATGATGAACATCTGCAGCGGGGTATCCCTGACCGCTGCAGCGTACCTCGCCGGTACGAAGAGGCTGCGGGGACGGAAGCTGTGGGTTTGCCGTGCATGAAGAGTACGCCAGATTCCATTTGCCAGAGTCCTAAGGGTGAGATGATGCTGCCTGAACGGACATGTCTGCGAGATAGAGGCACATATACAAGGGCGCACCATCTGGCTTCTCTAACACGGGGTTCGCCGTCTGGAACAGATAGCTGATGGCCAGGGGGTCGTCCAGTTCTTTCCTTTTCTGCTATGAAGCTCCCGACTCTACTTCGTTCTTCCACAAACATACTTTATTATTCGGCCCCTGAAGTCTCCTAGCGTGTCATATGATACGCGTGGGGGTGCTTCGAGCCAACTAGGTCTCCAGAACTCCGAGTTCTGAGCCTAGCGGCCCCTACGTCCGGGTGCTTGGGACAGCACACCTTTGTGAACCTTCTGCCTCCGTAACTCCTCGCTTACCCACTTAGTCTGCCCTCTTCTTCCCGCGCATGACGCGGCGCCTTTGGGCCATCATGTGCGAGTAAAGGATGTACGAGCCTAGTACGGGTCAGTGCACTGATTCAGATACGGAATGAAGACATGCATACCAGGTACGTAAATGGCCAACACAGCCCACAAGCCGTAGGCGATAAGGGGATTCAGTTCGGCGGCCGGGCCGGTTGCCTTGTATACCAGCCAGCACTCGCAGGAAATGCCGAGCGGGTAGAGCACGTAGAAAGTATTGTACCGCAGCCAGCTCAGCACGGCCGGAACCTTGCCGCTGCCCAGCAGGAAGACGAAGTAGCTGTAGCGGATGACCTCGGTGACGGACCAGGCAAGCAGCATGCCGGCGAAGGCGGGCGAGTGCGCGGTTGATTGGGGGAACGGATAGGCAATGCCCCACACCAGGAGGAGGCGGGAGGCCACCTGCATGAGGGTGGTGAGGAGAGGCGCGCGGACGATGCCTGGAGAAAGAACGCCGTGGTCAGCATATCTGCACGCAATCTCCTCTCCAAGTGCCATCTTCTCGTCCCTCTGCTCGCCCGTACACCTATTATCCTGGACTCCAATTTCTCCCATGTCCTCCTCCACAACTCTCCCCACACTCCATACACCTGCGTGTTCGCTAGTCCAACTCGCTTTCCCTTACCCTAATCCGCCTTATCCTTGACTCATAGCCGCTTCCATATAGTAGAAAAAAGACTCACCAAAAGCAGCGTGTCCCACCTCGGCCAGCGCCAGCGTCTGCACCCAGCGCACGAAGTCGTCAACGCCACCGAAGACGTTGGTCAAGCCGACCAGCGGCACAAGTAGCACGACCCGGCCTAACACGGCTGTCCATAGCAGCGCTGATGCTGCATTGTACGAGAGGAGATAGGTCTGCGCGACGGTACTGGTGCCTGCCTTGGGCTTCGTTGTCGGGGCGGTGGAGGACATGGTCGGCTCGGACGAACGAGTAATGGGCGGGGTGGTTTCGGCGCCAAGGCCGATTGGATTGTTTGTAGTGGTGAGGGAGAGCGAGGCAGTGTGGGCGATGCTCGTTGCGCGACCAGAGGGGAGCTAGGTAGGGTAGCTTGGAAGGATAGCTGGGCGAAGCAATTGCAATGCGCAATGATCAAACGGCGTGGTCAAACAGCTGATGCGAGGCTGCTGCAGGCCACCGCTAGTTGGTACGTGCCGTCGTCTTTCAACAAAAATGTTTTTGGGCGGTGATGGTTGGGGAGAGAAGACAGTAGCTTCCAGCCGAGGCAAGTCGGCGTTAGGAGGTACGAGTCGCCGACACCATCAACTCGTCTCCTCCACCGCCACAAACAATGGTCTTCGTTTCGAGTTGCTACTGTGCTCGTCCATGTCTTGTTGGTGCCACAAGCAACTCACTGTGTTTCAGAAAGCTGTACTGCATTGCTGCTCTCGGTTCAAGACGTCAGGCGACTTGCGCCTCTCGAGAAAAAAGCAGCTGTCTGCCGCCATATGCAGGAAAGGGTGCAGCAGACCAAGGCGACCTGGAATATCCTATGTCGGAAAGCAGATGATCCGCCCATGATCCATAAAAAAAGAGACCTGTCACAATCATTCCCGTTCCAATGATGCCCCTTGACCCCCATGCCCATCCAGTCCTCTCATCTACCATTTGACGCACATCAACGCCAGTGAAAAAAAAAAGAAAAAGAAAAAAAAACTCCTGATGCTCACCCAGTGCTCGCTTTTTCGCCGCTGTGAATGAAAACAGAAAGACAAGATGCAGAAGGTAAGGTGGGTTCCCAAAGGACTGGGCCGGTTTCACAAGAACAACTGGACCATGGCTGTTCGTGCCGTGCACTTCTTGCCGCAATCCTTTACCACGCACTTCTGGAAAGGGTTTGGTAGGCGGCTACTCGAGCCAGCAGGCTCTTTGCCTTTGCGTTTTGATGCATGTCGATTCCTTGCGCACTCGCCGCAATATACCTTTGCATAGTTCGCATTAAAACGGATTCTATTGAAGTCCTTGGGCCGAGTCGGCCACTGTGCTGCTAGGGGTGTACTTACATGGCCGCATGCCCTGATAACCCACACTTGCCTCTTCTCGTCTCCTTCCGCGCCTGCGCACAGCTCTGCGTCACAATTGGGACAGGCCAGAGCATCGCCCTCCTCCGGCGAACGCGTGAATCCGGACGGGGCTTTGGGGGGAGCTTCGTATGTCGGCGTGGTCTCGCGCTCAAGGCCGAGGTCGAAGGCGGCAGCGCCGTAGTTCATGACGCCTGGTCCGAGGAAGCCCGTATGAGCATTGTTAAGCTCGAGGAGGCCATCTGGATCACGTCCAATTAGCCGTTGAATGTACGGCGCCCTCTGCGACGTCCGCGGGCGCGTGTCACGTTGATCTCGCCGCTCCCTCAGCCGTTGGTGCTGGTGCTGCTGGACAGACGTGCGCTCACCGAGTATGTGCATGAGCCGCCGGTGCACCGGGCTGTTCCTTCGACTGCGCGTCCTAAAACCCCCATCGCCAGGAGGTGCCCTGTTCACGCCGTGTCTGGCTCCAAAGTCGGCAAAAAACATCTCGAACTCAAAGTCGTCTTCCACATCGGTGAGGTCGACAGCCGTCGCCGGTGCTCGTCTTCGGCCGGGAATCGTGCGCGACGAGACGAACTCAACCTCCGGGCTCGAGGGCGCGGCATTCTGTGCTGGCGGGGGCGGTGGCGGATGAGCAGGCGTATCGTCGGAGAGGTCGATGATCTCTCGAGCAAAGCGCGGCGGGCGCGAGGCTCGGGCTGATTGAACCGGCGGAGCGATTGGCGTTGCGGACGAGTCGGCCAGAGCGGCATCGTCTTCGGAGGTGAGGTCTATGACGTCCGCGGGCGGGCGATGGCTCGAAGCGGCGGGCGTGGACATGGCAGGCCGTCTGAAGTCAAACCCGTCGCCGGCAAAGCGGTGGCGGAGAGGAGGAAGGTGCAGGCCGGAGGTTTGCGGGTGTTGAGGGGCGTGCGGCGGAGTGGTGGAGCTGGCGGAGGGCGGAGAGTTGGCGCGGCGATGGAAGGGCGCTGGACGGCGAAGGGAGGCTTGGTCGGAGCTCTCGCGGTGGCCGCGTTGCATTTCGTCGTGCGATCTCTGTGCAGGCAGGGCCGTCAGTTTTTGTCGGGTCGTCAGCGGCAGCCGCTCCTGCGCAATCTGGGCGGCAGACGGCACGCTGGAATCGGCTCGTACCTTGGGGATACGATGATGCGGCCAGCCGTTGGGCGGGTTCGTGCTATCCATGCTCAGGTCCTGGAGAGTGCGCTGCTGGCAGAGATGTGCTGAGAAGGCGGGCCGGGGTTGTGGGTGTTGCAGGTCGTGGGCAGGCGGCTCCAGCAGCGCCAATGCGGCCGACGGTGTTTGGTGGCGGATTAATGAGGTGTTGTGATTTGAAGGCCCTTGCCAGCGGACTCGGCGGCTCGACTCGACCTTGCAACCCCATGCACGAATGGCGCGCTTGGTGCTTGCTGGTTCTGTGCAGCAAGCAACGGCAGTTTGCGATTTTGTGCGGGCGCTGCGAGCGGTCGAGAGTCTCACCTGGCCATGTCGCCGGCCGGGGAAGCTGCGTCCTTCCTGCGCCGAAGCGACGACACCAGCAAGGGAGCGACGATGGATTCCGCTGCGTTTTTGTCCCGTACCACACGCAGAAGGGGCCTGTCACCCCGGCCTGAACTCTCAATGGACCCTTGGGCTGCATCACTGGACCGCCGGTACATGAATCGCCAAAAACCGCCCTGATGTCATTCCAGTCTCTGATCGCTTTCTTGCGATTGCCCAGATAATCTACGCATGACGCCTATCCTAGATACCCCCACGCCGGCTCCTTCAAGCTGAGCCCAGCTCCACCAGTCCTCCCTCGGCCGTCAGCGCCACGAGCGACTGCGCCGAGGCTCCCCACACCACCGCCGCCGCCGGGATCGCTTTCCTGAACGGCTCCGACCACTGCTTGCCCGCCTTTGCGTAGTGCTGCACAGCAACGCTGCCCGCGCCTGCCGCAGCAAGGAACTGGCCCGTGTAATCCCACTGCACGCTTTCCACCGTGCTGCCAATGTCCAGCGTCTTGATGCTCGCTGCCTTCCGCAGATCCCAGATCTGGACTGTCGTCTGGCCCTGCACTGCAGCCGCCAGCCAAGTGCCATTCTCGGAGAAGGCAATTGTTTGCAGAGGTCCGCCTGCATCGAACGTCGCCATGCTCTCACCATTCTTGACGTCGAACACCTTGATCTGGCCATCCCGACCGCCTGCAGCAAACAGGTGGCCATCAGGATGAAATCCCCCGCAAAGCAGTTCTGAAACACCATCAGTAAGCAAGAATGAAAACAAAACTATGGTTGCATAGTACATACCGGCATCGGTGAAGACCTGCGTGAGCTGCTTGTTGCTGCTCAAGTCGTAAAGGATGTAGCTCTTATCCACACCGGTCGAAGCAAGGATGTCGCCGCATGGATGGATCGAAAGCGATGTTGCCGCTCCTGCATGGGAGCCAATCTGAGCCACCTCCGCACCGTTCTCAAACACCTTGACTGCGCCCGTCGATGTGGCAATAACTGGCTTGTCATTGTACCAGGCACCCGCTGTGACGCTTCCGCCGGCCTTCAGTGCCTGAACCACCTGCTTTTGCGAAAGAGAGAAAACGCTGGCACTGCCGTCCTTTCCTCCAGTAAGCGCGAGGTCGCCGCTCTTGTCGAGAGCGAGCGCCTTGCCGCCGGGATATAGGGACTCCGTCTCGTGCGTGGTGTCAAACGATTGGACCGTCTCCGGCGTAGCCCAGCCCTCGGGAATAGGGCGCTTTCTCCGCGTTGCGGACAGCCTGGAAAGAATTAGTTTGCTAAATCAGCGCGAGGAGATTCCGCGGGCGACCTACTGCTGATGTGTCTCATCAATCTTCGCCACGACCGCATCAGGGAGACTAGCGCTATCCACCTGCATGGCATCTCCGCCACCAGCACTCACGCTGATGCGGGAGAGCGCGTTGCGAGCCTCGTCTCTCTCGCGCGTTAGCCGCGCGATGACCCTCACGGCAGCATCGTGTTGGTAGAGGGCCGTGCTGAGCTCCTGCCGAGTTTGCGCAAGCTGTTGCTTCAGCTGGTATGTCTCGAGGGCAACGGCATCCCATTCGTTCTGAAAGGCAGCGAGGAGCGAGGGAATCGAAGTAAGAGTTGGCGGACGCGGGCGGACGACGCGCTGGGTTTTGAGCTCGACCAGATCATCTACAGTGAGCTCCTCGCCATTGACGGGGTCGGTGCCATGCTCAGCAATGTATGCGTCAATCAGGCGCTTCTCAAAGACGTTTCCTGCGTGCGTGTGAGCTTCGGCGCGCGTCAACAAAGCTTGGAAATCTACGGACCGCTTTTCTTGGACGCGACGGGGACCTGCGGCGCTTCACCAGAGACTGCAAGAGGGTCAGCAGAGGCGATTGGAACACGGTGCGGGTGTGTCTTACTTGCGCACAACATGTTGGCGGGGGTGGCTCGGTATGGAGGGCAGCTGCGTGGAGCTGCCTGAAGCGGAGCGCGAACGAACAGGAACTTCTTGGATGCAAACACGCCAAGACTTCACACACTGCCCGTCAAACACGCTAACGTCATGAAGATCTGCGGCTTGATGACGGGATCTTCTCCGGCCTCAACCTCACCTCGTCAATCCTTCGCCACACCTAAAAATTCTGCTAAAATTCAAGAGCCAACGTCAACCTCTAGGCCCACGTGGCGATGCTGCATCGTGTACACAGTCGACCTCCGAGCTACAGCCGAACAGTAACCTTAAGCCACCGTGCCGCATGCGGCGAGAGTAGCCGCGGCAGGGTAGTGAAAATCGGCTAGCAATCGACGCATTTCGCCGTGTGGGCTTTCAAAATTCTCACAGAATCCCCACAGTGGGTCTCAGAGGGCAATGCTTTTCCATGTTTTGCGAAAGGTATTACAGCTCTCCGTAGTTTAAAAAAAATAATAATCAGATGCAGACATGAGTTTCAAAAGATAAATATACAGAAGCATCCGGATGAAAATCCCAACTACTAATTAAACTAGAGTTCGACCCAGACGTACCAGATGGATGGTAAAAGGTTAAATTCTTTTGCAATTCACAATACTATTCTCCGTGAGTTTAGTTTGCAGAGTATCGTGGCAATGAATAGGTGTAGAGGTGGTAGTGATACATGTACGACGAGTTGGCTGCTCATAATGAGATCTCAGTTAACTCCTGCGCATACAATACGTAGATATTTATACCAAACCGCCTAGACCTATACTTCTCCCATCCACAAGACAAAGCGATGATGGGTTGAGAATGAAGGCATAGTGTGTCACAGTGAAAATCTTTCGGCTCATTACCAGAATGAAGTTGAGATCAAAGTTGAGATTAGATTATATTTCAAACAGATCCGCATGCTTCTCTTGAAGCCGCTATTTGGGTATTGGTATGATGCTGTCCATGATTCAAGACGCCAATCCATGTCCTCTTGTTGAATTCCCAGGGGCTTGGTCCAAGCCACCCAAACAATGCTTTTTTTGGTCCACATTAACTCCCATGAAATCAATTAATCAAGACTTTGCTGCCAATTCGTGGCATGCATGGGTATATCCTCCGCATCCACCCTGAGTTCTTCCAATGTTTTAAAAAAAGACAAAGAAAATTCGTGACCGCATCTCGGAAGTGTTGAACGATAGGCGGGGTATTTTTTTAAGAGTGGTTTAGCGAAAGGCGTTCGATCTCTTCCAGATCGCGAACAGTCAACTCCTCGTTATACACGGGAGGTGAGGCTGGGATTTCATCGTATAGAGGTGGCTGCTCTTCGTCCCACGAGATTCCAAGGCCTGCTCTCTCGGTGAGGACGAGGTTGAATTGGGTTCTCAGTACACGGGCGGCACCAGTAGGCGTAACCTGAGTAGGCTTGTTGTCAGGAGCCCACTCCTCGGCAACGACCATCTCGACGACAAGGTTGTGCTTGACCTCCAGGCCGTTCTCAGCCTGAACGTCGCAAGCGGGCTTCATGAGCGGGTTGACCATGGCCTGGAACTCGACTTCAATGGTGTCGTTCTGAATATCGGTCTTCCAGCCGTGCTTGACGTCGTCCGAGCCAATGACACGGGTGTCTTCGTGGATGATACCCTTGCCTTCACCACCGACCTTGGAAACGTGCTTGGGGCAAGCAGGCGAGACAAACTTGGTGTGCTCCTCGATGCGCCAGTTGAGCTTGCGGAGCTTCCAGCGGGTGGTGGACTTGTCCCTCTTCTCCTCGACCAGGCCAGACATGCGCATCTCCACGTTGAAGTCTCCAATGGGGTGGACAACGTTGGGCAGAGTGACGGAAGCAGTCAGGTTGGTGGGAGGGAAGATGCGGACGGAGTGCTTGTCGTTGGCGGGCAGAATGGCGCGCTTGATGATGATGCTGCGGCCAAAAGTAATGACCTCGCCGGAGGAGGTGGTGGCCTCGGCAGCAAGGTGGTAGTCGAGGACGACGAGGGGGTTGTTGGTCGAGGCGGGGAGGTGGCCAGGGACCAGGTAGCTGAAGGGGAACTGGTGCTCGCCCTTGTTCAGGATCAGCTGACCTTGGTTGAAGGTCCACTGCTTCAGCTCGGTGGTTTGCGAGGTGCAGTCGGCGCACTGCTTGACAACGGGCTCCTTGGTGGTGCTGGTGGCCAGCAGCTTCATCTCGAACTTCTCGATGGTGATCTCGGGCTCGGTGACATCGACGAGGAGCTGGCCGGAGAAGATGGCGCCGGTGGAGTTCTGCGGGCTGTTGTACAGGACGATCGGAGGAGACTCGACGAGCAGGTTCATCTTGGCGGGCTTTGCGGTGTCCAGCTTGGTGGCGCTCTTCCGCTCAGACTTGTGGCGGCCACCGAGGCTGTGGCGCTTGAAGGCATCCATGTTAGCGCGGCTGGGCGAGGTTGCACGCTTGATGACCTTGGCCAGGATCTTGGAGTCGTGGTGGTCGAGCTCGTAGGGCGGCGGGGAGCTGGAGTCGGTCCTCCGCGGGATGGGGAAGTGCAAAAGGCCTGGCATGATGGCGGGGGAGGTTGCGAGTGCGGTGGTTCGACTGGAGGATGGTTCGCCCGAAAGCGGAAGGCGGAGGCGGACGATCTGGGGTAAGCGCTCAAGATAGCGTCTTGTGCTGGATCAACAGTCGCAAGCGTAGAGTGGGCAAAAACATAGTCCTCAGGAATCAGGATAGATATCTCAAGCTCGCAGTGGGGTGCGGCTCCGCGGGGCTTATGTACTGCAGCAGCGCGTGGCACAGAAAAATGCTAGGCGTTTCGAGCTTTGGCAGCAGAATTCTCATGACCGGCCGCGCCATGATGACGATGAGCCGAGCAAACGTGCTGCCCCTGCGCGAGGGCCGAATGCCGGCGCTAATTTGCTCCTATTCTCGCAGCCCTGTGCGCTTCCCGCGCTGCTTCCCGCACCGCCCCCGGCTACGCTGCCCGCCAGCGATGACTCCGCGCCATCGCACCATCTGCCGGCGCCCTCCCGCCATTGCTGGTGTTGCACCCCGCTGCAGAGACGCACCCCGCAGCCACAGCTCTCGGCGCCAGCTGGTGCCACGACGCCGCCGACGGCCGCGCCCCCTTTCTCCTCGGACGCTTGCGCCGCCGCTCGTGTGCGCAGCACGAGAAATGGCGCACCAATGTCGTTTTTCAGCCGCGACGGGCACCGAGGTTCGGGGGGCCAGGCACAGTGCGTTTCTCTGACTAACGGACGCACTGACTGGGCTAGCCAGCCGGCGCTTCTAGAAAAAAAATTCCTCGCCGCGGTGCGCCGCAGCCAAGTTCGCGCACACTTCGCATCAGATCCGTCCCCACCAACACAAGGCGCGCGAGCCGATTGATCGAGCACATGCAACATTTTCATACTCGATCGCCGCCCATGCTGCCGCCAGAGCGACTCACCGGTTCTGCCTGGCCGCCGCCGGCTCGCCCGATGTCGCTCCCGCCAGCACAAGGTGCTAACGATCTGCCGAAGCGATTGCTGGATACGGTTGACTGCGGCTCAAGTTGGATCTGGCCTTGTGATCTGTGGAGCACCCAGCCTGCGCTCCAGGCGCTCACCCGACACCAGTTGTGAGCTGACACCTTCATGATTCCCTCATGATGGCCCGGCCGCCCTGCAGCCGCTCCAATTGGAGCTGTTCCCGTGCCTGCGCGCGCATTCACGACGCAAACGTCGGTGAAGGCTGCGAACTTCATCACGTCGGCCTCCTGGCGCCCCAATTGCAATTCCCTCGCAACCCGTGAGCAATGTCGCGTCAATGCCCTAAGGCTGAGAATAGCAACACCCTGATCAACCACCTCTCCTTGCGGCGCCCCCTCTCGCGCCTTTTCATTTCGTCCCCCTCCTGCAGTGGCCCCCGCGGCATTGCGGCTCGTTCGTGATGAGATCATCAATGGGGACTCAAACAAATGCCGCGACACGTCAACGTGGATGCCAGTCGAGGTCACCGCGTGTCCTGGTTTCACGATGCCTCCTGACCCTCTCGCAACGCCTCAACCCCAGAGCGGTTGTCGTCGGCCTTCACGACCAGTCTAGCCCGTGGTCCCCTCCACAGAATCCACACAGTCCACTCGTCTAGCGCTTCCGCAAGACGTGCGCAGGTTGCATCTGTATCCACCTGCACCGCCGTGGGTGGACACGAAGGCCCAGAGCCAGTTTGACGCCGGTACCTGACGATCGCGATCTTCCGCACCACGGCGCCGCCCGCCGCGCCCTTTGCATGTCGACCGTCTCATTTTTTGCACTGCATCCAGCAAGGTGCACGTAGGGGACTCATTTTTCCTGCCTCTAGAGCCGCGGTGCCACAGGGGCCGACGCCCAATCCGCTACCGAGCTTGCGTGCCCATTAGGTAATGGGAACCACCACACGTGGCCGACGCGACTGGCTGCATGCTTCCTGTCTCGCTCTCACGTGTGGCAACGCCCGCTGCCTACTCGACGGGCAACGGAAGTCGTTGGTTTTGGCTCTGCAGTTGCGCGGGGGTCGAGCGGAGATGCGGGATGTTGATGTGGGTGCAGTGCATGGAGCCATCTTTCCTCTTTTCTTGCCGTGAGGATTTCGCCAGGAAAGCCACTTCCGAGTCATTTTCGGCCTGGCCGGTGGGCTGACCGGAGCTCGCAATGGGCCCGGTGGAAGTCGACAGCGATGGGCCGCTCCTTGCGCAGCATGGTGTCAGAACACGACATTCTCACCATCGCTGTGCTCATCCATGGGCTGCCGGTTTCTTATGCCCGTCGTTGAACCCTATTCAAACTCCTAGGAACCCACAACTCCGTACATCCTGGAACAACCCAACCCGTGACAACCTTGCCCCTCTTCCCGCATGTCACAGAGCCCGGCATATCCACCGGTGAAGACGTCGATCCTGGAAACTTAGCTGACGCTCAGGTGCAATCGAATGACACTAAACTCTATGTTCGTGGAGAATCACCCAGAGTCGATGACGTTGGGGATGTTCCGGATGCTGAACAATGGTTACGCTAAAAAATCGTTGGCTCTTCTCTGAAGGTACCGAGAGGTATCGCAGCGGAAGGCTAGTGAATTTGCTTTTTTCGCTCATACTATGGGTAGTTGAAGTGATCATCCGGATGTAAATGTGGAGTGCATTCTCGTCCGGATGACAGCTTCCAGTGCCCACATTTGCTAAGACATAGTTAACCCTCATCCTATAGCTACTATTCTTCGCGCTAGCTTTCGGCTCTGTACGGGCAGCTGGACATCTTCACACGGCCTCACTCACCAGTGAGTAGCATCGAGAGATTTGATCATCCCTATAACGGCGGGCAAGTACCTATAAGACCATTTAACATTCATAAGTCATGCGTTCAAAACACTACGATCCTGCTCATCGACGGCGAATTGGAACGGCTGGTGACAAAAGAACTAGGCTTTCATGAAACTCTAGCGTTGGTAAGTTAGCCTTCGACTTACATGGGCAGTCGAATCCAATGTATGGATGCGTTTAAATACTCTTAAACTCATATTTACGTACGGGTAATTGCTTCAGCTGCTCACGTGAAAATCTAGAGCGCTCTTCGTGAGGCACAGAGAACTCAAATCTTCTACTACCACTGCGATTGTGAATCTCCGCTGAGACCTCTGGCTCGGTTGCGTTGGCCCCGCTTGGAATTGCCACTGTTGTTATAACCTGCGTGAGTAGGATTGGAACTATTTTGCGAGTCAGATCTCGATATCGTAGTCTTTTGTAACCAGCTGGAGCCCTGCTTTTCCCGCTTCCATCATGCCCCGCAATTCTGACTTGAACGAGGTCAGAATAGAGCTTGTAGGTCACATGATAGGCAATATTTCGCTTGGTCTCAGTCAAATGACCTGACAGAGGTCACGAGAGCTCATTGAGAGAGCTCAGAGTATACAGGGGTGGCATTCCATCAGAAGGCTAGGATTAATCTGTTTTTCGCTCATGTCATGAGTAGTTGAAGCTATCGTCCGGACGTGTTTGTTATAATTTTTAATTCGACATTTACGTCCGGACGATAGCTTCAACTGCCCATATAAGTCGAATAATTCCGCACAGATATATATCAAAGGGCAAAACAGAACAAAGCAAGGTCTTAAAAGCATCATCCAATACCGGTGAGAATTGTCATAGTTACTCCATTATTAATAAAGCCAAAAAAAGAAAAGAAAAAGCGGAAATTTGACGAAGATCTCTAACGAACGGTAGATGTCGCTTAGTAGAGTTTGGAATTGTAGAAACTATGAAGCTGAACATCTCTAGAAACAATCAATAGAAACGGCATTCCAATATTTAGAGCACTGGTCGTTCTCATTACAGACCCCCTGACACGGTCCTCCTCGTCCCAGGCCTTCGTCTTCCCCATGAGCTCCTCCACGTAGTGGAACTCTTCCAAGTAGATGCACTTCGGATTGACATCTTGTCGTCTTCATCACCATCCGCACCCGTATTCTTCCTCGACACCGTGGGCCTCCGTCTCCTCATCGTCGCTCTTGTCGAGTTGGTCCTCACTGACAGGCGGTCACTACCATTGTCTGCATTGATTGTAGTGATGCCCGTCGCGGCACCCGAGCGCAGATGCATGAACAACGGCGTTCTCAAGAAGGCTGGCTCGGGCACGCTTCTGCTCCGGAAGTCTGCCGCACAGGGCAAGCCTACAGCTATCTGCGGCTCTGCGATCGGTGCAGTGGCACGTTGCTTGTCGATATGGTACTCGATGAGGGCGATGAATTGCTGCTCTTGAATGCCGTTGTCGTCATCCTCGAAGAAGAACAGCGGGCTGGGGTTCAGGGTCTCGCGGTTAGTGGCAGTTGAGCCCACAGAAAACACGTTGCCCAAGTCAAGTGTCGTAGCAGGGAGGCCACGAGCACGACGGTAGTGAGCAAGCGCATCCTGATAGGCGTTGGCAGAGGCGTGGTTGGCTTGGTTCTTGGCGCCCATGACAGCGTTGCTGCTGGAGAGCATGATGAAGAAGTCGAGATCCTTGGGAAGATACTCGTGCAGATTCCACGATCCGCGGACCTTGGGCGCTAGTGCAGCCTTGTAGTCTTCGAGAGACATCGACTCGAATGGAGAGTCCTGTAGTAGTTGGTTTAGCCACATTTTCTGGCAGGTGAAGATGGAAGAGGAACTTACCTTGATCTGCGTAGCTCCCTGAATGACGCCGGCAATCTTGGGCATTCCAGATTCCTCGCAGGACCGCAACGCAGCCAGCAGCGCGCCATCGTCACTCACATCACACGCGAAGACTTCGCAGCGAATTCCCATTCTCTTGAGATCCTCGACGAGCTCCTGTGCACCGTCGCTCGAAGCCCCGGACCTCGACAAGAAAATGAGGTTCTGTGCACCTTGAAGTGCCATCGATTTGGCGACGCTTCTGCACAAGCCACCAAAACCACCGCTTAGAATGTACGAGGCGTCTTCTCTGAGCTTGGTGGGTGTTCGCGCCTTGGGGACGACGTTGACCACATCATCCTCGTTTGCTGTGAGGACGACCTTCCCAACGTGGCCTCCTTGTTGAAGAAGGCTGAAGGCCTCTTCGATCTGCGAGTAGTTGTACACAGTGGTTGGCGTTGCCGCTTTGACCTCACCTTGTTGCCAGAGCTCAATGACATGGGTCAGCACACGAGCGGTTGTCTTGGGATCCAGCTTGACAAGGGTGTGCAGATCGGCTGCCGCGAAGGTGGCAGATCGGCGGAACGGCTCCATATTTAAGTTGGCGTTGGCAAAGACATCACGATTCCCGATCTCGACGAAGCGGCCGAACGGTGCAATGCAATCCCAGGACCTCCGAAGTGCCTCCCCAGAGAGGCTGTTGAGAATAACGTCAACCCCGCGGCCGTGGGTTAACCGCTCAATTCCCTTGGCGAAGGACAAGTCTCGGGAGGAAAGAATTTGATCCTTGGGGATGCCATACACGTTGATCAGCAAATCTCGCTTCTCTTCCGAAGACACCGTCGCAAATATGTCGGCCCCTTGCGACTTTGCGATCTGAATTGCAGCTTGGCCGACTCCGCCAGCCGCAGCGTGGATAAGGCAAGTTTCTCCCTTTTTCAAGCGGCCCACTTCCACGAGGGCGTAGTATGCCAACGAAAAGGCAACAGGCAGTGCAGCTGCAACGTCGAAATCCATGCCTTCGGGAATCTTGATCGCGGCGTCTCTCGGCGTTCTGGAGTATGTCTGGAAGGTGCCGCATTCGGCTGAGAGGACGATTACTCGATCGCCGAGCTCAACGTCGGTGACATGGGACCCGACGCGCGTTACGAATCCAGCTCCCTCGGTGCCCAGCACATCTGTCGGGATCTCGTCCTTGGCTGCAAGGACGTCTCTGTAGTTGAGACCAGTGGCTTTGATCTCCACCTCGATATAGTTCTCAGGGAGGGGGTTTGCGAACTCCGGATCGTCGACGAAACGCAAAGAGTCGAATTGGCCCGGCGTAGCAATGCCTGATCGTTGCGTTAGTAATGTGTACAGCAAATAGGTGGATTCTGAATGGAAAAACATACTGAGCTTGAGGGCCCGTGACTTGTCTGCGTTAAAAGGCTGAGGCTGGGGAACGGGCTTGGCGCAGCTGGTGCTGATGAAGTCGTTCGCATACGACGCCTCAACCAAACGGCTGGTGCGGACCAAGTTCCCGCGAATCAGGTACTCAGCATTCTTATCACGCCCCTCAACCATGTGCCGCCTGTATATTCTCCTAATGTGGCGAGCCATTTCGCTCTCGTTCTTCTCCGAGTCCTCGAAAGCAACGGTAGTAAGGTCGCATGACCCGTCCTGCTCCCTTTCCCACCGCAGCGTGCGCAACAGACCAGTAGACAAGCCGACCTTCGGATTCTCAACAGGGTCCATGGTTGCCCAGATTACTCCATTTGCCGTCGTCAGGAGTTTCTGCATGGCCGTCCACTCCTCGGACTCGATGTCTCCTGCAAGAAGAGCGTTGCCCAGCTCGACCGTCACAACACAGCAGGCGTCCTTGAGGCTATGTTCTTCCAGCGACACCAACGAGCGGACCTTCAAGTCAAGCTTACCAGCATACATGGTCATGAGCTGAGCAGCCAAATTATCCGCAACTAGTTGCTCTCGGAGAGCGGGCCTGCCAGACGTCACAACGAACGTCCTCCTGATATCGATATCCGGTTGCGGCCTCTCCTCCTCCTGTGTTGTGGCCACGATTATACTCTGGACGTGGAGATCGGGATTCAAGGTATCTGGCAGACGGAGTACGGATCTCTCGAAACCGTGCTCCCGCAGGGCTGCAACCCATCCTTTTTCGGTAAGCAACGGTCCCCATTGGCGACTCGGCTCCGTGCTCCGCCACCAATCCGGGAGAAGACCGAAGGAGAGCGGTCCTGGGAGAAAATCTGGCTGAGTGAATTCTTGGATGATGAGCTTGCCACCCGGCTTCAAAAGGCGATAGATGTTTTCCAGGGCCAGGGACAGGTCCGACGTTGCGTGGAGGATATTAGCCGCGAGGACAACGTCATACGTCCCTTCAACTTCCTCAAAGCCCTGGCCAGTGAGATCTTTTTCGATATCCAAGGCCTTGAACTCCAGCACCTCTCTCCATTTGGTGAACTTAACTTGGGCTCTCTCAAACGAGCCGGATGAGATATCGGTGAACGTGTACTTGCGGAGGCGGGTCGAACGCTTGCCTCGTAAGCCATTTGGACAAAGCGTTTCCAAGATGGACGCAGTCGCTCCACCTGTGCCTGCACCTATTTCGCAGACCCGTAGGTCCCTGGTCTTATGACTGTACAGGTCCAGATAAGCGCTGAGCAACGCGTGGACTTTATCCGTGCCGACCATATGACTGTAGTATTCCTCCAAAAGAGAGTCCATGAACATGAGATGAAGCGCATCTTGATCGGCATTTAGGGTTGGGATGATGTGGCTGCCCATGCGCACCGTCAATTTGCCTTCCGGCCCGGAGTCCTCAATGTTTTTGAGAAAGGCATCTCTTCGCGTCTTGTCCTTTCTTAGTTCTTCCCACTCCTCTGTTTGATGTCCCATGCGCTCCTTCTCATAGTTTCGTGCTTGCATGCGGAGCCAGTCCAAATATTTCTGCTTGTAAGGAGCCAGTTCCTTGGGTCGATTACTCTCGTCATCGAAATGCTCGACCGCTTCCAGGATGTAGATGGCGGCAGCCAGTTGGAGGTCCTGAATCCGCTTCAAATTCGTCGGATCGTCATCCTCCAAAGCCTTCAGGGACTCCCTGAAGCAGTTCTGCACCTCTTCTCCCAACAAGTCGATGTCTGGCTTCCAGCTGACGTTGAAGCAAAGTTGTCGCTGGCCAGCCTCTCTAAGTGCAAATTCTTGCAGAGGACCTATTTCGAGACCTCTGATGATGACTCTGGCATGGCGGCTCTTCTCATCCCACATTGTGATCTGATCAGCACTAAACTTGTTGTGCGAAGATGACCTTGCCGAAGCTTGGCAAGTAAAGACGTGGCCAGGCTCGGTTTCGGTGTAGGCAGAGATCCAAAGGCTTTTGAGGGATATCGGAACGGATGGTTCCTTCAGGGTGTTTGCGCCAACAGCGCCCTGCAAAGCGAACGGAATCATATGTATCAGGCTGTCCAAGGTCGCAGGCTGTATGGTATGAGGCTGGACGTAGCTACATGGCATACAGCTAGCAACGTCCGGAACGCGGAGAGTGGCGATGGCTTGACCGACGGGCCCCTCGAGATCCCCGCACTTGACGTCTGAAAGGTTCTGGAACAGTGGTCCAAACTCAAGGCCAACTCGCTCGAGTTCGGCGTATTGCCGGCGGAGGTCTCTCTTGCTGTGACAGGCAACTTCACACTGATCAAGCACTTCTCGGAAGTGCTTCTTGTGCTCAGCAACTTCACGGCCAGCGTCGACAGGGCCAGCCATGAACGCGAGTTCAACCGCGACGGAGCCTCGACAACATTCAAGCCAGGTGTTCTGCTTGTAGCCGAAAACAGCGAAATCCCAGGACATATCAACCCCCGAGGCAGATTTCCGCATTGAGAGCATCACCTCCGTTTCTTGATCCTCATCAAGTAGGAGGGCGTGGGAGATGATGACGTTTCGCAAGTCGAACCCGGCGATTTCCCCCCTGCCTGAGACGAGTTGCTTGACTCCTTCGATGGCCATAGCAAGGAAGGTCTCACCCGGAAGTACATGATGTCCAGTAATCTTGTAGTCCTTGAGCCAGGGCAGTTCCGATAGTCGGATGGAATTCCTCCATTGTGGCTCATTAACGTTCCAGTCCGGCACTGGGGCCCCTAGAATATCGTGCCGAGGCCATTCTCGGAAACGCCACTGTTTACTCCGTCGGCTCTCCCACCAAAACTCTTGAGTGCGATCGAAAGGATAAGGTGGGAGATCTACTAAGAGCTCGGGATCTTCGTCACCGTGGTTGATCCTCTGGAGGTCCACTGGATAACCGTCTGCAAACAGTGTGGCAACTGTGGATAACAGGGTGGCTGCAGCATGCTTCTTCTTGAGCAAGACTGCCTGATATCCGATTTTTTCAAAAGCGGGCTCGTCAGCTACAGCATCCTCCAGTGCGGTTCCGAACGTCGAATTAGGCCCCTATTCGGTCAGTTAGCTGACTTGTGGGGTGCAATGACAATGTTACTCACAATTTCTACGAGCTTCGACGACGCCGAATCATCGTTCACCAAAGCCGAGCATAAGCTCTGCAAAGCGTCATCAAACTTCGACGTTGCCTGCAAGGCATCAATCCAGTAGTCCGCTCGGCTCATTTCCGCGGGTTCAATTCTCTGGCCAGAGATAGATGAGAAGATCTGGACATCTTTGCCACCGGCCGGACTTCCCACTGCAAGGTCGCCAACCAAGGAGCGATATCTGCTACTGTTCGCATCGCTCGCAGAAGCCCATAGTGCAGCAAGCATACTACCCTTAGTCGATGGCGGTCTTGACGCAATCATTCCACGATAGTAGGAAATCTTCCACGCGCTCCGCTGGTCCAAGGCACCCGCACAATAGGCAGCTGCAGGTTCTCCGGTAGAATGGCCAAGGACGTAGGTAGGAGTGATGCCCCACGATGACAAGAGGTCGACCAGAGCAATCTGGATTACAGTGCACAGTGTTTGTGCAATATAAGGCTCGTCGATTCTGCTCTCCTCCTCGCTCTTCAGGAGTTCATCGAACACGCTCCAGGGGCAACGCAACGATGCGATGAAATCACTTGCCAGCTCGATAGACTCTTTGAATACAGGATATGCGAGAAGTTCTCTTGCCATGGCATACCACTGTGCCCCTGAGCCGGTAAACAGGAAGCCGACATTGGGAGGGTTCACGAGACGAGCTGCTCCTGAGGGGTCCGAAATAGCCTCGTTCAATTCCTCGACAGACTCGGCGGCAACCGCGAAGCTCCATGGAAAGCGAGTGCGTCTCTCGGCAAGAGTGTAGGCCAGGTCGCGTAGATATGCATGCCGGTTTCCAGCCGATAGGGACGTTAGATGGTCTGAGTAGGTTGAAAGATATCTTTTGATGCCGTCCTGGTCTTTGGCTGACCAGGTGAAAATCCTATATTTGGGGCGGTCTTCCAAGGCCCCACTTGTTGACGTCCTGCGGCTTTCGGAGATTTCTGTCCGATGGAGTCCACGGAGCTGATGCTCCCGAAGGTAGTTGTACGCATCATCGAGCACCACATGCGCGTTCGTACCACCAAATCCGAAAGCATTCACGGAAGCCCTTCTAACGCCTTCCACAGGCCAGGGTGTTGGTGCGAGAGGGAACTTGATGTTCCACTCCTCAGTGTTGATTCGGGGGTGTGCTTTCTCGAAATTGATGTTTTGAGGAATAATGCCCTTCTCCAGAGCTAGGACGACTTTGATGATTGAGGCAATTCCGGAGGCGCCTTCAAGATGGCCATGGTTTGCTTTTGCGGCTCCAACAAATAGTGGGTCTGACCGGTCCTTCCAGACGCTAGCGATCGCTCCTGCTTCTTCCGCATCAGCAGTAGGGTTGCCGACAGCATGAGCCTCTACGAAAGCGGTTGTGTTGAGATCCAGATTAGCAGAAGCATGGACCTGCTTAATCAATTCCTCTTGAGCCTTCTGACTGGATAGTGTTAATCTTTCGCTGCGGCCAACTTGATTTACACCGGTCCCACGGATAACAGCACGGATAGTATCGCCGTCGCGAACGGCTGCTTGAAGAGGCTTCAGAATGAGTGTACCAACACCTTCACCGCGAGAGAGTCCGTTTGCACGAGAGTCGAATGGGAAGCACTTGCCGTCCGGCGAGAGAAAGCCACTGAAGAGTTAGAGCACGTGTCAATAAAGGCAAGTACAGAGGGGTATCACAGCCGAAGGCTAGTGTGAACATATCATGGGTAGATGAAGCTATCGTCCGGACGTAAATGTCGAATTAAAAAGTATACATTCGCGTCCGGACGATAGCTTCAACTACCCATGATATGTTGTTTTTCCAAGGAAGAAAAGGCTGAGAATGTACTTACCTCCGATCCATGGCGTACATTGACTCTGGAGATTCAATGACATTGACGCCGCAAACGACAGACTAAATTGTCAGCATGATGGTAGAAGAGAGATGGGAGTGGAGCACAGACCATTGTTGACTGGCCTTGACGCAAGTCGGCGCAAGCCGTGTGCAAAGCCACCAAGCTGCTGCTGCATGCCGTGTCAAGGGTCATGCTGCACCCTTTAAAATCGTAGAACCAGCTCACTCGGTTGGCGATGATAGCATTTGAGGTTCCCGTGTGCTTGTGTTCCAAAGCAAGGTCGGGGTCCATGGCAAGAATAGCACGAGTATCATCGTTGGTAGCGGCTGCAAAGACGCTTGTTTTGGAGCCTCTCACGCGGTCCAGGGCGAAGCCGGCATTCTCGATGGCCTCGTAAACACTTTCCAGGACAATGCGTTGCTGGAGATCCATGGAAAGCAGCTCGGAACGGGCAATGTCGAAGAAGGCAGCGTCGAATTTGGCGCCATCCTGGGCGGTGTCGAGGAAGTGGCCGCCGTTGGCAGAGGTGCTGCCTCCTCTTGCTGGAGATGGGTGGTAATGGCCATCATGGGACCACTTGCTCCGGGGAACGGTGGAAAAGGCGGAGCGGCCGGCGACTAGCAGGTCCCAGAGGTTCTCGGGGCTCGAGGCATCGCCGGGGCCACGGAAAGCAAGGCCAATGATGGCAACGTCGTCAGGGCGAGCATTTTCAGCATCAGAGACGGCCATGGCGGTGTTGATCGAAGCAAAGAGCCGGGTTGCTCGAGGAATAGGTCCTAAGGGCGGTGAGAGGCTCACGTACCACTTTTTATATGTGGAGCGCCATGCCGAATTCCAGCAGGAGGCCAGCGCAGCACTTTCGCCGGTACGAAGCCATAGGTTTCATGACCGGTCAAAAACTCCGGGGAAATCCGTGATGGGCAGAGAGTTGCTGTCGTACCTTGCATGACGAGCGGTAAATCTTCACAGTGATTGACGATCAGCCAGCTCATCAACTCAAGATCTGCGCACATCCGCACACACGGCTGAAGTCGAGAGTCAGGTTCTAGACACCACATTGAGATTTCATTCATTGCTGTATGTATAGGCCTTTGCCGTCACTCCCGCGTCCAGCGTGGCGTCGTTGGCGCTGGAAAAGGAGCTGGGCAGCCAAGGCTCTGCAGGATCGACAAGAAAGCAGCCATAAGCCGGAGTCAGGCTGCCGAAGGAGTGGATTCGCAGCGTATTCTCTGTCGCAGCCCAGAAGGGTTTCATGCGCGCGAATTGGTCGCCGAGACGGGTCGGCAGAATTGACTCGAGCTGAGACAGGACATGTGGGGTTTGTTGACTGTTGTGGGCCAGAGAGTTTCTGCAACCCGCCCGCTTTCGCCCTAGCGCCTGCGCCCGCGCCACCGGCCACCATTTACTTCTTCTACAGTTTGGCCCGCCTGCCCTCCGCATTCCATCGCTTCCACAAAGCTTTGCGTCTCTCGTGCCCTGCCATGAAGGCGTCGAACCACGCCTGCTCGAATTTCGGCAACTGTCTACCCTTGCCTTCCACCCCGGGTCCGGCAAGAGCACGCACTGTCTCGAAGTAGGCTTCGAACTCTGGGAATACGAGCGTGAATCCCCCTCCGTCTCCCCTTGCCGCGATCCGATCGGCCTCCCATCGTTGCTGCTCTTCAAGAGGCGGTAGTCTTGCCCGTCCAGCGAGAATTCTGGCCGCCAACACGGCCTGCCATTCGAAAATCTTGAATGTTAACCCTGCTCCAACCTGTAGACTATTTATTAGTCACAACACCGGCCTCGGAATGGGCGAACCTACAGCGCCGACAAACAGCAGTGTCGGGTCCTTCTGATAAACAACATGTTGATACAGCCCAGGTATGCGGTTGTTACGCACCTCCACCCCGGGGAGGAATGGCAGCGACCACGAGTATCCGGTGCCGAAGATGATGTGGTCAACGTCATCGACGCGGCCGCCATCTTCGAAATGGACAGTCCGAGAGGTATCGATGTGTGAGATTGACCGCTGCTCCTTGATCTCTGGATGCTTGAATGCAACGTCGCCAAAGTAAACGTTGGCTTTGTGCCCCAAGACCACTGCATGCACTGGCGACTGAGCCACTCCCGCAAGATCTACCGCAATATCCGCCGCAGATACCGAAGCCCCCACCACGACAACACGCTGGGACCTGTTAGCACCTGCCCGCGCTTCGGAGAGATCAACAGACCTTCCCGCGAAATGCTTCGCGTCCTCGGTACATCTTCGAATGGAGGATGCTGCCCGGCCGTTGCAGCTCGAGATCCTCAAGCCCTTCGATGTAAGGAATGTAAGGCACACTGTAGTGCCCGCTTGCAACCACAACTGCGTCGAAATACTCTTTCCACCAATAGTCACTTTCCGCGCCTTCTTTTCTGAGGATGATCTTCCACTGGTCTCCTTCCTTCTCGATCCTTTCGACGGTCGTGTTGTACTCGACGTAATCCTGATATCCATTCCTTTGGATAAGATCACTGATGTACTTTTGCATTACTGTCCAGTGCCTGAACGGAGTGTCTGGCCCGTGTGCCGCAATCGACCATTCCGAGCGAACCTCAGGGATTGGTTCTTGAGAAAAGGACATGGGCAGTGCTGCAACATTGGTCTCCAGGTAAGGGTAAATTGAGGACTCAGCAAAACGCTGGCGCCCGGATTTTGGTGTCCGTGCTGGAAGCGTGGGTGGTAGATCCAGCGGGGGGTCAGCGTTGCGTCTTGCAAGAGCTCTGAAATTCTGAAGATTTGGTGGGCGCGTATTGTCGGCAATCCTACTGCGGTTACTTATCCATTGCCGTACTCGCTCGGAATTTTGAAAAACTCACCAGCATCCTCCAGGCCCCTCGCGACGTTCGAACACTCTGATCAGATCAAATGACTTTTCTTGGGCCAGAGCATCGACCGCAATCGCTCCGGCGGGGCCAGCGCCCACTACAGCAACTCTCTTCACGCGTGCCATGTTGTTTGTGGAAGATCGAGCTAGGCTGGCAAAGCAATTTATCTACCCTAATGGCGGTGGGGCCGCTAGATAAGATAGCCAATCGCCGTCCACATCTCTTGGAGAGAATTGCGCGACGCAGACGAAGCATTGCGCTATCGGGCCAAGCCAACACCTACTACCACTTGCGGCATGTTCGGCATCGCACTCTCTTATCAAGGTTTGTACTCACTTTCCCCGCTCTCGACATGTCATTTTTGCACTCAGCTCGAACCCTCGGGTTGCACGTCTTGGCAAAATGGAAGATCAGAAGAGCGCACAAAATGTGTATGAGAACGAGCCACCGGACAGCCTGGATCCAACCGAAGCCCTTCGTGCACGGCACAAGTAAGTACTAGCTCAAGATCGAATGTACTCAGCCTCACATTTCCAGAATTGATTCTTCCGTTCTCCCTCTTCTCTTCCTTGGACTACTCGTTTTCCAGTTGGATCGCATGAACCTGGCAAGCGCACTCACCGGAGGGTTCGCCAAAGACGTCGCAATCAGCCAAAACACGGTGAATCTGGGTAACCAGCTCATGTTTCTCGGGATTGTCGTATTGGAGATTCCGTCGAATCTCATACTGCAGCGAGTGAGTCAAACGCTCTCTGAGAAGACGTCAGACTGATCTTGCAGGTTGGCCCACGGAAGTGGATTTCAGGACAGGTCTTCGTCTTCGGCCTCATCGCTTCGCTGCAGGTCTTTGTCAAGGAGCGAAAAGGGTTCCTTGTCTCCAGAAGCTTCCTGGGATTGGCCGAGGCGGGCTACATCCCAGGTGCAATATACACCCTCTCAACTTGGTATACAAAGCGCGAGCTAGCCAAACGGGTTGCAGCCCTCTTCTTTGGCATGTTTGGAGGGAACGCGATCAGCCCATTACTGGCCTCTGGTATCCTGAAACTCGATGGCCAAAAAGGGCTATCGGGTTGGCAATGGCTATTTCTGAGTAAGTGTCATTATTCCATGGCCGTGGCATACTAATAGAAAAGCAGTTGAAGGTGTTTTCACCATGTTCGTCTCGATCATGCTACTTTTCCTGCTTCCAGGAAGCCCGGACAGCCCGAAGCCACTACTTAGCCCTGGCATAGTGCGCTTTTCGGCAAGCGATCAAGCGGCCCTTCAGCGTCGGCTTGAGCTTGACAATTCTGAAAACCGACATGGCGCTCAGGGAATGCGCATCCCACTCCGAACTGTTTGGAAGACCATCTGCCACTACCGCCGTTGGCCGCACTTCATCTCTACATGCGCAGTGTTCTCAACATGGAGTCCTTTGACCACGTATACTCCCTCTATCATCATGTTAGTCTCGCCTCGCCTGGTGCCATTCTCGATGCTGACAAGACCAAGGTCGCTAGGGTTCTCCAGAATCGCTGCAAATGCTCTTGCTGCAGTCGGTGCTTCCTTGGCACTGGTCGTGGTGTTCTTCTTTGCATGGATTAGCGACAAGACCAACAAACGAGGGCTTTCAGTCATTGCTGCGCAAGCTTGTTATCTTATCACTCTCATTGTCACTCACTCAGCACATCCCCACGTTGGAAAGTGGAGCCGTTGGGGGTTGTGGACTGCCGTCAATGCGTTTGCCGTCGGTTACCATCCCGTTCATAATAGCTGGGTGCAGCTGAACTGTCGAGAGCCGGGAGAAAGGAGTGTCAGCATCGCGTAAGTGCTATTCACAAGCGCGAAAACATTTACTGATCAATTCAGCATGTGGGTAATGTCAGCAATCAGCGGCCTGATGGCAGGTACGCAATATTTTCGGGGTGACGATGTACCATTGTAAGTAAAACCATGTTAATTCTCAATTTCCTGCTGACACAGACAGTTACAACAACGGGCTGCGTACTATGATAATTCTGGTCTCCGGAGGTATGGTTTTTGCGATTCTTCAAGAGGTGATATACGTAGTTTATAATAGACGGGCTGCTAGAACCCATGGCGTCAATATAGATAAGGCCTGGCGCTATGTATTATAGATCAGCAAGCTGTCGCTCCATATTGAGTTGCAGAATATTTGAGCCCCTTGGGCTGGACGCAGAATGCTATTGCGCTCTCCTTAAGTGGATAATCGAAGAAATTAACGGCGAGCTTTCAAAATAAACAGTTACATCCTAATTTGGCAAGACGATTGTTCAAGGGCCAGAATCGGGCATCGAATCACGAATAGCTCCACTATAATGGGCTTGGCGGAATCTATTTTTCGATATCTCGACCGTGACTAAAGTCTACCGAGCCAATAAGATATGAAAAGGTTAAAAGTCCTTCTCTAATTCTGCTCATCCTCTATCTCGCATAGACTTACTTCTCGGATAGTACGTTGGTCTGCATTGTAACATGACTTGCGGCTCCCCTGCATCTTACATATGCCGGAGCCAAGAAGTGAACCCGCCATGTGCATTTCTCACCAAAATTTCGGGCGCAAGTTCGCTGAGTAAGAGCTGAGGGAACTCATGATCAAATCAACAAAGTTTTCAGCGCGCCGTAAGACTACGTAGAGAAGCGAAATGCACAGAAGTACTAGGTTTACCATTGAAGCTAAAAAGCCTATATTTTCTGAGAGTATAGAGAAAAGCTGCTGTCAGGTGCACACCCCCCGCTGTTACTTCGGGGGCTTCGGCACAAGGCCAGAGGCCCTATATCGGCTATCGGTAATCGGCAAACGAGGAGTGATTCCGATTGCGGCATCGCAAGAAATGAACCTTCAACGTTGAAAGACTTCGATTGCACGACACGTACATCTAAGCTCAAACCACCATGACCGCCCGCTGTAGCGTATCACTGCTCCATGCTCCCGGAGTTAGCGGACATATTCCCGACTCTCCAGATAAATAAATGTACATCAAAATGTCGCCCCCATCGCCCCTATCCAATTCATCTTTCCACAACCACAGCACACGATGGCTTCGGAATCCAAGCACCAAGTGATCATTGTCGGCGGCGGCATCACAGGGCTCACCTTGGCCCTGATGCTCCAGCACCTCAAAATCGACTACGTCCTCCTCGAAGCGTACAAAAGCGTGACGCCCAACGTTGGCGCCAGCATCGGCCTCTACGCAAACGGTCTCCGGGTCCTCGACCAACTCGGAGTCTACCAGGATGTGTGCAAAATTGCACAGTCTGCCAAACTTCACTTCGTCCGCGATGGTGAAACCGGGAAGAGGCTGACGAAGATGCCCTGTGGACCTATGCTGGAGGCAAGACATGGTTATGCACCTATGTTCATGGAGCGCTATGGACTTCTATGTGTGCTCTACAACCACATTCTTGAGAAAGAGAGGATCAATACCAACAAGAAAGTCCAAAAGATCGAGAATTTTGAAGACAGGGTTCTGGTACACGCCGAAGATGGGACGACGTTTGAAGGCCAGATCGTCGTCGGCGCCGACGGCGTTCACAGTTCCGTGAGGAAGGAGATGTGGAGGAACGCAGAAGAGCAAGACCCAGGATCCATTCCAAAGGAGGACAGGCAGAGTGTGTATTGTCGACCCCCGCCTCTGCTATATCAAACTTACAGATGTCCAGATATCAAATGCGAATACGCCTGCGTCTTCGGTCTCGCCAAGCCAACACCGGGGATTGCTCCTGGTGACGTGATCGCGGCTGCTAAGCCTCATTCGACAGCGGGCTGCATGGGCGGCAGGAACCATGAGATTTTCCTCTTTTGGTTCTGGAAACTGCCGCCATCCATGCACTCCTGCCCGGTCGACAACATCCCACGCTTCACCAAGGACGACGAACGCAAGGAGCTTGAGCGCGGAGGAGATGTCATCGTGGCAGACAATGGCCTGCGCCTGCGAGACGTAGCAAGGAACCTCGAGCGGAGTGCTGTGACGGCACTGCCGCACTACGTCATGAGGAGGTGGCATTTCGGGCGTATCGTCATCATCGGCGATGCCAGCCACAAGTTCAACCCGCTTGTCGGCCAGGGCGGCAACAGCTGCATCGAGTCGTGCGCCGGGCTCGTCAACGAGTTGACCGCCGCCCTGTCGAGGTCTTCTGGCGTGGCCGCGCCTGCCTGGCCTCTCGACGCTTTGAGCAGTGCTTTTGCTGCGATAGAGTCTCAGAGGGTTCCCAGGCTTGTCGACATGGTTGAACGCTGCCAGCAGGCTCAATACGCAGCTGCCTGGGATACATGGGGAATCAAGCTGCTCGCCAAGTACATCATTCCATTGCAATCAGACGCCAAGGCAACCGATTTTTACAGCTCCTTCATCACGGGTGGGATGAGACTGAAAACACTTGGTCTGCCTCAGGTCGAGCACGAATGGTCATACGACGACGAAAAGGAGGGCAGCACTGCGGCTGTGAACAATTCAATGGTCGTGGCTGGAGCATCCTTTGCTCTTTTTGCTGCTATCCTTGCAGCACGCGCAGTACGGAATGGCAGCGTAAGCGTTTGAAGCATTTTCAAGTACGTTGTCTTCCCCTGTGTCGTAAGGGGGGTAGGAGCTTTTTTTTTTTTTTTTTTTTTAGATAATTTGGGAATATTGGGTCATATTGGCGCGGAGTTATGTTTGTTTCTATAGAAAGTCTTTTATCTACCGCATTCCACTATTGCACATTGTCCCAATCTAGAAAGTCATTCGAAAAGTGATGGCAGACTGAAGCATGGCATACTGAAGACCGCCTAATAGCACTCCTGAACGGAGTCATCCTCATAGAGGTAGTCCTTGGCAAATCTGATTGAATCAATGTACCAGGTCTTTCCGCCGTCCGAGGTGGTAGGGCCGTCCGAGGCAGCGTTGAACAGGGAGAAAGTGTTACCGTAGTTCTCATCGGCGTCACTGAGATGCACAGTGATGTTGGACCAGCCTGCATGTTTTTATTAGAGATTCGCTTCATCGGGTGTCTGCGAGAGACTTACTGTATGCCTTGAGAGTTCCGCAAGAGTGGTCAACGCATTCGTTGAAACCGTAGAAGACAGCAGGCTCCATGCCGGCACCTGGAAAACGTTAATTTCATTCTTGGGGATTTTTAATACTGAATGCCGTACTGTCTGATTTAGAGGAGACCAGATTGCCTGAAATCCAAACCTTTTGGTCAATTTTGGTGGTCTCAGAGTTGACAGAAACTATAATCAAGTCAGTATCAACAAAGCCATGTGTAAGCCTGCGCAGGAACGGACTTTCGAAGTCAAGTTGGGAGCCAGTAGGAATGACCTGATAGGTTTGGGTTTCCTGACCCGCTACTTAATCATCAACATGAAGTATTCAGGGAGAGGGTTGCCGAAGAGCCTCACAAGGAGTATAGGTGCTTGCCGCAACGCACCAATGCTCATTATCCGTATCACAACCCCTATTATCCATAAGCGCGTGTCTAATGTTGCGATTACATTCACCTACGTGAGACTCTGGTCGGGCGCCCAGTTTACCAGAGGTTGAACAAGGTTCATATCCACAAGATCTCTGTAGGTAGGGTCGTCTTGAACACCAACCCACAACGAAAGCTCCCCTTGAGGAAGTTCGGTGTGGTAGTTGCAAGGAGTATCAGGGGGAACCACAGAGTAGGTAGCCTTCGTAATGTAGGCATTACTGGTGGGACCTGAGTAAAAAGTACTGCCGTACTTACGTCCATTGCTCCACGGCTCCGCAGTGGCACCCAGCGCCAGGGAGAGAGAAGCAAGGGAAAGTGAAGAGCGCATGATGAATGAATGATAGGGGTGCTCACAAACGAGTGCTTGTTGGTCGACGAGCTTTTCCAAGCACGCGGCGGAAGCAATAAGTACAGGAGGGTTCTGCATCCGATGGCTAGTGCGACGTTGCTTTTTCATGAAAAATCTGAAACCTAGCCTACCATACCACCAAAAGCAGGATGAATAACCTGTTTAGGCCTCTTGAAGCACCTGATTTCAGAAACAAACAGACCATTGATTTGGTATCCTTTCAGTCGATTTAAACCGTCACCATGCTACTACGTTCTAAGACAACACAAGGAAGAGCCTAGCCGCGGCCCTTTTCAATAATTATGCTACGCTACATGCTGTTTCCCAACAACGCCAAATCACCGCTCTCATCATAACCGGTCGTTATCGCTTAACGCCCATCCAAGACATCGCCTTACCAAAACATTCGCTGATCATCCAATCGTTAGTTTCTCCGCAACAAGCGCTTCCATTCAGGACAGTCCCTCAGTTGACCACAACATCTGTCAGCGGACTTCTTGGCCCGAAACGAGAGAAGTCGTCATTGACCTTCCGCCTGAACAGGCCAAGGTCTTTCAGGAAGTCATCCGCATGAGACTGCAACTCTGCAGCGAGCAAGTCTTGCGGATCCTCCTCTTCGACAAGCTTCTTGCCCGCGTTGGGCTCGTTCTCTTTGTCATCATGTCCGGCTTCAACATCCTCCCCATCTTCCTCATCTTCTTCGTCTTCTTCCAGTCCGCCGTACAGGTCCAGGCCTTGGATAGGCGGCAGCACAATGGGATTCTTCAGCTCGCCTAACGCAAGGGTCAGATGACGACGCAAAGCTTCCGACTCGGCACGCAGCGTCTGGTTGAGAGGACGGAGTTCCTCAACTTCTGCGGTCAAAGCCTTGATCTTGGCTTCGGACACCTGGCGCGTCTCTTCCATGAGACGCTGCATGACTTCCACCCGGCGCTGGTAATCCTCAAGCTCTGCCGCCTCAGCCTGCTGGCGACGAATGGTAGAGGCATTGACGGACGTCTGCAATTGGCGAATCTGCTCGGCCATAGCAGCGATTTGAGCATCACGCTGGGCGGACGACATAGAGTCTTGATTGACCGTGGCGCGGGTGCGGATGCGCTTGGCCTGGTCGGCGTAGCGGAGCGTGGACAGCGTCTCGTCGTAGTCGGCAGGGGCAACGCAAGCTACCATGGCAGTCTTACTGTTACCGCCGAGAGAATCCTTCAACAGCCAGGTGAGGACGCTGTCACGGTAGGGAACCAGTTCGCGCTTCTTGCCATGGCCACTGCGGGGGCGCCCGTCGGAAGTGGAACCGCTCCCACCGTTCTGGGCCAGAGCTGCAATGACACGGCCAAGAGTGGTCAGAGACTTGTTGATCTTACCACCTTCAACCAGGCGCTGTCCTGTTGCCTCGGTGCTCTTGGCACGCTCGGATCCAGCGAGGTCAACAAGGCGCATGCGAGCCGAGCGCTCGATCGTCTCATCGGTGAGCAGAGAGTGTTGCATCTGCTTGAGATTGATGGTGAAGACTGCATGGGAACGTGAAGAAGTATCGTTCATTTTGGTGGCAGCTGTCGTGCGATTCTGAAGTGCATCAGACCATGCCACGGGGGGAAAGTGGTATCAAAGAACTCACATGATCACCAATCTTCATGAGACGCTCGACGTCTGCATAGCTCCGTACAGGAGCGTCGGCCAGGCCCTGGACGTAGACACCATCCGTTTGCGATTCACGAATCTTGAGATAAATGGGTGGGTTAGTGCGCTGGGCCAGCAGGTCTCGGACATGCTCATTGTAGACTTCGAAATAGGACACGTGAACGCTGTAGGTGGTGTTGGGGCTGGGCTCGTTGTTGATGCGATCGAAGAGAGCCTCGCAAGTACGCGGGATGAGACCGGGCTGCTCAGGGGTACCCATCATAGTGTAACTCTTGCCGGAGCCGGTCTGGCCGTAGGCGAAGATGCAGGTGTGGTAGCCATCGAAGTTGTGGTCGAGAAACTCCTCGCCGAACGAGCGATAGACGTCTTCCTGATGGGCATAGTGTCGATCCGACTCGTTGTGTGACCAGAAAGACTTGTCGAAGATAAACGACTTCTCCTCGTAGACCTTGCGACTGGCGGCGCGTGAATTCGCAGGGTCATTGGCTTCGGCGGGCGGCAGGAGGGTGGTCTTTTGGGTGCTAGGGTCCATGCGAATGAGGCATTCGGCGCCGCGCTCAATCTCTGCCCAGCGTCAGAGGCGCGGGTGGGCGTGGTGGCACAGGAGGACTCACCTCTGCGCACGAAGGCGCGACAGCGCACAACGACCTTGACGTTGCCGGCGTCGTCCATTTGGGCTTGCGGGTTGGGCTGCGGCTCGAATGCGCGGAGCGAGGGAGTGGAGGCGGTGGACTCGTAGTCGTAGTTGTAGTTGCGGTAGGCGTGGGAATCCATGGCGGTTTCTAGCAGAGCGCAGCACGTTGCAAGCACGTCGCGCCGGCGGATGTCGAGGAAGGCGTACATGCGCGCGCAGTGTTTGCCTTTTGCCGGATTGCGCCTAGCCGGAGGGATGACGTAAGATCGCCGACCGGGGGAGGCGCCTGCAGCGCGTTGTCAAGGACTGCCAGCGCAACCGTGCGAACGTTGAGTGGGTCGGATCGCTGCGAGTACGCGCTGGAGATGCAGTCGCCGGCGGGTGGATGCACGACGCGTTTTGTTGACAGACGCGGCGCTTGCTTTCCCGCAGCGTGCCCTGACAACCGCGTTCCAGCAAGAGCCCGACGCCTAGCGCAACGGCCTCACCACTCACGAGGGACCGCAAAAAATTATCCAGAAGCAAGCATTTCTCAGAAGTCTAAATTTTCCGTAGACGAACTTCCATGGACAGATCTCCTCTGGCCAACACCTGCTTTTTTTGTTACATGACAGATGAATTGTCCCAGCCGATGATTGTCTGCGTAGGTGGTGTGGCATGAGCGTGAATACGTTCCTGAGAATTGAGGCCTGAGGCATCAAGCGCACGGGCCGCCTCCCCGCTGTGCCGCTCTGCAAAATCCGCAGCCGCCGACGCCTCACGCCTGCGCCTCACATCGCAAAAAGGAAAAGAAAATCCTGGCCGCCTTACGACGTGCCTTGTTTGCTGGCTCTTCGCCGTTCATCCGCTGCGCCGCCCCTCGCCAGCGATTCCTCAGGATGGCCTCTTCATCCGCTGAGGGTTTGGCCCGCCTCTTTTTGGCCCGCCTCCCGCCAGGTGAACAGCCTGCTGCAGTGGACGCCGTCATCACCGACCTGTACGAGCGCACAACAGCGCGCCATATCGATTTCCCGTCCGCAATTTTGTCTGCCGAACTGTCTGCTGAGCTGTTGAAAAAGTGTCCTGAGGTGAGACGATCCTGCGAGAGGTGAAAGTGAGCAAAAGGCACCCTTCTCGCCCCCTGCTTTGCTGCGCTGACTGTTGCTAGACGAGCGAGAAAAATGCATCAGCCGCTCGGTTAGGCCGTGTGTTGATGGAGATTATCAACAACACTGCATGCGATGACATTCCTTCTGACCTTGTCCAACTTTGTATTCGCCACTCATCGCTGGCCGGCCATGTCTTTACCGAGGCCACCCTTTTCCTTGCCCAGACCTCTGCTCGGCTTAGGAATGAAAGCGCCCTCGCTGCCCCATCGTCAGCCATCAGCTGGACCACTCCCGTGATCTCGCCGGAGCCCGCTAACAGCAATGACCAAGACGGCCGCACTGTCCTTTATCTGACCTTTCTTAAGCTTTTCTTCTGGTCCGATGCTGCTTGCACCGTTTCTGTAGATCTCCTCCAAGCTCTGCTTGTTCTTCTAGGCGCCCGTTCTGAAAAGCTGGCACACGCAAGCAGAGATTGCCTTGCCGCTGCTTTTCACAGTCTTCATACTGGCAAAGCCGTTCTCGACGAGACCTATAAAGCCGTCTCAGGAGTGTTCGGCCCTATAAGCATCCCCGTCGGAGAATTCATATGGAGCCGAATCACCGACCTGCTCTCTACCCCGGCTGAGCTGGGCTACTGGCCTTCTGCGTTCCATATCTGGTTCCGATGGTTTGCACTCAAGGGAGATCTCGGCCCTTCACGTTCGATCTTGACGCAGCATCAGTACTGGGACTTCTTGCAACTAGGCTTGCGGGAAGGTTTCTCCGAGCAGCGAAAGTTCTGCTTGCATATCCTGACAGCATCTGTTCGTCTGGCCATGGCTGAAGGTGAGGATCTTCATCCGTATGTCGCAGGTGCTACACAACCCGGCTTCGAGACCGACTTCACCAGGTATTGTACGCTCTTTGAGACCATCATCCTTGGAAGGTATCTCAATCAAGTCGAGGAATGCATGCCGGATCTACAGAACTTGGCTTGGAAATCAAACATACATCCTACATGGATCATCACCCTCCTGCGAGCTTCTCTCCGCTCCGGAGTTCAGGACGGCATTCGCAAGCTCATCGGCACCAGGCTTTTGCACGGCCTCATCCCAGTGCCGAATTCGGCTTCTGATGCCTACCAGGGACTTCTTGCATCAGCTTTTCTGCCTTGGGCCACGCAAGGCTTCCTTTTCACGGCGAGTCTCCGACGTCACGGCCAGCACGTTCGCTGTGAACACGGCGAGAGTCTAAATTCTTTCATCTCTCAACTTCTCAACAACTGCGCAGATGACGAGTCCCGGCAAACTTTTGCAAGGGCCATTCTCTCCTTCATCCATGAGAGGGGCCAGTACTTCTTCCAGCATGCACTTCCCTACTGTTTACAGGGAATCATCGATGGGTTTGCGCGAGAAGGTGGGGTCAGGACCAAGCTGGCAGTCGAAGACATTCCCTTACTTGTTAAAGTGGCAACCCGTTCTGGTCTTCCCGAGGTTGCGCGCGATTTCTCCACTGCTGCAGCATCGGTCCTTATCGAAGAGGCCGCTTCGGACCATCCGGAGCTTTTGGATACAACGCCTGGCTATCAGCTTTTGAAACAACGCTGGCATGATGTTCGCAGTCAGAATGATGCTGAGACTGGACCCGCTCTCGATATTGGCAGGCTCAGCTTGGATGCCGAAAACAAGGCATCCCTCAAGTCATTCGTGCAGACACTACGCGACAGTAAATACCGTTGCCTACAGGGTGACGGACTTCTCGCTGCTTGTCGCCACTTGGTCCAAGTAGTCCGTCAAAAGAGCGACTTGGATTCCGAAGACTTGCATACCTCGCTAGAAGCGATATGGGACGAAATGGAAACACAAGAATACCCAAGACCTTCTCTCATGCTGCTTCCGGAGATTTTCTACCACCCGAACTGCCTTCGTGCAGCGTCGGAAGAAACACGGTCCCTCTTGGCCCGGGCATTGCCCGACTTTCACACCTTCGCTGAGGGAAGAATCTATGTCTTACCACCGCTGGTCAAGGCACTTCGAAGAGCTTACTTCCATGTTCCAGAGATGGCCAGCTTCTTACCGATGGAGGAATTTATTGTCCGCTTCGCTGATCACCCACCAACGGCAAAGCTGGAATTCTTGATGGAGGCCGCCGTGGCCGAGAAACTGGCTGAAATAGTCCCGCACCGTACATACACCTCATACTACGGCCCAGGGGAGTCTCAGGGATATGCTGCTATGTTCGATCTACTCAACAGGATTCCCATATCCGACAACGCGTTTGCCAGGCGAATTCTCGATCAAGTCCTGAAGCCCTGGGTAAACCAGAAGATGCCGATACCTATGGTCAGCAAGTGGAAAGCCACAACGCAGGTGCAAACAATGTTGCTACTGTCTCAGAACTGCTTGGCTGCCGCGCCAAAGGAGGAGGTTGCACTATACCTGCGAAAGTTCACAAAGATCCTCTCGATGGAACCGCTGCCTCGGTATCGTTTCCTTTGGGAGTGGATGATTGCTCGGATCTACGTACGTGAACCTGAACAACGCAAAGAGCTGCTAGAAGTTCTCGGAAGCGATGATCATACGAATCCGAAACACTTGGCTTCGGTAATGAAAATAGCGGTAATGGTAGCCCGCCTCCCAGACTCGGACGAGGAGTTTGCGCACAAGCTCATGACATTCCTGATCCCGCTATCGGCAAGCCCGAAGATTGTCATCCGGCACGAAGCTCAATGGTCGTTCCCGCCTCTTTGGGACCATGCGGAAGCCTCTGGGTGGACGAGGGTGACGAGCAACCCTGCCTTTTCAGCTCTGAATACTCACATCAGGTCCCTCGACAAGTACTCAACACCTCCGCCACAACGGACGCTTGAATGGCTGGACCCGATCAAGGACCACAGCCTGGTTCTTCTGTTCGGCGGGAGATACCTTGATTTCGATCCGGCGGAGGCTCGGCTCGTCTCGGCTGATGATTTCAAGGCTGTATGGGCGGAGGATGAGCAAGGAGATGACTTTCCACCTCCGCAGATGCCCCTAGGAGAGGAAAAGGCGGGGAAGGGGGCTGGTAACTCGGTAGGCGAAGCGAAGGACTGGGTTTCAGCAGCGATTGGGGCGGACGAGACTGTCGGCTTTCTGCAGACCAAGGGTATGGCATGGCAGGAGGCCCTGCTCGCCTCGCCGGCGGCGTCATCGACGCGGCCCAGCACGCCTTTGGTTCTTGTCGGATCTTTGATCGACAATGCCTATAACCTTGGCGGGCTTTCGAGAGCGGCAGAGATCTTCGGATGCGCTGCGATGTACATGCGGACTCTGGATACGCTGAAGCACAAGGACTTTACCTCGGTGTCGGTTTCTTCACACTCGCACCTCCCGATTCATGCCCTGCCGCCAGCCGAACTTCCCGAGTTTCTGCGGGCACTGAAGGTAGACGGATACAAGGTGGTAGGTGTAGAGCAAACGGACCGAAGCCTTGTGCTAGGTGCTCCAGGCAGTGATCTGCCGGAGAAGTGTGTGCTGGTGATGGGGAGCGAAAGAGAGGGCATTCCCGGAACAGTGCTGGCAGAATGCGATATTTGCGTTGAGATCCGACAGGTCGGCGTGACCAGGAGTCTGAACGTGCAGACGGCAGCGGCGATTGTGTTGTACGAGTATCAGCGGCAGCATTACGGGAGATAGCTTGGTAGTCTAGGACTTGAAAATTTGGAGATTCTCGCTGTGACATGCCGTTCCATGGCCGCGGAGCAATTCCGTAGGGCTGCGGGGCGCGCTTCCTCTTTGGGAAATGGAATCCCGCAGCGGGGGCGACAACGAAAAGGCATGCATCTGCAGACCAGGCAACCTGGAGCTTGCTATCAGAGAGTTTTGCGAGCTGTAGCTGAGCAAAGGGACATAGGCACATGCGCATGGGGGATGAGAGTGAGCGAGGTCGGCTAGCATGACTCGCATGCGTTGCCCCGGGCCTCGGCTTATCGGAGCTCTATCCATGTGCGAACTGCGTCACGCCCAGCATCTAACTTTTAATATCTTCAATCTTGCGCCTGCTCTCCTCCACCGAGCTGGAACCCCACGACATCGGGAACCCACGACTTCGGATACCGCTGCCAGCTCCGCGCCATGAGCTCTTCAGAGGGCGGTCCGCCGTCCGCCCTGCGCCGCCAGCAGCTGCGCGCACTGCTCGCCAGCTCCTTGCGTTCGACCGACACCAACCTGCTGCGGCTGTCGAAGCTCCTATCGTACCCTGCCGGCGTCGACAGCACCCTATGCACCATCAACTACACTCTCACATTTGTGCGCACTGGCCTGCAGAAGCACCTGGAGGCCAAGCTGCGCGCGCTCGCGCTGGGCATTGCCGAGAAGGCGTCGGACGCCCTCCTGCCTGGCGACACTCTGATCGCCTCGCTCCCGCCCACGCCCGCAATAGTGCGCCTCACGCGCACCACCGATGCCACCAAGAAGCTCGAGGAGCTGATCTCCGACTTCCGCATCTTTGTCCGCATGTGGGGCCTGCTCGACCTGTACATCTGGGGCCGCGGCACCTACCTCTCCCCTCCTGAAGACAGCGTCGTCAGGGCCATCACCTGGACTCAGGTCGTCGTGAATGTGCTGTACCAATTCCTGGAGAACGGCGCGTACCTTGCCAGCAAGGGCATCCTGAACACGGACGGCTGGACGGGCGAAGCGGGCGCAAAGAGGCAGACGTGGTGGTGGTTGTGGAGCTCGCGCTTCTGGGCTGCACACGTCGGTCTTGATCTGTTCAGGCTGGGCTACGTGTGGCACCAGGAATCCAAGCAGGCCCGGGCCGAGGGTGAAGAGAAGGAAGAGAAGCTGGAGAGGAGGAAGAAGTACCAGCGGTGGTGGAGGGACCTCATCAGCAACGCGGCCTATGCGCCGCTGACGGTGCACTGGAGCCTGGAAGAGGGATGTGTGAGCGACGGATGGGTGGGCTTGTGCGGGATGGTGGCCGGCGGGGTGGGACTCCGCGACAAGTGGCGCCAGACAGCGGCTTGAAGAGTTGGAGCAAAGCCGGAGCAGACGAGCCGATGGCGTTGCGGGCCGTGATACCTGGCGGGAGCCGGCCCAGCATCGGCCCCGACGACGCTCACTCCGGTCTGCCCGCCGGCAGGTGGCCTGAGAGCTCTACGCGAGCCGCGCTGCCTCCCTTTCGACGTGCTCCAGCCCGCCACGCGCCCCGGGCTCAGCGAGCGGCTCCTTTTTGACTGTAGAAAATAGACTTGTTTCGTCGTCTCCGCTCTTTCTGGGCTGCCCCGGCATACGAAACAGTCGTGTTTCGATGCATGAACGCCAAGCCGTTTCATCAATCTTCGGCAAAGCGCGACGCCCGACCCGCCTGCGCGCAAGAACATCCACCAGCCGCCGCATCCAGGCAATCTACGTCCCCACGACCTCCCCTTTCCTATTGATGGAGAAACATCCGCAATCAAGTTGCCGCGCGGTCCAGTCCATACCCATGTCGCCACCCCGATGGCAGCCTCGCTTGGCAGACAAACACCGTGCGGTCCGTTGAAACTAGACCCACGCAGCACATTTTCACTATGACATATATACCTGCCGCCCGCCTGGTGAATTAAGACCAGCATCCCACTGCTAGACAGTCACTTCGCTCGCACCAACTTTCTTTTCATTCGTTCCCGGCCTGGTGCCTCTTGCAGCTTCACCCCAACCCTATAAACGCCATGTCTTTCAAGTCTCTTGCTGTTATTGCCGCTGGTGCGGCCACCGCCAACGCCCACGGTGTCATCCTGGACATCGTGTCTGGCGGCAAGACCTACGGTGGCTGGGACGCCAGCTACGTCTACTACAACCCCGTCCCCGAGGTTGCTGCCTGGCAGTCTGGTGGCTTCGGCCACGGCCCCATCGTCGGCACCCAGTACTCGACCGCTTCCATCAACTGCCACGACGACGCTATTGCCGCTCCCATCTACATGGAGGCCGCCGCCGGTGACGAGATCGCCATCTCCTGGGGTACCCCTGGCAACCCCCCCAGCGCCTGGGTAAGCATTTATTTCCGAGTCGATCATAATTGTGGCTAAGCTAACCGAACCATGAAGCCCACGAGCCACCACGGCCCCATCATTACCTACATGGCTCCTTGCGGTGGTGCTGATGCTACTGGCGACTGCACCTCCCTGAACGTCACCGACCTCGCTTGGACCAAGGTCTACCAGAAGGGTCTCATCACCGGCGGTGATGTTGACAGCCAGGTCTGGGCCACCGACGAGCTCATCTCGAACAACAAGACCATGGTCACCATCCCCTCCTCGCTCGCCCCGGGCAACTACGTCCTCCGCAACGAGATCATCGCCCTTCACGCCGGCGGTGAGGTCAACGGCCCCCAGAACTACCCCCAGTGCTACAACGTCAAGATCACCGGCTCTGGCTCCGGAAAGCTTACCGACGGCGTCAAGGGCACCGAGCTCTACACCCCCGAGGACACCGTCTTCAACATCTACGCCAACATTGACAGCTACCCCTTCCCCGGCCCCGAGCTCTGGAGCGGCGCTTCCTCTACCTCCAACGCCACCAAGCGCTCTTTCCGTACCTTCAAGGCATGAGCATTGATGAGATGATGCGAGAAAAGACAAAACAAACACCAACATATTCTTTGTAGATACTTGCGCGTTCTATTTCACTTAAATACTTACCGTCTGCTGTCAATAGACTGCAGCGTCTACTTCGTCACAAATATATCTTGGTAGCTTGCGAAGTCCAAAAGTCCACATTACGTGCTTCATGTGTTTTGACTGCCACAGCATGTGCAATCGTGTTGATCGTATCTCCAATTCATCGCTGCAGTACAGAGGGGTATTACGTCTGAAGGCTAGCGTCGTTTTGTTTTTAGCTCATGTCATGGGCGATTGAAGCTGTCGTCCGGACGAGAATGTCGATTTGAAAATTCCACATACATGTTTAGATGATGGCTTCAATTACATATATGTTGTCTTACTTTTTATTTCTTTTTTAAAAACAAAAGAAAAGAAAAGAGCTAAGGCATGGCTACTCTAGATTCAAGGATCCTGCTATTCTTCGTTCGGCTGTAACACCCTCTGCATTGGCAATAAGAAAGTAAGAAAAAGTCCGTGAAGATCCAACTCTTTTGCCAGCCGCTGTGGCGCTCACCCTCGAATGTCCAGGTGCGATGATCTTGCACAAATTCAATTTGCAAGGACCAGACGTGTCCAAAGGACGCGTTTTGGATTTATGAGTTGGTGCGGAGACACTTACCCCAACCAACACAAGCACGGGAGGGAGGATGCACAGAGCGAAATCCAGAGCGAAGAATGCTTGCTGAGCCTCTTGAATATGGAGTAATGCTTCATCAATGTTCTTTACGAAAAAAAAAAAAACATATATGAGTAGTTCAAGCGATTAACCGGACACGAATGTATAATTTTTAATTCGACAGTTACGTCTGGACGATAGCTTCAAGTACCCATGACATAAACAAACAACAAATCTACGCTAGCCTCCAGCTGAGACACCCCTCTACAGCATCCTCGCAACCAAGCCCCTGTTGAGCTCGGTGGCTCGGGTGAGTAGGTGCACATCTCCCACCTCCCCTTTGTCTTTTCTCCGGGATCGAAATGTTCTTGTCACTCGCACGAACTTCCCAGATCCCATTGGGGGTGGCAAATCACATCATCCGTATAAGCGCAGCAATCCTCGTTAGCCGCCCGCCATATGAAGAGCTGCATATTGGGCGAGGGGCCGGGCCGACGCAAAGCTTAGCCGCTCGCTTGCAGTGTGTTGAGATTGCTGCCGTCGATTCTGTTTCTCGGCGCAGCGACAAGACTCTTCTGCAGGCGTGTGGGTGTCTGCGTGGAAAGAAGCTTTGTGTTTGAAGATCTATGTCGTGATCGAGATGTCGTTGCAGCGAGCGGCTGTTCCGTTTACCGAATTATCGGTAAGTGGTTGTAGATTCAAAACTGCGTGTGAAACGTCGTCGTCTCCTGACGGCAGACTTGGAACAGATAATTCCGTACAAATAGACACACATGGATATTCTATTACTTTAATCCACCAGTTGTAGCATTAAAGAGCTCAATATGCTATTATGCGCTTGTGTGAGGTCAACGCAGCTACGAAGATTCACCACAAGCCATCAACCACTTAGGAAGAGATCAGATGACGACGTTCAGGGCTCTACGCCACTTGGGCATGGCAGCAACCCTCGCGCGTTCGGCCATGACAGGATCCCAGTCAACTTCACGACGGCCGCTGTCGACGTCGATCTGGGACAGCTTCAGCCATCCAGTCTTTTTCCAGAAGTATCCACAGATCCAGAAGAAAATGACGACAAAAAGGGCAAGATAAGACTTGAAGAAGCCCTCGGCATCGTTGACGCCTCCCCCGAGAGGCCAGACGGCAGTGTAAAACTGAAAAGACGATTGTTAGCAGCAGAATAGGAGTTTGCAAGATGGAAGGGTAGGCTCACCTGCGCAATGAGGACCAGGATGATGAGAATGAAGCCAAGCCACGAGCCGTACACACCACCAACAGCTTGGAAGGGGATCTCGTCGACGCTATGGCCATGGTAGGCCCAGGCAGCGCGGAAGCGGATGTGAGCGAGACATATGCTGCCCCACGTGAATAGCGCAGCTAGACCGGACAGGGCAACCAGCCAGTCGAAGACGATTTGGCCATCCTCATCGAGATTGATGTAGGCCAATAGCGCGCAGACTATGATGGCGATGGTCGACCAAAGAGGACGGCCGGCCTTGTCGACGTAGGTGAAGATCTTAGGGGCATAGCCTTGCTCAGCAAGGGCGGTCAAAGTACGCGATCCGCCGTAAACGCCGGACAAGCCGATGGAGATGACAGAAATGAGAATGACGACATTGATGAAACTGTCAAATCCAGTCAAACCGGCGTCGTTGGCAGCGATGACGAAAGGAGACGCGGCAACATCAATGAAAGGGTTGGCGCCGAGAAGCCTTTCGTCGTTGTAAGGAACTAGAAGTCCGACAAAAAGCAGCGACAGGATGTAAAAGCTGCAACGACAGTCAGCATAAGAGACCAGCGTGGAGGCGGGATGCCTTACAGAGTGATACGCCAAAAGACTTGCTTGACGGCTCCTGGAAGCTGCTTGGCAGGGTTTTCGGACTCGGCGGCGGCAAGGCCAACCAACTCAGTTCCAGAGAAGGAAAAGGCGGCCGTGACGAAGACGGAGCACACGCCCTTGAAGCCATTCGCGAACGCGCCCGGCTCGTACCAGAGTCGGGCACCCCAGTACTCACTGTAGTTTCCATTGGACGGCCCCCCACCCAGTACGCAGATGAGGCCGATGATAAGGAAGATGATGATAGTAGACAGCTTAAGTAACGAGGACCAGAACTCTTCCTCGGCATAGCCCAGGACGCCAAAGATGTTGATGAAAATGATGGCCACGAGGAAGACAGTGATCCAGACACCGACGTTGATGTCGACGCCCCAATAGCCTACGGTCATGCCGGCGACAACAAGTTCTAGAGGGAGGACGATAGCCCATTGGAAGACATAATTCCAGCCCATGGCAAACCCCCATGACGGATCGATGAAGCGGGTAGAATAGGTGTAGAAGCCGCCACTGACTGGATACATGATGGCGAGTTCTCCGAGAGCGTAGACGACGTTGAAGATCATGACACTTTGAGCGGGTTAGCTGGAAGCTTGTTGGTGCGGAGGGTCGAAGTACCCAATGATGCCAAAGTCAATAAGCACAGCAGCAGGGCCGCCGCGGTTGAGGGCACTTCCGGAGCCGACGAAAAGGCCAGCTCCAATAGAACCGCCGATGGCGATCATGTGGAGGTGGCGGGTTTTCAAGGACTGGTTGAGCTGGTTGTGCACATCTGCCTTGGTGCGGCGCTGGAAGGACTTGGGGGTGAAGCCCATCCTGGTCCAAATGCCCAGTTGTTCCTCATGGACCTCAGAGTAGCCGCCCTGTGGCTCCGAGTAGACCGGAGGCACATCATCGCTGCCGCTGGTCTTGACACCGCCCTTCTCCACAGCGTCGGCCTTGTCAGCCTTGTCAGCCATGGCGGCGTTGGACTTGAAGTGAAAGAGATGTACGAGGGGATTGGAGGGAGGCGGGAAGGCGTGAGGAAAAATGCGAAAGGGAAGGGATTCTTCTTAAGCTGCACAGCAGCGATAAGGCAGGCTTGGCCTGGGAGGCACGGCATGACTGCCATTGCTGGGTGGAAGATCAATACGAGTGTCTGGGGAACGCTTGGCGGAGCCGCGGGGCGGGCACTGGATCTTGGGGGCCTCTTGGGGGGCGCCATAGGAAGCCGACCTTCCAGAAGGATTCTAGGCTGCCAATGCACAGTAAACAGTGCCAAGAACGGATTGGGGGGCGGAAGAAGCATCGATAAGCGCAGTACGGCGGAAACTGCAGTAGGCAGAGGCTTGGCAGACAGCGGAAGGATGGACGAGAGATAAGGAGCGTTGGTGCCTCGAGACAAGCTCAGCTCCACCGGCCTCGCGAAGCAGATAGTGAATGAATCTCAAGCGAGAGCAGACGAGCGCCAAGTCGTTCCGGGGGTGGTATTGGAGGGGTCGTGTCTTGGCAGCAGGCGGGGAGACTACTGGAAGCGATGCCCTGCATCCTTCGTGCTACCCTGTATCAACCCACACTGGCGAGAGACGTGAAGGATTCCGGGCTTTCGCAACGGTAGCTGCAATGGCACACGTGGCGCCGTGTCACCTCGGCTGCGAGCGCAAAGCGGTGCGACAGCCTGGATGCAACGCCCGGCTGCGGTGGCGAGAGCGAGCGCGAGGGTCAGGGTGACGGTGAAGATGAAGGTGAGAGTGAAGGTGGAGGTGCAAGTAAGGAAACGACTCGAGCCCCACAAAGAAGCAGGAGCGCTAGCTAGGTGTTCAGGGTCCAAAAGCGAACAACTACATCCAGGAAACGGATTCAACCCCCCACGTGATCGGAGTACTGCATTCTTAAGCATGAAAGACTTCACTTGTTTTGTCACCGGCGATGCCGATGGGAGGTGCACGGCGGTCGCTTACGGCACTGCGGCCACAATTCCGCGGCCATCTCTCAGCAACAGGAGACATTGTCTGTTTTCCTTTATTTTCGTAGCAAGCCGCACTCTGCAGCTTCGCATTCGACAGGAACAGCCGCCATGGAGCAGAGGCTGACGCGGGTGCTCACCTTCCTATTCGAGGAATCGGTGGCTAAGCAACACCACAACCACAACCACGACATCCGCGCCTATCTCCGCCACGCCGACACTTGGCACCAGCTACAGACCTTCCGCGCCTTGCTGTGCCAGCGCCCAGCCGCCCCGCCCCTGCCGCCCCAGCTTCTAGAAGACATCGACTGCATCCTCAACCATCAGCTCCGCCGCCGCATCCTTGTACCTGCCTCTTCGATCCCGCCGCTCTGCCGGGTTCCCTCGGATGGCCCCTCCGCCGTCAACATCTCTCTCTGGAGAGGCGACATCACTGCACTCGACCAAGTCACCGCCATCGTAAATGCTGCAAACTCGGCCCTCCTCGGCTGCTTCCAGCCCTCTCATCGCTGCATCGACAATGTAATTCACTCGGCTGCCGGCCCGCGCCTTCGTACCGAGTGCAACCGGCTTATGGCGCACCAAGGCCGCCCCGAGCCTGTTGGATCAGCCAAGGTCACGCCAGCATACTGCGCCGCCGCCAAATTTGTCTTGCACACCGTCGGGCCCCAGCTGCCCCCGGGCGAGCTTCCCACCGACCACGACAAACAGCTACTGGCGAGCTGCTACAAGTCTTGCCTCGACGAGGCTGAAGACCTCCCCCCTCTTCCAGACGGCCGTCTTGTTGTAGCTTTTCCTTGCATCTCCACCGGTCTCTTCTGCTTCCCCGGCCGACTTGCCGCCCAGATTGCTGTCGATGCTGTAATTAGCTGGTGCAAAAGTCATCCAGACACACCTGTAACACATATCATTTTTGACGTCTTCCTCGAAAAAGACGAGGACTACTATCGTAAAATTCTCGGAGACGCTATTGCCGCAGGTACAGTAACCAGCTTCGTCGACGAAGTGCCAGCCAGTCTGCCCACCGTCCCTTCCATCACCGAGACTGCACGCAGCTGGTTGTTCCAAGCAGATTATCTCTTGATAACCGCCGGTGCCGGCCTGAGCGCTGCTGCTGGTCTCGATTTTACCTCGCAGTCGCTCTTCCAAAAGCACTTTCCAGCATTCCGCCGCCTTGGCTTGCACCGCCTCTACGACACCTTCGGCTTCGACGAGTGGCCTTCAAAAATGCACAAATGGGCTTTCTACTTCACTCAGCTGCAGCTGACGCGCACATGGCCCGCCTCACCGCTCTACGCATCCCTGCTCGATCTCGCCACCACCCATTTCGCCGACCGTTTCTTTGTGCGCACCTCCAACGCCGATGGCTTCTTTCCCGCCAACGGCTTCCCGGAAGAGCGCTTTTCCTCGCCTCAGGGTGCCTTCAGGTACCTGCAATGCCTTCGAAACTGCCGCCCGGATGCATATTTCCGCTCAAAGCCGTACCTCGATGCCGCCCTGCCTCTTATAGACCCTCACGCTCAAGTCCTGACCGACGAGACTAAGATTCCCGTCTGTGAATACTGCGGCGGCGAGGTTTTCCTCTGCGTTCGTGCAGGTGATTGGTTCAACGAGCGCCCTTTTCAGAGGGGAGAGGAGCAATACCAAGATTTCTTGGACGAGGTGGAACGTGAAGGGAAGACGCTAGCCATTCTCGAGTTGGGTGTAGGCATGAACACGCCCGGTGTATTGAGATGGCCAAATGAAGAATTGGTTCGCTGGGGCGAGGGGAAGGTTAAACTGATAAGGGGTGGTGAGCAGGCCTCCGGTCTTGTCGACTTCGACCTAGAAGCTGAAGGCAATGCCATCGGTATCGACGGGAAAATCGACGATATTCTAGTCGCTCTTCTTAGAAAAACTTAGAAGCCATGTAAAGTAAAAGCACGTAACCTAGAGGCAAGATAAATAAAACGGAAAAATGTTAGTCACTTCAACCTTACGAATTTGTTCGATTGGAACGACTTGCTACTAGGAAAGATTTCTGGCATCTATAATTAGAAATCCTAGGCCGGCGGCATATAAACACCACCGGGGATCATGGCATTGTAGCGGGTGTTTGGTGTTCTGCGTTGATGATTCTCCTAGTGCCCTTCGCCAGCGCTGGCGCTACATCAGCAAATTCCCCACCTCTCGGCAGTGGCTGGAAGCCGCTGTTAGTGTTAAATATAGACACATCGGCAAAACGGCAAGTTGGACTGCAACCGGCATATCCGGCGCCACCGGCGCCACTAGCGCCACCAGCACCGTTAGTATAGAGGGGTGCTGCAGCCGATGGCTAGCGCGAAGAATAGCAGGGCTCTGGAGTATAGCGTAACTATGCCCCAGCTCTGCCTTAGAAAAGATGACATATGTGGGTAGCTGAAGCTATCGTCCGGACGTGTATGTAGAGTTAAAAATTCGACATTCTCGTCCGGACGATAGCTTCAGCTACCCATGACATGAGCAAAAAAAAAAAAAAAAACAAATCCACGCTAGCCATCGGCTGCGAGAGGGTACTGTACTGTCAGTAAAGTCCGTGAGTACATTCTTTCACGTGTAAAGGCACGAGGGCATGAAGACATGAACGAACGAATAAGCAAAGCAAACTTGCAGCTCGAGGAGCTTATACGTGAGGCCACTTTAAGAAACGGGCAGATGGCCGCTCCGCTAAGGGAGTTGGCGTCGTCTGGAAGAACCTCACTGCCAAGGGCACTGGCTCTACAGCAACATTTGATCTTGAAAAGACATGTATTGATGGTTCATACTTGATCTTGAGCTACTTCCTTTGTAAAGCTACTCCTCGTTCGCAGTGACAGTCTTGGCCAACATGTCCTTCTTGATAGCCTCGATAGCAGGACTTGGGTTCTGCATGACTTCACCCTGTTCACCACGCGCCTTCTTCTCCTTCTTGCTCAATCCTCCTCTCCTGTCTCTTCCGGGGGTAGGGCGGAGGTTCTCCCTGTTGATGTTAAAGCGCCGGTTGGCCAGGAACTGCTGCTGGATCGCGGTGCGAGTCTCGACCAAGTCATGGCCATAGTGGTAGTTGGAGTTGTCACAATCGAACGATTGCTTGACGATACTGTGGCAAGAGCGTAGAGCGCGAATAAGACCGTCGTGAACGAACGTCTTAGTGCATCGGACAGGACGAGCAGTACCAGGTGCATCGCCACCCAGCTGCTTCATCCTATCGACGTGGTCGTGGAAAAAATCCGAACAAATGTGCAGCTTAGGGCAACCGTGCTTCTTGCATTTGCCAGCCTTTCCTCGTATGGAGAACGGGCAGACGAGGCCGAGAAGGTACTCGTACTCTTTAACCGAAAATGAACATGTATGGGTAGTTGGAGCTATCGTCCGGACAAGAATGTCGAATTAATAATTATACATTCACGTCCGGACGATAGCTTCAACTACCCATGGTGTGAGCGAAAGATAAATTCACGCTACCCGTTGGCTATAATACCCCGGAAAAAAGGGCAGATATGGGTGATCGGAGTCGGATTCGGATTCAATTGTTTATCCGGAATGCCGCTGCTTACTATGTAAGGCATGCCCAAGTGTCCGAGCTGGCGGTTCGATGGCTAACACGTGCGCTGACACATCAGAAACAATCAGCGTTACTCTGCCAGTGCTGATGATCGCCTGACATAGTCACGCTTACAGAGTGGTGTTGCAGCTGAAGGCTGATGTGACCTTGTTTTATTGCTCGCGCAATGGGCAGTTGAAGCTACCGTCCGGGCGTGGATGTTGAATTAATAATTGTACATCCACGTCCGGACGCTAGCTTCAACTGCCCATGAAATGTCGTTCACAGTGGGAAATTTTACAAGGCTTAATTCGTACAGTCATCAACATTATCTCACCGACTACTATCCAAGTTCAGCCGCAGTTTTCCCTCGGCCGATGGCTATTAAGGACCCGGATGAACGGCGATAGGCGGGCATACCGAGACCCCACCAACCCGCATGGGTCGCATACTACCTCCTGCCACCCGCCAGTTGCCCAATCATCCTTTCAATCTCATGGACGGCGCTGCCTGTGGCCGTGGCCTTCAGTTCGGCCAAGCTGTTCATGTCTTTCGCCTTGAGCGCCTCCTCGCCCGCCCGCACGACTAGGCCGCACTTGACCCACATTTCTATGCGGTCACCGACCGGTAGGTTGGTGCACTTCGGGATGAATAATGCCGCGGTTCGCGTGTTTCCGGCTGAAAGGATCTCGTTGAAGAAGGGCTACACGGGTGGGCGTCAGCACTAAGATTGCGCGAGAGGGTACGGAGATAGGCGGCGGAATGAAGACTCACCTCCCAGCCAATGGGGCTCTTCCGGGTTTTGCTAATCTCCTCCAACTCATTCCAGTCCCTCTTGGCCACAAGTCCACGTAGCCTGAGCCACCAGTATGTCTTTTCTGGCATCTTGAATTCGGACTGCACTTTCTGTGCCCGTTTCATGTGACCCGCACGCACGAGGCGGAACACCGTCTCGTTGGTGGAGAGACCCACAAACCCTGTTACTGCCAGGTCCTTCTCGAACGTCTCTTGCATCTTCAGCAGGCGTTGTGCTTCATCGATGGCCTTTACGTTGAAGCTGTGTTCACGTGAATCTTGAAGCAGCTTGCTGGCAAGCTTAAGCTTATCAGTGCAAAGGCTTGTGCTGGGTTGTTCAAGCGCCTCGGCGATGAGGAGATTAGAGCCGTCAAGGCGGCGATCGTCTTGGTAGTAGAGGTCCTTTAGCAGCTCCCTGTCTTGCTCGAGCGCGGAAGACTCCACCAGTGCGGTGGCAACCGGCCGGCTGGTGACAGTTCTGAAGAAGCTTGCCAAAGTGAGCTGTTTCTTCAGATGCAAAAGGACATGGAACACGAGATCGGTGTCTCCGCTCTCTATTGCCTTGTCCAACGCTATCGTGTCTTCCTTCATGTCAAGCAAGAGGGGGACTTGTTTTCCAGCCCGTGGCTCAAAGTTCAACAACTCGGTTGCAAGGCGTACACGGCCTTCATCATACGCTGCCCTTGCAATCTCCTCGAAAGACACACCTTGCTTACCTTCAAGCTTCTGTACAATCATGCGGCAGATGCTCTCCTCGTCATCGTTAGAGATGCGGACTTTCTGGCTGGCCCAATGTACGTAGATGCGATCCGTCGGGAGGCGGAGGTAATCGGAAATCTTGAGAGCGAGCTGGTATTCGTGGCGGTTGATCAGTCGCTCGACTAGTTTTTCGGGCGTCAATCGCATGTACTGGTCGTAGGAAAGAGGCAGGCCAATCTCGTAGAAGCGGACCGCGTTGAGCACGCGAAGCGTCTCACACATGTCGACAAAGTCGTCACTGTTGTAAAGGTCAAGAACCGACTTGCCGAACGATGCTGCTTTGAGCAGTTGTTTTTGCCAATGGATGCTGTATTCATGTCCTGCAGCCTTCACGCAAGTATCAACTGCTTCGGCAAGATTCGGGCGGATCATCTGGATCAGGTCGTCTGCCTTTGGCGATTTCTTTTCCAGGTGATCGACCGCATCTAGCAGCACGGCGGCCGGAGACGTAGAGCCCAGGCGGAAGGTCTCCTCGCTCATGTCGGGGACACGTTGGATGAATTCACAAACGTCATTCGTGAGCACTCGGATGCCGTCAACGTCGGGCAGAAGATGAACGAAGCTGTCGTAGAAGAATTTGGTGGCAGAGCCGTTGGGCCCGACGAGATGGATCTCGTCTTCCCAAGCCAGGACAACGGAGCTGTTACCGCACCACTGCATGTCCTTGGGCACAGTCCTCGCTCTAGAGTCATACTCGCTGAGCTTGTTCTGGAAATCGCTGCTGACGACCCAGACCTTGCTGTCCTCGGTGTACAGGGCAACGAATTTGCCATTGGGCGAGACACTTGTGTACCTGAAGGGGCCGCGCTGCAGCATGCGGTCCTCGCAGTCAGTGGCGTCGACGAGATAAATGGTCTCGCCAATTGCTAGAAGCACCTCGACGGAGCGCGAGAGAGTCTCGGTGGGGGGAATCAAGGCCCAAGACTCGACGGGGTCCTCGGGAGCAAGGGCCAGCAGCTTGGGACGCGGCTCATCGTAGCGGGTGACGGAGACGAGGCGATTGTTGTTGAGCAGAGCCACGAAGCCAGAGCCCCAGAAGCGGCAAGCCTTCACGCCCACCTCGTCGGCACCGTGGCCGAGGGTGAAGGGCACGAAGTCGCCGTGCAGGTGCTGGTAGCAGCGTACAGTGCCATCCTCGGTCACGACGAGCAGCTTCTCGTCCAACGACCAGCCAAGGCCCTTGACGGAGCCCTTGTCCCAGGTGATGCGGCGGATGAGCTTGCCGGCGCAGCTGTAGATGTCGATGGAAGTCTTGGCCTGCTGCGAGGCACGGAAGGTCTGGAGCTTCTCTTCGTCGCGATATATGGCTGGGCGGAGTCAGCACGGGCAAGGGTGCGGGCAGGCAGCGGGAGCATACCTACAGCGCCAGAGTAGGGTGCGGCGACGACGTGGAAGTTCTCGAGCTCCAGATCCTGGTCAAAGACGTCGGTGTAGAGCTGCAGCTTGCGGTAGAAGCGGTCGCCGACGCGCTCCCAGTCGGCAGTGGGCTTGGGCATGGCGAAGACGCGGGGCGTTGTGGCGGGCGGGCAGCTGGCGTTGCGATAAAGTTGGGGGACGCGCCTGAGGCCCGGGCGCCGGTGGATCGACAATCTGCATCACGAAAGAAAGAGCCGCCGACACTGGCCCACCGCCAGCCCGCTCGTCATCCCGCGACTGCTTATTCCACGGAGCTGACGCCGCCACAACCTGCGCGCGCTGCCATGTGCCCCGTTGCCCAGCATGCATGCTGCTGACGCTGCATCCCCGCCTTGCCGATCCGTACGGACCAGGAATCTGCTTCCAGATGATTCATTTGCCCTCTGCACTCCGCGGATGCAGCCGCTGCACGCTCGCGTGGTGTCGGTGACTTTCGCGCGGCACTGAACCAATGAGGCGCCCGGGGAATATGGTGGTGGGTGCATCATCTGCATGGTCAATAGGTGCAATGCTACGCGACCCGCCCCTGTACTCCGGTCCGCATCTCCTAATACGCCTATTCCCGGACGATTGCTCCCGCTTGTTGTGTTGCAAAATTTGCGAAGACGCGGGCACGCAGCCCGTGCGCCGGACGATGGGCGGCGGGGCAGATTAGAAATCGGGGAGCGTGTGCTATCTCCACGATGACCTCACTGCCCCTTCAGGACCATTTAGGCTCACCGCTAGCCAATTGCGCCTAGAGCACTGCAGGCGGGCATCGTCGGCGTTAGCTTATGCCCGTTGCACCCTTTACGCTTTTACCATCCTGACACCGCCATCTCCTCCCTCCTGCCCTGGCGGTGTCCCAAGAGAGGCAAGCTCACCTGGTGACCTACTTAAATCAGGAGCCACCTACAGCTCTCGTTACTCTCCAGCATACCCCCAGCCTCACTCAACACCATGTGGGCTACCTCAATTTCCGAAGACCGGCATCCGCCTGACAACCCATGGCACAATTCGCCACCGGACAGGCGCGACGAGGCTGCAACCAATTCGCACAACCATGACATCACTGCTGGCGCCGCGTCCAGCTCTGGTGCCAGCGTTGAGGGGACCTGGGGTGAGCAAGACACTGGCATTCGAGACCAACGTCATGCCATCCACGAATATGAAACTCTACGCCGCGATCTCTCAGCCTTGGCCCAGACTCGCTCTAGAACCTCGCAGAAGTCCACGCCGCGCTCGAGGCCAGCCGACAGCGAGTCCTTGTTCCGTGCCATCAGCGGTTTGCCCGTTGATGCCCCGCCGTCCAGCAAGTCTGAGCTTGCAGACACCGATGGAGAAGCTCTGGAACCTCAGGAGACCAAGGAAACCACCGGCGACACCCACCTCGACTCCTCGTCAGAGGAAGACTTCCAGCTTGAGGAGTTCATGCGTGAAGGCCACTTTGAGAAACGGGCAGATGGCCGCTCCACTAAGAGAGTTGGCGTCGTCTGGAAGAACCTCACCGTCCAAGGCACTGGCTCTACAGCAACATTTGTCAAGACCTTCCCGGATGCTGTTATGGGAACCTTTGGGCCGGATCTCTACCGCATCGTAAGCCGTTTCGTTCCAGCTCTTCGTCTTAACAAGCATGCGAAGACCCGCGACCTCATCCACGACTTTCATGGAGTCGTACGCAACGGCGAAATGATGCTTGTGCTTGGTCGCCCGGGCTCTGGCTGCTCCACCTTCCTAAAGGCGATTTCAAACAAGCGGGACGATTACGCCGCCGTTTTCGGCGAGGTCAACTACGGCGGCATCAGCGCAGAGAAGCAAAGGAAACAATTTCGGGGCGAGGTCACCTACAACCCGGAGGACGACAAACACTTCGCCTCTTTGACCGTTTGGCAAACCCTGAAGTTTTCTCTCATGAACAAAACCAAAAAGCGAGAGAGGGGCGAGATTCCCATCATCGTGGAAGCTCTCCTCAGGATGTTCGGAATAAGCCACACAAAACACACTCTCGTCGGTGACGAGTTTGTCCGCGGTGTTTCTGGAGGAGAGAGGAAGCGTGTCTCTATCGCAGAGACCTTAGCGGCAAAGTCGGCAGTCGTCACTTGGGACAACTCCACTCGCGGCCTGGACAGTTCTACCGCGTTGGACTACGCCAAGTCTCTCCGGATTATGACCGATGTCAGCGATCGGACGACATTTGTCACGCTTTATCAGGCAGGAGAACAGATCTACGAGCTCATGGATAAGGTGCTTGTCATCGACTCCGGAAGGTGCATCTACAACGGCCCCGCAAAGGATGCAAAACAGTACTTCATCGACCTTGGGTATTTCTGCCCTGAGCGACAGACCACTCCTGACTTCCTCACCGCAGTCACCGATCCCAACGAGCGCCGGTTCCGAGACGGCTTCAAGGACAAGGCACCGAGAACTCCCGAGGAATTGGAGAGGGCTTACAGATCATCCAATGTGTACCAAGGAGTTCTGCGCGACATCCAAGAATACGAGCGCGAATTGGAGCACAATGATTACGCCGACGCCAGAGAGTTTGAAACAACCACGCGAGAACAAAAGAGCAAGACAGTTATGAAGGACTCGAGCTACACCGTCAGCTTCATTCGCCAGGTTTCTGCTTGCACAATGCGAGAATTCTGGTTAATCTTTGGCGACCGGCAGACCCTGATCACGAAGGCCTTCATCATCATCAGCAACGCACTCATCGTCGGCAGCCTTTTCTATGGACAACCTCTCAGCACTGAGGGTGCGTTCAGTAGAGGTGGTGCTCTCTTCTTCTCTATCCTCTTCCTGGGTTGGCTCCAGCTTAGCGAACTGATGAAGGCGGTTAGTGGACGCCTTGTTGTCGCTCGCCACAAGGAGTACGCCTTCTATCGTCCTTCTGCAGTCAGTATTGCACGAGTGGTGACCGACTTTCCCATGATTCTAGTGCAAGTCATAGTATTTGCCGTAATCATGTACTTCATGACAAACCTGGATATCGAGGCTGGCAAGTTTTTCATTTACATGCTGTTTATCTACACAACAACCATATGCATCACCGCACTTTACCGCATGTTTGCTGCACTGTCACCATCGATTGACGATGCAGTGCGCTTTAGTGGCATTGCCTTGAATTTGCTCGTCATCTTTACCGGCTACGTCATCGTCAAGCCCCAGTTGACAAGCAATTACATCTGGTTTGGTTGGTTATACTACGTCAACCCAATCTCGTATTCCTTCGAGGCGGTCCTATCAAACGAGTTCTCCGGTAGGACAATGGACTGTGCTCCTGAACAACTGGTTCCGCAGGGGCCGGGCGTTGATCCTGCGTATCAGGGCTGCGCAATCTCTGGCGCGTCGCCTAACTCTAGGGTTGTCCAAGGCTCCGACTATATTGGTGTTACATACACGTACACCAGATCTCACCTCTGGCGCAATTTTGGAGTCGTGATCGCCTTCACGGTTCTTTATATCCTTATCACTGCAGCCGCAACGGAACTCTTCAGCTTTGCGCAAAGCGGAGGCGGCGCCCTGGTTTTCAAGAGGAGCAAGCGGGCAAAACAGGCATTGAAGGAACAGGCAAAGCCCGACGATGAGGAGAAGGCTGCTGGCTCGATGGGGGTTTCCACAAGCAACGAGGACGCAGAGTTGGCCATGGCGAAGACAAAGTCGAAGGCGGAGGAAGCCCTCGAGTCAATCAACAACAGCGACAGCATTTTCACTTGGAAAAACGTTTCCTACACAGTCCCCTATCTCGGCGGAGAGAAGAAGCTCCTGAACGATGTCTCTGGGTTTGCTAAACCTGGTGTCATGGTCGCCCTAATGGGTGCCTCAGGCGCAGGAAAAACAACCCTTCTCAACACCCTTGCCCAGCGGCAAAAGGTCGGTGTCATCACTGGTGACATGCTCGTGGATGGGAGACCACTTGACCTCGACTTCCAGCGCGGTACCGGTTTCTGCGAGCAGATGGATATCCACGATCAGACGGCTACAATAAGGGAAGCGCTAGAGTTTTCCGCGATCCTGCGCCAGGACAGAGAGATTCCCCGCCAGGAGAAAATCGACTATGTCGATAAAATCATTGACTTACTCGAGCTTGGAAACTTGCAGGACGCCATCATCAGCTCCCTCGGCGTGGAACAGAGAAAACGATTGACGATTGGTGTTGAGCTTGCTGCTAAGCCTTCACTTCTCTTGTTCCTTGACGAGCCTACCAGTGGACTCGACAGCAACTCGGCCTACTCCATCGTGAGATTTTTGAAAAAGCTATCGCAGGCTGGACAATCAATCACTGCAACTATCCATCAGCCATCCAGTATTCTGATTCAGCAGTTCGACATGATCCTCGCTCTGAACCCTGGCGGCAACACCTTCTACTTCGGTCCTGTGGGTGAAAACGGCAAAGACGTCATTGACTACTTTGCAGAGCGTGGTGTCCACTGCCCACCACAGAAGAATGTCGCTGAATTCATTCTCGAGACGGCAGCCAAGGGTGGCAGGAAGGCCGATGGCACGAAGATCGACTGGAATAAAGAGTGGAAGGAGTCCGAGCATAATAAGCGGCTCCTGGAAGAGATTGATCGCATCAACAGCCAGAGGAAGGAAGACAGGGTGCCCCGTCAAGCAGGCCAAGTGCGAGAGTTCGCTGCTCCAGTCTGGCTTCAGACAACCATGCTCACCAAACGTCTATTCATCCAGTTTTGGAGAGACCCCAGCTATCTCTACGGCAAATTGTTCGTGTCTGTCATCATCGGTATATTTAACGGCTTCACCTTTTGGCAACTTGGAAACTCAGCGCAGGACATGCAAAACCGCATGTTTACAGCTTTCCTAATCATCGTCTTTCCCCCAGCTATCGTCAACTCCGTCGTGCCCAAGTTTTTTCAAAACATGGCACTGTGGCAGGCGCGTGAGCACCCTTCACGCACATACAATTGGGTAGCCTTCACTACTAGTCAGGTCGTTGGTGAAGTACCGCCAGCGATTATCGGCGCCGTCGTCTATTTCTTACTTTGGTTCTTCCCCTCAGGACTCCCCACGGACTCTTCCACGGCTGGTTATGTATTTCTCATGACTCTTTTGTTCTTCTTTTTCCAAGCTAGCTGGGGCCAGTGGATCACCGCCTTCGCGCCATCCTTTACGGTCATTGCGAACGTGCTGCCATTCTTCTTCGTCATGTTCTCTCTCTTCAACGGCGTCGTTCGACCGTACTCGATGCTTCCCGCCTTCTGGAGATATTGGATGTAAGTGTTCCACGGGCACAGACCGGCCCGCCCTTTGTAACATTCTCCTCCTTACAAGGGGGCTTCGTTACCTCCCTCAAACCCCTCCAACGCAAAACAGACCGCTGACGATGATTCAACAGGTACTACGTCAACCCCTCTACCTGGTGGATTGGCGGAGTTTTGGCTGCGACGCTGAAAAACCAGCCAGTGCAATGCACCACCGAGGAGACCGCGCGCTTCGATCCGCCTCCCAACCAAACCTGCGGCTCCTATGCCGGAGCCTTTGCCGATGCCTCGCCCGGCTACCTGCTCAATTCTGAAGCTACGAGCGCGTGCGCGTACTGCCCTTTCACGACCGGCGATGACTACCTCTCAACGCTCAACATCAGCGCCGACGACAAGTGGCGCGACTTCGGCATCTTCCTAGTATTTGTGGTGACTAACTGGGCGCTCGTGTACTTCTTCGTGTACTCGGTGCGCGTCAGGGGCTGGAAATTTGGCTTCGGGCTGCTCTTTGGTGGCTTGAGTAAGGTGATGAAGAAGGTGACGGGGCTGTTCTCAAGGAAGAGTGGTAGAGATGGTGACGAGCAGTAAATCAGCCCAAGGAAAGAAAAAGGTGAAACTGATGTGCTGCGAAACAGCAGGGCAGAGGGAAGAAAAACCCATGGAGTGGGAAAAGGACAGTCAGACGCGGAATTAGGCATCATTGAATTGGACAGATGCCGCTAAATGGGTTCGGCGTTTTTTGAGAAGCGTTTTATCCAATTCGATACAGTAATGAAAGGGCGTCCTGGAATTGACATAGATTGGGCAAGAGATATCCAACATGGCTTAGAGAACTCTAGATACTTCACAACAATTTCTGGAGTTACGGATAATAAAATCGGCAAACAGCCCACTGGACAAGCTTGCCATGAGGTTAGCAATTGTTTGCTCTGTTTGCTTGGTTTGCTCCTTGTTGCTACCAAGCCATTGCTCTTTCCGGATTAGGTTTAGCTTAACTCTCTTGGCACACCACCACTCGCAGCCGAAGGTAGCGTGAATTTGTTTTTTTGCTCATGTCATGGGTGGTTGAAGCTATCGTCCGGACGAGAATGTGGAATTAAAAATTATACATACACGTCCGGACAGTAGCTTCAACTACTTACGCGTTGCTTTTTTTATAAAACAAAAAAAAACAAGGAACAAGAAAAGAAAGGGCTGAGGCATACCGCCTAGGACCCTACTATTCTTCACACTAGCCTTCGGCTGTAGTACCCCTATGTCCAGATATTTGAACAGCATCATCACATCTTAGTACTCATGCATTGACTCCGCTGCTAATTCATGCAGCTTCATTTGCCTGTTGCAAACCATGCTAATGGCAATTTCTTGTGGATATCTCATCCTGGATATCTCATCATCTAATTGTACACTGTGCACTAGCTCCCCGGTCAATGATCTTGTGATACCCAGACCAAAATTGTTCCATCCCTAGTTCAGCTCGGCGGCCAGCAGAAGAGAAAAATCCCAGGAAAGAAACGCAGGATCGAAGGAAACGATTAGAAATCTTAAGGTGCTCATGCACCATGCTAGAGCCAGAGTAAAGAATGCCCCATGGCCGATAGGGAGAACTCTGTGGAAAAAAAAACCTGTGCCGAAAAGGAAAGCTTGTAGTGATACACCGAACCATGCCTCGTTGCTGATGATATAACCGCGAGTGCCGAAAACTCTGTTGCGCCATGACCGCTTAATAGAAAACCAGAGTACCCTCACCAACGCCATTTAAGCCTGAGTAATGAGTGTCTGAGGTAGAGGACCGGGCGTGGACTGCCGGGCTGACTCTTCAGCCAGACTGACGCCACCATCATCATCGACAATACTGCTGTTGGAACTGGAAGAGCACGTAGGCGCAGGCGTGGGAATGCCTTCGCGCATTATGGTGCTAGGAGCCACGGCCGAAATCGAGGTGTTGCGCGGGGAAAAGAAGGATCCTGGAAGACTGAGACCGGAATCCTGCATATTCTTGAAGGACTTTGTGGAACGAGCGACTGGAAGGGTGACTGCAGAACCATCAGAAGAGGAGTCGCGACGTTTGCCGAAGACGTGTTTGACTGCGAGCGAGACGCTGTTGCGAACGCTTCGGCGGAAGGAAAAGTCGTTGAAGTGCATACTTTCGTACATGCCCAGGTCGTTCACTGGCTCGACTTTGTAGAAGGCTCTGGCTTGGGCAGACTCGCGGCTGCGGAACTCATGGGCGGAGTCGGTGGTCCTCCAGGTGCGGATACTGTCTGCGGGATCGCTGTCTGCAGGCTCGATGTCCTCGGGCTCGCTGTTCTCTGAGTCGGTAGGAATTGAACTTTCAACCAAGGGGGGAGGGGATTTCATGCCTATATTGCGCATGACTTGGACATCGCGGACAGGCAGGGCAGAAATGTCAGCCAGCCGCAGAGGCTTCACTTCTCCATTGAACACGGCATCGAAGGACTCGAAGGCACGGCCCTGGACATATTGGTGAGTGGTGGATTGCTCGCAGCTCTGGGAGGACTCGCTTACCCTAAAGTCACCGCGGCAAGACTGACAGCACTTGTACCTGCACCTAGGGTGGACGGTTCTCGCGTGCTTGGCGCGCTCCTTGGCCACGGTGGTGGCACTGGCAGACGAGAGCTGGGTGCGGATTTCTTGGCGCACCAAGTTAGCAATCAAAGTGGGTATGTCCACAACTTCCGACTGCTCGACATTACCTTGGGCGACCTTGTCGGGGCTCTGGCTGTTGATGGTATCCAGCACCTTCTGCTTCTGGGAAATGAGGCGTTCGATCTGCTCAGGCGTGTAGAGGCCATTTTCAGCCTGGTCGATGACGGACTGATGGAATTGGAGCGCCTTCATCACGCCAATGCGGTCGGAGGGATCGCATGCATCAACAGCGGACTGGCGGCCCTTGACGGCAGTCCACGGGTCGTCGCCCTCGTCATAGGTGCATTGCCAGACCCAGCCCAAGGGAGACTTGCGGTTGCAGTTCTGGCAAGTTGCGCCGTAGGCGCGGGTCATGTTGACGTGAGTGCATTGCGGCGTGTAGGGAGCGCGCGGCGGCCTAGGAAACTGCGACACGTCCGGAGTCTTTTTGGGCATCTGGTGGCGCAGTCAGTAAATTGCTCTCGAGTGAGGTCGCGTGATACGCACCTCCTGCGCTGGCGGCGGCTCGGGGTCAGGGTTGGGCGAGTCAACGCCCGGAGGCGGGTTGTTGTGGATGGCAGGCATGGCGGTGCGAGCAATTGGGCTCAGAAGATCTGGGGCGGCGTGGTGTTGAAGCGCGGCAGCAGATGATGGCAGAAGAAACGGTTGTGTGTGGGAGAGTGTGTCGCAGAGTCAAACAATGGGCTTGTCCATTCTGGAGCTTGCAAAGGAATGGCAGCGAGCGGGTGGCGGAGGAGAGGGAGGGAGTGGGCTGGTGTTGTGAGGGAGGGATCTTGTGAGCTTGTCTGATGTTTATGATAGGCAGGAGCGACGTGTGGCCAGCGCAGTTGAATGCGCGACAACAGCAGCAGCCGCTCTCACCGACTAGTTGAGTCCGCAGGGGTGTCGGAGGAAATGAAGTGAGGTAGCAAAGCAATTCTTTTTGTCTTATCCAATTCCGCATCTCTTATCGCAATTCGGCATTCCAGTCCCGCGAGCATTGACAGCACCGCAACCACGACCCCAACGCGCCGGCGCCCCTCGCTCGCATCGGCCGTCGCCGGCTGCGCAAACAGCGTCGCCCGACCTCGCGACGCCAGCCGGTCCGTTCGGCGCCTCTTCGCCAGCCGTTTGTCGCCTGCCAGGTCTCACGAGAGCGCGCCGATCATCAGCCGTGCGGGAGAGCAGACAGGAGCAGTGTGTTTGGAGCGCACTCGGCGCGGCGGGCGGATACCATCGGGCAGAGCTTCGAGGTGGCCGTTGGTGCAGGGAGATGAGGAGTGAAGTTTATAGGCGATGAGTGGTTTGTTGGCCTTCCCCGCATTGGCGCCATTCGATTTGCCGTCGCATCGCGCCAAATCCCGAAGGCTGGGGCGCCTGCCTGCCTCGGCCGCCGCCGACAACAGCTGCTCGCCCGGACAACAACAACACTCCAGTCCTCCTCCACCGCGCCGCCCCAGCTCTCCCGCCTGCCGTCGCTTCTCCACTCTCGCCCCTGGCCGCCCATTCCTGCGCCCGCTGCACCCGCCATGTCGGTCAAGTTCGAGAAGGAGTCCGTCAGGACCACTACGGGCACCTCCGCGCCCATCCCGAAGGGCGGCAAGCACGACGATCTGGTCCACGACGTCGGCGAGGCTCTGACCCGCGGCGGCGGCGCCAATGGCTATCTCCAGGTGCGCTGAGCCTCTCGCACCTCACTCACTGCAATCGCCGCTGATGTTTACCCTTGCAGGCCTATCTCAAGCAGCTCCAGAGCAACCCGCTGCGCACCAAGATGCTCACCTCGGGCACCCTGTCCGGCCTGCAGGAGTTCCTTGCCTCGTGGATCGCTCATGACCGCAACAAGGACGGCGGCTACTTCACCTCGCGCGTCCCCAAGATGGCCATCTACGGCGCCTTCATCAGCGCCCCTCTCGGCCATGTGCTCATTCACATTCTTCAGAAGCTGTTCCAGGGACGGACGAGCTTGAAGGCCAAGATCTTGCAGATTTTGGTCAGCAATCTGGTCGTGCGTTTCCCCGTTGGACCCTGCGCCGTTACTGCGCGCTCATCTCGCTGATCATTCCATCCTTAGGTTTCGCCCATCCAAAACGCCGTCTACCTGACCTCCATGGCCGTCATTGCTGGTGCGCGCACCTTCCACCAGGTGCGCGCCACCGTCAAGGCTGGTTTCATGCCCGTCATGAAGGTTAGCTGGATCACTTCGCCTATCGCGCTTGCTTTCGCCCAGAAATTCCTGCCCCAGGAGACCTGGGTGCCTTTCTTCAACATCATTGGCTTCATTATCGGAACCTACGTGAACGCCCACACCAAGAAGAAGAGGCTCGCTGCGCTCAGGAGAAAGCACTACGGCGACAGCCGCAGCACCGTTGGCGACCGCGACGAATACGGCAGGCCCCGATACTAAACGGCCGCAGACCACTGTTCAGCGCACATTTTACCAGCAAGGCGTCTCTAATGGCCAAAATAGAAGTATTTCAGGTCTTGCGCTCCGGTTCCGTTGCCTCCGAGGTGGGCGAAGTCGGCGGTTGGCAGCCGCTCGGTAAAGACCGGGGGTGGTGGACTTCCGCCAATTGACCAATCGCACGTGTTCGGCATCCCATCTTTGATATGACATGGCGGATGAAGCTGTAAATTTTCATGACTTTCCTACTTATCCCTCCTTGGCTGGAGGTACCTCATTTATGAGCAGTCTAAATGATATATCCCCACTGCGTTTCTCTTTTCGTTGGACTCAGAAGACCTACGCTTGCTGCACTCTTTTCGTCTCTCCATAACTAATACCGGCGTTACTTGTCGCACGGCTGTCTGGTCATTCCAATTGGAGCGTCACTCCGTTCTCCGGTGATTCGTTTCTGCATAACTTGTTTTACAGAGAGGTGCAACATGACTTCATTCCCAGATCATCATGATCAAGTTCAGCTTGGTTTGGGGTTTGTAAACTCCCAGACTCTGCTCCCACGTGGCTTACCGTATCTGTCTATAGGTGCTGGCTATCGGACGTTTGTCCTTACAATCGAAATGCTACGAAGCTGGCAAGCCATCTTGGTTGACTGCAAAGTTTGATAAGAGCTCGAAGTCACACGAGTTTGTGCACAAACGGAAGTGTGGTAACATGTCTAAACTATCAGGCAACGCACCCGGATACTCTGTCAAAAGAGGTAAGTCTACATTCAAAACGTAGACCAAGGCACCCTAACAGAGGGAGTGTACAAATACTTGCCAGCTGCTGCATCAGTGTGCCCAGCGGCTCATGATTTCCAAGCACTACGATACCTCGCAATACTATGGAGTCGAATTCTTTCCTCAACTCCTTTTGGGACGAGTCTGAATCTTCTCTCGTATCGTCAACATCAACCTCATCCGATGGAGGCTACGGAGTTGCATCAGGCTTCCGATACCGGAGTGCAGCCAAAGCGAAACGACGTCCGCTATCACCCTCAGCAATCTCAACGCCGTCAGCGGGATCTACAACTGCCAAAAATCACCGTCTGGACTCCAACTCCAACCTCAACCCGAAACCTGGCACATGGAACAGCGACTACGCTGTGGCGCACCTGCTTGATCATCTTCGCACCTTTTCAGCACCCGTGTCCACTCCGAAGCCAATCGCCATCACCTCATCCTCTTCCACTCTTTCTCCTGGAGAAGCAATCACTAACGCCCGCACCTACCCCGTCTCAGCTCATGCATGGCGTTCATACCCATCGCTAATATTCAGCTCGCTCAGTGTCTCTGTCTTCAATGGCCTATTAGACGAACATGTTGTGGAACTAGCCTGGAAGAGCTTGGATAGGCAGGTCAGCGGGAGAACCGTGATCATTGGAGGACCAGAGAAGAGGAGCGAACAAAATGATGGAGCTGCAGAAAATGAAAAAATGGGGGGTGAGGAAGCCAAGGTGAAGATTGAGCTGAACGCTGTGGCACTGCAAGGTGCGAACAGGGACGAAATTGTAGGGACGCTGTTGCATCACATGATCCATGCGTACTTGCTCGTTGTTTGTGAGGGTGTTGGAACATGCCCACGCTATGGAAACGCTGGGTGTGGAGGAGGGGATTTAGAAGGAGAAAGGGTGGGTGATGGTGGCAACGACGATGACCGTCTTGCCCACGGCAATGCTTTCGCCGCTATCTTGTGGGAGATACGGGCCCAGGCCGCGAAGCATGAAGCAGACGACGATAGGCCTCTACCCATCGGCTTCGGTCACAGGCTCCCAAGCGCTGTCTGCATAGACGGCCGATCTCACAAATCCGTCCGGAATTCTCGCAGCATCAAGCACGCCAACAAGACCATCGCGAGCTCCGAGCAGAGCCAAACCCCCTCCAGCTCCAGAAGCAGCGGCACTGACGGCACTGGCTTTCCCTCTCCCAACTGCCGTTCCCTCAAGAGCACTCACTGCCCTATCTCCGTGCCCATCATTACCCTGGACTCCGCCTCCAGCTGGTACACGACTGAGTGCGCGCCCCTCCTTGCCGCGCCTGCCTGCATGCGCCGTAGCAACTTCTACGCCTACTCGTCCGGCGGCAACCTTCTTCCCATCCCTTACAATACAATGGGTCTCCAGGCGTCCGCATACGTTACCTTCATATACGATAGCGACAAGCCCATTGGCGTGCTCCGCGCCGTCATCCAGCGGTTCGCGAGTCTGCGACTGGATGTGTTTGCAGACGGCAGGCGCTGGGTTGAACTGCCACGCACGGGGGTGGAGAAAGGGGAATTGAACGCTTTGATGGCATTTCTAAAGAGCAAAACGTATCTTCCGGTGCTGAGATCGCGGAAAGCAGCAAGAGAAGGACCAGGAAAGTGTGAAGGAACAGAGGGCGGTTCGTGCCTGAAAGCACCTGTGATAAAAATCGAGGACAGGGCTCGCCGCCGCCACCGCCGTCGCAAAGGTCAAGGTGCCCGAACGGATGCTCGCGGCATCGACAGCGAGAGCAGCGACGATGAAGAAGACGGCGGCGATGATCAGGAGGAGCATGAAGCGTGTGCCCACCTCCGCGATATCCGCGTCTATCGCCTCGCCAGCGCCATCGGCTTCTCAGAGCTTGCGTCTTACGCGATCAGACGCTTGTACACCCGTCACGCCTTGTCCTCAGACGAGGACCCAATCACGCTGCTCGAAGCCATATATTTCTCCGACGATGGCGGCGAGGTGCAGCCGTCGCAGCAATTGCGCACTTGGTCCCGAGCTTTCCTATCCCGCCGTGAGGACGGGTCGAGCATGGTTTCGAATGTAGACAAGTTACAGGCGCACCATCGATGGAGAAGGCGGTGGAACGCGCTTCTAGCTAGGGGTGGCCAGCAGGGACGATCACTACTTGAGGACGTAAGAGCGGCCTGCATGAAAGATGCGGCGGGAAGACAACAGTGGTGGGGACGACAGCGGCAGCCTCAAGGCATGCGATATGTGGGCTGTCATCGGGAAGGGAGGTCTTGGTACGGACACGATCTAGCGGCTAAGAGCTCAGACAGTTCATCCGCATCAACCGAGAGTTCTGATGGAAACAATTCTGCAGATGCGAGGGGAAGGTGGCAAGAAAATCGGTTCAGCTACACCACGAAGCAAGAACAAGGGTTCACTCCACCATCACCTCCAATTCGATATGATGGATATGCCCCGCATTTTCCAGGCTGGTGGAGTGGCCATCATTATCTTTATCCCTCTCCATATCCATACCCTTTCTCATTGTCGCCATCGCCTGCTCCCCTCTTCCAGTACTATGCGGCTACTCAGCCATGTGAGTCGTCATGTCAGCAGGCGCAGGCGCAATCCCAATCAACACGCAAAGACAGCGCGCCTCAGACCGGCGACGCGGCCTCACTTGTGGCTGCCGCGGCTGACATGCCAGCCACAATGTCTTCACTGTCGACTGAAGATGCCACAAAGAGGACCTGCGCAGCTGCCAAGGGAAACAAGGAGAATGAGCGTCAAGGCGAATCTTCGCAGAATACTACTAGTTATGGGACTCGCAGACGCAAAGCACAGGCAAAGTGCAACACAGCATGTGAAAGAACGCCCCCGCGGAGGCGGCGGCACTCAGCTGTGACGCAAACATTGTGGTGAGACGAAAAGGTAAAAAAAAAAAAGTCTGAGAAAATCCCCTAGATGGAGCACCAATGTGGAGACGAAAACCCAAAGTCAAGCCTGGTAGATTGGTGAACTTTTGACGAAAGCAATAGGTGGTACTCGCGATGGTTATCCTGGGGAGCCTTGTACTGGGAGAACCCGGTAGAAACGGTAAAGGTTCGCTATTGCCGGAGGACAGCCCTAAATGTTGTACCTGGAGTCCTTCCCATGCTTCTTGAATAGTGCCACTCCTTTGATTTTTCGAGCTTGTGTGTGGGGCGCTGAGACCTACCTGGGTAGCACGGCTGGGGCATGTGTCATTTTCTTTTTTGTTTCCTTCCGCGCAGGCACAAACAAACCCGCATGAGGCCTGTATCACAGATTCGCAATAAGCACCGAGCAAAGCCCTTAAGAGTGGAGTGATCATGGACACATGGGCGTGCTGTTCGAGTTATTGCTTTTGTTCGCTTCAACTTAACTGCATGCAAAACGATTAGCGTGCGGGAAAGTTCAAAAGCATCAATCCTGCAGAAAGTGGAGCTAGGAACCTGACTTGCGTTGATAAGCGCTGTCGAGTGGACGTCCTGCGATGCAAAGGTGACATACATGAACGCCACATTCTCCGGTTTATTCTTGTGACACGAGCGGCATGTGGGTAGCGGGAAACGATGAGCCGAGCGCACACCGTCCGTAAGCCCTATCCCACACTCTCTCACTCATGCTGGCGCGTTCCGATACGACAGCCGGTACGTCGAATCCGGAGATGCCGTCAGATCAACTGAGGCGTGGGTTTCACAACCCGAGAATCCATGCCTGAGGCGCGCCAGTGAATGTGTCCAGTAAACAGTGTGCTACCATGAGCATATTCTTCTAAATTGTGGATGGTTTTGGGGTCTTAGCGCTCGGAAAGAGTCTAGGACATGCTGTGGTCACGGAACGCGAAAATATTGCTGTTCATCCCTCGCCTTGTGTACTTCGGTAGGTTCCGGCAAGGAACGGTTATGTAGGAACGAGGCCGATGGGTGTTGATCGCCACTCTCCTTCCCATTTTCGCCAGCCACCTAGACGTGGCTGAACCTTTGCGTCAGCGAATGGGTGCCCCGGGGAATCCGCACTGTTGCTAAAAATGTCAACGACTGGCTCGCTTCGACGAGGAAACGCGGGAAAGGAGGTTGGGTGCCCGTACATGGCATCGCGCATCTCTTCATCTGATTGGGACTCAGGCACGGCTTCGTTTTTACCAGGGGGCTCGCTTGACATCCCCTCACTCTCGGATTGAGCTTCGGGGAGGCTAGCCTCGAGAATCGGTAGCCACTCGTCCTGGAAGTCATCGTCTCCTTCCAAAAGCAACTCCTTCGCGAGCTTCTTCGACCAGTAGCTCGGCTGGGTCATGCACGCGGTCATGGTGGTCGCCCACAAACGCTGGCGCACGTCGTATGAGCAAGACGATGACCACGCCTCGCTAGTCAAGACATGGAGGATCCAGTTGTACATGGCCGCCTTGAATGCATCGGACTTGACATCAGCCTTGGATGGCTGAAGCATGTACCGGAACATGTGCTCGACTAAAGTCTCAACATATTGCAAGTCGGAGTTCAGCCGACACAGCAGACTGTCCCAGATTAGGTGCGCACCGTCCAGGGAGTCGCCAACCCTGTCGTTGGTGGTCAGCTTCGCAGGCTGGGGACATGCAGAGAAGCCGCGCGGTACCCACCTGGCATCTGAAGGCACAATCATCCGACCAGCAAGGAGAAGCGAGATTACCTCATCACGGAGCAGTCCTGGTCTCTTCGCGGCCCCTAGTGCAACAATCTGCTCGATGGCTCTTCCACTCGAGCGGGCCTCTACGCCCGATTTCGGGCCGTCTCTTTTGATTTCCTCTCGCCTCCCACTGACGAAGCTTCTGAGGATGCGGTGCAGGCTGGCGCGAGTCTCAGGGCCCGCGACCTGGTCCCGGTTCTCCGGCGGCGGCGCCGGCAGAGAAGCATCGAGCTTTGCCCAGTAATGGTGCCACAGCCACTGCAGCGCCTGCTCGGTGGCCATTTGCAGCCTGCGCAGCGAGGGCAGGTCCTCGTGCGTGGCCTCATGGCGCAACTCGACGAAGCTGCTGGGCATGTCCAGCTCCGCGGCCATGTCGTACATGGACATCTTCTTGAAGCTGTTCTGCACCGTGTCGCAGAAGCCGGTGACGAACCTACACGACAGGCTGCATCAGACGAGGCTTGGTCGAAAAGGGAAACATGTCCACGGGCGAGTCAAAGGGGGGGCGGGCTCCAAGAAGGAGTGTCAAGCGCGTACCGGTTGAAGGCGGCGCAGTAGGCATTGCGGATGGCCAGCACCGAGGCGCGTTGGGGATCGTCGTGGAGCGTGGCATCGACAAGCTGGGCGGTCGAGTCAAGAGCATGCGGCAACGGCGCTCGTCTCTTCCACGCGGAGATCTGCCTTGGGGGTGAGCACGGCGCCGTCATCATGCAGCGGGGGCCAAGCAGGGGCCGCGCACCAGGAAGACGGCGTTCTGGCGCTCCTCGGGGCCGGCATGGTACAGGCGGGCGCGGAGGGCGAGCAGCTCGGCGTGATGGCGCCAGGGGGTGATTTGGAAGCGCGGCATGGCGGCTGCGAGGGGGATTGTCGAGCGCGCGCGCACAAGGCGGCAGGAGCGATGTGACCAATTTTGCGTGGTTCGGGTTCAAGCTCAAGACAGGCGTTGGCGGCTCGCTGGCGGGCCGGGCGGTCGTCAGGCGGGTGTGCTGTGCTGAATTAAAGAAGGCGCTAACGATTAGTCCGGCCGCGCAGCTCGCCTTCCAGACGCAGATTGCACTCGCTGGAGGATGCCGCGGCGCACGCCCACCCCTCCCTGTCCATGCTGCCCGCCCCGCCACAATGGATGCTGTTTCGCGTTGTACGATTTTTCCTGCGCAGGCACACGACCGCGCCGCCACCCCTGTCCGCCCGGCCCCCGCCATACGCAGCCCGCCTTTTTCCAGAGTCAGATGCAAATCCGACCGGCTGGAGACATCAGCCAAGCCTCAAGCCGCGGGCGTTGCACATGGCCAAAGCCGTCCCGCTGCCGCAACCAGACCCACCCTCGCAGCAAACTATCATTTATTTTTTTTTTGGCTCGCTCTGAGCCCTGCCCTGCATGACCTACCCCTACCGATCGAAAGCGTTCGCCGCTCCACCCCGTGCCGCAGAAAACATTCCCGAGCCGTGCGTGACACGAGCGCCCACGTCAATCCCAGACACCGCTGCCCGCGCCGTTGCTTTTTGGCTATCGTATTGTAATTTTGATTTTTCGCTATCTACCAAAGTGCACATGGTGCCGCTGGTGGGGTATCTCTAAATGCCGTCCAAGCCGCCAAGGGTTCCTGGAGGCGAGCGCGCGGACGAAAGTCCCGAAAACGCGGCTCTGAAACCAGCGGATACACAAAACGCCAATCGCTATGCTATGCTATGATATGTAGTCATCATTCCCGTGCCCTAATACTGAGCTTGCAGCCAGCCGTATCCCAGCCCAGCAACCGGTGCCGTGGGGCGCTTCAGCTGCTGGTACCACCATTCATTCGTGTACGTTTCTTCGTCCTCAAGCAGGAAGCTCTGGCCAGAGAGATCTGCTGCCGGCATTACTTGCGCTGCTGCCTGCAGCGTCCAGCATTGCCTGTCATCCGCCTCTTCGACCGCCTTGGGCGGCTCTGGCGCCTCCTCGACGCTCTCCTCATCCGAGCTGTCGTCGTCGTCGTCCTCGGCATCGTCGTCTTCAGTCTCTGGGGGAGGCTGCCACGTCTCCTCGAGCTTGAGCCCTTTGCCCAGCCCTGACGTCAGCATCGACTCGTAGCTGGGTGGGTCGTAGAGGCCCATGCCCACGAGCACGTTGCCGGACTCCTTGGGCGACTCGTCTTCCATACAGTCGGCGTCGGCTTCCTGGTCTTCTGACTGGGTCTGGGGGTGAGAGGTGGGAGCGTCGGTAGACATCCAGTCTTGCTGGGATGCGACAGAGGCCATCTCCGGAAATGATGTAATTTGAGCAGAGGGCTCATGGTAGTCCGGGAAGGGGGAGGTGTCCATCGAGGTGTCGTTGTCGAGAGTTGCAAGGGGAAAGGCCTCTCGTTTGCGTTGTGCCAAGGCCGAGAGGTAGGCCAGTGCGGAGGTTGAGGCGTAGCCGGAAGCGGGACTAGGGTATGCTGACGTCCCATCCGGGAAACCGTAGCCAGCATCGAGGTCATTGGCTGGACTCGAGTTGAAGTAGTTGGAGGAGGACGGGTGCCAGCTAACGGGACGGTTCGATGACGAGAATCCGCTCGTAGTGCTGCTGTCTTGCATCTCCTCGTCGCCCGAGCCGAACATCATGTTCCAGCGGTCCTCCAGCGTGACATAGCGCTTCCCGGCCGAGGTGGTCTTCCGTCTCTCGAGGCCGGTGGGACTGCTGTGGATGCTGCGCGGCTTCTCGATGCGAGAAGAGCGCTTGGAGCTCCGGTAGGAGGAGAGGGGAGAGGTGGAGGTGGTGGAGAGTGGCGATGTGGTGTCCATGCTTGGTGTGTTTGTGTTGGTAGGGTGGTGTGTCCAAAAGGCCTTCGTAGGAGCAGGCAGGCCATGGATATAATTATATGGGATTGATGCCAACATACGTGTTCGCCGGGACAAGGGGCTGAGGCAGCTAAAAGGATCGTTAGGTCGGGAGCCCGCTCAGACAGACGAGTATTACTCCATGTGTCAAGGTTCGGTGGGTAGTATACGGCGGCTCGTGGGCTGTACTAGGGTCATGTACCCTCGGTGGAACTCCCGGTTCACAGCTGGGGCCAGGCCTGCGCAGGTCGCCCGTTCTTAGCGGAAATCCCATTTACGGGGATGGCAGCAGACGTGCGCATCGTCAAACCGACTAGCTGGGCGCAGGTAGCCGGTGTGGCACGGGCTGGGGGCTTGGACAGGGCAAGCTGATCTTTAATCATGATCGTGGATGCAGCCGACGAAAAACTAACGACAGCCGAATCAGAGGGCCAGCCGGGGAACAGTGCTAAAGCGGGCAAGCGACGGAGGCGGCTTGATTGCGCGGGTATGTATCATGGCGCAACGGAGCTCCTTGCCGCACGCGCTGGTTGGAACCTGGACGCTAGGCAGGAGGCGCGAAAACACCACCCGCGCTGCGGGTAGGGATGTGCGACGGAAATGGGTAGGGTGACGAGAGAGCCGACGGCTGCACGCCGCGCAGTCAGCTACCGACCTACCGCATTCGACGCATGACGATGGGGGCCGTGGCTGGAGGGAGCGGTCAATCGCGGCGCGGTGGCACTAGGCTTGGACGATGTTCGAGCAAGGACGATCGCGCATGAGGCTCGGCAGGCCGAACGGCCTGCCCGCGCGCCCACGCTTTAGCCGCGCTGGTGCTGCGAAAGCGAGCGCCGTGATGTGGAGGGCCAGGGCCGGGGGCGCGAGCCAATGGCGCGCGCGCGATGAGCCCTAAAGATCTGTCCGGCGGCCGGCAGGGCGCCAAGGGGTCTTTGGCTGCTGGGTCTCGCGGCGCGCGGTATTGGTGGTGGTGGTGGAGTTGGCTGGGACGCCGGCTAGGATCCGGGGCTACGACGCTAGCAGTAAGCGTTGCCATTGGACCTATGATAATTCTGGAAGCCTGCGCGACAGGGATGTTGCCTGCGCGCCAGGCTTCTGCACCGGGCCTTAAACCGAGCGCGGTCCTCGTCGGGCTGGTGGTGCAGGATCGCATCCTTGGCTTGGGGTTGCAACGGCCGTGCCACACGCTCGACGGAGATTGAGACGGCCCTTGCCGGCGCTCAGCCGCTGCGTGCGAGCCCACGGCTGCTCGGCTGCACGGCGGCCCAGGCGCCTTCGTCGCTGCGAGTGGAGTCTGAAACGGCGAAAATGCTGATTGATTGAAAGCCGCACGTCAGACGGATCAGCCGCCGTCATGTCACTCCGCCGAGCGGTGAGGGGCGACGCTGCGGAGAGCCTCGCCGGGCGCAAGTCCGCGCTCGCCGGATCAGGCGGCGTGCATCAGCATCAGCGCGCAGCGGGAGCCCAGGTACGGCGTTTCACTGGCACGTCGAGATGACTGCTGGAGACGGCCGATGCCGCCGAGCGCAGCGCGGTGCCGTCCCACGGGGTGGCTTGCTGATGACTCTCGTACATACATATGTACTCCTGGTGGACGTGAGCCGTCGAAGCGCCGAAAGGGCTTCCCCTGGCGCGCACCCGGCCGTCGATCGGCCTGTGCAGCAACAAGCTGCATGGACGTGCGATCTGGGGCTCCACTGGAAGGCTGCTCGCTTGGCTTGCTCCTGTGTGCGCTGGCTGACAGGCTGACGCAAGGCGCCCGACCCGCCGCGTCCAGCACATTCCACCGTAGCGTGGTACGAGAGGCTAGGGAAGACGCTTGTTCTGGGGCTCGCGCGACCCATGCCCGCACCGCACTGGCAGGGTTTCCTGAGCGTGCCGCGACCATTGAGATCTGCAGGGTCGGCGGCCACAACTCACTCAAAACCCAGGGCTCAGCGCGGCCACGGCGGACGTCTGACTCTGCCTGATGTATGCCATCTCCGTCGCCGCGACGATCCAGCGTCATGGCATGGCCCAAGTGGGACAGCCGGCGGCGGTTTCAGTGAAACGCTGCTGCGCTCCACCTCAGGAGGCGCGAGGCCGCCCTCGACGACAGGCCGGCAGGCACGCACGCACGCACACGCCCGGCGGGCGGCAGGCGGCGAGGCAGCTCCTGCGCAGCGCGAGCGGTTGCACCGCAGATGGGCAGGGAAGATGACGTACCGGCGGCGGCCACGGCGGCATATGACCGAACGGCAAGCAACGTGGCTGTGAGCGCGATGAAGCTCGCCGCGCCCGCCCCAATAGGCAATCCGCCCGAAAGTCTCCGCGCGCTTCCGTGCTGCTGCTGCGCAGAAGATGGATCGCTTTGGCGGTGCACTGGGGGCGGCCTGTGCCTCCCTTCCGCGGCACATCCCGGACGAGGCCCACGCCAGGAGCCACGACAGGCTTTAAGCCTCAATGCGGAAGTCGCAGGTCCAGACCTCGCCCAAGGGAGCAGCCCCGTCCCATGGCTAGCGTCATGTAAGAGGCGGCCACCGGCGCGAGTCATTCACCGAAGAAAGAAGTCGCTTCCTCCTGTGGCTCCAAACAGGGCTCCTCTTCTTCAACAAGTGCCATGCCATGCCTGCCATGCTGCTGCCCACGCGCGCCCGTTGATCCTCATCTTCCGCCTCGAACCTTCGACTTGCCGGCGCTCGACTCTCCTCCGCCTCTGACTGGCCGTGCCCCCGGACGCCGCCATTCGTTCGCTCCCTGCGGCACGAAGCGCGTCGCAAGGCCGGAGCCGTGGCTGCGCCGGCCACCAATAACCCACCCTCGCCCACGCACGTCGCCGCAACTCGCTGCCTGCCGGGCGTGCGGTCATTTGGTTAAGCATCGCAGCAGCAGCGTACGCGTACACCGGCACACGCGAGACCGCGAGCAACAGCCGCTGAGCAGCACGCGAATCCCAGATCCTTCGCCTGCCGATACGGTCGCCCTGCCCGGAGCACATCCTTTGTGGAGATTTTTTTTTTTAACACCCGGCGACGTCGTGTGCGTGCCGGTGACAGCATGGCGAGGGACGCCCCGACTGGTGTGCGCCGTACCCACTCGAGACGTTGCATGATGGCCAGACACACGGCTCGCATCCCGCAGAAGCGCTGATCTTCCAGCGTGCGACGGCTGCAAGAAATTTCCGCCGCTCAAGCCGCCGCCGCCGAATTGCGGGCGGAGCAGTCGCACGCAGACTTTAGAGCGCTGGTTGTGTCACGCACGGCTGACGCTCACTGGAAATATTGGTGCGGGTCCGCCATCGCTCGTCTCGTATGGGCTCGCATCAGGCGCTGCGTGCGGCCGAGAAGGACAGCGACCGTGCAAGTCGTTCCTTTTTGCCCGGCGGCGCCGGCGACTTGCAGCCATGCCACGGCGTGATTGGGCGAGGGCCAAGAGGACGATTCGCCGAAGTTAGCACTGCGACACGGCCGGCGCGACTTGAAGCTGCTGTCGGGCCTCTGCTCGCACACCAGCTGCGGAGGGGTCGAATGTTGCAAGACTAAAACGAGCCAACGTCGTATCTGCTGGCGACCGACGAGAGCGTCATTGATCTGACAGGGCGCAGCAGCCGCCAACGGGCACCGAACACAAACGGCCAGGCATACAACACAATATCAGCTGCGTTCGACATTGACAACCGGGCACAGCCGAGGTTTTGCCCCTTGATGGAACATAGCAAACCCCCAGGAGGGCAAGGGGGTGGCCGGCCGATCGCACACAGTAGTGGTGAAGCCACGCGGCACAGCGCAACGGAGACTCGGTCATGCTGCACCACGCCTTGTCTACTGCGGGCGGGCGGCGGTCGACCTCGCCCTCTCATCTTACACGTCGTGGGACGGCCGGTGTTCCGAAGCGCAATGCAGGCTGGGGCCCAGGATGTGTAAGTACACAGGAGAGGAGAGGGGCTGCCCGTCCTAGCGCGCGTACGCGGAGGCGCTGACAACCGTGGGCGTCCTCCGTACCGTCCGCAGGATTTGAGACGGGCCACCGCCAATCGCGCACCAGCCGGCTGCCTGTCGGCTGTTCGTTTAGTTCTTTTTCGGGCCTGACTCATCGTACGGCGCTTTACCTCGCAGCCAGCCAAGCTTCACCGCCACTGGCCGCCTGCGGCCCCGTGTGCCCGCCTGCCACCCATGGGACGAAAACGCTCGACATGCAGTGTGCAGGTGAAGATGGCTGCTCGGCGCCCACTCGCCGAGGGCCTCTCCTCGCGCCCGCGCCCGTCACGCGGCCCTGCGAGCCATCCCGGTCGAGATAGACGCACACACTCGTCGGGTCGAGCAGAGATCATCATGCTGCCGTCCCTCGCCTACCCCGCCCACAGCTGAGCACTAACGAGTGCAGCCCTCTCGCATTCCCGGCTATTTACCCAACACGCCGCCGGTTTCTCTTCGTCACCATCTTCTCAGCACTCCTCGCGATCCAGCTCCGAGATGCACGACAAGTCTGGCCCGCTGCTGTCGCCGGTGGCAAGACGGCCCGCACTTGCTCCTGTGCCCATTTGTCCGGATGCGTGCACCAGATGATCGCCCTGCTAGGCTGCGCCTCAGCCGCACATGCAATGTTAGTCCGTCTGAGTGCTGCCTGCGCTTCACGTCATGGCTTTGCTGCACCCGAAGGTGCAGCTGCTCGCACTAACTTGCAGCTCATCACATCCACCACGCTACTGGCCGTGCGCGAGGTGTTGAACAAAGCATCACGCCTTTCCTATCTGGGACTGCAATTCTGAACTTCCAGCATTGTGCTACATCCCCTCAGACGACCTACACCACCGCCCTGTGGTCGACGTGTCGCCTGCTCACTGAGCGGCTCAACAAAGCGCCCTAGCTGGCCTCACCACTGTTGTATCTACTAACACATCTCCGATCGTTCAACAACCCAGAGCAAACATCCCTGTCCACACGGGATCCTGTACCACGGTAATGCAGCGTTTCTCTGCTGCCTTGTGCTGCGGACCGCCCTCCAGATGAAGTCTGGCATGGGTGTCACAAGGGCCCTCGCAGGCTCGTCAGGAGCAAGTACCTGTAGCTCGTCCGGATCGTACATGGCCCACATAAGGATTCGCTTGGTCCTCCGGATCCGTACCTGTCTCCATGGTAAGCCCCTGCCTCGCTAGGGGTTCTGCTTCTGTTATGCTATGTTTAAGTTTGGGTGCTCGCCCACTCATCACGCGCAGCCGGCAACCATGCGGAAGCGAGTGCATTCGTCCTTTTTTCCTTCTACCTTGAGCCGTGCTGGCCCGGCCTGACCTCCTTTGGAATCTTAACAACCGAGGGAAATGAAAGCATATCTCTTGCGTATGAATGTGTCGCACGCGTCACGAGATGCACTATCCATCCGGGTCCCGCATCACTCCTGTCTCTAGCTGTTACAATACCCTTGACGCTAAGTAATTCCGTGAAGGGGGGATTTGCTCCTGCTTTACCACCATTTCAGCTCAGTAACAGTAAGGTAACGGATTATTTGCAAAAGAATTTGGGGATTGACAAGGCCATTACAAGTTATACAAGCCCGCACTATGGATAGAAGCGACCCAGCCATATCGAACCCCGCAAGCAGCTACTTTGGACCAGCATGGATATCAGAGTTCTTTAAGTGTCCTCTTTTGTCTACTCATATTCTTTGGCTCAGGATTCCAGTTTCCTATCAACTTTGATTCTTTCAGAGCTCGGCTAGTCTGGTGTCAAAAGGTTTTGTGAGGCAATACGGAACGTCTGTACCTCCACACCAACACGGCAACTAGACTATGGATTAACCTTTTTTATTCTTCTTCTTGAAACCAGGTGGATCAACACGATCCCGTTCTTACCCAATTGAGTAATTTACTGTTCGTCCGGCTTCCGAAAAACCATTCACAAAACACCCCCGAACCACTAGCGCAATGTTCGATGAATCAGCTAGACTTCATATCTTCGACTATTATCGTAGATGACACACTCCTTTCGTTAAATGTTCAAAACGACGTAGAGAAAAAAGTGGTAACCTTGCGTAGGGGGCATAGAGAGAAGATGGAGAGGAACTTATTATTATGGAACCGCGGTGCCCAGGAAAGCGCGGTGGGTGCTGGGAGTTCATAGAACACATTATTACGTATGGTCTCTTAAGGTACTCTACTAGTGATGACTAATTTGCAAGCCCTACGCCTTCTAAAGGCCCCTCATTATCTACCACCGTCGTTCCAGCTACGGGCTCCACAACGGCTGTCGCCCACTTGAAGACTAACGCCCGTCTCATCACTTCATTACTGAGCACCAGGGCAGATCTCTTCTACCCTCTACCTACCTCTGTGAGCTCGGTATCCACAAATTGACGGGTTTCTGGTACAATATTCCCAAGCGAGTCCTCTTCGCCCGTCTTACCATCTGCTTCTTCGTTTTCTAAAACCATCAATGACACTCTTCTCGTTTCCGATCAATAACACCAATTCTCCTTTCCTGTAACTATACACAGAGAAATGACGATTTACATTGGACTTCCAGGCTCTTGTCCTATCTTAAGCAGATGCGTCCCCTCAAATTTCCAGGATGCGTGCAGTGCCGCACACTCGTTGTGATAAGCTCTTATGGCTTCTTCTATTTGCTGCTAATTACTTAAACCCCTTCCCCTGCTTCACCCCCCATGGTTGATATTGTTGGCCCTTTCTTTTTCTACAAGTGGCAGGAAGGATCGTGCCTTCTTACCGTATATGCAAGCTCGGCACAACTTCACGATTCAGTCTCTTACTCACCACACCTTGAGCCACGAAAAGACCAGCCTGCCGAGCATGGCGTGGCTGACGAACCTTGTTTTTACTTGTCATGCGGGTCGGTGACCGGCAACGCGGCCCAAAGACCGGATTAGACAAGTGCGATAAGGTGGTTCGGTGTCAGCCTTGGGTCGGTGCGGGATCGTGACTTCGAGGGGTGGGTAGGACAGGGGAAAGGGCGAGAAACGAAGCGAAGGATCTGCGAAGTTGGGCTGAGAAATGCACGGTGCGCTGCGGTTTGATGAGGAGGGGCGGCGTCGTCAAATTTCGTGGCGTGGGTGAGTGAGCGAGTCGGCGGCTCATACGTGTTTTCGCTTCCCTGGTTGTTTACATGGATACTGCGGCCGAGCTATATGTGCACTCCCGGTCTTGGCTGTTGGGCCCTTTCACCGGTGAGTCACCGTGCTAGTGAAGAGAGTTTATCAATGCAACGCATTGCATTATTCTGGCTGTTAAGATCCAAAAGTCCCTGCCGCCGAGGTTTCATCCTGGAATGTACGTGGATGTACCTGGAACGACGACTCGGACCGCGCTGCACGTACACATATGCGCTGTAGTTCTGCAATAACGCGCGTCAATTGCATTTTATCTAGATATGGATTGCGTCATGCTGCATCGAGGTTCCTGACTGTATCGAGCTTTGCCCATTTGCTTCCTATCAGTGCGTAGGATGCTAGAGCGCTCTACAGCGAACGATTTCACCGGCCAGAAGCTCGTTTTCAAATCGGCACCATCTACTTAGTCATTTCGCATGCTGGTCTAAACCGTACTTCTTGCTCGGAATGCCGCTCAATAGACACCTACCTACGTCATAACGCTAAAATCAACCACCAAAGCGTGCTGAGTTAATAAGGATCATGTTCATCTAAGACACGTAAAGAAATTTCAGAGCCATCTCCCGCTTCCAGGGCATGGCGGGTAACAAGTCAATGAGATTTCCCCAGTCCTTTTCATTGGAAATTTTAGCATCCTATTCATATGGGCAGTTAATACTGTCCGGATGTATTTATATAGCTTCATTGTTTACATCCGCATTAAGCTATTTGTTTGAACTGCCAATAAACGAAGAGTGTAACGTCATTCGTGTAACAAAGAAGGCTTATATCTTCTGCCACCCGCTATGCGAGTAGCTGAGATTCAAGATTCGCATAGTTGCTAAATCCTGCATCCACATACAAGTGGGATTCAACTGTTCTCATAGGAGCGAAAAGTACAAGATCCTTCGCAGGAAACGTCCAAGAAAGAGGGAAAGCGTCCATCACTCAAATTTAATAGCCTGTGTCGACCACATTTTCAAATGAGGTATACAACCCGTATTTAAAGCTGGTATGAATTTTGAGTTGAGGGCGGGATTCTTTTTCTCCCTTCTTCCATACAATATAGTACAATGGTGCAGGCGACTGCACAACCACAAATCTACACTACAAGGACGTTCAGGTCCTGCGTGAACATGGAGCCCTCGATGAAATGGCTCGGATCCGATCAGAAGCAAGCGTTTACCTTCAAGCTGGAGCTTCCACATTGCATCCTCTTGCTCCTGAGGAAATACATGTCTGCGCTCATTGTCGGCTGCGGTGCCAAAATGCCCTGCTATCTCTAACAGGCAAATCTCAGAACTGCTAATGTCCCACCGAAGCGTTTGATTGCAGGCAGACTTAATTGCAGAGAAGCGCACGAGAAACCAAACCTCTAGGCGAACGGCGACCAGAGTTCTGCGCGATCTTGACCGTAACCAGGTCAGTGATCCGGCAGTCGAGCCTGTCCTTGTGTTCTTGCTTTTCCTTTCGCCTCGATAGACCTACTTTGGAGGTAACTAGAGTTTTTTCTGACTAAAAGCCCAATATGCTTTCCATGGTAGCTTCCAGTCAGTGGTCCTCAGCTTGGGGTTGAAGACGTCAAAGTCCATTTTCTGCAACTTCTCCAGCCAAAGTCCAGTTGCAACGGCGGGCATCAGGGCGCCAAATCCTTTTTCGACATCCTGTAGCTGCGCTTGAGTACCTGCGCTCAGTTGTTGAGGGCTGTACCGGTGCTCTTCTTCATGGGCATGCTCGAAGTCATGGTCAACCTCGCTGCCGGCACGCAAGCCGCTCAGCATTGATCGTGCAGTGATGAGGTGGTCGTTCGCTCGCGTGGCTACAGCAAAAACAGCATCACGAAGACCATCCGCATCCGCCCCATACCGCAAAACTTCTTCTTCCTTGACGCCCGCTTCAGCCATTATGTCCAACGGTAGCAGCACGGCGCCTTGTCGACCGCCAGGCAAGGCGCCTCCAAATGCTGCCTGGTTCGAGTGGTGATTCGGCGGCGGAGGAAATGCGATTAATGGAAGCCCGCGTAGAACAGTGGCAATACCGGTCGCCTTGCCAATGTGCGAGGCAAGGTGATCGGCCGTGATAGAGGCAAGAGGAAGCGCCTGAAGGGTCAGATACAGCAGAGTCGAGTATGTGTTTTCCGCGTACGACTCGAGAGCTGCGAGAGTGGCGAAAGGAGGATTTCCGAGCGCCTTTTCACGCTCAGAGACGATGCGCAAAAACCATGACTTCCCAAGACGGGCGCGGCCTTGAGTGCGAGCGTCTAGAGCTTCGGCAGCGTGCGCAAGCAACACAGCGACAGGCTCTTTAGGCGGGGACCCTTGTAAAGCACGAGTCACGGCATCGCGCCAGAACTGCATGCGCATGCGGCCAACGGTGGTGTTTGAGGTCTGGTCGGCAATGCGGGCGACATCGACGTTGAAAGCGCGGATGGCAAGGTAAGCATCGCGAGCGTGGGGAGGGATAAAGGTCTGCAGGGTGAAGGACGGCGAGTCGTAGTGGCTGGTTGCAGGCACGCGGTCAGCGTCCAATTGACGGATGAGAGCAGGTGGGAGGGCAGCTACCGCAAAAGATTGGCGCAGTATGCGCGGGCTTTGTCCAATTCAGCATGTGAAGCTGCTGAGGCGGCATATGTCCTGCGGCAGCTCCGGCAGAGCGTAGAGCGCGCAGGGCGCCATCCTGTCCGGCAGGAAGAGCGGAGGAGCGTCATAAGAGGAGGAGCGAAGCGTGCAGGGCGCGGAAGAGAAGAGTAGCGACGTGGTGGAGCTGTAATGGCTTTTGCGCGACGGCGATTGGACTGCGCGACTATGACGTGTGGGCCGTGCATTAATAAGTCGGCGGCGCGTGAAGGCGCGTCGACTCGCTCGCCCGAACGCCGCGCGCTCCGCCTCTGCTCGACCATCGCCCAAAACGACGCGTCCTTCGGCGAAGCATGAGCTTTGGAGATCTCGACGAGCGCCCGGCCAAGAAGCGCCGTTTCTTCGTCGAGGATGAGCCCGTCCAGGAGCCCTCATCGCCGGACGACGTGCTCCCCGCTTCTGCTGAGCAAGACAACATCCAGAATGCAAGCACCCCAGGCTTCGACGCCGACCTATTCGCGTCGTTTGTGGGAGAAAGCGTCCCGGAAGATACCCTGAAGAGACTGCAAGAAGCTAGCGGCAATGACATCCAGCGCGGTAGGCACAAACACCCAGCCCTCGCTCCATGGTGCTGATTGTGATTCCCGCGCAGCTATCAACATGTATTTCGATGGTTCATGGAACGCTGCGCCCACCGCCGTGCCTCCTCGCCTCAGTGGCACCCTGGATTCCTTCGCTCAACCGAAAGACTCGCCTCCGCAGGTGAATTCTACAATAGATGATCCCGCTTCTGCTGTGCCTCAGCGACCTCGAGCAAGCACAACCATGCCAGACAAGCGATATATTGGTGCGTTTGGTGTCACCGGCTGGGCAACCAGAAGCGGAACCGGCCTGATCAAGTTCGGCGAGAAAGTGAACATCGAGCGTGCAAGGACTCAGCCGACAACGAAGCTTGGGCGCAGTGGCAAGAAAATACCAAACAAACGACAGGATATTGTTGTGCGTTTTACGAATGCGCGTGGCGAAGAAGTTGGTCGCTTGGAGAATGAGTCTGCCGCCTGGGTCTCCTCCTTGATCGACCAGAGAGTGTGTACCTTCGAAGGCTCATGCGTATATACCCCCGACAGGATACGCACCAACGATACCATCTACCTTCAGCTTCGAGCCTATTTGTTGAGAACTGTTTTTGATGCGGCCGCCTTCGTGAGGCCCGCCGACACGAATCGTGAATCTGCATTCTTTGAGGCCAAGGAAACCCAAGAGGAACGCAACCTACGCCTGCGCCAAGTGGCGATGGTGAAGCTGTTCGACGAAATCAACCTTCACCCCACCCGTGTGAACGCCCAAGCCGACAAGCATAAGCGCCAGGGATTGCTCAAGGCTGCCGAGATTGCGGAGAAGAACGAACAGCAGGGAGGTTCCAATCCAAAGTCTCAAAAATCATCCGGCAACGAACCTGGGACGCCGCCATCAGATGAGACCGAAGAAGGCGAGGAACTTGAGCAGGACCAGCTGGATTCTCTTTACAAGAAGGCGCAGTCTTTTGACTTCAATACGCCTGAAGCAGAACCTGCAAGCACTTTTGCTATGGACCTTCGGAAGTATCAAAAGCAGGCACTACACTGGATGATAAGCAAAGAGAAGGATAAGAAGTCCGATCGCAGAGAAATGTCGATGCACCCACTCTGGGAGGAGTACGCTTGGCCAACCAAGGACGTGGATGACAGTCCACTGCCTGAAGTCGCGGGTCAACCGGCGTTCTACGTGAACCCTTATTCTGGAGAGCTGTCTTTGGACTTTCCTGTGCAAGAGCAAAACTGCTTGGGTGGGATTCTGGCGGATGAGATGGGCTTGGGCAAGACTATTGAGATGCTCAGTCTGATCCATTCTCACACGGCCGACCTTTCTTCCCCATCCGACGGCGTCTTAGCAACAGTAAACGATCTTGCGCGCTTGCCCACTCGTTCATCATCAGTTGGAAGAGCTCCTCTGACTACGCTTGTGGTAGCACCCATGTCACTGCTCGCTCAATGGCAAAGTGAGGCCGAGAAAGCCTCCAAACCGGGGACTCTCAAGACCATGGTGTACTATGGCTCTGAGAAGACTGCTAATCTCCAGAAGCTTTGCTGCGAGGCAAATGCGGCAAATGCTCCAAACGTCATAATCACCTCGTATGGCGTCGTCCTCTCTGAATTCAACCAGGTCGCAGCCATGGACGGCAATCGTGGCTCCCACGGCGGTCTTTTCTCCGTGGAGTATTTCCGCATCATCCTCGACGAGGCTCATTTTATCAAAAACAGACAATCCAAGACTGCAAAGGCCTGTTACGAGCTTTCTGCCCAACACCGCTGGGTTTTGACTGGTACACCCATCGTCAACCGTCTTGAAGATCTCTTCTCTCTCGTGCACTTCCTGAGAGTAGAGCCCTGGTCAAATTTCTCGTTCTGGAAGACCTTTATCACTGTTCCGTTTGAATCAGGAGACTTCATCCGGGCTCTCGACGTTGTTCAAACAGTGCTCGAACCTCTTGTCATGCGCCGTACGAAGGAGATGAAGACTCCGGATGGTGAAGCACTGGTGCCGCTTCCGCCGCGAAAGATTGAGGTTGAATCAATTGAGCTTTCGAAGGCTGAGAAGGACGTCTACGACTGGATTTATACCAGAGCGAAACGGACGTTTGCTGCTAATGTTGAGGCTGGAACACTCATGAAATCTTACACCACTATCTTTGCCCAGATCTTACGTCTTCGGCAGAGTTGCTGCCATCCTCTACTAACCCGCAGCAAAGATATTGTTGCCGAAGAAGAAGATGCTGCTAACGCCGAGGACCTCTCGAAGGGTCTGGCTGACGACATGGACCTTGATACCTTGATCCAACAATTCGAAGCTGAAGACGAGAACGGGGAGCAGGACGCCAACCGGTTCGGTGCGCACGTCTTGAAACAGATTCAAGCAGAGCAGCACTCTGAATGTCCCATCTGCTCCGAGGAGCCGATGGAGGAGCAAGCCGTGACGGGTTGCTGGCATTCTGCCTGCAAACAGTGCTTGCTTGACTTCATTGAGCACCAACGTGACAAAGGAGAGATTCCGCGCTGTTTCACCTGTCGAGAACCCATCAACTCACGCGATGTGTTTGTTGTCGTGCGTCACGATAGCTATGATGAGGATGAAGCGCTCTATTCCTCACCCGGAAACTCTGGCAATCACACCCCGCGCATTTCCCTCAGACGGGTCAAATGCGCCGCCTCCGCCAAGATTGAAAATCTCCTCTTCCATCTCAAGAAGGTCCGCCGCGAGGAACCTGCCACCAAGTCGGTGGTTTTCTCGCAGTTCACTAGCTTCCTCGACCTCATCGAGCCCGCCCTCACCCGCGATAATATCCCCTTCGTCCGCTTCGACGGCAGCATGTCGCAGAAGGCACGTGCGGCCGTGCTTCAGGACTTCACCAGCCGAGCAAAAGGCGTGGTTTTGCTACTGTCGCTGCGCGCCGGCGGTGTAGGGCTGAATCTCACGGCGGCGAAGCGCGTCTACATGATGGACCCTTGGTGGAGCTTCGCGGTCGAGGCGCAGGCCATCGATCGCGTCCACAGAATGGGCCAGGAGAGCGAGGTGCTGGTAAAGCGGTTTGTGGTCCGGGGCAGTATCGAGGAGAAGATGCTGAAGATTCAGGAAAGGAAAAAGTTCATCGCCAGTAGCTTGGGCATGATGAGCGATGAAGAGAAGAAGGTGCAGAGGATTGAAGATATCAGAGAGTTGTTGAGTTGAAGTGCCAGGATCTGGGTGGTCGGTTCCAAAGGGTTGTGTCATATTGCTGCTGTACAGGCTAGGGATCTGGGGTATATTCTATTGGACAGTTGTTTCAAGCTGTTGCTGACTGGGCGGCTTTTTATGGAAGCATTTCTTGCACCAACGGACAGGGCTGTAGGCAGATTTTTATCGGAGTAAAATCACTGCTTGTTTTGATCACTTGAGCACATTAGCATGACGAAAAGCTTAGTTCGAATAAAGATATTCTAGATCTACAGTCCCCTCTTGCAGCCGACGGCTAGCGTGGATTTGTTTTTTGCTCATGTCATGGGTAGTTGAAGCTATGGTCCGGACGAGAATGTCGAATTTTTAATTCTACATACGCCTCTGGACGATAGCTTCAGCTACCCACATATGTTATTTTTCTAAGGCAGAGCTGGGGCATAGTCACACTATGTTCTAAAGCCCTGCTATTCTTCGCGCTAGCCATTGGCTGCGAGAGGGGGCTGTATCAAGACGCCGACAGCAGTACAGTTGGTAGAGGTTCTAAGATCAGACCATGGGGCGAGATGTAATTAGCTGAAAATAGCCCCCGTGAGGTTGACCCTTAAAGGAAAGCAGTCGGCTTGAGTGGGGCACGCTCGCTCGTCTGCAACGATGCTTTGAAGGCATAAAAGCACGGCCTCTTGTTGACATCTCGAGTCCAAGTTAAAAAAAAAAGCACCTCCATGATTCTGGACACAATATATTAAATCATGGTCTAAAGAAAGCGCCTGCCCTTCTAGCACCTTCTACACTCCTGACAAAGACGAGAACATGAGCGAGGTCGGCGCATCCGTTGTAGAGTCGACTATTAAGCTCTTCACTTTTTGTCGCTGTCTACAGAAGAAGTGGGAGACGATCTCAAGCTCATGGCTATGTGGCATTGCAGTGTTGGGTCCCATTGTGAATGTTCTCACGAACTGACCTTGGTACAGTGGCGCAGGCTCATCGGACTCGATGCGTCGTTAATATGAATTTCCAGCTGCGAGACTGAGGAAAGCAAAGCGAGCTCGGATTGGTGGGCATGAGGTGGAGCGACAAGGCGCGGCAAAACGTCGGAACGATCGAAAAGTTGCTCGAAATTTTTGGAGCGCCCGCACTGAAGCTTCTCACGACTGCGACGGCAGCTCCACAACACCACCACCACTTCTCACCCGCCAGCCTCCACGACCCTTCCCTTTCCTTCTCACTCGCTCTCAGTCGGAAAGTCAGTCGCTGCACAATGGCCAAGGACAAGGTTAAGGACAAGAAGGAGAAGAAGGAGAAGCGCTCCGAGTCCGACGGCATCAAGAAGAGCAAGAAGGACAAGAAGGAGAAGAAGTCTGAGCACATCACTGAGGCTCTCCTCGCTAGCGTGAGCGATGCCAGCTCTGGCGCCGATGTCAAGACCACCGTCGCTATCAGGACTGTCGCCGACGAGAGCGATGATGAGACTGCCCGCCCGGCCGTCGTTTCCGCCAACCTGGTTCCCTTCGCCGTGCCGCTGGCCGACGACAAGACGACCAAGAAGCTCTTCAAGACTGTGAAGAAGGGTACGTTGCCGCTCTACCTTTTGCGCAGGAAATCAGCGCACATATCCTGCCATAGAAGCTTGCAGCTAACCAGCCCTCGCACACAGCCGCCAAGCACAAGACGCTCAAGCGCGGCGTTAAGGAAGTCGTCAAGGCCGTGCGCAAGTCGCCGACGAACATGCCCGCCTCGTCGCTGATCGAGGACCCGTCCGCCATCGTCGTCATTGCCGCCGATATCAGCCCCATGGACGTCATCTCGCACATCCCCGTCCTGTGTGAGGAGCACAACATCCCCTACATCTTCGTCAGCTCGCGCGCCGAGCTCGGCGCCGCCGGCAACACCAAGCGCCCCACCTCGGTCGTGATGATCTGCAAGGACCGCGGCACCAAGAAGGGCGCCGCCGACGAGAAGCCCGAGGATGAGGCCGAGTACAAGGAGTCGTACGACGGCGTCGCCAAGGCCGTGCTCAAGGCCTCGAAGGGCGTGAGGCGTTGAAACGAGGAAAGTAGCGCATTTGTGTGAGGGTTTTCCTTGCGGATTACTGGTGGGGTTGGAGATGCTGAGAGAGCAGCGTTGTTACTTGTGTGCCGCTTTGTTGGCCATGAGGTGTCGGATGGAGAAGGAAAGATGATCTCCCTGCTGCTCACAATAAATCACGGGAATGATACGGCGCATGCGGCGTTGGACGGTCGGATACGGCTTCTTTTGTGTACAGTTGCTCCTCGGGCTTCGACAATCAGCGAACGAAAAAAAAAGTTGGTGGCGAGTTAACTCTGTCAATGAGATGGGAGGAATGGCTGTCCGACCGAAACATAGCAGCTGCCATACATGGTGGCTCATACTAAATCAAGAGAAGTTCGATTCATATTCTTGGCGCGTTCACAACCTCGAATATTTCTTTTTGAGCCGTGCGAACTAAATTTTCTAACCGAGCACGATCAATCGTTTTCAATTAGACCTGTTGTCACGAGTAAGTTGGCCATCTAGTTGAGATTGCCTGCTCACGAATTGTTGGATTACTGAAGAAAGCAGAATTGATCGGAAGAAATCTTGATTTCTTTGCGGCTCATCTAAAACATTATCCTTTTCTATAGGAGCTCGCTTCATGGAACCCCGGATCCATGATTCCAAATCCCAGTCATCTAACGCCTTTTTTCCATGCTTCCAATATTAAAAAATAACCAGTACGCCAAAATCCTTGGTATCTTGCGTCGAAGAAAAATCCGCAGTCTTGCTCTAAAAAAGCGCTCAAAAGCTCACATCCGGTGTCCTCTTCCTCTACACACTTTCTCTAGTGGAAGACCCAAAGAGGCAAGCCACCGGGGCCTCTGGCGGCTCTCCTGCCATCCTCGCCCTCCATTTCGACGTAGGCGGGGGTGGAGCTGCCGCTCCTCATCTCCTCCTCGGTCTCGATGGGGCTCTCCATGACCAGCTCCAGCCAGTGGGCGAAGCCGGGCTCGATGCTGCCGGTGATCTTGGCCTTGCCGACGCCGCGGACGTCCTCGAAGAGACGCAGGACGCTGTAGTCACAAGCCTCGAACTGGGCCTGCCAGCAGTCGACCTCGAGCGAATCGCAGCCGGAGAAGGCGGCGGCGACGTCCTGGGCGGTGAAGAAGGGGTCGGTGTCCAGGCGGATGCTGACGCGCCAGTTGCGGATCTGCGACGAGACCGAGTTGCGCAGGACGGGCTTGGCGGGCTCGATGAGGAAGGGCATCTTGGTGAGGAGGGTGCCGTGGGCGGAGAAGGTGTTGCGGGCGTACAGGATGGGCGTCGCCTCGTCGTGGATCTGCTTGCAGGTGCTGAGGATGGCCGGGTGGATGTCGGCCTTGGGCAGGTTGCGGCACGCCGACGAGTGGTAGCTGGCGGCGCGGCGTTGTTGCTGCGTCAGATCCGGCGGCGTGAGGAGCATCTCGTATATTTCATTGCGGAGCTCGCCCGGCAGGCGGAGGAAGGGCGAGGTCTGCGTCTTCTGCTCCGGCATTGGCGTGGGTTGCGGCTGCGGTGGTGGTGATGCGCCGCGGAGGGTCATGGTGGCGGGTTGTTGGTTGAATGTGGTTGTTGTCGTCGTAGCCATGGTTGTTGATTGTGTTGGTGGTTCTCCGATGGTGGTTTGTGTGGAGGTTGGTGGTGATTGCTCGTCAATTGATATGCTGTTTGCTGATGATGGACGAATGTAGCAGTGTTTGGCGGGCGTATATATGTAGTATGCTGCTAAGGCGGCCGATAATAGGAGCACAAGCATGGGCACCGGGCCGCCTCGCATGTATCTCGCACGGCCATGGCGTGTTCGCGTGTTTCTGGCTTATCGCGTGAGTGGTTTTCGCAAAAGTTGGAAATCGGGATGTGCGACGCAGGTGTGCGTAAGGTGTACGAGAACGGGAGTAATCGGGAGGGCTGCTGTCGTCGGGGGCGCCTCGGGGCCGCGGGAAAGTAAGGTGATCCTCAGCGTGCACGGGCCGCCGTCACCTGTATCTCTGACGCCCAGCCAATCGCCTGCCGCTCGCCGGCCAGGGTTCTGTCACGAATGTAGGTGGTGGAGTGATGCTGCCTCATTCGATCGCCCCATCCCTTGCAACCAGCAGAGCCCCCTTCTCAGCCTTCCACCGCCGAGCCTTCCCGACTTTCGCCCACCTCTAGTGCCCGTTCTTCGGCCCGCTTCCAGGCCATGTACCACGTCGATCGTCCCTGGCTTCGCCGCCCTGTGCCACGATCCTCTGCTGACCGGCACTTGCAACGTCCCGAAAAAGATTTGTTCTGGCCGCGCCACGTCTGAGTCCAGTCCAACACGAGCTGTCGAGATGACTCTGCACATCCTCACCGACAGAACCTGTCTGAGCTTGTGCCTTTGTACTCCAACCACAGCCCGCGGAACGACTGCCGGAACCTGGCTTTGCATGCCTACCTACGGCTCACAGGTATCACTTTGGCCAGTGATTCGCTAAATCACCGCTGTCAACGCGTCAGTCCCACAGCGCCAGGGATATGCTGTCTGCTTCACTTTGAACGTCCTGCTGAGGTATTTTTTGGTTTTCCTTTTCTTTTTCTTCTTTTACCTTGCTGCATCGGAGTCCACGAACGACGTCTCCGGAAGCGAGATAACAGGTTCCGCGAGACATGACAGGGTCGCCCATGCTCAGTCAGACCACATAGAGCATGTGTTTGTGCATGATAGTAACACACTTCCAACTGCTGGTGACTCAGCGGCGACAACGGCGCCGAGGGTTTGTGGAGAGCCAAGGCCGTCCGGGAGATCGCCGCGTCCTTATCGGGTTAAACGAGCGGATGATGAAGATCCAGGAATGCCCCTTTGAGCGGATGCTTTCGCCGGTTGATTTTCGTCTCTTTTGGGGACCGAGCGCCACTTCCACGATCGTGCTCCTCCCGGCGATCGGCATCTATCGGGTGTATATGACGATACTCACAGGCCCGGGCCTGTGAGTTGGTCGAATCCTGCTAATCTCCTGTTCATCCAGCTATTTTCACAAAAATTTTGGCTCCGTCGAATTGGTGGCTCTGACTCCTACTACACTGTTAACTGACTCACACTAAGCCTTTCGCAGCCCATCAGGAGGGCCTTGTTACAAAATAACTCAAGGTGATATTTGCAGAGGCTCCGACGGTGGCCTCAGCATCCAGGCGGTCGAAAAGTCCCGGAACAACCAAATTTGAAAATGGTTCCCATGGTCAGTAGCTACGTCAAGGCATAAACTTACTATGAGCCGTCATCGGGTGTCCGGATCTGAGTCTTTTTTTTGTCTCTCCGAGAAGCAAGTATCCACAGGCTCCTGGGCTCTTCGGGTTTTGGCGACTTGCTTGGGCACCAGACTATTGTCTCGCCAGGGGAAAGGGTGCGATCAACACGACGTGTCATGTCGGGCATGACAGAGTTTGCGCACATGCTCGTTATCGAGGCCCGAGGTTTCGTACAACATCGGCGGTCTAGCCAAAGGTGAGATGACGGGCTGTTGACGTGTTGTTCCAGGAACTTCTCCGAGGCATCCGGTTTTGTGACTGTTCTAGTACCACAGCTAAGTTGGATAACGGGCCGAGAGTCCTGGGACATGGTATTGGGATAATTGGCGCGATAGATCCACGACAAGCGGCATGCAGATGGAACCTTGGAAGTTCTAGTTGGCTAGGGTGGATAATGCGGGCCGTTCGGATTGTGATGGTTCGATAGGAGCTGCTAGGCTGGTGTCGAAGCGTTGGTTGGACGTCATTACGATAGCGGCTGATGCGATCGCGCAAGTGCTTCTATTGACGGTCGGGTCTTTCATGTGAAATTAGTTTGACTCAAGCCCATTCACTACCTTTCCTAGCAGGTGTGTGAGTTTCTCGGGTCTAGCACAACCCTGAAGGAGCAGTCTGTAGCATGGTCTGTTCGACTGCAAGCATGAAGGGTTGCCAGAGCGAGGGAACAAAACTGCGAGGAAAAAGGAACAGAGCAGGGGGATAGCCGGAGCTAAGCGGCGGTCATCTGGAGGATTAAGTATTCCCCTGATAAAATGGACCATTGTCCTCTCATGATCTGGTGAGATTCGTCTGTGCAGGCTATTTGGAGCCTTGGGCCCGCTTCTCGTGGTCCGGTTCTTGCCGGTTGTCACGCTGTTGGGAGATGCACATTAACCGGCAGCATGCCGAGACGGCATTGCATACGGCAATCCTCATTCGGCAGCGCCGGCACTCGAGCACCACAGCGAATGAGATCTCTAGATTTTCGGATGTATTTGAAAACCGAGAAATGGGCGAATGAGAGTTGCGGAAAGCCACTGCAAAAGTGGCGAAAAAGGTTGAGGGGCTGGCACGGCTTTCTTTCGGAGTGTGATCGTCCATACCATCTAGTCCAAGGGATCAGACGCATGTCAGCAGGAGCGTCAGCCTCAAGTGGAGTGAGCAGTCCCCAAAAAGGGAGTGAGAAAGAACAGGAAATGGTGATAGGATGATGCTGAGCAATTGAACATGACTACATTCAGTAGGTTGCTGCAAGCCGTTCCAGCAAGTGATCCTTGGCCGTCAGCACCGTGGCCCTCTCACCCGCACCCTCCTTCCCACCCTTCTCCTTCACCACGTCGCTCGGCACCGGGACCAGTTTCGCATCGTCCACGGGGTGGCAGAAGTACGCGATGCTATACCTATCGTCTCCCACTCCACCTGCATCCTCCCGCGGAAACACAACCCGGTGCACCGTGCTCTTCAGGAGCCCGTCGGTCCAGTAACTCAGCAGGTCCCCGATGTTCACGAGCACGGGCGGCTGCGCCTCGTCGCCTGTTGGGTTGACGGGAACGGGTGCCCACGCTCCCTCGGGCGTCAGGATCTCAAGCCCAGGCTGGCCCCGCGGCTGCTGGAAGAGTAGCGTGACGCTGCCGTAGTCGGAGTGGGCGCCGGCGCGGATGTCGGTGCTGTCAATGGGCGGCAGCGCCGGGTAGTACAGCAGGCGGAGGATTGAGCCGGACGGGCCCGCGGATCTGTCGTGCCGTGTCGCAAACCAGGATTCGCCGCCTTCAGAAGCTGGAATGCGGAGAGCGAGGCCGAAGAGGCGGAGCAAGTGGTTGCAGAGGGCATGGCACCGGGCCTGAAAGTCACCAAGCTGAGATTCATGTGGCGCTAGGGGCGCGGGCAGTGGCTGCGGGGCCTGGTTGGAGGGCGTGTATTCACCAATGTTGAAGGCCCTGACAAGGATTTAAGAGTCAACTCGGGAGGCATCTAGAGGAAGAGAGACAAACTCCTTGAAGTCACCGCGCTGTAAATCGTTAGGTAAGACTCAAAAGTGGGATGGCGGAGAAACACAAGTCAAGCCAAAGTCGATCGCCAGCAGATTAAATCCCACAAGAATAGACATCTGATTCTGCTGGTGGAAGTAGGTACCTTTTGACTCTTGGGGTCTAGGGTCTCGGTGTGCATGCCCACCCAGCCTTGGTTCTTGCCCTTTTGATAAGAGCATTCAGCTTTCACTTCGTAGGGCGATTTGAAAAAAGTACGAGACTTGAGATGTCAGAGAGCGCCCGAACGGGAATGCACATTCTGGAATACCAATTCGAAGACCGCTCGGACGTGCTCAGGTGGTAGGATGTTGCGGTAGTTGCTGACAAAGATGAAGCCATGAGTGGAAGCAGCCTCGAGCAGTTTCTTGGCCGCCTCAGTCGTGGGTGACGCGACGTCGATTACGGGAATGACCGTGGCGGAACTGGTGGCGGCTGGCATCTTGGGGGTGGGGTGGATGCAAGCAGTGAGGTACGGGCGTGGTGTTGAGGCGGCGTAGGGCTGAGGGTGCAGGGACCGCGTTTGAGCGGGCAGGCGGTCGCTAGCGCGTTGCTGTTGCGGGCGTCGCCTCCGCGGTGCGACACCACTGACCACGCAGCTTGCGCCCAGCTCCTCGACAACCACCACAAGCAGCTGCCTCCAGGCGCCGCCTTCCACCCCCACCTCTGCTCCAACCTTCCCGTCGCCCTCGGCGGAGTGCGTCCCTCCTGCGCATCCTCTCCTTCAAATCGCCCTGTCTTTAATTGCCAGTTGCCCTTTCCTCATCCCCGACGGCCTAGCCTCGCACCATGATCTCTACCCAGGACGACTGGGCCGCCAACCTGGCCGAGCACTCCAAGCTTGAGGAGCTCTCTGGCTGTTCTGTCGCTATCGATGCCGCCGACCACCTTAATCGTCTACTCAACGACCCTCAATGGAAGGAGCCGCTGCTCCCCGCCCTGGGCGGTCTGCCGTTTTCTATGAAGCGCCTGGTGCTCGACGACCTGCAGCGCTGGAAGAACCACAACATCACACCGTTCTTCGTCTTCAACGGTCTGGACTTTGGCAAGCGCGATAAATCCTTCCGCACCTCAGACGAAGCCTCGCGCGTCACCGCCGAAGCTTGGGAGCTCTACAACCAGAGTGAGGCCGAACGCGCTGTGTCCACGTTTGGGGAGGCTCGTACGTCATCTCATCCCCGATCGTAAGAGAGTCGCTCTGACGTGCACAGCTTCGACCAGGACCGATGACTACCTGCGCAACTTCCAGTTTCTCTTGAACGAGGCCGGCGCCGAGTTCATTGTCGCACCTTACACCGCGTGGGCCCAGGTAGGTGCACCAATTGGCAGGGAAAGGAACCTTAGCTGATCAACTTGCAGCTCGCATACCTCGAGAAGAACGCCAAGCATCAATGGCAAGCCATCGCTGGTCCGTCCGAGCTGCTTTTCTTCGACATCGAGAGAGTGATCACAGCATGGGATTGGGAGCGCGGCGAGTTCACGTGGATGGGGAGGCGGCAGTGCATGAGCGATTTGGGCAACCTGGGCCCCGACCAATTCGTCGATGCATGCCTGTTGGCAGGCTCTGAGCTGCTGCCTCCTCTGCCCATGCTCGAAACTCGCAGGAACAAGCCTAAGATCAGGAGTGCTGTCGAGATGATGATGTCACTAGGTCGTACCGGCATGTCTGTCTGCCAGAACTACCAAGATGACCCTAAGCTCCGCTCCATGAACTACACCGACCGGTTCATGCGCGCCAAGATGTCCATTCAACACCACATTGTTCTCACCCTTGACGGCAAAGTCGAAGTCCTGAACAACGAACACGCCCCCAGCGATATTCACGAGTTCATGAGCCAGCGCCTTCCCGATGAGGTCTACTTCTATCTCTCCAGGGGCGCAATTGGCTCGAGGGTTTTGACTGTGCGTACGTCTGCGGAAATCATCGAGATTGCTCCGCTGGACGGTGGTGAATCCCAAGAATACCGTGAGCTCGTGCGCGACCAGCTTATTCCCCTTCGCAACACTACCATTTCCCTCCTCTCGTCGTCTCTTCACCGCTTCTACCAGCATAAGAACGTAAACCTGTACACATGGTTCGACCGCACCAATGCCAAGCCTATCACGTTGAGGGATACGTCGGACTTCCGCCCCATCCTGAGCAACTGGAACGTGAAGGCAGCGCTGATCCAGGAGAAGGTCAAGTCGTTGGAGGGAGCAGAGACAATCGGCTTTGCAATCCAGTCTCTGAAGGATGCCGACTTTGCTGCGAAGACATTGACTAAGAAGGACACTTCGAAGCTTCTGAGCGCCAGTGATGAGCTTCTTTACAACTCAGTCTGGCGATTCTTGCAGCTGCGCGAGTTTGTTGACGCTAAGCACAACCTCACGCCGTGGGGTGAGGCTCTGAACGCCGCCATCACGGCGCTCAATGGGCGCTCTGAGCTAGAGGAGTCTGTTTTCATCGCTATGGAGCTTGCCCGCCTCAACATCCTCACCTCTAAGAACATGTTCCCTTCATACGGCGGTCCGCCCATCCGCGGTTCCGAGGCGGACAAGCGCAACAATCTCCTTGTATCACGCGTCGCTTGCTTGGGCAGACTCCGCCACAAGCCCATCGGCTTCACCGGCCCACTGAGCAGGCACCTGCTGGGCTACCACTCGGTGATCTCTTCGGTGCGCAGCAGCCTTCGTGATCTCGCCGAAGTCAGCCTTACGACCCTCCTTCTCAACGGTGATGCCGAGCGTGACCGCAGCGACTACACGGATCTCGGGATCAAGCTTCCCTTTGGCATCCCCAACGACTGTGCGATGGGTATCGCGGTCAAGTCCTACCTCGATGAACTTCACATCCAGTCTGACCCGACGACCCCCGAGGCAAAGGCCGGCACCAAGACTCGTGCGGCTCGTGATTGGTTCCCTGAGAGTATTGATTTCATCGGCGATCTTGACATTGCCTTCAAGCTGTGGGACGCCGTATACGCCGGTATCAAGAAGGCAAGTGAAAGTGGTCTGGTGAGAGATGGCGCAGCTTGGGACGAGGTGAACAAGTGGCTTGGTCCTAGACGCTGAAGGGGGTCTCGATGTGCGTTACGATGGTATGATGAACAGGGGAATCAGTTGCTGAAACGAACTCGATGGGCATGTTCAAAGGGAACAAAGTGCAGGATGCGTAATACATGAAGTATCGGGGAAGATATCTCAAAGTCATCGATGTAATTGCTCGACTTTGCTCATCCGTCGAGATATGCAGAAGTAGGAGGGAGCTAACGGAGGATGAACTTGATTTGACATGGAGAGGTGGAAACAATTAGTTGCCGGAGAGAAGAAAAAACGGAAATAACCAAGGATATCAACCATGTGCTTAGGCACTTGCGGCGTATATGCTGCGACACAATTCAATGAAAACTTCAAGGCGCCATGTCCTGCAGCCATGTTTGCGATTTCCAGATTATGAAGATTCGGGATCGGATACCGGGAGGTGCCGACGTGCTATTCCGGGACCGATGCCGGGCCTGCGGCGAAGAACAACCGCGCCGTGCCCCGCGGTCAATCCGAACTGCACATCCCACCTCGCCGACTCCACACGTAAATTTCCCCACGACCACTTCGAACCGCCATTGATCCGCCCTCGCACCGCCTGCTATCGACCGCACCTCTTTTCCCTGCATACTGCAAGTTCCGTCGGACCCCACGCTCGACAATGGCTACCGAAGGCACCGAACTGGCCGCGGCGCCGGCGCCGGCGACCCAAACTTCGTCCTCCGCTACCTCAGAGCTCCCCGTGGTCAACATCGGCACGCGGCGATCAGTGCTGGCGCGGGTGCAGACGGACATTGTGGAGGCGGCGCTGAAAGAGGCGTGGCCGGGCAGGAAGTACGCGATCCACGCCATGGCGACCATGGGCGACAAGAACCAGACCACGGCGCTGCACGAGTTTGGGGCCAAGAGCCTGTGGACGCACGAGCTGGAGGCGCTGCTGGCGAAGGGAGAGCTGGACATGATTGTGCATAGCTTGAAGGGTAGGTCACACTGGTTTTGGCGCTCGAAGGCTTGCTTCTAGAGTCTTGCGCCGCCTTTTCATTTCCTAGTCTTTCATGTGAAGGCATGCAGCTGATACCAACTGCCTACAGACATGCCCACCCAGCTACCGCCCGGCATGGCCATCGGTGCCATCTTCCCACGCGAGGATCCGCGCGACGCCTTCGTCCTCAAGGCTTCGCTAGCAGCCGACCCGGCGACGGCCTCGACGCACGCGACCATCAGCTCGCTCCCCGCGGGCTCCGTCATTGGCACGTCGTCGGTGCGGCGGTCGGCGCAGCTCAAGCGGCTGTACCCGCACCTGCGCTTCGCCGACGTGCGCGGCAACGTGGGCACGCGGCTGGCCAAGCTCGACAGCACCGACCCGGACGCGGTGCAGTACACGGCGCTGATCCTGGCGGCGGCCGGGCTGAAGCGGCTGGGCCTGCAGGACCGCATCACGTCGCTGCTGAGCAAGAAGGAGGGCGGCATGCTGCACGCCGTGGGCCAAGGCGCCCTGGGCATCGAGGTGCGCTCCGACGACAAGCACGCCCTCGAGCTGCTGTCGCGCGTCGGCTGCGAGCGCACCGCCCGCGCCTGCCTCGCCGAGCGCAGCCTCATGCGCACCCTCGAGGGCGGCTGCAGCGTACCCATCGGCGTCGAGACCGAGTGGCTCGCCGACGACAAGGACGACCTGATCATGCGCGCCGTCGTCACCAGCCTGGACGGCGCCGACGCCGCCGAGGTCGAGCTGACCACCAAGATCGACTCCAGGGAGGCTGCCGACGAGTTTGGCAGAACCGTCGCCGCCGCGCTGGTCGAGAGGGGCGCCTCCGCCATCTTGGAGAAAATCAATCTGAACAGGGATATCGTGAAGGCTCAGGGTGACGCGTAGGGAGTGAGGAAGAGGTCAATGGTGGAATAGGGGACTTGGGGAAAAGAGAGTGAAGCCTCGCCGATATCTTGAAAGAACGGGGGGTTGCGCATTTGGTGCTAGTTTCTTTTATTTCTCATACATAGTTACAACTGGCACTTTGAATCTGATCATAGGTGGCGAGGAGTAGTACGCACTGGCATGGAAAGCTATCAGAATGTGGGGGAAGTTGCAGGAAGGTGATACTTCATGAGTAGAGAGGGCAAAGTGGCTGGCTCTGATGGATGACTAGGCATCGAAATACACCCTCATTCTATTCTCTTCACCTCTTCAAGCTTTCCCTTTTCAAACAATTGGACAAACAGGAATGGTCAATTCGCTAGTGAACGACGGGCCTGGGCTGATGGACGCTTTCGCTGTTATATCAACGGATACACAACATTTCACTAGTTCAAGTCTTATATCTTACCACGTCCGAATACTATCATGAGAGTTTTCCTGCTCTGACATATACATGTCCGTGTTTCCACATTCAAACGCAAGTACACGAAGATCTTATACCCAAATAAGCTTTTATGTCACTCGTCACTCCAGCAGCACACCGCTCCAAACCAATATCATGAAAGTAGCTTAGAAGGTTAAAGTATCGAGTAATAAAATGTATCCTGGTATACCGCTATCTGACATCGTTCAATCTCTTCCCTTCGCCGCTCCACCTTCAATCTTTTTTTTTTCTTTCCCCGTCAACTGCGACAATGTTACCCGCCACCCCCCTTTCCCGATGCCATCTCTTCTAATAATCATCAACCAATCATTCTTTCGAGATATCGTGTAAAAGGGGCTTGCGCATTACTTATACTGTTCCGGCCATATCGACAGGGAAAAAATAACCTAAGAGGAATCAAAAAAATTAAGCTACAAGAAGCAGAAGTTCTTTCCCACCCCCAACCCAATCATCATATCATCCCCCACCATATTTGTTTAATCAGGTTCTCTCATCATACCGCATCATTTCCCATCGGATTTTTCATCTTCATACCCATCATATCCCAGTTATTTTTTTTCTCTCCTCCTACTTCTTGAACCACCTCAGACCGCTCGAAGTCCTCTTGTGATGTCCCTTCCCACCATTTCCGCCTTCCGATGCTTCTCCCTCACCGTTCTCTGCGCCGTCTTCACCGCCCTCCTGCTGCATCGTCGGACGGGTCGGTTCGGCGAATCTGATACCGGGAGTCTTCTGCTGCTGCTGTTCCGGCTCGGATTCTTGTTCCTGCTCTTGCGCCTTGGCCGCCTCTGCCTCTGCCTCTGCCTTGGCCTTTGCTTCTGCCTCAGCCTCAGCCTCCGCCTTTGCTTCTTCTTCATCTTGCTCGGCAACAGCGGCGGCGGCAGCAGCAGCAGCGGCCTTCGCCTTCTCCCGCTCCGCCTTCTTCTCCGCTGGCATCTGTCTCCTGATGCCCTTGCCGTCCTCTTCCTCGCTCTCGCTGTCCGTCGACTCGTCGCCTCCACCGAGACCCAGCGCGCCCTCACGTCTCCTGCGTTCCGCCGCGGTCTCGCCCTCGTCAAGGTGCGTAGGCTGCGCGCGCGATTTCTCGCCAGTCTCCGTGCGGCCCAAGGCCTTGGCCACGCCTCCCCGACGGGTGGATGACGAGCCTTCGGTGCTGTTGCGGCTGAGCGGGCGAGCTGGGGCACCCGGCGATATGCCCGGTGAGCGAGACGAAGATGCGGTGGCAGCCTGACGGCGGCGGGCTTCTGCTGCCGTTTCACGGCCACCGAGGGCGTCGCGGACGTTGTGGAATGGGATGTCATCTTCCTCGCCTGAGTCGCTCGCACGGTCGGATGCTGCGGCGGCAGGCGAGGCCTTGCGGATGTGTTCGGCAGCTTCGTTCTGTTGCTGCTGCAGACGCATGTGGTCCCTCGCGTCGTTGCGGGCCTCTTCCTTGACAGGCTCAGGGACATCGCTGTTCTCGACGAACTTGGTGCGCGCCTTCGGGTCCATCTGCTGGATCTGCTGGATGAACTCGGCCTTGCTCATGCGGCGACCGCCCGCGTTGACAGTAAAGCGGATGCGCTCGTCGTCGCTTTCCTCCTCTTGCATCCTCTTCTTCTTCTTCTCATCGCGGGGGTTGGTGCTGTCACCGGTAACCTCCCCTTGGCTTGCTGCGGCCTCGGCCTCGCCGTGGGACATGCCAAGGTAGGTACCCATGCGCGCCAAACGTTGGCGGGTCTTGTCACTGACTGCGGCCTTCTCGCTTTGTTTCGCCCCCTCTGCCGGAATGTCGTACTTCTTGATGACTTCACCGTCTTCGTCCTCCACGATGATCGTGTTGCCGAACTGGTAGGCCAGGGCGGGTCCGCGCTTCTTCTTCTGTCCCTGTTCACCCTCGGCGCCAGTGTGGCGGCGGTGAAGCATGTCACGCCAGTGCTTCTTCGGATGCTCGGCGGCGTCCTTGATTTCATGGGCGGCTTTTTGGCCCTCGCCAGCGCGCTGGTTGTGTTCAGTCTGTGCGACGCCACCCTCTACGTCTTTCTCCTTCATGAGCTTGCGACCATCCTTCTTGGCCTCTCGCTTGATCTCGTCCTCAGACTTGTCTTTGATGTCTCGAACGTCCAGTACGTTGCCCTCTTCATCCTCAAAGATCATCTTGTCACCTTCCTGGTAGACTTCCTGCTCGGGAGACCTGATCTTGTCGATGTCAGGAGAGTCATCGCTGTTCAGAGCGGTCGTATCCGAATCGTCACGTGCGTTGGGGGGCGAATCGGCGGGGTCATGCTCGCGGCGTGCAGGAGTAATTGCAGACTGGCTGATAGGTCCACCTGGGCCCATGCTTCTCCTTCTTCTGGTAGGCCGCCGGCTGGATGACCGACTCTGAGCGTCGTCGTCCTTCTTCCTTCCAAGGAAATTGCGCGGTACGCTGAGGAAGCCTTCGGAGTTATAGTCGCCCTTCTCATCCCATGAAGAGTCGGTCTCAGGCTCGCCAGGTCGGCGTAGGGACATGGAGCTCTTTGAACGAGACTGAATGCGTGGCAGTCGGTCCATCCAGCTGGGTCCATCCTCGTTTGCTTGAGTGTAGGACAAGGTTAGCGTCAACGTATTGATGTGCTTGCCCAACGTGAAGACAGCAATAGAGGAGCCGTGGACGACAATGGAGCAAATGACCAGGAAACACGTGATGGGCCAGATCAACTCGATGATATCTAGATGTGGAAAATCTGGTGAAGACGGTAACTCAGCCAGAGGTGTCGTCTCTTCAGTCTCCAGCTCGGCACGTGCGAGAATGGCGACGAAGAGCGCGCCGACTCCGATAGGCCCAAAGTGACCAGCAAAAAGCGCTTCGCGGTACGTTTTGATATCTGGAATTAGGGGCTTCATGAGCATCATGATGGGGATCCGGCGGAATAGAAGGACCAGGATTGCGATAACGACGAGTCTCCAGGCGCTGAGTCCAATGATGTCCGAGTTGAACTGCTCCCAGGGTATGATGGTCCCAAAATAGACGAAGAAAGTCAAGTTGATGAGCAAATCAATGACGTTGGATACGTGGGACTCCTCTGTCTTCTCCAAAAACCAGCCATCATTACTGAAGCCAACGCCGCATGCGAAGCCTATCAGCAAGTCATCCATGCCAAGCAAACTTCCGGATCCAGCGCAAAACAGCGCAAGAACAAAGTAGAAGACCAAGAAACTCTCACGATCAATGAGATCCTTCTCGTGCGAGTATCTGATGAGGCGCCTGGCAATGTACCCGATGGTCACGCCAAACACGGCACCGAAAATGCACTCGTACAGGACGGTAAAGCAGAACCAGTGAAGAGCGACCTCATTGGGATGATGCCTGTAACGAATGATGTAAACAGCCAGGTAGATGAAAGGGAAGGCCATGCCATCGTTGCAGCCGGACTCGGCGGACAGAAGATCACGCAAATGCTTGGGCACACGCTTCGCGAACTTGCCCTTACCAACGACCGAAGAGGCCAGGACAGGATCGGTGGCGGTGACGCAGGCAGCAACGCAGAGACTGTCCAGCCAGTCGAGCCTGTGGTGCATGAAGGCCCAGATGAACAAGCTCGTTATCAGCCAGCCGAAGGTCATGACGGGGATCAGCAGGGCGGTAACGGATCTCCAGTGGCGCTCCATGTAGGCCTTGGGCAATTCGACGCCGACGGCAAAGCACTGGACGACCAGGACAATGCGGGAAAATTCCAGGGTGATCAGATCGGTGTTGCCCCATTCCAGCGGATTGATGAGGTTGGCGGCATGTGGGCCGAATATAATACCACAAATGGTGGCGACGGTGGCTTCACCTATGTACAAGCGCTCCTTGATGACGGAGGAACAGAGCATGAACAGCGAGGTGAAGCCGCCCAGGATGATGTACACCAAGTGCGGCTTGGTGATGGAAAGGTGTTCCCAGGCCATGGTGGCGGCTCTCGACTAGCGTAGCCCTGCGCTCTGAGGAACGGGTGTAGCGGTAACGACAGGCGGCCGGTGGGTGGTGTGAGAGGACAGGGCGGTTATGTGCCAACGAAAACGGAGGGCGTCGTATGGCAGACGCCTTCGCTCGGGTTGCTCGCCGTGAATTGGAAGGCCGGGGTGTGCTGCATGTAGTCGCTGGTCGCGCCCAGTCGCCGCTCCGTTCAGCCGTAGTGGGCGGTGTGGAAGGGGAAGGAAGGTATCGACGGCGGTGACGGTGGGATAGCAAATGGTAGAGCTGGCGTTGTAGGGCAGCGAATCTTCTGGAGGGCGCTAGGAGCCCCGAGCGTTGGGAAGGTCTGCAGGGCGCACGGCAGTGGTGAGCCCGGCAATCGAAGGTCGGGTTTGGTTGTCGCGCAGACGCAGGGGAGCAGTAGGAGCGGGAGGAAGCAGCGTCGCGGCGGGCGCTCAATGTTTAACTAAGATTGGGACTCAGGCCGTACTTACATGGATTTGCCGCTTCGGGTGACGCAGCAGTGGATGGAGCCCACCGCTCGGCCTTACTCGTTGCTGGGCGATGACGGAGAGGCGCCCCGCCGCCTGCTGTTCTGTGCGCGGGGTGCAGAGCCTCCTCCACGGATTAAACGGCACGCTTTTTGAACCGTGGAATGCGCCAAGCTGCCAACAGTGCGAAGCCGCGCAGCAAAGAGGGCGAAGAGGAGGCAAGCCGTCTTGGTGAGATTCGCGACCACTGCGGCGGTCCTGCCTGGCCGCGTCTCGTACTTGTATTCGCCGTGGCAGCCATGGCATCCCCATCGCAACCTCCGCGCGGATTTCTTAGCCCGGGCGTGCTCAGGCTTGGCTCTTGGCTGCAGTGCCGCCGCAGCAAATCGCATGCCTCGCCTCCCGACTGCCAGGTCCTCTGCCTTGGTCGCCCGCTGCGAAATCAACCACTTTGCTCCGAACGCCTGCTCCACCCAAGCTGACTCGGTTCGAACGCCGAGACGGCTGTTGCGGATCCATGGTGGGAGTCCCTTTGCTCGCCCTGGCTCGTGACTTGCGGCCCGCGGGGAATTGTCGACGGCGTACCGTGGTTGCCACCGCAGCAGACCGCCTCAGATAAGAAGTCGCAGGGGACATGAGCAAGCGCTTGCTGATCGCTGCACCCGCTTCCAGATGACCGCCTATCTTTTCTTGACTGCGGGATCTGAGGCGCGCCGCGCGGGGTGTGCTGGACGCCGGGCGTCCGCAAGCGAAGGCCCCAAATCCAAGGCCACAACCATGTGAGCACCGTCGCTGCTAGCCAATCACGCCATACATTCTTGGAACTATCTTCCTACTATGCGGTGTGGTCCTTATCTGCCAAGCACGCCGGCTGCCATACAAATACGTAGAAACAAAACCCAACTCCCGGCGCTCGCGCTCGCGTTTTGATGGGAAAATGACAAAGTCTAGAAGCAACCCAACAACGCCCCAGATGCAGCTGTGCAGTCGTGCAAATATAGCACACAGAACAAAACCAACGGAACTGAGCCATGCTGTGCAAGGGTCGGTCTCGGCCCCTTCTAAGCTACGCAGAACCCCGCTTGCCGTTCCGAATGGCCCCCAGTCAAATCATATCGTATCCAAAATCGTCTACTAGTCGTGAAGAAAATCGTAAATCGTGCTGTACAACATTCACTACCGGTCGAGCGGTAGCCACGTCCGCCGCTCGTCCATGCTGCGGTTGATTCGGCTGCCTGGAGTCAGCGGCACGTCCACCCGCCCCGGCGTCCGTGCGCTTTGTCCTTCACCGTCACTGTCCTCGTCGTACGCGTCTGACAGTCGTGAGAAGTAGTCAGCCAGCCCTGATGTTGGGCTGGCGATGCTCTCGTATTGCGGCGGCGGCGTCTGGAGAGGCGGTGGCGGCTCCTCGTCGTCGAACCCCGGCGGATTGAACGACGGCTGGCGCAGGAGGTGGATGGGTCGCTGCAGACGTGGGTCTGTTGGCCCACCAATGTGGGCCTGTTGCGGTCGAGCCAGTTGAGGACTAGGCACTTCAGGGACACTGTTGTGTGTGCGCGCGCTGTTGAGCGCGTTGATCGTCGGGATGAATGATGCTGGCGATCCGCGCCGAACTGGCGCCCCAGGGCACCCGCATTCCGGCATGGCTGAGATGTCCTCACCCGTCTCGGGCGACGAGTACGCAGGCAGCGCCGTGTTTGCCTGCGTGGCTCTGCAGGACAGGATGTGGAATGGTGAGTCGATGGAAATCTCAAAGTGCCGTCTTTTAGCCGGGTCGTTCTGATCAGGCCGTGACAGGCGCATGACGATCTGGGGAACACGTCAGTAACTGATCGACCTGCTCTGCTATGCAGAGTCAACATACCTTGATCCAGTGATGCACCTGGATGTTCTGATACGTCGTGTCGAAGTGCAACTTGTGCACCTTCGAGTCTTTCTCGCGCTGGTTATGGCAACTCGGCAGTTGCACATTGAACTCCATCTCAGTCGGTCCTATATTGCTTTCGCCGTCCAGGTTGCCGAGCAGATTTGTGGTATCCTGAAGAGTAATGTTGTCCATATCTCCCCGTGCCGCAGCGGTCCGCTGGTCGTATGGCACACCTCCTCCTGAAATGATCCTCATGGTGCTTCCTGGATACGTGCTGTTTGCCGGCCCGTCGGCTCGCTTTTCAAAGAGCTGCACTTTCCGCGTGGGCTCTATCCGGTGCACACGCTTGTTGTTGCAATAGTACTCGACGTTTTCGGTGACAAACACCTTGATTCGATGGCATTGCACTTTCGCCAGCGGCGTGAGTTTGAAGGCAATTGGCACTTGCGAACCCAGTGGGAAGGATTTGCCAGAAATGACAATGTCGTAGTGCAACTGGTCCTCCCAGTTACGGCTGATTGCAATAGGCTCGACTTGCTCGAGAGAGCCTTCCGAAGGTGCTCTGATGAGAACCACCTCCTTAGTCCCCACTAGGTTGGCTCTGAATGCGCCAGACCGCTCAACCACCGCTTCGAGTTCGTACTTCACGGAACCGAGATCGACATCGATGGTCTCTGGCAAGTGGCTGTCGAGCGGGAGTTCGAAATTGTAAATGTAGTCGCCGGGCTGGAAGGTTCGGTAACCTTTCTGGGCTATGGACGGTCCACCTGTGGAAGACTCTCCTTTGCCGAAACTTCTGGACTGGTTGACTTGCAACGAGAGCCGCTTTGCATCCTTCGAGCTGAGATTTGTGCTCGAGTTCATAGGCGAGCGGTCAAAATCAAAGGAAAGCTTGCCATTCTTGCCACTTAATGGCACTTGAAGGGTGCTCTCTTTCCGCTCGTGAAGTTCCACGTGATCCGCGCAAGTACCATGTTCGGCAGTTGGGAATTGAGCGTTGAAGAAGGGCCAAGTGTGGCTCATGATATGGTCCGTCTCCTCAAACTCGGTCTTCTTTGGGGGTATGCCTGCCTCATGTAAGTTTTGCAGGCCTGTCAATTGCTGCATGGAAAGGAAGTACCTTCGGGCCACTTTGTGGTGGCTTTGCCCTTGAACTTGAGCGTCACCGCCTTGATCTTGGCACTCTTCGTGATCCTCAAATGCAAGCTTCCGCGCAGCATGGCAGTGCTCCTCTCCGAATGCTCGCTGTGCTCGAACCCTTGCAAGAAGAGCACAGGCTCGGCCAATGCGATTCCGACGCTGATTCCATTGCCGGAGGCCAGGGGCTTGTCGTCTGGGATAGTCTGGGCGATGGAGGATACGACGCTCTTTCTGCTGCTGGTGGATCGGCCAGACGCCGAACGCACCGTTTCGGCAAGCACCGGTCTTGAAATCATGCCGCTTACTGGACCCCCGATGGGAGGATGGGGCATTGTGCGCAGAGTCTCACAGCTCACAGCGCGTTGGCCCTCGGCCGAAGATTGCTCGTTCTCTCCGCCGCGGACGCTGGGGGCGCGGGTGGGAGAGGGCGAGGTCTTGTCCTTGTCGCCGTGAGAGGCGATGAATGAGCGCAGGAAACGCTTTGCGTTCTCCCGTGGGCCTGCCAGTTTTTCTATGACCACTGGTCGACTTCTTCTTGACTTGCGGCGGGTGAGGGAGAAATCGGGTGGCACGCGAGCAATGTGAATGCGCTGGGGTCGGCGGCTGCGGGGGTTGAAGATGGGACCTCTGGTCTGGAGATAGTCCGAAGGCGTCGAGGTGCACACCGAGTGCCGGTTACTTTGTTGGCGCTCGTCGGGCAGGTAGCTGAGGCGACCACGTTCGGTGTGGACTCGGAGATACTCTGTCATGATGGCGATTGGCGTGAGCGTCAATCGTGCGCGAGAGCGGCGCGTGCAGGCATCCAAGAAGCAGGGACAAGGACGCGAATGGCAATGACAGCGGGTTTCAGAGAAATAAGAGGAGTGCCGGAGGGGGTAAGACGCGGGCGACGCGTGAGGGCGGGCACGACGCGGTGCGAGATGACGAGAGCGGACAAAGGAAGAGTGGGAGGACAGCGGCTGAGGGTCGGGGCTGATGAAGACTTACAGATCTGGGGAGACGATATGGGAAACGACTAACGGTGCTGCGGAGACAGGCATGCAGCATGCCGGTGTGCTCAGAGTGCCTTTTTTCGCGGGCGGTCAAGGGTTTGATGGACCGGCGTGGAATGTCATGCGCGGGCTCCACGCAAAAACGACTACTGAGACCGCTGCTCCCTGCTTAAAACGACCGGGGCGACTGGCGGCGGGAAACAGGATACTGGCGACGCAGGGTAGCGAAGCTTTCGCGGCGCCGAACGGGCAGGTCGGCGGCAGATCTCGAGTGGAGGGCGGGCGGCGTCAGTGCCAGTGCAGCGCCAGCACCATCGCAAGACGAGAGAGGGCTCTGATGGCCAATAACCCGGCAGTGCGCTCCCTAATAAGACCGATGATTCCTTCTTGCACTGCGGCCAGCCCAGAGCGGCTTAGAACGGTGACCTCACCACCCGCGACAGCAGGATCAACGAGTGCCGCGGCCGCCCTTCCGAGCCTTCCGGGTGCTGCATTCTGGTCTCGACTCTTGGATGCTCGCGCTCTGCAACCAGGCGTGCTGCGCAAGAGCCACGCTGGCTACGCTACGGCCCAAAGGCTGGAGGCTGTTGCTGCAGCAGCAGCGGCCGCCGCCCGGCGCTCTGCGCGCTGCGCGCAGCCCAGGCTATCCCGACAAGCAGCCCTCTTGAGCGGCCCACGTCACGCAGCATGATGCGACGGTGAAGTGCGGAGTGCGGCCGAGGCACCAGTCGGCCCCTGTCGCCCATGCCGCGATCTTTGGCGCGCCAGCCCTCATGGACGCTGTCGACCATCCAAAACGTGCCCGGATCTGCGCTTATTAACCCGCGTGCTCAGCATACCTCCTCAAAGCAGCTCCGGAGATCGGAAGCCCTGCTCAATCGCAGAAGGTGTCGCGACGCGTGCATGATGAAAAATTTCGACCTCCACCCCATATGACGAGCCTCGGGCCGCACGCCGCCGACTCGTGCATCGCGCTTCTCTGCGCGCTCTGACGACCGTCAGGCCCATCACGGCCCTGACCGCCACCTCTTGACGTCGTCCGTGGACCCTTTGTTCCTTTTGGGACGAAGGATGAAAAAGCGCATGGTGGTGTTGTGGGGAACCTTAGCCACCGGGACTGATCTCCTGCGTCTGACGGCATTGGCTGCGATGGCAGAAGCTTGGCAGACTGCCTCCTGGTCTGCTCTCCGCAAAAGAGGCATGCTGCGTGACAACCAATCGGGACGCTGCATTGGTAATTGTAGGCGAGCCGGTACTGCTTCTGATTGGGCGCCGAGGCCAGAGTGTGGAGGAGAGCTTTCTCACGTGCCCGCGGCGCCGACGCGTCGAGCTTCGAGTCGCGTCGCAGCCGACTCCAACCCGCCTGCAACGCCAGCGCTGAAGCTTCCCCACAATGCCGGACCAAGCAGATCAGGGTAAGCTCCTGCTATTCCTCTATGCCCCAGTCGCACTGATTGCTAATAGCTGCCAGCCCGGGCGCAGTCGCCTCTCCTGGGCGCTATCCTTTGCTGCACCTCCATTGGCCCCGACCAGAGAGTACGCCGTAACCCATCTCGCCCGCCAATCGTGCCCGTTTAAACTGAACATTACGCAGGAAGAACTCGCAAAATGGGCAACCGACATGGGCGCCGCCCACAAGTTCGATCTTACCTCTGACGTAACCCACCTCGTCGTCGGCCACATAGATACCCAGAAGTACAAGTATGTCGCCAAGGAGCGTCCAGATGTCAAGGTTGTCTTGCCTGCCTGGGTCGCAGCCGTGCGGGAGTCATGGCTAAAAGGCGGAGAAACGGACGTGGAAAAGCTGGAAGAGGAGTACCGCGTGCCCACCTTCCATGGCCTGCGCATATGCATAACGGGATTCGAGGACTGTGAGCAGCCATTTTTGCCATGGAGGTGTAGGCGCTGACCGGAGGCAGTGTCGCGACGGAAATACTTCGAAGAGACAGTCACCGCTAACGGCGCGGTATATCAAGGCGATCTAACAAAGGCTGTCACTCACCTTATTGCGAAAGAGCCTTCAGGCAAGAAGTTTGACTTCGCTCGGCAGTGGGGCGTCAAGACTGTCACGTCACAGTGGCTTACAGACAGCATTGAACGCCAAATGGCTCTCGACGAGGCATTGTACGATCCGTTTCTACCAGAAGAAATTCGCGGAAAAGGCGCGTTCAAGAAGCTACCGGCCGAGTCAACGCCACTAGGCAAGCGCTTGCGCACGTCTGTTACAGAAGATGGAGAAGGCAAGCGAAAATTGAGGCGGACTGCAAGCACCAAGTTGGGAAGTCAAAGCTCGGCTATCTGGAACGAAATTGAAACTGGGAGTTTTGGCGTGAAGCAAGAAGAATCCGTAAAGGACGGCGTGGTCAGCAGAGAGGCGGTCCCTGCTATGAACAAAGCCGACATTCACAGAAGCGCAAGTCTGGATCAATCGCATGGCGCGCACAACCAGCCCCCTCTGTTCAAGCAATGTGCAGGATGTTTCAATGGCAGAATCATATACGTGTATGGGTTTGATCGCGCCAAGGTTCGTATCCGCACCGTCAGGCAAGCTTGAGGACACCATACTCACAAGACACAGACCGGGATTCTACAGCAACATCTCCACCAGAATGGAGCTCAACTTGTTTTGACACCAGAACAACTCTGCTCACACGAGGACCCAGAGTTAGAGTCTGGCTTTTTGATCACTCCCTCAGATGTTGCTCGTGACGCGCTTGAGGACCTACCTATTGTCGCTGAGGGTCTCACGCGCGTCAACGAGTGGTGGGTGGAGAAATGTCTTCATCAGAAGAAGATCGTCGATCCTATCAAAGAAGTGATTTGCAGACCTTTCCCTCAGATTCCAATCCATGGTACGTCTTCTGCTGCTTCAATATGGCCATGTTTGACGCCCAGCAGGTTTTGAAGACTTGATCATCTCTTCAACTTCATTTACTGATTATGACCGCCTGCATGTATCGAAGGTCGTGAAACTAATGGGTTAGTCGCGTCCCGATTATCTGCGTCATGTGCACTGACCACTTCGTCAATCAGGTGCCACTTATGACGAAGTCCTGAAAGAAAGCGTGTCGGTCTTGATCTGCAACTCAGACTCGCCCATTAACCCTAAAGCCAGGTTCTGTCTGGAGCGTTCTATTCCCGTTGTATTCCCGTCCTGGCTGTGGGGTTGCATCTCCACGGGCGAGCGGCAGCCATTTGAAGCACATGCATTACATCTACCACCCGAAAGATCCAGGGAGTCGTCGCAGCAGCCACAGACGCGAAAGAGCTCTACGGCAAACACGGATGTCACTACAAAAGAAGGGTAAGCCAATTTCGGCCAAGAGTGTTCGTCTCTACGGCAGAGACGGGACTGAGAACACAATTGTCTCTCAAAGTCATCTCTAATTGTCCGTGGCGCACCCGCACACACGTCATTCATACATGAAATGCTGCTGACACAGAGCTTTACGAGAGCACAGTCGTCACAATAAACTCACACTATCGAAACCCGCGTCTCCGGATTGCCACGGCCTGGAACGACCAGCAAGCCGTTCGGAACTAGGGGCTAGGGGACCTGGAGAGCGGAAACAAGCTCGTGCGAGCAGACCCGCTTTGCCGTTGTACGAATCGGCAAGCGAGGACGAGGACGAAGGCGCCGGCGGCGCGGCTGTCCCGGATGACGATCCGGTGCCTCCCTACCCCGATGACGACACTTCGTCGCAATCAAAACACCTGCAGGAATTGTCGCAATCAGACGCGAATGCACTTCGAAAACCCTTGCCCACAGACACATCACCTGCAGATCAGCGGAAGCAGCCGCAGCTTCCCGACAATCTCTCTAGCAGCACCGCAATCACACCGCCGGCTGCTGCCGCTCCGCCCCTAACCGACGACACCCCGACTACTAACCTCAACAATACCATTGCTGCCTTACTCGCTCAAAAGAAGCAGAAGGAGTCGTTCCGCCCCGTCTCTGCCGGTTCCGACAATGCCGGTAGTGGTTTAGCCCGCAACAACCGGCAGCAACGTCGCCGGCAGCTGGGCCGCGCGCCTAGCATGACGTCCAATGGCTCTGCGCCATCCTCACTATCCGCACAGAATTCCTTCTCCACCGCCGCGAGATCTGCCGCTGCTGGGGAAGGTGAAGAGACGGCTGCTGCCCCGCCCTGGGACGAGGAACCGGCGGCCAGCCAGGCCCTCGTGTGGGGTGACTGCGAGGATGAGGCGGAGCGCGTGCAGCTGATCAGGCGACTGGGCGGAAAGGTAGTAGAGGGAGATGGTGCAGGCGGTGCCGCCGACGGCATGAGGGCAGTGGATCGGATTGGGCGGGTGGCGGATGCCGGGGAGGGAAGTGGGGCTAGGGTCATGAGGAAGAGGGCAGCTAGCGGAAGAATGTATTAGGTTTGTGGTCTTGGGGCTGAGCCTTGGGCTGAGCCTTGGGCTGAGTATTGGGGCTGAGTATTGGGAAACGGAGTTGTCGGATGGCGCATCAGGCGTCCTGGATGTTGACCTAGCTGGTCCAGCTCGACTTTCGCGTGGTGGTACTTCACTACGTTTTTGTTTTTTCGGCATTCCGACGGTTTCTGGCCTTTGTAGAGCACGAATAAGCTTGTTGGCTATTTTCAGGCAGGGAGCATGGAATACGGGTAAGTGGATCGTGATAGATATCAGGTGATAGCGTTGGGATAGGACTGAATAACGACTCATGGATGTTACGAGAGCATAAGGTATAATTTTAGGAATGCTCATACTATCTTTTATCCTTATTTAACTACACCTTAACAATCGTGTTCGTGATTTACACTTTGCTCTTTCGCCACTCCTCATATCTTCTACTCTTGCTCCTGCCCCTGAAAACGCAATCTAAGCATGACGATCGTCACGTAGGACAATACAAGGTGCGGAAGGTAGTGAGTAACGGCAGATACCGTATGCTCTCAGCAAGGCGATTGAGCCAAGGGATTGGCAATGGCTTAAGGAGAGAGGCCCTTGCTTGGGTACAAACATATCACTGTAGATATTTTTAGTGAATGGAAAATGCAAACTCTTGGTCCGCTTTAATTGCTCTTTCGACAAAAGCAACGAGCGAAAAGAAACAAAGATTATGATCTGCAAACCCCGGGAAGATACAAAAAGAAAGTGGCCACGAAAAGAAAGAACGTAAAAGCAAGCAGCAGAAGAAAACGATACTATGACGTTTGGAATGATGCCAACCGACAGGGCTTCACGCGCCCCAGCCGGAAGACTTTCTTTCTTTTTTAATGCACATGCGCCTTGAGAAACTAGCCTGCATGCGTAGCCAAGCGCCCAGCACAAACCCAGACGTGACATGTTCTTTCATTTCTCTTGATCAGTGCACGAGGAACTCAACCGCAAAGTCCATAATTTCTCTCAATAAGCTATATCGCAATCGCCAAAGGGAAGGCAAGCCTTAGTCATATTAATTCCAATCTCGCTGAAGGCTTCGCAGCCAGTTGAAATGAAAGGAGATCTCTTCTAAGAGGCATCTGAACTGAGCTTTTGGCACTTGCGCTAAATAAATTGACCCGCCCGTAGACCAAGATCAGACCAGACATAACAGAAGGGTGAAAGAAATGAACTGAACTGAACGAAAAGCAGATGTCCTTCCGAACAATCCAAGGGTAGTCTTCTAGAGCAAATGAGTAAAGCCACCCTGGGGTATCAGTGATTGAATGCAAACAATAGTCAGCGATTAAGCCAAAGAATCAATAAGCCATCCGTGCAAGTGTCCCATTTTCTGCTGTTGAAGTTCATGCCATATCCCCCATTGGGATCGTGTCGTACAGATCCCCATCAACTTTCTTTCCGTTTTCATTGGTCGTATTCTCATCACCACAAGGGCACCGTGTTCCTCGAAGCTCAACCCATGTTCTCCGTCCCATTCAAAAGCACGTCTAGTAGATCGTAGCCTCCAACATCTGGCCCATAGGCGTTGCTGTTTACGTCTGCGCCATACGAGTTCAGAAGTGGGTCGAGGGGAAGCGCCAACCAGTCGGCTCCGCCATTCCCGAAGCCGCCGTAATCGCCGTTGTCGCTACCGAACCCAGCGAACTGATTGCTGTTGCTGTTATTGTTGTTGTTGTTGCTGCCGCTACCACCTCCACTTCCGCCATTGTTATTCGAAAGTTGATTTTGCGGGTTGTAGGGCGAACCAAATGTCGGCGGCGGCATGATTGAAACATTATTCGATCCTGGATCATATGTCTCAGTGCTGATACCCCAAAGTGGGTGGCTGGGGTTTGGCGTTGCACGACCATTGGAAGCAACAGGACTGGCAGGACCACTCAGGCCGCTAGAGCTGTAGTTGGGCCACTGGGGATTGTTACCGTTGGCGCCGCTATTGTTGTATCCATGGCCCGGATGAGGGGGTGGCATCATAGGATTGTTGAAATTCTGCTGATTGGACGTAATACCGGACGCGGTAGGCAGGCTTGGGCTTTGGCTTGTGGCGCGGCTGGCCTGTAGTGAACCTCTCCCGGAGCCCGATCCTGCCATGCGCACAAAGCGGGACTTGATACGGGTGATCAGAGTGATTAGCATATCTGCGAAACGATTTCCCACATGCACATCATCGACAATGCAGTTGCGCAATGCTGAGACGGCTTCCTCCATCAGGCCAAGAGAAAGCGCAACGTCATCTTCTGTGGCGCCAAGTGCAAAGGTCTTGAGCAGGATAATGGTGACGGAGATGATGCGAAAGAATGTCCGCACAGGCGCGTGCTTCAAATAACCGCCAGGTTCCAGACCCTTGGTGACGATTTGCAGCACGTTGCGGCAGCCATCAATAACCTCTCGAATGAAGTGACGGTCATCACCGTACCACCGCACAAGCATGTGAGGAGGAATCGTACCAGTCGGCAAGGAGCCCATACCGTTCGCATCACTGGCAGCAGCCGCGGCGGCGGCATGCGTATTCGTGACGCATCTTTCAACCACGGCTTGCAGCGCCAGGGAGTTGATGTAGACTCTGCTGTACTCATACTCAATTGCCAAGACGTCGTGCATAAGTTTGGGAACTGTCTCTGATCAGCAGTACATACGACACCTGAAGAAAGCCACCACTCACTAATATTCTTATACCTGTCCAAGTGGTGGCGGAATTCTCTGAGAATAGGCTGGAACTCGGCCAAAAGCTTCTTGTACTCTTGTGTCCTGATAAGCTCTCGGGTGCGGCGGCGGTTGGAGAACATGTCCTGATTGCCTTTCTCCATAATAACGGCGATCTCCATCCAGAAGTACAAGACCATTTCCTGGCTGTTGATCCTTCTCTCCGTGTTCGGCGAACTACCAGCTTCCTCGCGGATGATCTTCCCGGTTCTTTTCAGCATCGAGAAGCGATCTTGCAAGCGGTCATCAGGGCTCTTGAGAAACGTCTTGTCTCGTTGCGAGCGTGGAAGCATCGAAGTAAGCCCGACTCGACCACTGGTTTGCGTGATGTAGATCAACAGAAGTTCGCGGAGATGGTTCTTCCGCCGATAGTAAGCCTCGACTTTCGCAGGCGGAAGGTGTTTGTTCTCTTCGTTGAAGTCGGTCTCGCTCTTGTCGTCGAAGACGCCGATTTCATAGGCCAAAGCCAGGGCATTTCCGAGCAGCATCCAGCACATCCTGTCGCTCCTCCAACAAGGTTCCAGCCAGTTGTCGATCCTCTGACCGCCTACCCCTCTGTACTGGTCGTTCACCGCCTCAGACAGACAACCGTTGGCCATGTTAGCCATCATCTCCTCATCAGGGGCCATGAGTTCGTCATCATCATCTCCTGGGGGAAAGTGTAAAGCGCGGGGGTGCCACTCGGTGAGGAGCATTAAGCTCTCAACGGTTCCTAAGGTGCGGAGACCCTTTCGAGATAGCGGGTTGACATCGCAACCTTGTTGGGCACCGGCACCACAGAATCCGCCGCCGAACTGTTCCTGGCCCCAAATCATGCGGTCTATCATGCCCTGCAGATAGCTCCATAACTTTTCGTGAATCGCGTACGGGCGGGAGCTGGAGCCGGGGCCAGTCAAGGTCATGTAGCGTGAGGATACGGTCAGGAGAGTGACAACGAGCATGGGCTCCTCGGTGAGCAGAGTGATATGGGACTCATACTTTTCGAAGTTGGGCACGACAATGGGTGTTAGCGGCGACAGATACCTGTAGAAGTAGTCCAAATATGCGATGCCTTCTCTGGCGGTGAACCAGCCTGCACGGACGAACCGGAACCGCGACCATGCCTTGATAGCCTGCTCGAAGCCGCTTTGGGTGTTTACTTCGCTCTGTACTTGGCCTTGTGCGATGGCCGGATCTATCACAGGTTCGGTGGTGGAGCGGGTGCCCGGACTAGGGTAAGGCTGAGAGCCGTTGATCCCAGGGCTGGTCAGATTCGGCTGGGAGCCGGGGGTGGTGGCGCTCAGAGAGGCGGTGCTCATGGTGCGTTGGTGCATGGTGGTGCTGTCGGATCTGTGGTGCTCGATGTCGCCGGTGCGGCCGGCAGCCTCGAAGAGCAGGTTGAGGGCGTCATGGCCACTGAAGACCTCTTTCGACTGCAGGATGGCAGTGGTCTCATTGTTTACCTGCTGCTGATCATCGTGTGAGGACTGCTGACTGGCGTTGGGACGGCGCAGGGGCTGCAGGCGGCCAACCGAACCCCCGGGCGTCAGCGGGCGTTGTATGGGCGGCTGCTGGACGAAGCTGGGGCGGCGCGGGGTCTCAGAGTCTTCGCGTAGGCGCTTGCGGCCGTTGTGGACCTCGAAGTCGGCGGGCTCTTCATCCTCAAGGCCCTCGCCGCCATCCTGGGGCTTTCGCTTGCGGCGGGTGGCGGAAAAGAAGCACTCTTTGCTTTCGCGGCGGCAGCGCACGCACGGCGGGTCGTGAGGGTTGTCAACGGGGCCCAGGTCGCAGCGCACCTTGCGGCGGCGGCAGGGGATGCAGGCCTGGTAGGTACGGGTGTGCTGGGGCTGCTGCGAGGCCGACTTCGCAGGCGGCGAGGCGCTGTCGTGCTGGGCGCTGTGCGAGGGCGTCGAGTTTGACATGGCTGCGTCGAGGTTCAGCGTCTCGGTTTGCGACGGCACAGCGCGCTGAAGCTCCAGAGAGAGGGCTGCGAAGGCGGGGTTTCGCAGCGATCGCCGGTGCCGACAGGTGGGTCGCGCGAGGGTAGAGACGGCGCATCGACAATGCCCGCCAGCCTCGCACCCACTGCCAATTGCGAGCTGTGAGAGGTGGTGAGGACGCGAATGGGCGAAATATGGGGAGGTGTTCGACGGCCGTCGTCAGCGCCGAGTCACGAGTCGCGTCTGGTGCGCCCGCCCGCCTTATGCACGCGCCGGCCAGAGGGGCAAGGCGTGGCAACGCGGAGGAATGCGCGAAGCTTACTTCTCCTCGCCCGTCAAAGAGGCAGGTGCACCTGAGCACGCCCGCTGCGACACGCCTCGACTCAACGGAAATGGCAGGATTGCTCTAGCCAGCGCGCTGCTCGCGTGCCATTGGACAATGCTGCCATCGTGATGTGCCCTCTACCAGTCTAAAGCATTCCGTGCAGTAGCCGCCGTCTCGCACGCCCACGCCCCCTCTCCGCATCCGATCATCGTGAGCCCGCCCGTGTTGTTGTCACCGAACCAAGTAAGGAGGCAAGCCACCCCGCAGCTTCCGATGATTCTGTGGGGTAATCGAAACTACTCGCTCCGCCACTGCTCGAACTCCTCCGCAAGGTGCTCCTTGAGCTTCTGCACGCTCTTGCCGAAGCTCCGCTGGCACCGCCAGCACTGGAACTCCCGGTTGAGATAGCCCCCCTCACCCGGGTGTCTTCTCGCATCGTCTTTCGCGAGTGGAAATGCATCTAGCGGGACCAGGAAAGGCGTCGAAAAGCTGTTGTAGTGCTTCCGGTGCTTCAGGCAGGCCGAGTGTCGGTCTGGGGACAGAACGTGAACATGGAGGTTGGCCATCGACGGGCCAGCGTGGATCCCCACGAGCAGATCCGCCGTCCAGTCCCGTCCTGGCGGCAGCTGCTCCTCGTCAGGCGGATTCTCCGACTCCATTGCCTCTATGCGCGCCCGTTCTTGCCTAGAGAACCGTCCGTACCTGCGGCGGAGCTCACTGCCCACCATCTTCTTCACTCTCTCTGCCTCGGTCTTGCAAGCCTCGAGGAATTGCGCATCCTCAAACGCCTCGAATGGGTGCACGAGCGTTTTTGTCTTGTCCCGGGGTAGGATCAGACAATGGATGACAGACTTTGGGAACAGGTCGTTGATGATGACAAATTCGTCATTGTAGTCGATCACGCGGTCTTTTTCGAACTGTTCAGGCTGGTCGATGTATGCTCCCAGCCCATACATGCCTGGGAATACCTTGGTGCCGACGGTCGTTGACTTGCGGCTTTCTTTTGCCACTTTCGCCGACGACTTGGCCTGCTTGCGAGACATGAGTTCTGTGACTGTCAACACTTAGCATGTGGCCTCCGTAGTATTTTAGTCTACTTACAAGCATTAGGACGCTTGTCGCCTGTGGAGCTGGAGGTGTCAGCTATCGTCTCTCCCTTCACTTCCTCGCCACTGGTGGGATGCTCGTGTTCGTTGCCAATTGCTGCCATGGCTGGAAAGGTTTGAGTAAATCTCTTCAGCGAGGTACTCGCACTAGAGCTTGTGCCTCCAAGTTTGATTGGAAAGCGGGTTTGTGCAGTGAAGGGAAATGGTGTTAGGAAACGACTTTGCGTCATGGGCCGTTAAGTGGTTGCCGGCGGGGTTTGTGCGGTGAGCGTGGCCGGGGCGCAGAAAGCGAGGCGGGAGCGGCAACGCAGGAAGGCGCGTGCGGGCCGTGAATTTCGTCGACGGGTCGCCGATCTTGAGCTTTTCCCCACGCCGTGCATCGCGATGGCTTCACCACTGCACCTCCGTCACTCCGGCCCGCCCGACACTCGCGAGGATGCCCAAGAATCCTCATCCTCCGCGCGGAGGCGGTGGCTCCAAGAAATCCGCCCCTCCCCCTTCGGGCGCTGAGGACACCAGTTACATCGTCTTCTCCAACTCGAAGGGGGATTCCAAGAAAGGCAAAAAAGCGGACAACGCTGCCAAAAATGACACCAACGATAAAGGCAAGGTGAAGACTAAGGGCGCGCCTGAGCAGCCTGAGGATGCGCCTAAGAAACCCGACGTGCGCACCATAATCGGCGGCGCGTCGTGGACCGGGAAGCTGCCTGTAAACATGCTCTCGGAGCACTGCCAGAAGCAGAAGTGGGAAAAGCCCGAGTATACAATGGTATACATCAGTCGCTACGCATGCTCATGTTCCTTGGTTTGCTAACGTTCTGCAGAACAAGGTCAAAAATGGCTTCGTCTCGCATGTAATCCTCAAGGCCACGAACCCAAAAACCCGCGAGACTACCACCCTGCCTCCCATAAGGCTCCCGACTGAGAAGCAAGATCTTGCGCTGCAACCGACCGCTCTCGAAGCCCGTCACTTCGCTGCCACCTATACCCTTTTCCGCGTCGCTTCCATGAAGAACATCCACATGATGATGCCCCCGACATACAAGGACTTGTGGAAGGGCGCATTCACGGACATGAAGAAAGAGGATGTCAAAAGTGGCAAAGGTTGGATGTACGAAGCTGACCCTTTCGTTGCCCAGAAGGAGAGGGAACAGGCTAAGGTCGAGGCTGAGAAGAAACGAGAGGAAGTTGCGAAACAGCGGGAGAAGGAGAAAAGCCAGTCCACGGGCATTGGAGCACAGTCGAGTGGTGGGAGTAACATCATGCGCGGCTGGACTCGTGTTCCGAAGCTCGACATGGGTAAGAGGATCCGCGCAGAAATCGAGCGCTTGATTCGGCGGGATGCTGTTTGGAACCCCCATAGCGTCAAGATATCACCCGCCGAACGCTCTGTCCTTATTGATGAGGTTGTCAAACTGGGTTTCCGCAAAAGCCACGTTGAAGAGGCCGCAGAAGTTTGCAAGGACCGGGAAGAAATTCTCGAATGGTTACTCATCCATGTGCCGGAAGATGATCTTCCGCCTTGGAGTCTGCCTGAGGGCTATACTGCAGGCATTAGCATGGCCAGCGGAAACTTGAAGCGGGAGGCGGCTGTCAAGCGTCTCGCGGCCACTGGTTATGCTGTGGAACTTTGCGAAGAAGCCCTTGATACATTCGATGGCGATGAAGCTAAAGCGGCTGGCTTGCTGCAAGCCCGGCTCTTGGGTGACGACGAGCTTGCAGAGCAACTGTCTGGCGCAACAATTGCTGATGAGAGTGGGTGGGACGAGGACGTTTGGGCCGAAGAACAGATCATTCTGGCTTCGATTTATGACGAAAAATATTCCACTGCTGGACCGGATCAATGCCAAATTCGACTCGAAATTGCCGATGGGACCAAAACCGAATTTTTATTAAACGCGCGCCGGCCTGCGGGACTGTATCCAAACATCCTACCCATTATCTCGATTAACGCAAAAATTCCAGCCTACATCCGGTTGAGCATCATTAGACAAGCATTGAGCCACGCGAAGGAAAACTTCCTCGGCGAGCAAATGATTTTCAACATTGTGGACTGGTTGGAGCATGAGATACCTTCCATAATCGACAATCCGGGAAGACTTACGGATGTTTCTTCTGCAATTTCCGCGGCAGATACGGGTGTTCATGCTGAAGCGATCAAACAAAAGGAGAAGAGACAGCGTCGGCCCAAACCAGTCAATTTACGACCAGGTTCTCAGGCCAGTCAACGCGCACTTGAACAGTGGCAAGCCAAACAGACTTCCCCGGAACAACAGCGCATGCTTCGCGCGAGGCAAAACCTGCCGGCTTGGAAATTGCAGCAGGATATCGTTGATGCGGTCAAAAAGTATCAAGTCGTCATTATTTCTGGAGAGACTGGATCTGGAAAGTCTACGCAGTCAGTTCAGTTCATCCTTGATGACATGATTCAACGTCAGCTTGGTGAAGCAGTCAACATTGTCTGCACGCAGCCTCGGCGAATCTCCGCGCTTGGGTTGGCGGACAGAGTCGCCGATGAGCGTTGCACTGCCGTTGGCGACGAGGTCGGCTACTCAATTCGTGGCGAGTCTAGACAGAAGCCTGGAGTCACAAAGTTGACATTTATGACTACCGGTGTTCTCCTTCGCCGGCTTCAAACGTCGGGTGGCCGCCCTGAAGATGTGGTAGCGTCCTTGGCTGACATTACTCATGTTGTAGTTGACGAAGTTCATGAGCGCAGCCTGGATACAGACTTCCTTCTCGTTCTGCTGAGGGATGTCCTGAAGAAGCGCAAGGATCTTCGGGTCATTCTTATGAGTGCTACTCTCGACGCGGATGTGTTTGCATCTTTCTTCAAGCCTGCCGTGGGCCAGGTCGGAATGGTGGAAATAGCGGGCCGCACGCACCCTGTGACGGACTACTATGTTGACGATGTCATTCGAATGTCTGGCTTTAACGGCCACACAGCAGACGAAGACTGGGAGGACGAAGAGACCCAGAAGAGCATCGGTGGCACGCTGAGGAGTATTGGCATGCGGATCAACTATGACTTGATCGCGCAAACGGTACAGTACATTGACATGGAACTGGGGTCCCAGGACGGTGCCATCCTTATCTTTCTTCCTGGAACAATGGAGATCGATAGGACGATACAGGTAAGCTGCGTGCACATATCATACTAAACATCTGTAATGCTGACAATATCTAAGGCCCTCCGCTCCATGCCAAATCTGCATGCTCTCCCGCTCCATGCGTCTCTGCTTCCAGCTGAACAGCGCCGAGTCTTCCCTCCACCACCTAAAGGCAAGAGAAAGGTGATTGCGTCTACCAATGTTGCGGAGACTTCAATTACCATCGAGGATGTCGTGGCCGTCATCGATACCGGTAGGGTCAAAGAAACAAGCTTTGACCCAGCAAACAACATGGTTAAGCTTGCAGAGACATGGGCGTCTCGTGCTGCTTGCAAGCAGCGCCGTGGTCGTGCTGGCCGTGTCCGGGCTGGAACTTGCTACAAACTCTATACGCGAAACGTCGAAAAAGACAAGATGATGGAGAGACCTGATCCCGAGATCCGACGAGTCCCTCTAGAGCAACTTTGCCTGTCCGTCAAGGCAATGGGCGTGAAAGATGTAGCTGGCTTCCTTGCGGGTGCTTTAACACCGCCTGACAGCGTCGCAGTGGAAGGTGCTCTGGAGCTCCTCGGACGAATGGGAGCCATTGATGGTGATGAAATGACTGCTTTAGGCAGACACCTTGCTGTTGTCCCTGCTGACCTTCGATGCGCAAAGCTCATGGTATATGGAGCAACATTCGGCTGCCTGGAGCCTTGCCTCGTCATTGCATCCATCCTCACTGTCCGCAGTCCTTTTGTGTCGCCTCAGGCCAAACGAGAAGAATCAAAGGCAGCCCGGTCAGCGTTTGGTAAGGGCCAAGGTGATCTCATTGCAGACTTGCGCGCCTACGAGCACTGGGCCGGCCTCAAGGAAAAAGGCATTTCGCCCCGAGACCTACGTGCTTGGTGCGAGCAGAACTTCCTCAGTACCCAAACCCTCAATGATATTACCTCTACCCGGCGGCAATACCTTTCCTCGTTGCAGGAGACGGGCTTCATTCCTCTACGATACTCATCTTACAGCGACTCTGCTGCACAGGTGGTCGCCTCGCTGAACCGTCACAGCGCCAACGATTCCCTCATTCGCGCCCTCGTCGCTGGCTCTTTCAACCCTCAGCTTGCCCGAATCGACTTTCCAGACAAGAAGTTCGCAGCATCTGTGTCTGGTGCGGTGGAGCTCGACCCTGAAGCCAAGACTATCAAGTACTTCAACCAGGAGAACGGTAGGGTTTTCGTTCACCCAAGCTCGACCTTGTTTGATGCACAAGGATTTCCTGGCGGTGCGGCCTTCATGAGTTACTTTACGAAGATGGCGACGAGCAAGGTTTTCATTAGGGATTTGACACGTAAGTCTTTGTCACAGGAGGCTCCTCAATATGTTAACACAGCTCGCTAATCAAATCATTACAGCATTCAACGCTTACTCTTTGCTGCTGTTCTCCGGACCAATTACGCTTGACACGATGGGCCGCGGTGTCGTAGTAGACGGATGGCTGCGTCTGCGCGGATGGGCCCGTATCGGTGTCTTGGTTTCGAGACTACGCATGATGCTGGACGATGCATTGGCAAGCAAGATTGACGATCCGACTACAGACTTAGCGGGTAGTGACGTTGTGGGTATTGTAAGGAAACTGGTCGAACTTGATGGGCTGGATCGGTGAGAGGAATAAGAGACCTGCTGCCTAGCAGCGACACAAAGCTTCAGAAAGCCATGAGATGACCATCTAGCGAAACAAAAAGTATTCCTTATCATTCTACTATCCCAGAAATTTAGCCCGGCGTTTGACTCGTGAAAATACAGGTGTGGCGGTGGGTTTGGTTGTTGTACTTTGGTGAAATTGCTAACTTCCTTAGTATTGTCTTTCGTATTGTTCACTATGGCGGTACGATTCCATTATCGCAAGTGCTGCCACATTCGAGCCTTCGGGCCTATCTTTGTCCTCTTTGTACAATTTTCACAGATATATTTCCCCTACAACAGTGATCTAGTATACCCTTTCCGAAGATACCAGTCATCACTTACCCAAGTCTATCCTTTACCGAACCAAAACACCCAATCCAGAACCATGAAGCTTACAACCGCCTTCCTCCCCCTCCTCGCCACCCTCACCACCGCCACCCCCACCAACAGCAGCTTGTTCGAGGAAGTTTCCCTCATCCCAGCCGACGTCGGCCCGGCTTTCACCAACGGCTCCTCGCTCCAAGTAGCGACGCCGCCAGGCCAGAAGCGCGGCAACGGCTGGGTCGGCATCTACTACTGCCGCAACAACGGCTGGCGCGCGCCCTGCGCGCACACGTGGATCAAGATCAACCAGTGCATGAACTTCCCCCGCGGCTGGGACAACAACATCAATTCGTTCGGCCCGGACCCGGGCTCGCACTACTGCATCCTGCACAGCCAGCCCGGCTGCAAGGGCGGCGAGCCCAAGTTCAGGATCAAGCACCCCGGCACGGCCAAGACGTCCGAGTACGGGATCGATCGGACGGTGAGCAGTGTGAGGTGTAACTACTAGATAGAGTGGACGAGAGGATTGGTATGTATTATTAGGACGCGTGGGGAAAATTAAAATAAAAAATAAGATAAGGTACCTTAGAAGCGTTCTGAATCTCGTTTGACAGTTGCACTTGATTGCTGCTGAATCGGGTGGAAGCCTTGAATCTGTTCATGGTCAGAAGGCTTTGGTTGGGGAACTTGCTGCACGGGTATGGCTTCCATCCAATCTCTTGAGCTATGGCAAAAGACATAATGAGAACGAGCCGATAAAAGAAGATTGACGAAGAGCTCATGGGCCCAGAATGACACAAGATTACCATATGTGCGATAGGTAGAATCCCAGGAACCACAAAGAGAGGCGAGAAACAGAAAGAAGCAGAGCTCGATATCATTCGCGCTACCTACGCAGTCAGTACCTGTCCTATTCTACATCCGTTTTTTATCTCCGAGAAAATAGACCAGCGGTATCCGCTTTGCCCGAACGACGTTGATCTGAAGTCTGATCATGTCACGTAAAGAGAGGCAGCAGCTGAATGAAACAAAGCAACATATAGGAAAAAAGCAGGTCTCCCAGCGAGTGGTAAGATCGTCGTAGTAAGAAATTAACACATCTAGAGCGCAAAGAAGATCTGCTAGATGCATGCCTGACTCACTTTAGTGATCTTACCTTCTCCATTCTACACGTTTTGAAAAAAAAAAGCAGTGCCTTTGGGAAATCACTACCACACCGACTACCTACCCAGCTAGGCACGTATACGGCCAACCGGCATTATACCTACCGCACCCTCGGATTGAGAAGAAAGGATGAAGGCAGTAAGTCCAGAAGAAAGAGAGTTAAAACTAGCTTTTCAAGAACCGTGATCCGGGCGACCAAGAGGAATCCATGCGCAGAAACTCCGCAGTCGACGGTGGGAGTGCTACTAAGACAGCCGAAGAAAAAAGAGAGCATTGAGGGCAACACACAGCGCTTGAGAGCTGGCAGCCGTATTTTCCAAGCAGGGTCGTTTCCAACGAGTTTTCTCTGGAGGACGTTTTGGCAGCAGAAAGCATTGACCGCCTCTGTATCTTGGTGTTCAGACGTAGCAATACCTTGTGACGCCTTACCCTGAATGACTGACAGAAGGCAAATGTGGCTGAGGAAGTGGGTCCGTAGAAAATGGCTTCCTCTCGACGCAATGTGCATGAGTCTTCAAGTAATGGTGCCTTACCCTTGTTGAAAAAGGGGTGTAGATCTTGGATGGAGGCGACAAAACTTCGAAGAAGAAAAAGGTAACCTTTTGTTTGCACAAACCAATAGCGTCATGAGAGGCTGAGCTGGGACGGACATGAGGCCGCGCTCAGTACCTGCGCTTGCTCCTGGAGTCTTCGTAGCTGTCGCCATCGTAGCCGCGCTTGCGGGATGAGTAGTCGTCGCGGCCATACCCACCGTCGCGATCGCGGTCGCGATACTCGCGCCTCGATCCCACTGGCTCCCGGTTGCTACCGCTGGCACCGCGGTCCCTGTCGCTGTACCTGTCGCCACCATAGCGACTGCCTCCATATCCACCACCACCACCACCACCGCCGCCGCCAGGGCCATCGCGGCCACCGTAGCCGCCAGATCTACCGCCGCCGCGAGGACCTGCTGGCGCGCCCTCTGGAGGTGCTTGACCACCCCAGCCGTTCGACTGGTAGCCGATTCCGGACCTGCCTCCGTATCCACGGTCACCGCCACCACGGTACCCACCACCTCTGTCACCTCCGCCGTAGCCGCCGCCGCCTCCACGGAAGCCGCCGCGACCGCGAAAGCCCCCACCATATCCTCCTCTGAAGCCACCTGGTCCCGAGGGAGCTCCAAAACCACCAGGACCTGAGGGGCGAGCGGGGAGTGCTTTGGTGTATCCGCGTCCACCAAGTCCTCCACCAAGGCGGCGGGGGCGCCAGCCTGAAACGGTACGGCCACGCTCGACGTCGACCAGAACTCTACGGTCCTTGATGCGGATTCCATCGGTCTCTTTGTAGGCAGCTGCATGATGAGACGACCAAGTGGCCACTGTGTCAGTCGAACAATCGCATGTTTTACCTTGAGATCTGGAGCATTGTCTGGAAGGTAAGGGGGAAAGTAACGGGGGACGATTTACCCTTCATATCTTTCTCACGCTCATAAACAATGAATGCGTAACCTCTATTCTTCTTCTTAGAAGGCGCATCTTCAGGCTTGGTCGTGTCTTGTACAATGCGAATCTACCAGTCATGTCAGCCACGGAAGCAAAGTGGGAGAAGCAATCCTACCCTCTCGATTGGACCAAAACGACCGAATTCGCGCTCCAGGTCCTTGGTTTCAGTGTCGTAGGACAACCGCGCGACAAACAGCGTCCTGAAGGGGTCGCCTCGCACGTTGGGGTCGTCGGCAGGCTTGACTGTTGGGGATCATTTAGCCCACATTCCAAACACTGATCACAGGTGAGACAAACAGTTGGCGACACCCTCAGTGAGAGTCTTCTCGATCTTCTCAGCCTTTTCTCGCTTCAGTCGATCCTTGCGCTGCAACCAGCTCTCGGTAGGCACGTAATCGTCCTCGTAGTCCTTGAGCGCCTGCAAGTAGCTGCCGACGCCATCAATCTGCATCGTCTTGCGTGCTTCGGGCGCATGGTCGGACGGCGGCAGGTAGCGCAGTGCCGGGCGCGGCGCGAAGAGCGCGAGCAGGTTTGGGGGTAGCTTGTCCGTCATTGTGGGCGCGATCGGTATGTACTGGCGACTGGGTTCACAGGTAGGAAGTCCCCTCGATCGTCGATGATGCGCAGGACCCCGAGACGGGTTGTGCGGGCGATGGATGTGGTCGAGGTGCGCGTTGGATGGCGCGACAGGCAGACGAGAGAACAGGACGCGCGAGCTTCAAGGGCGGTGGCTGCCGGCAGAAAGTCGCCGCTGCGCCCGAAAACACCACGAGCAGCATCACGCCGTGCAGCACCCAACCGCCCCACGCCGCCCACCATGCCTCTCGCTGCTCTGAAGACTGTGGCCAAGAGCCAGGTATGTCTGCCTCACGGGTAGCGTTGCCGGAGCTGGACGCACGCGTCCGTTCGTTCTTCAATGCTCCGGCCCTTTTCTGGAAGATAATTCTGGATCGCGTAGCTAACCTCACTTTACCCACAGAACGGTGTCGGCGCTTTCATTCGGCAATGCAAGCGCCTTGACTTCCACTACTGCGACTGGTCCGGTTCATCAAAGGGCATGAAGTCGTTCCTTGAGCACACACTCCCCGCTTTCGCCAAGAGGAACCCGTCCATCGAGATCACCGTGTCGCCGCGCCCCCGCAAGGAGCCAGTCATCAAGGGCTACTACATCAACGGCCGTACCAAGGCTATCTGTGTCCGCAAGCTTGAGAAGGAGCAGATCCTCCAAAAGGCCAATCTGCTGCGCGACGCCTCCGGCGAGCGGAACCGCCGCACCATCAACAAGCCCGTTAAGAGTTTGAACGAGAGCGTCAGGGGCATCTGGAGTCCCTTTCATGGCGCGAAGTACCAAATATGATGGGCTTACAAGAATGACCGAGCTGTTGAGAATGGCGATGGAGTGTGGAGCACGGCAGACAGCTTTGTACAACGGCATGGGCGGCGCATCAATTGGGATTCTGGCTTGTATATATACGCGTATTTATGGACGACGGCATGCCAATGAAGGCAGCTTATCGAGGAAGATACACCAAGAAGTTGACAAAAGGATATTTGATTCTTATTTTCGGCTATCGTAGCGGATCCTCATCTCCGTTCAGTCATTACAGATTCCCTTTTCCATAGATTCACTGGTTCGCGTTGATGATGTCAACGAAAGCGGGCTTCAAGCTGGCACCGCCAACCAGGAAGCCGTCAATGTCGGGCTGCTTGGCCAGATCCTTGCAGTTCTTCTCGCTGACACTGCCACCGTACAGGATGCGGGTCTTGTCCGACGCCTCGGCGGAGACGTCCTTCTTCAGCCACTCGCGAATGGCAGCGTGCACCTCCTGAGCCTGCTCAGTGGTAGCAACCTTGCCGGTGCCGATGGCCCTGCAGAAGTTAGCATTGAAGACTCGGGCGAAACGGGCAAACTCACCAAACGGGCTCGTAGGCAATGACGATCTTGGACCAGTCCTTGACCTGGGCAGCGACGGCCTTGAGCTGGTTGACGACGACGTCGATGGTCTTGCCAGCCTCGCGCTGCTCCAAGCTCTCACCGCAGCAGAGAATGACGCCGAGGCCACCGTCAATGGCAGCCTTGGTCTTGTTGGCGATGAACGAGTCGTCCTCCTGCAGGATGACCCTGCGCTCCGAGTGGCCGAGGATGGTCCAGGTGATGCCGGAGTCCTTGAGCTGCTCAACGGAGATCTCGCCGGTGAAGGCGCCGTTGGGCTTGTCGTAGACGTTCTGAGCAGCGACCTCGATGCCCTTGCGCAGGTGCTCGCGGGTCAGGAGCAGGTACAGCGCGGGAGGAGCAATGACGACCTCTAAAGGCGCCCGTGTTAGCTACAATTCTTCGTTTTACAGATGGTGTGGTGATGGAAAACGACGCGGGTGGCCGTGGGCTGAGGTGGCACGAGCTACTCACCGACGTTGGGGTCGAGCTGGGCGTTGTTGAGGTTGCTGACAAGACTCTTGATGGACTCAATGGTCCCGTTCCTGCGAGAGAAGCATTGTCAGTCTGGCCTGTCGCTGCTTCCGAGGCCGGGCGGCGGCGGCGGCGAGGGGGAAAAAAGCTCGACGTACATCTTGAAGTTACCACCGACGAAGAATTGGCGAGGCATTTTGGCGGTTGTTGCTGTGCGAGGTCTGCTAGGAAAACAGTAGGGGTATCAGTTGCTGAGTGGAGGCAGGGTGCTAGATGGAGCTTAAATGTGGGAGGGAAATGAGATAGGGAGAGGGTCGTACTGTTGCGGTGGTTTTGTTATGATGTGAGATCAGCTGGGTGCAGAAGGTTTGGCTGGCGTCATGGCGGGGCAGGAGGGGCATCGGTCGGGCCTTTTAGGAGCTCATCGCTCCCAAACTCCCGATTCCTAACAACTCACCTCGCCGTGAACTCCGATCATCCATCACCTCGGCATTCCGCTGGGCCGCCTAACGCTGCGCTGCGCGTCCTGCTTATTCGCTGCTAATTCTGCCTCATTCGGCCGGCCCTGCAGCCTCATCTGCACGGCCCCAGCTCGCCTACCAGCCAACAGCATGTACGCATGAGCTGGCACACGTCCTGTGGCCTGCTGTCCGAAATGATGAATCCCATCCGCAGTGCCAACAGATATATGTCGTGTGGGAGCTCCGTCTCTGCATCCCGCACTCAGTCGCCGGCTCGAATGGGAGAAGGTCACTTGATGGAGAGAGCGAATTGGATTCATTGAGAAAGAGCCAGGCCGTTTCTATCTCGACTAAGAAAGAATTGAAGGGTACCAGCCCTCTTCGTTTTCCTCCACGTCAGTCTATCCTGTTGCTTTCTACCACCAATCATCTCTTCGCCCGTACCGTCGGCCCCTCGTCTCATCCGCCGCCGCCTCCAGAGTCCGTACTCTCTGCTTTCGCATGTAGAGATCCAGATCTGCCTGCGCTGCTGCCTCCCTCTCAAGCAGCTCCTCTTCCTCCAATCTCCTCATCGCGTCGGCTCTCCTCCATGGCGCCTCATACGCGTTCACCTCTGGCGCTGGCGGCAGTCTCATTCTTCCTCCCGACCGGGGTCTTTCGTGGTATTGATTCGGCGGACTGTATGCCCGGTGCCCTCTATCTGTCAGGGCGGGGTGCGGAGCACGGTATCGGCGATAGTCCTCGCCAGGATCAAAGCGGCGCTGTTCCATGGCGTCGTAACCGCCATTCTCATAGTATCCTTCCGCATCCACCGGGTAGCCTCCTGGCTGGCGCTGATAGCCGCGCAAGATCGGCCGATGCTGTGGAGACGGCTTCTTGTGTTCGCGGGTCATGCCGACAGTGGGGTAGTCGTACCTTTCCCTGCTGTATGACCGGTGGTGATGTCGGGGCGGCGAACCCGACGACATGGACGACGGCCCTGTGGACCAGTCATCGTTGTCATCCTCGCTGCTACCAGGAGTGAAGCCATAGTTCTCCTCGCTACTGCTGCCGTAGTACCTTTCGTGCTTCGGACGGTTGTGTGCTCTGTGGTGACGGTCTCTGTTCTTCTCTCGCGGGATCTTGTTATTGATGATGATTGTTGGGTTCTGGTGAGGCTCAGCCTCGCGGATCTTAGGCGACTTCCTCTCCCTCTCTCTCGATTGGCCCCGGCCGAAGGGCATTGAAACACGAGGCATGTCGCCGCTCTTCTTGCCCTTGACGGTGGGCTTGTGTGGTCTGCCGAAGGACGATCCAAGAATCGAATCATCGTCGTCGTCCAGTTCGTCTGAGAATTCGCTTTCAGGGATTATCATTGGAGGGCTCGGTCCCTTTCCTGCTTTCTGGCCTCCGGAGGCAACAGGAGGGGGTCCAACGGAGCCACGGCCAGCAGGACCATGCGCGCCAGCGCCAGCGCCACCACCAGCGCCACCCTTTTGAGCGCCGAATGAAGGGGCTATTGGTGGAGGTGGAAGTACTGTTGGTCCACCCGTAGGCCCACCAGCAGGCCCGCCAATAGGTCCTCCACTAGGTCCGCCGACAGGCCCGCCACTGGGTCCTCCAACAGGCCTGCTACCAGGTCCGCCACCAGGTGCGCCAACGGGTCCACCAGGAGGTCCGCCAAAAGGTCCGCCCATAGGTCCGCCGGCAGCGGGAGGTCCTCCAGGATTCATGGCGGGTCGCGGAGCACCACCCGGCGGAGCACCACCTAGACCGAGACCTCCGCCAGGGGCAGCGCCAAACGGCTGCTGATGCAAAGGCTGCGTTCCCTGATGAGGCCCCTGCCCCTGCCCGTTGAGCAAATCGATTATCACGCCGGGTAGCCCATCTCCAATCGGGGCACTGGCGCCGGGGGCATCTCTTCTCGGCCCTCTCCTCAACACGACGCGCATCTCCCGGACCTCCCTAATCTTGCCACGGTCCCTACGGATGTACTCGGCTATATCCTGCTCGATACACGCCAAGGTCCACTCCGCATTCTGGTTTCGCTCCTCGGCTTTTACGGCCTCGAGTAGACCGTCGACCAATGCGCGCTGATGTGACGACCGGAGGGAGTTATACTGCTCGGACACGGTGCCCTTTCCATTCCCCTTCTTGTTCGACGACGAAGTTGGGGAAGTGGTTGTGGTCCGGTTCACGATGCGAAGAAGCTCGTCGGCCGAGTAGGGCAGTGGTGTCTTGCGCGCGCGGGCCCACGACGGCTCAACGCCCGGCTCGCGGTCTTTGCGGAAGGACCAACCGTGGAAGCTGCGGGTCACAGGGCCCGTCGCGTTGCCTAGTTGATGATCGAGCGGTCGGTGTATGTTGGCATTGGGGCGGCCTCCTGGCCCCCCAGGTCCCAGTCCTCCTGGTCCTCCTGGTGGCATGCCGCCTGGTCCTCCGCCAGGGCGACCACCAGGCATGGCTGCTGCGCCTCCACCTCCAGGTACTGGCGGTCGCGGCGGACCACCAGGTCCGGGACCTGCGCCCGGCATGGGTGGAGGAGGTGGTGGGCCGGGCATGGCGTCATACATGGAGGTCATAACTGAAGACGGGATGTCGTGAGCGTGACCAATGGTTGCGCTTCAGGCTGCGACACCCGTGTAGGCAGACGAGACACAGATGAGGCGCAGTTGGACAAGAGAAAATGAGGCAGAAGAGAAGGACGACCGGTGAGAGATAAGACCAAGGGGAGGAAGAAAAAATGATGTTCAAGGCGGGAAGTCAGGTTGACTGCAAGGCAGATTGGGGGCTGGTTCCTGGGAAAGGCAGCGTATGAGGATGAAGAGTTGGCTGGTATGTGTGATAGCCGGGATGACTCTTGCCAGACGGTGAGTGCTTCGCCCCACGCACCGTGGTCCTGCTGAGCTATTAAATAGACCCGCGGCTCATCCTTCGTCCCAACTCAGTCGCACACTCGAATGTTTCTCTCTCCCGGCGAGAACCAAGATGATCTCCGCATTTGCGTGCAGCCCCAGTTGCGGGTTGGCCAATCGATCGTCCGTCAGCCAGCCAGCCCGTCGGGGCCTACGACAACCATGGCCTGGAGCCGTGCTACCGGGTCTAAACGGCCCTGACACCGGTGAGATGGAAGCAAAAAAAAAAAAAAATAGCTGCCTTGCAGCGCGGAAACGATGTCCCATGATGACCCCACGTATCAGCCTTGCCCAGCGCCCCCGACGAGTAGTAAGGCCATTTTAGAGCCTCATTTTCCTCACCGGTCTTGACCAGGATTGCAGCATGCATTTCAGCAACTGCTGCTGACGAAAGCGGACAGCCCGAGATGCTGCAGAACGTCGAACTTGGGATTTCAAAGCAACGCAGGGGAGGTGGCCGCGTGCCTGGTCACAAGTCCAACCAGAAACGCATCATTGGTGCAAGCTTAGCCAAGTCCGAGGCCGAAGTTGCCTGATGGCGTCGCCGGAAGACACCGCGAAGATTTACAGGCTTGCAGGAGTGTTGTCTCTGGGTTCAGAAAGAAAGATAACGGCGCTAACAAAGAGGGCGTAGGTGCAGCAAGATTTAGTCTCAATCACCCACAACATCCTCACGCAATTGAGCACGAGGAAGGCTGTGTGGCAAGACATTGAGCTCTTTCCACCCAATGACGGAGCGCACGCTGAGGCAGAAAGGCCAAGAGCTCGAAGCGGGCAAATGAGGCGCAAGAGGCCGCCTGCCAGCGCAGACTATCGCCGTTGCGCGCTGCGCACGCCTCACACGCGCGCGTTTGCGCGCAGGAGCAGCTGAATCAACCCCACTCGCAAATCAGCCTTGCCAAGGTTGTTGGCCCGGTAAGCTGAAGAAGAAGCGCCTTCGCAGGCAGCAGTCCTGGCGCCCGCCCTCTCTGCCCGGTTTAGCTTCCTTGATCCTGAACGACGCCCCATTCTGCATCTACCCCTGTCTATTGTTCAAAATGCAAGAATTACGCGCAGGGCGAGACATTGAGCGAAATAACGGAGAACAATAAGCCGTTGTGCAATGGAAAGGCAGAATTTTGACTTCTAGAGACGTTCAAATAACGCTTCTGCCTGTGTGCTACTTTACAAAGTAGTATACGAGGTGTGACAGCCTTATATTGCAACAGCATGCAAAGACTTGTGCCAGGTAAGTGAGAAAAAGAAAACCGACAGCGCTGTCAACCTGCAAGGCTGTTCACACGTCCTGGCGAACTCCTCCAGAAAAAGAAAAAGAAAAACAGCAAGTCAAGGATCAATCATCCGCTTTGCTCGCAACCGCGCACACGCGCGACTGCGCCCCAATTTAGCGCCGTTTGCCTTCTTTCTTACCTTCCGGGTAGCCTATCGGACTGAGAGGAGAGAGAGATGAGAAAGTGAAGGCGGAATAGGCAACGGCAGTGCCCGCGGCAGCATGACCATGACGACCGACCGTTCGCACGGCTTCCCCGATCCGCGCTCGCCGATGACGACCCGAGACATTCATCGACACCCCCCGCCACAACGGCACGGCGCGTTGTGGAGTATAACGGCTAAAAGTGGGGAAGGTGGCGGCGAAGCGGGGATGAGATGACGCGACATCAGCCAGATTTCTGACTGACCAGGTACTTTACAGCCTCTACCTCAGGCTCACACCGCCCGACTGCTGCCGGTGTTCAACAATCAGCTTGGTAGCGGGGCAACGCAACACGAATAGAAAGGGCGGTGCCGCGCGGACGAGCGCTGCCGAAAAGGGAGAATGCTAGGCTCGAGTGGCCAGCGGCCATCCGGCTGGTCCTGCAAGGCGAAGGGCAACACGCCTGGCAGGGCAAATGCTCGGCCTTGCAAGCGACCCTCCATCTGCCCCTCCTCGTCCGTGTTTTCAGCCTCAGCCTGGTCTTTGAACCCCACGGTTCAGCCAATCCTTTCAAGAACACCCTGTCCACCGGTGAATGGACGCGCATATGTACGTCAAGAAGGTAGAAGACGGGCATGAACGCAACCCCAGCCGGGTAGCCCCACAGCAGAGCCGCACGGCTCCACGTGTTCTCGCGTTGTCTCGAGGTCCCCCCGGGAGACGCAAGCGCTACGTACTGTATGTACGTACCTGCCGCTCGTAATGCGGGACAACGTTGCACCGACAGGTACGTACCACTCCTCCATCCAGCATGACATGCCAGTGAAACGCGCGAATGCGAGCTAGGATGCCCATCTTTCGCTCCCGATCCTTCTCTTCCTTGCGAAAGCAAGAGAAACGGCGGCGCAGGCGGACAGGGATTCGACCAGCGCCGATCTTCTTCTTTCTCCGACGTTGCGTTCGCGCACCGGCATGCAGGATGCGTTGGCACGGCTGCCTAGCGTAGACAAGGGAGGAGGCTCGCCAGGCCTGGAGGCAAAACATTTCTGGCCTCGGCGTCTTGGGGGGGTGCAACTAAATCGGACTCAAAAGGTAGGAAAGGCTAAGACGAAGGATGGGGGCTACTGTGGCGTGCTTGACCGGTGAACGCTCCAACACACGCAGATAAGCACATGCGAAGCAAGGCTGAGGTCCATCGTCGATTGAATGAAGGAAAGCCGAGCAGGTAGGCACCGGACAAAGAATTGGTCATTCATTGCAATCATATCTCAAATCGCAAAACATCTTGCTTTTGGTGGTGACTGTTTCAAGTAAGCACGCATGGTGATACGCAAACGCGTATCTCGTAGTGCATGGGAGCACCACATGAGAGCGCTACGTCTTGTCTGCATCAGGTACAGGGGTTCCCGGACTACTGTGTATGTACTTCAGAACGTCGTGCCACGACCTCAAGAAAAAGAAGCAGGCGAGAATTGATGCCAACGTTGCAGCGAGTGAAACAATTCTATCATGGACAACAGGTAACTTTCTCAATTGATTCATTGCTCCAAACTTGCATTGAGCTTTACGTGGATTGTTTTTCATTCACCGCCGAGATGTGGCGGCTTAAATAATAGTCTCTCAACCTCCGTCTCAATGTACATTGGAATCCGCCCAAGGTTCATTAAAAAAATTAGGTATTATCCATAGCGCAGTCCATGCGGCTAGGCTGCACATCATGAAGTGAACAACGAAATGCGAAGCAGGGATCGAAGGCCGCAAAACAGTGACCGACCCCATTGGCTTCATCCGAGCTGATGATATCGTTACATTGAGTGCGAAAACGCGCGACGCCGTGTTCTTTATGCATGTCCCAGGTTCATGATCCCGGCGCGGGACGAAGGGACGCGAATCGCTGCGTGATCTAATCGTTGAAGAAGCCACGAGTGGAGGACGCAAAGGCTGGCTGAAAAGGCAGGTGTGAACCGGCGAAGCCGGGCGCCCATGGCTTATCTCAGAGCGACCTTGACGTCTTGTACGCCGCGCTTGAGGACATCGTCAAGCTTCCATCTGGGTGGAGTGACTTGCGGCATCTTGCCGGCCATCTCCATTTCTCTCTTGTAGTCCTGCTCCATCTGGCTGGTAATGCCCTCAGGCAGGGGCTCGGCACCGCCCGCGATGCCGCTGGAGAACTTGAGCTGTAGGATGTCGCCGATCTCGTCACAGGCAGCAAGCAGGCGGTCAAGATCATCCTTGGTGTGAGCGGCCGAAACGCAGAAACGAGCGCGAGACGAGACGAGCGGGGTAGCCGGATAGCCGACGACAACGACGGAAATCTTGCGCTTCAGCATCTCGTGGGAGAAGGCAGGCATCTTGGCAGGGTTGTAGAGCAAGACCGGGATGATGGGCGAATCGTCGTGACCATAGACAATGAAGCCCAGGCGCTTAAGACCAAGACGAAGGTAGCGGGAGTTGAAGGCAAGGCGCTGCAGACGTTCCTCGCCTTGACCGGGCATAAGCTCTCCGATAATCAATCTGAGGGCGCTCTGGATCTGGATAAGGACCGGGGGAGCGGGCGCCTCGCCAAAGATGTTGCAAGCGTTGGTAACGCGCAGCTTATCAATGATTGCCTTGTCGGCCGCAACGTAACCACCATTGGCTCCAAAAGACTTGGTCAGAGTGCCCATAAGAATATCGACCTCGGCAGGATCAACGCCAAAGTAATCGCAAACACCACGACCATTAGGTCCGAGCGCGCCAACCGAGTGCGCCTCGTCAATGAACAGGTGGAACTTGTACTTCCTCTTGAGCGCAAGAAGAGCTGGCAGGTTGCAAATAGTGCCTTCCATCGAGTAGAGACCCTCAACAGCAATGAGGATCTTCTTCCACGGGCGGTGCGTGCGGGGCTGACCATTCGCAATAACCTCACGAAGCACGCGTTCCAAATCACGCATGTCGTTATGCTTGAACATCTCAATCATCGCGCCAGACAGACGAGCACCGAAGCGAATCGAGGAGTGGTTGAGTTCGTCGGAGATGAGCAGGCAGCCCTTGCCAACCAGAGCGGGGAAGGTCGTGGCGTTCGTAACGAAGCCCATGGAGAAAACCATGGAGGCAGGCTTTCCAACAAACTTGGCGACCAGATCCTCGACTTCGGTGTGCAAGGTGGTAGTTCCGACGTCGGCGCGAGTGCTGCAAACGCTAATGCCGTGCTTCTTGATGCCCTCCTCGACCGCGTCGGCGCACGGGCCTTCGGACTGGGCGAATCCGAGATAGTTGTAGGAGCTCATGTTCAGGGTCTCGGAGGTGGTGCCAGTCATCTTGAAAGACAGGTTGTAGTCGTCGGACTTGCGGTCCAGAAGGGTGATGTAGCGACCGGGAACGCCAGTGGTGGGCCTCGCAAAGCAGTCGTTGATACGCATCTTCAAGCGGCGGACGTAGAAATTGTCGAAATCACTGTTCAGAGGGGCGTAGCCATCCTGGGCTCTCAGATGCTTGTAGTTGTTCTGTCTGAACCTCTTGCCGAAGAAGTCGCGCACATGACCAAATATGATAAGGATGAGGTAGCTGATGTAGGTGGTGAGGAGGAAGAAGTACGGCGGCTCGTCTTCGACAGGGTCGGGGAACTTGTCGTCCACGAATTTGCTCGAGTACAGATGCGCCTTGGAGCCCAGGGGACCGAACTCGGCGTGCTGCTTGGCGAGGCGGCGCTTCTCGTCTTGGGAGGGCGGCTGGAAGATGGTGGTGGTTGTGGTGGAGGAGTCCTCCATCTTGGTGTATTTCTCGCCGGTCGCAGTGGACAGCGAGATGGTCGGTAGCGACAGAGAGGGCGAATTGACAGGCTGGCCCGGGGGCGGTGAGGGGTTGTCCAGAAGGGCTTGCTGCTGGGCAACGACTGCCTTCCGGAGAGCGGCGACGGCGTCGGGAGCGGAGGGCTTGGGCGAGGTGGAGAAGAGCGAGGAGAACTTGGTGTTCGCCTTGGAGAAGGAGGAGCGGCGCGAGGCCTTCTCGTCAAGCGAGGTGGAGATGGAGGAATTGTTGGAGAAAGGGTTTATCGATCGAGCAGGCATTGCAAATGATTCTAATCTATCGGCGACCTGGAGGAGGTGGAGGGATCGTTCGAGCTCTGCGCAGTTGGGCGTGGTCTTGTCGCGCAGGCAGTCGGACGGAGAGACGAGCTGGCGGCGGTGGAGAGTCTGGGGCGAAGAGAGTGCGGTCAGCCAGGGCTTCGGCGCGAGGGAATGCGGGACGGCTGCGGCGAAGGGGCGGGCGGCAGAAAACGCGCGCTTCGGCCGGATGCGCCGGAGAACAAGCGGATAGCGCAGGGAACAGCTTCGACTCACCTGCGCACGCGAGCTTGCGGGTTTGTTGCGGCGGAGGCTGGGCGCTGCTGCTCACAGCCCTGCGGTGCGACGCGTCGACGGCGGCTGTTCGCGCTGCTGGGGTTGGCGGGAGGCTGCGCGACCGCTCCGACGTCAATTGAGGGCGGGCGGGTGGTGCGGACAGGCAGAGAAGTCTTGCAGAGCTCGTGGTAAAAAAGAAGCACGCGTGGTGGAGCTGAGAGGCTGGCGGGCAAATTGCAGCCGGCACGCGCGATGTGCCGCCGCCGGTCGGGCTGCTGTCAGGGGCACAGGTCCTCGACGCGCCCTCACACCAGCTACCTTCTCTGGAGTAAGGCCAAGCCTTGCCACTGCGTCATCCAACGTCCAGCAACCGTCGACATCGTCACCAGCTGTGTTGCCGGGAGCGCCGGGCGTCCCGTCTGTCCTCGGCCCGCACTCTACAATAATCTCGTTTCCGAGCCTCATCTCGAACGTGCCCTGGTTACACATGGCCACCGAGCAGCTGGCTGCCTGGGCCCAGGCCCTGCGCTTCCACGACCTGCCGCCCCAGGTCGTTGAGGCTGCTGTGCGAAGCTTTTACAATTGGGCTGGGTGCGCCATTGGCGGCGCCCAGCACGCCGCAGCAGTCATTGCTCGCAACTCGCTCTCGCCCTTCGCTGGCGCCCCGACCTCATCCGTCCTTGGCTGCCAAGAGCCGACCGATGCCCAGTCAGCCGCCCTCTTCAACGGCATCAGCAGCCACGTGCATGATTACGATGATACTCACCTCGATACCATCATACACCCGTCCGGTCCTGTAGCGTCAGCTCTGCTGGCCGCCGCCGAGTGGAAGGCGCCTGTAGACGGCCGCGACTTCATTCTGGCCCTTGTCGCCGGTATCGAAGCTGAGTGTAAAGCCGGGCTCGCCGTGTGGCCGGACCACTACAATATCGGCTGGCACATCACGAGTACGGCGGGTTCGATCGGCGCCGCCGTGGCCGTCGGGAAGCTGCTGGGCCTCAGCGTAGAGCAGATGCAGTGGGCGATAGGCATTGCTGCCACCCAGGTCACCGGCTTGAGGGAGCAGTTTGGCAGCATGACCAAATCCTTCCACCCCGGCCGCGCTGCCCAGAACGGACTCGTCGCGGCCGTGCTTGCGTCGAATGGATACGACAGCTCGCTGCAGTCGTTGGAGGCTAAGCGCGGCTGGGCTAACGTAGTGAGCGCCACCAACGATGTCGATGCACTGATGCAGGGCTTGGGAAGGACATGGGAGATCGAAAAGAACTCGTTCAAGCCGTTTCCCTGTGGTCAGTCCTCGTTTTGCTTCATCAATTCGCATGATGATCCTACGCCAAGCCCTTCCCATTTCAGCCACTAATTGTTGATCAGGCATCGTTATCCATCCCATCATTGACGGCTGCATCCAAGTTAGGCAAATGTTTGCCACCGGTCAGCACGAGAAAGACGCTGCGGCGGATGTCTCCGCCATTCAGAAGGTCGAAGTCTCGGTCCATGCCCTCGTTTTAGAGCTGACTGGCAAGCACTCGCCGAAAACTGGTCTAGAAGGCAAATTCAGCGTCTTTCACGGCGCTGCTGTAGGGCTCCTCTACGGAAAAGCAACCCCGGCTCAGTACGAGGATGCTGTCGTGCAGGACCCAGTTGTAGTACAGCTGCGGAAAAAGGTCCACGCTACGATTGACGATGCTCTCCGTCCTGATGAAGCTCATGTGAAGGTTGTATTCAACGACGGCTCGGTGCAGGAGAAGCATATTGGACACGCCGTCGGAAGTCTACAGCTGCCAATGACGGATATACAGCTTGAGGAAAAGTTCCTCGACCAATGTAATCCAGTCCTTGGAGATAAAAAGGCCAAGGAAGCTTCACAGGCCTTATGGGGTCTACGTGAGGTAGGGAACATTGCAGATCTTACATCCTTGCTGAGGTAGAAGCTTGCAACGATTCAATCGCGTCATTGTTTCACCGGCCCATGAATAGCATCTACTTTGACCCGTGTCTATAACAGTACATCAGCGACCTTGATAGCACATCTTCATACCACAGCGACAGCATTTTACGTATTCGGGCTGAGTTATTGCAACTGACTAGTACATGCCAGATACGGTTAGTGATTACCGGCTGCCTAAAAGCTTTTCACAATCCTCTACAATACACTTTCTCACGACCCATACATGATCAGCTGCTAACTCAAGCGCTTACAACTCGTCCAGCTGCAGCTCAATCTACGCACCGAGCGCGCATGGCGCGAATCCACCAGGTTAATTCCCTCACGCCCAGGGTCCGATCGGCCGAGCACCACCGGGGCATCTCCCAACTCACGCCCCGAGCGCGATGGTCCCAAAACGGCCAATGCTTCGAACGCACAGATGGAGATCACCTGATGCTTCCGTCGATTTGCCGGCCGCAAAGAGGGTCGAATAATCGCCCGGATCCCACCCGGCCGGCCGAACGCCCGGACCCTTCTGCCACTTTCTTGGACGCGAGATGGAGCGACCCTGACCACGCCCAAACTTTAATCCATTCCTCGAGGCTGGTCGAAGTGCTATCCATGGTAAAGAGCTTCGCCCCCAACTTTTCGCTCGCTTTCGCAATCTATGGAGCGGTTCAAACTCGTGTCTCTTTCCCCGACTTAGATTAGCTCTTTAGGTGAGAATATGCCGACACTGGTTTTGTTCGTAGCCGATGGCTAGCGTGGATTTGTTTTTTGCTCATATCATGGATAGTTGAAGCTATCGTCCGGACGAAAATGTGGAATCAAAAATTGTACATACACGTCCGGACGAAAGCTTCAATTATTTACATGTTATTTTTCCGAGAAAGAGCTGAGGCATAACTACGCGGGCCTTACTATTCTTCATACTAGCAGCAGCATCTATTAAAGTCCGCTGCTGACCCCCGCTGCTTTAATCGTGTCGCCGCGCCTCTGGACCGCCTTTCCTTCTTCACCTCCAGCAGCACTTGCGGACGCGCCATCTTTGGCTCGGGCTGCACTGAGAGATTCCGCTTTGAAAGCATCTGCATTTCCTGCGTGGTTCTTTGCGGTGGTGACATACAAAGGGCGGGCGCGCTCTGCTCGCTCCATGGTATAACCCAAGTGGGCCAGCAGTGTGAGAATGCGATCGTCGTTGAGGAGGACGAAGGCAACTACATCAAGCGGAAGTCTCATGCCGGCCAGGATGAGCAGGAGGCGATCTTCTTCGACTATCTGGCGGAGGGTTAGACATGAGTTGCGGTTCACTCAAGTTTAATCTGGGCTTTTGGAATGTTTCTGCCTTATTTTTCTTTTCGCCAGTATTAACTCTAAGAAAGGCTCTAATACAGCGTCATCTCGTGGTTAGTCAGGGAGTTCATTGAAAGTCTTTATCCTCGGAGAGCTTTTTACAAGCAGCCAGATTATCTAATTGAACTACCTAAATCTGTGTCGTATCTTTGATGCATATTAAACGTTCTTTAGGTCATCATCTACTACCTTCTTCTCCGAACAAATTAAATTAGCATTGGAGCAATCGTAGTAAAACCTTAAATCTTCCCATATCCCCTGACAATTAAACCCCCCCCCCCCCCCCCCCGCGCGTTGACCGTCGATAGCTACATGATATAGAAACTGCCAGCTTGGGAAACACAAATAAAGAAGAAAAGTGTAATAATAATAGTGTCCGTTGTCCCTCGCATTTGAGATAGCTACTGGTATATTAACGCTTTAGGTGAGCTTCTGGCGCTTGGATAGTTGCAATGTCGTCTGGACCCTAGCTCCGCGCTTTAAGGGTTCAGTCTTAGGCTGAGTGCCGGTGGGCTTCTTGCCGGAGAACTTTTCAGCCGCGGGCGTCTTAGCGGTCACGGGGCCGTTAAACGAAAGCGTAAGCTGCGTCTCAGAATTCTCGCCGTGGCAGCCTTCTTACTCTCCTCCTCCTTCTTCTCTTTCGGCTTGCCCGAATTCTTCGTAAATGAAAGCGTAGTTTGATGCTTCGTATCGTTGGACTGCGGCTTAGTCCTCTTCTTCTTTTGCGGCTTAGGGTCGATAGGCCTCTCTGGAACCGTGAAGGTCAACGTCGTCTCGTGCTCTGGCTCTTTAGTTGTGGAGTTGGCCTTCTTAGTGGCTGCTCGAGTTCTCTGCCTGGTCATTATGAAGATTGGAGCAATATTCGCTTGCTGGGGAGCCTTGGAAGCTGTCTCCTGCGACATCTGAGCCTTCTGGGACGTTAACTTTCCGGCGGTCGACTTCCTCGAGGAATCTCCGCCTGTACTTTTCTTTTCTTAAGCCTCCTCGCGTCGCCTGCGTGCATTTCTGCCCTTATGGTACTTGGGGTTCGTTGCTTTGTAATTGGGCTCGTGGAGAATTGCCATCTCCTTAGCCTGGTGGCACTTGCGGCGAATCTACCTCTCGTTATTGTAATCCCAGAACCACCTCAGCGGGTTATCTTCTTTGCCTCGGTGCTGTGACACTCTGGGCACTGTTCTGGCTTCAGAGTCTTGAACATCTTCTCCTTCGCTTCTCGTATCGCCAGCTTGTTCCTGCAGCTCTGACACCACCAAGCCATCGTTTTTCTGTTGAAAAGCCACTTGTTATTGAACTGGCTAGGCTTGCGCCGGCAATGCGGGCAGCGATCGGGCTTGGGGATGCTAGCTCTTTCTCTGCTTCGGATGGCTTTCTCTCGCCTATCGGAGTAACAGCCTTGACAGTTCCACGTCTGGACATCGTCGAACCACAGCCATCCTCTGACTTCTGCTGCCGGCAGATTGCATGTTGCACACGCGTCTGGTTTGGGCACCGAGTTCCGACGGATCACGATACCTGGGCGGACCTTGCCACTGGATCTCCAGCAGTCATAGCAACGCAGGCACCAATAGGAGGCGAATGGGGTGCCACCTATCCGGGCGAACACCTTGTGCTCCTCGGAGCTTTCATGCCTCGGGAGCTTGCCCGGTTTCTTGCCCGTCCGATGCCCTGCTTGAGAGCGAAGGCTGTGTTGAGGCCCTGGTAGTCACGCTGTGGGAAGGTCGGCAGTGTGGTGTCGCGAAAAAGCTGGATGGATTCGTCCGAAACCACTTGGTCCGGAAGATTCCCCTCGTCCTCGATTATGAAGCCGAAGAATACGTTGTTTTCTCTGTTTGGTGGTAGGCGTGCCACGCGAGCAGCGATCTCGTCATCATTAGGGATCTCGTCGTCATCAGGAAGCTCATCGTCTTGGTTGGCAGCGACTGAGGAGGGCTCTACGGCAGAAGAGGAAGCGGCGAACGAAGAGTCGGTGATAGAAGCAGAGGAGACGGCGGTGGAAGAGGAGGCGGCGAATGAAGAGGAGGTATCAGGACAGACAAAGTCGCTCTCAGACTCCTCACTCTCGCCGCGAGAGCTCTTGCCTCTTTCGATTTCTTTGTCATGGCGGCTACTGCCTCGCTGCCAATCTGGAGAAAGGGACATGATAGGCGGAAGAGACTCGCAATCAAGCCCGGGCAATGGCGGAGAGACGAGTTTGAAAAGACTGGGAAATGACGGAGAGACGATATTGAAATGGCTGGAGCAGAAAGTTCACTAAGAGAAAGCGCGCTGCTCGAGACAGTCAGGGCAGTGTTGTTTGGGAAGTGGCGCTCACCTGGGCGGTTCGGGAAGTCGCAGCAGCCGGCGCTGCGACGCCAGAAAAAGTCATTGCCGACGGCCGAGGCATAGTTATTCTTCACACTAGCCTTCGACTGCGATATTCCACTGTACAATATCTTACTCATGGCGGTAGTTGAAGCTATAGTCCGGACGAGAACATGGAATTAAAGCAGCGACATTCGGAAGTAACGTCAACCTAGCTGGTTAGTCGTGTCGGCCTGACTAGTCCGTAGACCGACATCTGAGAGGAAGCGCGTCGGTCAGCGCTTCTGGGCCTGCTGAGCAGTTAGTCGATATATGCAGGCTAGTAGCTGGCCACGATTTTGGTTCATGTTAGCTGTCTCTAAGGAGATAACAAGACTATATCATTAAAGAGCTAAGCCATAGTAGATTCCGCAATATTGAAGTTTTTTCTGCCATACAACCCGCCGTTGAATACAATGAACGGACGTAGATATGTTTTTTTTCTTTTCTTTGAAACCAACCTTACAATGCGTGATGATACGGGATTCAGGTCTTCATATGAATAGTTAATCACTTAAAAATATTGAAGAGAAATGGCTACAAATCTCGCAACTATTCGCCTGCAGATGCAACCCTTAGCGGCTTAACCTTGTGCGTACTACGTTGGTTCCGAAAAGCAGAGCGAGTCACCATGGCACGGGTAGCAATGTGGGGAAGTCATATTAAGCGCATGCGAAGGTGGTTGGGACGTTGTACGCGAACGCGGATTTGTGGAATGGAAACGGAGTTTTTTCCCGTGGGTGTTGTTACCTTGTCTTCCATTTCAGGAAGCTTGTACCATGGGGCGCTTTGACACCAAGCTTTCTGGAGAAGGTCCCAAGCTTTGCCGTGCGGCGATCAGTGGTGTTGCATAGCCTTGGCGTGGCGTCCGGGGTTCGTCTCGCGAGAAGCTTGATTGGTGCCGATTTTATAGGTCGCCAGCTCGCCTTTGCCAAAATTCCCATCGCGCACAATCATTGGTGGTCTTTTAGGGAAAAACACGGAGTAAATGCTGCCAACTTTTCTGTTTGATCCCCGCTATTCCGAATAAGCGTTTTGCCGTGTTGTCAAAAACGGTACACATGCTGCATTTCGGTCGAGTTGACGGGATAAAGAAGCAATGGCGTGGTCACGGTTAAATGCTCCCGGAGAGGGAGATACAGGCTGTTAACTCGACGTGGTAAGAGCGCTCGTCGGACAAAGGCTGCGCGGCTTTTCCGATGCAGGACTCGGCTCGGGAACAAGCTCGGGGATAAGATCTCAGGAGATCTCTACACACCTACAGTACATTGCAGGCTCACACGGGCCGTGCCGGCTTTCCATCAGTCGACGTCTTCCATCAACTCCTTTTGTGACAAAAATAGGCGAGGGAGCCGACCATGGTGGGGAGGAAGTGCCTTGCTGGGGGGCCCAATTGCCGCCGCACCTATCCTTACGCGGCAGTGATGCGCGGCGCCGACAGCTTTTCTCCTGGGTGAAATTTGCAACACAAGAAGGATGGCGCAAAAGAAACACGTTCGAGAAACCCCGCCCCGCTCTCCTCCCATCTCTTCCTGGAAGCGCGCCGCGGCGATTGGGCGGAAATAGCTCGTGGCGTCCAACATCGGCAGGGGTCTTGATTGATGGCAAAACATTGGGATGTCCGTTTCATCGGCGGGAGGTGGGCGTTGTGGTCAAGCGGATGAAAGGGGCGGCGGCCGTGGAGCAGTGATGTTTCCATTTTCCCATTTTCGACGCCGTGGTGCAGTGTTTCTGACGATGCGGTGCCGTCTTTTCCAGAGGCCACGCGATTGACGCAAGCATTCAGGTGCCGTTCTTCCAGGAGCCAAGCAGTCGAAGCGTTGGTTGCGCGAATGGAGTCGCATCAGGGCGATACAAGACTTCTGGGCACGTCTTGTCCCGCTCAGGCGTTCCGTGCAGGCGACAAGGATAGGCGCGTGGTGTGGCTCGTTTGAGGTTGAATCGCGGTTGGCGGGTTGGTGATAGACGCGTCAGCTACCGCATGGGAGCCGTGTCGATTATACATATGCGCGGCAGCAAGTCGGAAGCCTCCGTGCCCTGGGGCTCGCCTCTGTATTCGAAACGCCCTCTCATCTCGGCACCACGCCAAGATAGACAAGCTCCGGCCAGCCTGCCCTCTTCCACCAATCACGCCTCGCCCTGCAGTATAGTCGCCCCTCCTCCACCCCCGTCTATGTCTGCTACCCAGGATTCAGCCGGCCAAGAAACGCCGCCGCATCACTGCCCGTCTCTCCGGTGCTCGTTTCATGCTTCCGGATGGTCGGCTTTGACGGAAACAATCAGTCGTCATCCAAACCATGATCATTCTGTTCCTACACAGGGGATAACCCCCCTTCACGTATATAAGTCCAAGAACGCCAACAAGGCTTGGTTTTTCTTAGCCAGCAACCACCAGCTCCTCTCCTTCTTCACTACTGCTGCTCCACAGGCATTGACTGCCTCGTCCTTCATTCTTTGCTCGCGCTCCGATAAACCCAACTTCAAAAAAACCTCTCCCTCTTTCCCGCAAAAATGGTTCAACTCAACAACGCCCTCGCGGGCATGATCGTTGGCGCTGGCGCCCTTGTTGCCGCTGCTCCGGCTCCAGCTCCCACTGCTGCTCCTAACCTCAAGGATGCTCAGATCGGCAAGCGTGCTGATTCCTGCACTTTCACCGATGCCTCTGCCGCCAGCGCCTCCAAGTCTTCTTGCGCCACCATCATCCTCAGCGACATCACTGTCCCTGCTGGTGAGACGCTCGACTTGACCGACCTTGAGGACAACACCTATGTCGAGTTCCAGGGCACTACCAGCTTCGAGTACGAAGAGTGGGAGGGCCCGCTCGTTTCCTTCTCCGGCACCGGTATCACCATCACTGGTGCTTCTGGCCACGTCCTTGACGGCAACGGTGCTAAGTGGTGGGACGGCGAGGGTTCCAACGGCGGCAAGACCAAGCCCAAGTTCTTCTACGCCCACAAACTCATCTCGTCCACCATCAAGGGCCTGAACATCAAGAACACCCCCGTCCAGTGCATGTCCATCAACGGCGCTGAGGAGCTTTACGTTCAGGACGTCACCATCGACAACAGCGACGGTGATGAGACTAACAGCGATGGTGATGCCCTCGGCCACAACACTGATGCTTTGTATGTATCCCCACCCAACTTCCAAACAAATTTACTGTCTAACACACTTCAGTGATGTCGGCTCTTCGACTGGCGTGTACATCTCTGGAGCCAACGTTCAGAACCAGGACGACTGCCTGGCCATCAACTCTGGGTGAGTTTGAACCTCCCCTTTTTTGACCCCCTTACCCCCAACCACCACAACACACTAACAGTGAATTATAGCGAGTCCATCTCTTTCACCGGCGGAACCTGCAGCGGTGGCCATGGTCTCTCCATTGGCTCTGTTGGCGGCCGTAGCGACAACGATGTCAAGAACGTCACCATCTCGGGCTCCACCATCAAGAACTCCCAGAACGGCGTGCGCATCAAGACCGTCTACGATGCCACCGGCACCGTCGCCGACGTCACTTACTCGGACATCACCCTCTCCGGCATCACCAAGTACGGTATCGTCATTGAGCAGGACTACGAGAACGGTTCTCCTACTGGCGAGCCCACCGACGGTGTCCCCATCACCGGTCTTACCATCGATGGTGTTACTGGTACGGTTGAGGATGATGCTACTCAGGTCTACATCCTCTGCGCCGATGGAGCCTGCAGCGATTGGACGTGGTCTGGCGTCAGCATCACTGGAGGAGAAGCCAGCAGCAAGTGCGAGGGTGTTCCTGATGGAGCCTCTTGCTAAAGCATCTCCGGATCGCACAATCCACAAAATTCTTGAACTGAAAGGAGGTTTTCTTTTGAAAAACGTGGGGTTTTCGAGCAGAGCTTTGTTCTTGATTCTGAATCTGTAAAAACATTTCCGACTTCTCTTCTATAGTGAAATATTACTTGGACTGCTCAAACACCATCTGTTGATTACTATTTGTTGTGACTGTCTACGATCAAGGAAGGAACCTCCTGGAGTTGCCTTCCTCGCTGTCCGCCCCTCTTTCCTCCACGCTCGACCCTGGGACACCCTGACGTCGCTCCTCATTTTCTTCAACCTTTAACCTTCCCATCGTGCCGTTCCACGCGTCGTTCGTTACTCTGACACGTATTTCTGCATCGTCGTTCGCTACCTAAAGCAGAGATGAGTATGAATACGATGAGAATCAAGGACTTTGTTAAGAAATCACTACCACTTCGCCCTCTTGAGTCTCAACCTTCGCTGCACCTGAGCTCTGCTTCGATAACACGCCTGTAGGATTTAGTTGCCATGTCGCCCTCATCATCATCAGTGCGTTTGGCCTCCGTGCTGCCGCCGCCGACCGGCTGTTACTCCATCCTCTTGCGAAATATTACTCAAAGTGCTCAAATACCTTCTATTAATTACCGTCCGTACTGTGACGCGAATTATAGAATATACTGGTTGACAGCTCCACGGTAGAAGTCATGGCCAAGTCAAATTAATATCGCGAAGGAAGGCACGGAATCGTTACCAGCTTTCTATCTTGAAGACCGTCATTGATTAGCCTTACAAACCCACAGGAACATCAATCCAGATATGCCTACGATGCTTGTGAACAACTGTCGGAATTCTCTATGAGGCCTGGGGCAAAAAAATAACAGTATAAAAACCCACATCAAGTTTCTCAAAATGCTGTAATTGTATCCTACGCTCAGAAATCTAGGGCATAAATCAACGAAAGAGTTGCAAATCGTCTCCAACTGCATAAAAACCTCAAAAGATGAATTTAGCCACCTCACACCCCAGAATCCTCTTCCTCGATACCATATAAGGTAGAGTACGCATCCCATGTAGTACATGTATCCGTCATAGCCGATGCGCTCATTACAGCCTCCATCTCGCTCGCGCGCTCTACAAACTGCATAGCCAGGCCTTCGGATGTATGCCAGCCGATGTGACAATGCATAAGCCTGGTGGATCGATACATATCAGCAACATGCGGACGAAGAAAGGCGGATGAGGGATACTAAAAGCAATTCAAGAAGCCGGGGGGTCTTACCAAGCACCTGGATTGTCGGTGTAGAAAGCGATGACAACATAGCCACTAGCCGGTAGGGTCGCAACATCTCTACGCGGCGGGTTGGCGGTGTTGAGTGTTACCGCGTCGGAATAGGTGCCAGTCCCAGCAGCCAGGACCCAGAAATCGTGGCCTGCGTGAACAACATGAAAGCGTCAGTCAAACCATCTCATCGAAGTGCTCAAGAAGTATTCTGGAGGGGGGGTTACCATGCAAATGGAACGGATGCGGCACGCCTTGCGCCGTCTCAATGACAAAGTACACCCACTCGTTTGCGGTCGCCAGCTCGACAACGTGGTCATTGTCCGTCCAGTCCGTCTTGCCGCCGTAGACGGACAGCGTGGTGGGGTTACCCCATTCGACAGCCATCGTCTTGGCGCTGATGTACCACTTGAACAGGTTGTTCAGCACGCCGATGGTGACGGGCATGTCCGAGCTGTCCGTCTCGACCAGCGACGTGGGGTTCTGCGCGAGGGCCGGCACGAGGGACGCATACGGCTCGTCGACGCACTCATTGGTCATGTTTGAGTACGCCGTGGTAGTGGGGTCTGCGGTGCTGCTGCTGTCGTAGCGGAGGATGGCGCGGATGTTGTCGACGTTGTCGTTGGCGGAGCAGGCCGTCTGCGGGATGGCGCGGATCCAGTAGTCTCCCTCGTCTTGGTTGGCGGACACAATCACGTCATATCGTTGGCCCATGTTGATGTCAAGGTACTCCGTCTCGTACGGCTCGATTGGGACGAAGTCCATGGCGATGACGGTGAGTGTGTGGTTGTCGATCATGAACTTGAAGTGCGTGTCGATGGCTGTATTAACGAGACGTAGGCGGTACGAGTTTCCAGACGTCACGGTTGTTTCCCAGCGGGATCCAGTGATGGTTCCAGAATTGTTGTAGACATTCAGGCCGTTGATGAGAGCGTTGTTTAATTCGGGTGGGCCCTGAGTTTGAGCGTAGGTGTAAAGCTCATCGGCGGTCTGGTGTGACCAATCACTGAGCATGACCGGACCGATGTCTTCGTCGTAGTTTGCAGAAGCTGGCCCATGAATGACAATGGGACCAAACACACCGTTCCAGGCTTGAAGTGAAAAATGAGAATGATACCCTGAACCAGTCAGCTGCATCTTGAGTAGTCCGAGCTACCTGTCCGACTTACAGCTGGAACCATATTGCGTTGCACGCCAGGTATACGTCATGGACTCTCCCGGCTAAGTTGTGTTCAGCATTGATTATTTGACCTGATTGGGGTGGACATACTGCAATCGGACATTGAGTTATACTCGGAACACCGTCCATCCAATTAGTCCAGTTTTGGCGAATACCATGCCAATGGATACCCGTTCCATTGTTTTGCATACTATTCAGGACATGCACAACTGCGAAGCGCATCAGCGACCATACGGGTGCTATGCGCTACGTGGCCGTTCTTCCAGTCACGTAGCTCGCACTGCTATTCATGAACGATAGATACTTACCAACAGTATCTCCCCAATTTGCCTCGATGGTTGGACCAGGGATGGATCCGTTGACCGCCAACCCAATTCGCTCGATGCCATCGGGTGATACAGTTGTATTGGTGACCTCGAACCAGTACTGTGCAAAAATTAGCAAATAAAACCTCCCGAGAAATCCAGAGAAGTAGAGTATAGAAATTCTTACTTCGACCGTCACTCCCGTGTCCGGAACTTCGGTATACCAGTCAGTTTGGAGGTCGTAGTCACACCAGGTGGATCTGTCGTTGGCAGTATTGCCAGTGCAGGCAGATGCTGATGCAGAGGAGGTAGACGAAGCGGCCTGCGGCGCGGCGAGCCCTCCTGCGAAGAGAAGACTCCATAGGAATGGCGCTCTCATCTTGAATGTATGTCTCGGTGGTAGAAAACACGTAAAATGAGGGACGAGTAGACCTTAAAGAAATATGCAGGCCCCTACAGAATTCCTTGAGCGGTGAACACAGGTGGTGAGATGGAGATGAGCCTTGTTGAGGATATCAAAAGGCAGCTGAAGTTATATACTGACCAAAGAAAACGTCAAGGCAAGCAGATGGTACAGAAATGGAGATGTAGCATCGCACGATCATCGCTAAGGTGCAACACTCTTTGACTCGTGCTTTCCTGCCTGATGAGGTGCCTGCACCGGTCCCGAAACGCTGTGTCTCAACCATGCATGCGCACAGTATACGAAGGATAAGCTGGCGAAGCAGTCTAAGCGGACGAGCTATTGCTTGGCCATGTGCCGCGGCGTTTGAATAATGCAAACTCACGATCCTTAGCGGTACCGAGAATCCTTGTGGACTGTCGGGTGAGTATCGCCGATGCATGTAAGAGTGGTAGCCTTACGAATGACCCCACCCGAATATATCGTCAGTACGAAAATAGTACATGAGAAGACAAGATCCGCACGCCCGACGACGTTGAAGATATCTAAAGCTCGGTTAGAGCACATGGGGGCCATAGCTTGTCGAAGGGGTTTGAGGCCAAGGCTGTCAAAGCGGGTTAGCTTGACCGGGAACGGCCTATTATGATGTTTCAATAGTACTCTGCATATATCCCCCGTGGATGCAAGCAACGTGGAAGCAGCCACGATGGCGCGCGGCGATGGAAGCCACAAATTAAATTTCCGGCTCGGGTAGCATTTGGCAGGGCTTCTGACGGCAGATATGACCGGGGTGAAGCATGCCGTACAAAAACAATAGTTTCTGAAGCACACTTCCGATCAAATGACTCGAACAAAAGGATAGAGCTGACGAATCCATACCATGAAACACCAACCCGAGTGCCTAATGCGGGTTGGAAGCGCCAGAGTGGTGCCAATCTGGCCGAGACTCGAGCATGGCTTCTACCAAGTTCATACGGTGGTGCATCTAAGCGCTGTCTCAAGTCATGGATGGATGGGAGCCTCATGCAGCCAAGTAAGCCGCATCCGGACCCCATTGTATTTCCCCGCTGGGGTTGCTTCAGTTGGGCCGAAGTGCATGCTCTGGATCGAAGAATTCTCAGCTGGGGCCCATCCTGATACCCGGAGCTCGCTCCAGAGCTTCAGAGATACCTTATGTCCGCATCGGAGAACTCGGTTGATCCGAACGACTGTTTTACTGAGGCTTGATTACAGGCATTTACGCCTGGAGACACTCGTGATGACAGATGCCGAAGGCTCCCTAAAGAAAGTTTTCCGAGTACGGCGACGAGATGGGAGTAGGCAGCCGTCAAAAAGTGGGAAGCAGGAACCGATGGATGATAACGGGACATTGTGCCACACCGGAGACCTGTTCCTCCCACTCATCACCAACAATGGCAGCAATCTCAAAGGTAGACTCGCCATCGAAAATTGATAGATTGTCATTGGTAGCGAGTCGGGATGCGTCTGCGGGAACATTTCCGGTCTTGAGCGCCTGAGCTGACGCGCCTGTGGCTGAACTCGTGGGGTTCACGGCAGAGAACTCTGCAGATGCTGGTTGAAAGACATGCTTGGGGAAGCGAGATGCCGCTTTCCTCTCCTAATTCGGCCTGGTTGAGAGGCGAGGACGTATGGCCGGCCCCAGCCCGAGGACCCGAACACCACCCCATTATTCACCCCCAACCAGCTTAACAGCGAGATAGGCGAGTCGACATACCCGAGCGGTGTGGGTACTGCGAGGGTGAACCTACTTATATTACTGTTAGACTAAAAGATGTTTTCTCCGATGCTGTCCAAGCGGAAGTAAGACTATCCCTGGATTCTTCTCCGCATGGAGCCTCAGCGGTGTAAAGGATGGGCCTTGTTAGACGAGAAACATGCATCTTGGCAATCGGCAACGGCTGGCTGGCGGAATGCGAAATCTTAACGGCTCGAGCTTGTTGTCCGAAAGTTACCGTTTTGGTGGTCGTGGACGCGCGTCATCTTCACCCACGCTGGTTGGCTCGTTGCCGGAAACTCAGCAAAATCCACCAACCGCCACTTGCTCGCCTAACGCTGTCCATGCCGCGTATACCACTGCATCTCTTGGCCCGGCGGATGTGGCGGCCATGATAGTCAGTTTTGATTCGAAAATCAAACACTTGCAGCCGCCGTGTAATCTGTTTGTGAAGCAATAGCCACGTTGGCCCTGTCATTAGATGACGCCTGCATGCTATCCGAAGAAGCCAGCCCCCACCGTAGATGAAACCGAGTTGGGCGAGAGCTCCTACCTCCGGCGCTCGGTTGTGGCATTTGGATAAAGGCCCTTGACGAAAGCATTGCAGCATCAGCGCCTAACTGTTATTTATTCGGTCTTTCTGCGTGGTGTTGGTGAAGTGTGCCTTTGTTGCGAACCCACCTGCTCTTTCGTTGAAGCCCAACTTTGCAACGGATACCTCTTCTTGGTCATTTTATCACCTTGACTTGCGATGAATTTCCCTTTCTCTTTAGCAGCCACTGTGCTGATTCTTGCCCAATTTTCGAGTGCCCTTGCCATCAAGCCAAGGGCGGATTCTTTCAAGCTCTACGCTTATGGTTCCGACATTAGCGAAGGCCTGGATGTCTTTATTGCAGACGGTTCGTGCACTGAAGTAGGACGTAAAACACGCGCTGATGATCTCAATAGGCGTCGCATATGCCGGCAAACAAGTCCCATCGAACGCATCAAGCATTGCAAACATCACCTGTAAGTCTAGTATCCATGCTCAAGACAGACAAGAATCTGACTGTTCAGTGGCAACGGAGGATAGCCAGAGTGGAACCTGGTCCGTGATTACTGAGGATGGTGATTCGTACAGCTGGGGAATCACAGACTCCGGTAGCGACTTGGAGACGGTCGGCATTGCGAACTCCACCTCGTCGATGACAACCACGGGATTTGGTTTGTATGGTGCCTGGGCGTACCACGTCTCGGACGCTGGTGAGATTGAAATGAATTACCGAGCTGTTCCCACAGGCACCGATGATCTTTATGTCATCAAATGGGCGGCAGCTTCTACCACAGTTGATGATGGTGCTCTGTTGATCAATTTGAGAACGACATCGCCGGTGCCGATCTCCGACAAGAACAGGCGCTGGATCGAAGGCTGATTTTGGACTGGGCTTCGGTGATGTAGGTGGATTTGAGAACTTTTTCCTGGTGGCTTGTCTTGAGGTCGAGGTTTAGATATGGTGATGGTCCGAGTTGTGCTAGTCGAGTTCCCTCAATATATTTCGGCTATTCGGCTTGCTTGAGTAATTCCTGCACTGCTTATGGACGGCCCCACTTAAGCGGCCTACTAACAGAGCAGCAAAATTGTATGAAGCGGTACCTATCACTGTCAGTCGTCCAGCGTAAGATGAACCAACCCAAGTCATTGCCAATTCGATGTCCGATGCTGCACGTGCTCAATTTCCTCGAGTGTATGATCATTTTGCTGCGAAACTTCGCACTGAACATCCTGCGGCCGTCCTGTTTATATCCAATTCCTCATCCACACTAGGTGAGTATGGAGACATCTGAATCCATAAACACAAACGGCAATCGCATCACGTCAAATAGAAAATAATTGAGGGTAATAAGGTTGACTTTCCAGCTATCTTTTAGAGAATATGTCCCGGGTATCAATCCTAATTTACTCCTCATCCTCGTCGGCCTCGTCGTTGACGACGTTGAAGAAGCGGAGCTCGTAGACACCCTTGGAGGTGGAGACGACACGGAGCCAGTCACGGAGCTGCTGCTTCTTGAGGAACTTCTTGGTCCTGCAACACATTCCAATCAGCCATTATCCCTGCATGCGATATAACCAGCCCAACTTACAGGTACTTGAGGTAGCGACCAGAGAACTCCTGGTGGGCGATGACCTCGATCTTGCCGTCACCCTGCTGGGAGATCTGGACGGTGTCGCCGAGGTTGTTGGTGCGGCCATCAACCTTGATGCGGTCGTGAAGGAACTTCTCGAAGGCGGCGATGTCGAAGATCTTGTCGCTCACGGGCTGCGAGGCGTTGATGATGAACTGCGGCGGGCGTCAGAGTGGGCGGGCGAGAAGAGGAGCGGACGGGCGAATTGTACCTTCTTGGTGACCTTGGCCTTCTTGGGGCCGGCGCGCTTCTGTAATGCACACTTAGCCTACTGCTCTCAAAAGCCGAGCCTCGCTCAGGAGTTCGGCAGGCAGCAAAGCAGTGAACGTACGATGGGGGCCATTTTGACGAGGGTTGTGTGGTGGTTGCGAAATGCGCAAAGAAATGGGTATCCTGCGCTACGGCGGTGGTCGAGTGTGTCGCGAGGTAAAGAAAGAAACTTCGCGCTTCCCGCTCGTGGTGGAGAGAGAATTGGCGAGTGCCGCAGCTCGGTTAGCGCAACATTTCGGGACTAGCGTACCGACGATTCAACGGGCGCACATCATCTTTTGTTGGCGAGTCATTTTGCGACGCAGCCTTGAGGCACAACTCACTCCTGCTGCCGTGCACGCCGCGCAAAGCATGCGTGATCATCCACCTCGTCCTGCTTTCCGTGCTCGGAGCTTTCGACGTCAGCGCATCTTTTATAAACTTCGAGTCCCTTCATCGAGATATCGCTGAGCAAGGCTCCACAACATAGTACGTTCTGATACGAAAGGTGTATTGCTGACAAGCAGGATGCTATTCAGAGAACACTCAATCTACACCGAAATCTCACGGTGGATTGAAGCTTGGAACGATTCTAAGGAGTGATGGGGACCCCCCAGACCTCTGAGAGGGCCTTCACAGCCCTCTCGTTAAATTCCTGCCCACCTTTGAGAATCGCATCCAAATGGACAACAGTATGAGGGACACCCGGAATCCGCCAGATCTCGGCCTTTGAGCCAGCCTCGTTCATTTTCCTACCATAGGCCTCGCCCTCATCTCTCAGCGGGTCCATCTCGGCAGTAACAACCAAAGCTGGAGCAAGATTGGACAAGTCTGGATTTTTCATGGGGGACACTTCCCAGTCCTAAGTTCCGTCAGCTCGTCCGTGCAGTTTCAGCCATCATGGCACTCACATTGTCATACTTGGCTGGCCGGGGATTTCCCAACCAAGCCTTCTGAAAGTAACTCATCCGCTCTCCCGGGAGCACCACGACGTCCCACATTTCTCTGTAACTGTCGTACGGACAATCCGGGTTGAGCTCCGCTGTCGGGGTGAAAGCAGCTACTAAGTCGGTGGCCGGCACCTGCAGTAGCTGGAAGGCCAGGGGGATGCCTTTATCGCGGCATCTTATTGCTATGACAGCAGCAAGATGACCACCCGCCGACGCTCCTCCAACGGCAATTTTTTCCAGATCCAACCCGAACTCGTCAGCCTTCGCTCTCATCCACTGAAAAGCGTCCCAGCAGTCATCCAGCTGCGTCGGGTGTGGATACTCAGGTGCCAGCCTGTAGTCTACGTCGAAAGCGACGCAACCAAGCTTGTGCACAATCCTCTTGCAGAACTCATGGTCCTTTGTAAGGCCGCCGCCAAAAACCCAACCGCCACCGTGAAAGTTCATGTAAGCTGGCTTCTTGGGTTTCCCGTCCACGGGCTCGAAGATGCGCACGGTGATCTCGCCGCCCTTTACCGGGCATTTCTGCTCCGAGATCTTGACGCGGGATGTGGGGAAGTGTGCGAGGCCATAGGAAATGGCATACTTGGCAGGATTGGCCCGGACCCACTCAATAGGTATTTGGTGAGTGTGTAGCCTTCCGAGTTGGTATTTGTTGTGGTACTGGACAAAGATGGGGTCGAAACGGTCCACCAGATGGGCTGGGATGGCGTTCAACATCGGCAACTCGACATCTTTCGGTGGCGGGTAAGTATCGGCGTTGGCCATGGCGATGGGCAGATATTCCTTTCCAAGTTGCTTTCACTTGCGGTTGAACTCCCGAAAGCAGTACTTCACCCAGTTATTTATGTGGTCTTGCTTGTCTGGTGTTGATAGGCACGTCGGAGGTGGGGGTGAAGCTCCGATATCGTTACCCCAGCTTAGTTGCGGATCCCCCTCCGCAGCATCATCATCGTCCCGCGTGCACTAATCCACGACACAGAGCCATGAACAAAAAACTGCATTGCGCAGGGAATCCATTCTTGTTATGAAGAGGACAGTCTTCTTCGATTCGCATACCGTTGTTGCACTCTGCTCTTATAAATTTCTGTATGCAAGGAACCCCTCACGCTACGCAGCTACATTGGCTCCCGGAAAATAAGCGCTCGACCCGAGAGGGTGTTCCACACGACATCAATGCTGCGGCACAATCCCAACATCGCCGAGGTCGCATGGACTTGCCTGTTTGGTTCCAGCTAAGAAGCCGCGCTGAAGCAACCTCTGCACAGCGGAAGTCTTCAATCCATTTCATCATTCATTGCCATTTCCTTCGCGCAGTGCCTTGTTCCCAAAGTTTCTTGCATATCACTTTTTTTTTTAACAACGCACATTGCTCTCCATTGTCGACCTGCTGCTTGAACGGTTTGACATGCTGTATCCCCTCCCTAAACCTCTTTCTAATTTTTCTCGAGAGGAGACTCGCGTAGAACAAGAGGGCTCTGCAAAACTACTTCATCAAAACACTGGTGAGTTTCTAGAACCTTTCTCTTTCGAGCAACGCTCAGGGCCAGGCAAAAGCTTTCGATCTTGTCCCGTGTTAAAGTGTTTACCGAATTCCTTGAGTTGTCTTGCGCATCCGATCTTTTACGTAAGTTATTATTTTGTCCACTGCCATCCCGCCTGCGATTGCGTATAGGATGTGGGCGTCGGGTGAACCTGTATTTAAGGGAAGAGTGGCGGCACGTGCACAAGGGAGAGTGCCCTATCAAACTCACCTATCAGGACCACCCCATTTTTCTTAATTCTCGCCAGCTTCGCTGCGCCCAGAAGATACATCCGATGTCGCTAAATACGGAAGCGGGGTACTTTCTGACAGATATAAATTCAGGCCTCGAAATCTTTTTGGTAGCGACTCACAAGGAAATTCTTCAACTGCAATTGTAGGTCAGCACGTCAGAACTCTGAAAGATGATACTTCTCACTAAAAAACTGTACAGTCACGACAATGGCGCTGAATCTCGTCGAGGCCAGCATAATTGATCTCAAAAATGCCTTGGACTCTGGCACAATCACCAGCGTCGAGCTCTGCACTCGCTACCTCCTCCGCATCTCCGCATACGACTGCCGAGAAACTCAGCTCAACTCCATCCCCATTCTCAACCCCTCTGTCCTCCAGGATGCAGCCGAATCAGACGCCCAGCGAGCCGCAGACAAGGCGGCTGGGCGGCCGATCAGACCGCTTGAAGGCATTCCTTATACCGTTAAGGATAGCTACCAGGTAAAGGGGATGACGGCAGCTGCCGGCTCCCCAGCCTTGACCGGATTCGTCGCCAATGAAGACGCCTTCACTGTCCAAAAGTTGCGCGAAGCCGGTGCCATCCTCATCGGCAAGACCAACATGCCTCCAATGGCATATGGCGGAATGCAACGGGGAGCCTATGGACGTGCCGAATCGCCGTACAATGGCACCTACCTCACCGCCGCCTTTGCTTCAGGCTCATCCAACGGTTCCGCGACGTCCACGGCAGCATCGTTTGCGGCCTTCGGCCTGGGCGCGGAGACAGTGTCCTCAGGGCGGTCGCCGGCGTCGAATAATGGGCTAGTTGCTTATACGCCCTCACGCGGGATGCTCTCCATTAGGGGTAACTGGCCACTGTATCCGACATGTGACGTTGTCGTCCCGCACACGCGGACGGTCAGCGACCTGCTCGCTCTGCTGGATGTCCTCGCTGTGCCCGACCCCAGGGCTGCCTGCGATTTGTGGCGCGAGCAATCTTTCATTCCCATTCCCAGCCCAACCGCTATTCACCCCTCCAGCGGCTCTTTCCTCGACATCGCGAATCCCTCCGTCGTCTCCAGCCTCCGTGGCAAACGCATAGCCATACCACGCATGTACATCGGCCACAACGACGAAGGCTGCCACAACCCCGTCGCCCTCCGCCCCTCCATCGCCGCGCTTTTCGACAATGCCAGGCGCGCCCTCACCTCTGCGGGCGCCGAGCTGATCGAAACGCCCGACTTCCCCCTCATCACCAACTACGAGAAGCTAGCCCACCTCCCGCCCTCCGCCGGCGGCACCGTCGCCAACGTCCCCGGGCTCCCAGCCGGCTGGATGGCGGCGGAGCGCGGCCCACTGCTCGCGCTGGCATGGGACGCCTTCCTCGCCGAAAACCACTCCTCCTCCTCCTCATCATCATCACCAGCCGCGCCGCCCCTCAAAGACTTCGCCACCGACGTCAACGTCGCCACCCTCTTCCCCATGGAAAAAGACGGCCCGCAAACCCGCTACGCCAACCCCCTCAACGCCGTCCCCTGGACCTCGCTCCCCACCCAACTCCGCTCCCAGCGCTCCAACGGCGTGACCGCGCCGCTCGCCTACCCGGGCCTGCCCGACGCGCTGCGCGCGCTGGAGGCGGCGCGCCAGCGCGACCTCGAAGCGTGGATGGACACGCGCGGCTTCGACGCCGTGTGTTTCCCCGCGAACGGCGACGTCGGCCGCGCGGACGCGGACCGCGTCGACGAGAGCGCGCGCGCTGCCTGGCGCAACGGCGTCTACTACAGCAACGGCAACAGGGTCCTGCGCCACCTCGGCGTGCCGACCGTCAGCGTGTGCATGGGCGTCATGGACGATACCGGTATGCCGTGCAATGTGACGTTTGCCGGCAAGGCGTACGCGGATCGCGAGCTGCTGGAGGTGGCGGCTGCGTTTGAGAGGGTGGGAGGGGGAAGGGCGCCGCCGGGGAGGACGCCGGCGTTGGGGAGCGATGTGGTGGTGCTGGAGCCGAGGGGGGAGCTGGGAGGGAACAAGGTGAGGGCGAGTGAGGGGGAGTTGAAGGCGGAGAAGAAAGACTTGAAGGAGGACGGTTCATTTGTCTTGAACATCAGTGGCAAGGTGGAAGGCGAGGGCGAGGGGCTGCCACCGTTGCGAGTGTTCGTTGATGGCGAGGATGTCTCGGAAAGATTCAAGATGGAAAGTGATGGTGCATGGCAGTGCACTGTTGAAAGGCCAGCGCCGCCGACACTTTGGCACCCAGAGTATTTGAAGGAAGCTGGTGTCGAAAAGGTCCTTCTCGAGAAGACACTTGTTCTCGCAGTGGCCGGCGGACGAGGTTCAGAGGATGGGCAGGTTCTCGTGGTGGAGTGAAAGGAAAATGGGACTATTAGACGTTGCTAGGCGTGAAGGTAAGGATAATTTACATTAGTCCGTGTTTTTGCATCTTGGCTTAGGAGAGTACACTTTTTCCAGATCTGTTCCCAAGTATCGAATGAATTTAATAAGGATAATGCATAATTATTATGTATTAACTATATTGACATTTTCATCAACAATGCGGGCCAAGTAGGACATAGCTATGTACAATCCAGGCAGAAGAAAAGAGAAACCAGGCGGCTTCCACATCATCTAACGGCCTTCAACCGTTACATATACGACCACACAGGCGGGTTGACGCCCGTGTAGTTGTGGGTGCCCAAGCCCACCATGGGAGTGCAGTCAGTGCGATTGAAACTTGGAGTCACAGCGTAAGCCTGGATGCTCTCCGGATAATTCGGGTCGGGGCAGGCCACAACGCCTCCAACATCCTCAGCAGCGTCAGGTGCATGGAAAGTCCAGTAGCCGGAGGGAGTGTCGCAGTTGTAGCGGGGGTCATCAAGGGGGCAGTCAGGCATGGAAGCAGAATAGGTATCGGTGGGAAGAGCATTCCAGGACCAGCCCTCATAGTTGTGATATGCGTCTGAGGGAATGTAGTGCGAGTGCTGGACAGTGATGGCAATGTCCCCATCGTGAGTGACGTAAAGATCTTGGCCGCCGGGAACAAGGCAAGCCTGGCTGGTTTAGCATCGGGGTGACAACTCAAGGGTTAGACCAGACTTACGGGATAGAAAGCACCCGAGAATACAGTTTCGGTGCCATTGGGGCAGGAAGCACCAACACTGGTAGGGCAGTATGAAGCGACTTCTTTCCCGAAGAGGTTGCCACCGTTTTGGAACTTGGCGCCGTTCAGGTTGGCATTGTCCGGAGCGTATGCCGTGAGCGTGTAGAAATTGGGAAGGGTCGACTGTCGAGCCTCCAGCTTAACAGGATTGGCGAGAGCGGGCGAAAGGGTCAAGGCGCCCAAAAGGATCTGCGAAGTGAAAACCATTGTGGTTGAAGTGGATGCAAGGCAGCGATAGGAACGATTGGAACACAGTTTGATGAAGTTGGTGGTGTAAGTGAAGTGCAAGATGCAAGGGATCCTGCCGTCTTTATACGTAGGACGCGGCAGGTACGGGACGTGGACCCGGAAAACGGGCAGCGTGAGAGGGTTACAGTTGCTTCGAGAGGCAGCAAAACATCAAGCTGAATCGTGAAAGATACGACGATTGAAGGTGCATTAGTTCCCGGTGCGGTGGCACGATGGGTCAGCGGCCACGAAAACCTTGACAGGGTTGTGGCACCTGGGATAGCCGCGAAGCAACGCGCTACGAATGCGGAGAACAGTCGCAAATCGGGATGAGGTGTTGGCGTAAATCCTTAGGCCTGGGGCGATCTGCTGCTAATATTAGCAAGGAGCTGCAACGGCAGCTCTCGAGGTTTCCGGATGCGGTCTGGGCTGGGTCGACGTTGAGGTTGCACTCTGTCACGCGCATCCTTGTCGGTCGAATACGAGGCATCTGTCGACCACGTCTCGACATGGATCAGGAATCGATGGAGATGGCTCCTGGTCGAAGGATGATGGCGACCATGGATGGATCAAAGTGTCCCTGGTGTCGGGAATAGTCTCACCGGCGATTGACCCGAGGAATGGCCCTGGGTATTTGCGATGGTAAGCGGGTGTGTCAAGTGTTTCAGCAACGACGACAAAGGCAGCGGCGCGCGCGCCCGCTGTTCTTTCCCCCGAACCCGCCCCGACGTCATGCGCGGGCCGGTCCACCTCCCGACGACTCCGCATGAGCAGGTGCGCCAACACCTCGGCTTTCTCTTCATCAAAATGGACGCCCTCCCTGATGAGCTGAAACTCCACATCATCTCGTACCTCGACTGTGCTCCTCCGTCCGACCGTCGCTTCTTTGACGAGCCCAATCCCCGCGCCCTCAGCTCGCTCCGTGACCAGCCGCTCAAAGCCTTGTCTCTCGTTTCACGCCGATGGCACCGCATCATCAAGCCCCTGCTCTTCCACTATCTCGTATTCCACCTGCACATCCTCGACGATGAGCACAACGAATGGATCCCAAGCCGCGCTCAGGAGCTGCCCCAAATCCGCCATTTTCTTGGAAAGTTTGACCGCCGTCATCATGTGAAGAGCTTACTTGTCTGCGCCCACGGCGAGATATACGGTTCTTTGAGGGCCGATATCGCTTCCGTCTCCACTGACTTTTGGTCTGCCGTGTTTTACTCGATCGAGCCCGCTTCCATCAAGGTCGTCGCGCCTCCTGCTGCCCTGGCTCGTCTTGCTGGTTCCGGCGGCTACTTCCAGCATGCATGGGCCTTCGAACAGAGCTATCACGTCCTTGAGCTACGTCAAAACGTCAGCCTTACCGATGACGGATGCGCCGATCCTTTTGGTACTACCGAGAACCTCATGGCCCGGCGTCGTTGGTGTCACATTGGTTACAACGAAGGCTCCTCGCTCTCTGCTTACAACCTATACGAGTATCAGCATTACATTTCCCCTTGCGTCCTGAGGCACCTCCTCGAACGAGCGAGCTGGGACACCAACACCGCCACTTCCCTCACCTATGTCGCCATCTTTCCTACCAGCGAGAACGTACTCCGCTTCGCCCGTCACTTGGCTCTCTTACCCACCCAGTGTCATATCACTTTTCAGCTGGCACCAGAGCCGACTAGCACCATCCTGCACGAGCCCGAGCGAATGAAAAGAGCTCAGCCTGCCGATCTCTGGGTCGAGCTGGACCGAACCTACAGGGTCTTGGCCGGCTTTCTCGTGCACAATCGCCGGCATAAGCTGCGTCCGTCCGTAGAGAGCAGAGACTACAGGTGGAAGGCCTTGGTTGAAACTTTGGACGACGATGAGCATCTGGGTGCACTGAAAGGTCACGGCTGGGCTAAGACTGATGGTTCCGAGTGGGTACCAGTTGACCCAATAAAACATCACCCAGTGTGATGGCGCATGGACGACGTTGCGTGAAAGAACTGGTCTCAATTGGAAACTCGCCCTAATATCCTTCAAACTCTGTCAGATACCTCTCTATTCGGCCGTAATCGCCTGGAGTTCAAGAAACAAGGCGCAAAGTTGATCTCTCCGATCAGGTTTCTCTGCAATGTTATGACCGCGACAAGGAACCAGATAAGGACGACAATCACCGCCATGACCTGGGTAATGTTGTCAGCACAGCTTTTTCAATCACCTCGGTTTGCACTCACAGTTCCAAGGATGTCGAAGAAAGCAGACGGAAGCTCGACTCCCAATTGCAGCGTTGCCAGGACATAAACACCAGTTGGGAAGGTGAATCCCCACCACCCCATGTTGAAGGGGAATCTGGAGCGAGTCACAGAGGCAACGGCAAAGACCAGCCAGACAAGACCGAATCCCCAAAGGATGATCGCTGTGCCAAAACCGACAATGTAAAAGACGCCACCTGCCAGCGGGTGGATAGAGCCGGTCTAGTTCGGTGTCAGTTGCCACCTGTGGATGTGCAAGCGTTCTTTGCAGTCTTACCTCTGGAAACAAGTCTAACGCCATCTTACCCAAGTTCATTATGGTAAAGCTGGCTTGACCGAGCGGGCCAACGGGCATGAAAACGGTGATTATGACTTCCCGCGGTGGCAATTTGTGCATTGTCAAGCGGTGGAAGTAAACGCCCAGGGTTACAACGGCCATAGGAAAACCAATACCCCACAGCACGTAGCTGACCATCAAGGTCCACAGGGCATGCTGCGGGTTCGTGCTTGCCAGCATGGACGCCACGGTTGCTCCGTTCGATGCTGTCACAATCGGAGTCGCAGCAGGAAGCAGCCATACCGCCGTCATTGACGGCAGGTCTACTTGGTGCACGTGCATACTTTCCTTTCGTGTCAGTATGGTGCTTCGCCGATGAGTTAGGTCCCAACTTACAGCAAAAACGGCAGTCCACAAGAGCAAGCCACCGCCATCACCACGTCAATCCACCATAGAGCCCAGGCAAGATCGGAAGCCCACTTTCCCCAACCGGCATTTTCAATGCACACGAAGATGAACATGTTGATGACGGTGGTCAAGCCCATGGGACAACAGCCCAGGAAAAGCGACTGGACTGGATGCCGTATCATCATTCCCCATGTCTGCGGATACAGCGTATACCGCAAGATTGCAAGAATTGATATGACAACGAACATGAGAAGATCAAGAACGAATATTATGGTGTATAACACAGTAACGGTCTGGTTCTGATAGGGGAGAGCGTGTAAAATTAAGGCGGCCATACCGGTGGCCATGGTCATGGAGTACTGCGGTGTTCGTGTGAGTCATTTTTGCACTTTTCAGGAAATTCACAGATTTCTAGGGGCATGGCATCCAGAGGAAAGAGCATGGATAGAGGTCTTTCGCCGGGGAGTAAACATACCCATGAAGGTGTGAAGTTGTGCACCATGCTCATCCACCAAGGCCCCTCGGTCTCCTGCGGCTGCTCAAGGACCGAATCTCCGGACTCCGACGACGCGGCCGACGGCTTCTCAGAGATCTCGGGCGTCATGACATTGAATGGCTGCAGTATTCCCACGGCTTGACTGCCGTTGCCGTGTGGACACAGCTCCACGGGGATTCTGTCGATCTGGGGATCGGTGCCGGGATTACCAGATCCCGGCGAGCTCATCCATGGAGGCCTGGGGCATAGCGTTGCCTGAGAGTCATTGTTCTCTTTGGTGGATGCCTGCACGGGATGCAGCCATGGTGGCGGCATCCGCAGAGGATCGCACGACGCTGCTGTGGGATGCATTCAACACTCGCGGGGTAAAGGCGGGCCAGGGCAAGAATGACGACGACGTAAGGGCGAGCGGGAGCGGCTAGTGACGTATGCGGGAAGGTTGAACTTCGAGTGGGCAGACGGTTTTGTTGAAAATCGTCTGATGTTAAAGGGAAAGGCTGACCACTGGGTATGAGTCGAAAGATAGGCGCACGCGCGCCGGTGGTTGGAAGGGGGAAAAATTTATCTGGCCTCTGGAACAGACCCGCTTTGCGCGGCAGGAACCATTGTCAGAACACGGGCATACATGTCATCACTCTGTCTTCTAGAAGGGAAGACTGTCCGCGCCCCCTCTTGTCCGGCCGCACCCGCCCCGCCGTCGTTTTCTTCGGATCCTGCGCTTTTCCCCCTTCCTCTCAAGGATGACCACGAACTGCGTTGCCTGAGTCATCAATTGGCAGTGGGTTGTTTGGAGTCCACTTTTTGGGCCCAAATGCGCCCTCAGCTCCGAGCGTTTGCCGATCATGCCGAAGGCGCCGCCGCTGCACCGCCTGTCAGAAATGAATCCAGCCCAAACGCCAGCGCCGCCACGAGCCAGTGCCGACCTCTCTCACGCCGGGCATTTGTCATACAATGCTCCTCGCGACACATAGGAATCAAACTCAGAGACCGCCTTCGGAATCGGACCTCTCGGAGAGACTCCTCTGAAGGAAGAAAAAAGCGCTGCCGATATTGTTCCAAGAAGATCAACTCGACTTGCCCATCACATGCCGCTCGGCAAAAGTGGGCTGCGAACATTCATGCCCTGCGAGGACCTACTAGTTGTCTCGGGTTCCTTGCTTTTTGATCGCTTTTGCCTCTCGCCAAGGTCCGACGGCCGGGGCGGCTTTTTCACGAGCGTCTTCCCGCTTCCGCTTCCGCGCCGAGCCTCTTGGCGGACGGGAAAAAGGGCCGTTTGTGCCCGCACTACTTTCTTAACTGGGGTTGCGGTATCCAACTTTGACGGCAAGCGGGACGTTGATTGAAGCATGCAGCGGAAAGGCGGGTGCAGCCGTGCTTGGTGACGATCGTACGGCGGCACGGGACGACGATTTGCGCGTGGTGTTGGATGTGTGAGAGAGAGAGCGAGACGGGCGATGTCGGAGAACTGCGTGTGCGATCATACCGGTGACGCGGAAACTAGGAAACGAGACAGCGGATGCGCTTACCGTAGGTTTAAGGCCTGCTTTTTGCTGCCCGACGACGAACGCCGCCTTTTTTACAGTCCACAATCTGTTTGAATCCTTCGCGCGCGTTATTTTACCGCTTTTGCGGCGTCGCGCGTTTGAAGTTCGTCTCTTATCTTATGGCTCCACCCGGAGCTTATGACTGCTTGTGTTGCGGTGGAGGAGCGTTTAGAGTAGGTTGCGGGACGCCTGTGGGGCCATGACTGATGGGGGGCCGGGCGAATGGGAGTGGGGATGATTATCGTGCACTTACTGTTTGGGTAAAGGTTTACGCGGAGTAATGGATGTGAATGTGGGCGGTGGAGGAAGTGAGGGGTCCGGGGAGGATTGATGATCGGATGGAGAGAAAGTGAGCCATTGAAAAACTGGGGGTCGAGTAAGTAATGAGAAAGGGAGAAAAGAAATTATGGTAGGAAGAAGCTGGGCTTGGATCCAGTATGGGTAGCCTTAGTGTAGCAGTAAATTGGAGTTGAACTGAACACTGTTATTCGATTGAATTGTAAATCCATAACGTGTTTGGATAGTCGAGCTCAGCAGAGAACTATAAGTTTCCACCCGCACCACTCTAAGAAATCCGGCAACAGGCTCCAGTAATCACGATTTTCAACATCAAGTGATGATTTATCCTCATAGTATCCTATTCCTTTCCGAAGCATGAAATTTCCATGGTTCTGTACGCACAAGAGTGAGATTTTTCCAAAACTGAACTGGTCATTGGTGTTTGTGCTTAGTACTACGAACCCAAAATTTTCTATGAATTTTGAACTCGCTTCATCTAACGTTACTTGCATGTGGCGACCATATCCAAGCTGATGAAACCATTCACGATTTCGATATCCAGAAGACAGATCAAACTGTGGATTGAACCGAAGGAATGGAGCCCAGAAACGGAGTTGTCTTGTCATCGACTGGAGTGGCGGTGTCTCGCTATCAAGGTTCATGGGTTTCCGAAAGTCCCATAAAGCTGGCAGTGGTTCATCATTAAGAGTATCTCCGTGGTCCGACTCTCCGCTTGAATGGAACGTGAACACACCGGACGCTTCTGAGCTCGGATTACCCTGACAGCACCATTTGCCCACAAAGCTGTGCCACTTGCGCTCTAAAAAGGTCCTAAAACCGAAACGTTCCTGAGGAAATTCGATTGGTCCTTGCCAAGAAGCCCAGGACCAGCTCGGAAATGTGGGAGAATCGTTGGTGATCTTGTCCACACGTCTTGTGCAACCCTTCCCTGGATACCATAGTAGTACTCTAGGGAACATACTGGTGGGAAGCCCCTGCGTTGCCAAAATGTCAGTATCAGGGCAGAATTTGTTGTAACACCCTGAAAAAGCGTTCAGAACGTCCATTGTGAACGTGAGATTTCTTCTGGAGTAGGCTTGCACTGCAGCCCTGAACTCTTCAAACCCAAGCTTTTCTGCATTCGTGAGGAAGACCGATGGTGAAGAGTCGGGATCAGTCCTGTAATTGATCCAGAATGGGTGGCCAAATGCAGCGAAGTCCTCCGATAGTAGGCTCTCAAGGCTGTAGCCTTCCCTCCATTTACTTCTCTCGCAGACAAAGAAGACCTCTTGTGACGTAAAGTACACACATCGTCTTGAAAGCGATTGTTCCTGAAAAGTCCAACCCCTCGTACTCTAGTAAGAATGTCGGATCTGCTTCACCAGAGCACAGTGAGCAGCAGCAACCTGAAGACGAATGCCAGCAGTGCTGATGACCGAAGGTACTAATTCATAGCGTCGAGGCCAGATGCCCGGAAGGCCGGCGTCAGCATCCTTTCCCGTAGCAGCAATGATGGTCAAGACAGAGTTTTCGTATACACGGTCCATTCCATGTATGAGGCGGGCCTTCTCGGATTCGTCGTCTTGGATAATACACAGCGCATCAACCCAAAGGAACCTTAGTCCCACCCTCTTCACGAACTCCATCGAATTCCGGATCGTGAGTGGAATTCTTGTTTCAGATCTGTTGGCTAGACTCTCCGGGGTTAGAGAATTCCTCTGGAGCAACCGGTGTACATTTTCCCTCGTGCATTTAAGAGTTGCCGAGCCGCAAGCACCCCAAACGTACGAGAGTGCCACGTACTCACACGGAGTTTTCAGCTCCACAAGATGCTCTTCGATGACGTCAACCACGCGAAATCCTGTGTCGGCTTGGAACAAGGCGTTCAAAATGGGAGGCATTTGTTTTGAATACTCGTGTTTTCTGCATTCGTCGAGCCAACTTTTGACAAAATTTATGTCCAGGAGGGGCTCAATTGTCCGACGCAGATACGCGGGCGACATCTTTATTGAGGACTTTGCTTGAGACGATGCAGTCGTCGTTATTAGTTCCAGCTCCAAGATAATGAAACGTCTGTTGCTATCAACACTGACGCGTGACCATCCAAGCGAATATGTAGGTGGGAAAATGTCCACTGCCAGAAGCAAGCGCGGTGCATAGTAGGTCTTCTTTCCGTCTCCGCCCACGGAATATGACCAGCATCTGCTTTTCAAGAAAAGCTTGGTAGCCGGTTTGATTGAATCGCACCAATCGCCTTTCGTCCAGTGGGAGGATATTGCTGTCGATACCAAGGAGCAAAAGGGACACAACGGATCCTTGAAGGCTGTGATGCGACCAGCTTCTGTTTCTCTAACCTCCTCGGCGAAATATCTTTCAAGCCCGAGGGTTGAACAGATGGTGCAAAGCTGACCATCACGATTTGGGGCCGAGACAGGCTCCTGGTGCGTGATGACTTCCTGGGAGGGGCAGGAATAATGATGTTGATCTTGTGTCTCAGGACCTATCGTGTGCGTTGTATCTTTTTCGCTGCCTGTTCGCTGTCGCTTCAGGGGTCGTTCGGGAGACCTTGATGGTGTTCGAGCGTGATGCAAATTGGCATTGTCGACATCAGGGCGCAGAGGCATGATGATGTCCTATCAGTCGAGAACTCCCCTAGTCGCTGGGGAGAAGAAGTCTCAAGGGATATGGATGAAGTGCCAGAGGGCAGTACGTGGCATAACTTTTTGCTCTTTTTCGTGAGGCTCACCCGCTAACTCAGCCTCGAATTTGAGTGAGGCGCAAGGCAGAAACACATCTGACGTGGCACTATCTTAGCCTGGCAGCTTGCATCTGCATGGTCAGCCCTAAAGCTCGAGAAGCGAGGTAGGCAGCATACAAGGCAGAAATGGTTTCTCGTACGCCACCTGCAGTTAAGAGGAGCGGTACAGATCTCTGCTATACAAAAAGTCCTTGGAACAGCGGGTTCTGTCTTGGCAAGGGAATGATTCTCTGGTGTAACATAGATACATGTTTTCTTTTCCATTCATGAAGTTTCAAGCAGCCGTAGCCAGCTTTTGGATTTTGGTTCCTCTTTTATGATAAGCAGAAGTTTCATGAACCTTTGCCATGAGTTTACTGGAGATCATATGCTTATCCTGCTTGCTTGTTGCAAGGTGCGCTTCCATATCTGCTTCGTAGCTGTAGTAGCTCGGCCTCGATTGCCCAGAAAATCTTTTAAATATACCAGTGTCGAGGCACTAGCGACTCCAGTGCACTTGAACAGACTGGCTAGTGCTTCGCTGCCTCAAAATCCGTAAGTAACGCCAACATAGCGAAAAGGCCGTGGCGCCTGCACTCAACCGGACGTCCAAGGTTGAACAATGCCCCTATCAAGAGGTCATGTTGTGGGCTGGGTATCGTATGAACCAGCCAGTATGCCAGCTCGCCTGTTCATAAAGCGTGGGAGAATGGTTCGGTTGCTTCCCAACTTCCGTTGCTCCAAAGAAGACTCAGAAGGGCTTCGCGACCTTTCTGCTCTCCGTCATACCCGTCTTAGGATCTCTGAATTCCTTCCAGCTGATCGGGTACATCTGGTTCTCGGCCTCGCTCCTCGCCATGACAACGCCGAGCTCGTTAGTGGCCGTGGATAGATAGTAATTCTGCTGGTCTCCCAGAGAAATCTATCCTATTAGTTAGCATCCCTATTATCAATTCCAACCACCTTTCGAAATGTATCAACTCACCACGACACCCCTCACGATATCCCCGACCCTAAACATGTCCCCAATCTTGACTCTATCCTTCTCCGTTGCGCGGACGTCCTCCCTTCTGATGATACCCTGAAAGCCCTCCCTGCACACCGTCTCACCAACAACCAGTATCTCGACTGTCGCCTGGCGAGGCGTCAAGCGCGTCACGCGTGCCAACACAATGGAATCGACCTCAGGCAGGATGTTGGACGCGCCAATGCTCGCGTACACGGCGGCAGAGGAACCAGTCTGTGGGCGCGCAACGGAGAGCGCAGGCATGGACGAGGTGGTCGTGGAGGCGCCGGCAGCGGCACGCTTGAGCGGCTTCGTCTCGCTGACGGGGCCGAGCAGCGACGCGCACAGCTGCGCGTCTTGGATGTGGATGCCCGGGCCCGGCGCGTACTTGTTGGCGGGCCCGAGCGGCTGGCCGGGGAGTGCGAGGGTCGGGAGCGACATTGCGGTAGTCGGGAACGAGTGTCGTGGAGGTGGGTTCTTTGCGTGTTGCTGGTGATGTACCTGGATAGTGCTCGGAAGGCATCCCAATGGGTGGAAATTTTGGATCACGTGGTGCGGAGGCGAGGCGGAGTTAAGGCAAATCGCCGAATGACGTCTAACGAGCTGCTTACTCGAAAGCGGGGCAGAAGCTTCGCGCTCGACGATGCTTTCCGCCCGCTCGTACTCAATCGCTGCTGTCGTGCTCCTCATGAGTCTTCTCGTAACTGTGTTGAAGCGCGCACCGTACCAATCTTCTATTCGATCAATTTCTAGAGTAGGTTGCTCGAAATGCCACTTGTTCAAGCTCTTACTGACAATAGTATAGCTGCCGGCTGCACGCACCATGCATATCCAATCGATTCCGATGTGTAAGTCAACACCACCATCAAGGTGCTCAGTCCTCTAATACCCTTCGGCTCGCTAGGGGAGGGGTCTGGCAACAACTATGCCTACCTCGTTTCCGACGACAAGACCAAGGACGCCGTGATCATTGATCCTGCACACCCTCCGGAGTAGGTCCCCCCCACCCTTCAAATAAGCATTCGCTGATTGGGCTTCCGTCCAGGGTGCTTCCTGTGCTGCAACAACAAACCGAGAGCGGGGCGATCAAGCTGTCGAAGATCATCAACACACACCACCACCACGACCATGCTGGCGGCAACGGCGAGATTCTGAAGCACTACAAGCTGCCCATTATCGGTGGCAAGGACTGCGCGCACAAGACGACGACGCCGGGCCACAAGGAGACCTTCACCGTCGGCGATAGCATAAAGGTGACGGCGTTGCACACTCCGTGCCATACCCAGGACAGCATTTGCTACTTCTTCGAGGATGGTAGCGACAAGGCCGTTTTTACTGGTGACACTCTTTTCATTGGCGGATGCGGCCGCTTTTTCGAGGGCACTGCTGCGGAAATGAACAAGGCTCTGAATGAGACCCTCGCTGCATTGCCCGATGATACGAAGGTGTTCCCCGGACACGAGTACACGAAGGGCAATGTTGCTTTCGCAAAGAAGGTCCTTCAGAATGCCGCCATTCAGAAGTTGGATACCTTCTCGCAGGAGAACAAGCAGACCCAGGGCAAATTCACGATTGGAGATGAGAAGGAGCATAACGTCTTCATGAGGCTCACGGTAAGTTATGATTTAATTACTTTCTCGTTCACTGACTAACGATCCCGCAGGACCCCGAAATTCAGAAGGCTGTGGGCAAGACCGATCCTATTGAGGTCATGGCAGTCCTCCGTGAGATGAAGAACAAGTCGTAGGCTAGATAGCGGATTATAAGAACGGCCTCTTTTTTGTCCCTTTCATCATTAAGGTGTCGTGAACTTGCTGCATTACGTACTGACTGCTGTTCATGAGATATCGGGACCATGGTTACAAGATGCCGCCGAACTACCGTATTTCATTTTATATTCCCAAACGCCTGCGCAATGCACAACTTGGACAACTCCTCCAATCAGTATAGCCCAAATTTATTCCACCACGTGTATCCCAGCACAGCCGCTACGCTGGTCGCAGCGTAAGGCAATTGCATCTCCACAACCGCCCATATCCACAGCACACCCACCGGCGGCGCCTGCTTCATGACTGCATAATATCCAAACATATTGCCCATATAAACACAATAGCACCCCGCCGCCACGGCGGCTACGAAAAAGATGCACTGCCGCAGCGTAGGGAAGCGCATCACCGTCGGCGTCTTGAAACAGTAGACCACGAACCACAATATGGGCGCGACCTGCGCAGTCCTGCTCCAGATCTCGATCCAGTCCATATCCTCGCGGTACTGGTTGTGCACGAGCACGTCGAGCGTGAAGTGCAGCGTCGTCATGGTGAAGGCGTACAGAATCGCCTCGCCCACGGGGCCGATGTCATCCTCTTCGGACGCCGGCGACACCCGCACGGCTTGCCCCTTGCCATCGACGGGGAAATTGACCTCCTCCCCTTCCAGGCTCGACACGTCTTTCCCGGACTTGGCCAGCTCGCGCATGCGCTCCTCGGCGATCTCGTATAGCGTCTTGCCCTTCGGCCCGGAGAAGTCAGGTAGCGCCATGGGGATGCCGAGGTCGTTTTCGGTGGCGGCGCCATCGGGTGCGGATTTGGAGAAGTCGAGTTTGGATGCAGTGGACTTGGGTGCTTTGGCGGAGGAGAGAGGTGCGCCGGAGGCTTTGGCGGCGGCGCGGCGTTCCCTGCGGTTGCGGGGTTGGGGCTGTTCGTCGGCCATGGCGGATGGCTTTAGAAAGGTGTTGGGAATGTTTTTAGGTGTTGATGGCCCGATTAAAAGGGGATTGGTCGTGTGGTGTGGAAGCTGGTGAGCTTTTGGTCCAAGTAGGAGCTATGAATAGCTGCGGCATACGAGCTCTCCTCCGCGGCCACGGGCCGACCGAAGCGCAGGCCACCGCGAGAAACACGCCCGACGATCGGGACGCCGATCGACGTCAAAGCAAAGCTGCCTCAAGGGTCCAGCCAAACGACCAGCCTTCCCATTCAGCCGGAGCTACGACAAGCTCCAATACCATTTCTCCGCTCGAGCCGCTTCTTCGCTAAAGCAATTGCAACCATGAAGGTCATCACCACCGCCTCTTCCTCCGCCCTTCCCCCAGCCATTGAGCGCTGAGCTCATCCGTCTTTCCGCCCAAGGAACAGCACACCTCCAGAATGTCGTGGCTCACTTGGGCCGCCGCCCCCATCCTCATCGCCGCGCTGTGGGTTTACACGGTCCATATGAGCCGCTCGCTGCCGACACTCGAGGGCAAGCGCATCGCGCTGTTGATCGCGCACCCAGACGATGAGGCTATGTTCTTCGCGCCCACGATCCAGGCCTTGACGCGCCCGGAGCTGGGGAACCATCTCAAGATCCTATGCCTGTCGAGTGGTGAGTAGCTAGCTACAGACTACCCGGAGAGCTAGTAGCATTGGAGGTTCTAACGGATAACCCAATAGGTGACGCCGACGGCCTGGGCGAGACGCGCAAGCAAGAGCTCCTGAAGAGCGGCATGCTGCTGGGGCTACGGAGCGAAGACGACATGCTCGTCATTGAAGACGAGTGAGTTACCACCCCATCCCAAATGCTCAATCAACCGGCAGTACCCAGCTAACCTCGACCCTCCGTGCCAAAACAGCAACTTCCCCGACTCGATGAGCGTGACGTGGAACCCGAAGCTCCTCTCGAACCTCCTCGCCAAAGCCTTCGCGCCCAACATCAGCACGACGCCGACGACGCGCCCCCCGGCCGCGACCATCGACGTCATCATCACCTTCGACGCGGGCGGCGTGTCGGGCCACCCCAACCACCGCTCGCTCTACCACGGCGCCCACGCCTTCCTCAAGACCCTCATGCAGCGCCACTCGGGCTGGGACTGCCCCATCAAGCTGTACACCCTGACGTCGGTCAACATCGCGCGCAAGTACGCCAGCGTGCTGGACGCGCCCATGACGGTGCTGAGCGCCCTGGTGCAGCGCAAAGATGCGGCCGGCGCGTTCCCCTCGCCGTTGATGTTCGTGAGCGGGCCGCAGCAGGTGCGGACGGCGCAGGGAGCTATGGTCAAGGCGCACAAGAGCCAGATGGTGTGGTTTCGATGGGGGTGGATTGGAATTGGGAGATACATGGTCATGAATGATCTGAGGAAGGAGAAGGTGGGTTGATGCGTAGGGTATATCACGAAAGTATTTGCTTGGGTGTTGGAAGCATTCAGATATAAGCCAAGGCTGTGGTCAGCCCTGTCTTGTATTGATATTAGTCCAGTGAAGTATGTATGAGCGAATGATGCTACCCCCCTTTCGCCATCTATTCCTTTACAGCCCATTCTGGTAGTAGTATGGCGCCATGCAATTTCCAATGCGTTATCTCGTCCCTCATATCATTACGGTCATGCAGAAGAAAAAAACGAACGATGAAGTGTAGAAAGAGACCAAATCCCAATATGGAAACAAAAGAAAGGGCAAGGGATTGTGCCCAGTCAGGCATTACTCGTACACATAACAGAAAGGCCCGCCGGTCGTCTTCATCAGTTCCTTGACCTGGAGCTTCTTGTCGGTCACGAAGCCCAGATCCATCCAGTCGTCGTAGGTGACGTCCGGGCTGGGTGGGGAGTTCAGGAAGGTACCCGTGCCCATCAGAGCCTTGGGGCCCTGCGTGCGCTCTTCCGGGTTCTGCATCTGCCACAGCCACCAGGTGCGGTCGACCTGGGTGTGGTGCAAGTAGAACCTGTTCGAAACTCATCGTCAGCAATCGCCCTTATTTTTCATCCGGATCGAGAGGGAAAAGCAAAACTTACACAGGCTCGCCAGGAGAGACGTAGAAGTCTCTTCCCGGATCACCACCGATGCTGTAATGCCCACCGCCGTGGACACCGAGCTCGCCCGTGCCGGGGTACGACTGCATGTTCATCTGGAACTCGTACACGTCGGTCGAGTTGCGCAGCGTACTCAGCACGCCCGTCGCGTTGGCGTGGCGCTTGTTGACGGCGTCGCTCAGGTCGCGCTTGAGGCAGCGCGGGTTCCACGAGAAGTCGTCGCTCTTGTCCTCGGTCAGCGAGCTGCCGACGGCGGTGCCGTTGACCAGCGACAGGCTGAGCGGGCCCAGATTGACCGTGTAGTTGGAGAAGGGCCCGCTCTTGACGCAGCCGCCGCCCGAGCCCGGCGCGAGCAGCACCGGGTTTTCGGTGCCGATGACGACGTCACCCGTCTGGTGCACGTACTCGCCGTTGCCGCCCATGGACGTCGGCGAGCCGTCGAAGATGGGCGAGTTTTCCAGCCCCGTCTCGGCCGTCTTGGCCCAGTCCCAGTAAGGCTGGGCGCCGATGTAGCCGCATTCAGTGCGGAGCGCTTGCTCGTACTCCCAGATGTACCAGCGGTGCCAGCTGAGGAAGGTGGCCTGCGGGTGCGTTGTTAGCGAACGGGTGAGAGAGAAATGGGAAATACGGGGAAAGTTGGAAGAAAGAGGAGGTAGAATGGGTAACTCACGGTGTAGTGTTGGATGAAGGTTTGGTTGATGTGCGCTACAACCCAGTCATCGAAATGCGACTTGGCACCCGGCGCGAGACTCGATGGCGTGCGAGCTGGCTTGCTTTGCAAGCATTGGACAGCGTCCGTATAGGAGATGCGCTCTTCGGCGCTGAGGGCACCCCTGCAGTGTGCGTTAGCTAAAGTTTCCGCAAAGCTGAGATGGATGCTATGTATAAGGCTTAAGAAGGTTTATGCGTTCCAAACGATGATCTGGGATTACTAGAGATAAAATTGCTTGGAAAGGAAATATTCATAACAAAGATTGGGAGCTTGTAGTAATAATATGCAAGCTTGAAAGAGTGAAAGTATAGGCTGCGAGATTGCTCACCATTCTTTACGGACGACCAACTTGTCTGGAGTACAAGAGCCATCGTTGAAGAGGCCCCCTTTAGTAACGTCGAAGGCATTCTTAGCCCACCCTTCAAGTCCGGCGGTAAAACCGTCGAAGTTCCTCGAAAAGGCCTGGGAGTCCGGGCCGGTGGGGGCAGCGTTGGCGGCTGCAACCAGCAACCCAAATGTCGGGAATAATTGAGTCAGACGCATGATGCCTTGTGGTATTAGAAAATAGAGGCTGAAATTAGACTTAAAGGAGGCAGGATAATGCAACAAGAAGATGAGAGACGCTGTTATGATATACCGTCTGGGGGTTTATCAAAGCGAACTCGTCCTGAGATCGATGAGATGAATGAGCACACTTCGCACATAGGCTGCCCAGAGGCAATCCTAGAACCTGGAAAGTGTAAAAGAAGGTGAAAGCAGCGAGATGCTTGCTGAACTGGGTGGGGTAAAGTCAACCACAGACAAGATTTCCCTAACTTTTTATATCCAACATCATCATCGAGCTCGAAGGGCTCGACAGTCGGCGAGTCGGCGATACAGCATTCGGCTCCGCACAGTGCGACAACGCCTCGTTGTCGGTCACGTCCATGGCCTCACTGAATGAGGATAGTACAAAGATACTTGGAGGGCTCCCCGTGGAATACGAGTGGCCAAGCTGTTGGCAAAGCCCTGAAGACGCTGTCATAGTCGGTGGGCAGCACCCCTGTCGACGCAGGTGTGGCTGTCTTGGCCTGCATATCGTGCATAGGGCAGCTGGGATCTGCAAGGCCAGACGGCGTGTGACAGCTGCTCCGGGGAACACGCGAGGCGCAGACGGCAGCTCGCGGAGCGCAGGGCTATTGTCAATAGGTAGTCGAGATTACACAGCAGCCACATGGACAGCATCAGTCGACCACCAAGCGCGTGGGAAAGACAAGGCAGATTGGCGCAAGGAGAAGAGTGCGCGGCGCCCCTCTTGAATTCTCCGGAGGAGCTGGGCAATCCACATTCGTCAGGCGGCGTGGCGATCTTTTTTGCAAAATGGGCCTGCAAGTGCCGGTAAGGCTAACCAGTGATAGCAGCAGTGGTTGCCAGCCAGCTCGCGTGGGCGCACGCGAAACGGCAAGCTGCGCGGGGAAAGCTGAGTGAGCGGCGCCGTAGCCGGCAGCATCGCCAGATTCGGCTATTCGCTGACAACAGCTACGTACCTCCTCGGCCGAGCCAAGACGGCGTCAGATCTCTTGACTGTCGGCCTGAGAGGAGGAGCCGATGGACCGGATTCCCGATGCTACTGGGATTGCCGAGTGCTGCCTGTCGCTGAGCGGCATTGCCCCGAAGGATCTAGCTGCAGAGACGATCTCTTCGACTTGGGGCTGATTTTGCAGAGCCTATGATCACTCCACCTATGCTGCTGTCAGAGTACAGCCTGTGCCGTCCCGGCCGTCGACGGGATTCCCGAGTGCTCCACTTGAAAGTCAGTTCTATTTCGGGCCATCCCTGCACGGCTGTTCTGATTAGACGGTGACGACACTGACTCTGCGTCCATGTAACACCGGATACCAGGTTTGCTGTCCGAGTTTGTGTGCGAACGGATCAAGGGACAGCGCGTGGCAGACAATGCAATAGTGATTACGTGCGCTCGTCGCTAAGGGTAACCCAAAGCAGTAATTCTGTAGTACGGCAGTAAGCACCTCATACGACATGCTTAAACTCGTGTAGCACTCGAAACGACGCGAGTCACCCAGCGACATATTTCCAATGTACAACGGCCGCATCGGTAGCGTGCCAGTTCGGCATGCCGAGCCACAGCCTGAGCGCTGCGGTCCGACGGGGAAAATCCCGGCAAGTAGGTAGCGAAGTGAGCGTGTCGAATTAGATCCTCATGAGAAAAGCGAATACGAGTTGAATGCGATCTGACCCGATAGTCTATACACGGCTGGATTTACCGGTTCAGTAATGTGTTGTCTTCGCCATGCTCAAATGCAGCCTGTCAGATGGCCGACATGAGACAATGACGGGCCTACCGAATCTAGGCCGCAGTGCTGACGCTTGGCTCTCCCCTGGACAGTTGACAGGTCGCTGACAGAGAGTTTGTTGGGCCAAGCAGGAACGTCGTGTCAAAGAGACATGCGCCACATGCTTATGCCAAGCGAAAATGCCTCCGAACTTCCGACCTAGAAGGCGTAGCCATGGGAATCCGAATAAGAATAGAAGAGTGGGCCCATCCTCATACGGTTAATGAGGCGAAGCATGCCGTGTATTCCTTCTCGAGGAAAAAGCGCAGCTATGCTCGGGTCTCCCATGCGTGAACATCATGCTGTTGCGAAGTCAAGTAGTAGAGAAAACGACCATCTGATCTTTTGGTGGACTGATCGCTGAGCAAAGGCTAAGACAACGGCTCCTTCCGCTCGGGTCAACCAGCCACAAAGCCACAGGAAAAGGTCGGCAGTTGAATTCAGGAACCGGTACGGAACCGCGGATCAGGCATAAAAACACCTGGAGAAAGGCGTATGGCTCCTCTGCTGCCGCTTTTTAGCGATGACGGGAGACAAGACCATCGAAGATCTCAAATCATATGTGCTCTTTGGCGCAGAGAAATTCGCATCGAGCGTCGAGCCGAAAATGCCGGCCCCCTCATCGTGCTCGCGCTTATGTCCACTTCTTGTCGCTGGTTCTCAGGGACGCTGGCGCCGGATTCAATAGAGTCTAAATGTTCAACAAATGGCTGAAGCTCGCTCTAGAGTATTTGATCTTGTGATTCTTTCCGGCATCTTCCGGTAATCGGTGTAGCTCAAACCGTGGCTCGGTTGGTGATTGAAGACGTTTGTGATTCCCTGCAGATATTCTTAGAGACCAAGTCCCGCCGTTATTGCAATGATATACCCTTTTGCCAGGGAATCCTGTCAGTATTAGCACTTGATGCTAGTTAAACTTGTGTATGCTTATTGGTTCTACCACCGCTCCAAGCTGTGGACTGGAGCGAGGATCCGCAAAGCACAACTCCAGTCAGATTATGGTGCCGTCTGAGACGCTTTCATGCAGCTCGTCAAGTTTTACTGCAACTGTCTCCGCGCCGGCATGTGCCGGAGACAGTCTGCTTCCGCTGGTGCAATGCAATCTCTGTGGCAGCCATCGCTCTTGAGGCGAGAAGTACAATCGCGCATTCGTCCATGCAGTACGTATGATGGAAGGCCAACGTGTCTCACCTCGCAGTTGTTCGTAGGTACAGCTCCTCATGTGGATGTGTGATGAACAGCACGGTGATTTCGAATTCTGAAGATCGTCGATTCACCTCACGCTTCGCTTTGTGAGTTGGTCTCGTGGAAAGATGACGGACGTAACCTTACGGAACACGGGCCTACCGATAGCCGAAAACCAGTGGTGATACTTCACCAAGTGTTCAGGGTAGCCATTGGAGTGCAGCTAACTTTAGCATCATTTAGAGACGTTGCTGACGTATTTGTCTCCCGGCAGCGGGAATCGATCGATGCCAAGTTGAGCTTCGAGGAAATGCTGAATGGAGATTCGAAGAGGAATTTGGAAAGTCGTTACTTCTGTCGGTATGACGGAGATTAAACGCAAGCTTGACTCGGATGCAACGCGGAGGTGACCGGCAAACAGCCATGGGCGCAAGCGAGCAGAGGCGCGTACCCCGCAAAGGGCAGGTATCAAGTGAAGAAGGTTGGTGGTGGAGAGAGAAAGAGAGGGTCCGTGGAGGGGGAAGACGAGCGCGGATCAGGTGCAGACCCGACGGCTGCCACGCTATGCCCCGATGGGAAGGTGCGGGCGCTAGTGGCATTGCTTATCGCCATCCACCAAGAGCCTTGGTTCTCCTGAAACGTCTGTGCCATCGTTCAACTCGGCCATGCCGCCGCATGACGCCAACAAGCTCGTGTCGGTGCTGAATGTCGATTGGTGCTCTCGGTCAACACGCCCGTCTCGGCGCCTATGCACCCAGCAATGCTTGACACAGCGAAGCCTCCCATTCGCTCCTTGGCCGACGCCGCAATGTAAACACCCGCCGTATTTGCTGCAATCACGAGCTTGAACGTCTTCTAGAAGCTGTTTCCCTGTCGGGACCCAAACACCTGCTTGGTCAGGTCTAGGACACTATACAGCAGATCATGCCTCGTTTCCTACTTAGCCGCCGGACAGAGTCCCGCCATAAATACCGCCATGCCCTCCCCAATTTTCGTGCTCCAGCGCACTAGCTCGTCCTCGTTTTCCCCTCGACAAGATGCGGTCTTCGCTCGCCTTTGTGGCTTCTGCCCTCTCCCTGGCCAACCTGGCCCTGGCTGCTCCCTTCTCCGGGAAGGTCGACAAGCGTTCGACCGTCGAGAAGGATGGAGTCCGCTACAACGTCTTCGAGCACGCTGCCACGGGTGCGAAGCTGGAGTTTGTCAACAACAGCGGAATCTGTGAGACCACTCCCGGCGTCAACCAGTACTCGGGTTACCTTTCGGTCGGCACCAACATGAACATGTGGTACGTAACAGCAATCCCGGTTGAAAGGATTTCGAAACATTGACGAAACACGCAGGTTCTGGCTGTTTGAGGCGAGGGAGAACCCCACGACTGCGCCGCTTGCCGCATGGTACTTGCTGGGCCCTCCCTGTTTTGAAACGAAGGATAATTGATTGATGAAACAGGTTCAACGGTGGTCCTGGATGCTCCAGCATGATCGGCCTCTTCCAGGAGAACGGTCCCTGCCACTTCGTCGACGGTTCCACCGAGCCCAGCCTGAACGAGTACAGCTGGAACTCGTACGCCAACAGTACGCAAATCCTCATGTGACACCTTTCTCCATTTATTGACATTATCAAAGTGATCTACATTGATCAGCCAATTGGCGTCGGCTTCAGCTACGGGAATGATGAAGTTGTCGATTCCACCGAGACTGCCGCTCCTTACGTGTGGAAGCTTATCCAGGCCTTCTATGACGCTTTCCCCCAGTACGAAAGCAGGGATTTCGGCATTTTCACCGAATCCGTAAGTTCTTTCCCAACGCACGTAGCGCTTGTCCGACGGCTAATAGCTCTCCAGTACGGCGGTCACTATGGTCCTGAATTTGCCCACTACATCCAGGATCAGAACAAGGGCATTGCCAGTGGCAGTGTTGACGGTCAAAAGATCAATCTGATTGCACTTGGCGTCAACAACGGCTGGATTGATGCCGAGCTGCAGGAGAAGGCCTACATCGACTACAGTCTCAACAACACCTACAAGAAGATTATCAGCCAGAGCGAGGCTACGTCTTACTACAACGCCTACACGAAGACCTGTCTGCCCGCCATCCAGAGCTGCGAGAGCACCGGCACTGTCTCGGCCTGCGTCAACGCCGACAACAAGTGCTACAACAGCATCGAGGGCCCTCTGAGTGAAGAGGCTGACTTCAACGTTTATGATGTCCGCATTGGAGCCAGCGTGACGGACCCGCCCGAGACCTACGCCGACTATCTCGCCCGTGATGACGTGAAGAAGGCCATCGGCGCGCGCTCCACCTACTCTGAGTGCGCGGATACCCCGTACAACAAGTTCTCGTCCACTGGTGACAGTATGTCTTCTCCCTGATGCCTGTATGAAAATCCACTGACCTCCCCAGACCCGCGCTCCTTCCTGCCCGAGCTCAACTCCGTCGTCCAATCGGGCTTGACCACCCTCGTCTGGGCTGGCGATGCTGACTGGATTTGCAACGTAAGCTTTTGATCCTGTCTGCCCCGTGAAATAATTTAATTTCTGACACCTACCAAACAATGCAGTGGATGGGTAACTACGACGCCGCGCAAGCTGTTGAGTTTGACGGTCAGACCGAGTTCCGCGCCGCCTCGCTTGAGCCTTACAAAGTCAACGGCGTCGAGGGTGGCACCTTCAAGACCGTCGACAACTTCTCGTTCCTGCGCGTCTATGAGGCCGGTCACGAGGTGCCTTACTACCGTAAGTTTCCTAAGCATATCCATAGCAGACAACGGTGCAACATGAACTGACGTCGTTGCCCGCAGAGCCCGAGCTTGCCCTCCAGGTCTTCAAGCAGACCATGCAGAAGAAGCCCATCTCGTCGACTTAGACAAATCGTGGCATGTAAAAAAAGAAAATCAAATGCAATTTTCAACTTGAGAAGCTCAGTAGCGCCACGTATCTACGGGTATTTGGTAGCTTTCTGAACCGTGAGACCATGACGTGATACAACCGTGTTGTTAAAAGATCCTTTTGGTTGTTATTCTGTGTCGTCTGCACTACGTGATACCATGCATTATTCTCGTTCAAGAATCTAACTACGTGCTCAGCTAATAAAGTACGTTCCAGTGGAGGAATTATTGACGCTCTTGTGAGACAAGGTATTCATAAGGCATTACATCGCTCTGGCACTGAAGAAGTTCTGGATTTAAACAGGAAAGTTTTCCTTTGCATTCCAATCACATTAATATGCAAAAGTCTCGGCACAAGAGAACAGCTCAGATCAAAGATTGGAACGAATGCTCGCTTTGAAGGCTTTTCAGAAGAAGTTACTAGTCAAAAGAAAACGGGCAACTGAGTCGGTCCATTTATATTTACTTGAGAAAGTACCTATCAATCGACATTTCTTCTCCAACAGACGGTGGCACATCCTTAAATCGTCTGGTATTCCTTCAATCATTCGCGGTCTTGTCGTTGTAGTAGTGAATCTGCAAACCAGTCAACACTCCTTATTCCCATCCCTACCTTCACAAGTCCCAACCATCAAAATATACGAAAAGAAGAACAAGGGAATTCAACTCACCGTCTCATCCGCACAACCGTCAGGCGTCTGGTACAAATAGTTCCCAAGGTTCACAAACAGCGCCTGATCCTCGCACACGTACCAAGCGCTCAAATTCGGCCTCGTCACATTGGCCGCGGACCACGTCAGCGCGTCGCCCTGCCACGCAAAGGTGCCGTACGTGCCCTTCGTCTCAGCGAAAGTAACAGCCAGCGTCCTGCCGTCGCGCGTGGCGGCGCCAGCGACGTGGGCGTACAGCAGCTTCTCGGCCTCGCCCGGCGCCGAGACCAGCTGCGCCAACTGGCCGTCGGCGTCGATGGTGAACTGGCCCGCCTGCGTGTAGAGGTCGATGGTCGCGGTGCCGGTCGAGTACAGCGGCGCCGACTGCAGGTACTTGTGGAAGTTGGGCTCCTCGACCGCCCGGATCCAGAGGTAGCCGTCTTGCAGCGTTGTTCCGGGCCCGGCGGCGGTGCTGCCGTTGGTCGGGGCGGTGGTGGCGCTGGGTGTGGCGCCGGACGTGGCGGTCGTTAGGATGGTGGAGGCGGTTCCGGGTTGGCACTGCGAGTAGGCTGAGAGGAGTTTAGTTCACCGTTTCGATAGATGCGTTGGGGGATCTTGCCGTACAGTCACTAATAACGTTAGCTTTCTGTGTTTATGAGGCCATCTCATCAAGGGTTATAGAAATACCTTAATTTCACGCAAGCGTATCCTGTGCATTGTTAAGTAAGCTGAAAGTAGTCAAGTGTCGTTCAGAAAACCGACCAGAGACGCAAGACGTGCTGCCAGAATATCCGCTACCGCCGCCTGGTAAATGTCAGCTAATTATGCATGCAGGTTCCACAAGCAGAGTTACGTGCATTGTCCCCACGCGCTTGCCTGACTGAGCGCCGGAGTGGCAAGGAGGCCAACAGCGGCCGCTGCAACGTTGAAAGAGTGCATGATAAACAGTGATCGAAAAAAGTATGGACAAAGAAGTTTAAGGAGCTGACTAGGAAGAAAGCTTGACCTTTGCTTGACCTTTGCAAGCCTTATATCTTAGAGCGCTCGTTGTCATTTTGTTAAAGTGTGGAGCATTGGAGTCCGTGGCCAGCCCGACGGCCCGCCGTTCCTGCGGCAGATCAATTGCAGCGAATAGAGTGCCAACTAAGCCACAACAGGCGCGGATAAACTGTTTCACGCCACAACGTTTTAAAACCCTCAATACTCCAGGTCCGTTAAGACTTTTGAGCTCATTGTATCATGTACTGATTCTGAAGCTCGCGTATGCGTTTCATTTATCAACCTAAATGCATCCTTTCATATGCCGGTCATTTGTGGAAGGTACTTACTTTGCAGAAGAACTTTAACTCTACTAGCTAAAAGGAATTGTACCGGGCGCCGTGTCATTTATTCATCATCGGTAGGTAATGCGGGATGCTTTGCCGCCATTTCATCCAAATACGCCAACACAGCCTTGCCCCATACAGGTTTGCGCTTGTAGAACGCGAGCTTCTCGGGTAACTTATGCAACATGCCACCCAGCCTTGCTGCAAAGCCTGGCTCTTCAGCAATTTCGACCAGACGGTAGAGGTAACTGCTTGCAATGTCAGCTTTGTGCGATTTTCCTCTATAAGTTGTGAGATCCGTATCATACGTCTTAGTCAACATGCATATAGCCCCAGATCTAGGCAAGCGGCGCAGCACCTGCCGCTCGATACGCAGTTGGACTTGGTTTATATCGATCTTTTCATCCGCTACCGCCTCATCGCCCTCGTAGAGATGCGTGCCATCAAGAAAGAACAGTTCTTCCCGGTCATTGATACCCCAATTGACACGCATCAAGAGCCGATCCGCAGTCACATTCTTGAAGAACCTGTGAATAGTCAGCTAAAGAAGTTCATATCCGCTCCGACTTTCGAAAGAAGCTTCAGTCCGACGGGTATCTACTTATTCATTGCCCTTTTCAACTTCTCCTTATACGTCGGAACCGGCTCGTGGATCGCCGTGAGCGGCTGATCCATCTTCTCTTGAATATCAAACCCCGCCGGAAACGCGCTCACCGCCGCCTTGAGCACATACTCTGCCTCCGCCTCCTCTTCTCCATCTTCGCCCTTCCCCGGCACCAAAACCGCCAAATCCTCCTCCGTCACCCGCGCCACTACCTCCAACGGGTGCAGCCCACCCCACGGCTCCACCAACTCAAACCTCTCCCCCGTCACCAAGCTCCTCAACCACCTACCTCCCTCCCTCACCCACACCCCCGGAAACCGCCTCGGCAAATACTCCCCCAAATACCCGAGCAACTCCCGCACCGCCGCCTCGGCCTCGGGCCTGCACGCCATGGCGCCGCCGACCTGCTTCCAGCCGTAAGCGTCGAGGACGTTGCGCTTGTGCGTCATGCGCGCCGGGTAGTTCGTGTCGACGCGCAGCCAGTCGTCGAAGGGGCAGGTGCGCAGCGCCATGGTCGGCGTGTAGACGCGGTCGGGCGCCGAGATGAGGGTGCGGTCGCGGTACCAGCGGTCGGGTTCGGTGGAGACATGTGGGGAGGAGGAAGATGAAGATGGGGAGGTGGGGAAGGGCGCGACGTTGGTGAAGTTGAGGGGAGTGGTGGTGGGGGTGCCGTAGAAGGAAGACTGGCTCTTTTTCCGGGCTGTGGGCTTTCCTTCGGGGTGGGCTTGAGTGGAGGGTTTGGGGTTTTGGGGGTTGAGTAGTAGGCGCCAGAGGAGATGGAGGAAGAGCGGGAGCAGGATGGAGAGCGAGAGGAGAGAGAGGGCGTTGGGAAAGAGGTTGCGGAGGCTGGGTGCGGTGTCGGCTAGCATGGTCGAGGGCAGAGAGGCGCAGTGTTGGGAGCGAAATGAGCTACATCATGACAGGAAGATGGTTTTGGGGATGTAAGGTGGAATACAAATGGTAGTGGGAGTGCCTTCCATCGTATCCCCCACCATTGATAACGTCGGCTGGACCTTACCCTTCCGATGCTAGTGCAGAGCGACTGTCGAGTTTGTGTGACATGACATGGCAGGTAGGCGACGGACCAATCAAAGCGTTGTCGACGTCGCACACATGATAAGAGCGTGTGAAGTGCGGGGTGCGTGAGAAATCGAGGCTCAAGGCGTACGCTACTGCACAAAGTTAAGCTTTCAAGCACGCAACTCGCGTAAAAGACGTGATAATAATTAAGGTTCAGTGTAAGAGATGGATAAGGGGGCCGTGGGAAGGCTGAGTACCGGAGCCCTTTCCGAATACAAGAATGGGTGCCGCATTACCCCACCCCCGGGGTTTTCCCCAGAATGTTTTAGCGGAAGAAGGCTTGGAGAAGGCGGGAAGAAGGCGGGGAATGGCGGACCGCACGAACATCTCACTCGTCGCACGTGGCGCGAGGATTTAGACGAGGCTTCTAGAAAGGACTGGTGACATGCCAAGCATTAGTCCTCATGTGCCGTAAGCAACCAGGTTCACGCCCTGGCAGCTACTGCGATCGAAAGTGGGCTGATTTCCCCAGCTTCCCTGGGTTAATCATTACGGGCACAAGTCCGCGCATCGCCCGTGGTGCTCTCACACCAGAACCATGGCAGCGGCGCGTCTTCCCTACCCCCAGATCTGACATCCATCTCACAAGGCCTGCTTAGCGCGCATGGCGCGGAGACACGGTTCGGCCTTTTGGCCGCACCCTCGATCTATATGAGGAACAGGCATCGTCGCTCGACGATCTTATCAATTTGCTTCTTAGGATGGGCAGCGCCGCGAGTTGTGCTGTAGATCTCGGGGTTGATGAACCTGACGCAGCGGTCACCTGAGAGGGGGCCCAAGTCCCTCATCCCCGCAGTTCCTGTCCAGCCTTCTGCCTCTCCCTGATGCAACCGAGTACGCGCCGCTACTTGTCGACACCACTCGCCTGTTCAACTTGGCTGTTCCCCCATCCCCTTACATTCCAAGATTCCTTTTTCCTTTCATAATCTCGCACATGGCGCCAGCGTGCGCCCATCTGAAGTCAGTTTAAACACCGGCGATGGAACACTCCAGGGCGGAAATGCCTCCCCCAACCGATCCTCATAATGGACTTGGATTAAAGAACGCATGCATACCCAGCGAATCTGTCAGGAGTTGGTTCTTGACTGCCATCCAGCCTGGGTCCTGGGAACGCGCGCAGAAATTGACTCCGAAGGGTGTGTATCTATTTGCCAGCAAAAAAGCCATCGTAAGTTTGCGGAATCATCTCTCAAGGTGGTCTGGTCCTGGCCCACTCGTTACGTAGTTCGTCGGCAAGGCTCTGTACTGGCCACCCGGTGCTGCGTTGATGCTTCTCGATGAGCTCGCAGATCTTCTCGCGCTTGAAGACTTCGTTTGCGTACAGCCCGGCAGCGTAGAGACACTGCGTAGAGACGACTTCGGCCGGCTCGTAGTCAATGGTCATGGCGAGGCCAACGATCATGTCGATGGCGTTGTGGAGTTCCTTCTCGCGCGCCAGATACTCGCGATAGCCACCAGCGGCGGGCTGGTGGATGAGGAGGAGGATGCGGGCAAAGTGGTGCATTTGGATAGCGGCGGCTGTGGACTCAGTCAGCTCTGTACATTGGGGGACAGCAGACAAAGCCTTTGCACGCGAGGCTGGACCGATGGCTACAGCTGCCGCCGCCGCTACTGCTGCTGCTGCGGGAAGGCCGGTGGTTGGAGGTCACGTACCAAAGCCAGGTGGGTTTATCCAAATGGGTTTGAATGGGCCGCTATTCTCAGTCTCGGCGCTATGCAGAGGCAGCGGGTTGAAATGCACGGTCAAGTTCATGCGCCATTCCTCTAGCATATTGAACAGCATATCCGCCCGGTCGATCCTCAACTGTAAGTTCACCTCGCCCATCTTGGTCTCCTCTTCCGACGCATAATTGACGGCCTGCGCGAGCAGATAGACGACTCGCGAGGCCATGTCGTATTGATCCATGAGCTGGTAGGGTCGAGTAGGCTTGTAGAAGCTGAAGCAGCGCCTCCGCTCACGGAAGGCAGCCCATACGTCCTGTCGCAGCCAGCTCCACCACACCGCCTGCTTGAGCCCGCCAGATTGCCCGTTGATATCTTGCGACCGTTGAATCCAGAAGACGCCCTTTAGGTGGCGTTCCCAGCCGCTTCCGGCACCGTCGATCATCTCGTACTTGGAGACGATCAGCGCCGTTGCCAGCAGCTCGACGCTGCGGTTAAAGGACTCGTAGCGCATGGCGCCCTGGAGGTACTGGAGCGTCTCGGCATAGTACTGCACTGCTGCAGTGCGGTCCATTGTCTCGCCGTTGATGCCGGGTCTGATGGAGAGATGGCGAGACGACAGGGCCAGGATCGCCTTCATCAAGCCCTCGTTCCTCATTGCCAGCTGCGGGACGAGCGAAGAGAAGTGCTTGAGCGGGTCGTACAAGTCCAGCCAAAAGCTAAGGTTGTCGACAAAGTGCCTAAAAACAGGTATCTCGTCGTCGCGCAGAATCACGGTGCTTTGCCAACACTTTTGCTCCGCCGTGTTCATTGGGGCGTCGGGCTGCGACCCGGGCGTCGAAGAGATGCGGGGCGGGAAGCTGGCGACAGGAGTACCCACAGAGACCGAGGGGCTGTGGAAGCCCTGCGTAGAAAAGCTGGCCGCGCGCAGACTATTGAAGCTTGATTCGTCTGCGGTGTGGGAGCGTTGACCGAGCGGTTGGCCACTGAACTCTACAGGGTGAAGATTGTCTGCGTCGTCGGCCAGAAGACCGAACCAGCGCAGGGGGGCAATCTCAGCAGAGTAGGCATTGGAGCTCAGGGTGCTCTGCGGACTCATGGTGTCCTCGGGGCCAGTCCATGTCACAGGTGGGGAGATGTGCTGCTGTGCTGCTGCTGAGCCCTCGCCCGCCGCCTGGTCCTCGCGGGCGGTTTCCCGCAGCACTGGAACCCCAACCGACGGATCCCAGCGCACCTGTGCCGCGGGCGCGAGAGACGCTCCGCCCTGCGCCATCTCACCTGGCTGCTGCGAGACCTGCTGGAGGGAGGGCAGGCGGAACTGGACCGCCGTCTGCGGGGGCTGCTGCGTTGCTTGGGCATGCTGCAGGTGCAGGGCGGGCTGCTGGTCGAGAGAAAGTTGGGAAGCGGACGGGGCGGACCGCGAGGAGGCGGCGCCGGGAGGGGGCTGCGTGCTGGGTGCGGTCTACGGGAGTGAGTGACGGGGGCTCGGCTGGGGTCGGGGCATGGGGATCTCCGGGGGACATGAGCTGGGGAAGGGCAGCCAGACGGCGGACCGAACAGCCGAGTGGCCTGGGCGCAGGCGGCTCTTCTGTGGTCAAGCCGCGTGGACTCAGCCCTACAAGGCGCGAGGCTGGATTGGGCTGGGTTGGGGACGGGATGGTGGGCAGGTTACCTTGGCGGGCGCGTGGTAGACGCAAGGGCGGTTGCCCTTGGAACAGGGCCCACAGATCGGCTTGACTTCATCGCATTTCATATGGCGGGCGCGGCAGACGGCACTGCACAGTCAGCATTGTTGCTGTGCGACGCCATCGATGATGATGGTGCGCTCGGCTGCGGCGTCTGGGCGGATGGCGCACTCACCAGCCGGTTGTCGTGCGCAACCCCCGACCACGAGGTTTGCGCGGCTTGCGCTTCGGCTGCTGCTGCGGCGCCTGCGGTGGCTCCGAAGGGGGGTTGCCGCTGCTCGAAGGTGTCGCAAGCATCGTTTCGGGGCTCGCACATCAGGCCATACGCCACGTTACTCGGGACAAAGATGGGGCGGGGAAGGATGCGCAGACGGGCACCCGTCGCGGACGGCGGTGATGGTTTGGCCACTGAAAATTGCTTGCCCGGCCTCGAGTCGGAGGCCTGCGGCATACAGCCTCCTCGCCAAGCACCCCCTGGCGTTTTGGGGCGCCAGCCGTGTGCCCCTCCCGCCCAAGTCAGCGCCGTATTGTTACCGCCCGTAACCGTCCCCGCGATCGAGACCGTTCGGGAGGATCCTAGCTGCGATCAGTCCGCCATGTGCAGAGTCGTCAACTTGCAATGGCAACGGCGGGCACCAGGTTTGGTCCTCACCATAACGGTGGACTGGTGCATCCAGCTAGCGCTTCGCTGGCGTCTCTCTAGCGCGGGGACCGAAAGATGGTGCCCGTCCCAGCCCGGGGCAGACTGGGTTCTCGTCGCTGCTACTTCCGGCGATAGATATAGCACACCCTGTCCGCAGCCGCCAACTCAGCCCTGCCGTCCTGCGAGTCATCGCCTGTGATCCGGCCCGGGAAGGATGCGATGGCGCCCAGTCGGCTACGTGTCAGTGGAGGCTCCCTTCGGCTGCTGGGGATCTCGACTGGTGGCTCGCGTCGAGGCACATCTGGCCTGAATCACGTGGGTGTCTGTGGTGCGGTGGTGAAGATCCGCCCGCGAGCCGAAGGGTCGTTCGAAGAGCCGCACTAGTCACCGGGTGCTCCCTGGCGCCGTCGTGTCTTCTACACCGCGCCTGCAGTCTCCCGAAGGAGAAACTGCACCCCGCGCTCCGCGCTTCTTCCCCGCGTTTTCGCTGCTTCTTCTACCCACCCGCCAGCCAATCGTGGCACCAGCACCGCCTACGGCTTGCCTATTCCGGCATACCGCTACTTTCACCTCTCCGTCCGGCCCAGTCCAGCCCTTCCAGCTCGCCTGCTACCATCGCCCTACCCCGCCACGGAGCTGACACAAAAGCTGCCGCCATGCCTTTCAATTCGCTCAGTGCCCCAACGGCCTCTTCCACAGGCTTGTCGCGTCTCCCTCTCACGCACGCTCCACCTCGCCGAAGAGACATCTGCTCTGAGACATCTATCTCCTCCTTCAGACTTCGAGCTCGTTGCTCACCCTACTAAACTCCACCATGTCGACCAAACACTTCTTTCCCGACACCAATGGCCTCGTTGTCCGCGCTCTGAATTCCATCGTCGCCCGCAATCCGCACCTCGAGCACGATGAGGCGAACCGCGTTGTGTTCTCCAAGACACACCCTCCCTCCAAAGTCAGCATAATATCCGGCGGTGGCAGCGGCCACGAGCCAGCTTGGGCGGGTTATGTCGGAGACGGCATGCTCACGGCCGCCGTGGCCGGCGAGGTTTTTGCTAGTCCCTCGACGAAGCAGGTCATGGCTGCAATCCGGAACGTCCCCTCGGACGCAGGTGTAATTCTGTGCATCACAAACTACACGGGCGACAGGCTTCACTTCGGCCTGGCGAGAGAAAAGATGCACGCCATGGGCCACAACATTGCACAGATTCCGCTGACGGATGATGTTGCTTTGGGACGGAAGAAGTCCGAGCTGCTGGGTCGCAGAGGCCTGGCTGGCAACGTTTTGGGTGAGAAATGAACAATAATCCTAATTTTTGGAACCTCTACTGACGAGTCGCTAGTCCTCAAGCTTCTGGGTGCGGCTGCGCATGAATCGTGGAACTTCGAAGACTGCTGGAAACTGGGCACCGAAGTGAATGCGCAGTTGGCCACCATCGGAACGAGTCTTGACCACTGTCATATCCCTGGTCGAGCCCATCACGAACAAATTGAAGCGGATACTTGTGTTTTGGGAATGGGTATTCACAACGAGCCCGTAGGTTTCCCATCTGGATTTTAACGATGGCTATTCAACTAATATCACCATTTAGGGCCTGCGGAAGATCTCCCCGATGCCAACTCCTCAAGATCTGATCAAAGAGATGCTGCTCTACGTACTTGACCCTAACGACTCGGATCGCGCCTTTGTGAAGTTTGACCAGAGGGATGAGATTGCCTTGGTAATCAATAACTTCGGTGGCCTTTCTAACCTCGAGTTGGAAGCCCTTACCCAAATTGCATTGGAACAACTGGGTAGGTTTCCTGTAAGAATACTAGCAGCCGTGCCACTAACAGCAATCGCAGAGCAAGATTGGAAGATCAAGCCGAGCCGCATCTATTCGGGCATATTCGAGACGTCTCTCAACGGTCCAGGATTTTCTTTGACGCTCGGAAATCTCTCAAACGTTGCAAGTGCAGTCAATCGTCCAGTATCAAAACTACTCGAGCTTCTCGATGCGCCAACCACGGCCCCGGCGTGGCCACGAAGTGGATATAGCCAGCCGGTCTCTATCTCGAAGGAGAGCTCTGATAGACGAGAAAAGGCACGGGCGGAGGTTGAGCAGGAAGTCTCTGACGTCAAAGGTCCAGAAGGTACGAGCTCACCTGAACTTCTCCATGTTGGTCTGGGCCAGCATCGTAACCCGTCTTTACTGACATGCATAGCATCACCATCGCTGCTGCACGCACTTCGTACTGCTTGCAGCGCCGCCCTCACGGCAGAGCCCGATATTACCAAGTTCGACATTCAAATGGGCGATGGCGACTGCGGTGAAGCAGTGGCAGGAGTTTGCAACGCCCTGCTCACGTCGATGAAAGCGTCTCCCTTCATCACCAAAGCCCCTTGTCTAGTATCCTGCCTCGCCTCGATCAACTCAGATTTGGAAGATATGGGTGGTAGCCTCGGCGCCATCTTGTCCATTCTTCTCACGGCATTCGCTGGGAACCTGCAGCGCGGGGTCAATGCCAGCGGTAAGCTTGACATTGGCGTCATCGGCGACGCAGCGGGAAAGGCGATGGAGGCACTGAAGGCGTATACGGGTGCGCGGGTCGGCGACCGGACGGTGATGGATACACTGATTCCGTGGTGTGAAACGCTCCAGGCCACGAGAGATGTAGGAAAGGCACTGGCAGCTGCGGAGGAGGGCGCGAAGAAGACGGCAGGGATGAAGCCTAGGTTTGGAAGGGCGACATACGTAGGTGAGATGAAGGAAGGTGAGCAAATGCCGCCAGACCCGGGAGCGTATGCTGTGGCGGTTTTCTTGAGGGGATTGGTTGAAGGCGGTGCGTGGGCGTAGGTTTGGTAATTACCGGCGACGGATTTGTTTTTGCGGTAGTAGTGGATTTATGAGCACAGAACTGTCATTCCCGGGTAACGACAAGCGTGCTGGTACCGAGACGAGGATCACGATGTTGGTGAGCTTTAGTCTTGGCAGGAATAATACTAGTCTAGCAGTGTGTAGGTACAGTTTGTACGCCTTTGAAAATTGCACAACTCGGACTCAGGCCTTTTCTTGATACCGGAACCTGACAAAATCTTGAAGTTCTAAGAGATGTAGTGGGTAATACGTAGATCACAACGGATCTCGGGGTCAGATCTTTCTTATCGCTTCGGGCCCGAGGTCGCACCTCTCGTCCGCGGCCTTCCCTCGGTCCCCCCTCCGAGCGAATAAGGTAGTCCGCTTCATGGCTCTAACAGAAAATGTAGGAGGAGCGGAGACAACACGTGCGCGCTGTGACCCGATTTTGATTGGTTCTGAACGCTGCGTTATGAAATTCTTTCAGTGACACCCCTTTGCTTCCCAAGAACTGGATCTTGTACGAGCGCAACACCCCCTCTCTCGCCCCTTTGTCTCATGGAGCTCTAGCCCCTTTTCTCTGGGCCGCTAAGTCTGTTCTTGTGAATTTCTGCAAACGATGCAAACAGCTGACATTCAGACATCATGTCGATGCCGTCTCTAAATGTATGTACTAAACACCACAACGGTCATCATCATCATGAACACTCCACCCACACATGCCCTTCTTCCTCTTTTTATCTTTTAGTTTCTCCTCTCGTTTACCTCACCACCATATGCGCGCCCGCGTACACGAGCACGCCGACGCCACACATGGCACTGATGACGCCGAAGCCCATGGTGTAGCCGGGGGCGTCGTCGGTGGGGAACAGGTAGGCGCCGTAGATCTGGGCGAGGTTGCCGAGGGCGTTGACGAGGGCGAGGGCGACGCCGCGCACCTCGCGCGAGCGCATGCAGGCGCCGAAGGTCGACGAGGCGTACGACAGGGCCAGCGCGTTGGCCGACCACAGGCCTGAGGCCATGAGCACGAGCAGCACGTAGCGCGCCGTGAAGGCGTTGGGCAGGCACGTCACGGCGATGGACGTGCCTGTTGCTAGTAGCAGCCACATGGCGATGGCCATGCCGCGGTACGTCGGCAGCTTGTCGAGCAGGATGGCTGAGAGGAAGACGGCGACGAAGGAGGCGGCGTAGATGGGGACGACCTGTAGGATGAGGTGTGAGTAAGGGTTGGTAGAGGCGAAGGAGAGTGAGTGAGTGAGTGAGTGAGTGAGTGGGGGACTGACCATGTATTGTGCCATGTGCGAGGTGTAGCCAAGACCCTTGACGAGAGTCGGGTAGAAGTAGGAGAGGGTAGAGGATCCGACGATGACCTGCAGTGATGTGGTTAGCCGACTGCTTGGTGATGGGTAGGGCAGAATGTGAAGTACCATGTAGCCGACGACCATCAGCCAGGTGCGCCAGTTACGCATGGCCTCGAGGAGGGCCTGCACCGGGCTGAGGTGAACCTCGTCCTCTGTTTCTGCGGACGCGTTGTCCCTCGTCAGCCGGTGCACGGCGATGGCACGCTCGCGTTCCGAGAGCTTCCTGCTCGTCGCGGGGAAGTCGAGCAGGAGGAAGGCCGAGACGATGGACCAGCCACATGTCGCCGCTCCCTCAACGATCTGTGCATGCGGGTCAGTGCGGTTCTGTGAAGAGTTTTGCGTGGTAACGTACGAAGAGCCATCTCCAGCCGGCAATGCCGTGAGCGCCGTCCAGGCCTCCAGTGATGGCTCCGGCGAGGATACCGCCAAAGGCACCGGACAGGACGGCTGCTGAGATGTAGACTCCGAATCTCTTTGATTGTTCGTTCTTCTTGTACCACGAGGACAGGATGAGCAGGATACCCGGTGCGAAGCCAGCCTCGAAGATGCCGACGACAAAGCGCAGGGCCACCAGTTGATGATAGTTTTTGACTGCGGCCATGCAGCAGGTGATGCCTCCCCAAATGAACATTATGGTGGGGAGGAAAAGGGAGGGGCGCGTGCGGGAGAGGACCAGGTTGGAAGGAACTTCGAAGACGACGTAAGATACGAAGAAGACTATGAGGGCAACAGAGTATTCGTTTGAGCTGAGATTCAGGTCTTCCATCATGCCGGCGATCTTCGCATTGCCGATGCTTTTGGTGGCTGGGTGAGTCAACTGTTCATCGGGTGGTGGTGTCGCGAGGAGACGTACTTGGTTCGATCCATGTACGACAGGAGATACATGAGCCAGATTGTCGGGAGCAGGAACATGTCGATCTTGCGGACGAGCTTCTGCTCCTCCTCTGGGGTGAAGTCATAGTCGGAGTCAGACTTGATGTTGTCAGGAGACGAGGCCATTGCTTCGATGTGCTCGATATCGAGCTTGTCAGAGCCGCTGTAGGCCATGTTGGCAGATGGAGGAGATGGCTGCCAGGGGTAACTTGACAAGGGAGATGATGGAGGTGATGCGGAAGGATAATATAGGTGTGGCAGGCAAGAGGCCAAGCGATAAGCGACGCAGCAGGGCTAGTGGCCTTGTTTACGTCGGTCAACGCAGCGGATGGTGATGCCCTGGGGTATTATACTCGGTCAAGATTCCAAGAACGGGCGAGTGATGGATGTTGCCGGCGGCATGGTCAGACGGCAGCAGTGACCAATGCTCATGGCGTAGACACGGGATCAGGACTAATTTGGAGGGCTCGGTGGTTTGAGAGTGACCGAGGGCTTGGAGTGCTAACCGCCTTTGCGTGCCTGACGTCGCAGCAAACGTCAGCCGCTATACTGGCAGGCGGAGGGATGTATTGTATCGAAGGCTGAACGGATGCAGTACCATCCCGTCTTGGTACCTCTGCGCGATGTCCCCCGCAGTTCCCCAGGTACGGGTCGCTCCTTTTGCGGGGGAGCCAAGCCGTAAACGGCGACGAGTCTGGTGACTGGCGTTCCATCGCTCACCTGATGGCGGGTACTCCGTCTCGAGGCGCAGTGAATCAGTTAATTTGGCATTCACATAAGCTTTACGGAGCGAGTGTTTGCGGCTTAGCGGTCGTGTATGTGTACGTGTTCTTGGCCTAAGGCGCGGTGTAATACTGCCGGGAGTCCTTGTTGGGAAATCCTGGTCTGAAACGACATCGGGTAAACATCCGGGCATTCCGGGGCGCGGCCAGAAGATGCGGGGGTTTGGCAGCCTACCCGGCGATATTTTGGGCGGCAGTGACACGAGACGGGGCAGCTGCCTCGTGCCGAGGTCTTCTCCGCGCCATGCGTCAGTGGGGTCCGTCGCTCCCCACACATCTCCCGCACCTCGACCGCGTCGTGCCATCCCCAGCCTGTGCTCGCTGCAATGGCTCGCGATGGTCCGCATCGAGGGACTCCGATGCGGCATCGCGTCCCATAAATCGAAGAGATAAGAAGACGCGTGCCGCAGCCCCGGCCGTCTGCTTCATCATCACCATCACCCTCCCCCCAACTTACTCTACTTCCAACCCTTCTTTCAACCACTTTATCACAATGGGTTCCGTTGGTCAGGAGATCCTTCAGGGCGAGGGCAGCGCCATGCCCGCCTTCCTCAGCACTGAACCGCCTGCGGACATGAACTGGCAGATTACCCTGAAGGACAAGATCATTGCCATCACTGGTGTAAGCAGCCATACCACTCTAACTTTCAATCCTTGCTAAGAGCAACTTTGCAGGCAAACCGCGGCATCGGTCTGGGCATTGCTGAAGTCTGCCTCGCCAACTCGGCCAAGGCCGTCTACTCCCTGGACGTGCTTGAGCCCGGCGAGGAGTTCTTCGCCCTGCAGAAGCGCCACCCGCATTTCAAGCACATCCACGTCGATGTTACCAACGAGAACAGCATCGAGGCTGCCCTCGATGCCATCATCGAGGCCGAGGGCTCCTTCCACGGCCTGGTCGCCAACGCCGGCATGACCAAGCACCAGCCCGCCCTGGAGTTCAGCCGCGCACAGGTCGAGCAGCTCTTCACCCTCAACGTCTTCGGCGCTTTCTCGTGCGCCCAGGCCGCTGCCCGCCGCTTCATCAAGCTCGGCGTCAAGGGCTCCATCGTCTTCACCGCATCCATGACCTCCTACCGCCCCAACAGGGCAGCACCCAGTGCCCCCTACGGCGCTACCAAGGGCGCCGTTCGCAACATGACGCACACTCTCGCCATGGAGTGGGCCAAGCACGGCATCCGCGTCAACTCCATCTCGCCCGGTTTCGTGCGCACCGCCATGACCTACTACGTCGAGAAGAGCCCTGATTGGCCCGACAAGATGAAGAACTACGGCGGTATGCCGCGTTTGGCCAACCCCCAGGAGCTGGGCGGCGCCTACGTCTACTTGCTGAGCGATGTGGCCAGCTACACCACCGGCATTGACATCCCGATTGCCGGTATTGTGGGCGCGTGGTAAACCAGACGCATTTTCAAGATGCATAAAAAAAAAGTAAAAAGAGAATGAAATGCAAAAAAATGATAAATAATGGTTGGGGGGTTGGGGAGGAATAGGAGGAAGAGAGGAGGCCACAAAGGTGGACTACCTTCTACGACATGGCGTCGACCAATCAGAAAGGACCAGCAGCATAGACGAGAGCGTCACGAGCCTCATGAATAAGCATGCAAATGCGATATACCTTTACCCCCTGTTTTCGCCTTCACCCCTTCGTGCCACCGCCTCTGTGTGCGTCGATCAACCTGCTTGATGAGGCAAGACGTGGCACCCACTTTCTGTCAAATCTAACACGATGCCCTGCCTTGTCAGGCCCTAATGTCTTTGGCTCTCTGCCATGGAAGGTTCAGCCACGGCTACTACGTAGCCCCGAAGTTCTTGATGTCAAAACCCCCCTCACTTCTTGCTCGCCGCACCGGTTTGCGGCATACAAGTCTTCCACCTTAAGGATCCAGGTCCTTCCGATACAAATTCATCGAGGGCAGGAAGATTAATGCGGTGAGGGCGTCTGATGGCATCGGAAATACGGATATCGGATAACGCACTACGGAAAGCGGTAAGATGAAACTGACTAGCATCCCCAACCGAGCTGACAAGACCGCCACCCTTTGGCCCGGTCTACCTATCATATGGCTAAGCATGCTCATCACAGTCTCTCGCATAGATTTTGAATCATGTACACATGCGTATGGCCTACACGCAGTCCTACCGACGCTTCGTCAGCCAAGATCTGTGCTATCATCGCCCTGAGACAATTTGCCACGCGGACACAATTGCGGGTGTGGCGTGTACGAAAATCCATTCAAAGGCGGGTGTGAGCGCCGAAAGATCAGGCCATTCTCATTTACAACTCGACAAAACCGTGATGTTGCATTGCACCCCCGATGGTCTGTGCTCCAATCACAGGAAGGAACTCCGCTCCACATTTTGTCATGGGTTGTGGAGCACTGCCTGCCGAGCTGTAAGAGAAGCCCAAGGCAAGAAAGAGACGCGACAGAGGTTCGAGGATGGCAGCCAAGCTCATTGGGGCTGTCGACAGCTCAGTGGAGTAAGGTATGAAGGTGATGAGACGGCACTGTGGTGAATGAGCCGGCACTTTGGGTCTCCGTACTGTGTCGGGCTGTACGAAGATCGCCACACCTGGGCTGAGCTGAGGATCGACAATGACTAAAAAAGCCACTTGGGCATTAAACCACACAATAGCAAGCAGTGAAGACCTCGCCACCTGGTTTTGAAACTTGATGCCCTGTCGTCTAATTCCACAAATAAATCCGACTCGGACTAGAGGATTACTTTTGCCGAGGGCGGCTTTACGTACAGGCAATCGCTCTCTCTCGGACTTTACATCCATCTACTCACACTGCTCGTCAGTCACAGACTACTTAGACACTTCAACATAAGCAGGTCGACGTGTCACTCGGGACCGAAGTCGCAATAATGCCTTAACCTGTGAAGCGAAGAGCGGGATTTTTCTCACCAACTAGTTCAAGTGTGTCGGAGGTGGTTCAACACTACCTCGATCGAAACGATTCCTCCCGTTGTTCTTTTCGACAGACTCAAGGCACCTATGGCTGACCTAATAGCCACACCTTGATTGAACACTAAACATGATCTACTTGATGACGTAGAATCTTCAAACACATGCACCATTGCTGCGACTTTCAAATATCTCGAATCGTAACCCAGCCCCTCAGTAGCGCTATTGGTTGGTTGCGTCTCTTCTCAATTCCTTTCATAATCTAGAAGATTAAACCGGGAGGTCAACGAAGTAAACTCGGGTGAGATGGCACCCACGGTGCGCTCAAGGAGTGAACATTCCAAAGCATGGTGAATCAACGAACTTGGCTCATGGAGCTGGCTTCAACAGTTTGGCAGGACCAGAATAATGGTTGCAACGGGGTAGATCATGACGATAATACGTAAACGGCAGCTCCAAAGGTTGGTTTAGCTGGCAATAGTCCTTGTGATCTTGGTGATGATGGAGAGCAATGGGTAGGGGTACTCGAAACTTGTGAAGTCACCGAAAGACTATATCAACATCACATCTTGATACAGTCTAGATTCGTCCTGATTTTACGAAGTAAATTTCATGACAAGGGACCTAAGAAGAGAAAGGAGCCAAGCGACAAAAGAGCCCAACAGTTTGAACTACTTCCAAAATCGCTGAAGGATGCTCGTACTCTCTGAGCCTCAGTCTCGGCGAGCGCGCAAAGACCGGCATCTTCCACCCACCCATCTCGCGTAGAAAAACGGGAGGCCCGGAAAGCCCAATAGAGCAATCCCGAGCTGCGCAAACAGCGCCTCTTTCCCTTCACTCTGTCACCGCCTGTTCTCTCAGCCGCATAGCCGCCGCCGCAAAAAAACGCGCGTCTAGTTCAACCCACAAGAACGATCAGGCGACGAGACTGCACCGAAAAAAAGGCGGGATTCCCAGCTAAGCTTCACCCAGCCCCACACCTAGTGCGTCACTATTTCCATGCATGTTCCCATACATATCCCCGCAGCTGATCACCTTGCAATAAACGGCAATCCTGCAGGTGTGCCTCGGAACGGGTGCCCCGTCTCGAGGCAGTCGGTTCGCTCCGCCGGTCAGCCCGCCCGGTACTACTCCTCAGCCACCATCCGGCTGCTGTCGGCGCGAATTGCTGTTTCTTCGACCACGATGCCCCTTGCGTCCCTCGTCGCGGGGGACACCAGTAGCCTTTCCGGCTTGCTGAAGGGGCGCGGCCGAAGACGGGGGGAAACCGTAAATTCCCGCATTGATGTTGTGTGTGTGTGTTGTAGTGCCACAGCAGGGCGATTCGATATCGGAACCTGGTGGCGCCGGCCGATGCACCACGTGGGTTCAATGTCGGGTATGCGGGCTGTGTACTGCAACAAGAAGCTTGTTTCAATACTTGCAGTGACACTTCTCGTTTCGATAGGCTCCCCTCCCCCCTTGAGTGCATACTATCGATTCTGCAATGAAATCGTTTCCTGCATCACTCCAGCATCTGGCACTTCTAAATGCACAGTCATTCCATTTGAGCAAATGCTATTCATGACCTCCCTGTGCTCTCCGCATTCGAACTATTTGATATAATGCTATGCCTATGTACCAATCTAACTCTAGCAACCTCGACTCGGAAGGGAAAGAAAAAGCAAGACCGCCGCCAGTTGATCTTGTATGCTAAAGCCAATGCAAAGACTCCCCGGCTTTAAGTGATCTGAGAAACCCCAAAGCAATGTATATGCTCACCTCATGTTCTGCAGGTTGCGCTTTTTTCCTTTGCCACTCTACGCCGCAGCCGTTGAGATCCCCGTTACGCCTCTCACAGCGCCATCTCCGCATCACTACCACCACCCTCTCCATCTCTACTTCTCGTACTCCCCGTCTCCGTGGCATCCCTCTCCTCTCCCGCCGGTACCGATCCCAATCCCGCCCACTCCCTCCCAGCGGTCCTCATAACAGAAACCAAGTTCAACGACTTGTCGAACCACCGCTCTCTTCGCGCGTTCTCCCTCCGTCCACCCTCCAAAGCGCTCCTTGCTGCCCTCGTCGTCCGTTGCCTCTTGGGCTTCCCGCCGGCGCTCAGCATGCTGCTGATACGCATTCGCTCATTCTCGAGACGAAGATCGTGCGATGCGATACTGCGTACGTAAGGCGCAAGTTCCTCAGCCAGAAGGCGGAAGGTGCGATCGAAAGAAGATGCAGTCATGCCGGCGCTGGCTACGCTGCTGAGCGCGGCCGTAGGTGGCTCAGCCAGGGCGTCAAATACGAAGAAATCGTTGCGCGATAGTGATCGAGCTTGACGAGAGGATGCGATGTGAGTAAGGATGGTTTTGGGGATATTGCATTCGTCAAAGGCGGTGGGTGCTCTTGCAGGTAGGCTTGAGGAGGCAACAATGGAGCGTCGGGCTGCTAGATGCGAGCTCACGGCCAGCTGAGTGTCGAGATTGGTGAAATCAGTCATAGTGTCAGCTTGGAGGAAGCTATAGCCGTCAATGTAGTTCGTGCGAGCCTTTTCAGGTAGCGACGGCTGTGTGGGGTCCATTGTGGTCTATTACAATCAGCTGTGTGTCATCATTGAGGGTAATTTGCCACACATACCTTGCTGCGTGTTGGGACGTCGACTCTGCAATACATATCCACTGCACTTGAAAGATCAAGCAAGCGGTCCATGTCTTGCAGAGCCTTAAGATTCGTCTCCCGATGAGATTGCTGAGTGTCCGTTGGATGGTTAGGAATGGGGACAGAGCTCAAGACCTCGGGCTCGATGTTCCAGGATTCCACCAGCTCGAGGGTAAGTTCATATTCCCTGTCGAATCCAACGTGGTCCTTGTCAAGCAGTACGTCACGCTCGACCCAGCCCATGCCCGTCTGGTAGGTGTCTTTGCTGGCCACGCGGAGAACTTGGCCGTGTTCGTCAACGTCCTTTCCAGGGGGCCATCGTTGGTACATCCATTCCAAACCACCTTTTCGGTCACCTACGGCCATTTGGCACCAAAAGTCAAGTTCCATAATGGTGGCCCTCAGATCGTAACCCTTACTCTCGTAAAGGCTTGAGACAGTCTGCCGAGAGAGCAGATGGCCCTCCTTCGCCGCAAGTAAGAGCAAATAGTCGGTAGCCAAGTCTGTCGACGCGGGAGACATGTATAGATTGGCATGCAAGGAGTCTTGGTTGATACGAACCAGGCTTTCATTCGTGCATGTCATTATGACAGGTCTCCTTGAATGCATTGCAAGATGCTCAACTGTTTGCCAGAAATTTTTATCATCTTCGAAGAGAACGTCGACTTCTTCTAGGAGGATTAGCGATTGCTTCTGGCTCTTTTTGGGCTTGATGAGCGTTGGTTGCGCCTCCTTGTCTGTGGCCTTGGCTGCGACTTCTTTCTTTTGTACCACTTTGGGCTTTACCTGTGCTTGAGCCACAGGCTTGAAGAAGGAACTCATGCTTTTCTGTCGACCGCTCTCGATGTCTTTCTGAACGGCGTCAGTGAGGCGTTCAGAGTCCGAGTCAATCGCTGCTTGGTTTGGATGCTCTTGAGCCTGCCGTTGGACCAGATGATTCTCCGTCATATCGCCTATTTTCTCCAAGACGTCCTTGCCACTTCGACGACTTCCGGGGTTGATCTCGAAAACTTCAAATCCTAACTCTTTCGCGACAGCGAAGACGGTGGCAGTTTTTCCACATCCGTGGGGGCCAGTGAGGAGCATTAGGTTGGATAGTTTCTTTCCACCGCCAAGCTCATCCCAATCACCTAGGCCATCCTCATCATCGATGATAAAATCATCTAGCTCATCCTTCTTCCTTTTCTTCTTCGGCGGTTTCGTGGCTCCACCCCTTTTTGATTTCGCGGCTAATTCCTTTAACGCGCCTCCGACAGAATTCACCTTGAGCGCCTCGAGCCACTCACGCAGTGCAGAAACTTCTGGTGAAGATCCTAAAACGTTGGCAGCGCACTTAGGTGCATACTTCTGGGCCCAGGATAGAGTTTCGCAATGTCCTTTGTCAAATGGAGTGAGCTCGTTGGGTATTTTCTCGAACAGATCGGTCAATGCTGGGTGATCCAGCTTTCCATCTGATATGAGCTGGTCTGCCACCTGGATTTCGGGGGCGCAAGGATGCTGACGGAGGGAAAGGATCTCGGAATGGACTCTGCGTTGTATTTCCGGGCCGGTGCTCAGTAGACGTTGTGGAAAGCGCACTACGCTGTTGCGATTGATTTCTGCGTCTTCGTGCCGGCTGGTGCTGATTTGTAGTTCGTGGGTAGCAAGTGACAATACCGCCTCTGCACGAGGAACTTGGTACTCAGTCCCTTTAAACTTCCTACGTTCTTGAAATGGTAATGGATCCGAAAGAATTGACGGATGTCCCATTGAGACGTCGTGATCTGCCTCACCGCCGACGCGGGTAACACCTTTCCAAGGCCAAGGGGCGTCTGGACCTCCCAGAACTTTGCGCGGTTTCGTGGAAACGCCGAACATGCCAAAGTTAGAAAACTCTGAATCTTCATGCTCAGCACGGGCTTGCGCTCGTAATTTTCCCGGAGTAATTGCAGTCTCGCGTCTGCTAGGGACTCTTTCCGGCGCCGTGGCAGGCTTCGTTGCAACACTTTGATTCGATCCCGCATGTGCCATGTCTTGACGTTCCGTTTTGCCAGTGAAAAAAGGGTGCGTCGGCTTAGGAGGTCCAGACGGTTTCGCAGCCTTTGGAGGTGCAGTGGCTTTCGATGGAACAGGTGCCCTCTGGTCTGGTGCACGCTTTACGCCAGCAAGAATCTCATCAATATCCTCAGCCATCTGCACCGCCCTCTTATTATTTGTGATGTAGGATATCTTGACAATGAGCTGTTTCGGCGCTTTTTTATTCGCTCGACTACGCGTTTTTCTTTGGTTCGTGGAAGTGGGCGCTTCTTCTTTCGGTTCCTTGGAAGGAGGAGAGCTGAACCGACCCTTCGCATTGAGACGCAACATTTTCTTTGGCGGCGAGTGCTTTGATGGCGAAGGAGGATCATTGGTGGCAATTTTCTTGGGAGTCCCCTGAGACTTTGCTGGAGAAGGGTGTACGATTGGCGGCGAAGATGGAGGGACAGGCGTTCCCTTTCTCTCGTTCACGCTGTCCCTGGGCGCAGGGGAGGTTGCCGGCACAACGTCCGAGTCTCCCAGGTTGAGCTGTTCACCAGAAGTGTTGGGGCTTGAAGCTTTGACCTCAACTTGCTCTGGCTCTCTTCCAGCCTCAGTCTCCAGTTGTTCTATCCACGACGGTTGGTCCTTCCGCAAGTCGCCGTTGCCATTTTCTACTGCATTTTGCAGAGATATTCCAGGAACAGGAGACTCCGTTCTTTGTCGCTTTCGCCGTCCAATATTGGGATCTTCCTCGAGGGAGGTGGCCTCGCTCACCTCTCCAAGATGGCCAGCTTCCGTTTTAAGGCCAGCAAAGGCCGCAATTGACGCCTGTTTCACCTTGGGCGCAGCATGATGTTCATCCGACTTCCTTTTTGTGGTACGAGTCCTTGTTGCTAACGGACGTCCTCTCCCTTGCGACTTTTTGGGGGCTTCGTCTACGTTGGTTTGGTTCTCGTCGTGCGGGACGGCGTCGGTCGGGGTTGGATCGGGTTCGTTCGCATGTTTTAACGCTTGATGACCTTACGAATATTAGGCGGGGATGTTTAGTAAGGTCCATGTCAAAGCTCACCGTGCGGCTTCGTGAAGAAAGGGTGTATGTTCTGCTGTTCGGGTAGATTCATGGCACTCCCCACAGCTGCGGATGCCATTGAGCACTACCGCATTGCAAAAAGTAAAACTGAGGGGCGCAAGGCCAGAAATAAGAAAGCGAACGGTGAGGCAGAAGAAGAAGTGGCAGAACACGGGAGAGGTGCAAAATTGCGGGGGTGGAAATGGTGACGAGGCAGCGTTGCGGGCTGACTTTCAAGCAGGCGCGCAACGCGTCGAGGTGACAGCCAGTGACGCGCCTGCCAATCGCGCGGGTCCGAGCGTCTGCGCCGGCTCAACCCCGGCGGTCGGAGAAATTGGCTCCGACAACTTTCTGTCCGTCGAGAACTTTTTGTGAAGCGCGCATTGCGACACGACCAGCACTGCGCCATTCTGCGCTCTCGCCGCCTCTTACACTCTGCCCGCTCGACTCTGCAGTCTGGCCACCAGCCATGTCGTCCGGCAAAGAATTGGAAACCCCCCACACCTTGGCGTCGCTGCCAAAGCCCATCGATCCCGTCAACGGCCGTACTCTCGCATCCACCGTTTACAGCTTGAGCGCCGCCCGGAAGAGAAAGAGGTCTGAGCTTGCTGTCAGCGTCGACGGAGATGGGATCAGCCTTTTTGACGTATGCTTAGCCCGGCCGTAGCCATGCTTTCTGGTGTTAACTTCTTCTTTAGGTCCAAGCACCACGCCTGATTACCTCCTATGCCCTTCCTCCCCAGTCCTCATTCACCGCACCTCCCTTCTCCGTGTACCTAAAGGCAAACAAGCAGCGTTCGGCAAAAAGATTCACATACGCGGCAGTCAAGGAAAGCTCCGGCAGTTCGCGGCACCAAATCCTTTGCTTCTCCGAAGAAATCCACACCACGCCTACTGGAAACCCGGATAAGACTGCTTACACCATACCACCTTCGTCTGGCAAAGTATTTTCGATCGACGCACTTCCATTGAAGCCTTCCGATGGCGCTAGCGAGGATACCCACGATATTCTTGTCCTCTTTGAGAATGGTCAGGTTGACTGTCTCTCCGCAAATCTCCAGACCGTGAAATGGTCCACGAATGTATTGGGCGCTTCCGACAAAGCGGTCGAGTTCTCCGCATACACAGACGCAGCTACGGCAAAGCGCGGGCTCTTCAAGAGTCGCGAAGATGCTATCGCGGCACTTGATCCTACCGGCGAAGCGGAATCTGAAACACTCTCCGCAACAACTTTATTGTGCTTGGTTGCGCGTCCTGCTGATGAGGAGTCGTTCCGCACCGACGGGCGCAGCTTGTACGTCTGTGCTGTTCGTCCAAAGACTACTGGCGGCATTACCATCAACAAGCCCACCGTTCAGAGTCTTCTCACACTCAACCTCCCTCGCTCGCATATCGACTCGCAAGCTGACTCTCAACCTTCTTACTCCCTTCATGTGTCCTCCGGCCTTCTCTACCAACTTGCTTCTGGCTCCATCGTCACTTATGACTTTTCCACCACTGTACCTCAGCTCAAGTCTGAGTTGACTGTGCCTGGTACACCTCTCCAAAACTTTGTCCGCGTTTCATCGTCCCTTCTCATGGCCGCGTCACCGATATCTTGCGCCCTCTATGACGTCAAGTATAACTCTGTGCAAGCCATCCTACCTCTTGGCTCCGAGAAGAACGAAGAATCTCAAAGCCGGAAGCGAAAGCAGCCCGTACTTGTGGACGCGCAATCCCCCTTGGTCCTCCTGCATTACGTAGCCGAGCTCGGTCTTGTGGTTGGCTTGGCAAACGACGAGCTCATTGGGCTTCAAGTCGGCGCAGAGGTTTCTTCAAAGAGAAGCAAGGTTCGGGGCGGTCTTTTGATTGACGCTATTGGCAAGGGTGTTGGACGCAAGCCCGCAAACCTGGACGCGCCTTCGACAGGTTCTCATCCGCTTGGAGTGTGCCTTCTTAATCCTGCCGATACTTCGAGTAAAGCATGGCATCGTACGCGCAAGCAGCTGGACGAGTTCATCACGGACGAGGATGTGAAGAATTTTGAGGAGACTTTTGCACAAGAAGTTGGCATTCAGCTTAGAGGAAAGAGCGCAGAAGAAGAGCAGACCAACGGAACTAAGGACGTCGAAATGGCCGATGGATCTAAGGTCGAAGAACCGAAGATGAACGGAGTTGATGAGGATGATGACCAAGCTCTCCCGGAGTGGGATTTCCCCGACACTCCGTGGGATATCAACTTACAGACGAAACGTCACAAGGCTGTCTACCTCTTGAGCAAGGTCTTTGACTTCTCATCAGCTAAGAGAGAGATAATAGCACACGACCTACCGAACACGCCCTTGAGGATACGATTTTTCCCGCCAAATGCGTTCCAATGGCTCATCTGGACTGGTTTCCTTACGACTGACATGATCAGGCAAGCTATGCGTCAAGAGTCCACTGGCCTGCAAACTATTTCCCCTGCGGATGTCATTGCGTCCATCCTCAACTTCGACCCCGGAATGCAGCTACTTTGCGATGTTCTGAGGGGCCATCCTGGCCTTGACGTTGACCTTGTCGTTCAGGCGATCAAGGCTTTGGTGAAGAGTCTTGAGACAGAGTCTTTCCCTGAGATAAAAGGACAGCTCACCAACCGCCCCGAGCAGAGTGAGAGCCGGGATGAAGAGTCGGCAGACAAAGAATTCGATGCCGAAGCCGATGCGGCAGCATGGGCACTCGCCCGAGCCGAGTCATTCGTGGACTCTGGAATCCTCATCCGCAGTCACTCCCTGCTGGAGGCATTGACGAAGCTCCACACCTTCCCCGCTCCCCTTGTCTCACAGACTCTCCGCAAATCCCTCACACATAAGGAGATCATCTTCCTCATCAACATTCTCCGCCTAGAGCTCCACGAGGGTGGTTGGATCAACACGTACTTGCAAGACGGCCCGCACGATTCCGCCGAGTTTGGCGATCCCTCCGACCGTGCCATCGCCATCATCGCCGACCTGCTTGGCTGTGCTCTAGATGCTATTGGCGCCGCCGGCTGGCTCACCTCCGGGAATGACGCCAAGGCTGACACCATCCAGGCGCTACGCATGGAGGTCTCTGCTGCACTTGAAGGTATCCACGAAGCCGCATTCATGAAGGGCCTGCTGAACGACTTCCTGCGCTTCGGCTGGAAGCGGAAGACCGTGCAGCATGGTCCTAGCGACAAGCGGGTGAAGGAGAAGGGCAAGCCGCTCACGCTTCAGCAGGCAGACGCCGCCGAGACGAGGATCTTGCCGCTGGGTTTCAAGGTGGAAGGCAGGGTTCAGGACTCGAAGGTGGGCTTGAACGGAGAAGTGAAGCCGTTGACGAAGAGAGAAATTGGTCACAAGATTAGCATGCGGGTGGGCAAGTATAGCTTTGAGAGGATTGATGTGTAGATGGTTGGTGGCTGTAGCAACAGTTGGATACCCTGGAAAATTTAGACGTGCGCACGCACCTGGTCACTCTGATGTCGATGTGTGCTCTCAACAAATTAAGGCAGGGCTAGTGTTTCTGCAGGTCTTGTTTACAGCATCACCGTGAATCGAAGATCCGCTACAACGTCGATCAGCACTGCGGATAAATTGGCTGCACTATGGCAGGCCACTTGTCTCCCCATGTTTGCTACACAGAGACCCGTCTTATCATCAAGCTAGACTTCCAGTGCTGCTTTGCTCTTAAGGGTGCAACACTTCCGGGCTTTCATCTGCCAGCGCCGAACAACCTCAAATTCTTTGTCCTCTCCGAACAATGCTATTGTTCAAGCAGGTTACTCCAAGAGGGTATCGTGTTTGAAAACTTCCCAATAACAACGCTGTTGTCCAACAAATAAACCCCTAACTTGGTTAATGCACAACTCTCGCTGCATAAGGAGTATAAAAACACACCATGAACCGGTAATTCGACCAGCATCCCCACCAACGCCCTTAACCTTCTCACCAGCAAACCCAAAGATCCACCACGATCGTAACCTTCCTCACAGAGAACGCTTAGCAACTTCAAACAAGCACAAGCACTTCCATCACCAAGCAAAATGGCCATCGTTGAATGCTGCCAGTGTGGCGCCGACAACTCGGCTGACACGTACTACAGCTGCAGCAACTGCGGTCACAGCACCAATGGCTGCTGCACCTGGATCGGCCAGCGCTTGATGAATCTGTACCAGTTCATCTTGAACAAGAAATCGTCCTAGAGGGTTAGGACTGACCCTTACGTACTCTGCCATTTCACCGCCCGACATAGGTGCGGCGCTTGTGCGCATTGAGGAGAAGGAGAAGTATGAGAAGTAGTGTAGCTAGATAGAAGAGAATATCGTCTTTCTATGCCATTTAAAGACCCGAGAAACAAGTGATGTTGTAAAAATTGACGTTGACTCACTCTCAAACCAACAGATTCCATGTATTGCAAAATTACCACCATCTGCTCGTCTTGCGTAGTGATTGCTAATGTACACAATAGCGTTCACTCACAGCAGCTCTAGAAGAAAAGACTGTATGACACAGAAAAATATGATATATGTGGTGTATCTCATATGTACTAACGAATAAAAATTACCATAAGGCGTAGATATCTTCCTCTCATATGTCTCCCCCACGAACTGGTGAATAGCATGCACAGCCCTTCCTCTAACCCCTCCTCGTCGCATTCGACGCAATCCTGCTCTCCGCCGCATTGGCCGTCGTCGGCAGCACCGCGCCCAAACCGGGCGTCGTGAAATCATCGTACGCCGGCCAATTGCCAAGCTGGGCCGGGTCGCCACCGATGCGCACCCACGTGGCGTGGCTGGGCGTCGGGCCGTCGAGGACGAACACCTGGAACCAACCAGGCGGGCAGACATACTTGCCGGGCGGAGCCGTCACGGTGCAGGTGGTGCCGCTGCACGACACCGCCGGGAAGATGGTGCGCTGGCCCATGCTGTTGCCGTGGGTCGAAGTGACGGCACCGAGCAAGGAGACGCGGATGTTGCCGGTGGTGGCGCTGGTGAGCGTAAATGTCACAGTGTCGCCGTAAGCCCAATCGTTCGAAGAGACGGTGAATGTGGGCCGGGCGGCGCCGGAGAGGACGTAGGGAGGCGTGAAGACCTCGACACGGTATTCCTGCGGGTAGCGTTCGTCCTGCGGGTCGGAACCGGAGACGACGACGCGACCATCGTCCATGAGGGTAGCTTCGCTGTGGTACATGCGAGCGACGGTCGTGTTGGCCATGACACTGAAGCGCTGGTGCAGTGGCTTTGAAGGGTCATAGAGGACAGCGTTGAGGTTAGGCCCGGTTGCGAGACCAAAGCCAGCCTCACCCCTCAAGGCGCCATTGAGGATCAGGTAGGTTCCATCAGGCAGGGCAGTCATACAAGAAATGACACGCTTGCTCGGCTGTATGGTAATCAGTATCAACCAAAAAGTCTTACAGAACATTGCAAGATCTACTCACCATACGCTCGATGGTCCAACCATCCTCTGGGGCATCCGGGGTCATGTGGACGCAGTTGTCAAGGCCGGGGGCTTGTCCAGGGGCAGAACCACCACAGATGAGCACCCTCAGGGGGTCAGTGTAAGGAGCATGCTGAGGGAAGAGAACAGCAGTGCCTTCGAAGGGATAAGTGCGGCCACCAAGGAAATTGTTCACTGCGCCAGGGATGTTGGGAAGCTCCTTGATCGTGGTGAGCGAGTTTTCGTCCAAGATGCGGGCCTCGTTGTAATACGAAATGAAGATACCACCGCTGGGTAGGACAGCGAGGAACGGGTAAGTGCTGTAAGGGTCCGTGCGGCGAAGGTAGTCGGCATCCACAAGATGGCCACCTGCGGGTCTAGGGAGGACTTCCATGTTCGGAACGGGCGGGCCATTGGAGCCATCCTCACCACCAACGACCAAGACAGAGCCGTTCGCCATAACCATTGCCGACGGATACCAGCGTCCAACTTGCAACGAAAGCTCTTGGACGTTTTCCTCCCAGTCATTGGAGCCGGGGGTCCCAGGAACACCGTCTGGCCAGTACAAACGGACGCCTTCCAGAGAATCCGCAGACCATCCACCCACGTTGAGCAGACGACCTGCTCTATCCGGGAGCGTGACTCCACCGGAACAGAAAACATCGGTCTTGACATGCATCGTCCTCCAGGCAGCATCGAAATCGTCTACAAGGGTAGGGTCCAGTTCGTATGCGCCGGTGCTGTTTGGCGGGCCAGTTCCGAACTTCTCGACGAAGACGACTTTACCGTTACGGGCAGGGATGCTAACAAGCGGAATTACCACTCCACCAATGAGGAGAGAGTATTCGCCCGCATCATTGCCCTCCGGGTAGTGCCAAACGTAGAGCGGATCGTCGTTACTCCACCTGTAGTAGCTAATGCGGTCTCCAGCACCGCAGATGTAGGTAGCGTTGCCAGAACATGACATGTTGCAGTCGGATTCATCTTGCAGCGTGGCACCAGCTGCATCAATGTCTGACGCATCACCGCAGAAACACTGGTTGCCGTATTCCATTCCACCGTGAGCGTAGCCATAGTCGGAGCACTGGCTGAGACAGTTTTCAGCAGTGTTGTTCTGCTCGAGGATGAGCTGATACGGGAAAGTTCGGGCGACGGCACTGTCCAGAAGACATCCAACATACTCCCAGTTACCTGGTAGACTAGTGTTCTGGGCGGCTGGGGGCTGATAAACCTGCAGGTCATCGTTGGACCAGATCGACAGTCTGTTGCCAGCACCGCACTTCTGCGACGAATCACCGGGACATGCCATGCTGCAGTCGCCAGCATCAGCCTCTGCGGCTCCATTGCGGAGAAAATTATCGCAGAAACTACAAAGTATTAGTCTCCAGGCCAGGAGAATACGCAAGAATTCAGTATACACACCATTGCACACCATATTCCATACCCGCAACCTTGTAGCCGAGATCAATGCACGTGTTAACGCAGCTTTCGACGGTTTGATCGGCATCGTCAGGCTGCAGATTGTTCATGGTCCTCGCATTGACATTGTCAACGTAGCATCCCTTCAGCTCCCAGCCAGCGGGTACGCTAGCGGAAGGGGCTCTGACCGTGGAGCTGGAAGCAGAGCCGGACGTGCTAGTAGACGCGCCGCCGCTAGGACCAGGGGTTGAAGATGCGGCGGCCGACGAGGATGCAGCAGATCCCTTGGCAACCAATACAGCTCCCCAGACGGCCGTGTTGGTGGAAATGCCACCGGCAGCAGACTTCAGATAGCAGGGACCGCCGTTCGCTCCGCCGGTGTAAGACACATCTTTGCAATTGGCAGTAGTGTCGCACGCGGCGATACAGGCTGCGAAATTGGCAACAGGATCTACGGTCTTGAGGTCATTGGCCACGCGGTCGATGCCGCATTCAATGAGGAAAGTGGAGCCACTGGCAAGCTGATAAGTGACGCCGTCTGAGCCCGGGCAAGCCGGAGCCGCGGTCGAAATAGCAGTTGAAGTGGGTGTAGCTTCTTGTCGCTTGTCGACATCAATGTAGCGTGCATCTGCCAAGAGCGTCGAGAACTGTATTACGCGCCCGCAAATTTAGCCATCAGCCGGAATAGGCACAACCAGGGGATCCGCTAGCACTCATGGGACACGTACCGACGATGCAAGCAAGAAAAAGTGAACAGACGAGCGCACCCAATTTAGAGGTGCATTCATTGATGGCGCCATTGCTGCGTTTTGCCTCCCCTGGAGCGGAGCCAAGGACTTGAACCGAGCAGCTCTAGCTGAGAAGCGAGAGGTAATCGAGCGTGCAGGAGCTGGCCAGAAGGGTGGAGCGGCACGGGGAGGGGCCGTGTTTATACGGCGGGCCCAGGACTGATAGCTGGGGCGATAGGATCTATCTAGCACAGGCGAAATGGATCCTAAGGCCCGAAGAGGAGCGTATCAGGCCAGGAACGAGCAGGCTGCGCTGTGCGAGCGAAGCAGAGCGGTGCTCTCCACCTCTCAGCAAAGTGGCGCTGACGGGCAGCGCAGCCCTGGGCCGAATTGGGATGCAGCAACGACATGCTCCCCCTGGCCAAGGGCTTGTCGTCTATCGAGTCAGCCGACATTTGGGGATGCAAGTGGGCTGTAGGGCTCTGAGGCGCAACACGAGGGCAACGGGGCGGCATGGCGTGGTAGCGGAAACGGGCATGACGGCAAGCGGGAGCTGGGGCCAGGCGACGCGATGGATCTGGATGGCGGTGGGATACGGAGGAGGATGATTAGAGGGACGCGGTTGAGCAACTGCGCCGCTCGCTTCCGTCCCGCCTTCCTTCCTGCACATCGCCGGGTACCAGACGGGCAACACCACCACTCAACCCCTCCCATCGCGGCTCTGCACGCGCTTCGCGCGCAATGCTACACCCGCCGTCTTCACGCATCACTGCTGCCTCCTTAAGGTTGCTGCCTCGCGATGACCTGCAGCTCCACCGACCGTTACACTCCTCGGCCGCGATTTAGGCTCAATTGGGGCATCCGCGCCGCCGTGCTCGTGCCCGTTCTCGCCGCCACGGCAGGGTTGTGCATGGCGGTGGCTGCCGCTGCCATCTCCAATGCGCACGCGGCGGGGCATCTGTTGATTGGGGGGCCAAGGCCGCCGTGCATCAACCGGCCGCTCCTGTTCGCCAGGCAGAGCAGGACACCTTCCCAGCTCGTAAAGACAGCCGCCTGCAGGGTCACCACGACTATCGAATTTCCGCTTTACTTCCTGCCAACCCCCGCTGCTTAATTTGGCTACAAAGCCCACGCCGGCTTCCGACTCGCCCTAGTAAGTGAGATCCTTCGCGCCAAACTTTTCTGACCGTTTCTTCATATCGCTTCGCCTGTTCCATTTTCCAGCCCAATATACAGCAAACAGTCGCCGCCTCGACCGGCCTAGGCGCCCATTACAGAGCTGCAGACGACGGAACATGGCGTTCACTGCTCGTATATCGTCTTCATCATTCCCCACCGGGCGTTCATCCTTCTGCCCACCTGTCCAGCGAGCACCTCCTCCACTTCGCCCACAAGCCCAGCTGAGGACGATTCAGGCTACGCCATTGTCAAGAACGGTGCTCCTTCAATTCTACCGGCGTAGCAATTCGCTATATTGAATTTTTCCTTTAGCTGCTCAAGCATCCTCCATTCAGCGCTCAACTTCACCGCTGCGGATCCTCCCGTGTCTGCCTGGATGTCATCAGCATGCAGAAGCGCAGCCGCGACCGCAAATGCTCCACCCAAGCGCGGAGAACCAAGCTGCCCCGGAACTATCGATATTGACCTTTCCTACAATTGTCTATCGACACATCAATGTCACTCCACCAGCTCCCCGACAATACTCACGCGGCTGCCTGGTATGGGGCGCGAAACGTTATGACAAGCAATTTCTCTGCCTCGTGTTTGCTGCACGTTTATCCAGCGCCCGTCAGCATTTAATCAAAAGCAGCTGCGTATCCGCGCGCATGCATGCGTGCATGCAGTAGGGCAGGTGTTTCTCCCCAATCCCGTCCTCTCCAGGCCCCACAGTCGCCCAATTACCCCTGCATTAATGCCACCCCAGGCAAAGCATGGTCGAGGTAAGTGGGGGATTTCGCACTCACTGCAATATTGTTGTCAAGATTTTTTTTTCTGGCTATCCTTCCCCACCTCGCCTCCCCTGACGTCCGTCGCTGTGGTCGACCGTTTTAGCGGAATAGACCGGGTCTAGACATAGCGTCGAAGGGCGTTGGAGCACGTAGCGCGGCGCCGGCCGGGCGCGCCGGTGCGCCCGGCATTTCCAGGGTTGCCACCGTCATGGTACCTAAGCTTGTCGCTAAGGTTGTCCGTCAGTTTTATGTTTTTGATCCGGCAGATCTTTTTGCATCTTTCGACGTCGCATTCATTAGTCTCTGTTCAAGGGTTCAAGGGCTAAGAACATGAGACGGCAAGCTCTTTCATGCCCATGCTTGCTAGTTCAGTATCCTCTGGATCGCATACTGCGTGCCCAGTGCGACAAACGGCAACGTTCAGCACGACCAAATATGCTCGCTTGCTCAAACATACTTGGCATACTCACACCGCGATAAAGTCTCGACGCACGCAACGGCGGTGAACTAACGATAAGAGGTAACAGACCCTTTTTGGGGGCCAACATGAAGCGATCGTGGCTTGCGGAGGATTATCGCCCTCCTTAATCATTTTTTTCTTTACTCGCGCCGGATTCTGCCACCTCCCCGGCGCTCTTGCGCGGGGTTGCCACATGGCTCGCCCACGATGCCGTGCAGGCGGTAAAAAGAAACGAAAAGGCTGCAAGGGAGCAGATAAGACTACGGAAATAGCAACAGCCCACTGCGGGTAGGCGCGCCGTGCCGAGATCCTGAAGGAATTCTTCTTACCATTTGGGCTCTTTCTTGCCATTGATGGATACATGGTCGCATGAGAGAGAGTTTGGGGGCCGTGGTTTGCCCTGCGGCTGAGCATCACATGCGCAGATGGTGCAGTAGCGGCAGGTACTGCCCTATGATGTGTTACCAGGGTGCATGAACTAAACACTAGGATGGGGGATAATGTCTCCTGATCGCAGCATGGGGACTGATACGGCACGAAGCGGATCCGCCGCTTGCGCGGATTCGATTGATTGATTGCGGGAGGGGATAGTGAAACTATATTGATTTTGTTGTGGAGGTGAAGCCACGGCAGCGACAACCCGAACTATCTCCACTGCGCGCTCCTAAGCGAGGGGAAGAAGCAAGAGGGTGCATTTGGATTATCGGATGCTCGTTTCAGAAAAAAGTCAAAGAGAAGTGAAAAGAACAAAGACCGCAAAACCATCAGCTCCGATCACCAACAGGAAGGTCGAAGCGAGGAAGTACTCATCCCCATCCCCTTTCTCGTACACTTAACACTTTCCCTGCCTCCACATCTTAACATTCCTCACCGTCATCCCCCTCTCAGTGCTATCCGGCCACGTGTGACGCCACAGCTCGCGGGCGTCGAAAAACTCTTTCGGGGCGTTAATGCTAGCGTCGACCCAGGGCTTGTTAGCGACGCCATCCTCGAAGAAGCCGTTGGTACCGCCGACAGCAACGTTCAGAATGAGGTAGAAGGACTGGTCAAAAGGCGTGTTCGCTCTTCCTGTCGCCGACCACGGATCGAAGAGGGCCGACTTGTTGATCTTTTTCTCGCCGAAGCCGCCGCGGTCCCACATGCGCTTATAGCCGTGGTTAAACTTGATGAAGAATACTTGCTGTTTGTTTCCGTCGAAGTCAGTGGACATATGCTAATATAGGAAGTGAAAGGTGATATATGGCTAGAGGAAGGGGTGGAAAAACAGTAGAAGAGAGAGGGAGGGAGTCAGGAGATGAGTTACCAAAAGCCGGCTATCCAGGTACGTAAACAGGTAGTCCTCGGTCCACTCGAGGCCGAACGTATGGAACCCCTCGGTGTAGTCCGTGCGGCGGACGTTGTGCTTGCCGCTGGTCTTGTAGAATGCATCGGCCTCGGGCAGCGGGCCCCAGTGCAGCGCGCTGATCACGCTGTCCCGGCCGTCCGGGTAGAAGTCGCCGTAGTTGCCTCTGCTCTCTGCAATGTCGATCTCGCCGCTGCGCGGCCACGCGCCGTACACGTCGGCGTCGGGCATCATCCAGATGGCCGGCCACAGCCAGGCGCCCTTGGGCATTTTGGCGACGACTTCGACCTTGCCGTATTGGATGGTCTTCTTGCCTTTGGTGTTGATGCGGGCGCTACGGACCGGGTTTATGATGGCGCCGGCGGTCACGTTGCTGCGGATGGAGCAGGAGTCAATGTCCAGACGCGGGTGCGTGCATGTGCCGTCTGTGGTGAGGTTCACGACGTATTTGTCGTACATCTGGTCGAGCGTGATATTCGTGCTTTCGGTGGTCAGGGTGGGCACGATGTGTAGACCTTCAGCATCGGTGAAGATATTCTTCGGATCGTCGGTGGTCCATTCGAAGGAACCGGTGCCGAACCCACCACGTTGAATCTCGAAGTTCCACGTGCTGTCGTCAATACCTGCACTGAAATCGTCCTCGTGCATGAGGCAAAACTATGTGGCACCAGGGTCAGAACTTCCCAGGAGCCGGGTTCCACCAGACCTGAATTTGTACGAACCTCTCCACTCATTACATTGATCCACGATAGGAAGCAGATGGCGCCACCAATGACAAATCCGAGCACGATGCCAGCCCAGAAGATGACCCTTTCCCATTCTCTTTTCGGAATTTTGTCCTGCAGCCATGGCTTCTCGTCATACCTGGCTACAGTCAACGACAAGGCAATAAGACACAGTTGTTTAAGCAGACTTACTCTCCTGGTATCAGCCGTGAGCTCTTGAACTTGCGTCGCCGAGTACCCTGAGCGTAAGAAACTATAAACAGTTAAATCAGCGCCCATTGAAGGTTGGCTTGACTCCGTACGCGGATACGAGGTCTGTGGCGCGGAAAGCGGCATCCTCTGGGAGCTGATGATACTTGTGCCACGGCTATGGGCACGGCTGAGGGCTGTTGGGGTTGCAAAAGGATTCTCTGAGGATTGCTGCCCGCTCGGCGACATCGGGAGGGAATGTTGATGCTCGTGTGGTCCTTCGCTTCGATGGACCGTGGCGGCTGAGCTCAGGTAATGGTAGGAATTCAATTCATGTGCCATTGTGAGTACTGGAAGATCACTTGGCACCAGATGATGAAAAGTAAAGGGGAGAAAAGGTAGAGGGCCAGAAGGGCATGATCCCACCTCGAGAATTCTAGACAATGTTGCGCAGGGCAGACCTCTGGCCCTTATGCACTGCCATGGATCACAATACGTGCGGCTCCTTGCACGTTCCGCGCGGGCCAATGTGGGCACGCGTCCCCTGTGTCAGCTGGATTATCAGTGAAGACCAGGTCATTGAGTGAAGGGTCGAAGATCCATATTTCAATGAGACCTGATTGCGGAAATGGCATGGATGAGCGGCTTAGAGGTAAAAGTCTCAAAAAAAAAAAAAAAAGCCCGGAGATGGTAAGCATTGCTAGGCGTGGCATATACCAACACTCGATTGCTTTCACACGAGTTGAGCAGCAGCTGGTCTGGATCATGGCCAGTGTCTTGTGCTGATATTAAAGGCAGCTATAGGTTTCGCGGGAGTGGATTGGTAAGATTAAAGTTCAAACGCCGTGGCGCGTGTTACTGTCCTGTCGTGGAACGGGTTGCTGCGTCGGTCCATTCAAACGGGCAGCCCCGATGGTCCTTGCACACAGAGCAGACGCCACGGCGCTGATTTCGTCCAGCTAGAGGCGTCGGCGGATTAGCCTCGCTGCAGAAACCCGAGACTGTCGCAAGATTGATCACCGTGCCATGGTTGCCAGCCCATGTTTATCGATCCGGTTGGCTGCAGACAAGCCACACGGCGCAATGGAGGAGAATCTGCAAGCATTTGACTGGACAGGCTGCCGAAGAGACTCAGGCGAAGAAGGAAGATGGGAATCCCCGGCTTTTTGAGTTCGGAAAGAGCCCGAGGGAGGCGTTCGTGGCGGAACCGAGACGCGTGCGATAGGTGGGAACGGCTAGGATCCTGCGTGTATGGCGAGACTTAATCGTCTGTCAAGATGAATCCCTGGATCTACAGGCGGAGTGGCGCACGGGATGATGGACGGAGAGAGAGTGAGGGGAGGAGGTGATGCAGGCGGGGACGGGAAGCCAACTGCGGCCCGAGCTTCAAGCGCAAACCTACGGCATCCGCTAGTGCTCTCACCCGCGCCGCCTCGTCAACTATCTCACCAGACATTCTTTTTGGTTTACCGAGGTGACCTCACCACAGCCGAGCGATTACACGCATCGCACTGACGCTCGCACGATGAGAACGAGGAAGCCGTTGCCCGTCAGATGCACGCTTGCCTCTTGTACAGCATCCTGTCTCCCCGCTCGCCATATGGCATCACCATGCGTAACTGCTCTACGTGGGTTGAGTTTCTGTGCTCAAGCCTGTGCGACACAAAATCCTCGTCTAGGATCCTGGGGCTGAACCCTGGAGCCTTGCCTTTTCGAGAAAATCCCCCGTCAGAGGTCTTTGCCGTCAATTACTTCACACACCTTTATGCAGAACTCCCAGCGCCATGATCTTCGAATCCACTTTCGGATTCCACCGCCACATTGTCCAGGTCTTAGTCATTTACGGAGTAGAGCACGGGAGCCCCTTTCGCCACCATGAGCGTGGTATTATATTCCAACCATTCATTACTTGTGCTTCTACTGTCCCACGCCGAGTCGCCCTTCTCGTTTGCTCAGTTCTGCTTTCGTTTGCGTTCTGTCAATAACCCACTCTCTTTTCGCACACTCTTTATTACGCTCGCTTTCAATGGCTTCGCTGAAGCCCACTGATTTTGCTTTCGAGTTCCCACGCCGTTCTTCGGCTCCAGATGCAGCATCTCCCAGTGCACCACCCCTCGTTTTAGATGCGAGGCCAAGCACGGCTACCTCAAGCATCATATCAAGCCGTTCAGGAGGCCAAGACAGACATGCAGCAGTGAGTGCTTTCCGCTCCCTGGCTACAATCCGTCACTGACAAGAAAGCCAGGCTGCGAAATACTTGCACAGGAAATGTGTCCAGCAAAAGTGGCTAGAACCGGCTGAGGATGAGTTCGGCATCATCGAAGGTAGCGCTGAAAGCCTCGGAATCCTTCTTCGGCGGCCCGATGGTAGCTACACCGCTGAACCCATGTTCGTCAGCCCGCAAGTTGTCAGGGCAGCCGAAGTACTTGGTATCACAGTAGCCTTCACCATGTCATCTGACATCGTTGGCCAAATTCTCCACCAGACTCCGCCTCTTCAAACCGAAATTTCCCTCGATTCGCGCAGAGCAGCAGTCTTGCCAATCATAGATTCCGTCAAAGATATCGGTTCAGGGAGGGTAGCAGTCAATAGAGACTCCTGCATGTGTCTCTGTCGCAATGAGCGTCTCCTCCTTCTTTGGAGTAGCTCCGTGCACGGAATTGTCACCCACGGTACAGACATCGAGGCCCGTTTGTTCGGCTTGGTAAGCTTCCCGCTTGAACTGTTCAATGCCTGAGACTAAACAATATTTAGGTATGGGAAGCTCAGATGCCTGCACCTCTGATGCCTGCCGCTCCTCGTGAAATCGCCGCAAGTAGAGGAAGTTCCGTCTACCCTGATGAGCCGCAACCGCCATATTTCCCTACAGCGGCAATCGTGGACTCGGGTGCCAGTACACCACGTCTTCTCGATGAGAAGAGAAGGGTCATTGACACTGCTCTCGAGCGCGAGGATCAAGGAGACAAGTTTTTTGACCCTGAACGGGATGGGCTGGAGGTGCCCAAAAGACCGTTCCTCCTCACTCACGCAGTGATCGTTGGCCTAGCCATGATCCTTGTCGTGGTCGTCGAGATGGCCTGCGTTGCAAAAGTAGGTGAATGTTGCGCATTCCCGTGCTTTCTCCATGGTCGCTAATCCACGAAGCTTTTGTCCGAAGTTCGATACGACGGAAACTACATGCGCTTTGCACTGGTAAGATCCGCAACACACTGGGCTCGTCAACAACTGACGTTCGATCAAGCTTGCGACGGTCCCGCTCTTTGCGAGCTTCTCACTGGTGAGCAATATGGCGCACGTCAGCATGCATGGGTGACTTACGCTCGCTTATCTCAGTTCTTCATGATCGTCATCACTGGATCGATCTTCCAGCTCTTCGGCCCCTTGTCTGGCGTTCAAGGAAATAGCATGTTTTATTCCGGTATTTGGTACCTGCAAGCTTCCGAAGCTCTCACTAATTCCGGAGCATAGCCAAAGCACCGAAGCTTGGAAGACATGCCGACTACGAGTTGCCCCATGTAACAATCCAAATGCCTGTCTACAAGGAGGGACTAAAAGGGTACGAAATACGCCGCTACATGCAGAAAGTAAGACCGCTAACCCACTGCAGTGTCATTATTCCGACCGTCGAATCTTTATTGAAAGCAGTCAAGCACTACGAAGACCATGGTGGCACAGCATCTATCTATGTCAACGATGATGGCATGCGACTTGTCAAGGAAGACCTGCAAGAGGCTCGCAAAGCCTTTTACGAACTCAACGACATCGGCTGGTGCGCCCGGCCGAAGCAAAACGACAACCCTGATACATCCAAAGGCGAAATCCATTTCGTTCGTAAAGGCCAGTTCAAGAAGGCCTCTAATATGAACTACTGTCTGGACTTCTCGTTACGCGTTGAGGACGAGCTCCAACAGATGGTGGATGCGATGTGCGCGGAGCGATGCTGCACTCAGGAAGATTTGTCCATCGAAGAAGAGACCGATCTGTACGAGAGGGCTCACAACGCTATCGTCGAAAAGGATCAAGGCCGCACATGGGCGGGTGGGAACGTGCGTCTCGGAGAGATCATTCTTATCATCGACTCTGACACCCGCGTTCCTGAAGACTGTTTGCTCTATGGAGCACTTGAGATGCACGAATCCCCTGAAGTTGCGCTCCTGCAACATGCTTCCGGTATCCTCCAGGTCGTCAACAATGTCTTTGAAAACGGCATCACGTACTTCACGAACCTCATCTACACGAGCATCCAATTCGCCGTTGGGAACGGCGACTGCGCTCCTTTCGTTGGACATAACACCTTCATCCGCTGGAAAGCCATTCAAAGCATCTCTTGGTTCGATGAGGAGGACCAGATGACCAAGTTCTGGTCTGACAGCCACGTCTCTGAAGACTTCGACGTTTCGCTGCGCTTGCAGATGAACAATTTCCTCGTCCGCCTGGCCACGTACCACTCCGGGGGCTTCAAAGAGGGCGTCTCGCTCACCGTTTACGATGAGCTGGCGCGGTGGGAAAAGTACGCTTACGGCTGCAACGAGCTCGTCTTCCACCCACTCATCCGCTGGCCTACCCACGGGCCCCTCACGCCACTCTTCCGGCGCTTCCTCTGCTCCAACATCAAGATCACGTCCAAGGTGACCATCCTCGCCTACATTGGCACATACTACGCCATCGCGTCCGCGATCCCGCTCACGCTGGCCAACTACCTGCTCGTGGGCTGGAGCGGCGCCGACGTCGACCAGTTCTACCTGACGTCGTGGGAGATCTTTGTCGGCATGGCCTTCGTCTTCAACGTCCTCAGCCCGCTCGGCTACGCCATGCTGCGGCACCGCCTGGGCCAGGCCACCTTCTTCGCCGCGCTGCTCGAGACGGCCAAGTGGACACCCATGTTCCTGCTCTTCTTCGGCGGCATCTCGTACCACCTCGCCAAAGCCATCCTGTGCCACTTCCTGGGCATCCGCATGGAGTGGACCACGACGGCCAAGGAGCTGACCGACAGCGGCTTCCGTGCCGGTCTGGACAGGATTGTGCGTGACTTCAAGTACATGTATGCATTTTGCGTCGTCGTGGCTGGGGGAATGGTGTATTTGGCTTGCTATGCGCCGCGCGGCTGGCGCATTGAAGACTTTGCGGCCATTGTGCCGGTTGCGAACCAGATTGGGTGCCATGCACTGCTGCCTGTAAGTGTCTTCCCTTCTTAAAGTCATGCGCTTTTGGGAATGTGGTGCTAATTCGTTGTCTTGCAGTTCGCACTTGGCTTGTTCTAAGCTTCGGGGTTGACGAAATCTACTCCAAAAAGAATTGCCCTAATTGGGAGACACTGATTTATGATTTCTCCATTTCCTCTTATTCTTCCTTTTAATTTCATGTCGCGATGCGTTGCACGCTCTTTAAGTCTTGTAATTGTGAGCTTTTAATCCCCCAACTTTATTTCATCGAAGTTCTTACCTGAGGATAGGTAGAAAAAGGCGATCAATATGGGCTAGTAGAATATGGAATGTACTGTCACTTTCGAATGATGTATGGATTCAAGAGTGCCTGAGTAAGCTTTGATTCTGTCTCTGCAGCGAACCAAATATCATCTTGAAGAACCATTCGAACAACAGCAAAAGGATACGGAATTAAAGCGAAACTCAGATCCCAAATAGAGACAAGAGAAATTCACACCCCATGGGCCCAGCATACTGCCATCTGGTCTCATCTTCCTCCAGACCTATGCCCAGGTCCACGACGTCCCGCACTTCGTCTTCATCTGGTTTGTTATCGACGCTCCAGTACTCATGCATACGTTCCCTCCAGTAGCCTTTGATGAAATCGAAGATTGGGACTCCATGTTCATCGAACTTAGTAACGAATTCACCTACAAGCACCTCCAATTCCTCAATCAACTCCCTTTCCTCTGTTCGAATCTCTAGAGCCTCCTCCGGTGCAACGGTTTCCAGAATGCAGCTTCGTGGCTCCTGCTTTGCTTGACAGCAAGTGTGAGATAATCCCAGCTGCGTGAAAGTCAAGCTTCGGATTATATCGGCAACCGGCTGTGGGGAGCCTTGAGTATGCTCGAAGGATAGAGCCAGTCTGCTGACCACTCTCTCCAAGAACTGTAGGTGCGGTCCAATCCCCGGTGCTTCGTGGGCATGTCGCAATATTATGCTGATTGCGGTGCACCCTGATAGCGAGCAAGCACAGTTGCATCTGTCTCGGCGCTGAAATCCTTCTTTGATACTGTCAATTGCGCATGAACTGATGCTTGGAGGAATATCCATGTCGTTTAGTTTCCCAAGTTTGGAAATCCTATCGAGGGCATGGAAAAGAGCATAGGGCGCGTTCCACTTCGGGTTATAGAACAGTCTTGCGCCTTTCTCGACGAACCAGACTAGCAGCTCAAAGTATCGAGCGCACATGACAGGGGTTTCACCTCTGCTATTGGGGCAGTCGATATCTCTGAGTCCAGTCTGATAAGCTGCCTCAGCTCTTTCGACTGTCAAGTAAGGGTCGTGGTATACGGTCCCTTCGCTGTGCTCGAAGGTTGACTGGATGGATTCATTGACCTGAATTCCCAGAGACTGCAATGCGTCCCCAACTTGCGCTGCTTTTCCATCCACAACCTCTGTGTCATCCAGCTGCAATTCTCTTATCGTTTCCTCTGGTAAGGATTCGTAAGCCATTTGTCGGAGGAGAATACGTCTGGAACGCAAGGCCTCCATGCAGGCCCGATAAGCTTGCAACGAAATGCCGGAATGCAAAGATGTGGGGAAATCGCATCCAGCCTCTAGCAGAACCCGCAAAGATTCCACGTTCTTGAGCCCCAGAGCGCATTCAACCACATCAGACAGATGTTCGGGTCTCGCATCTGCGATGGCTCCCATGAGCAATCGCAAACCTTGTACCCAGTCGACGGCTACATATAGAGGCATATCTTGAGGCTTGTTTCCTCCAAATAACCCCTTGTTCGCTAAGCTGGGGTCTTTAGAAAGGCATTCAGCTAAATCATCCTCTGACTGTAACACGATGGCCTGAATTATTGGGGAGAATTCGAAGTCTGCTTCCGTCAGAATCGAGCGTTCCAAAACGGTATGTTTCGCATACCTTCGTGAAATGCTGATCGAAGATGTTCCGGAGCATACCGGTGGTTGATACAAGCTTCGGGATGCCCGGCGAAATATCCACCAGCTTCCAGAAATACTTCCATGTTTCTCACATGGGCGATGATTTGGGGGTTGTGAAGGGTTTGCAGTTGGGTGTATCTTGACAAAACGGTACTACCAAGATTCAGCAAATGAATGACCTGATACTTCCGAAATACCCCCTACCTTCCAGACTCATCGAGAGTATTCACCGGAACCCTCAAAGACAACAACCTCGTGAAAAATTGAGCCAGCGCATGCTCGATCACCGAAGTGTCGCTCGTATTCCCGGAGAAATCGATGATTGAAAATGTTTTCTGGATCATGTTGGCTATATACTTGCTTGCTTCGGGAAAACTTACGTGGAGTAAGGAGTTTCCATGCTCATCTAATTCTTCAGGTCGCGCCTCTCCGCTGTTGAATATCCGCTGCAGATCACGGTAGCCGCGATCAAGATGCTTATCAAACTTGATTTGGTCACGTTTTGACACAGGCATCCATCCGATGCCGATGCCGGCTGGTTCGGGATAGAAGCCCCTGATATTGGAGATAACCCTGAAAGCCGGAGAGTCACTCCGTCTCAACCCACGTTGGAGAAGCAGAGGGCTGATAGATAATGCACCAGCACCGTAGCTGACTGACATTCCAACCTGTATGGCGGCTCGAAGGTGCCGATCCGAAACCGCAAAGCCGATGTTATCTGTTCGCTCGAGGTAGGACCATTGCGGACATGATCGCCGGTGCGGAAGAGAGGAGTTGTAGAAAGCGCTCAAAGGCCCGATACTCACTTTTATTCCGGTCAACATCGTCCCGTCGCCACACGTACAAATCTTTGCTCGACGGCGAGAACGACCGGATCTATCGTGTATCTCGAGTTCAGAGTTGGTCTGTTCGCGTCCCCTTGTATTCCGCGCAACTGCCTCATCACATTTAGCCTCCAGAAAACTCGGTTTCGACAAAAGCTGGAGCATTTCCTGCCGAAACTGTGTCTGCTGTTCGGCTATCTGCTGGGTCTCGCCCAGTATGGATCTTTCGATCCGTGGTATTGTTTCTACCCCAGCAGCGATGTTCAGGAGTGTGCGTGAGAGATCAATACTGCTGTCTTGGGCATTTTGGCTGATTCTCTCAAGGGCCGCTCGAATGTCGCACAGGTCGTGAGATGTTGATTTGCCATCCTGAACGTGAATTTCTCTACAAGAGAAGTTAGTTTATTGCATTGTTCTGTGAAATCCAAAAGTGCGAACTCACAGAAGCAAAATGTGCAGAAGAGTCGTTAGGTTGCGCTGAAGGTGATTTGCCGTGTCCTTCAACTCCCCAAGCTTTCTCTTCTTGAAGGGATAGCGTAAGCGCTGTGCCAACTCTGGGAGCTTTGTGGATTGTGGTTTGGAACCTTGTGCGAGACGGCATGATGCGATGTAAGCTTCGAGGTCCTGAATGGCATTCTCGCATAGGTTGACGCTGCTATTCGCTTCGGACAGCGCGTTCGGGCTCGGATCAGAGAGATCTTGCAGTGTTAGACGGAGGGACTGAAGAGCGCCCATGAATTCATGAGCTCTTGCTGCTGCCTGATCAAGGTCTGATTCGTACGACCTCCAGTCTTGGTAGAAGGAGAGTAATCTTTTGCAGATGGCGATCCCGATGGATACCACTCCAACGGCACTCCCCGTCACCGAAAAAGGGTCGCTCATGTCCGGTGGGACTGGGTGCAGGAAACCTCGAAGGAGTTGGACGAAGGCCTAAACCTGGGAGAGCAGGTCAAGAGTCAGAATCCGGAAGGCCTTCCTACACTGAATCTTGCCAACCCCGCCTGATCAGTGAATAACATGTGAGGGAATCATTGGTTGTGAAAACGCCTATTCTCAGTCAGCTTTGCGCCACTGTGCAGGTGTGGCAATAGGTAAAGGCCTATCATGCCTTGAGCCCCCTCAAAAAAAAGCAAATACTTATCGAGAACTCCACTTGGTTCTTGCATAATGAACGCTCACAGGTATTTTCGTGGTAATCTCATGTGTTCTTGCAGTGAAACAAACATTAGTCCATCGTTCTTCCACAGATCTGGTCTTGCCCTGGGATCATGGTCTTTTTATCCCCCTTCTACACCTTCCTAAACCGCGCTTCACAACGTGACTATCTTGTCAATGGAACGATAAATAACCTGACGGATATAGGAGAAGACAGGATATGGATATTAAGAATTGAGCAACTCTACCTCTCTGACGAAGAGTGCTGGTACGCTTATGTGCGCCTTCTTGTTACTTGTACTGGTTACGCTGAAGAGGGGAATCAGGAAAAACTAAACCTATTAATAAATATGGCGAACCTTCTCCTTCTTCGATCCGTATAATGGCTCACTTTTCCGAAAAAAAAAAATAGATAGCGTGCAAAGGCACGAAAATATCCCCACGTCTAGACCCGGGACCCTGCGCAAAATCGCGCTTGCCAGATATTTTCCGTCCGGAGAAGAATAAGTAGAAATCAATGCCAGCCATGGCATTCCGAGCGGAAGAAAAAAAAGTCCTGTTCATAGAAAACCAAAGGTATCTTGCCACTACCATAAACGCCTAATCATGCACCGCGTCAGAACCTCATGAGAGCAAGTGGCAAATCCACCGCAGGAAAGAAAGCAAAGGCGGCACGCTTCAAAATTAGTAGCCCGCATGCGAGTAACGGTTGTTGGGCTGGTACACGCTGGCGTAGTCTGATTCGAAGTAGCCGGTCTTGCGGTCCTCCTCGGGGAGTAGCTCCTTGACCTCCCAAGTGTGAGCTTTGACGCCGACACTGAACTCGAGGTCCTCCTTGGTGATGGAATCCCAGTACTGTAGAGTTTATTAGAGTCCGCGATGGCAGGATGTACTGATAGGAGCTGGATGATGCTGCAAGAAGAACGTACCTTGTAAACCATCATGACGCCGAGAAGGTTGCAGATGGTAGCGAAAAATAGTCCGTCCAGATAGTGTGCAGCCCCCTCGCAGATGGTGTCGTTGAGCAAATACAAGATGACCTGGCCGATGACGAAGAAGAACACACCAAAAATGATATGTCCCAGAGGCCAGCGGTCCTGAAGGGTGTTGACGACCAGCATAAGCTGAAGTACGACGTAAACAAAGAGGAAAATGGCGTTGAGGAGGTAGAGCACGACGAACAGGCCGATGGTGTTGTCGGGGCCCAAGCCAGCCCAGCCCTTGAACGTCAAAAGTGACACAGCGCCAGAGATGATGAACATGCCAACCGAACACAAGCGCAGCAGCCACACCGAGAGGGTCGTGCCATCCTCGTACAGCTGGAAGCCGACGAAGCCATTAATCAGCAGGCAAGTGCACAGGGCAGACGACAGGCCGTTCTGGGCAGCGGCAAAGTATGGGAATGCGCCACTGCCCGGAGGCACAACGCCCGCATCAAGCAGCAAAGAGAAAATAGTCAGGACCAGAAAGATGTAGAAGAAGGTCGTGATTTCCTTGCGGCCTACAGGATTCATCAACATTGGAATTGTTGGGCAGGCATTCCGCAATACGTACCGACAGCAGTAAACTTTGAGCGCACATGGACAATCATGATGACGGTCATAATGAGGGCCAGAATATGCATGAAATCTGCAGCAGTCTCGAAGATCATGGTGTTCGCCAACTCAATAGACCGCGCATAACATGTGGCTTGGATTCCGGTGCCGCTCGACGACACGGTCGAGTGCCCAACCAGCGAACAGAGCGGGATAGGCGCCTTCTCGCATATCGTATCGAAGTCGCCGAAACCCATGGCGACGGCAATAGCGGGTTGTAGAGATATTCGGGCAGGCGCAACGCAGAGGGCAGCGGCGAGGTTGGGAGATTAACGCGGTGGCCGGAGCGAGCGGTGAGCGCGCGGGTGCTCGTGGCAGCGAGGGCAGCGAGGGTAGCGAACGAATGGAGGCGTAGCGATGTTGCAGCGACTGGTCGGGCAGTGCGAACCGCGGAGCGATCGGCGAGGGTGGTGTTGGTGAGGCTCGGTGGGTGTTTGCTGTGGAGCGCCCGCATCGACTGAACTGCGCGCGAGGCAGGGGCCAAACATGCTTGGCACTTTCCGCTTTGCACCCAGCCAGCGCCTTGCCCGGCTCGGTCTCGCCCCGGCATCCGCCTCGTGTCTAATAATGGCGCATCACCTGCTGCGACGTGCCCCTCATTCGTACCCTCTGGTGGAGCATGCCAAGCCAGCGTAGTATGGTAGAACGCAAGAATATGGTGGCGGGTCCCACGCCGCTCCTGTCAGCGTTCGCAAAACCAGGGATGCGGCATATCTGCCGTTGTACCGTACCAAAACCTCCTGCAGGAACCGGCGCCGACGGCTAGGGGAACCACGGCTGAGCAAAGCCCTGTCTGCTGCATCCGACGCAGTACCTGACGTCAAGAGCCTCAGTGGCGCCGGGTGTTGCTGCTGCCCGAAATGGCGTGAGCATAGCCAATATCTGTTGTATCACCATGAGCAACGCGCATATTCTTCCCCCAATCTCAGAATCACAAGCGTGTCACAGCTTTGTCATGTACGAACGCAGTTTTGGGCGAGAGCAAACGCAATTTTACCACATAATGATACAGGAAAGAAGTTGACAAGCATCTACCTCTGTCACCATCCCGTCGCGGACGCCCATTCCCAGAGCGATGCAACAGACTGCGAGCAGCAAACGACACTCAAAAATGAAACAATCAATAGCAAAACAGCAGAGCATTGAACATGGTATATTGGCAAACGAAAGAATGACACCGGAAAACAAGAAACGATGAGGGTGGTATTATAGAGCGGTGCCGTAGACATGCGTAAATCCAAACAAAACCGGGGGAAAGAAGCACAACACATACGTGGGGCCAGCCAGCAAAATGTGCCGCCTGCCATGAAACGTGACGAGAGGTATCAGAAAGAGAGGAAAGAGATAGGAAACGATGAGCCTGCGCTCGAAGGTGTACAGACAAGCCCACACCTAAGCCAAGCCAGCCCAACCCAACCAGTGTTCGCCGGAGTCCCCCAGTTTTGAAACAAATTAACCACGGTATCTTGGAGACGGAAAAAAATGGACAAGGTAAGACGCTCCACAAGATGCAGAACCAGAATGCAACAATAAGGAAAAAGCCATGAAACCATTAACAGCGGAAAACAAACAAGCTCTCAACCATGCCCATTACCGGAAAGTAGAGAGGAGTTGACGTGAGAAAAAATAATTGTGAGGCCAATCTAGGGGTAGAAGGGAAACGCAAAAGCCAGACTGAGTAGACGAGAAAAAAGTGTCATGAAAATCATTAGAGAAAAGCAAACCCCCTAATACGCCGTTTGCATCTCAAGAACCTGAACAGGCTGAGTGGGTATCGAGGGAGTAGGAGAACCCGAGCGGGAGGACATGGCATCCTCGTAGCCAACGAGGGCTTGAGAGTGGAGCTTGAACGCTTCGCCCATGAGTTTGGTGATGCTGCCACCAAGTTAGTATATGTGCGAACCAAAACGGAAGAGTGATTCAACTTACCCCCAGACGACAACTTCGTCAATCATGCTGCCCCAGAGACGAGCCACGGTCGAGCTCAACTTGGAGCCGTAAACATCCACGGAATCATCATCGAACAGATTCCTGAGCTTGTTGTACATGGCAAGTTCATCCTCAGTGGCCGGCTCCTCGTCATGTTCCAGGCGATAGAGCCAAAGCGTGAGGATGACCATCAGGTCCATGCCGCAAAGCGGATGCTCAATGCTCCAGTTGGTTGCCGAAGTCCGAGCAACCCAGCGAATGCCTTGCACAGCGGCGACCTCGATACAGTCGAAGCACTCCTGGATGACCTTGATCATCTCCTGAGAACGCTTCACCTTATCGCGGGCATTGGTCATGGAAGCTGCAACCTCGTACGAGTCGTGGTAGCGGAGCGCCTCCTGAACCGACTTCAGGTCGACCAACAGACGTGCGCGCGTGTTGCGGTACATGGCCATAGCATTGAAAATGAGCGGATGGCCCTTGTGCGGCGCACTCAACTTGACAACCACAGTCTCGGGCTCGCAGATTTCCAGAGACTTCTCCCAAGTCTCGAGAGCAAGACGAAGCTTGTACTCAGTGACCACGTCTTGGAGAGCCTCGGGGCTGCGCTTGTGGTACCAGACCTCCAGGAAGAGCGCGTTGATCATGACACGGGTCGCGAATGCGCTGTAGCGAGCTGTTTCTCCCTGGAAGAGGTTGTCGTGCGCCTGGCGGAACGTGATAATGTTCGAGGCAGCCAAGTTGTCGCGCCAGGACTCATCGTCCGACGGATCCATGTTCCAAAGCGTCTCCGAAGAGGGCAGTTCTAGAGTGTCGAACTCGTTGAAACTGATGGCAGGCGTATGGTTGTACGTCATGGTGAGGAGACCGAAGAAGATATAGACGGCATAGTAAGTACGCCGGCATTGCTCGTCCTCAATCCACTCCTCATGCGTTGGGTGAGCGCCATTGCGAGCTTCGGTGCGGAGCTTCAGCTCGTAACGGTTGCCGGCAACCATGTTGGCAAGCAGACTCTTGATCGAACAAGCCCACTCCAGACCCTTGGGGTCACCACTCCACGAGGCGAAGATCATGTTGAGAAGGGTCGATTGCATGAGCCATAGAGGACACTTCCGGGAGCTGAAGTTCTCCTTGTTCTGCAAGAACTGATTGACGAGCACCTTCGCACCAATGTGCAACATGTACGCCTGGTCCTGATCAAAAGTGTACAGGGCACCGATCGAAAGAACGGCCAAAAGAAGCGGCGCGGATATTTCGGTCGGATCGTACGATGCAGGATGCAGGAACGGCAGGTGGTGGTGGAACAGGTTGAAGTACGTCGACAAGTACCGGTTCAGGAGGGCCACACTCGGCAATTGGAAGGTGTCGAGCAGGATGCCTTCGCTATCGCAATGCTTGATGTTCTCGAGAATCTTGCTGCAAGCCTCTTCGGACTCGAGTTGAGGGGCCTTCGCCATCGTCAGCGCTTGGCTAGGACCGGGCGAGCGGCGGTAGTCCACGGGGGACACGGGACCCATCAACGGGTAGGGCGACAAGGCACCGGGAGTGGCGAGCCCGGATCCCTGGAGGGAGCTCTGCAGAGAAGGGAAGGAGGGGGCCAGCCCATCGTTGGACGAAGGTTGACGCTCCATGATGGGCGCCAACTGGTTCGGGTGCCCTTGCGCGCCGACGCTGTTGAAGGTCATATGCGAGTCCTGCGAGCCCGACATACTCGAGGTGACCGAGTGCGACTTGCCCCCCTCGACCGGATGAGGCAGCATTGAATCCCACATGGGCATCTGAGGGAGCGACACGGGACCGGAGGGGTAGCCGACCGAAGGCTCGAGGAGCGCGGGGCCGTGAGGCGATATGACCGTTTCTGGTGCATCGATCGCGGACTCGGGCTCCTGGCTGGCCATCGCCTTGTGATGGAAGTCGGTGACCAGCATGGCAGCTGTCTCGATGTCCACCATGCCATCGCTGCTCGCTTCAATCTGTTCGAGAGTCGCAGTGTCGAGTCCGATCGAGGGCTTCGAGGGCCCAGCAACGGGAATGTCGCTGGCCTTGGGGGCGGCGCGGCGCTTGACCTCGCTGTGGAGGGGCACGCCACCGTCCTTCGCGTGGACGGTGCGGTCGTGTCGCAGTAGTAGGTCGCGACGGACGAATGTGCTTCGGCACTTGAGGCATTTGAATGGGCGTTCTTTCGTGTCTGCGAGGATGAGGTGTCAGCGGGGCGATCGACCTGGCCGCTCGGCTGTTGTGTGCGGGCGCAAAATACTTACGCGATCTCTCGTGTCGACTGCGGTGCTCGCTCCTGCTGAATGCGCGATTGCAGAACTGGCACTTGTATTTCTTTTCGGGCGCGGCAGCGGGCTTGCGGCCGCCTGTTGAAGGCGAGCCGGACGCGAGCAGGGTCATGGCGGCGGCTGGCATCGAGACAGCGCGTCGTGTCTTCAGCTACGGGTGGCGGCGGGGATGATCGAGCGTCGGCTCGGCGACTGGCGCGAGGGGTTTAAAGCGTGAAGGTATTGTCGACGATGAGCATTCCGTATGTGCAGGATCATGGAACGGCGAGGTGGGAGCGACAGAGACGAGCTGGCCGTCTCTCGTCTGTGGGGAGGGCTGCCGGACGGTGGCGTCGCCGGCTCGATAGTGGGTTGCTGGGTCGCGAGGGGCACGACGCAATGACGGCGCTGGCGGACCGCGATGGGCGGGCAGGTGGGTGGGAAGGAGGGGTTGAGCGTAGAAGAGACGAGCGTGAGGAGGTTTTGGCGGCGTTGGCGGGTCCCGGCTGCTGGGAGGAGGGGGCATGTGCGCTCCTGGGAAATACACCAGCCACTCGCAGCCTCACTGTCCGTAATTTACGACCATGCACGCCCGCCCCACACATACCGCGGCCCTTGGCTAGCGCTGCCGGACAACGGTGCGATGCGTCGTCCAGCGCCGTGTGAGCCATGCGCTCGCTCGCTCGCTCGCACACTGCCGGATCAGCCGTTTCAACACCAGCTGCGGGCGCTGTGCGGTCGCGATGCGTCCTGTTGCGGGCGCCGAGGGGCCGCGGGGGCCCCGTGACCCGGCCGGGAGTCGCATCGCGTCGTCGCGCCCCCGCTCAGCGCTTCGCTAAACGATGCGGCGGCGACAGGCACGACCACGTACTCCCGCACCAACCCGGGGCCTCGCCGTCGCTGCGGCCTGGCGGCAGGGCGGCCGTTTGCTCGTCAGGTCGCCGCATGCCTGCCCGTCCCCATGCTCCCTTGTTCCGCGCGATCAACAGTCATCACGCCTCCTGCCCCCCTCGCTCGCTCTCGCGCCGCGCCACAGCGCCGCGGACGAGTCGCCTCTAGCGACCTGCTACGTTTTGCTTTTTATCGCTGAACGCCGGCGCGCCTCGTCCAATCCATCAACAACACGAGGCCGACCGGGGCCGCGCCCACGCTGTGCTCGCTGACGTTGACAACAGCCTCTCTTCCGGACGCTCCACTTCGTGCCAGACCGGCCGTCAGAAGCAAGGCCGCCCAACGTCACTCGTAGGCCGACCAGCTCTCCCCCGCCGCCTGCACGTGCCACGGACGTTTCGCGCTTTCTGGCGTGCCTCAGGTTATCGCAGAAGAAAAGGCGGTATACGTCCGGAGCGCGCCCATTAGAATTTCGAGAGACGAGACGTCCATCCTGCGACGACAGCGCAGCGGCCTTATGCACCGCCCGGGAGCCACCTCACACCGCTCGCGTGCGCGGATGCCACCTGTGCATGAAGCCGCTGCACCACGATCCGGACCGTCTGAATAGTCTACGGCTTCACGGCGAGATTTTTTTGCTATTTTTTCCCTTTGCCTGGATCACAGCTGAAAGGCGCGTCTCGGCGGTCGCGGGCGCGCCGAGGGGTGGCACGGCGGCCGGTGAAACAGCAATTTGCGAAGCCACCGCTTCCCGCAAGGCCAGGTCAGTCGTAACACCAGTGTGGAATTTGCTCTCCTCGTTGGCTTTCGGGGCCGATCTGCACCCTTCTCAATTCTCCTGCCCGTTCCTGGCCCGGTCTTGTGCGACTACGGCGTAGCGCATCGGCTAGCCTACAGATCCTCTTTCCCCGCGAGCCGGCGCATCAGCTTCATCTGGAAATTGGCCTGTCGCAAAGAGATCGTCTCGACAACCAACGAGCTGCGTCCCGCAGCTGCATGGCGGGGCGCCGCGCCCCAATGGGGTCTGCCAGTCAACCTACCCGCGGAACATCGTCATTGAGCGTGTTGGGAACATCCCGCCCTGATCCAGCGACGCGTTGCTGCCCCTCGCGAGGCGCAGAGGAGGCGCTGCCATCCATGCCATGCCGTGCCCCGCGGCGTCGGGAAGGGTGGGTTGGCACGGCTGGACTGCTGGACTGTCCTGCACGGACATGCCCCCCCAACCTCCTTATTTTCGGTGTGTCGACCGTTTCCACCAAGAGCAACACCTTGGACGCGTCTTGGAGAGGTCTTCGCTCGTGTCGCATTGGCTCTGCGCGACCACCTGCCTCGCCGGGATTTGCAGCAAGCCCGCTTTTTCGCGTTTCGCAAATTTCATATCAGATGAAAATCAGCCCCTCCATGATACCCATGATACGTTATCATTGCGGGTGTCGCCCTACGGACGCACAACCCCACGCTAGAACGTCTCGTATGTTCTCTCGAAGGCGGCAGAGCCACGGGGTTTCTGTTGCATAACTTAGTTGGATGCTCATAAGCAACTTTGCCTCCCAATCCGGGAAGGGCTGAGGACCTTCATTTCCGTTGTGACCGGCATGGGTTCTGGCCCTTCATCAAATGACTCTGGCAAGGTTGTGCCCCTTTTCCTTCCGTCCACTTTTCGTGGCCGATTGATCGCCATTCAGCAACCAATCTTGGGACAAGTGGTGGTTCCGAGCCGCGTACCTGGGCTGAATCGTCCGACAACCCAAGCCACTATGTCAAGATGGTTTCATGTCCCGCTTCCACGCGAAACTCTACGATTCAGCGCTAATCCATGCATTAGCTGCTGCTGATGGCGCCCTCCGCCGATCTCCACATTCTGCCCCTCTTTTTTCTAGAACATCTGGCGCGGCTTCCATCCTTCAGGTCTGGTGAGTTGCTGAGATCTCGCGCTGACCCTCGCTGCCACGGAGCATATTTGTGTCCTCTTAAGATCCTAAATCGAAGTTGGATCCGCCTTCAGGAATGCAGCCCCTCTTTCATCTTGCTAACATACATTGGGGCGTTGCGACCGGGAACTTCCCTCCAGGCACGCCAAGGGGCCATCGGCACGAACGATGGAAGGGACTGCTTGTTACATGGCCACCCTACAGATCCGCGCCCATTGCTTCTAGAAGCGGCATCGTCTGATTGATCTTCGTGTTGCGCCAGGAATCGTTGATTTTGCGCGAATTGCAGTAAACATCATATCTTGTTGATCTTGGGCATCCAAGAGCGCGTCTGCCCCTGGAACGGATACATCACCGGAGAACGGTACCCTGACCTCTCTATCTCTGAGTTTGCTCACTGAGCAAGCATGATACAGAAGTAACATGATAGGTCACCATGCGCTCAAGGCACGCCGCAGAAGACCGACTGCGGCTGGATTGGTTTAGTAATAGCAACAGGGCATCTGCCGTGAGGCGGCACCGGTCCCGCCGCTCATGAGGGCTTTTCCCACGAAACATTGCCATTCATTGGATATCCGGCCCAGAGAGCAAGGTTAAGCAGTCTAACAGACTGTTATTATTGCGTCATCCATGACCTGCTCGATTCCTGGACCAGCAGCAGCGATCGATGATGTATCAGGGTCTTGATCCCTTTCGCAACCGCGACTACGGTTCACAAGCGAAGTGAACTTGAATAACTTTGAGGAATCGCGTATCGGATCGGCACGTCAATGAATGTGCATTCGGCATATGATGTGCCTGGGCTTCCTCAGCCGGCGTGGCTGCAGCGGAAGGTGCCTTCGAGAAAATCATCTAGCGGGATGATGTGCAAGATCCTGGTTCGACGTTCTCCCTACACTGACGAGCCATAGGGCTGCATGAACAGCTTGCTTGCTGCTGCGCAAGGCTGCATACTGATGCCGAAGGAAAGCCTATTGCCAAGTTCGAAGGCCAACTTCCCGTCCGTGCCGCCACATGTTGCCGAACCAGCCGTGTCTACCGCGGGCGACAAGACGCCTGGCGTGGGCGGCCTTTAGCAGACAGTGTGGCCGGCGTGGTTGCGTCAATAGCTGTCAGGCTCCTATGACAAATCGGCAGTGGGGTGGCAGATTTCCCACGATAACGGGCACTGGGGAGCGATCTCCATGCCCTAAATTTCTCCGCAAGCTTAGTCCACGTGTTGGACGGGGGGAGAGGCGCTGATCCGCGGTATGCAGCAGCAATCAGGCCATTTTGGCAGCGGTGCGCGTCGGATTAAGTTTGGGAAGCGTTGCGGGAGCAGCAGCCCTCAGGCAACAGGCGGACGGCAGGCGAGGCCTGACTCGGCACGGCCATTGACGAGTCGGCGCGCCGTTGCTTTGTCCGCCGCTTTGGACAGGTGACATTGGCGACGCTTCGGGGCGCTTGGGCAGGCAGTTATGCAGAGAGCGGAGGCAGATATGCAGCGCCAATGCCAATAAGAAAGGCGCACTGGGCGTGGGCCGTTGGGGCGCGCATTGCCTTTATAAAGAAGTGGAGAGCAGAGGCTTGAGCGGCATTTTTCGCTGCGATCTCCAGCGCAGGGCCCGCGTCAAGCACGTGATCTGGCCTCGTCGGGCGAGAACCCTGAATGAAGCGGCCGCAACACCACCAGCACCACCCGCGCCTCCCACCGCTCGGCGACCCCCGCGAGACGACTGCGACGACGCCCTGCCCTGCTGCTGCACCTCTTGCCTTGTTCCCACGAGCGCCCCATTGCACCGTGAGCGGACGCCGCGCGCTCATGAGGTGCCGCTAGACGCCCGACCCCCCGCGAGCCCATGCTCTGGACGCCCCCGGAGGTGCTGTTTCGCTTGGCCCAGCTGGCCTTTGACTCCCACTCAACGCGCTGACAGCCGCCTGTCGCTGCCCCCGACACGCTCACCACCGCGCGAACTTGGAAGCTCGCCGACACCCCCGTCGCGGCTCTCCGGCTCGGTCCGACTGCTAGGACGAGAGAGGGGCATCAGGGACAGGCTGTCGGAGCTGCTGCGAGAGCGCCGCGACCACCGCGACCACTGCGACCGCCAGCGCCGCGCTGGCTCAAATCACCATGAACGGATACTCGGGCACGTTGGCCCCGCCAGGGGGCCTGTACGTACGCGCCCTGTACGACTACGATGCCGACGACCGCACTAGCTTGAGCTTCCGTCAGGGGGATATAATACAGGTCATCACGCAACTCGAGAGTGGTTGGTGGGACGGCGTTATCAACGGGGTTCGAGGCTGGTTCCCCAGCAACTACTGCGCCGTTGTCTCACCGCCCAAGGACGAAACCCACGATGCTGAGAGCAGTGCCGACGAAGGAGATGCTGGTACTTTGGACGGGTCGCAGGACTTGGGCAGCTACTCGGAGGCTTCAGATACCGACGATGATGGTGGGCAGACACAGCTGCCGTTGGAGGGCACGGACACGGATAAGGAGGAGGAGGCTGCATTCTGGATTCCTCAGGCCACGCCCGATGGGAGGCTGTTCTACTTCAACACACTCACTGGCGTAAGCACCATGGAACTTCCGCTTGAAACGCCCTCATCGTTGTCGGAAAATGGTCCAAGAGACCGCACCAACGTCAACATGCCCGAGAGCAGTCGACCACCCCCCGAGCTTATGGCGGGCGGCTGGCATATGTACAATGGCGACACAGACGACGAGAACTCTGCGTCGGATGTGGAGGGACCCTCCGGCATGGGTGGATCCCACAGCTCTCTGGTAAGTCCTAGTGTAGTTGCACATGTGCAACCTTGTTGCTAATTAGTTTACTAGCAGAGACGACGGTCCTTGGCTTCCAACGGAATTTCTCCCGCCACATCTATGGACTCCATGAGCAATGCCTCCGGATTGACGCGTTCTCGATCCGACCTTCACGAACACGCGAATAACACAGCCTTCTCGGGACTTGGCCCGCCTTTAGGCTCCACCATGTCTTCGTACGCGAATAACTCAATTGGAGCGCCTCTCACGTCCGCCGTTTCCCGACAATTCTTTGACGACGCTCAGGCTGTTCCTCTGACATGGAATCGAATGGTCGAAGACATGCGCAGGTCCGTGGAACGGTATCGACAAGCCATCAACAATGGTGATCGTTCAGAGTTTGTGAAGAGAGCGGAGGACATCTCGGACCACCTGCGATTGCTGCTCGCTGCAGGCTCGGGAACTACAGATAACCACTCCGGCAATCCGTCAATCATCTCCACTAACAAGGCGCTCTATCCCCATTTCCGGGAAACCATGTCCAGGTTCTCCAAGCTTGTGCTCTCCTCGCATATTGCAGCGGCCGATTGGCCTCCAGCGGACTCTTACTCCAAGTGTTTGAAAGAAGCAGACGGCGTACTGAATGGAGTTTACGGGTTTGTTGAAGTAGCCCGCCAACAGCGCGGTGAAGACATTCCCCGTTTGATCCCTGGTTTCGTCGTGAATAGCTACAACGGAGGAAACTGGCAGAATAATGGTCTCAGCAACAGCGACCCGATGAACCCAATGTCTTTCATCGACCAGGACGACTTCGACGAACCGAGCACGCGACTGGACGACAAACTTGTCGAAAGGCTAGAGGACCTCAAGAGACTCATCGTCGCGAGTATCAGAAAGCTGGAAGAACGTTTGGTCGTCGAAGAAAAGATCATCACCGAAGCTGTTCACCAAAAAGCGGGAGAGCGCGTCTGCAAAGCCGCAACAAAGGTCCTCGAGATTTACCGTCCCTGGATTGCGACAGTTGAGTCGATCAATCTTGCGCCAATTGGCTCGACATTCCAAAACCCTCAGATTGCAGACTTCAGCGTGGCAAAGCAAAAGGTTTACGACATGATCTCGGAGCTCATTATCACTTGTCAAGCAGTATCTGCACCCCTAGGTGATGAATGGGCAGACAACCGTGGAGATTCGTTGGAGGAACGCTTGAACCGAGTCCGCACTGTTTCGCGGGATCTTGAGTCAAACACTTCGAAGCTGTACTTTGCTCTCCAGCTGCTCTCCGATCTCATGCCCATTGAGGACAGCCCGTCCTCCATCGATAGCAAGCGCCACACTGACATGGATCTGTACAACACTTACCAGCGAAAGCCGTCGACCCAGTTCAACAGGTCCCCTCTTGGGGACGATCCTCTCGAAATGCACAGCGGAGGAAACAACTCCAAACTCAAGAAGTTCTTCGGAGAAGTGCCTGCACCTGTTTTGCCTCAGGCGGTTCCAGAAGAGATCCCCGAGTTCCTCCAACTGGACCACGAAGGCGAGATCTCGTACGATCTCAAGACCACCCCAGCGCAGCTCAAGGGTGGCACGCTTGCCGGTCTCGTCGAGCAGCTCACCCGCCACGACAGGCTCGATTCGCCTTTCAACAACACGTTCCTTCTCACCTACCGCTCCTTCACCACTGCTAGCGAGCTATTCGACATGTTGGTCAAGCGCTGGAGCATCCAACCGCCCGCTGGCCTGTCTAGGGAGGACTACCAACTTTGGGTGGACAAGAAACAGAAGCCCATCCGCTTCCGTGTCGTCAACATCCTCAAGAGTTGGTTCGACAACTACTGGATGGAGGGCAGCGACGACGAGGCGCAAGCTCTCATTCAGCGGGTGTACGCCTTTGCCAAGGACCACATCGCAACCACAAACACCCCTGGAGCTACTCCTCTAATGACAGCCGTCGAACAGCGCGCCAGAGGCCAGGACGCGCCAACGAAGCGTCTCGTCCTCACTTTGAACACGTCGACGCCTCAGCCCATTCTGCCGAAGCACATGAAGAAGCTCAAGTTCCTCGACATCGATGCCACTGAGTTTGCTCGCCAGCTCACGATTATTGAGTCGAGGCTGTACGGCAAGATCAAGCCTACAGAGTGTCTGAACAAGACTTGGCAGAAGAAGCTGGCGCCAGGTGAAGCAGATCCTGCCATGAACGTCAAGGCTCTGATTCTGCACTCCAACCAACTCACCAACTGGGTTGCGCAAATGATTCTCACGCAATCAGACGTCAAGCGACGTGTGGTGGTCATCAAGCATTTTGTCTCTGTGGCCGATGTAAGTATTTGGATAGACCCATCGTTTTGGACAAGATGCTAACGATGACAGAAATGCCGCACGCTGAACAATTTCTCGACGCTTACGTCGATCATCTCTGCGCTCGGTACCGCACCGATCCACCGTCTCAGCAGGACGTGGGGTGCCGTCAACGCCAGGACAATGACTACTCTGGAGAACATGCGCAAGCTCATGGGAAGCACAAAGAACTTTGCCGAGTACAGAGATACTTTGCACAAGGCCAACCCGCCATGCATTCCATTCTTCGGTACGGATCCTTCACGTCTGTCTTTAGGAGTTTAGTTTCTAACGTGGTCTCAGGTGTCTATCTCACCGATTTAACTTTCATCGAAGACGGTATCCCGTCTCTTATCAAGAAGACCAACCTCATCAACTTTGCCAAGCGCGCGAAGACGGCAGAGGTCATCCGGGACATCCAGCAGTACCAGAATGTGCCATACCCACTGCAGCCTGTGCCGGAGCTACAAGACTACATCTTGACCAACATGCAATCAGCGGGTGACGTACACGAGATGTATGACATGAGTTTGGCGGTCGAGCCTCGAGAGCGTGAGGATGAGAAGATCGCAAGGTCAGCCTGGCAGCAGCGCAGAACCCAGTTGATCATAAACTGACAAGGCCAGCAGACTTCTATCTGAGTCCGGATTCCTATGATGATACCCCTTGAAGCATTTTTCTTGCTGCGCATGGCTACGGACGCGATGGTTGGCTGGTCGCCCGTCGCTCGCGGGAATCTACGTGTTTACGGAAGGGCTGTTTTCTGGGCGGCGTTTGTCAGGTGTCTGATATACTTATTGCCCACCCTATTTCGATGGCGTTCTACATCGCATTTTTGCCATTTCAGCTTTCTGGCGATGACATCTTTTCATCCACGGCATAACGAAGGGGATGGTATGTATGAAGGGTTGTCGGGGGACACGGGGAGATTTGACGTGCGTATCTGGATGTTAGTCGCCTGTTAGAGGATGTGCAGGGGAGGAGGGCGCTGAATCACACTCTGTCTAAGGAACAGCCAGTCGCCGTTGAAGCGTCAGCTTTGCCAAGTACGATAATACAAGCCAGCAGCGACCGTAATCTCGAGCCTTTTACTTTAGGTCGATAATGAAATTGAGAGAGGTCAAGAATAATAACTTCTTCGAATGGAAAACGTGCTGGACCACGCGAACGATGTATCATGATTCGGCAGCTTGGCGCAAGGTGTTGAGTCGTTCCGAGTTGCGAGGCATCGGGGGCGATGTGTCACCAGAACGCTGCTCGATATTGCGCAAGTCTTGGCTCGTGGTGGATCTTGTACGACTCCGCGAGTGGACCCGGCAGAAATGACGCGCAACAACCTATCAGCGCTGCCGTGCCATTGCAGTGCTTGGCTATGATTCCGGCGGTCAACGGCTTGGCTCTACAAAGAACTTCTTTCTCGTGAGTTTGATCACCACCACGGGCGGGACCCCAGACGCCACACCTGGAGCCAACCATGTGGAACCGGTAAGTGCGACCACGGTCACCCTTGCCGTCGCTAGCAGGTGACAGCTCGTCTAATTCGCCCGGTGCCATCATGCGCGTCACCGGCTACCACCTCCGCGACTATGCTGTGCAACTCAACCTCCAAATGCTCACCTTATCTCAACATGTGGCCCACCGCCCTGCCGGGCTTGCATTCACTCCTTTTCCCCGCGTTTCTGCAGTTGTGTGTAAGAGGATCGACAAGCCCAATCATGATGTTTACGCGTTGGTGATCCTGCTCTGCTCTTTTCAGCTTCCTTTGTTTCCCTGCTGGCTTATTGCCGGTTCCGGCCACTTCCCATTGCGTCGCCAATCGCTGCTGCCGTGTAGGGAAATCGCGGTGTCATCACAGGGTCGCTCCCCGTGTCTGCTGAGCATCACCACGAGGGCAACACAGCGCTTTCCTCGCCTTCCCATGCCCCGTCTTTCCACCTAACAAAAGGACATCGCTCAGCAGGACTTATCCGCGCAACGCCCGACTTACATTCAGCTCAACTCGTCACTTCAGACTTTTCACCATTCGAACATGGCGGGCCGCGTTCTATCGCCAACGGCTTTACTCTCCCTACTTTTTCTCCTCCCCTCTCTTGGTGAGGATCCTTGCTTGTAGCGCCATACGGGTATTATGACTGCTGATACGCAAGCAATCTCACAGTCACGGCAAGATGCGAGTGCGGCTATTCTGTCAACAAGACCACGGACGCCGAGCACATGGTCTGGACGGACTTGATGGAGACGGATTTCCTGCACATCGATGACTTCACCAACATCGGCTGGGTTCCGCAGGTGTACAACGTCACGAAGGCGGCAGCGCGGGGAGCGTACGGCAAGATGGCGACGCTGGAGAATGTAATGGCGAATCCGCTGAAGAATTCGTGGGACTGGGCTGGCACAGCGGTCAACGACAGCGACGCCGGGCTGCAACTGGTGGTGCGCTCGCAGGTGGTCGACGACATGGTGCCGATTGGGGAGGTCGTGGCGGCGCGGACAGACATGCTGTACGGAAGCTTTCGGGTCGCAATGAAGATGGCCGGAGTTCCTGGAACATGCGGCGCTTTCTTCTGGGTACATACGCTTCTCCTTCTGGATGGTTTGGGCACTGACAGGCTCGGCAGTTCCGAAACGACACGCAGGAAATTGATATCGAGTTCCTGTCGAAACAGCTCAATGCTTCGTCCAACATGGTCAACCTCGTCCTTCAATCGCCCCAGTCGGCCGCCGCGGGGTACGATGCGTCGCACACGCCCAACTACGACGTCTACCCGCTGCCTTTCCGGCCGGACATGGCGTTCCACGAGTACCGCTTCGACTGGTTGCCCGACCGTGTCTCGTTCTACGCCGACGGCACGTGGCTGAAGGACATGACGATTGAGCTGCCCAACAGTCCTGGCCACCTTGTGCTCAACCACTGGTCCAACGGCGACCCGCTGTGGTCAGCCGGCCCGCCCGAGCAGGACGCCACCATGACGGTATCGTACGTGAAGGCCTACTTCAACTCGAGCGACGCGCAGCGCCGGAAGGACTATTATCTCCGCTGCCCGGATCAGTCCAAAGTCGAGAACAACACTGTCTGCGAGATCCCGGACCAGATAATCCCACCAGACAACCAAGGTCCCAACGGCAATGTGACGGCCAGGACGTTCTTTTTCTCAGAGGATCCATCGGACACGGCGAACCAGACGGTGTTCAGCGATTGGCAGAACAGGAACGATGGCGGGGCTGGGATGTTGCTGAGAGGAGCTGGGTTGATGAAGGTGGTGGCTGGCGTGGCTTTCGCTTCGATGGTAGGATTCGCGTAGTTGCAGATCACCCGCTGCACGCTCATCCCTCCCTTCCATCGTTCTCCTTAGTCGACGGGACGTTTCCTTGGAGTTCTGAGATCGGCGCCATTAGCGGGTTTGTTTGTTTCTGGAAGACTGTTGGAAGTATGCGGTGCTTAAGGCTACATTTTTTTCTTTCTTTTCTTCATTTTGCCTCCTTCTCCACTCCCATTGACATTCTATGGACGGTCAAGGGCATTGCTTTCTTCCTCACCTGGCTTGCAGCGCCAGAGCTATACCCGTTACTTCCTCTTCTTTTTCCCTCGTGCTTTTTCCTTTCGTTCTACTTCGCTACGGGTGTACAGTTCTGTGTTTCTCTTCCACATCTTATATTACACTTGCTTTCGTTACCTGTCAATAGGCATATAGGAGTAAAAATATTATCCAGCATGATTCTCCCAATAGAATGGGATTAGATTATGGGTGTTATTTTGGTGCTGTGTCTACAAGAAGAAGATTGGCACGAGAAGCTAGCAATTCTGTCTTTCGATCGAAGCCGCGGCAGACAAGGTACATGCAAAAAAACACTTGGAGTAACTGAAGATGGTAGAAATGCAGAAAGGTGTTTGCGAGAACATAGGTGTTCAATGCGGAGGCGTCTCTGTCGCATTCTGGTATTGACGCTGATGAGGAATGAGGCGTATTCTCGTCAGTGCTTTTTCTTTTCTTATTTCTACTTCATTCTCCTCTCCCCTTCCCTACGAAAGTTCGATAGGCCAGATTGCTAGATAAATCGAGATCGTGCCTTCTCCAAATCGTGTCCGACGGAAGAGAATCTCTTTTGCCACTGCAGGGGATTGCTGCGGCACGGAAGGTATGTGCATATCTCTTATTTGGTTCATGACAATCCTCCATTTTCGATAAGAATGCAATACTGATAATCCAAGGGAGCAAATCCGCATGACTTCCATTCATCACCTAACTTGTTTATTTTTGGTTTTCCTTTGTGAGCCGCGCGGATTATTAGTTCGCATGCTACAAGCAGCGTAGTGCTGATTGGACGATAAAAGAGCGGTAGCGAGGAGAACACCTGCATTAGCGGGATGCTGGTTAAGATGGGTTCGATGGATGTGGCGCTCTATCATGTCCCGATTGGTGGGTGAGTGGTAGGGGAAAACAAGCGCCCATTGACAAAATATATTCTCAATTCACGGTCATGCCGAGGCGTTCTATCACTTCATTCCCATCTCTTGCTGAGTAGTTTGCATGACCTGATATTGAATGACGTCCTTTCTCATCGTTAGGAACGAAGAAGTAATTGGTGTTTTGACGGCTCCTGATCGGTCTAGACTTGCGGCAGTGATGCTGGGGCGGGAATGGTGCTGGTGCCACGGAACCTATACAATATCCCATTTCGTCAGGCAGAAGGTGGTACATCCACTTTGGCGGGCTGTAGTGCATATGGGTAGGAGATTGCTTGCCACCCGCAATATCATGCGGCCCCGCCCAGCCTTTGTGTGCTGGCGGTGGCTGGGCCGTACCAGACTTGATCTTTGGTGGATTGAAGAAGAGCGCATTTGCCTACGTCTTTCTTCCCTCCATCGTCTACTCCCCTTTTCTTCTAATCGAGACGTTTAATGATCATTACTCACCGGAAGAAGACACTGTGACCGGGTAATATACGCTTTCGAAGAGGTTCGCGCTACTCTAATTCTTTTATTTGCTGCTACTACATTCGTCTACTCAATATAAGGTGAGAAATACCGGACGGCCCTGGTCAGTTGGTTGAATCTATCTAATCACCGAATACTAGACTTCCGACACAAAAGTCTGGTCAACATACAGAGCGCCTATATCACCAGATAGTCAAAGATCTCGCTGGGCCAATCCTAAGTCGACGCCACTCACCAATCTTCGACAACTACTCTCCACGCATTCCGACATCCAAGCCCTACGTGAGGGAGCTTTTATCACAGTCTTTCTTAGCTATTCTTTGTAGCACCAGCTTTTTTTTTATTTATTTTTATACGACTACGATATACACAATATCAACCTGATCTTAATATCTAGCATAATGCGCACCTTTACCACCTCCGCCATTCTCATTTCAGGAGCACTTGCCGCGGCGATCTCTCCACCAGGCACACCAGTCACGATAGCCGATCTGGAGCTCCGCCAGGTTCCTACTACTACCACCGCCACAAGCTCCTCGCTTCCCAACGCTGCCGCGGCAGCACAGGAAACAACCACGACAACGAACCCCGTCGCCACCACCACCACCACCTCTGCGCTTACCGGAATCTCAACCACCACCGCTCTTTCTTCCTCCACAACATCACCGACGACCACCACAGCCGTTGTCAATCCCTTACTCACCTCGACCTCGACCTCGTCTCTACCCACCTTACTATCTTCCACCAACCCCACCACCCTCGCCACCGCTACAACCACCACCGCCGCCGCTGGTGCCGCCAACCCGGCGACCATCACCAGCGCAGCCGCCGCTGCAACCACCACGAACGCGGACCCCCTTAACGCAAACACATGGATCACGACCAAGTGGAGCCCGCAGACGGACGCCGCGGGAGCGACGATTGGCTGGACGAAGGGTGTTCACACGCAGACGTGGGCGGCGGTGCCGGACCAGCTGCCTGCGGCGGGGAGCGGCCGGATTGGGTTCGGGCAGTACGATGGTGATTCCGTGGTGGCAGCAGCAGCAGCTGTTACTGAGACGAGTACTTCTGAAAGCAGTAGTGGTACCGCGAGGCTTATAGGGGGTGATCGTGTGCTTGGTGTGGTGATTGTAGCGGTGATGATGGGCATGGGATTATGATGAAGCGGTTTTTTTTTTTTTTTGGGGGGGGGGGGGGGGGGGGGGGTTTTTTTTTTTTTTTTTTTTGGGGGGGGGGGGGGGATGTGAGTAGTTTTTTTCTATTTTTTTTTGGGTTGTCTAATGTGGAATTTGGGACGAGACAGTTGATGAAGGAGGGGAACGATATTGGATCTCAGAGCAAAATTTTGGGGTGAATGGAGTTGTTGGTGGTTTGTGGTCGTGGAATCATGCATGAGATGATGAGACCAAGTACGAAAAAGGAAATCGAATAGAGATTGCGCCCAGCAATAGGGGCGTTGGTCGAGACCGAACGGTCAGATCAGATCGGACCAGACCGAGCGGACGAACCGGACTGCCCGAAACACCGTAGCGGGAGGTGGAGGTGATGTGGAAAGATCCAGGGTCCATGGCGTGAGGGGGGCGGGCCGGTCGGATCCGGGGAGCAGGTCGTGGAGAAGACTTTGAGGCGAAAATGCCGAAGCGACGGAGAAAGCCATGCTCTTCCAATTTGTGCAAGTTCTCTTAGTTAGATGGTGGAGAGCTGCCTGTACTCGCTCAGTTCTCAGTTTAGATGAACTTTGTCACCCATGTAGCTGAGTCTTCCAAGTGTCCGAGTCCAAGAATAGAATAGCGGGCCAGCTAACGAATCAGATTAGAACTGCTTGGTGCCACGACGTACAGATCTTTGCTCAGAAGGAGTCCACGTTGGCCGCCAAGTTTGGTACCCACGTGTATTCTTACACAGTGCTACGCTGTGAGGAAGATTGTTCCGGCAGGGTCCGGAAGGGTCTGCATGGAGAATCCGACTACGAGCTATAAGGCGATCGTAGTCGTATTCGGAATGGTCATCCCACTTCTATGTTCTCGCTTTTTCTTTGCGTCGACGCCCGGCAAGCCGGACCGCTAAACTCCGTGGCGAGCCGGGTGTCACCGCTAAGCAACGGAAGCTGAAAGAGAGAAAAAAAAAAGCTTTTAAGTTCTGTCTTCCGCAGCGGGCGGTGTGTTTGGGGCCGGAGCGGGCAGCGCCACCTGCGTCCTCGACATGAAGTTAAGCTTACTCGGCGTGGTCCACAAGTATAGGTAGCCAACAGCGTGTGCTGCACAAGTCGGGGTCGGAGATTGCTGGAGCCGGAAGCCGACAGGTCCGACGCCCGAAACGGGCGGTTGCTGACACGATGGGTCTCGAGAATCGCGAATCGCCCTCGGATTGATAGTTGGGCCGGCAGGGCCAGCGGGCAGGCTGACAGTGGCGGGGCCTTTGTTGCACATGGCCCAGTTAGTAGGTCAGCGGTGCAGCGAGGCGGGGCTGGATTGGGATAAGAGCAATGGTGTTGTCAAGCGCGGGGCCGCTGCCACTGGTAGGGCAAGCAGGCAGCTGCTGCTCCTTCTGCGCCTATCTCACTCGCCCTTCCGCCACAACGCGTGCTGGCGCCCTCACCACACCAGAGCTGAGCAGACGGGCGCGCCGCCCAACATTTTCACAGGCTGCGCGTCCGTTTGCTGTGCGACTGCAGCGTGGCCCGGGCTGGCTTGGCGGCGTACCGACATATCCGGCAGCGGCCGGGGCTGGCGGCTGATCGCGTGCGCACCGGCAAGGGTTGGTCGTGTGCCGCTCCACCGGCCAACGACAGCGCCCACTGCTCGCGACCATCTCTGCATCAGTCGCCGTTGCCGACCTCTCGTGCGAGTCCGCCCGGGTCCGCCCCATCCGCTACCGGGCTGCGATCCTCCTGCGCTGAAAGCCGCCGAGCTTGCCTCCGTGCGAAGCTTCACGGCCAACCAGTCACAATGACGCATGCCCTCCCGGAGTCTCGGCTGCCTGCCGCTGCCGGGCATCGTGTCTGCCAGCTGCCATATGTAATATACCAAATCCTCCGCCCCCGGCCCACCAACTACTTAGCTGTACGAGGCGCCTCGAGCTGCGTTTTCCTCCCCTCTTCCCATCCTGCGCCCTTGTGCCTGCTGTCGCGTGCCTTTATCTCCGAGTGCCTGTGCCTGCGCCTGCCCTATCAGCAACAGATATCGCCCACGCGACACAGCCTGTGGCCAATCCTAGCATACTACCCACATCCGCCCTCTGCTCGCCGTCTTCCTATCCCCTCGACATTCTACGCCTGAAATCATGGGCGCGGGCGCCTTTATCGAGCCGCTCGTCGTGGTCAGCCTGCTGTTCGGCGGCACCTGGCTGAACCGCAACTCCGACTATCGCCTCTTCGCCTCCTCGCGGTCGCACCGGCACGCCAGCCATGTGCGCAGCGGCTCGCCAGACAGCCTCGAGTCGGGCATGCAGAGTCCCACAGACGCCGATGGCCTCCTCTCCCCCCGCGCCAGCTCGCCCTCGTTGCTTTCCGCCGACACGGAGCCCAAGTGGAGGAAACGTGAACTGCGGCTGCTGGGCTTCCGCACCAGAGTGACCTCGCCAAACACGCGCGTCTTCCGGGATCGTTTCCTAAGCCGGTTACTGCAAAAGTTCCCGTTCCTGGTTGAGGCTTGGTACTGGGCCCTGATCTACTGGGTGCGCTCCTCTCTTCCCCACATTCTTACGCGTACCACTAACACCTCGCAGGTCTACCAACTGGGTCGCGCCTTCACGGCCCTGACGCTGGTCGAGGATACCGTCAATGTCGCCCGCAAGCATGCCCTACAACTCATCCACATCGAGCAGAAGCTGCACATCTTCTGGGAGCTGGACGTGCAGCATTTCTTCCTGCAGTATCCTACCGTCATGACCTGGATTAACCGCATCTACTCCTTTATCCACATTCCTGGCACCATCCTCTTCCTCGTCTGGCTCTACTACTTCACCACCACCCGTAACCGCCTGACGGAGCGCCAGCCCGGCAAGCCCGCCGGCAGCATCGAGGGCAGCCCTGCCGGCCCCGCCCTCTACGAAGCTAGGAGACGCACCATGGCCGTGTGCAACCTTATCGCCTTTGTCGTCTTCACGCTGTGGCCGTGCATGCCGCCGCGTCTGCTCAGCGACAAGAACGTGAAAGGCCCTGTCGGCGACGAGGCCCGCAAGTTCGGCTTCGTCGACACCGTTCACGGCGAGGGCGGTGAGAGCAGCGTCTGGACGCAAAATAAGTTCTGCAACCAATACGGTAAGCACAAAGAAAAACTATAACACTCGCCCGTTTGGGCGAGTACCTTTCTTGCGCGAGTCATTGACTAACATCTTGGCGTTCTTGCCTTTTTCGTGCACAGCCGCCATGCCTTCCCTGCATTTCGGCTACTCGCTGCTCATCGGCCTGACCATCCTCACCATCCCGCTGCCGCCCCAGCACCGCCGCTCGCTCTCCATCCGCCTGACCAACAGCCTGCGCCTGCGCCTGCCGAGCCCACGCCGCGTGCTGTGCGTCGCCGTCGGCGTCGCCTACCCGCTGACCATCCTCATCGCCATCGTCGCCACCGCCAACCACTTCATCCTCGACGCCGTCGCCGGTGCCATCGTGTGTGGCTTGGCTTGGACTGGCAACGCGGTTCTGCTGAACCTGTTGGCCGTGGAGGATTACTTTTTGTGGTGCGTGCGCATCCACAAGCCCGAGAACAGAACGACGGCTTGGATGGAGGGAGAGGGCGACGAGTGGATTGTTGGAAAGGGCGTGTTGCCGTGAAGAGGAGAATAAAGAAAGGAGAACAAAGAAACTAAGAAGAAGGACCGGAGACGCGACCGTCCTCAAGGACTGCTTGCACCGCATATCCTTGGAAACTCCAATTATTTGGATATAATGACGAGGCTGCTATGACTGCCCTTGATTAATGACATTATGGTACAGGCGAGATTCTGCTGTTGAGATACAGGCTTTCTGGATTTGGATAGATGATGTAGCGCATTGCTACATTCTTTGTAGTCTAGCGCTATATTTCTTTTTTCCCCTCTCTAATTGGCCTTCTATTTCTTCCCGCCCATTATATGGTTCAGGGAAGCTGGCTTTTCCAATCCGCTCAGACGAATATTCGAAGACAGGGTGAGAAGAAAGTGGCGTGTTTCATTTTCTTTTTTCTTGTTCCTTCGCTTGTTTCCGAAGTTTGTGCTTTTGTCTCCGGCATCGATACCCCCGGGATTCTGGCTGTTTGCCCACTCGTTCAATCTGCTTTGTGGCACATGTAAGCTGTAGTGGGTGGTGATGAGCGACAGGGATGGTCATGTTTCTTTTGTTGAAATGATCTTCAGGGTCCGAAATCTAGCATGATGGATCGACATCGATGATCATACCTGATGAGGAGGTGGGAAGATCGACAGGGTGGGTGGAAGGTAGTAGCAGCATGACAGCTGATTGCTCATCTATCGAACGCTCCACAACTGTTCTGCCAGTAGTGGATGACTATTCAGTGTTTGCCGTCTTGGTGGCTTTTGATATGAATTTCAAGTCATGATGCATGTTCCCTTGCGTGGAGTTGGTCTCATCGAGGCCTCTATGCTCTTCTCCTGCTGGAGATGGCTTGAAACGTGATTCTGATAAATTTATACTATGGTAACTCCCACGCTCGCCTTTCCTCAGACAATGACTCCGGAACGCCTGGACTTGGGCCGATGGAAGATCTCAGGTCACCGCCCCCAATAAGTTCTCAGCTGCTCGCCAGCCTTGAGGTACGGCCAAGTAAGATGCGCTTCGGATTTCTCGATGATGCGGAGTAACTCTTCTTGCTCCTCTCTATCAGTGAACCGGTCGCCACCTGATTAAATCCAAACGAGCGTCAGCAAAATTTTGCCGTGTGGCTCAATTCTCCACCATTACCACCACCGAAGAAGCAAGAAGAGACTCGACGAGGAAAGAGGAGACGTCGAACGGGGAATAGGGGCTTTTGCGTACACATGGCGATGACCATTCCCGTGACTGAAGCTGCGGGTTGGCAGTTTGGATGCGAGACGGCGACTCCGCACATCCTCCGCACGTAGCCGCGGACTTTGCCGTCGACGCGCTGGGTCGCTTTCGCGCGGTCGAGGCCGAGGGTGGGGAGCGAGGGGTCGTGCACGAGGAGGAGGATGCGGCAGACGTCGGAGTAGAGCTGGGCGCCGACTACATGTGTTGTCAGGGCAAGTTAGTTTGTCTGTATCTGGAAGAGTGTAGGAAAAGGGGGAAGACGAAGAGAGAGAGCTGGAAGCAAAAAGCAAGGGAGAAATTCTCCAATCCCGAGAGAAAAAAAAAATAAAAAAAGACGAATGAAATCCCTGTTGTCCTCCATACTCACTATGACAATCATTCGCGAACCATATCCTCGGAAAGAACCGCGGCGGCTGCTGCTGCTGCTGCCCTTCTCCTTTCCCTCCTCCTCCTCCCCCTCCACACCCGTTGCAAGCAACCCCACCACCACCTCCTCCCTCCCCCACACCACCGCCCCCCACAGACGACGATGGCGTCGTCGTCGCCGACGTCAGAGACGAAGCCGTTGCCGCGCGCTCGTACCGCACCGGCCGGAAGCTCGGCGGCTTCGCCCGCTCCCACGCCGCCAGCCGCGCGTGCAGCCGCCGCCACGTCTCGATGCTCATCCGCCCGCTGCCGTGGCACGCGGTCAGCACGTCGGCCGTGAGCGTGATGACGTGGGCGGCGTGGGTGTAGTCGTCGTCGACGACGACAGGGTGTTGGCCGTTGTTGTTGGTTTCGGACGCCTCGTGGAGACGGCGGTTCTCGACGTCGTTGCTGTTGGATTGGCGGCGGTCGTATGAGGAAGAGGCTATACCGGGCAGCAGGTGGTGGTGGTGATAGTGGTGGTCGTCTGCGAGCGGAGACGGCGGCGGCGGCGTGCGGGTTAGGAAGGAGATGAAGATGTCTTGCCGCAATGTTACGAGTAGGGAGACGGCGCGGAGACTGGAGTCCGTAACGGATATCGGTTGGTGGTCTTGCTGGTTTTGTGCGTAGAGGAGGAGGATGCGTGTGTCAAGGATATGGCCGCGGCGGGCTTGGTGCCGACCGTCATCATGGTCTGGGAGCAAAGTATCAGCCGCATGAAATGGTGGTTTTAATAGCCTTTATAACACGGGAAGACATCTATCGAATGCGGGGAAGAGAAAGAAGCAGGAGATGAGGTTGCTTCTCTCTCTTCAACTTTTTTTTTGTTTTGTGAAAAGGGGAGACATACCAGTCATTTCATCAAGCAGACGTAGAATGGCGGTTGCTGCAAATAGTGTTGAGTCTGGGAGCGAGCGTTCATGATTGAGGGCTGGGATTAAAATTTGAAGGCATTTTCGCTGATATCTGTCACAGGCTAGGGGGTCGAACTCTCCCTTAAGACTAAGATGCTTGGCAGACACGGCGAAAATAGCGTTGAGGAGCGTCTCACACGTCGAGGAAGCTTGCACGACGGTTGTGGCGAAGTGGCAGTCTTTGCTGCAAAAGTCGAACTGGAGTAATATGTGGTCCACGTTAGCCTGGCATTTGAAGAAAATGATTTGAGCGGAATACCCAGTGTGCAAGATCAGTAACAAAATACCGCAAAAGTATTGCTTCATCGCTGCTCATCAAGGGCCAGAGCCCAGGAGAGGGAGAGGGAGAGTCCAAATGAAGCTCATCGTAGGCGGCAGGAGAAAAGTCTTCTGCATAGTTGCGATGGCCTTCGCTGTACGGTGATGTTTCTGGCCATTGAGGGGCATCCAAGTACTCATTGGGAGAAATTGCATCAGCATGAATTTCGGGGAGATTGTTCAAAGTTTGTCCAGTATGCGATGGAGAAAGGTGATTGGGACCACTTTCTGTAGCGGGAAATAGCTGAGTCGGCAGTGAGTTATCTATATTTTCCAAGGTTGCCTCTTGAAGGTCTGATGTTCTCTGAGCGGGCAAGAGGTGCTCAGGTGTACGGCGCGAAGAGTCGGGGCGGTCAACCTGATCCAGTGCCTCAGGTTCAGGCAGGACCGCTTCTTGATCATCGCAGAACTCATCAGAACCTCCTGAGTCGTTATCGAGTAAAAACGTATCGTCACCATCTTCTAGAAATAAGACTGCTTATGATGTCAGCACTCGAGTGGATGAAATTGCTCGTAAATGAACGTTTTTTTAGGAACTCTCATCATATACAGCCATTTCACGTGTCGAGCGCTGCATAACTTACGTTTGGAAGGGATGGCCACCCAGGGCTGATTATTGAATTTCAGCTTTTTCCGCCGCTTTTCGGCATCAGATGAGTGAGCAGTCGGATTGTGGTCGTGGCGAAAAGGGCATCCGTGAATTGTCGTGGTGCACACCCATCTATTCTCAATACATGGAGTGCACTCCGGTCTTTTGCCATCGCCTACGAAAATCAGCCCACTATCTTACAGAACAGCGCTCTGGTACGACTTACACTTGACATGTCTGCGGCGGCATTCGTCACTGTGGAGAGCAAACGTCAGTGCAAGACGATGATAAGTAATTGGGCCAACAGACCAAGCTCTTCGATGGCCCAAGCGTCTCTTCATCCCAGAAACGCAGGCAAGCAAGTTGCACAGCAATGGATGCAGAGAAATTCTCAGGGAGACGGCGGGGTGTTAGGGCAATCGTCTCCGGGGTTAGTCAGCGGAATTGTTCGCCATTTCGGCGGCTGGCCCACGTCATGTCCCCACACGACTCAGCCGTCGGCCAATGCGGGGAAAGCTAGACCACCGGCGCACGGAAAACCCTGCTGAATCTGTCGTTGCTGTTAAACCAACTCCACCTCATGCCTTTGGGAAAGGGCCGCCACTCACCGAACTCGTAGAAGACTAAGGGGTCCGCGATATGGGGCCCCGCAACACTTGGTTGCCCAGCCGCCGTTCTCTAGCTTTTACTTACGCGGACTTTTTGAATTTGCTCTTCATGATTGGTGGCTTGGCCATACAGCACGGTGCTACATGTGGAGCAGCTGGTTGAAGAGCTCATGGCCATCGAGGGGTAGACATTAGTATGCAGGCACCATCGTGATTCTTTGATTCGCCCCTCCCAAGACTAAAGCAGTATGCCTTTCCGTTGACGAAGAGGACGCAGCAAGGTATAAGAAGTGGCTGCAGACCACCATGTACCCCAGTCGCGCCTTGTCTATTCCTGTCTTTTAATGATACCAGCCCTTGCGCTCTATCGCCCATTTAAGCAGGGAGAAACACCAACAGCCAAACCACAACCCGACTTGGAGCACCACCAGAAACAATGTCGCAGACCGCAACGATTGCTCCTACTACTACGGCGCCTGTCGCTCCTGCGTGGCCGGGCGTCGACCTCAAAGTGAACGACGGACCGCTGCCCGCGTCGGAAGTGTTGCCCCTGCAACCGTCGTACCCCAGCGAGCCTCTGTCGGTGCTGCGCGAGCGCTACGAGCGCGACGGCGTGCTGTTCCTGAAGGGGCTGCTGCCGCGGGACGACGTGCTGCGCTGCCGCGAGGCCTACTTCAACTACCTCTCGCCGACGGGAGTGCTGGCACCGGGCAGCGCGGCCGTCGACGGCATCTTCGACGCGACCAAGGACCGCAACATGTACCCAGGCGTCGGCGCCGCAACCAACCCGGGCAAGAAGACGGACGACACTGCCGCGACCTTCGTCGACCTGGCCATCAAGGCGCACACGGAGCCGTGGTACGCGGAGGACCTGTGCAAGCACCCCGTGCTGCTGGACTTCATCAAGAAATTCAGCGGATGGGGCGAGGATACGCTCGCGCTGCGGAGGACGCTGCTGCGGAACAATACCCCTGGCAACAAGGCCATCGGCGTGCACTACGACCAGATCTTCCTGCGGTACGGCGAGCCGACGGCCATCACGGGTTGGGTGCCTATCGGTGACGTGAGCCTGGAGGGTGGAGGTCTGATTTACATGGAAGATGGTATGGTGGCTATCATGTTGGGAGTGCTGGAATGCAGGGGGCTAACGATATCGGATCAACAGGAGACAAAATCGGCCAGCAGATCGAGAACGAGTTCACCGAACGGGCGAAGAAGGCAGGTTTGACCGATGACGAAGCGAAGAACGGGTTCAACCGGAATATGATGACGACGGGTTGGCTGGGCGATGGACCACTTGAGTTCGGACGCGAGTATGGGAAGCGGTGGTACGTCTCGGCCTACGAGGCTGGAGACGTGACTCTGCACAAGCCGCACATGGTTGGTTTGAGCTCATCTGATGAGTCTCGTATTTGTGGCTAACATTTCGGTAGATTCATGCGTCGACCATCAACGAAGATCCGCTGAACAGAATTCGACTGGCAACCGATCTTCGGTGGGTGAACTCGGCTCGGGAACACGACAAGGTGGGTGTCACATGAAGCCGAGCTCTTTTCTCCCTGATTCTGACCAGACTTGCAGAGGTGGATGGAGCACTACCGGCCTGATGATGGACTCTGAGTGGGAAGCTTGCATGGCCGGAGTCGTTTTGTCCAATGGTAGCGGTTGTGTACGAAATCAATAACACAGAGCATGACAATGCGTCGTGATAGAAAGAAACTTGTGGATATGTCTCAGCTGTCTCTTGTACTGCCTATTACGCATAACATAGTGACCAATCAGCAGAGATTTGAAATGTCCGTTTTCGGGAAGTTGGAAGTGAGGCGGGTGGCGGAGTAGCGTGATTGGCTTGGAGGGGTTCGGATGACTTGGGTGACCACGCACCCGATTGAGCACCGAGTCGAGGGAAATGGCGTGGCATTTCATTTAAAGGTGGAGTTGCTGGGTCATGACTTTAACGTTACAAATGGGATCTCGGCCGGGTGGGAGAGCGGTGGTCGTGTTGACCCGTGTAAGCGGTTACGTGCGATAGCGTTCCCAATATACTGAAGGTGATCGCCAAGTTGGGGGCGCGCGCGGACAGACGACGTTGGACGATCGTTGCCGGAAACGGCCAGTACAGTTACTTGATCGAGAAACAAGTCCGACTGCGCCTAAAGATGCCGCATACCCAGACTGAGCACGCTCCGCCCCCGGTCCACCCAATGCTATCGACTCGCTTCGGGCCGTGTACGCGTATTGGACTGGTATCAAGCCTCCTGCAATGAATTCTAATCATCCTTTCAGGGGAGCGCGGCGGAGGCGGGCGCGGAGATCTGGCTTGCCCGACGCCCCACGGGTCGAGCTGAAGGCGCGGACCGCAGCCATGGGTGTAGGTTGCCTAGAGCAAAGTGGAGTTCTTGGGTGCACGGGGCGAGGTCCTTTTTCGACAGTCGCACTCGTGGCGACTGCGACTTTCATATGAACGAAGAGCGCCCCCACCACACAGACGTGCAGCTTTTTTTCCCGCGCCCAGTTCCTCCTCCGTCGGTGGCGCTCTGTCGAGAATGTCGAGGCACAAGGCGCGCGCGAGCAAGTCCGACTTCAACATTGTGCCGTACCGGTGCAGCCCCGCGCCGCATGCGCGCCAGGGAGCTCCCGACGCCCAAGCCTCGTCGCGTTTCCTCTTCGTCGAGGTCCATGGCCCCCACCGCAAGCACCGCCAGGCCCTGCGCTACGACCGCTCCACCCAGGAGCTGAAGAGCCATGTCATGCTGGTCACCAGCGAGCGGAAGCGCAAGACGCGCGCAAAGCACGACGACGGCGCCAGCGACGATCTGCCCGAGCTGCAAGTCCTGGCGCGCCTGCCCCCGGATTGTCGAACCGGCCTCACCTCGGACATCGACACGCACCTTATTGATCCTTTCGATGTGCTCCCCGTCCAGGGCAGCCCGCGGCTGCACGAAGCCATGAGATACTGTGCGCGACTGTTGCAAGCCCGCCCGCCGTGCTGAGTGCTGATGCCGTCCAGTCTTCGAGAACTACCCCGGCCCCACGCCCATGACCGACGGTGAGTCGTTTGCTCCTCTGCTCTTTCTTGTGCTGATGGCATCAGACATATTCGTCTGCGACCGCAACCGCTACAAGCGGGAGCGCGTGCAGTGGGAGAACACCGAGTACCATCTCTGCTACGGCGAGCCCGCCGGCTACTACAACACGCTCTTCGTCTACGAGATCCTGCAGAACCTCGCCCGCAACACCGACTGCCTCACCGTCACGGCCAACAAGTACCTGACCTGGACCATCCGAGCCGTGCGCGAGGGCATGCCCAAGAAGGGCGAAGACAAGCCCATCACCGACTCGTTCGTCGCCACCGTCGGCGGCTTGAGCGTCGTTGAAGTGAGTCCTGCCAGCGTCAGATGAGAGGCGACCAATGTTGACGTATGTGGAAAAGGTCTTCATCGGCCACTGGGCCGAAGCCGAGAGCCACAGAGAGGGCATGCTGGCCCTCGTCGCCGCCCGCGGCGGCATCTTTACCTTCTCCCACCTGGCCCAACGCACCATCAAGTGGATCGAGTACCTCTGCTGCGCTGCCAATGCTACGGCCCCGACGCTGCCGCCGCTGCCGCTCCTGCCGCTCCCCGCCGAGCTCGATGCCATGGCCTCCGTTGCTCACCAACGCTCAATGACGCTGCTCCCGCGCGAGTTCAGCGAGGAGGAAGACGATGACGACGAAATCGTCGACTCGGCCGACGATTACTACTACTACGGCGAGATCTCGACCATCGTACGCGAACTGCACATAGTCAGCTTTGGCAGCATGCTTTTCCGCGGCCGGCCGGTGGCCACGGTCATCGACGACGTCGAGCACCGGTTGCTGGAGGAGCTGGTGCGGCGACAGAAGCTGCACCAGCTGCATCAGCATCAGCGGCGGCACTCTTCGCCGCACTCGCCCGCTTCGGTCGCCGCAATTGGGGTGCTCAGCTTTGAGACGGTGTACGATGCGGTGCTGCTGGCGGCGCATGTGTATATCTGGGCGGCGCTGAATCCGGGTCCCAAGGAGATGGCGGCCAATTCCGTCTTCAGCGCGCGGCTGCGCGATCTGCTCGACGTGTCAGACCTCGTCGAAAGGTGGCCAGGTGAGACGACGTCATCGATGGAGAGCCTGCTGTGGGTCCTGTTCATGGGATGGGGCGTTTCGGCGCAGCAGAGGGGCGATGTCAAGGGCGCTATGGGAATGGCCATGTGGTATGCGGCGCGCATCTTTGAGACGATGGAGGCGATGGGGATGCGGGGAGAAGAGGAGCTGAGCGAGACATTGAAGGCGTTTCCTTGGGTTGATGACTTTTGCCGCGGGCCGTGCGGGGTTTTATGGAATATGTACGTACACAGGGACACTTTCGAGGATCAATATCAAAGTTAGGCTTTCGTGGTTTATATGCAGTGAGTACCTGGAAATCGGAAGTGCTGTTAGCCGATGTTCGTCGGGTCGGACGACAGAAAGTGCACGGCTCTGTGGAGACGTCAACCCGGCCGTTTCGGCGCCGAACTTTCCCACATTGGTACGCAGCCGGGTATCGCTACATATCAGGGAACAGAGAGCGGCAAAACAGCGGGCACACTTGCGCTTTCGGAGCCTGTCGGCAATAGCACCGAACGACAAAAGCCGCGGGGCCCCACCAAGGCCTCCTCCCGCGCTATGACTACCGGACGCTGATCCCCCGGCTGGAGACGATGCGCCTCAATGCTTATCCGCTCTTCGTCGTCTTGATGGGCTTGTCGTGGGTCCGTGGCTCTCTGGAGGCGCCTTGGCGGCTCGAGCTGATTCCGCACCGTGTCTTGTTTGCCTGGTCCTGGACTTATGGTTCATCAATGCGGGAATAACGCCCGTCTCTATGCGTCCCTGTTTTGCGGAGTCGGCAAGCCGACTACGAGCCGAGATCAGCATGCAAACTTCCGTTCTTCCCCACATAAGAATCCCCAGTGACGCCATGGGGTGCCATTAGGCGGTGCGATTTGACCCGAGTGCACTGGTATAAAGCAAACTGTTATCCCGACGCCTCGTATGCAGAAGCAGGCCGCTCCTCTCGCTGTCCATGATGCTCCGCAATTCGCTTGTCGCGGCACTTTGTGTGCCTGCCTTTGTTTTCGCCCAGGACACTTCCCCTGACAACACCTGCGTCGTCCAGCCAGCTCCCAACGGCACCGACTCGGCCCCGGCAATCATTCAGGCGTTCCACAAGTGCGGTCACAACGATGCCGCCAACCGCGGCAAGGTCGTGTTCCTGAACGAGACTTACACGGTCAAGTCCGTCATGAACACGACCGGCCTGAGCAACGTCGATGTTGACATCCAGGGAACCCTTCTCTGGGATACGAACATCCCCTACTGGCTCAACGCTTCTCTCCCTGTCGGCTACCAGAACCAGTCTAGCGCCTGGCTCTTTGGTGGAGAGAACCTGCGGTGGACTGGCAACGGATACGGCACCCTTGACGGCAACGGCCAGGTCTGGTATGACTTCGTCAACGGCACGAACAACTACAAGGGCCGCCCGCATGCCATCACCATCACCGGTACGAAGGACAGCGTCTTTGAGGCTACTCGTTTTGTCCAGAGCCAGATGTGGTGAGTAACCGCACCAACCCTCTTGCAAACAAATAACTAAGAGAACAGGACAATGACCATCATTCACTCGGAGAATATCCTCCTGGAGGATATTTATATCAACAGCACCGACATCAAGCAGGCTGTCGGCTTCGACTTCTCCTCCCTGAACGTGAGTCTTCTATCCGCGAATCCAATTGCATGAATACTGACAAAAAAAAAAATAGACGGATGGTGCCGACACTGTCTACGCCAACAACATCACCTTCCGCAGGTGGATCGTCGACAACGGCGATGACTCGATCTCCACGAAGGCCAACAGCACCAACATCCTGATCGAGGACTGCGAGTTCCACACCGGTCTCGGCGTTGCCATCGGTAGCATTGGCCAATACGGTATGCCCATATCCATGCACACCGTCTTCCCCTCCAAACACCCACTGACCGCACATCCTTTCCAGACGGCGTCTACGAGACCATCGAGAACGTCACCGCGCGCAACATCATCATCAACAACATGCGCTACGGCGTGTACGTCAAGACGTGGACGGGCAACTCGACGGGCTACCCGCCCAACGGCGGCGGCGGCGGCCTCGGCTACGCCGCCAACATGACGTTCGAGAACTTCGAGCTGCGCAACGCCTCGGGCATCATGGCCGTGACGCAGTGCACCAGCTACAACGGCGCCACCGGCGGCTGCGACACGAGCGAGTTCAACATCCGCGACATGGTCATGCGTAACTGGACCGGTACTACTACTAGCGACGTCGTTGCTGCTATTCAGTGCAGCGCGAAGAGCCCCTGCACCGGCATCACCATCGAGGGTATTGACTTGCTCGACACCGTCAACTCGACCGCCCCGGCCAACTGGCTGTGCTCCAACGTCGAGGGCCCCATCGGCTTCAACTGCACCGGCGAGCCGTGGGAGGAGAACAACAGGTAGATTAGTGTCATCAAAATAGCGGAGACGCCTCGGAATGACGAGGCTAAAAAGTAAAACTTAATGGTAAATGAAAATATTTTTGAAACATGCTGCAAACATTGTTTAATCATTGAGATTCATCAATTATGGCCGTTACATACATAATGCTGAGAGAAATGGGGAAAGAAATAAGAATGACAACCCTGAGAAAGTGCCATCTCGCTACGCCAATAAAATCCAAATATTACACAAATACTGACACACCAAGCAATGTACACCATACTGAAATATCCACTGGCCCCAAATGCCTAAAAAGACTCGTCGTAAGTTAAAGGGAGAAGTCCATGGGAGGAAATGAAAAGACGCCATCTCCTCCATAGTCAGTCGCCGGTAAAAGGTCATACTGTTGCTCAAGCAGATCATCCAGTGGCAGGTTATCTGGATGGGACGGAAGGAACTCTGAAGAATTTGGCATGGCATTCCATTCAAACAAAGGCATCCCTGACCCGTGCCCGTGGTCTGTAGGTGTAGTGCCCGAGTGGAAGCTTGCAGGCTCTGCTTCAGTGGAGTTGCAAGTCCCGTCTGATGGTGGTTCCTCGTTCGCAGATCCATTCACAGCGGAGGGAAGAGCAGTTCGGCATACAGATGTTGATGATAGACTCTTGGCCTTAGACTTCTGGAATGTGCCGTATTCTTCCAGCAGATGTTTCGGAAGAGAATGTACCAGAGCTGCGACACTGTTCTGCTGTTCTTCATTGAGCATGACCTTTTTTGACAGATCTTGGAGCTTTGCATGGATGACTTCGGACCCATGTTCCTGGACGAAAGCTTGATATTCTCCAAATGAATCTGACTGCAAGTCTTCCTGATACTGGCAGTCTGTATACGGAAGTAACGGTTCATCGAACGAACAACGAAACATACTCACATGGGGATGGTATGTCATTCTCATCAACATTCCCGAATAGGATGCGGTATATCCGCTTCCACTTCTCTTCTTCAGTTTCATTCAAGTATCGTTTCCTGCTCTTGAGAAGTTTTTCTTTCTCAAGAGATATTCCCTCTGACGAAGAATCGCGTATCTGACATCTGACGTTGTCCCGAAGGTGATCCTGCAGGCATTGCCCGTTTTCGAAAACCACGTAGCACCTTGGACATTGACCAGGTGGCAAGAGATGCCGTCGGTATAGATGTTCTCTGAATAGGGTTTCTTTAGTAAGCTTTATGCCTTGCAACTCGAGTACTTAGTGACGGCACTTACTTTAGACGCGAAATACTTGTAAATCCAGGGTGGAAGCAGGAAGCGTGCTTGGTGCGCTTTTGAGGGCAACGCGCGAAATATGGGCACACGAAGGTTACCCCATGGCTAGAACCCAGGGATTGTGGGGACTTCCTGGGTCTTGAACGTGTTTCTTTGCAGCGCATGCTTGCTTATGTGTTCAGTGTCGCTAATTGGTATGAAAGAGACAGAGTTCGTCTCTTGTGAATCTGAGCTATTGGACAGAACAACTTCTGGAGGTTCGTCCGATTGTCTGTGTTATGATCTGGGCACAGCTGTGTTTGGCTGTAGGCAATGTAAGTGCCACGTGAGTCTATCTCTCTCTACGTGGCCCGGGAGCCAGCAATGGGGAGTCATGTAAGTACGCAGTGGCTGAAGAGGTGTGGTAGGATCCTTCCCCGCTCGAAACCGCCTTGTCTTACATGCCAGACGGGGCCGTAAGTGCTCCATAAACTTCCTGCTCCCGCAGATATTACTTAAGCTCCATACTGGAAACCGAGGCGATTTCTGTTTCCGTTGAGGCTTGTTCGTACCATGAAGGGATTCCCCAGATGAGCACACTGTTTTGAGCGACATTGTGAAAAATTTCCGTGCGATGAAGGCGGTCTGAGGTTTATAACGACAAGGCGGGGCATGATTAAAGAAAACTGCCTTCGCAGGTCCAAATGGCGCTGATCAGGACACTAAAACTTGGCTGGATAGCGGTCGCTGCGCGGTGGTATGTTGAATAAGCTGCGGGGAGATGGACTTCAACAACAATTGAGAGAGAACTTTGATGGTGAATGGATAAGGTAGGAGGAGGAGTGGTGGTTGAAGCACAGAAGGTGGGAATGGGGGTGCGGGGGGGCCGTTCATATGGGATCAACTACAAAACCGTTCCTCGCAGTTGCGCAAAACGACAAGGCTGCGCAAAACGACAAGGCTACGCAAAAGTTTGATTTGTTGGCCACGTGGTTACACGGAATGACGAGCTGTGCTGTGCCTCAGATCAGCCTCGCTTATTCCAAGACTTCTTATCCTCCTCTTATTGTCCAATCATGTTGTTGAAACATTCTCGTGTTCTCTGCCGGTCTCACCTACTAATCAGAACAGCTCAGGGGAGGACACACAACAGCAAAAGTGGCCTTCTTGTGCGCCCAACCTGGTTCAAAATAGAAGCGAGTTGGTGGCATCTTACTAAAATAGCATGGAAGGAAGGGATAAATAGTGCGATAGCAACAAACATCTTTGAGATACGTGCTTGCACCTTTCGTTCGGCCTGGAACCATCGCTTTTCCCGAATCGGACGCAATGTATCAAGCTGTCTTGGGACCGGTACGTTAGTCCCAATGTTGCACCTGAGAAGCAGGAAACAACAGCACATTGGGAAGCTGAAGACGAAAGCATATATAAGCTACAGTTTTGGTAAATCCGCTCCATCATGTCTTTGTCGATTAGAGAACAATTGAGCATACAAGAGCATAGAGAAATATCGCCTTTCTAGAACGGGTTATCATGCTACTATGGTTTTACATTTGAAAGCCTTCAAGTTTGCACCCGAGGCGCAGAACGCGTAGCAAGGGGCAGAGAGCGTATGGAAGTAAAACGCGCAGCAAGGGGCAGGCCGCGCATAACGAGTAGAACAAACAGGATATGCCGGTGAAGCAAGACCGACCAGTAAGGCTGATGAATCAATTATAGCAGAGCATGGTCTATCCGTGGGCAGATATCGCTGACTTGAGGTGGGGGATGCCCAACGAGTCGATGTAGTTCAACGAGGGACCGGTAAAGCCTCAACCAATAAACAAAGACATTTCCAGTAAGTGCCAAAGTTAACGCTATCCATTTTTCCAAGGTTCTCCGATGAAGGTCCCATCTCCTCTTAGTAGATAAGTCAACCAATCCCTTGTGAATCATCAATTCACCACGAGAGATTCTCTGTTGGGCCTTTTGCATGCTTCATCAATCCTTCATCGATCTAATTTCAAATTCTTGATCAGTTGAGAATGAAGCTTCTTCCGCTTCTTCTAAGCGTTTTCTTATTGATTGTGGGCATAACAATTTTCACGAGGAGAAACGCGCTATCCCTGTCAGTGACCCAAAACACCTCTTCATCTTTACTCCTTCTCTAATGATCGACACAGGTATTATTCAAAACCGCCGCCACCACCTCCAGAGCAGCCTTCTCCCGAAGAATTGTTGTGCAATCTATCCTCTCGAAACGGCTCCTTGTCGTCGCTCTCAGATATCCGCATCGGAAAATGCTCTGCTCTCTTTGGAAAAAGGAGGCCCATCTATGAACGAGCGGAGCGCACACACCTCATCCACAACAAAATACATGGCTTACGGCCTCTACTTCTGCGTGAGAGACTTGTTGACGACCTGTGGAACAAGCCCGCCTTCATTCTATCGGTCCTACTAGACGAGATGAGGAAGCCGAAAAAAGACAGGTTGCATTGGCTGCTCTGGGTCGATCGGGACACCATTGTCCTGAATCCCTGCGTTCCCGTGCAAGCCTTCCTTCCACCCGAGGAGGAGACCGATGTGCACATGATCGTCACCAAGGACTGGAACGGGCTGAACAATGGCGTTTTCTTGGTGCGCGTGAACCAGTGGAGCATTGAGCTCTTCAGTAATATTCTGGGTTTCCGCTACTATCGGCCAGGCGTTGAGCTTAGATTCACCGAGCAGAGTGCCATGGAAAAATTGCTCGACGAGGACAAGTTCAAGTCGAACACCGTCTATGTACCACAGCGGTGGTTCAATGCATACCAGGGCCACCAGGACGAGACACTACAGCCGCATCAGACGCGGCGTGGTGATTTCCTCGTGCACTTCGCGGGGGTTGGGGAGAGGAGCAAGCAAATGGAATACTGGCTGGACATTGCGGAGAGGCACGCGCCTGACTGGATGCTCGAGTTCTGGCGGACCGGCTATCCGGCTGAAATTGAGGAGTTCTGGACACGTTATGCTAATGAGGAGTAAGATACTAGAGCACGTTTACAGCAATGGTGAATATAAAAAACCGGGTGATTTTTCGAGCTCAGAAAAAATACAGCCAATAAGATGGCATTGGCAACGGAATATGCGGTATAAGAGCGTCTAAAATAGCGAGAGTCCGTCAAGGTACTCTTAAGTACTGTTCTGCTTGATGAATTCACTGTAGAATCATTCATAGCTCTGGTGTATTGCTGACATCCTGCGTGATTTTAAACCGTAGTACTATCGTCGGGTATCGGCTGTGTCGACCGGACTTGGATCCGGCTGAATACCAACGTGTGCGATGACCTTACTCTGTTCATTGACCATCTATGAGCAGAATTAAAGCTTTAAAAGTTCTGGTTATAATCAATATTGTTTTCATGTGCCACTCTGATTATTTTCCTTCATGAGCTGGTCTCACCAAAAATTGATGACATTTTCCTGTCAAGGCGCTTTTCTAAACATGGTATGGTTTTCGTAATCTCGACAGGAATAAGTGGGGTAAGAACTGTCAACTACCGGTATCCATCTCCTGAAAGGTTTTCGACATATCACACCATATGACCTTGGCCCCTGGTCACACGAAAGCGCAACTGCCTGCGAAGGCGGCCCGTCAGCGCCTTGCGGAGACAGCAGATGCCTGCAATACTTGCCGGTTTGTGCCAGGTTCAAAGGACGGTGGGAATGCAAGCTGATAGCCTCTGTAGCAACCGAAGCGTGAAATGCGATAAGAGGAAGCCCGAATGCCAGAAGTGAGTAGCTTCATGCGGTGCTAGTTGCAATCACTGTGCGATAAGCTCTTGAGATGATTTAACTAGGAAGCTACCAACAATAGATGCGTCACAAGCGGCCGCATGTGCCTCGGTTATGCCAACCCTCAAAAACACACGTCGAGAGAGGTCCTTGCCAGCGCTTCGGCATCTCGCCAAATCTTTAGTCTTCCAGCTAACGCCGATGAGCGTCGGGCACTGGATTTCTTCGTATCTTGTGCTGCCATACGTCTGTCTGGATGGTTGGAGGAAAGCTTTTGGAAGCGAACCGTGCTTCAGCTTAGCCAGAGGCAACCCGCAATCCGCCACGCCCTCATCGCAGTTAGCTCGGCCTACGAACAGGCCCAAGCAAATACAGACTCAAGTCAGCCAACGGACAGTGCCTCAATCCTCCGACACTACAACAAGTCCATTCATCATCTCTGCCAACAAAACTTAGGCACTCCGCAGTCTGTGTTGATCTACCTATCAACATGTCTGCTGTTCACATGCCTTGAATTCATTCGTGGAGACAGCAGAGCTGCCATGTCACACGTGGTATCTGGGCTGAATATCCTCCACTCGTTTGAAAACAACTTCGACCATACGCCAAACCACCTCCAACCAGATATACAAATCATTCACGACGATTTGGCACCAATCTTCTGTCGCCTGTCAATCTTCTCAAATATCATAGGGGAAGTGACTCCAACCATCCACTTGAAGAGCACCGACGTAGATGATTTCACCTCCTTTGACTCCCTTTCCGAAGCGCGAGACGGGCTTACTGATCTCATGAACGACGGGATCCGATTTATATGGTCAATAACGCCTATGAAGTACACTGGAATCATATCGACCGCCGAAATTATCCAACAAGTCCGGCTCGAGCTCCGGGCCGCCAAATGGTGGCAACGATTCTCGCTCACGCGCTCGAAATTACGCCACCAAGCCAGCTCCGATGCATCCCAATTCTCCAATCTCGAAGAAGGATTAGCCATCCTCGAAGCGCACTTCTACATGGTACAGAACACTATGGCAGTTCTGACGGCAAGCAACGAGTGCGCCTGGGATCCCCTTTTCCCAGAGTTTGACAAGATCGTCTCCCTCGCGGGCCATATCATCTCCAAACGCAATGAACGCTGCCGTGATCATCCCAACGAAGTATTCACGTTCGAGGCGGAACTTGTGAGCCCTCTGTATATCACCGCGCTCAAATGTCGTCACCCGCGTATCCGACGGCAAGCCATCGTGCTGATGGAGGAACTGTGCAGGCGAGAGGGGATGATTGACTCGAGACGAGCGGGTAGGGTGGCTCGTGCCATCATCAAGATCGAAGAAGCTGGGATGCGCGAGGAGGACGTCGTTCCGCCAACGGAACGGCGGATTCAATTCTTTTTCGAACCGGAGGTTCCATCCAATGTGCCAGAGCGCCCGCCAGCCTACTTCGGGTCTGCGGGGTCAGGACCGTATAGCATTGCCTATAAAAGTTGTGAAGGCATGTTTCTAAAGACTAATCTGGAGGAAACTGGCGCGGGTGAGGCTGTCGATGTACAAAGTCGTAGTGGAGTGCGGGATGATGAGTCGAACGGTTACAAACAGTTCAATATTGCGGCAACACCATACTCTCAACGGCTATAAGAGTATCCAGAATCTTAATATCAGATGGTGTAATTTCTAAATATAGTCGAGAAACAGTTGCAAGGCTAAGAATATTATGGATCCAGGTGTTCTAATTCATCAGCTGTTAGCATCAAAATGCCTCATGCAACACTCGCGCGATAACCCCGAATCTATTATCAATCATCTGTGCTAAGCCCGAAGCTTTATACTGTCAGATGCTTGAGAAGCTTACTGTGTCGTACAACAGAGCTAGATTGGTCCAAAATTCTCCGGCAATGACGTCAGCCTGGCCGTCTTTCTCCAGACCGTCATATTTGAAGATCGCTCTGCTACAGTAATCCAAATATGAATTTAAGGGCCCATATCTCGAGTTCTTATGACCAAGGCTGGTGGGCCTTGTCTGCCAAGGACAATTGGAGCATATCGGTGCACACGTAAAAGTCCGGCGAAATGCCCGAGAAGGTGCTGGGTACCCCCCCAGACTTTTACCGGGTTGCGAATATTGAACTTCGCGGGACGAGAAGCCAGATCTAGCCGAGTGGAGGAGTCACCCCATAAGTGGGGGCTGTAGCCGCACACTGGGGCCCCGCCTACCTTTGTGGAGCTGCGGCCCGCACCGCCGAGCCATCGTGTCTTGTCAATTCCACAAGACTGCAGGATAAGAGGATTCAGCGGACGAGGGCTGCGATCTAAAATGACCACGCAAGCAATTGGCATACTTGAAGGATTCTTTTTCGCAAGGATGATATAGAATTGCCACCCGTGTATGCAGGTTTTTCTTGTCTATACCATTACCTCCAGACACTTGGCAGACAAGAAGGGAAGATGTTCCGCGGACCCCACTACGCCGCTATATTGGGGATGGCGGACATACGTCCTACTCCTCCCGTTGAGATCCGGCGCTAAGGCAGGCTCCAGAGGTCCAGCCAAAGAATGGATTATCGCCCTATACGGTTTACAGTAATGAGAGTGAGGTCAGCGTTGGTTAGGTCTGTAGCTTACTGAAACAGATATGCAAGTAAGTGCATATGAGTGTCATCCCCTCGGTCACTAGCCCGCTCTATAGTACCCTTATAGGTTTAGTGTCTTTTCGGACAGAGTTTATAGGAAGGAATCTTCATTAGTCACCCATATCTAAATCAGTTGAAAGCTTATGACAAAATACCATCATACGATAGTAGATGTGCCGTCTGACGTATTTGTGCAAAGTGGGAACAGAGGATTTGGTTGTATATTTCGAGTATAAATCCGAAGTTTGCCCCGCACGCTTTCACTGCACGGCAAGCACACTTTCCCTTTCCAACGCTACGATTCCCAGCACGAGTCAGAAACACACATCCGCACGGAATGGCGTCTGTGATAGAGCTCGATGCACTAATCGTAGGTGCAGGGTTCGGCGGCGTGTGGCAGCTGTTCCGGTTGCGCGAGGAGGGCCACTCGGTGCGGCTGGTCGAGAGCGGAACCGACTTCGGCGGCGTTTGGCACTGGAACCGGTATCCGGGCGCTCGAGTCGACAGCAGCGTCCCACTCTACGAGTTCTCTCAGCCAGAGGAGCTGTGGAAGGGTTGGTCGTGGCACAATCGTTTCCCCGGCTGGCGCCAGCTGCAGGCCTACTTCGCCTACGTCGCCGACAAGCTAGACCTACGCCGCGACACGCAGTTCGAGACCACGGTAACGTCGGCGATGTTTGACGATGAAGAGAACCGATGGACGGTCAAGACGCAGAAGGAGGGCGAGGTGTTCAAGGTCAAGTTTCTCCTGCTGAACGTGGGCTTCGCCGCAAAGCGGTATATCCCCGACTTCAAGGGGCTGGACAGCTTCAAAGGCGTGTGGCTACACCCATCCTACTGGCCCAAGGAAGGCATCGACCTTGCCGGAAAGCGCGTCGCCATCATCGGCACGGGGGCGACGGGGGTGCAGCTGACGCAAGAGCTCAGCAAGACGGCCGGCCACCTCACTGTCTTCCAGCGCACGCCGAACCTCGCCCTCCCCATGGGCCAGAAGCACTTCCCGAGCCCCGAGGAGGGACAGGAGCTCCCCAAAAGCGACTATCCGGCCCTCTACGCCCAACGCACCCGCACCTTCACCGGCTTCGACTTCGACTTTCTGCCGCGCCTGACCTTCGACGACTGCGCCTCGGAGCGCCGCCGCACGTACGAGGACCTGTGGACCAAGGGCGACTTCCAGTACTGGATCGGGGCCTACCCGGACCTGCTGACCGACCCGGCCGCCAACCGCGAGGCCTACGCCTTCTGGCGTGACAAGACGCGCGCCCGCATCCAAGACCCGGCCGTGCGCGAGAAGCTGGCGCCCATGGTGCAGCCGCACGCCTTCGGCTGCAAGCGCATCTCGCTCGAGGACGGCTTCTTCGAGGTCTTCAACGACACGGACCGCGTGAGCCTCGTCGACCTCAACGACGCCCCTATTGAGGAGGTCACGCCCAATGGTATTCGCACTGCAGACGGCGAGGAGCGGCCCTTCGATTGCATCATCCTCGCCACCGGCTACGACGCCCTGTCCGGCGGCATCATGCAGATCGACATCCGCCGGACCGGCGCTGCGGGCCCCCAGGAGAGCGTCAAGGAGAAGTGGGAGCGCGACGGCGTGAGCACCTATCTCGGAATGTCCGCCGCGGGTTTCCCGAACATGTTCTTTACTTACGGCCCTCATGCTCCGACGGCATTCTGCAACGGCCCCACGTGCGCAGAGTTGCAGGGCAATTGGATCGCTGGCGTCATGCGCTATATGAGGGGCCGGGGCTTGGAGAGGATCGATCCGAAGCCCGAGAGCGAGAGTGAGTGGGTGCAGCTGGTCAATGACATTGCGTCAAAGACGCTGTTGCCGGAAACTAAGAGCGTAAGTGAAGCTTCCCGTAGCATTATTCGAGTCTTTGCTGACTTTGACTGAAGTGGTACATGGGTGATAATATTCCGGGGAAGAAGAGACAGCCATTGCTGTATCTTGGTGGCGTGCAGACGTACTACACGCGGCTGAGGGACTGTGCTGCAGCGGGATATTCTGGATTTGAGCTGAAGTGATGGGTTCGATGACGCAAACTTCTTGTTGTACCGCGGCTGCACCTCTTGTTGTATTAGACGACCCCGCTTCGGGTCACCGAACCTACATTCTTTAACAATGGAATGCATGTGAACCCAGTCAAAGCAGGAAAGGGGGCAGCGGACACGTACTCATAAGCCGAAGAGGCAATGCTTGGTTGAATAGAATATCCGTCTCGATTCCATAGTGCTGCAGCTTCACGCAGCACATATCGCTCTCTACTAACCAACATAACCGACCTCTTTCTACGGGGTATCAAACAACTACAGCATTGTAGGCAACCGTTCCACGACTTTCGTCTCGTGGCTCTCTTGACTCGTCAGATCTTGCTAATCTTCTCCTTTCTTCCAAACCCAAATCATTATTAACCTTTCCTCCTTGCAACTCCTCTTCGTCTAATAATTTTTAGGTTCCCTCGCAGATGCACATTGGCAGCATCTTTTCCATTATCCCCCCTCCAAACGGCAATTCTCCCTTCATGCGATCCGTGCGGGTGTTGGTACAGTAAAGCAGGACTGTTGTTACTGATTACCCCGCATTGGCAGCAGTACTTGAGCTCCTGTGTAGCTCTTCCAGCCTGGAACAGTCTTTCAATCGTCGTCGTCGTAGTCAGCGCCGACATCTGCCCAGCCATAGTTCCACCTCCTACCACCAGCCTCGCCACCGACCCTGAGGTCTCTGGCAACCTCACGGTTCTCACGCCAGCACCTCGCCGTGTAGTCATCGCCGATGGTGATAAGCTCGCCTTCACTCGTCCAAGTCAGGCCCGTAACCTCCTTCTGGTGACCCCGCACAAGCGGCGTACCACGATTATAGATGGGAATCGTGTCGTTCATACGACCGTGGAAGGAACACATGCTGCGACGAAGGATCGAGCGAGGTCCGGCAACCGTAGAGTCGGACGTGGATGGACGTGACGAAGATGGCGCAATGGTACGCTTGAGCATTGTCTCGTCAGTTGGGAACAAGATTGGGGAACCATCGCTCGAGCCCACGGCCAGCATTTCCTCCTTATCCCCCTTGGCTTTGCGGACTGAAGTCTTGACCCAGAAGCTGGTCGCATGGAGCCTGGGATGTCTGAAGCCATAGAGCGGTCCTAAACCTTCCTTGTCGGGGCTGGCAAACTTCCTCTTGTCACTGTTGGTGGCCAAGAGCTCAGGGGCGTGACCCAAGACCAAGTGACTCGTCGAATATGCGTAGATGGTGTTGTCTCTGCTTAGAGCATAGAGGCGACTACCATCACCGTTAAGTGAAAGTGAGTTGATCCCGAAGTGGCGATGTTTGCTGTGAGACTCTGGTTGACGGGTAGTAGCGATGGGAACTGCGCGACGGTTATACCTGCCGCGAATATCCCAGAGCTTCACCGCTGTAGAGGCTTCAGAGGCGGTAAGCAGGAGGTGTTCGCGGCCTGGTGAATTCAGGAAGGAAATAGCCGTAATGGATACATCGCCACGACGGCCAGGTACTTCACCCTTCGAGGGACCATCCCTGCTATGACATTAGCAACAAGGTAAGCGAAGCTGGAAATACTAGGCAGTTGCTATACCTGTGTGCTGCATTGGCATGCGATGCTACATTACCCACACTATGGCGCTCAGCGTGGGCTCCAGTGATTGAGTTCCAGGGGCCAATGTATAGGCAATTGCTCTCCTGGACGGTTGACTGTCCATCGAAACCAATGAGATTCCTAATAGCGCCGTGAGATCCATTGACCCTGAGATCCCAGATTTGCACACTGCCATCGCGGGCCGAACTGACGACAATATCATCGTTTCCGGGCTGAAATCGGACCTGTTTAACAGACGATTGGTGACCGGTGGAACCACCCAGGACAAAAATGCTTTGCTGAGTCTTGACATCGATGACGTGGCCAGTCTGGTCACCAGAGGCCGTGGCGAGTAAAAGGTCATCGGAGGAGAAAGCGAGATCCATAACAGCGTTGCTATGCGGCTTAAACTTGACGTAAGGGGTTTCGAAAGGCGGAGTGCTAGCTTTAGCCGACTCTAACAATACGATGGTTCCGTCTTCATCTCCAATGGCAACCAAGGAGTTAGCTGTGATGCACGTTAGCTTGACAACACCAACCAGTTACAGGGGGGCCACGTACTGTTACATGCAGCAGTACAGAACGGAATATCTGACGGGAAAGAATGAACATCATCCCTTCCAGTGTAAAAGTTGGCCGTCTGATCCCTCCAATCACCACAATGATCATAGATTTTTCCACGTCCTGTTCCACGCCGACCACCAAACGTCCGAGTAAGGAGTCGACCAGAGGTGTTGGAAATGGGAGCGCGACGAATTGGCTCGCAATAGACCTCCACCTCCTCTTCCTCTTCTTCCTCTTCTTCCTCTTCGTTCTCCTCAAGGATTGTCGTCTCAGCATCCGAAGCTACCTCGTCATCCTCGGCAATATCGAAATTGACAGTATGGGTGTAACTCCGGGCTTTCTTAGAGGGCGATGGTTGGATAGGGGAACTCTCAGGCGAAGGTAGGAGCTTCCTTTTCTTGGAGCCAAGCTTAGGAGTGACGAAGTTCTCGGAGTCAGCAACATTGGCGTCCGAAAAGACGACAGTGCGCCTGGGAGTGGCCTTCTTCCGGTTCACAGCATTGCGGGTGATGTCACGCAACTGACGGCCGGAGGCACCATGGCCAGTGCTGCTTCTGGTAGTCCTAGGAGTAAAGAATTTGTTGAAACGCTTGGGAGTAATAGGCGGAGGCTTCCTGATCTTGTTGCTGCTGCGGCCCCGGAGAGGTGAGGATGGCGGCGGAGGTGATGACGCTAACGATTGCGAAGACGGGGGGATCTGGTCGAACAGGTCGTCCTGGGACAGTGGGAGGCCGATGGGGTCCGCCATTGCTACTTAGATTAAGGAAATGCAAGGAGGAAATGTGCTCATGAGCAATGGCGGGTGGGAGTTGGGTTGGATGACGGAGGCAGGAAAAGAGAGATGATGTGCGGCCTGGGAGGCGGCTGGGCTCGTTCGGGTCCACAGTCGCGTCGCGCGTCCCGCGTTTTGCGTGCGTCCAAGCGCCACTTTACGCAGCGTGAAGGAAGCCGCGACCCGTTCCAATGACGAGCCGGCGGGCCGGACTCTGTGGGGGCGCAGCTAGCTGAGCCCAGCCCGCAAAACGCGCACGACAAGGAACGCTGGCCGAAGAGGGTAAGGGACAAGCGTATGCGCCGCGTCGCGAGAACGAAGCTGTCGCGTGTCCAGGATGTGGCGCCGGGTGCGTCGCGCCAAGCCGTTAAATTGAAGTGGCCAGTAGCATTTGATAAGATATGCACGCCGAGGACGGCCCGGCGGAGAATCGAGTCGCCGCCAAAATTTTGGCCGCAGCAAAAGTTCCCGCCATGCGCGCATCCAATCTGCACGCCGTTTGCTGAGCGGCAGTCGACCACTTTCTTCTTCTCTCCCTCAAAATGGCTCCCATAAAGCGCGGCGCCGACAGCGACCATGCTGGACATAAAAAAACAAAACATTCCGCCGACGAGCGCGCAGCGAAGCGCCAACGGAAGTCCGATGTCTCCCCGAACGACTCCAAGACGAAGCCTGCGGAGAAAGCTCTGCCCGTTGCCTCTGTGTTGAAGCAGGAGGAGCAGTCTTTCCCCCGTGGTGGCGCTAGCGTCCTTACGCCTCTGGAACACAAGCAGATTCAGAACGAAGCCGCCCGCGATGTCCTGTTCGAGCAGTCAAACAAGAAAGCTGCCAAGGGTGGAGACAGCGACAATGATGTGGATATGGAGGATGCCGAGGGACAGAAGGCGACAAAGAAGAAGAGGAAGTCCAAGGCTCGAAAGGGCGATGCTGCCGAGAAGGAGGAGGCTGGAATCAAAATTGAGGGCCTGAGCTACAAGCGTGTAGCACCCGGCTCAATGATTCTTGGACAGGTCACGCAAATTACCTCCCGCGATATCGCTCTCGCGCTTCCCAACAACCTGATTGGATTCGTTCCTTTGACCGCCGTTTCTGATCAATTCACGGAGAGAATTGAAGCCCTGCTGGATCAGGACGAGAAAGAGGATGCAGATGGTTCTTCGGACAATGATGATGACGTTGAGCTGAAGAATATTTTCAAACTCGGCCAGTACTTGCGCGCTGTCGTCACCTCCACCGGCGAAGATTCTGCCAAGGGCAGCCAGAAGAACAAGAAACGTATCGAGCTTTCGGTGAAACCCCAAGATGCGAACAACAGGATATCCAAGTCGGACCTCGTGCCGAACGCTATGGTGCAGGCCTCAGTTGTTAGCGTGGAAGATCATGGTTTGGTTATGGACCTGGGTCTGGCCGATGGTAGCATCAAGGGCTTCATGTCCTCCAAGGAGGTCGGCCATGGCATCGATCACACCAAGATTGAGAAGGGAACGGTTTTCCTTTGCATGGTCACTGGTGTGAGCTCTAATGGAAAGATCGCGAAGTTGTCGACAGACTTTCAAAAGGTCGGCAACGTCAAGAAGGCCAACCTCCTCACCGAAGCCCCTACTGTAGACATTTTCGCCCCAGGTACCGCGGTGGAAGTTCTCATTACGGAGGTCACTGCAAGCGGTTTGGCAGGAACCATCATGGGTCTGATCGATGCTACGGCTGATATCGTACATGTTGGTGCTGGCTCAACACAGCAAGACCTCACCACCAAGTACAAAATCGGCGAGAAGGTGAAGGCCAGAATCATCTGCACCTTCCCAGGAGAGGAGCATCGCAAATTGGGAGTTTCGCTTCTTGACCACGTTCTGTCGCTTTCGGAACGCCAATCTGCTGATTCCAAGGCCCCGCTTGCTGCTCTTCCCATTTCATCCATCGTGGAGGAGGCCAAGATTACCAAAATCGAGCCGATTCTGGGAGTGTTCTTAGACGTTGGTGTTAAGAGGGTCCCGGGTTTTGCTCATATCTCCAGGCTTTCTGACGACAAGATCGACACTTTGTCAGAAACTACTGGCGCTTACAAGCTCAACTCGACCCACCGCGCGCGTGTCGTGGGTTATAACCCTATCGACGGCCTCTACATCATTTCGCTCGAGAAGAAGATTCTCGATCAGCCTTTCCTTCGCGTTGAAGATGTCAAGGTGGGAGAGGTCGTCAAGGGAAAAGTCGAGAAGGTCACGATCACCTCCAGGGGCTCCGGCGTAGTCATCGTCAACCTTGCAGATGGAATCAGCGGCTTGGTTCCGGAGACCCACATTGCCGACGTCCACCTTCAACACCCAGAGAAGAAGTTCAGGGAAGGTGTGGCAGTCACCGCAAGGGTACTGTCGACCGACCCTGAAAGACGTCAGATTCGCCTTACGCTGAAGAAGACTCTTGTCAACTCCGATGCTCCCGTCTGGGCGGACTATTCCGACGTGCAGGTCGGTGAACAGGCGCCTGGTACCATCATCAAGATTCTCCCTGCTGGTGCGATTGTTCAGTTCTACGGCGAACTCAGAGGATTCCTCCCTGTCTCGGAGATGAGCGAGGCTTACATCAAGGATCCCGCTGAGCATTTCCGCGTCGGGCAAACCGTCACCGTCAATGTCCTTTCAATCAACGCAGAGGAAGACAAGATGACTCTCTCTTGCAGAGATCCTGCTTCTCGCACTGTGGCTCAGCAAGAAGGCTACGACTCTTTGTCGGCTGGAAGCATCGTCAAGGGCGTTGTTTCGGAGAAATCTGAGAAGAACGTTACGGTGGAGCTCGAAGGGACAACAATCAAGGGAACTCTCAAATTGGGCCACCTCACCGACGGTTCCGAGAAGAAGGAGGAATCCAAGATGAAGAGGATCAGGGTCGGACAGACTCTTGAGGATCTTGTTATTCTCACCAAGTCCGACAAGAGGCCCGTGGTTGCGCTCTCCAACAAGCCCAGCCTAGTCGCTGCTGCTAAGTCGGGAACTCTGCCCGCACAATTCGAGGACGTCAAGGAGGGCCAGACAGTCACCGGCTTTGTTCGTAACATTAACGAGCAGCGTGTCTTCGTTGAATTCGCCGATGGCTTGGTTGGTCTGCTACTAAAGTCTCAAATGAAGGAGGACATGCAAAAGACGGTTGGATACGGCCTTCAAAATGATTCATCGGTCACTGGTCGTGTTCTCAATGTCGATGAGAGGCAGCGCCGCTTCCTCATCACGATGAGGGACCCTCAGTCCTCTGAAAAGACCTCATCAAAGACTGCGAAGGGTCCAGTGACTGACGAGCCGCTGATCAACCCTATCGACGAAAATTGCAAGACCATCTCCGATCTTTCGTTTGGCAAGCTTACGACGGCACGCATCACTTCCGTCAAAGAGACTCAACTGAATGTCCAAATCGCTGACAACATCTTCGGACGTGTTGATGCGTCAGAGGCCTTCGACGACTGGGACCATATCAAGGACAGTAAGCACCCTCTTCGTCAGTTCAAGGCCAAGCAGAACATCCCCGTCAGAGTCATTGGAATCCACGACGCGAGAAACCACCGCTTCCTCCCGATCTCGCACCGTAGCAGCAAGGTTCCTGTGTTTGAGTTGACGGCTAAGGCTATCAAGCTGTCCAAGGAGTCAGAACTTCTCACCCTGGAGAAGCTGGCTATTGGCTCTTCGCACATTGCTTTTGTCAACAACATTGCTCAGAACTTCGTTTGGGTCAACATCACCCCGAACATCCGCGGTCGTATTGATTTCATGGATTTGGCGGATGATGTTTCTCTTCTCAACGACGTTTCGGCAAACTTCCCCGTTGGCTCCGCGATCAAGGTCCGCGTCAAGAATGTCGATGTTTCAACAAACCGTCTTGACCTTACCGCGACTTCGGACTCTGCGGTAAAGCCTGCTACATTCAAGGACCTCACTCCTGGCATGATCCTTCCAGGCCGTGTGACAAAGGTAACGGAGCGCAACATTATGGTCCAACTCAGCGAAACCGTTTCCGCACCAGTAACCCTCACGGAGTTCACCGACGACTATGCACAGGCCAACCCCACGATCTACAGCAAGAATGATGTCGTTCGTGTTTGCGTCCTCGATGTAGATGCACCAAACAAGAAGGTTCACATCACAATGAGACCGTCCAAGATCCTCAGCTCTTCGCTTCCAGTCAAGGACCCTCAGGTTGCCAACATCAGGCAGCTTAAGGTCAACGACGTGGTGCGTGGCTTTGTCAAGAATGTAGCTGAGAAGGGTCTGTTTGTTAGCCTTGGTCCCAGCGTCACCGCCTTCGTCCGGATTTCTGATCTCTCGGACTCATACATCAAGGACTGGAAGTCAGCATTCGAGGTTGATCAGCTCGTCAAGGGCAAGATCCTCCAGGTCGACCCGCAACTTAACCACGTGCAGATGTCGCTGAAGGCTAGCGTGCTTGACAAGGACTATGTCCCACCTCTCACTTTTGAGGACATGAAGGCCGGCATGGTCATCACCGGAAAAGTCCGCAAGGTTGAAGATTTCGGTGTCTTCATTGTCGTCGACAACTCAAAGAACGTCAGCGGTCTGTGCCATCGGAGTGAGATTGCCGACCAGGCAGTTGAAGATGTGCGGAAGCTCTACACGGAGGGTGACCTCGTCAAGGCCGTTGTTCTGAAGGTTGACAAGGAGAAGCGCAAAGTCAACTTTGGACTCAAGGCTTCGTACCTCAAGAACATGTCTTCTGACGATGAGGATAGTGATGAGGAGGGTGGTGTCGAGCTCGATATGGAAGACAGTGATGAGGACGAGGAGATGGATGATGCTGAGATCGACCTTTCCAACGTCAAGGACATCGAAAGCGATTCGGAGGAGGAGGAGGACGAGTCTTCAGACGATATGGATGTTGACTCGGCTCCGTCTAAGCCCGTGGACGGTCTCAGTACGTCTGGCTTCGACTGGACTGGTAACTCCCTTGCGAAGGAGGAGAAGACCCAGGCAGACGACTCTGATGACGATGCAACGACGAAGAAGAAAAAGAAGAGCAAGAAGCCGACCATCAAGGAAGACCGTACCGGCGACCTGGACGTTCACGGCCCGCAGTCCGTTGCCGATTTCGAACGTCTTCTGCTCGGAGACCCGAACAACAGCACCCTGTGGATGCAGTACATGGCCTTCCAGATCGGGCTCAACGAGGTCCAAAAGGCCCGCGAGATCGGAGAGCGCGCACTCAAGACCATCAACATCCGCGAGCAGGACGAGAAAGCGAACATCTGGACTGCTCTTCTCAACCTCGAGATCGAGCAGGGTAATGACGACGCCGTGGATGAGACCTTCAAGCGCGCATGCGAGTACTGCGATTCGGAAGAGATGCACAATAAGCTCATCACCATCTACACCAGCACCGGCCGCCACAGCGTAAGCTCCAAACACAACCCCTGAAGTTTTCAATTGCGACATTCATACAAAAAGCAGAATGCTAACATTTATCCCTCCTCACAGAAAGCCGACGATCTCTTCCAACGCATGACCAAGATCAAATCCATCACGCCCAACCCGTCCTTCTGGCTCAACTACGCCACCTTCCTGATGACGACCCAGGCGCAGCCGGACCGCGCCCGCGCGCTGCTCGCCCGCGCCACGCAGTCGGTGCCGCCGCACCACCACCGCCACCTGACGGCCAAGTTCGGCGCGCTCGAGTTCACGTCGCCGCACGGCGACGCCGAGCGCGGCCGCACCGTCTTCGAGGGCCTGCTCGCCACCTTCCCCAAGCGCTGGGACCTGTGGGACATGTTCGTCGACCTCGAGCGCAGCAAGGGCGAGAAGCAGAACGTCCGCGCCCTGTACGAGCGCATGGCCCAGGCCAAGATGAAGGCGCGCAGGGCTCGCTTCGTGTTCAAGCGCTGGGCCGAGTGGGAGGAGACGAACGGCGACAAGAAGAGCAAGGCGCGTGTCGAGGCGTTGGCGAAGGAGTACGCGGAAAGATTGAGGGAGGGTAAGGGCGACGAGGAGAGCGATGAGGAATAAGTTGGTGGGAAGCACCTTATTTGGTAGCGGATTTCCGGGAGGAGGGCTTGTAAAGACCCGTTTCCTTTTTGTATAAAGAACAGTAGTTGCGTACAAATGGCAGCCGTGTCTAGGAGACAAAAGTTAGTGATTTGGGCGTTCTGAGCGGACGGCAGGGATGTAATGCATGGCAGAGAGTGTAGGCAGCCCTTTGCTTTCACTTTGGAAGTATTATCGTTTCTGTATGAATTCGTGTTTTTTTTATATTTACGGCTCTTTCGTATTGAAACCTTTCTTCGTGTCTCTCACTCAAGCCATTGATTGATTCCGTCAGACCGAAAAATGCTACACAATCGTGTGCGTAAGTCCCCCCATGCTGGATATCATATGTCACTCGTAGAACCTCCGTAACCATGCGCCATAAATGTCAACCGTCGTTTTGCCAAACCCCAAAATGCACGTCGTATCATCCAGATAACACGCTGCAAGTAATGCGGCTTTCCCCGTGCTATGAGACATTCGAACTGAACAGTACTTACTCTGCTCGAGTGATGAACAAACAGAGCACAACACACTTAACTTTACTCCACCTTCATCTTCTCTAGAATCGCCCGCACGCCCTCAGCGCCCTCCTGGCCGCCCAGCTCGCCGGCGGCCGCCTCAACCTCTTCGACAAGCTGCAACGCTTTCTCGCGCAGCTCTCCGATGCAGCGGGCGCTGTACTCGAAGCTGCCCTTGCGCTCCATGTACGCGACGGCGTACTTCTTGACCTCCGGATCGGCCGTCTTCTGCTTGAGCACGTTGACGAGCACGAGGTTGGCCGGGTCGGCGCGGATTGCGTGGATGACGGGGAAGGAAAACTTGCCCTCGGTCAAGTCCTCGGCGAAACCCTTCTGTGCCGAGAGCCGCTCCGAGCGCAGATTCAGGTGGTCGTCGAGGATCTGGTAGAGGAGGCCGATAGTGTTGACGAGTGGGACGCAGTTTCTGGTTTAAGAGAGAGGTGGTGTCAGAAGCTTGGTTCTCAAGGCTCATTATAGCGAGGATTAGGAGGGAGAATGCGTACAGATCTCGAGCCGATTCAGCCTGCATCAGCTTGATTGCCAACCGGAAAAGACCGCCCGTCTTGTTTCCCACCATCTCCAGGTAGTCGGCCTCACTCGGGCAGGTCAGCGTGTCGCGCCAGAACAAGTCCATGCCCTGCCCTCGATGCAGGTTCAACAGCTCCTCGGTGAAGACGGCCATCACGGTCGGGTTTTGCAGCTGGGACAGTGCTTGGAGGGCGAGGAAGTAGACGTAGTTTGCGCTGTTGATAGTCTGAGCGGTGCCGAATATGCTGTTGGCAACAGGTACGCCGCGACGAAGCATCGAGCTGTCTTCCACATCGTCGACTCTGAAATTCCCCCAATTAGCATTTTGAAAGGCTGTCGGACTCAAGGCAGGCAAAAGTAGAGAATTGTGGCTCACAGTAACGATGCGGTGTGCAGCATTCCTACAACACTTGTGATTATCTCCAGCGACTTCTCCGGCACCTGCAGCCAGGCGTTGAAGGCAGCGATCATCTGGCTGCGAATGTCCTTGCCCGGGTTGCCATACAGGTACTCGTAGGGGCCCAGCAATATTTTCTCCTTCTCCTCAGACCATCCAGAGCCTTTTCCGTATATCAGCTCGTCGCTGATGTTCCTCAACGGGTCGGGCGGGGGCGGCGTCATGGGGACAGGGTATGTATGGGTTTGTTGGGAGGGCGACTGCGGGGGGGAGGGCGAGGAGGCGCGCATCGAGAGAAGCGAATTCTTCTTGGACGACGAAATCCAGTCGATCTCGGAGAGCGGGCGCAGGACGGGGCGCGGCGGAGAGGCGTGGGCGGCGAAGATGCCGTTCGAGGAGGTGCGCGGTGGAATGGCGTTGGGCGACTGGAAGCTCTGGGTCGCCATGGCGGAGGCGGATTGAGCAGCCGGAGGGCGGCGGCTGCCTGCTGACTGGGCCTGTCGGAAAGAAGCGCGGAGGCGTGTTTCCGAAGAAGGCGCTGTCTCGGGCTGGTCGTTTGGCGGACTGTGAGCGCAGGCGTCGCGGGGTTCCTTAGCCCGGCGGCGAGGCTGAAGTTAGAGCGGCGGGACAGAAGGCAAGCAAGCGTAAATCGTGGGCGCGTGAAGAGACTCTGGAGCTTAAACGAGCGGCCTTGGGCGGGGACAAGTAGAAATAGGAGGATACGGGAGCGCGTGGTGCTTCGACCTCGAACCCCCTCAGTCAGTTGAGCAGCGCGCGCGGCGCATGGATGACGCCGCTGTCACATGCGGCCACAGCCCGGCGCTGATCTGCGCTGCCCGACATCAACCCATCACCCCAGCCATCGTGACATGCTCGCGCCACAGACCAATCTAGGTTCCAGCACAAAGTCTCTTTTTCCTCTGGCTGCCGGTCAGTCGGTAGCACAGAGCGCCGGCAGGCTTCTCGCTCGAGTCCGTCGCGCGCTTGCAGACACACTCGTAACATTATTTGTCTTGCCGTGGTCGGCCAGGAGGCATCGTATACCGTCGGTAGTTCCGAAAAAAAGATGGCTGCCTGCTCAGCGTCCTCGGCTCTCGATTTCTAGCGTCAGGCTATGTTGATGGTTCCGTGGCTGCTCACCAGTAGTTTGCTTCCCCCGCTTTCTTGTGGTTCGTCGTCACTAGTCATCTCGAGTCGGGTTTGGCGCCCTTGGCAAGGCCACCTCAATAGCTACGTACGCTGCACCGCGCATTCCGGAAAGGCATCCAACTAGAGAACCGCAACGACTACCGAAAGGATAACCTTGTCGGCAGCTAAGTGCCGATAAAAACCAAACTCAGGCAGCAGAGTAGACCCTTAACCAGAGTAGCGGGATTCGTAAGTGGAATGTTACTGACACCGCAGCGAGTCATTGATGAAACTAGCCCTTCTCAAGCTGTCTCCCCTGAGAACTACTACCCCTTGATTTATAAATAGTTAAACTCAACATCTAGACCTTCGTAAATTTCACATCTCCTACTTACGTCCGGACATTTGCTTTAGGAGGCTATAGGAAGAGTGTAGCATCCTTGCTGCTCAATCTAGGAGTAGACAATGCCACATTTATATTGATGATTAGCATTGGCTTCCTAGCTAATAGGAAGATGATATAGCCAAACACCTAAAAGCTGATTGGTTATCGCTGTGCCAGTGCGCAACGGATCTCTTCCCTCGAAGAACAACAGCAAACTACCTAAGCAGGTAGAATTACGAAGAATGACACCGGTACAAGAGTTACAACTTCCTCGATAGGGACCCGCTTCGCTTGAAAGAAACCTATTTTCATGATATAGTCGTGTCGACTAGTCGCCCCTGGCTGTATCATAACATCATCACAATTCGTTCCACCTAGGCACTTATCCTCATCATTCCCTCCAACCACGCTACACCGGCCTGAACCCCATCGACAATAAACACCTTCCTACCTTCCTCCTCTCCCAACTCTTCCACGCACGCTTCCCTTACCATCTCATTCATCCCCGCCATCCCCGCACACCCCAAGCACACAGCGCCAACATCGCCCCTCCTGACCAACCTCTTCGTCGCCTCCATCATCCTCCTCTTCACCTCTCCCGCCTCCACCTCATGCAGCTCCGTCGCAGTCAACCCTGTCGTCTCCGTCCCAGCAAACCTCTTCCCCTTTCCTCCTTCCAGGCCCAAAAATCCTACGACCGCCTCCCCCAAGATTTCCTCCCACACCTTGCCCGTGCTGACGATGCCGAACTTCTGCTTTGGTGCGATGACCTGCAAGGCTGTGGCGACGCTGGCTTCGAAAATACCCGTGACAGGCTTGTTGATGCTTTTTTGCGCGAGCTCTGCTTTCAAAGCACCTACGAGCGGGTGGGGTGAGTAGCACGCGACGAGGAAGGCATCGTGCGAAGCCAACAGTGGCCGGAGTGCGGGAAGGCTGTGCGTCGTCGAGGCGGCGCCATCTTGCTCGTTGTTGATAGAGGGGGGCCCTGAGGGAGCGGTGAAGAAGGCATGGGTGGTAGACTATCTCGCGAGTGCAGGGATTTAGTGCGGGGTTAATTTTGTTTATCTTATTATTCTGTTTCTTGTGGACTATAGCTATAGCGGTAGGGTTGTTGTTATTGTAGAGAGAATTGCTCCAGGTGGAGGTGCTGTTTGGGAATTTCCGTTTTGGGCTGGATACGGTGGGCGGGGACGTACATCATGAAAGCCCAGAGCTTGGACGAGAGGCTCCAGACCCTGGGTCATGGAGGCGGTGGAATTAGGGTTGATGATCAGGATGGAACGCTTTGATGCCGTCATGGCTGGTGGCTGCTGAGTGCTGATGCTGCAAGTGATGGAAAGAAGTAATGCTGGCTGACCGCCAATCGGCAATTCTGGATAAGCAGCGGCGAAGGAGCGTCTTTGCAGGCAGTGAGTGATGTGCTTGCGTGCTGGTGCCTCCCCCGCAATTCACGCAGCGAAAATTAGACGATCCCTGCACCGTGTGGCGGTGCGATGATGTCATACCTTTCGTCCCGCTCTGACTGGCAGTAGCGCGTCTGGGCGCGCATCACCAATACTACCTGCTGAAAACCTGACCGGCCAGCCGTGCACAGCCTCCACCTAGCTATACGCAGATCGTGTTTCACCCATGTGAAATCGAGAGCCATATACAAGAGTTGTTTTCTCTTAAACGTCGATCATATTATCAACGTGAGTTAATTTCCCCGTTATCAGTTCATGCCGCCTTTGATCGGCAACTCTCAGGGCACGAAACGTCCCCGCGATATAATCCAGGCACAAAAGGTGAAGAGTATCATTCTCGTAAATAGCTAGCTAGGTGTGGGCGTTGCTCAGGAAGCTCTTGGCAACCCCACCTATTCTGCCTATCACCAAGCATTCGGCCTCCCCGTCTGCAGACTTCTTGTGTCCAAGCGTGGCGTGCGTAAAGGCATGAATATCGTCATCGAATGTTGAGTACGGATCGTGATCAGGTTATCTTCGGGCTTCGGCATTGAGAATGAAGCGGCGTGCATGAGCATTATTTGTGGGGTATCCAGTAGTTTGCCTGCTCTGCAGTTGGCGGTCAGCTTAGCTCAGACGAGGCCGCATAAACAGACATCTTTCCTACTGACCTTTCTCAACGCCATGGATTCGTCAGGCGCGCGGCCATTTGCTGCCATCAGCGGAAGCAGCTAAATTTGCCGAAGCTAATGCGGAAAGGTGCTCTGCGCACGCCGTGCTTGTCAACAATGATGCCGCCGCCTGCAGCTTGTTAGCCATCGTTGCAGCTTGAATCCCAAGAGCGCAAGCTTACCGCCGTGGCGTCCACCCCAGTGCTTCGTCCACATCAGACCCATTTTGTTTGGTTGAGAGCTGTTAAAGGTTTTGTTGGAGGCTTAAAGTCGATGGCTACGTTGAGGGAGTTCGCAGTTTTGATGATGACGAGCAGGTACCGGTGAAGCAGGGAACACGTCAGGCGGGTCCGGTGGTTTTAAATCTAGGGTGCCAAGGGCGCGGCAGCGCTTGCTGGAGGGCGCTTGCTGATCGTCATTGAAGTGTGGCTGAGCCCACGCGCGCCACAGCAACAGCGTGGAATGCCACGCTCATCGGGCATTTGGTTACTGGCTAAGATGGCAGGCGGACCTGTGTGCGAGTGCATGTGGTGGTGGCGGCGGCTGCAGTAGCTACGAATCGTGTGCTTCGTAATACGTACTGCCGTGTGGCTGGTGCGCTCAGCTCAAGAACAGCAGCTCCAATTGCGATGGTGCCCTTCTATGCCAGGTTTAAACTCTGACGTGGGCAGGGAAAAAAATGTCCGGAAGTGGATGTCAGTTTGGAAAACGGGCAGACACATCCGGACATTGAATCCAGCTGCCTTCAGATGGAGGGGAAGGGGCTGGGAGGACCAAGTTCTTTGGTCCCACTGGGCTGCAACTCGTCCGGATGAGCGCTTCGGGTGCCGCCGTTCAAGCGCTTCTGCTGCGACGGCGTCGTAGATTGCACCCCCGTCAATCGCTGCCGTCTTCCAGCCGGAGGCGCTCCGTCGGCAGGCGCCCACACCCGCGTTCGGAGCTCCGCTGCAAGGATCAAGCGTCTTGGGCGGTCGAGACTCACCATCAACGCGCTAGGCGATCCATGAGATTAATATAATGCAATGAGGCCCTGTCTCTCGTGACGAAGCAGGCAATCCCCGCTGAGCGACTGCTTAATCAATAGCCTGTCATGCAAGTACCTTCTCGTACGTAGCGCAACGTCCGAACGCGAAACGAGTTTCTGAAGCATCTTGGCGTGGCCATATTATGACTTGCAGAAACATCCAGCCCTTCCTGTCCATATTGCTGCCCGTCAGTACCTGCTGATCTTCGACTTTTGGCCGTGCGAGTACGCGTCCCAATGCTTGGTCGCGCAATTGGTGCGATATTCGGCCGGAGATTGCTTTGCGGGAAGACTGTGCCACTAACAGCTTAAACGACCACCATACGATCCTACCATGTGGGTTGATCCGCGAAAGCCACACGCCAGGGTGCTTAGATCGCGCTTGTTCCAGGCACCGCACTGCTAGTCGACCGTGCGGTATCAAAACATCACGAGGCCGATTGCAGTTTTCGGGCTAGTGCCAATGGCCTGAAGAGTCGGCACGCCTGCTGCTGCATTGTACAGACAGGCTGCAGTCAGACACGCACTCTCATACTCACTGGTACAATAAGCACCGTGTTGGCTGAAACCTTGCTGCACTTCTGAGAGGAGACTGCTATAAATTCATGCCGTGGTGACCAATCTGCCCGACGCAGGCGTATCCAGATATAGACCATAACGCCCCCAACAGTGTTTTAATTTTGTTCCTTTTCGTCCGATGATATGCTACAGAAGCCGCGGCGGAGCGGCGTAACGCACGACGCGTCTACCTGCCGGGGAGGGCGCCGGTCTGAGCCATGGCGGCATTCTGCTCCTGGAAGCGGTTGCCGAGCCGCTCGGAGCCCTTGAGGATCTTGTCGACGCACCTCATCACGCAGCCCTCCTCGCGCGAGCCGAGCGACTTGGTGGAGAAGTCGTTGATGCAGTCGTCGAAGCAGCGCTGGACCAGGTTGGAGTACATCTGCGGCGCCAATTAGCAGGCAGGCCGGGGGGAACAGGCCATCGCGCAGCGCACCGTCATGAACTCCTTCATCTGCTTGCGCTCCATGCGGCTCTGCAGCTCGCGTTGCTCGGCACCCGTGAGTCTGCGGCGCCGGCGTGTTAGCGGAGGGCGTCGGCTGGGCTGGGGTGCACGGCTGGGGCTCACCCGTCCATTGTTGCAGAAGCGTGCTTGCGCGAAACGATCAGCTGTCAAGGATGTTGCGGTGCGCACGTAGGTGCTGATGGGTGTTCGCGAGGGGTGGTTGGGAGGGGAGGGAAGGGCGTCTACAATCGATGGTCACTGTGAACTGAACTGAACTTTTCGCCCGCCGCCCGCGGGCCTGACGTAGCTCAAACGCCGCTTCGCTCGGCACAGCCGTAAACCGCCTGAGGAGACGCACTGCGCTCCTTTGGACAACGCGACTGGACAACGCGACAGACCGTGCTCCGGCGCTAATCGCAGGGTCTGGGGCTGTAGAGCTGGCGCGCTCTTAGGCTTAGCCCACGAGGCACGGGGGGGACCGTCGAACTGGCTGCATCGGCACGTTACGTTCACCACGCTCCCAAATAGCAGGCCAGGTCCCCAAATCCTCCATATTTTAGCCGCTTGCCCAAGCTCCCCTGGACAACAACGCTCGCCGCCGTGCACTTGCTCTCGCCACAGCCAGCCCACCGCGTGCCTCGCCCTGCTGCAACGTCTCTCGTATTATTAGCCTGGGCAGCCGTAGCCTGGGCAGCCGACGGGAAACCTAGGGGCTTTCCTGATCGGGAGAGACGCATCCTGCCTCTTCTCGCACGCCCTGCGACGAGCCAGCAGCATATATCATCGCATTACATCACCCGCACCCGCGAAAACTCGCGTTTCCTCACGTTTCACGACCTCCGACAGCAACGGCCGTCCTGCAGCCGCCGCCTCGCACCCAGGCTTCTGCCCTCCCAGCCAGCGCGCTGCACCTGCGCGCCGTCCAAGCCCCAGAGCCCGGCCACAGCCCGCCGCGCCCAGGTGACGCCGCCCGCCTGCACGAGCGGCCGCATTGTCGAGCGGCGACACGTCCTCGCTTCGCCCTCGCTATTTTAGGATACGCCCTGCCGGTACCCTCGCGAGCCTCCGCCTGCCGCCATTGCGACAACACCAGCACTCTCCATCCCCAAGAGCGAGAGGCGACCCGCCCTCCTCGCAGCAGCCCGCCAACATGCCGCACCAAGCCCAGCCGAGTGGCTCGGGCGCCCGCCAATGGGACCAGCCACAGGCCGTGGGCAACCAGGCCGCCGACGTGCCCTCGAAGCGCGACCTGACCTCGTGGTGGAGACAATTCAAGCGCGGGAATGCGAAGAAAGACGAGGACAAGGGTGGGTTCCTCCACCTCTGGAGGCGCATGCGGACGACCTTCGTCAGGCTTCGCATTCGCGCCGCGGCCGCCGTCAGTCGGCAAGTCGGCCGCCTGGCGAGCGCCGTCCTCCGGCCCCTCCAGATTGCTTTGCGCGCTGCCACTTTGTGTCGTGAGCTGATCGTTTTTTACTACGCAGAGCCAGAGAAGCCCCGCGGCATCTTTGGGGTGCCTCTCCAAGACAGCATCAAGTACGCCAACGTCGCAATCTCGCTGTTCAACGAGGAAGGCGAGAGCTACATCTATGGTTACGTGCCCATTGTCGTCGCTAAATGCGGGGTTTTTCTCAAGGAGAAAGGTGAGTCTCAGGCCTCCCCACTCGCTCGCCGTCTGCTGACACGCCGGTGCGCTCAGCCGTCGATGTCGAAGGTATCTTCCGTCTGAGCGGATCCGAGAAACGCATCAAAGAACTTCGCGAAGCGTTCAACTCTCCTGATCGCTACGGAAAGGGCCTGGACTGGACTGGATACACTGTGCATGACGCTGCAAACATTCTCCGCCGATACTTCAACCAACTGCCTGAGCCCATCATTCCCCTCGAGTTCTATGAGTCGTTCAGAGATCCGCTCCGCAACCACCAAGCTCAAGCTGTGGGCCCAATGGACGGTCAGAAAGAAAGCATTGGAGAGTTCGACATGGACAACGCGATCCGAGTCTATCAGAGACTCATCACGGAGTTGCCTCCGCTCAACCGCCAACTTCTCTTGTACATTCTGGACCTTCTCGCCGTCTTTGCTTCCAAGTCCGACCTAAACAAGATGACCACAGCGAACCTTGCCGCCATCTTCCAGCCTGGAATCCTGTCCCACCCCACTCACGACATGGCCCCGCCGGAATATCGTCTCAGCCAAGACGTGCTCATTTTCCTCATTGAAAACCAGGACAACTTCCTCATTGGCATGCAGGGCACCGAGGCCGATCCTAAGACGGTGGAGGAGGTGGAAAGTGGGCCCTCGACCCCATCGGGCAAAGCCCCGACGACGCCGACCCGCTCCAAGACCACCATAGGCAGATCCTCATCGAATGCTAGTGCCGGCGCTGAAAGTGTCCGCAAGCAAGGAATGATCAGGAGGAATGTCTCTGTGTCGTCCAGGAAATCCAAGACTTCTGGCACAATAGCTACTCCGAGCCCGGTCAACACGCAATTTTCAAGCGGCGTCCACAGGAGCAATACGGTGCCGTCCAAGAAATCTCCGGCAGTTGCGGGAAAGCGATTCTCCCGAGAACACAACGAGCAAAGTCCCGGTGCTCCTCCAACCCCAAGGTCGCCCGCAGTCGCCTCGATTGCTATTGCTGAGCCTGCCAGGCCGGTGGACGCAGTCAGCCCCCCTACCCGGCCCACTCACATGATTACCGCACCTTCCAGTGAAGATACTACCCCGTTGGCCCCCCCAGCAAACATATCGTCTTCTTCTGGGCTTCTGCCCCACAGCCAAACCCCGCAGAAGCCGAGAGCTGAGAGCTCGGATCGGGAGAATTCAGGATTTCGTTCCTTTTCAAGCATGTTCCAATCATCCCCCCATTCGGATAACGAGTCCAAGGAAAAGCGCAGGCCCAACAAGCTGCAGAAAAAACGTGCTCCGAGCACCAACCCAAGCGCAGCAAGCTCCACCAATTCTCTCCATGGATCTCACGTTGGGGGACCACCATCACCACTTCCAGGGGGAGTTGCGGCAGGTACGCCACTCAAAGACCAAGGACCTCATATTGCACCGATAGCTGAGAACTCACCCCTAAAGGCAACGGCGAGCGCTAACCCGCTCGAACCCAGCATGTCACCCAGCGCATCCATGCGCTCGCATTCAACCGTCTCCGGCGGGTACTCGGAAGCTGAGCATGGAGACGATTCCACAGCGGCTGAGAACGCTGAGAAGGAAAGGAAGCGTGGCTGGCGCATATCTCACAGGAAAGAAGGCTCCAAGCCCTTGAACGAAAACAATCTCGGTTCTGTCTCAGGAGCCGAACAAAGCATGAGCTCGGTCAGTTCGAAGGGCGGCCGCAAAAGCCTGAGTCTTGATCCGACCGAAGCCTCAAGCTCGACTGCCGCTTGGAACGATAACAACAGAGAAGGAGACAAGAAGAACCCTTTCGACTGGTTCCGTGGAAAGATTGCTGAGCGGAAGGAGCGAGAAGAAGCCAAGCAGCGTGCAAAGAGTCCACCCAACAACCGCATTGACCCGAGCTCGCCAAGCTCTGAACGGTCCGGGCACCGATCAACATCCAGCTTGGCTGCCTTGACTCAGCATCGCAGAGGTCGTTCGGTAGAACAATTGCCGCGGCCCATGGAGTTTTCGCCGCCGACTGTGCTCGAGGCGAAGGAGGAAGCGAAGGTGGCGGGGCTCACCCCTCCCAAGACCGAGTCGGAGGAGGCTACTCCGACGCAAACGCCGGGTAGTGCGAGCACGGCTCCTTCCGCTTCTCCATTAGCGACTGTGAACTCGGCGACTCCCGCTGTGGCTGCTCCCGAGGTTCGTCCCACAGAGGGACCAGTGTTTGCTTCGGCAACGCAAGGCGCACCCGCTCAGACGGCACCTACCCAAACGGCATCTACTCCGACGGCACCCGAGGGAGGGTCTACGGTCTCGCGTCCTCAGTCACCGAGGCAGCAGCAGACAGTCCGGTCCATGCTGGACGTCTAGTCTTCAGGGCGATGAATCTCCTGTGAATATGGCTCGCGCTGTCAATTCCGGTTTGGCGAGCGCTTGAACCGGTGTGGGAGTTGGATTTCCGTTGCATCCTCTCCGGTTCAGAAGGTTGCTTTTGTTTTCCTTTTCCCTGTGTCCCGCGGAGTCGCGTTATCACATTTCCTTTTTCGTGGCGGAGTCGTTCTGCATGATGATTAAAGGGAAGAGATGAGCGCGGCGTCTTGGATGCTTTTTTTCCTTGAGCGTGAACTGGGTGAGGTGCTGATGACGATCAGGTCTGAAGAAGCGAGCATAGGGTTGAGCATTGAATCATTGGTAACAGGGGGGATAGATAGGAGGGAAGTGGAGCGTTGATCGACGGGCGGAGAGGTGGTAATATAGGAGGTAGTTTGCTAGGATGATCGCCACGAATGTCTTGGCATCTCGCTACCCTTTTCTTTGTTTCCTGATTCTCATTGAGTCGTGAACGAAGACGGTGGTGGACGTGGCAGGGTTGTGCGACGCAAATTGGGCGAGAGAAACTTCGTTTCGGAGGAACGGGAAAGCGCTGATGTAGGCGCGGAAGAGGGGCAGACAGGCAGGGAGGAGGGGAATGGCCGGGTGGTGCGTTGGCTTAAAGGAGGGGCTGGGCTTCGGGGATGCCGTGTGGAGTGGGTAGGGAGTGAGGTAGGTACCTACCGGCCTTGTCCCTTGCTTCGCTCGAGCGTCAGTCTACCTTTTTGGTTGATGCCTCGAGGCCTCTTCACTTGTATGTTCTTATCAATTTGTTTGGCATAGATGAATGATTGACGAAAGAGCAAAGTTCCTTCATTTTCTTCTGATTTCCTTTCCTCACCCACATTCCCGCTTGGGGCTTATTCCCTCAACACATATGAAAAATTTTCATGTACTTTTCTGTACCGTCCAAATTTTTGTTCTTTCTCATTCCAGCTCGCCAATAGAAGGATAGTGCAGGTGGGGTGCGTGTGACATTGTCCCGTCATACGAAACGCTAAATGGGGGAGGCAAAAAAGAAAAGAAAAAACCACCAACCAGTCTTCGTTCTCACAGCTCTTCCCGTAGAAAGAGAGAAGGAGGCAAAAAAAAAAAAGGAGGCCATGTAATACGTGGATGGTGGCACCCGCTAGAATAGGGTTCGGAGGGAGGAAGTCCGGGTTCCCACGCAAGCAAGCTCCCACCTTTCCTGCCACCACTATCTGTAGCATGTGATAAAGATCGACCTTGTCGTCAAGTGTAGTACAACATGCATTGTAAGATATGCTTTTTGTTTTCCAAATCTTCTTCGGCGGTGGCGAAGGTGGATGCTTTCTCACGTTTCCTCTTATCTTCGAAGGAATCCCAGAAACGTCACCGCCGGCAGCGGGATACGGGTACGGGGGTGAGAGTGGGGAGTAAGAGAGGGGAAGGCGGAAGAACGCCTCGAAAGGCCGTCGTCCGCCATAAGGCGGTTTGGCTCTCCACACAAACGCGCAGAAAGAAGTAGGATTACTTTTAAGCTCGAGGCCGCGGTAAGCCATTGGGCGGCAGTTGTAAGCATGGTTTTCGAGACACGCGGTCCTCTTGCTCCCTTCTACACGGTCGGCCCCGGCGATGGCGGTGTGTCTGCAAAGTCGTGTATGGGGGTGATGACGATTGGGTGGGGATGAGGCGGAAGAGCAGGGAGAGGCTTAGCACGTGGATACGGGCTTCTAGAGCGTAGGATACGAAGATAGGATCTCGATGATCATAGCTTCGTTTTTGGTCATCGTTCGGAAGGAGGGGGGAAACGAAGAACAGTGGAGCACTGGCTGCTCGGGCTACAGAGTGTTTTTTTTTTCTTGCAGGACCACATTGTTATGCGCATTAGCTATGTACTGGTCAGCCGCATGAGTCGTGCAGCCTACTGCTCTGGTCTTCGCTTATTTGAGGAACACGAAGGGGAGAGATATTGCGCACAAAGATGGCGAAATTTGGAGGAGAGGCTGCCCAGAGACGAGGCTCAGGTCTCGGAAGTCAGCGCGCGTGGCGAGCAGCCATGAGGATGGATGCACGCAGCCAGCCAGTCAGACAGCCAGCCGCGCCACGGCCGCGTCGACAGACGAGACGACCACGCAGTGATCAGCGGGGCGCCGGCCAGGCCCACATGCAAGCCTCGGACGATCGGCAGCGAACCAGCGCTACCTCACGCCCGCCTGCTGCGGTTCACTTCCAGGGCTGTCGGCAGCAGCTAAGAATAGCACTCCACACACAACCACTGTTACGAGCCATGTCTTCTGATACTGGCCGCAGGCTTGCCTACTGGCTGAGTACAGTCGGCAGCCAGGTTGGCTGTCGCACCGGAGCTGCTTGACGCGCCTCGGCCGCGCACGAGCTCGCTCGACTCGCCAACAGCTCCATTCCATTCGCTACCGTTCTCCTTACCTTGCTCGCGCATCAAGCTATCTGAGACACGGCCTCTTTTCTGCTCCTGCACAATACATTGCTGCCGAAATCCAGGGCCCGCTCCATTGGGAGCCTGACGGCTGTATTTATCGTCAAGCGCGGAGCCCGTGTGTCGGGCTCTGGGAGGGAGTGGGGGGCGCTGGTGCGGCGGTGCGTTGGGTAGGCCGGGAGCACGGCAGCGGGCGGGTGTGACGCTACGCTGCTGTAAGCTGCGCCAGCCCGTCTGAGACGCAGCGCATGCGCTGGATGCCAGGGCTGAAAGCGGGCGCATAAAAAGAAAAAAACACCTCGTTGAAGAAGACGGCAGGCTCTGTTGAGCAATGCTGCGGGGTCGGGGCACGTCATCCAGACGAATTGGCGGGGGAATGTGACGAAAGGAATCGATAACAATCGTATTTTAAGGGGACGAAGTCGGGCCTTGTCGCTGGCGTGAGGTGAGCCGCAGCCGTATGGTGGGCAGGTTTCAACGCACGGGGGTCCCATTGTAAGTGGCTTCGATGGTGCGCGGAACGGTGCTGAGCAGGGGCCAGAGCGAACGGCGCCGCGCTGTCCACGCCAGTGACAGCTGCTGGATCCTGCCCGTATCGAGCATCGCCGCGAAAAGCACATATCCTCCTGTTGTTCCCTCTCCCGCCCGCTTCTCAGTCTCTCCGCCCACGCTCGCTCTGCCCTGCAATATCGCTCTCGCTACACAACGCCAACCGAGGCAACCCGCTGCCTTCTGCCTGATCGGGCCTGCTGTAAGCCCACCACCTGCCGTCTGCGATCACCCTCCCATGCCTGACTCTCGCGCCATGTAGACATTAGCCGCACCATCGCATATCAATCACACCTGTCCCGCCCTGTGAGCCGCGTGTGCCACTCTTTCTCCCTCGTCCGCCATGCCGTCTCTCCGGTCCTTCGTGCTGCTTGCGCTGCCGCTCGCCAATGCCGTCGTGCAGGCGCAGCCAACCGGGGACTCCCCTGCTCTTATCGAAGAGCTGCTCGACGTCCTCCCTGCCGACCGCATCCCGGACGCGCTCCGTAGCCACGAGCGCCCCGCCTTCCAGGATGCCAAGTACGAGGATGACTGGACCCAAGTCGCGGCCCTGTACGAGGCCGATGCCGCCCAGGTCGAGCAATCGCTCGAAGCCGCCGCCGAGCAGCACGAGCTGAAGAAAAGACAAGACGAGAACGCGACGACCAGCGCTGCCGCCAGCGTTGCGTCCAGCGCCCCCGCAACTTCGGCTTCTGCCGCGACTTCCGCGTCTGCAGAGAGTTCTGCCCCCGCAGAGAGTTCTGCAGTTCCTACCACGGCCGCGCCAACCAGCTCTGCGGTCGTCGAGAGTACGTCCGCACCGTCGAGCACGGCGCCGGAGACGACGACGTCTGCTGTTGAGACCTCTGCAAGTACGTCCAATTCTTCCCCGTCGTCCGCTGCCACCTCCTCCGCCCCCTCCACAACCGCCGAGCCGTCCACGGTTGAGTCTTCCCCGACTTCATCTGCACCCGTGACCAGCACGAGTGCGACGACGTCGGAGGCGTCTACCTCAGGTGCGTCCACGTCCAGCACAGCTGCTGAATCCTCCCCCGAGCCGTCTTCGTCCGGCAGTGCCGCGACGACCGCCACTTCGGATGCCTCGAGCACTTCTCAGTCTGCCTCGAGCACATCCGAATCTGGGGCTCAATCCTCCACCCAATCTTCTTCGCGCAGCGGCTCATCCGTGTCTTCTCCAGCTACTTCTGCTACTTCTTCTGCGCCTTCCACTACTACTGAGACCGAGACTTCTTCTACGATTGTGGAATCAAGCACTAACCGGGAAACCTCTTCATCTACAGCTGCACCTAGCACTGTCGAGTCTACTGTGATTTCCACAACCACTCAGGAGCCCACCACTACCGAGGCCACAACCACTGCCGAGACAACGAAGTCCTCCACCGAGGCCGTTGTCGTGCCCGTCGAGGTCACCACCACTAACACTGCGGGCGAAACTGTCACCCAAACTTCCTCCGCCGTCGTTGGCGCCACCGCCAAGGTGACGACTACCAACAGCGAGGGCCGCACCACCACCGCCGCTGCCATCATCGTCGAGACGACCGATGCGGCTGGCAACACCGTCACTTCAACCTCGGCTGCCAGCGCTTGGAAGCCGACGAGCTATTCCTCCGGCCAAGTCATTACCCGCACCAATTCGGCCGGTTCCACCTTCCACACGACCTACACGGGCGGCTCCGTTGAACAGCCCGTCAGCTCGCTTGTCCTGTCCACGACCACGCTGCCCGACGGCCAACGTAAGACGATTACCAGCTATGCCACCGTCAATGCCGCAGCTGCTACCGCCGGCTCGAGCGCTTCCGGAACCGCCGGCGAGCCCAGTCTGCAGAGTGGTGCTGCTCAGCGTTTCGCCGGTATGGAAGCTGCTGCGTTCGCTGGTGTCGCGGGTCTGGCTTGGCTGCTGTAAACGAAGAGCATGTTTTTCCCCGTTCGACGACCTTACGGCCTTGTACCTCTACAAATCTGTTTTGACCGATTGAACATTCTGATCTTTAATCATTCGCGAGCACTCCTCTCCGTCCTGAGAGGGTGTGATGTCGTTCCTTCTTATGCATAGCAAGGCGGGGTTCCGGCGCAATCTGGATTTTCTGCATCGTTTCCACACTCCTTGGGTTGGGAAATAATGGCAACTGCATTTTACAAGCGAGGAAACAAGGGAAAACGGTAATGGCAGAGGCTTCATTCCTCTGATGGGTTGTTTTTCTAAAAGTTCTGCTTTCTGAACTACACACGCACACATGCACCTGCTGCATCTACATCACGACGATTTACGAGAAAAATTAGACTTTTCCTTTTTTTTCTTCGTGTCAGCGAAGAAGAGGAAGAGATCTGGTTTTGAGACACACGGACGCCGGTATCTTTGACGTCATGACGATCCTTACTAATAATCGACTTTGAGGAAATGGAGGGTGTCAGGCAGATAATGTTATTGATATAGTGGCGTACAACCAGGAGAGCATGAAAAAAATAGAAATTGTTATGTGCCTACTTTTGAGCTTGTGGTGATCGCCGGACTTTCTTGCAGTGATAGGCCCTTGATATGAACATGTTTCCTTCGGCATCGGCGTGTCTCAAGTAAGTCCGTTCTGTCTGCGCAAGAATGCGGACTGTCCGGGCTATGGCAAGGACTTAGTTCTTTATCCTCCTGTGGCATCTGTCCGTGTTTCGAACATTGCATCCAAGAAAGAAAGTAGCATCATAGCCTTCATTCCAGCTCTCTATTGTAGACACTGCTTTAAATGGGAAGCAGATGGGTAAATTTGGAAACAACCAGCCAACCAGTCACATAACTCAGTCGAGCGACAATATCTTTAAAGACCAAATCGAAGAACATCATTTCTCGTAAACCTGCCATGCCATTTTGCTCTCTGCCTGTAGTGAGCCCGATACGTGTACAAAGCACAAACAAGATACCCCCGCCGTGCTTTTGTTATGCCTTCGAGAAAGCGCTCAAATTCATGAGGAAAAGGAGCAAAGGGAAGGAAACAATAAGAAGATACATGATCGTCGTTCAAACAAATCCCTTCGTCGCTGCTGACCTCCCGTGTCACATCCCCGCCCTCATCTTCCCTGGGTAACCTTTCTGCTGTTCTCTCTCCACATCCTCCACTCGACTCTGGTTCGTCTTGTCACGAGTACCTGCGGAACAAACGTAAAAACGTTCTCCTCTACGAAAGCACTTCGTAGTGAACAATTAACTCCCCATTTACAACAAAACCCGGCAATGCTCATTGCTCTACGATCTTCACGTATGCTGCCAGCTCCGGAAACGCGGCCCTGAACTGGGGACCAAGGCTCCAGTTGTCGATGTTGCGCAGGTGCGCCTCGAAGGCTGGGTTGATGACCCACTGGTCCTCATCCTCCTCGGCGGCGGCAGCGGTGCCGTTTCCGTCAGCGTTGCTGCCATTGCTGCTGCCGGCGCTGCCCTCACCTTCCGCCACCTTGGGGGAACCTTCGGGGGTGGAGGAGGACGAGGTAGGAGCGGCGGGTGCGGGGGATGCTTCGGTAGCGGGGTCGACAGGGATTCCGCTTGAGGTGGTGTTGATTCCGCTTGCCGCGGCAGCAGACGAGGCGTGAAGGAGACAGTCACGGGGATTGTGGGGCCAGTTGAGCGAGAGGGAGGTGGTGTAGGGGATGAAGAAGTTGTCGAAGGGTTGTTGCGGCTGATCTGTTATGATGCGGTCACGGAGGCGAGGCCTGGAGGGGATAATGTTAGTAACCATGCAGGTCAGAAGTGGATAAGGGTGATGCTATTAGGGGCCTGCCAAAGGGCAGGGAGAAGATTGATTGCAGGCTGTAAAATGTGTCACATGGACAAAGGGGAATCAAAGACGAAGCTGAAGGGTTTAAGAATGTACTCACCAAGGTATATAGTCATTCCATACAGGGTGTGGGGCGAAAAGCTGACTTGGACGTGGGGTCATCCAGTCCGGCAGGCGCTCGTAATTTTCTTGGGTGGGTTCGATCTGCCACCGCATCAACAGAAACATGATGTACAGCACCGCGACCCGCTCCGGCAAGCCTGAGATGTCGGGGAAGGTGCTTAGAATGTCGGTGAAGACTTTGGACAGAGGATGCGACTGATTTTGCTTCTCCGGATTTAGAAGGTAGGAAAAGTCAGGATATGCTGGTCCGACAAGGCTTTTGATTGGAGCACCTTCAGCCGCCTGGGTATGTCTCTCAGCCAGGAAGTCAAGCAAGAGACTATCCAGAGGACATGTTGCGTCCAGACTGCGGGGCAAAGTGTTCCAGGCCTCCAGCGGGCGACCGTTAAAGTCCAGACCAGAAGACTGCATGCCTGCAGATCCACCATGAGGTACACCATTATTCAATTTAGCGCGGTTGTCCAAGAGGAAGTTTACTCCCAAGCGCTCGTCCGAGTTTTGCCCAAATTCGAGGTCAGGATGTATGTTGCTGCGGGGCTGGTCGTAGGGCGGCTGCTGCGGGTGCCATCCGCGGACATGGCTGGTTGGCGGCACTCCGGGGAATGCAGAGCCCCAATTGCGACCATTGGCGCTCTGGCTGGTCGGCGAAGACGGGCTGGTCTGGTCGTGAGGCGGTTGCGGCTCCTGCACCTGGGGAACGCCGTGGTGGTAGCCGCGCTGGTCGGCGATTTGCATGTGCTGCTGGGCTCGCGGATCGGCGGCATCGTGGGGCGGTAGCTGCAGCGGACTGCGCTCGGCGGCGGCTGCCAACTCTGCACCGGTCAGAAGTCAGCAACAGCAATTTTTGCGGCAGCGAACGGGCCAAACGTGCCATTGAGGCCGTGAGTGCCTAGGATGGGCTGGATGAGGCTCATGACTGACGACAAGCGGCGGCGGATGTCGTCGTTCTCGGCCTGGACGGCCTCTTTGGCGCGCAGGGCCATCTGCAGCTCATGGTAGGGCTGCTGCGACTCGAGCTCGCGGATGCGGTTGTTCAGGCGCTCGATCTGCTGTTTGGTGCGCTCGCGGATGGCGCGCTGTGCCTCGCGATCATTCTGCCTCTTCCGGGCGAGCTGCTCGGGCGTCAGGTTGGCAACGCCGCGCGACGAGGGTTGGCCCGAGGTGCGGCGGCGTTTGGGCGCAGGCTGAGGGATCGGGGTGGTGTTGGGGGCATTTTGAGCTGCGGCCGGCGGGCTTTGAGCTGCTGTGTCCATGATGCGAAGATGGGCGGAGGAGGGTGCAGCTCGTGTGGGTGAGTCGTGTCGAAGAACGGCTGAGCCAAAGAGACGGAGTTGACGAGTCAGGCACGCGTGCCCTGCATCTCGCTTACCCCGACCTGGTGGCGGTGTGCTCGCCAGCGCGTCCTCCGCGAACGGAGCCTCTCTATCTCTGGACTCTTCTTAACCTCCACCGCCTCGACTGAGTTGTCACCGACGCAAATGTCCTCAACCTCATGTAGACACGCATGTGCTGTCGAGTTCTCGGGCGGGGCTGCTGCGGAGAATCGTTTCTGCAACCCTGCTTTACACCCTGTCCGAAACGCTTTAGCCTGGCAGGACTATAGTCTATCTCCACAATGTAGAACTCTCGGCGAGGAATCATCTCGAAGCCTGAAACTGACGACATGACTTGGAGCAAAGTCAAAGTGCTGGATTATGCGCGATAGGGTTGACTTTTGGTTAGGTGGTTCGACTCAGCGCAGAAACTTTCAAGTATATACGTAGACTCGGAAAGGCCATTTACACAGTACTGGTGCCAATACCCAGCTTGACTCTCGAGAGGAAAAAAAAAATTAGAAAGGGACGTCGCGTAGAGTGCATGCCCACCTGTTCTATGGCAATCCCTTGTGGGGCCCAGTAGTCGCGAGATTAGACATTTATATTCGCTTGCATGTGATTGACTACCTCAGAAACAATACTTTGTCGATTACCATCTTTAACGTCAATCAAGATGGTATAAATATTATAGTATAGAATATTTAGCAAAGTAAACGAAAAGCCCGAGTTTCTTATTCGGATGTCGCAAGAGCTGTGCTGCTCTTCCCAAAAACTACTAGACAATCACCTCCCGATTGAGATTTCGGTTCGATGAGATACGTGACCGGAGTTTCTTAAACGCCTCCCTACTCTTTCCTCTAAACATAGTGCCGCTTACTTCCATATGCGTTACAGAGAGTGATTATCCCCACCTCCTGATAGAATTTATTGCACTCTGGTCTTGTCGATACTTAAAGTATACCCTAGCATCTTATCCTTTCTTGAGCTTACATCTGAATCTAGATGTTTAAAGTGTCCACGTGCGAGTAATACAATGCCCTTTGTGCGACGGACTTGGGCAATGTAGAACTTTTGCAGATAGCACTGCTCTTACCGACATCTGTCGATATTGGTTCACCCCTCACGCTTAGGATGCCAGGTCCTCATTGGTGTATAGTAGTAGATCCAGGTCAGCATTGCTTATATCCGCCTGATGATGAAGTGTGTTACATGCTCCAGCTCCTCTCATGGCAAGAGCTGCAGAGGTCCGATTGATGATTGGACGGTCAATCACTGTACTTCTAAGCTGAGCACTGTCGCTTGAGGCTTGGGCCAGTGCTCAAGTCCGGCGCAGACAGCCCTGCATGCTAGTCAGTATGCAACTAACCTTAAGTGTACTGCGATCGTTTTCGATGCGCCGAAGGAGTCGATGGCGTTACGCTAGGGAGTATGTGAATTCTTGAAACCACGCGAGCAGCTTTCCGGAAGCATTCTGGAACGTGCAAAGATGAAACTGGCGGGGCGTGGAGGGCCTACTGGTGGCAAGAGAAGCCAATCGCAGTCGATGGGTTCGTGACGACTGGCGTGAGAATGGTGACCAGGGGAGCGAGCCAATTTTGACAGTGTCTGTCGCACATCTATTTTTTGCCTTTGGTCTTTTCGTCGCGACGAAAGCATCATGCGCCTCAATAAACAGGCGCTCTAATGGACACGCACTCGGCCAGATGCAACGATAACGTGGCTTCGTATAGCGGGCCGCGACGTCCGAAGTTGAAGGCAGCGTGCGTGGACGCATGAAGCGAATATAAGTATGTAAATTGAGCTGGTCGTCGATCATGGTGACGTGCGTGTTATGGGGCCGACAGCGCGGCGGCAACAATCAGGGCCCAGGAACGAGATGCGGTGTAACGGCGCAGAACACCTGTCGAAGGCCAGCTGGCCAGTGGCTGGGAGCGCACTCGACAGCGACGTGGCTCAGAGGGTCTGCGGTCCAGCGACGATCCACGGTGGCGATCGGCTGCGATCCCTGCAGGTGTCGGAGCAGAAAATACGCAGGCAGGCGGCTACGGGACGTGGGGACCCTTGGAACTGCGACAGTAGCGCGGAGCACATTCGGGGCGGGTGGCTGATCGGGGACGTAATGCACTAAGCGCGAGGGTAGGGAGCGAATGGACTTCCAGAATGGGGATGTGGGAAATGGCGGTTCGACGATTTTCGGCACATTTGCTGGTGGCAGGGCGCGCGAGGCGTCGATCCGCCGGGCGGAGATTGAGTGCCTTTCTGTTTCAAGAGCGCAAGGGGTTCGCTCCAAAAAGGTGGACACCCTCACTACCACGGCGACACCACGCTGCGCGCCTCTCCAGGCTCCCTCCGCCGACTTCCTTTCGTCCCGCGCTCTTCCACCGGCTGCGAGGAGCCTTGCCCAAACTTACGATCCTTATCCGCGCCGCCACCGCGAGCGAATGCCCCGCGCCTAGGCCCGTCCCGTCGAAACCGCCCTACACCTGCCCTACCGTCGCTCGACCGCGACTTTGTCCTTCTTTCACGCTCCTTCGATCGATCCCGTTTCGCCCCCGCTCCTTTGCCATTGCTGCCGCCGTCCCCTGCAGCATCAGGCCCGTCTGTGCTGCGCTTCAGCTGCGCCCAGTGCCACCCGAACTCCGCCCCGACACCGCGAGCGACCGCGCCGGATGAACAGCAGCAGCCAAAATGACGCGCCCAACCATCATCAGAGCAGGTACCGCGCCGGCTTGCCCCCTCGGCCGGAATGTGCGACGCTGACCCAGCATGCGCAGACACCATTGATTTACAGGACCCCGGTTCGCCGTCCGCCGCAGACCACACCCGCCAGCCTACGCAGCCCGCGCCACTCGGCGCAGGCCCAGCCTCACCGCACCAGGCAGCCGCCATTCGACACGTGGAAGAAGACCGCGCGAACGAAGAGGAGGGGCTTGTGCAATCATGGACCAGCCCCAACGGCACCCATCATGACGACCACAGCGGCACCGACTCCGCTGACGTGACGGACGACGGCGACATGGCAGATTCGGAAACGGAGGATATGGACGACGACATGTTGGACAAGATCTCCAGCTCACCGTCTATCGACGATGGTAGGTATTCTCCGCGCGCTCCAGCCTCGGCCTGGCCGACACGCTCTTCTTCTCTCTACGCCCTTCCGTTACCCGCAACTCCGTCGCAGCAACACATGTATCAGCACTCCAATGTATCGCCCGAGTCCGATCAGGGCTCGTCCTCGCCTTTCACCATAACACCACAACATTTGCCGCTTTCCTATCAGCCCAAGCCCCAGTCAACACCACCAAGATTCAGCACCCCACTCTCCTCTCCGCCTTTCAACACTCCACTCATGCACCGGCCTGCGCGCATGGCTCCCCACCATGGCAGGCCTTCGTCTACGGATCATCATCGTCTGGGTGAGTATACAAGGACCGAACCGACCGCCACCGACATCGGATGCGACGACCCTTTCGACCGCGAATTCGAGGATGGCTTGCAAAATTGCTATCACGAGGATGCCAATCTCTCCGCGGACGAGCTGCGCGACGACGTTGGCCCGCTCCGTAGTGAGCAATACGAGTTGGAATCCCGCGAGTGCAATTTTGGGGGCGATAGGGAGGGCGAGATGCTCGTATTCCCTGCGGATCGCCCCCTGCCGCCCATCCCTGTTTCTGACAGTGCCAACGATCTTCGAGAGCTTTTAGCAACCCGCCAATCGAACCTCTCGCTGGAACGTGTGGACTCCCCGGAAACGATGTCTTGGGAAACCGACAGCAACGCCTCAAGCTTTGACCCGGAAGGGAACGACGACAAAGATAATGACGACGATGACGATGATGATCTTGAAGACATTTTCCTTTCTCTCGATGAAGACCGTCACGACTCAGCATACGGCGGTGAGTGCTTACGCGAAACAGAGGACATCGACTTCGAATTCGTCTACGCGCTACATACTTTCGTCGCAACTGTCGAGGGCCAGGCCAATGCCACAAAGGGTGACACGATGGTACTATTGGATGATAGTAACAGTTACTGGTGGCTTGTTAGGATTGTCAAAGACAGCAGCATTGGTAGGGAAATATGCGCGGACTTGGGAGGGTTACGCTAATTATGCCATGTGCAGGCTACCTTCCTGCGGAACACATCGAAACTCCCACCGAACGCTTGGCGCGTCTGAACAAACATAGAAACATTGACGTAGGTTTTTGTTTTGCTGGTTGAAGACTCGAATCTAACTTTGAGCAACAGCTTTCGGCAGCAATGCTGGGTGACAGCGCCGAGAAGTCGAAGAATCCACTGAAAAAAGCAATGAGACGACGAAACGCGAAAACTGTTCAATTCACCGCACCGACTTATGTTGAGGCATCTGACTACGATTACTCTTCCGATGAAGAGGATGATGACGGTGAGGATTTCGGCGGTGGACCGGTCCATGTCGAGGATGAGCAAGAGCATGAGGAAGACGATGCGCGCGAGACGATGACTGTCGAGCCTCTCAGAATTGGTGGAAAGAAGGACGATGCTGAAAAGAAATCGGACGAATCGAAGAGTGGCGACGACAAGGCGCGCACCAGCGACGAGATGTTCGATCGCCCTGGTTCGTGTTCCACTCTCCAACATCTGAGCAGGTGTGCTAATCAACCTGTAATAGACCAAAAGGTCTCGAGAAACGGCACTGTCAGAAACACCGACTCATTCTTCAAGGACGAGACCGTGGAGACGCGGAAGATTACCTTGACACCGAACCTCTTGCGCGACGATTCCTCAGCTTCTACCGTGCGCTCTGAAGGCAGGGAAAGAGGTGGAAGTCTTGACAGTCTGGAGAAGGAGCTCAAATCTCCAGATAGTAAGCCAAAGGATGACAAGAAGAAGAAAGAGAAAAAGCCTGGAATGCTCAGAGGCTTGTTTGGTCGCAAGGATAAGAAGGCGAAGTCTGCCGACAGTGAGCAAAACGATGAGAAGCAATCCGAGGAATTGGCCCGGGAGAGTCTGTCAAGGGATTCCGAGGAAACGGCCTCGCCAAAGGAGCCTGCAAAGGCTGAAAATGAGTCTAGTCAACAACAGCAACAGCCTGTGAGACAGACGAATAAGGCGTCTAAGTCTTCGGAGAAGAAAACTAACGGTCCCCAGAAATCCCAGCCGTCGGACCCGAACGTCCAACCGGCGAAATCCATTCTCCAGAAAACTGCTTCCCAGGGTGCTGCCGAAGCTACTATGCGGCTGGTGTCCGCCGGCGCAGAACGAAACCAGCAAGCTGAGGAAGACGACTCTGAGGCAGCGGCGCGCGCGCAAGGACAGGCTCAGGCGCAGGCTGAGCTCCAGGCTCGGGCTCAGGAGGAGGCCAAATATCAGGCCAAAGAAGCCGAAAAGGAAGCCGCAAGAGAAGCCGCCGCCGGTCGCGCTAGGAGCGGCTCCACGAGCGCCAAGCAAGCGATTTCGAACATACTGCACTCCAAGTCCAGCGAACGCGAACAAAAACAGGAGAACAAGATGCCGCCACGCGAGAAGGTCAAGAAATCCAAGGCGCGTGCTCCACTGGATGATTTCGATTCGACGCCAGAGTACGAGCAGGATGACCCCTTCGCTGATCCGAACGAAGAAGAGCGGCAGCCAAACGGAGCACCGCAGCAGCAGCAGAAACTGCGTCCAGATGAGACTAATTCGAGAGCGCCGGAATCTCTGGGAGATGTGTCACCTCTCGATACGGATCAACCTCCTGCCCTTATGCACGATACTTCGAGCCAAGAGGAGCCGGATATTTCGCCAGTGTCTCCGTCTGGCTCGCCTCTCAGGGGAGAGCTGTCCATCTCAAGCCCGACCGCGACACGGATTGCACCCACTCCTGGTGCAATCAACACCAATATTCCTCTTGCATCAGCCAATAGCCCCACAACAAACGAACTTCCTTCTGCCGTCTCTCTTCCTGCTTGGTCTGATGCCAGTCTTCGTTCGTACCTCGACGATGGCTCCGATATCCGCGACATGCTCGTCGTTGTCAATGACACTTCAGGTGTCGTTCCAGTTGGTCCGGAGCACCCGATCATGGCAGGCCTCTTCAGCGATGAGCGTAGCAAGGTCGCGGCCATGGGTATGCAACTAGACAGCCTTCTAGGCGATTGGCTGTCGAGAAAGAGGAGGAGGAATGAGGGTGGCAGAAAGCAAAGCTGCTGAATGCTCGCCTCAAGGAATTCGCGCTGATTGTGCATCGGAGGTTCGTTTGAATTTGCTTTATCTTCCGAGCCTGCTTTTTTCAATTGTTTCCCCAGACTCGAGAATTCGTCATTTGAAGGCGTGGGCGGAGTGCTTGCTACTCATACCCATTGTGCATTCTTGACTTTTCGAGGAGGATCCCTAGCTGTGGTGCTTTCACTTTCAGCTGGTGGCCCTTACATTCGAATCTTTGCCTCTTCTACTTTTTTACATTTGTCATTGCAGGGTCTGGCACCTGGCTATTATCCTTTCTAATTCTCCATTTCGCGATACCATGAGCACATTGAGCGCTTCTTTTCTTTTTCATTTAGTTCACTGGAGGGGAAAGGTTAAAAAGGAAGAGCAAGAGCGGAAAGGGAAGGCGATCAGAACTGCTAAGGCTTTATTGCACAGCAACCGGAAGAGCCCCCTTTTGTCCTTGCGACTTCGTTTTTCTCTTTTTCGCTTTTCTCTCACGATGTATGACATGATACACACAACCACACATCAGACACTTAAGAGCAACAGACATGACAAGAAAAGACAAGTTTTTCACTTCTGCTTGCAAGACTTTCTTCGCATGGCCTGTTTGCCTTAGCCTCAGTCTTTTGTTTTCTTGCGTTGTTTTAGTCCCTTTCTTGTTTTATTAAGCTTAGCGATAGTGTTAATACCCTTTCCTCGAGGAGTAGACGGGGTTGGGGTTGTCAGGACTCAAATATTTTCTTCAACTTTTCTTTTTTTTTTTCTATCTCTGGGGACTCGTCTCTCGTTTCGTGGGTCTCCTTGATTCTGTTTCCTTTGCAACTGGAAGCTGTACTATACCCTCTTTGACTTGGTCTCTTTACCGTTCCTTAAATTAGGAAATTTCTTCTCTACTTATTAGACTTCGTGTCGACACTCGCTCTGAGTTTCTTTTATCGTTAAGAGGATTATGTTCTTCTTCTTCTTTCAAATTATACCACCGTTCTTTGTTGTTCTTGCTCAACCTTGTTCTCTTGATTCAGATTTGGTAATTTCTATACGAGCAGTTTTTTGTTCGTTGTTGACCTAAATTGTCTCATTGCTGTGGAGTTGTTGTGGCGCAAGGTGGTGTGGGTAAGACGGAAGAAGAAGTGCATCAGTAGCTCAACCACTTGAAGAGCTTCTTTGGTAGAGCAATGAGAGTTTTAGGCGTTGAGGCTTCGCTTTTGTCGTTTTATATAGGTGTCCTTCAGTACTGCTCGCACAATTATCTGCCTCTTTATGCCGGCGGCTTGGATTCATTGGTTTACGTAAACATCTATGATATGGATACCTTCATGCTAGTGAAAGTGCTTGTTCTTGTGACACTTGCTTTCAGGACAACAGACGTTGGATGGAAACTTCCCTTGGCTCTTCTAATGCGTTCCATTTAGCACATACCTCCAAACCCGCAGACCAAATCTCGTTATTTTCTTCACCGTCTATCCAGTCATCAATGAACCTCACATACTCTATCTTGATCCATTACTATCTGAACCAGATTCCCATATTCATAAGATCGTACAATATTGTCAAAGAAGAGAGCAATAACATCTCGTTAGCCCAGATGCTTGACTGGGTATATCGCCAGACCACCTTCCCTTCTTCAGCATTCCCCCTTCTTCTTGGAAATGGCCCAAGCCAGCCGAGTCCAGTTCAACGTCAACTGAAGAGACCAGAAAGCCACCCAGTAAGATCCAGCAAACCCGCTCGCTCTGTATCGCATCGCATCGCTTGCTCTATGCAGGAGCATTAGCGAAAAAAAAAATGAAAGAGCCAAAAAAAAAATGATGAGACGCCGCTCATGATGCATCAAAATGGAAAAAGTCCCACACGTCTAAAATGGAGAACCTTTTCCCAACAGCCATCTAATCCGCACCAGCAACGAAAGTGCATATTTTACGTATCTCTCATTCCATTTCCTCTCGGTCTCCGGAAGAAATCATAACTCGTCTGCTCTTCCTGCAAAATCTCGGGCGCAGTCCCGCCATCGAGGCGGCTGTATCCACCCGCGCGCCCCATCGGCGCGGCGCCGCCCACAAGGTTCACGTCCGAGAAATCCCGGTTGTACATCATGTTCGTGTTGTTCACCTGTGCTGGTCCGGCCAGATCTTCGGACGACATGCGGCGGAGCGGGCTGTATGAGCGAGGCTGGTTGGCCAAGACGGACGAAACTCCCAGCACGGGCGGCTGGTGGTAACCGGCCGGGTAGGTAGCGCCTCCACTAGCGGAACTGCCGGCATGCAGGTCGCCCTCGGTGAAGGTGCGGTCGCTGTCCTGAGAGCCGCGGTAAGGAGAGTTGAAGGCGGGTGAGCCAGAGCGGGAGCCGTTGTCGCTACCATAACCGGTGGTGAAGGTGCCGGGCGTGCCAGGCCGGGACATATCTGATGGACGACCATATAGCTCACCATCGCCGCCGAACTCTTCGCGGAACTCAGGCCGATTGCGGTAGTTTTCGAAGTCGAGTTGCGAGTCGTTGACGAGCTCGAATGGCGCATTGGGACCGGCAGATTTGCCAGGGCGCGTCTTGGACATGTCATCCATATTGAAGGTGTCACCGTAGCCGGTATTGGCTCCGTCTGTGTCGGCTTCCAGGCGGCCGCGGTACACCTGGGCGAGAAGATGTTGAGACTTAGAGTGGACCATGGGCGTCATCAATGGCTTATAAAGCGCCGGATGTCCGAAGCGAACACCGACACGATCGCGACGCTTCTTCCTCTCTGGAAGACCTTCCTCCTGGTCCTTCTTGACTCCCTTGCTGTAATAGTGCATGCCATCATCGAAGGTGCGCATGAAGTACCACTTTGTCCCCCCAAGTAGGAGGAGAAGGGGAATCATGCACATCAGCTGATTGTAGGATTCCTTCCTGGCAATAAGGAAGAGAAGCACAACGAGATTGGCAAAGAATGTAGCAAACAGCACTCTGTTGACGAGCACACGCCAGAAAGAGCCACCTGACTCATGCTTCGTGATGAAGACGTACCTGCGATACCGTTAGTATTAGAGCAAATGAAAATGCTCCCATAGTCAAGACTTACAGCAAGAGGTACTTCTTCAAATAGCTGTCCATGGAGAAGTAAAAGGCAGCTACAGGCAGGACAAGAGGCTGGAATGGTGCAAAAACGAGGGCGATGGTGGTATAGAAGAGGAAATAGTTGTAGTATGCGGCGTAGTCGAAGGGCGGGGGCGCGGTAAGTTCGATCAGCCGGCGAGGAGTCGGGCTGGTGAATGTGCGGACAGCCCAACCCCAAGCCATGTTACCCAGCTGTGACAGATCCCATGCGGCACCGAAATTGCGCTGCAAGAGGTAGTTGAGCCAGAATGGAGAAACGTCGCAGAAAGCCGTCATAAGGTTGGCCCAAGGGTCTGCAGCCTTCAGTGCCTCCCACACGCTGATCTCCTTCTCTGCTTCAATGACTGCGGCGGCATACTTCCAAGCTGTAGAGAACAGCGAGAAGACGAGCAGGTTGTTGAAGACGAAGAAGGAGTAGAGCTTGTGAGTGACATGGCGCTCGCGGGAGGTTTTCGAGTAATCTCCGGCGTTCATTGAGAGACGTCTGAAAATGGAGGGTAGGAAGAAGTAGAAAAGAGTGGTAATCAAAGGAGCAGCAATACCCTGAACGGCAGCCCACGTCTTCGGATTCGCCGAGAGCTCTACTTGGAAATCTTTCCAAACAAGCCCAAGATTGCTCAAGTTTGCCAGGAAAACAGCAATAAGACCGTTAGGAATGCACCAAACAACAGTGAGCAGAGCAACCCAGATGTTGTTGAGGATTGCTCTCCCATGGCGTTGAGCAGGTGTCAGTGGAAGATTGGCCCAAATGAGATCACTGGGCTTCGGGGAAAGCCTGACCGAGGCTTTATGAGGATGCTTATTCCTGCCAGCATACGCCACCTGGTGCGCCTCATCGATGCCTTCATAGCTGGCGAATCCGTACGAAAGAGCGTTTCGGTTGTCAACGGTGAGTCTAACCTCCTTGATCTCGATTTCCAAGCTCTTAATTCTGGATGTCAGGTAATCGATGGCGTCTACTTTTGTCCCAGGTGTGTAAGCACGGTCTTGCTTCTGCGTCTTACAGGTTGGTCGCTTCGATGGTAAATAGTTCGGATTCTTCAGATATTTTGCCAAAATCTCCTCCAATTCACGGACGGCGTTCTCGTGTTGGTCGATGAGTTGCGGAAGATCCTTCACGTTGCGGGCGATGACTCCTCGGGGGTGGCCGTCCGTCACTTTCACTTCATCCAGGATTCTGCATACACCCTCGTCGGTTCGGTAGGACTTAGAAATATCGGTGACCTGGTTTGATGTTAGCACTACGCCCAGGGGCTGGACAAGCATTAGGTAATACCATCAACGTCCGAGCATGCAGACTACGCTGATACTCGGGACTGTCGAAATAATCTCTCCGCATTTTATAAACGGCCTTGTAGTTGGTCCACAGGAAATAGCAGACTACGCCGTCGAATATGTACGACAACAGTACATGCGCCCAACACGCTTTCCCCCACACACCAAGCGGGGTAAACTTCATGAACGTCGGCACGTTCCCCAAAACGTTGTTCTTGGCATTCTCGACCAAGTTGAGTGGAATGTAGACGCCGCAGCCAACCACGGACAGAATGAGGAGGATGTTTCGGCACATCTTGGTGAAGCGCAGGAAAACGGTAGCGTCAATGCCGACCTTCTCGATAAGCAGCTGCTCGCGAGTCTTGACGACGGGGCCAACCCAGGCGAAGACGCCTTTGGTGACAGCGGGTGGGGCGTGCTTCTCGTCGGCATGCTTTAGGCGTGGGGCATATACGGTGCTGTTGTAAGGGCGGAGGAGGCAGAAGAGGAGGGCGAAGAGGAGAGCGGCGCCGACGGAGTATCCAAGAGACGACCAGAAGGCGCTCTCGTTGACCTTTTTGATTAAAGGTCGGGTTAGAAATTTGGGGATCATGAGAGGAGAGGGCGAGGAGCCTGAGAACAAGCCATACCTCAGTATTGAATGGATTCGAGATCAGGCGGAGGAAGGTGTCGGTGGAGCTCTCCGCGCCGTCCCGGGGTAGTAGCGACCCGGTTGATGCGCGCGTCCACGACATGGGCGCGACGAAGTAGTGCAAAAACGAAAGGTGCGAATAGCGAGCGAGGGGCGCGGGGGCGCGAGATGCTGGAAAGCGCAGGCGTAACGAGTGGCGAGGACGGGGTGGCGCCTGGCAGTATCTAGGCCATTGACATGTGCAGCACTTGCTGCCCCTGATCCCGTGGTGGGTGGTCGCGTGGTGGATATGTACAGTGTTGGGGGCCCTGCGGTTGCTGGAAGAGGGCGAGGGTGCGTGGAAGGCCTGGAGAAGAGCTGGAGCAGCTGCAAGGGCGGGCGACAATCGGGGCCTTAAGGTTACGTAGGCGAGCGAGCGCCTTCTTTCTCCCGCAATACGATGGCGGGAGTCGCGCCGTGCGTCAACAGAAGACCCTAGCGCCCGATTTCTGCGAATGCTGTCATCCGCTCTGGACCACAGGCCAGAAAAAACCCATCCTGGTCCACGCCAAATTTAGCCCACGCGCCGCCCGCCGTTGGCCAAGCGCCCAACAGAACACGGCGCATGCGCGTGTCGCAGAGCGCCAGGTACACGGCAGTCGAGCTCACAAATGAGAGGACATAGCATCCAGTACCGCAGCCCCCGTTCCCACGATCCGGCGCAGTGATCCTCCCCGGGCGATCACGTCGGCCAAGCACACAGCCCGACAAGTTCTCCACACCGAACGCGCACTAACCTGGCGCAACCCGTATCCGCTTTTTTTGCGACGTGGAGGACCAGGCCCCCGCGCCGCTTTGTTATCGGCAGGCGCAATCAGGCGCTACCGTCAGCGCAGTTCTGGACTGCCAGATGACGGAGGTCTGGAGTCGTGCGCACGTCACCCGCTCGCCGCCCGAGCTCCCTTCGTCGCCTGAAATTTGCCCCCCGTCGTTGGCCCCCGTCATGATGATCGCCCCGCTGCGTCGTATCCGTGCCAGAAATGCAGGCGGCTTTCAGGAGAAACAAAGCCCGGCGCGCCGGAATGCAGGAACACGCAAGTTGGCCGGCACTCGCGAGGAAGGGCCCGGTAAGTTGGTCAGGGATATGTCGACAACAGTTCATGCGGCCGCTGATTGGCTGTGACCCGGCTATAGAGTAGTACACCCTCCCGCCTACCAGAATTCCTCCATCCGCTCGCACCCTGAGCCTTGGCGCCCGACCCTTATTCTCACCTCCAAGGAATGCTCATCTGACCTGAAATTCGACGGCACTCCACCTGTCCTAAACTGCTGCTGCGCCGCGCAACCCTCTCATCCTGCAGCGCGCAGTTTGTGGCTCCCGCACGCCACTTTACGTCGATCCCGCACTCGCACCCGCCTCCTTCTTCCACGCCCAGTCGGCATCTGCCATCAGCATCCGTTAGTGTCCGCCTCATTGGCCAATTCGGACAGCACCTACCTGGATGCAGCTCGGGCTCTTTAATGTAGCTCCTAGCCTCCTGCTTCTTCTTGTAGTCGCTGCCAAACCTCCTGTCGCGATCGCCCACATTCTTTGCAAAGTCGAACTGGCCCTCCGCCGTGAAGCTGGTCATCAGCTGCGGCTCGCCCAGCGGGATCTTGTCGCCGCGGTCCGTCTGCCACAGGTGGAACACTTTGCCGTACAGCTCGACCACGTCTTCCATCTCCTTGCTCTCGGCCTTCTCCCACGCCGCCTCTGGCACCACGACTGACGGCTGCGGCATGATCAACATCCCAGACTTGACCTCGAAGACGTGCGAGTGCCAGTAGCGGCGCTCCTCGGGCGGAAGCGTCCCGTAGAGCTTCGGCGTGATCATGTACTCGATGCCGATGAGACGCGCGTTCGGTTCGGGGCTGTCGTATAGGATGCACTGTCGGACATCTGTTTGCGCACTAGCATCAGAACCCGCGCGTTTTTCTTCGCTAGAAAAGGCCAAGAGTGGAGTCGAAACGCTGCCTTACCCACCTTCGTTCAGGTGACTACAGTAGTGGTTCGCCTCGACGAACCGGCTCGTATCGTTCGCGTAGACGTGGAACGCGTTCAAATGCGCGCAGATGTTCTTGACTGGCCGGAAGTCCTGCAACCAGACGCATCAGCCTTCACCTGGTCTCTCCTATGCTCTTACTATGTTCGAAGTGAGTCAGGGAGCTGACTGACCTGCGTCAACGTAGCGCCAGTCTCAAGCACATGGCTCTTCATCGTGAGCGGCTCTCCAGCCGCTTTGTTCGTTACTGGTAGGTGCTCCATGCTGATCACTCTTATCCTCGGTAGAGTTCAGCTGTCGATTTTGGCACTACGTGTTGCTATTCGATTTTGCTTCTCTCTTGGGCTGTGTAATGTCGCTCCGCGATTTGTGAGTCAGTTTGGACATGGGTACGATGGTTGATGGTTTTCAAAGCCCTCACCACCGTATATGTGAGTGCACTCTGACGTCATTCACAACATGTCGTCAGCCCCCGCAAAGGAGGGGGCATTCTCATGCGTCTCGCAAAATCAGGCTATAGACGGGTATTGCAGCCGAAAACTAGTGCAAAGAATGGCAAGGGCAACCTCTTTAGCAAATTTCTTTACGAGCAGCAGCCTATGTGGGCAGTAGAATATATTGGCTGGACGTAAATATATAATTGTTAATTTTACATTCGTCTAGACATTTGCTTCAGCACCCATGGCACGAGCGAAAAACAAAGTCACGCTAGCCTTTGTCTATAATACCTATCCGTGTGGGCAGGCATTTAGTTGCTTTCAGTCACATGCGACGGAGGTTCATTGGATATCGTAGCATTCCGGCAGCTCGGGGCACTTAATGCTGTGTTGCAGTGAACAGCCCAGTAAAAGCTTGTTGCGTTGTTATCGATAAGCAGAGCCGAAGTACGAGGAGTGCATGACCAGCCTGTAGTCGATGCGTCGCTGCTATGAAGATCAGGACTCAGTTAAGCCTTATGGTTTCACAAATTTAGGGCGACTAGTATCCACGCAACTGCCGGAATCCCCACTGCAATCTGCCCCTGATAAGCTCCGTAAGGGGTGGTTGAATTTTGGCTCGATTGGGTGATTACAAGAATACTGTGTACTGTGTCTTCCCGCTTGTGCGACACCAGGCTACGTTCCTTGTGATGATATCTAATAGTGTGAAATGGAAAGGCCACGGAGGCCAGTCCATGTGCCTCGTTTGATACTCTCTCCATCACATTGTTGGTTCTCTCCACACAGTCTCCTGCCGTCTCAGCTTCGACATCCCGCCTTTCCACGTAACTGGCTGAGGCTTCTTGAGATTGCGCTTCTTGCGAGATCGAGCAATTTGTCGCCTCTGGAATTTCTTCTGAAACCAACGAATAATCATCTCTCGCATCATGCCGATTGAGGTGATGACCATGACTGGGACGGCAATGTACCAGAAAAACCTGTCGCTATGCTGGATAGCCCAGAAGTTCTCGAAATTCTGACCAAAATATCCGGTCAAAAAGGTCAGAGGCAGGAAGAAAATGGTCACAGCCGTCAGCTGGCGCATGCTTTCGTTTTGATAAGTGCTCATGATGTTGAAGATGAGGTCGATCATGTCGTCTGCAAGATGTTAGTCGGCGGCCACCGTCTCTCGGTTGAAAATACTGACCTGCGGATTTGCGCATTTCGTCGATTGCTTGGCATATCATGATACAGTGATCCTCAGCGTCACCCAAGTACGTGTGTGCAAGAGCGCTGATGGTGACACTGGAGGCGGTGCTGCGGGCGGGCTTTCCGACATGATATGTTGCTGCGGCTGTCAGTCTGTTGCTCTCAAAAGCCTGTTGGGCTGAGAAACTTACTAATCGACTCCTTCTTATGGTCACGTAGAGCATTGATCAAACCCATGATGGGTTGGATTCTGTTCCGCAGCACAGAGAGCTCTGTTGTCATAATGTCTGCAGTTATGATCAGCATAAATGGACTTGACTCAAAGGTGATCAACTTACACAATGCCTTGGAGTGGCCAATGCTCGGCTCTGTAAGAACGTCAAGCTCCAAATCACTAATCGTGTCCTCATACGCAGACGTCACTGGGATAGCCAGATCGATGATGGTGTCAATCAAGGCCTGTATCATCATACTGGCATCGGCGCTGCGTCTCAAAATGGTGTCTGGGGCCTCCAAGCGACGGAGGATTGGTTTCTCTACATCCTCGGCCGAATGTTCAAAGAAACATATGCAAGTGTTGTCGCTAGTGAGGAACATTGAGACCTGTTCGACGCTAACGGCGAGATGCTTGTCCGAGAGCGCCGAGTGCCGCTCCATGTACTCGGTCCTCTCGATGTTGGGACCACCACGGTAGCGCTGAAGGGTCCGGAATTTATGCTTGGGCTTTGCTTTCGCCATGGCGCTCGGAGGGAGGTACGAGTCCTTTCGCTCCAGCTTGTACCCTCCATCCGGATTGATGGGTTCTAGGGAGTGTCCCCCATCGGACGCTCGTCGACGCTTCTTTAGGCGCTTGAACCATTTTCGATTTTCCTTCTCTTGGCGCACTACGTGCTCACTCTCGGACTCGCTATCGGAAGAGCTATCCGACGAGCTTCCTGTTTGAACAAGCTTTTGCAGGGTCAAGAGGACTACAAAGAGAAGTCAGTCTCTACTAACCTAGACTAGGCACAGGCAACGGTGTCCAGGGTCCAAATAAGACAATGTTTGAGCCGTCTCACATGCAACTATCGGAACGCCTGGCATGCCCAGCAAATATGAAGAATGCAGTTGGGAGTCAGCACTTACAGAAAGCATGGTCAGAGTACCAGTCGGCCTTGGTCCTGCCCCTCGTGTTCATCAGATCCTCAATGGCAAGCCGATGGAGGTTCTTTTCATTGCCCAGCAATTTGATCACGTCCCAGCTGAGACCGTTGACACTAATCCAGCGGCAGGTGGCCCATTCTTCGCGCGGGCGTTCCAGAAACTCTTCCAGGGATTCGTTGTTGAGGGCGTACTGCTTCATGAAATCGTCGGAGAAATCGACCACGGTAATAGTGCAGTCTTCTCTCACTTCTCTCAGATGGGCATGGCGGTGGTCGGCTTCGGTCTTGGCTGTGTCGATGCCGGGTTCGGCACCGGGCTCGGCCTCCCAGGCGGGCCGCGTGGGGGAGGAGTTGCGGTAGTGCTTTACGGTGTTGGAACGGATCGGGCGGCGCTGGGCAGCCGTCGAGCTGTCGACCGAGTACCGGGCACTGGCATCCGCATCCGTGCCTGTGGCCGAGACCGCGCTCTCGCGACGGCCGCGACTGGTGCGAGGAGAATGCGGCGACCTCTGGGCCTCGACATCATAGGGGTTGCTGGTGTTCAGGGAGTGCAGGGTGTTCGAGGCCCCGCCGCCAGCAGGCGGGGTGTCGAAGTGCACTGTGGGCTCAGTCATGCTGTGCGCTGCGAAGATCAAAGTCGAAAACCACGCTGCTGGGGAGTGCTAGCCAAGCGCAACAACAGCAGCAATCATGGCGTCATGTGCGGCTGGGCAGAAGGGGTCGACCCTGAGGCCAGCTGAAGAAGGCTGCCAGCTTTAGATTGAGCGCCCGTATTATTCCTCCAAGGGGGTGCTAGCCGAGGCGCTGGCCGAGCATCAGAGTGTCTGAGGCTGGCGCGCAGTGGAGCTCGCAGGCGACGGTGGCCGGGGCATGGCGCGCGGGCGAAAGAGAGGCTCGTCTACTGCGACGGCAGCGTGCGCTGGCGGTGTGGAGGTCATCTGCAGAGCTTAGCATGCAGCGCTTGTTCGGCGAGCGCGCGCGCGCGGGCGGTGGGTGGCCGATAGCGACGGCGTCCCTTCGCCATTGCGCGGGTAGCGAGGCCGGGCAACACCCTTTCGGCGAAGAATACGCCTGGATCGGAAATTGTGATTGGCCCCGGCCGGCTTTTTCGCTCTGAGACACGCAGTAATTCGCGTGCTCCCGGGGCCCGTAAGCTATTAATCATCGGCAAGCCAAGCCACGGGCGAGAGCATGAAGGCCAAGCGGTAATCTCGAGTCGGGCGCCAAGGCGCAGCCTCTCTCCTCACTTACAGCGCAGCACACCCAGTCTGCCCACGCCAAACTCCTCACCTCGCCCACACCCGCCCATCCTCCGCACACGCGCCGCTGCATCTGCTACTCCCTCCTGCCGTACCGACGCCCCTCTCAGCCGCGTTTGACGCCGCGCACGACACCTCGCCCGCTCGAGGTCCAAGGCAGCGCGCCATCGCCACGGCTCGTGCGCCTTCCCGACGTGGCCCCCTCAGGAGAGCAAACATCATCAAGCGCTGCCCTAGGCTATCGACGCTGTCGTGCGGCCTTGCTTACGTGCCCGGAGTGACCTTGCCCGCCGCCCGACCGCTCCGGATGTCGTTCTGTCATCCTCTGCTCTGATCGCACGCTCCACCTCAGCCCCATCTCAGTGGCGCCTTTGACTCGACGCATACCCTCTGCCGATTGGCGCACGCCCGACACCGTGTTTGATTTCAGGAACCGGCGTTTGTTCACTTGCATTGCTGGCGTTACTGGGTGCGTCTTCCCCCTTCGGTCAAGCGACCGACGACCCTCTGCTAATCCGATGCGCCCTGCAGCTCTTTCTTCATTTCGAACGCTTCTCGGCACCCCGTCATCTAGCCCATACCGCAGCAGCATCTACTCGAAGCCGCAAACATGCGCGAGGTCAACTTCAGCATCCCGAATTCGAACAAGGCCTCTGTCGGCATCACCACTGCCCTCTATGACCGCCGGGCGCTCGACTGCACTTCCACCCTTCCTCTGATCAACTCGCTCAACCACCTCGCCTACCTTACTACCTCCTCGGCCCGCATCCGTGACATTCTCACCGTCGATGGAGGTGTCGAGCGCTTGGTTTGCATCCTGAAAGAGGGGAGGAGCAAGGACATGATGGACATCTGGAAGTGGAACCTCGCTTTCCAGTGCGTCGTCAACATTGGTGTCCGAGGCTCTGAGGCCGTGAGGACGAGGGTGGTGGAGGCCGACATGGTCCCCGTAATTGCTACCGTTCTGGACAATTACATCCGTGTCATCGACAAGTGTCGGGAGAAGGCCGAAGCCGAGTACAAACGCAGCAATCCCCGCTTTGGTATGTCAGGGAGGCACTACAGCAGGGCCGGAGACCCTCTGAATCCTGGTCTCGGCCACCGCTCGGAGCGCGCGCGTCGTCATGCTCCTCCCCCGATCGAAATCCCGCAGCCTGTACCCTTTCCCCAGCAGATGGAGGCACAGGCTGCGGATGCGGCCCCGCAGCAGCCCTTCGCCATAAGCTCTCCCCCGGAGCGCACCACCTTCTCGCGGTCACACCACCATCACCACCACCATCGCAACGAGAACCGGACCCACAACCTCGCACCTAGGAGCGGCTCGAGCCGCCAGCACGCTACTCAAACGCTCCACACTGGTGTCTCTAACTTAGATACCCAGGAATCCTTTGGTCTCCGCCCTGTTAGAGATGCTGATCGCCTTCCTTCAATGCTTCCTTCATTGCAGCGTGAAATGACTTCACAGCCCGAATCGCCCACTACACCCAACGCCGTTGCCCAGCCGGGGTCATCTAGGTCCGAGATTGCCGCCGCGAGAAACCGTAGGAGACCCTCGATTCGCCATCAAGTGTCGACCTCGGGCGACTCGGACAACGATGGCCAGGTCGAGGAGATTGTTGCTGAGGACTCTGCAGCAGCAGGATCCGCTGGCGAGCCCATCGTCGGCATCCAGAACGAAATAAACATGCAGGATATTGTTGATAACGAGGAGATGCTCGACGCGGGTGCGACGCCCGTTGGCCTCACGGCACAGGCTTCTGAAGCCACTGATGCCGAGACGTTTAATATTACTCATCGATCAGCCATCGATGGCAGTATTCTCAACCCGGCAGCAACTCAAGCGGCAGGTCCGTTGGGTTTCTCGCCTGTACAGCCTGCCATCACTGTAGCAAACGCAACCCCTCCCACAGGCATGCAGGCCAACTGGTATCCGCGCTCGGTTCAGGACCGCAATGCGACTGCTGGTGTGCTTGCTGCCATGCCCAGGGACGAGGACGTGCTCATGTCCCTTCAGCTTCTAGCATACGTTTCCAAGTACTGCAACCTCCGCTCGTACTTCCAGAAGTCGCACCTGGTGCCCAAGCTCCGGATCGGCAAGGAGCTAAACCTCCTCGATGGCGATGGCTCGGTGCCGATGGCGGAGGAGGAGGAAGAATGCGAAGAGGAGTATTTGCTACCCGACGATTTTAACATCTTCCCCCTGGTGGAGAAGTTCACCGTCCGTCATCATTCCCAGGATATGCAATACTGGGCGGGCGTGGTAATGCGCAACCTTTGCCGCAAGGACGATTCCCGCGGTGGCATCCGGCAATGCGCTTACTACCAGTGCGGCAAGTGGGAGGAGTACACGCGCCAGTTTGCCAAGTGCCGCCGCTGCCGTCGCACCAAGTACTGCAGCAAGGAGTGCCAGAAGAGCGCGTGGGTTTATCACCGGCATTGGTGCGTCGCCGCGCAGCAATAAGCGTGCGGCGGCCTCGTCCAGGCTCAACCTTTTCTTTACAGTCACAGTCATCATACCCATTTATTCAGCATTTGGCACGGCGCAGGGACAGAGATTCAGTTTGTGTGCATCAAAGAACTAATGACATGGGACGACTCATCCGTTTTTGAAACTCTTTGGCGGAATTTTACAGCTAGTGGGAGTTCTTGGGGGGTCTTTTTCTATATCGGGTTGCTCGGTGGACGGACAAAAATTGATTCGTCTTCGTCAGTCACGGATCGGTTTATATTCTTTTTGCTCTCATCAAAGTGTTGGGTGCGCGGAACCAGTTCTTGGCTCTCCTTTGTGTAGTCAGTGGCAGGCAGGTGTGTAGTTGATTCGCTCCTTACTGGAGATAATTGCCTTTTGTCGTTCAGAGTGCGCGCTCCTGTTTGCCGTGATGTCGTTAGAATGATCGCCAAGGAGGCTCCTTCTCCACAGCACGCACATTGCAGGCTGCCGCTCTCCGCCAACGAGGTCCGCGATGCGCACAGTGCCAGGCGCGTGGACGCTCGGCCCACGGCAGCTAAGCTTTCCATGACTTGCGCATTGGAGATGAAGGTGCAGCCTTGAAACAGCTACGCGGCCGCCATCAATAGGTTTATCGGCGGTGAATGCTGAATGCTAACAAAGAACCGTTCCTGCAGAAGGGGGAGCCAGTGAGGAGCATTATCGAGATTACGTCAGGCGGCTAAAATTAGTTGATGGCAGGCCGGCCGGCCCAACGTTGAACAGGCGGAGCACAGGGCGGGGCCAGCCAGTGGCAAGGGTGGTGGCGCCGCGCCCCCCCAAGGCCAGCAGTTTGCTCAGCTGCAGGTTGACGAAGCCTTCCAGAAGCAGCAAACTTGCTGCGCCCCAGACTACCTCGTACCCGATCGAGCCTCTCGAAAACCCCTCATGTAGCCTTGCATGTTCTCACCACCTGTCCCGATTGCCCTTCCGCTGTCCTTCCGCTCGCTCTGCGATTCTTCAACCCACGGACCCCGGCCCACGACGTCATTCGCTGCACACGCCGGCGCACACCGACTGCGACTGAGCCAAGCCTGCATTCCCTGATGAGCCGCATCCGTAAACACCGCACCAGAGCATGACCGACGCCGACGACGATCCATCCAGTCCCAGGCTGCCCGACATGCGTCGCAGACACTCGACGCACACTGTCGACGAGAACCCAACTGCCGAAGACGCGTCGTCCGCCAGCAGTAATGCCGCTGGCACCGGCATGCACAACCTCGACAGAGCTGGACGCAGAGTCTTCACGGATCCCGTTGTTGCGCACCACCATCAGCCTGCTTCTACCTCCTCTGCCGTTGACAGCGCCGACCTGCCGACCTCACCGACGAATGCTCCAGCCGAGCGCGCACCGAGAGTCCGCTTCTCGACCGACCTCGAGCGCACCGCGATTCCTGGTGACATAGGCTCCGCTAGCAATGGCAATGGCAGACTTCCGCCCGCAGCGCTGCCGGGCAGAGCGATGGGGCAGCTGGAGAGACCGGGCACACCCAATCTTTCAGTGAACACTGCGTCCGCGAATGCGGACCCCAGCGAGGAAGCTCCGGTTTCCAGCTCTTCCACAAGCCCGCAAACTGCTCGTTCGAGGGCATCGCCGCTTTCACCGGCCGGACGCAACCGAGGATACTCTCTTCGAAGCTCGCTGTTTCGCCGCAATGTGGAGAATCCGACTGCGTCGCCGGGGAGTATCATAGAGTTGCAGGATGCGGGGGCTTCGTCCAGTCAGGTGCCGCCAACGCCGGCCGCATCCGGTCAGCCGAAGAAAACGTCCGTCGATGGCCCTAGTGTCAGTGTCGAACAATCCGAAGTGTCGCCTCCTCGTGACCCTGCTGAGCCGCAGAAGAGACCAGACGAGAAGACGGCGCTGAGAGGCATTTCCGCGCTGCCGAACTACCAGTCTTGGATCAACGAGAAAGATAGTCGGAAGAGCGTCGTGAAGACAGTCAAGGAAAATGCCGAAAAGTTACGGAAATTCGTCCTGCGCATTCAAGAGATCCCCCCTAGCAAAGACGGCAGGCATATCGACCTGGATGCATCGCGGAAAAATACGTTGATTGACGAAAGGACCGGGAAGCCTTACGTTCCCAACACCATTCGCTCGAGTCGTTACAACGTCTGGAACTTTCTCCCTCGCCAACTCATCGCGCAGTTTTCAAAGCTAGCAAACTTCTACTTTTTGTGCGTTTCCATTTTACAGATGATACCCGGCCTCAGTACCACCGGCCAGTTCACGACCATCGTCCCTCTACTTTTCTTTGTTTCGCTTTCGATTGGAAAAGAAGGCTATGATGATCTCCGAAGATACCGCCTTGATAAAGCCGAGAACAATCGAGAATGCAAAGTACTACACGCGTATAGACCTGTCGATAAAGAAGCATCGGGGACTGATCCTGAGAACGATCCGAAAACACCATCTCTTGGGCCAACCCATTGGGCAACGACAAAATGGAAAGACCTCAAGGTTGGCGATGTTGTCAAGCTTGAACGCGATGACGCTGCTCCTGCGGATCTGGTCCTTCTCCATTCAACAGGCGCTAATGGCATTGCCTATGTTGAAACCATGGCGCTGGACGGCGAGACAAATCTGAAGAGCAAGCAGACAGCAACTTTGCTTGCAAAGACGTGTGACACAGATGACAAAGTTGCCTCGTGCCGGGCACATTTTGTTGTAGAGGACCCCAACATCGATTTGTACAACTTCGAGGGTCGAGTTACGTACAACGGCGAGACAGCGCCTTTGACTAATGCTGAGATCATGTACCGTGGCAGTATCCTGAGGAACACTCCTGAAGCTGTCGGCATGGTCATCTACTCTGGCGAAGACTGCAAGATCCGCATGAACGCTAACAAGAATCCGAGAATCAAGGCCCCGGCTCTACAGACTCTGGTCAACAGGATCGTAATCATCATCGTCATCTTTGTTATCCTCTTGGCCATCTTCAATACCGTTGCTTATCAAATCTGGTCAGCCAACAAGGAAGGTGACGCATGGTATCTGACAGATGCAAGTGTTGCCTTTTTCCCGATTTTGGCCTCCTACATCATCATGTTCAACACCATGATCCCCCTCTCCCTCTACGTCAGTTTGGAAATCGTCAAGGTCTGGCAGATGTGGATGTTGAACGACATCGATATGTACCACAAGGAAAGCAACACGCCTTTCGAACCTCGCACATCCACGATTAATGAGGAACTGGGTCAAGTGAGCTATATTTTCTCGGATAAAACGGGCACGCTTACGGATAACTTGATGAAATTCCGTAAGATGTCGGTTGCCGGAACTGCATGGCTACACAATTACGATCTGGAACCGACTGAGAGCACACTTGTCAGGCGCCCAACGCATAAGAAAAAGAACAAAGGCAAGAAGCCGTTGAGAAAGAGCCTGGCGTCTGTTAAGCACGCCATGAAGCCTGATCACCAGGATGGTTTCGAAAACCTTGGAAGCGAGGAGGGTGCCGCAGCGACCGCTGAGGCTCAGGAGGAGAGTCAATGGACTTCTTCCGCTCGTCCTTCCAAGCCCCAATCGGAACTGTCGACATCGGATATGATCAAGTATATTCAGCGCAGGCCGTACACCGTATTTGCGAAGAAGGCCCGGATGTTCTTGCTCTCGATCGCTTTGTGCCATACTTGTCTTCCGGAAAAGCGTAAAGATGGGTCTATTGATTTCCAGGCTTCTTCCCCAGATGAATTAGCCCTTGTCAAAGCTGCCCATGAGCTTGGTTTCATGCTCATCGATCGCGACGTGGGGACCATTACGTTGAAGAGCTTCCCTTCTGCTGACGGTGAACCTGTGGTTGAAGTCTTTGAAGTCCTCGATGTTATCGAGTTTTCCAGCAAGCGCAAGAGGATGTCCGCGATTGTACGCTTCCCTGACAATCGCATCTGCCTATTGTGCAAGGGTGCCGACTCGATCATCATGCAACGCCTCAAGAATGCTGCACTTGCTCATCAAAAGGTGGTCGAGATCGAACGGAGGGCGAACAAACGTAAGAGTATGGAGGCCCAGGTTGCGATCGCCCGAAGGAGCGAGCAGATTGAGCGCAGGAGCATGAGCCGCCCAAGTATGAGTCGCCCAAGCATGAGCCGTCCAAGCATGAGCCGCCCCAGCTTCAGCATGGGCCGCAAGAGTATCGGAGGGATGAGCCGTCACAGCATGGGAAGTAACAAGATGCAGCCCATCAGGGACGAACTAGACCAATGGCTTACCGAGAGAGAAAGAGAGATTGACGTGTCTTCCATGGAAGAGCAAACCATGTACTATTCTCCTCGCCCGTCTGCGCAGTTCAATGGACGCCAATCGATGGCTGCATCCGAAGCGCGCAGTTCGATGCAACTCGACGATGAGGAGGAGCTTGTTGAAGAGGCTCTTGTTGTGGATGAGCCAACGGTCTTCGAACGGTGCTTCCAACATATAAATGACTTCTCAACGGAAGGTCTCCGCACACTTCTGTACGGCTTCCGCTTCCTTGACGAGCAGGAGTACCAGGCCTGGAAGAAGGTTTACCTTGACGCTACTACCAGCCTCGTTGACCGCCAGAACATGATTGAGCGGGCCGGTGAAATGATTGAACAGGACCTCGATCTCGCAGGCGCAACTGCTATCGAGGACAAGCTTCAGAATGGCGTTCCCCAAACCATCGACAAGCTCCGCCGGGCAAACATCAAGATGTGGATGCTTACGGGTGACAAGCGCGAGACTGCCATCAACATCGGCCACTCTTGTCGCCTGATCAAGGATTACTCTACACTCACCATTCTGGATCATGAAGACGGCACAGTCGAGCAGAGCATCGCCACCGCGATCGTGGATATCAGCGAAAACAAAGTTGCCCACTCGGTTGTTGTGGTTGATGGCCAGACTCTTGCCATGATCGAAAACGATCGCTCGGTGTATTCGTTGTTTTTCGACCTCGCCGTGCTTGCGGACTCGGTTATTTGCTGCCGTGCTAGTCCTAGCCAGAAAGCCGGCCTCGTCAACATGGTGAGGAAGAAGGTCAAGAAGTCGATCACTCTGGCTATTGGCGATGGTGCAAACGACATCGCTATGATCCAAGAGGCGCACGTTGGTATCGGTATCACGGGTAAAGAAGGTCTGCAGGCTGCAAGAGTGTCGGACTACTCAATGGCCCAGTTCAGATTCCTGACCAAGCTGCTGCTCGTACACGGACGGTGGAACTATATCCGCACCTGTAAATATACCGTCGCGACGTTCTGGAAAGAGTTTCTGTTCTACCTCACCCAGGCGTTGTATCAGAGGTGGGTTGGATACACCGGTACCAGTTTGTACGAGTCGTGGAGCTTGAGTATGTTCAACACGGTAAGCTAACACCTGTTAATCGCGCTTAACAGAATGCCGCTAATTCTACCATCCAGCTTTTCACTTCTCTCCCGGTCATCATCCTCGGCATCTTCGACAAAGATCTCTCCGCCGCCACGCTCATCGCCGTGCCCGAACTCTACACCAAGGGCCAGCGCAACGGCGGCTTCAACTTCAAGATCTACCTCGGGTGGATGTTCATGGCGTCGTGCGAGATGGTCATCATCTTCTTCTGCATGTTGGGCCTGTACGCGCAAGCCATCTTCACCAACGACCAGAGCATCTACGCGCTCGGCACGCTGACCTACACCTCGGTCGTCATCCTGATCTCGTTCAAGCTGCAAGGGCTGGAGATGCACTCCAAGACGGCGACGGCGGCCTTTTCGTTCATCTGCTCGGTCGGCGGCTGGTTCCTGTGGTGCATCATCCTCGCGTCGACGTACAAGAACACCAGCATCTACTACGTCAAGGACGGACTTTGGGACTCCAAGCGCTTCGGCAGGAACGCCCTCTGGTGGCTCACGCTCATCATGATCCTGGCGTGCGTCGTGATCTTCGAGATCGGCGTCAAGACGGCCAGAGCGGCCTTTTGGACCACGGATGTGGACCGCTTCCAGGAGCTCGAGAAGGATCCGGCCATCAAGACGCGCTTCGAAGACGCGGCGACGCTGGAGCTGGCGCAGGGGTGGGAGAGGTTCGGCAAGGAAGGTGAGGCGGTGCCTGAGCGGAAGAGGAAGAAGAAGAGGTTTTCGTCGTCGAAGAAGGGGAGGAAGTGGGATTGGTTCGGGTTGGTGGAGAGGGATGATGATGAGAGTGATGTGGAAGAGGCGGAGTTGGAGGTCGTGTCGTCACTGACGGCACAGGAGGCGAATAGGATCAGGAAGATGCGAACGGTGGAGGAAGAAGAGAGAAGGGAGGGCGAGGTGAGAGATTTGTTGCGGAATCGCCCGGATGAGTTGGAGGGGCAGGAGGGGAGTGAGAGGGAACAGGTGGATCTGGAGCAGGGAAGGAAGAAGCCGAGGGCTAGCTTGGAGATTCATGAGATGCTTGCGAGAGGATTCGGAGGTGTGAAGAGGAGTGAGACGTTGAAGTAAAAGAGGGGGCTGTGTTTGTTTTCGCAGGGTCTTGGTTTGTCTTGTTTGGATGCTGCTTTTGCTTTTCCTTGCTGTTGCGCACATGATACCGAACCGAGTGAGGTTTCTCTCCTTTTGACGAAAATGAGATGGTGGGCGGGGGATATCCTTGGGTGGCGTTTGCTTTTGATTTGCTGGGTGGATGTCTGTATATGTATGGGCATCATTTGAGGCTGTGAACAGATGGGAGGATACTCCCCCTTTATGGATATTACATCTAACAGAGGATGGATAGAAGATATATTGCACAGGATCAAATTCGCTCATACAAAACGATCGTGACAGTCCAGGTTTCACAGCGCTCAAACAGTTCGATACCTCCACCCTTTGATGGATGTGATTCGAATATTCCAACACGACAGTATTCTCCATCACGTCGTCCACTTGGAATAAGTATTAGACCTGAGACTGCTGGCTGTTTAGATGGTATATTCAGACATTGGTCGACTCGTGCAGCCAGTAAGAGGACTTTCTTGACTTTGCACTCCCGTTCTAAGAGCAATCGAGACTGGTCCTCGACGTCAAAACTGCAATAGGCCATAAGCGAGCCGTCCGATACCGTCTCCCAGGTACCTCCTCTAGATCGACCGTGGAAGTGCAAAACTTCCGCGGCCAGGCAGTACACCTTACTCCGGAGTGTTAAGTACCCATCGCGAATTCTGCCGAAGGGATTGATGCCATCCAGAACGGTATGAGCCGCTAGCACCTCTGTGAAGGAACGCATTTTAATAACGGATGGGAACCAGTCAGAGCTTCTCATACTTGCGCGTCGGGCTTGAGCAAGCCAGCTCCACGATAGAGCTATGTATGCCTCAGCACCGGGGAGGACAGGCGGATCACGGTGCTCGTTGCTTTGCTAGAGAAACCCGAACGAGAGATCTGTCTGCCAAAGACCCGCAAGATAGCGGTCTCCTGAGATATCTGCGATCCTCTTCGCAAAGGCCGATATTGCGGGCAGTCGATCGCGCGGTTCTGTGAAGCTGCGGGATGAGTAGTCCAAGATTCCCCGGTACCACAACGAGAGGTAGTTTCCCAAGCGTTCAATTGCTTTAGCGCTACTCCTCACCGAGTATTCGCAGGCGAGGTGACTACCATGCGGTAGCTCACTGCAGTATGCGTTGTCGCAGCTCCAGTGCATCCCATTAGCACCGAAGTATAGTCTTCGGGTGGAAAACAGCTGTTCGGTAAATGTCCAGCCGCGGCTACCCCACTTCGTTTGAGTAGTATCAAGGGTGAAATAGTTCATGTCCCAGCAATGCTCCTCAATCAAGTAGAACCCTTGGCAATTGGATTTTAGCCTCGTTCGATATGGAATGATGGCAGCAGCTCTTTGGAAGAGGTGAGCGGCTCAAGAACCCATCGTGACAGGAGTTTGCCACTGTTGGAATAAGTGTGACGTAAGCCTGCTCATATATTCCTGCCAAATTCGGTGATTCAAGCTCCCAGTCTTGCTTGTCATTTTGGATTATGCAAAGCGACTCTACCCAGATATATGGTATGTCAAGGCTTCGACAGACTGTGACCGCGCGGGCTGAGCACGTGGTTGGGTGAGGATGGGGTTCTTTCCTTTGTCTTTGCATATATATATTCACAGCATTGCCTTCTGGTGCAAAATATAATTCGCAGTCAATCTCCTTTATATCTGATTGGAATCATGGAGGTCTTGATCGAACGGACTGGGGGAGAAAAAAAGAGAATGACCGTCGACAAAAATGGCAAAACTGAACCCCGCTACATGCGGGTTAAGCTCAGAAAGACTCCTTG